ACAAAGAGGTCGCGCAAGAGGCGTGCAGCAGCAGGCGATTCTGCTGCCAGCAGCAGCGAACCAGCGCTGAAGCGCCTGCGCAGAGCAGGCCATCAAGACAGGTGATGTCCATGATCGACATTGCACCAACAACCATCCGACACGTTCAAATGACCGGTTCACCGTGATGCTCTTATCGACGTGTCAACCCATGCTGACTAGCAGCCGAGCTCGCATCGCGAGCAGAGTAATTCTGGTATGCTCTATAAGAAAATGTGTTCTATTTGCTGGTGCGCTTGTTGGTTGCCTCATCGACACACAGATGCATATCAAGGTTTGCGTAATTTACCGCCGCCGGGCCAGTGGTAGACAATGGCGCCAGCGCCCTCAGCACTGGTACAATCTTGGATGCTGCCTCTGTATTTGAAAACGGGACACTCAGCTTGTCTGCATTCCGGATCCCCGTAGCGCACATTTTGTTCCTACAGTACGAGCGGCCGCATCCGTGGACCATCTGCAGCTGTAGCGCTCGTGCCAACCGCTTCAGTAGCTTCAAGTGCTTGGGGTCAAACTCGCTGGTATAGTACGGGCCATAGCACGTCTTGCACAACCCAAGCGCGTTCTTTGAGTCACGCTCGCCATCGCACTCGGCGTTCGAGCACGGTACCATTGCGGCGCGTGCTGCCTGGTCCTTCATTGCGTGGACACGCATGTGTACCTGGACTTGGCGGATACGCACATTGGCTTTGCACTTTGCACACGGGATTGTGCGATTGCCACAGTACGACTCGTGCGAGTGCAGCTGCATCATGATATCCTCGGGTTCGAATGACTTGGTTCCTTGCCGCTCAATGTTGTGGCAGTAGCGACACTCGATCAGCCGCTCAGGGCACTCGGTCCGGCGGTGCTCGGCCAAATCAACAAGCGAGTCGAACGGGCTGGTCGGATCGCAGGTGCATGTAGCTGGTTCGTGGTAATGGCTGTTGTGTTTTGCCTCATCACCTGCTTCGCCTGAAACTAGACAAATCGGGCAGTGCCAATGCAACTCTGCTTCCCTGCTGCCGTTCTTGAAGATGCGGCTGCACTGGGGGCACCGCCAGTTGTGCCTCTGGCAAACGATTTGGTGCATTGTCAGTCGAGATGCCGGGACATGTGCTCTGCAATTGTCACATATAACCGAGTCGCTGTCAGCCGCATCAGGGCCACCCTGGACGGCGTTGCTTGATTGTTCCTCTGTATCCAAGGTGACCGAGACGGTTGCCTTGCACCCGATATCTGATGCAGCAACGGCAACAAATATGCTGTTTGACCCTGAAGGCAAGGCGGAGCCATCGATAGCTATAGTTTTGCGCGAGGCCGATGGCGCTGCACAGTCAAACCAAGTGTTGTCCCGCATCGTCGGGTGCTGGACGATTCTGCTGGCGAACACTGACGCATCTCCTTCATGGCAGTCGATGTGGATCGACACAGCTCCCGTCTGTGCAGGAATGTGCACACACAAGTCCTTTGTCGACCCACCGCCCAAAGCGATGTTTGTTGCTGAGCCAATCCCTAGCTCGCTACTGTTATCTTCATGCGTTAAAGAGCCAGAAGCTCCGTCAAAGAGAATATCCACAGACAGATCCGTGTCGACAATATCAACAGCCTCATTGCTGGGCTCTACCTCAACCACGCGGAACTTTACCGGCTCATGCATGCCGCCAACCGGAACCTCAACTGTCTCACCAGGGAATAGAACCGTGAGATTTGCACGCATATGTGCCTCTAACAGAGAGCGCACGTCGCGTATGCTCTGTGCAGAGCTGTCGAGTGCATGCAGTCGGGTAAATGTGCCCTTGGACAGCTCAATGTTCTCAACGATGACGTTGTCACCCTCGCTTAGTTTATCATCATCGATTAGCCAGTGCGGGATGCCGACATAGCCCTCGTCGAAGCTGAATTCGCGCACACCGCAGAAGAGTTGCCTTGCACGGTACTTTACGCGGAACAGGAGCGGCGAATCTATGCTGCGCTTTTCCAGCAGTGCCGATAGGTACGACGAAGGCAGATACACCTTGTCGGAATGCACATTGTCCACAGCCCGGTATCGAAGTGTCTGAGAAAAAGCCGCCATTGCAAACAGCGTTCCATGAAATGCAAGGGGGAGGAAGAGAAGTTACGTGTTCTGCAAAGTTCTTGGCCTCAACACGGATTTATCTGGTCAGCGAAGCGTGATTACTAATGCGCTGATTCCAATCTAGTGGCTGCGGTTCAAAGGCATTTGCAAAATCTCATACAAGCGCTCTTGGCCAGGTGCTCATGTGTGCCTGTTGCCGTAGCCGCAGCCATGCTCTAAGCCCGTTTCTAATCGACAGCATGGTTGGTAAACATAAATATTTAGTTATATACAAACAGATAATGTATGGCAGATGACTTGAGGTACTATCTGCAGCAGCAGAACACAGCCTTTAGCCGGGACGGCCAGGACGACCGCGAGCTGCCGCTCTCCATGTTGCGGTACATCGTGGGCCGTCCGCCGAGTGCTGGCGGTGCCGGTGGCCGGTACGATGTGGAGTAATAGTCGGTCGACGCATAGTGATTGCCTTGGACAGCAGCCATCTCCTCAGTGCGCATGGGCGGGACATGGTCGCTCACGCGGACATCATAGATGTCATCTCTGAACTGCGACTGCGACTGCAACTGCGACTGCGACTGCGGCTGCTGGTACTGGCTGTGCGGGTGCGGTGGAGGCAGCGGCAGAGGTGCTGGGTTGTAGGCACCCCCGCCACTGCCGCGGTATCCGCTTGCAGTGGGCCGTGTGGAGTTGGCGAGATGGACTGGAGTCTCACGCGGGGACACGGGGACTGAGACCATGGGCGGCAGACAGTAGTTGTTCAGCGCCTCTGGCGTAGCCGGGAACGAGTCTGGCGTGCTGATCGTGTCGAGGCCGTCGCTGCTGGCATAGTCGATATCAGTCGAGAGCTCACCTGTCGACTGACGCAGGACCGCTGGCTTCGGTGGGATGGCAGGCGGCGTAACCAACGGCAGCTCAGTGCCGGTCCCAGCAGCAGCACCGGAAGCAGGCGCCATTTTAGGCGGGGTCCGTGTGGCCAATGCTTGCCAGCTAAAGCCGTCAAAGAACGGGTGCTCCTTGAGCTCCTTCAGCCCGCCGCGCTGAACCGATCCCAGCCGCTTCTCGGGCTCAACCACCAGTATGCGCTCGACCATGTCGCGGGCAGCCGGAGAGATGTTTGCTGGGAATGCATAGTCAAGCTTCAGGACCTTCTGGAAGGTCTGGTACTCGTTCACTCCCTTGAACGGCGGGCGGCCAGTGAGCAGCTGGAATGCAATGCAGCCGATAGCCCATAGATCGCTGTTGCAGTCGGCAGCCTTGTCGGTGAGCAGCTCCGGCGACACGTACTCTGCAGTGCCGACGAACGAGTACGCGCGCATGTCGGTCTCGTCCTTGCCAAACATCTTGGCTGTGCCAAAGTCGGTCACCAGGATGTGCATGTCGTCGCCGAGTAGAATGTTCTCGGGCTTTATGTCGCGGTGCAGCGTGTGCTCCATATGCATGTACTCGACGGCGACAACAAGCTCCGCCAGATAGAACCGCACGCACTCGTCGGACAGGGCGCCCAGTCTGCGAATCCACGACAGCAGCTCGCCGTTGCTGGCTATGTCGATGATAAAGTACAGGCTGTGGGCATCCTGGAACGCGTAGTGCAGGCGCACGATGAACGGGTGGTGGAGGTTGTGCAGCACGTCGCGCTCAATGTTGACGTACTTTATCTTCTTCTCCTTGATGATATGCCGCTTGTCCAGGATCTTGGCTGCAAACACTTTGCCTGTCGCCTTCTCCCTCGCCTCGACTACTGTTGAATACGAGCCCTCGCCAAGTGTGCGCCCGAACTCAAAGTCTGCCACGACCCGCTTCCGTCCTGCCGCAGTAGCTACTGCTGCTGCAGCCGCTGCCGCCGAGACCGGGCTCTTCCTCTGCTGCGATGGAGGCGACTCTGCTGCCGGTGTTGTTCTCTGTGGTGTAATCTCTGGCGTTGCAGCTGCTGCGTTCAGCGCTCGCGTGGTCGACTGCATCGAGTATGCCGGCGAGTCGCCCGCCGAATTGAGTGCTCTGACTGCGTCGGCTGCCAAAGTCGATGCACCCGATGACGGTTGCTGTTGCTGCTGCTGCTGCTGCTGTTGCTGCTGTTGCTGCTGCGTGGGCTGTGTCGCACCCGCAACTGCAAGCCGGAGGTTAGCAGGCTTTGGCGGAATGCGCGGCTTCTCGCGCATTTCGAGCGAATCGTTCAGCGGGGCGGCTGTCATTTCCAGTGTTTGCAAATGGACGCTGTTTCTGTGCCGCTGCAGCTGGCCGGCGGTTATTTGCGTCATGTAGCTAACAGGTGTAGAAAATACGAATAAACTGGGGTGAGCAGGTGTGAGAAAAGAGACGGAAACGGTTTCGCCTGGCGCACACTCGGCGAAAGGACAGGCGCAATATAAAAGTACAGAGGAGGAATACAGAGCTGGCCAGTTGGGAAGGAGAGCAGCAAAAAACGAATGCCAAAAAAACTCCTCTGCCGCGCCCAATCAAGCCAAGCCCTTGTGCCTTGGCACACTAAGCCCACCTATCTTTGGCCACTGTGGCGCCGCGCTCTACGGGTCCGCGAAGCAGCACTCGCGCAGTACCGCGCAGCTTACCTTGTCGGGGGATTAGTAGCTGGGCAGCTGGCGGATATGCGTGCAGGGTATGCGTGCAAGGTATGCGTGCAGGATATGTGTATGTGGGAGACTGGTGAACGATGATAGCAGGTGCTTTGTGGTGGTGGCAGCGGACTGTCGCCCAGCACATGTCCGCCCTGTCGGATTTTATGCCGGGTGAGGGGCGACAAGGCCGTGCTCTGGGCACCATCAGCGCACATCGCGAAGGTCACAGCCTAGGCCGTGAGTAATAAACATGAAACCACTGGCGATTTCACATTGCCACACGGCGTCCAGCAGCCCAGGAAATTATCTGGGGAACTTGCACAGCCGTACGAGGCTGGCTTTGGGACCAGCACCATCAAGTAGCAGAATCGCAAAACATGCCGTACTGGCAGAACAAGATTATACATCGCCAATAGCCTGCCCAGCGTCGCTTGCAAAGTACATCCGTATAATATAATTTTCAGCATGCTGACAACCACAAAACGCGTGCAGCCCGCCTATCCCTCCTGGCCAAAGTCATTGGTAAGCTCTATCTGCTTGCTCAGATCGGCCTCGTTGACTGTCGGGCGACTGTTCTTGACAGCCTTCAAGAAATCAGACAGCGTCAGATCGGGGCTCCACCGGACCCTACGAAGGCTGGCAGGCACAGTGCATGTGCGCAGTGCCAGCCGCCCAGCCCCATACAGGCTCTGGCAATGAGTGGCTCGAGGCATGATCACGAGGAAAATCAATCAAGAAAGCGATTACCAAAAGGAGGCGATTTTGATTTTTTTGCGGTGTATCAAATGGCCATGTTCGGCCAGCAGACTCAAGTGCAGCCTCTTTTTCTCCAATTTTATTTTACAACAGGTACGCATCGAAAGCACTGGCGATTTAGCTGATGGATTCGAGGGGACGGAGTCGGAGTATGCGCAGCGAGCGTGATGGATACGTCTGCACAGAATGGATCCGGCGCACAGGCAGCAGCCAATTCGGAGGATTTCCTGGTTCTGGCATTTGGGCTAATTCGAAATTCCGCACGGCTGGTGCTGCATGTTCCTTGTATAGGTTGGAAACAAACGTAGTCAAACATGGGTAGAGTTATCAGAGCTCAACGTAAGGGTGCCGGCTCCGTTTTCAAGTCGCACACCCACCGTCGCCAGGGTGCCGCCAAGCTCCGCGCCGCTGACTACGCCGAGCGCGAGGGTTACATTCGCGGTCTGGTTAAGGAGATCATCCACGATCCTGGACGTGGCGCTCCCCTGGCTAAGATTCAGTTCCGCGACCCGTACCGCTTCAAGACTCGCACTGAGCTGTTCATCGCCACTGAGGGTATGTACACTGGCCAGTTCGTGTTCTGCGGCAAGAAGGCGCAGCTCGTTGTCGGCAACACCCTCCCGATCGGTGAGATGCCCGAGGGTACCATCATTTCCAACATCGAGGAGAAGCCCGGAGACCGCGGCACTCTTGCTCGCACCTCGGGTAACTACGCCACCATCATTGGCCACAACCACGACGAGGGCGTCACCCGCGTCAAGCTGCCCTCGGGCAACAAGAAGGTCCTGAAGTCTGGCTGCCGCGCTACCATTGGCATCGTCGCCGGTGGCGGTCGTATTGACAAGCCCATCCTCAAGGCTGGCCGTGCCTTCTTCAAGTTCCGTGCCAAGCGTCACTCGTGGCCTCGCACTCGTGGTGTTGCTATGAACCCCGTCGATGGTCCCCATGGTGGTGGTAACCACCAGCACATTGGTCACGCCTCGACCATTGCCCGCTCGGCCGTCCCTGGTCAGAAGGTTGGTCTCATTGCTGCCCGCCGTACCGGTCTGCTCCGTGGTACCAAGAAGCTCAAGGATTAAGCGTAATCTTGCTTTTTGTGCCGCACTTACCCCCTGTGAATCACAAGCTGTTTTCTGTCATTGGAGAAATATATACTGGTTCACGTCAAATGTCTCTTTTCGGTAATGTGCGCTACTTATCGAAGGGGCTGCGTCCTGCTGTGTGATCCAGTCAGGCCAGCGCGTGTATGATACGAACAAATTTGCCCATTTGGGGTAGGCTACATATTGATTTCGACTGCGATGTCTGTACGCACGGTAGCACTGCTTTCAGCTTCAGAGTAAACTATCTATTGTGTTCATTGCTGCAATTGGTGATGTGTGCTCGTCTGCTGACTTGACGCCTTTAGGTGTGTGGATGGTTTCTTTTTAGCTAGTGCTGTTTCAAGTGGGACTTGATCGTTATCGGGTACCCGTGCCATAAGAGAATAAGTGCATCCAAATACCTGGTTGTATCCAAGTAAATCCAACTCACTAATACTGGGGGATAGTTGTGGTTCACCTGGAAGGATTGTGTCAGGCTCTATGCTTGGTCCAACTAGGACTTCATAATCGGTCTCAGTAAGATGAAGTTCAGCATAAACCAATTATGCACTGCGTAACTGATCAGGCCATAGCTGTGGTATTGCAGCTGAGCCTTTAGATGATATTGCTAGGGGCTTGACTGCCTCAACGATATAAGCGATTTATCTATTGACAGTTGGTGATCCAACGAATTGTCCAATGGCAGTGGATTGTACCTATCCCACATCCAGTGGATTAATGCCTATGCTTCGCACTTGTCCAACATCAGAAGGCATTGTACCAATGTCTTAGTATTCCATCTCACCAACAATACTAGTGGCCATGTCATGACCTTCTGGGACTGTTAGCCTGGTATTCCCATCTGTCAGTGGAGCATATACAGAGGAGAACAATAACAGATCGTTATTAGGAATATGATAGTTATTTGGATAATTAGATCTGATGTTCAAATTATCTCTACCTAGTTTACCTAACTCATGGAAGTTGCTATTATCATCTGGATAACTGGGATCAATATTGAAGTTGTTATTGCTGTCATCAATGGAGATCAGTCAGAATTGGTTAGCTATTTAATAATTATTAATAATTATTAATATTTTCTTGTTCAGATGCCAAATATGGTGCTTCTCTGAAACCCCCTTTGGCATCCTGAAAAATTTCAGTTGATTTCTTGTGACCCAACCTCTATCTCAGTAGAAGCATATTAATTGTGTATCAACTGAAATTTTTCAGGATGCCAAAGGGGGTTTCGGAGAAGCACCATATTTGGCATCTGAATAAGAAAATAATAAAAATATTAATAATTATTAAATAATTAACCAATTCTGACTGATCTCCTTAGCTTACCCTGATCTCATTACTGCTCAGTAGTTGTTTGGTCCTGTAGTGCTGTAGTAGTGTTGGACACTAGTCAATGGGGGTCATTCCAGGACTTATAAATTTTAGTTATTTGCAATTAAGTTAGATAGATATTTGAATAATAGTTTTCAGAACTATTTTTAGCTACTAGATATTTTTGGAACAGATAATTATAATTGTTGTGTCCAAAATGTTTTTGTGTGTATAATTGATTTTAAAAATACAAATATTTTTTTTGCCATTTCACCCAAACTGCTATCAGCATCTTAGAAAAGTTTCAGTGAACATAATTTCAACCAGAAAGAAAAACCTTTGCATATTTGGGGTTAATTATCATTGGGCAACAAAAGTCAATATCTCAATAGATGTGGCTAAGCAACCACAAGGAAATTATGTTCACTGAAACTTTTCTAAGATGCTGATGGCAGTTTGGGTAAAATTTTTATTTCACTGAAATTGCCTATAGTTTCAACATGTATAAATAGTTGTTGTGCAGATAACTAGCTCTGAATGACCTCCAATTGGCAACATAATTAGTCCTAAATCAGCAAGTTACTGTGAGGAAAATCCTAACTAGATAACCCACCAATTATGTGACATTGAGCTTCTCTCTGAAAGATCTTTTCCTTTTTTCCTTTTCTTTATCAGTTTAACTGCTTAGTATTTTTCTCATTTCATAATTTTAAAACTTTGTACACTGAGCGGCAAAATTGAGTCACAAAAATCAAAATCATCGAAAATCTTAATTTATTTCTCAGAACGACGTTCATTGAATATGATAAGATTAAATCATGGTGTATGTCATGCACTAATCTATTTCATGTAGTTATGTGCTTATCACTCTTGAAATAAGCGAGAAATTGACTTTTTAAAAATATAAATTTTTGACTCAATTTTGCTCACAAAATTCGTCGATTTTTTTCTCACTAACTAGCATAGACACCATAGGTTTTTTTGACTGCAGCGATACGCACAGGCATCGAGTTCACTACCCATGAATAAACGGTTTCATTTACTTACGTATATATAATTTCCTTGACCAATGCAACGTAGGTGCCAAAAACGATGAATTTTGGCCTTTATCAGATCATACTCATATTGAAGCCCTATATGTGAGTAGCGCATCATATCTAGGGAACTACACTGATCATCATACAGTAGAAGCAGTATTCATATCTAGCCAACTGGTAGCCTAATTTGCCATTTATATGATGATGAATACTTTGGACATAATCTTTGCACTCTCCTACTGCTTATCATAGGTATGTAATCAAGGTATGTTTTATATCATCATATATACACTGATCAGTATGTCACATCCCCTTCTACTAAGGAAGCAATAGCCTTAGCTGTATAGAGATACGCTACTCTAAACTCAGAATCTACTTTTTCTATTGTTCATAGATTCTGGTTTTCTTTTTATTTTTGGCAGAATAGAGTATATTCATTCAGATATTTCATTCTCAGTGTCACCTGTGGGGCATGTGCTTTGTATAGCAAGTACATTTGATTTGATCTATTATGTATTTGATCGGAAGGAGCTGCTTAAAGAAGGATCAAGAAAGTTGCAAAATTTGAGATTCAGATTAAATGGCTTATCATTAGGCACAGAGGTTACATATGGATATCTCATAGTATAGAGCAGATAGCCACAGTAGTATCCTCTCTACCTATCTATATATTGTTACTATAAAAAATCATGTCATAGAATCACATTGCTTCAATAGAGAGCATAAGTGTAGTTGTGCATCATATATAGTTGATTACTCCCTCAGTGAACTAGCTATCAAACTCATTTCTTGTCATCGTTGAGTACAAATCACGCGAATATCAACTATGCAATCAACATCCATAAGAGTGATGGCAGCGCTGAAACGTTGATCATTTCCTTCATAATTTTTCTTCGCATATTGAATACATGATAGTACTACGTGTAGTTGAGCAACGTTATGAATGAGATGTTAATATTGAAGAGCGAATGCAGAAGAGTTATAGGTAGTGATTTCACACCATTCAAAAAATGATAAGGTATAGAAATAGCACTATGAAGCCAAAGTGAGTCAAATTTTTGCCACTTAAATTTTTCTAGTTTTTTACTCTTGTATCGATATCATACGAAGTACGATGTTTAAAGAACATCTAATGCCATACGTTTATACTATATCAAGCCCCATCGAACATATATCGAATGGAAGTATCTACGTTATCTGATGACGAAGATATAGCATCAAAAAGTTGAAAAAAATTTTTGTGACTCAATTTTGCCGCTCAGTGTATATAATGCCTCAGTTTACTTTAGTTATGAGTCCTATAAGTTCTTTATAACCTCTCACTATGGTGCACCTGTTAAATAGAGCAAACCTTTGCATGTGGAGTAGAAACATTCCAGACATACTCAAGGTATGTGGTTTTGAATATGCTCTTGAAGTTCCTACTATGCTAGCAGTAAGCATGAGGCTGAGTGAGCAGAAACAGCTCAAAGTATGTAACTTGATCCTGTACTGTATGACTGTAAGAGCAGCAGAGATGTTCTAAGAGCATAAGAAGCCTCACAAACTGTGGCAGTGACTTGAGGGGCTGTATGTGGCAATGATAATGATAGATATATGAAATCCACTCTAAGAACTAGTAGATCTAAAGTACAAAGGTGATGTCAGTGCTATGATTAGCCATATTGAGGAAATAGTACAGATTTTGGAGGATAACAAGTTCTCAATGAAGCTGGTAGTTAGGATACTTATGCTGACCTCACTACCTAAAGAGTTTGACAATACAGTGGATAACTTGACTTGTAGTAAAATTGGTGAGCTTAACCTTAGGGAGCTAGAACCAGAGCTGGTTGATATTTAGGCACAGAAGCAGTAAGAGGAGCCAGAGGAAGGGGAAATGACTAGACAAGTGGTAATAGCAGTCAGACCTTTTTGGAGGTCATTCAGAGCTAGTTATCTGCACAACAACTATTTATACATGTTGAAACTATTGGCAATTTCAGTGAAATAAAAATTTCACCCAAACCGCCATCGGCATCTTGGAAAAGTTTCAGTGAACATAATTTCCTTGTGGTTGCTTAGCCACATCTATTGAGATATTGACTTTTGTTGCCCAATGATAATTAACCCCAAATATGCAAAGGTTTTTCTTTCTGGTTGAAATTATGTTCACTGAAACTTTTCTAAGATGCTGATAGCAGTTTGGGTGAAATGGCAAAAAAAATATTTGTATTTTTAAAATCAATTATACACACAAAAACATTCTGGACACAATAACAAATACTAACTATGAAAAAAATAAATAGTAGCAAAAAATAGTTCTGAAAACGATTATTCAAATAACTATCTAACAAAATTGTAATTTACTAAAATTTACAAGTCCAGGAATGACCCCCTTTAACCATACAAGCAGAGACTATTTAATGTGAGCTGCTACTGCAAGTCATATTGCACAACTGGGCATTAGATGAATAAGTACCAAATTGGTCCATCATATAACTGGGTGAGCAGAAATGCCAACCAAATCAGGCAGGGGGAAGTAGATGACTTCTGTTTTTTCATTAGGGATATAAGCCAGGCAGTACTATCAGTGATTGAAATGGTGACCTAGTATATCAACTCTGGCTCAACACTACACCTTATTAGAGATGACAAACTACTATAGGATGCAGTATCAGTAAGGGTTGTGCTTCATATAGCTAATGGTGAGATGATTCACACAGCAAAATGGGGTAAGGTTAGGATCAATATAGATAGCTAGGATGTACTACATAGATTTCAACTGAATGAAGTGTACTATGCACCAAAAGCAATAATAAATCTACTATAAGTGCACCAGCTTACCAAAAAGGGCTGTAAGGTGGAATTTAGCAATGACTGCTGTACAATCTCATCTCCAAAGGGTGTACAGCAATTGAGGGTATAAGTATAAAATAGGCACTACTCATTTGCTATGCTAAGAGGATAAGGGCTAAAGGCTGGTGGCAGTGCATTTATGGTCAAGTCCCAGATACTACTATCAACTTTGTATACTAGATGTGGGCACTGGGATGACAATACTATTATTCAAATGGTCAATAAGGGAGCTTTTAATAGTATAAGTATTATAAATGATATGGATTGAAACACATGTATGATCTGTATGAGTGCAAAGTCAGTGAGTAAGCCACATAGGGAGGCCATTCACAAATATAAAAGTTTAAAGAAACTAAATATCTATTATCAGAATAACCAATTAACAAATAAGAAATCAATTACTAGCAATAGATAAATATATTAAAATACAGAATGTTTAGTAGTGGCCAAAAAGATTCTAGCAACTAGATTAACAAATAAACAAAGATGCCAAATATGGTGCTTCTCCGAAACCCCCTTCAGCATCCTGAAAAATTTCAGTTGATTTCTCGGGACGCAGCCTCTATCTTAGTAGAAGTATATTAATTGTATATCAACTGAAATTTTTCAGGATGCCGAAGGGGGTTTCGGAGAAGCACCATATTTGGCATCTGAACAAGAAACTAATAAAAATATTAATAATTATTAAATAGCTAACCAATTCTGACTGATCTCCTTATAGAATTAGACTTAATCAAAAGCTTCCATTTTAAAACATCATGTTCAAGTCATCAAGTTGTTATCATCCTATTTATAACTATTTTTCTAATACCAAGCAATCATATATATCATCAATTTTAAAAAGAATCAAACCAAGCCATTTTAAAAAATCATAATAAATTCATCAAGTTGTTAGAACCCCATCTGTAATAAATAGATATGCACCAAGCAATCATATATACAATCATTTTTAGAAATAATCAAAATGTGCCATTTTAAAACATCAAATTCAAGTCATCAAGTCATTAGTACTCCATCTGTAATTAATCAATATGCACCAAGCAATCATATGTGTCATCAATTTTAGATTGAAGGAATCGATTTTGAATTTCAACAATAGATGCTTCTAACTCTGCTTTCTGGGGCAAAGTATGTATTGGTTCCACTTGTGTTGACTTACTCTGGGTTATGAGTATCTTTGATTACCCTGATACACATGATGAGTGATGATGATCAATATGTACATCACTGTTTGCTAGCAACTTCTTCATATTATAAAGCAAGCAGCATAACTTCATTTGCATATTGTAAACATTCCTATTCTTTACTCTAACAATCTCCCTGTTTGACAGCCTTTTGAATGTATTGCCTAGTTCTCCAAATGTATTTTCTACCATTGAATGGAATGATCCAAGATGAGAATTTTATTCAGCTTCTGTTTCTGATAAGCTTGTTCCTCTCTGCTTTCTTACTGGTAAACAAAAGTTGTGTAGTCCAAATGTATCCTGCTCTTCTTCCTCAGTCATCTCTTCCAAAATACTTTGTGGATAGCCACCATCAAGCACAATGCAATCAATAGGTGATATGTTCTTCAGCAGCCCTATGTTCTTAATCATTCTTGAGTCTGGGTGATCTCTACAGTCTTCAGTTGGTGAAACAAGTAGAACCATTCCATTCACATCAATGCATACTTGTGTGCGATATCCTGATTTTTTCAGTTTGAATGAATAGAGATCTGGTTTGTATGCTCCATTGTGTAGTGCTCTTGAGTCATGGCCATCTAACATTAGTGTTACATATTTAAAACCTTGTGGATTCTGTATCTTTGCTGCAAAGACTCGTAGTTCTGGAGTTGAAAACATTGTGGAGGTCATTCAGAGTTTGTTATCTGCACAACAATTATTTATACATGTTTAAACTATTGGCAATTTCAGTGAAATAAAAATTTCACCCAAACTGCCATCGGCATCTTGGAAAAGTTTCAGTGAACATAATTTCAACCAGAAAGAAAAAACCTTTGCATATTTGGGGTTAATTATCATTGGGCAACAAAAGTCAATATCTCAATAGATGTGGCTAAGCAACCACAAGGAAATTATGTTCACTGAAACTTTTCCAAGATGCCGATGGCGATTTGGGTGAAATTTTTATTTCACTGAAATTGCCAATAGTTCTAGCATGCATAAATAGTTGTTGTGCAGATAACAAACTCTGAATGACCTCCATTTGCCATCTGAATAAGAAAATAATAAAAATATTAATAATTATTAAATAGCTAACCAATTCTGACTGATCTCCAATCATAAGCATGATCACATCCTAGCAATTCAGCCATAGAGATTGATTCAAGAGAACATGAAACTGAGAACCCATGACTATGTATAGAGAGCAGCCCTGAACCTATGGACTATGACTGGATAAATGATATCCTTATGCTCCCTGTAAGTCATGAATATGTCAATTTTGATCTGTCTAGATATCTACCTCCTCCCCCAAATCTTGACACAGAGATGGAAGAGCTACAGAAGATATCACAGATATCAGATATAGTGCGGTGGACTGGAAATAAACCCAAATCCAGTCCAAAGACACACATAGACATTCCTATGAGTCCAATACTGGCCAATCAACAACTGCATCTGAAGACTCATATCTATGCACCCCTTAGTGCCACAGGAACAGATGAGTCATATTTAAGTCAACCCAAGCATAGATGCAAAGATTCAGTTGGCAAATGTATATATGAAAAGGCTAATAGCTCACATATTCTATCATCAGAAAATATGGATGTTACATTTCCTTATGCTGCTCATAAAGCCTGACTAAGTTGGAGCAAATCTAAAACAGAATGACAATCCAATACCAGTTTAAAAGACATGACATTATCCAGTGAATTATCAGTAGGCCCTTCAGAGATAACTGGATCAACTGCATTCATTCATGGGTTGGCACAATTGTTGCTATATACTGAACATGCATTTGAAGAACAGTGTTATGAAGTGGAACTTGAGGGTCTTCTTACTTCCCATGGAGCCTTATATGCATATGCTTCAGTAGCTGGACTTGAGAGTTATCAATCTGCAATCCTGGGAATGGAAGCAAGCAAATGGCATAGTAGTATTCAATCAGAATTAGACTCCATTTGCAAGAATGAAGTACTACAACTGGTTGGGGGTCATTCCTGGACTTGTAAATTTTAGTAAATTGCAATTTTGTTAGATAGATATTTGAATAATCATTTTCAGAACTATTTTTTACTGCTAATTATTTTTTCATAGTTATTATTTGATATTGTGTCCAGAATGTTTTTGTGTGTATAATTGATTTTAAAAATACAAATATTTTTTTTGCCATTTCACCCAAACCGCTATCGGCGTCTTGGAAAAGTTTCAGTGAACATAATTTCCTTGTGGTTGCTTAGCCACATCTATTGAGATATTGACTTTTGTTGCCCAATGATAATTAACCCCAAATATGCAAAGGTTTTTCTTTCTGGTTGAAATTATGTTCACTGAAACTTTTCCAAGATGCCGATGGCAGTTTGGGTGAAATTTTTATTTCACTGAAATTGCCAATAGTTTCAACATGTATAAATAGTTGTTATGTAGATAATTATCTCTGAATGACCTCCGTTGATCACCCCTGACATGAGAGAGTTCTCAATACACGTTGGGTATTTGTGAAGAAGATTCCTGCTGACAATGCACCTCCAGTGTATAAAGCATGTCTTGTAGTACAGGGGTACCTACAAAGACCAGGAAACTATGGAGATATTTTCTCTCCTGTGGTTCAGTCTAAGTCAATTCGAATTCTACTAGCAATTGCTGCTCAGCAAGAGCTCCTAGTTCATTGTATGGATATCAAGACTGCCTTCCTAAATGGCCATCTAGAAGAGGATGTATACATTAATATTCCTGATAGGATATTGGGAGACTAGTCAATGACTGTATACAAAGGAGGCCATTCACAAATATAAAAGTTTAAAGAAACTAAATATCTATTATCAGAATAACCAATTAACAAATAAGAAATCAATTACTAGCAATAAATAAATATTTTAAAATACAGAATGTTTAGTAGTGGCCAAAAAGATTCTAACAACTAGATTAACAAATAAACAAAGATGGCAAATATGGTGCTTCTCCGAAACCCCCTTCGGCATCCTGAAAAATTTCAGTTGATACACAATTAATATGCTTCTACTGAGATAGAGGCTGCGTCCCGAGAAATCAACTGAAATTTTTCAGGATGCCGAAGGGGGTTTCGGAGAAGCACCATATTTGGCATCTGAGTAAGAAACTAATAAAAATATTAATAATTATTAAATAGCTAACCAATTCTGACTGATCTCCAAACTCAACTGATTGCTATATGGCCTCAAACAAGCACCTCACACATGGAACAAATGACTTTGGGACCACCTAGTAGAGAAGATGAAGTGCAAACCATTCAACTCAGACTACAGGGTGTTCATATATGGTGACAACAAATCATACTGCTTCATTGCAACATATGTGGATGACCTCATATTGGTCGCAACTGATAGCAAGGTCCTAGGACAAGTAAAGTTAGCTCTATCCACAGAATTTCAGATGAAAGACTTGGGTGAAGCAAACAGTATTCTCTGAATCAATTTGCATTGAAACAAGAATGGAATCTTGATTAACTAATGAAGTGCAATCCAACTACTATTAGATAAATTCGGTATATCAGACTGCAACCCTTGTCACCTGCCCCATTGCACATCTGTAGACTTGGCTCCAGCTGAGCCACATAAGAAGTGGATGGATCCTACCAATTACTGATCTATTATTGGTTCCCTACAGTACTTGGCAATAGTTACTCATCCAGATATATCACACATTGCATCATCCCTGGCTGCTTATAATCAGGACTTGATGATAAAGCACCTAGGGATGGCCAAGCGAGTATTGAGATAACTTAAACACACAGTAAATATGGGTATTGAATATCACAGAACAGATGATTTACAGCCAGTCACATATGCTGATGCCTCATATAATCTTCGGACACCAAAGCAGATGATTCTGGGATATATGGTGATAATTGCTAGAGGAGCAACATCTTGGAAATTGACCAAAAGACTCGGTGCTATGCCTCAATTGTCTACAGAAGCAGAAACAATTGCAGTAAATAGTGGTATCAAAGAACAGAAGTGGACAACAGACTTCTTACTGGAAGCTGGATTCCTATGCAAATGTTCAGTGGTTCTCTGCAACAATACTGCAACTATATCCAATATCTGAAATAGAAACACAACTGATAAGAACAAACACTATGTTCAAGAACTAGAGCTACCAAATCAGATGTTTGAAGACAAGTTGATTGGTATCAAGCACGTATCTATGGATGACCAATACACTGACTTCCTGACAAAGAAATTGTCTCAATCAGCATTCGATCAATGCAAGCTGGGACTCGGAATGACAGTAATATCATAAAAGGGGGGTATGTCAGAATTTATGATTCTGTGAGTTTCTACAATTTTTCCTTCCTAATTGAATCCATGTGTCATCATAGCCATGACTCCGATCCTCCTTTGGGATCCCTCTCTTCTCCACTCTCCATTTCTTTCTTATAATTACTTTCTCTTCTTATTCATAATTCTTTCTTTTTTCTGGCTGCTTACAGCCCATTCCTTATACAATACAATAATTGTCTGGCTGACTCAGCCCAAACCACTCTCTGAAACTCGTGACCTTCTAACACATGGCATACATCATGAATCAATTTTGTCAAGAGCAATGCATATTGCTATGAGAAATTATTTATGATTTCTGAGGATTTTCATTTTTGTGACTCAATTTTTCTGCCCAGTATATTTTACTATTGCATCCATATCATACAAATTACAATGTTTAGAGAACATTTGACTACATATGTTTATACTATGTCAAGCCCTGCCAAACATATGTTGAATAGAAATATGTATGTTATCTGATGACGAAGATGTAGTAACTAAAAGCTGAAAAAAAAATTTTGTGACTCAATTTTGCTGCCCAGTTTATTAGCTCAAAATGACACTGGCAGGTGTATCATATCATATGACAACATCTTCGCTATAAATATGATATTTAGATTGGCAAGACACATGAGCTGGAATTCCACTACTGGCGCTTCTTTGATGGGATCATGATCGGATCGATGATCTTGCCCATCTTGGTCATGACACGCGGCTTGACCATCTTGGAGTGTGACCGGGTAGTATTCCACTCCCGGCCCAGCGGCGCTTGCAGGGTCTCCTCGAACTGCTCGGGATGTGTAGTACGGGAAAGGCACATTGTCGGCATAATACTTTGTGGATGCCTTGGCCAGTTTCTGGTTGATGATGACCTTGCCGAGTTTTGCGTCCTTGCGCTTGTCTTTCTCTATTCCCGAGTCCTTGGCAGCTGGGCGGGTGATCTTGCGCGACTTGGTCCTGGTGCCACCCCAGGAACCCCACCCAGGCATCGAGATGACCTCATCCTTAGGCGCATCCTCCTCCATCGCTTCGATTTTCTCCTGTTCAAACTCCTCAGCCACAACGTCGTCCTCGGCAAACGCCTGCTCAACCAGCTCGCGCTGCGAGAACACAGCTGGCTTCTTGCTGTCATCGACAGACTCAAGGCGAATGCCCTCGGGATCCTCGTCCTTCGCTGTCTCCACCCTTTGTCTCAGGCTTGTTGAGGATGAGCGTCTGGTTGACGTCCAGAAGCACGTCGTCTGAGCCGCCAGCAGATTTGACTGCCTGGCGCTTGGCGCGCAGGCGGGCAGACAGCTTGTCCAGCTTGGTGCTGTCGCGCGACAGACCGGCCATCTTGCCGCTGCGGTTGGACGCCCCGTGCGCGTCCTCGTCGGCCAGCCACGGGTTGCTCGTATCAGCAGCAGTGGTCTTGTCACCAATGGTCATGTTCTCCGCCAGACGCACACTATGGCCAGCCGCCGTAGGTCACTTGGCCAGCGCTGTTAAGACGCACGCGCTTGACATCCTCCTCCTCCACTGAATTCTGGTCATCTTCCGCAGGCCGCTTCTGAATGCCACCGCCAAATACCATTCGGCCAGGTGCAGTAGCTCGCAGTCTTACCAGGGGCGTTTTTGTGCAGTTTGATGGCCTGGCCATCTTCATCGACGTCAGCCTCGAGGGACTCGAACTCATCGCGGATCGCCCTGGCATCGCGCTCTGCCTGCTGGCGCTCGCGCTCCATCGCATTCTGCATAAACTTCATCGCAAATAGGCCCTTACGCGGCTGTGCCTCCTCGCTGTCGCCCTCAATAACCTTGCTGAGCTCCTTCATGGCCTTGTCCTTGATCTGGCTGAACGTGCCATCGTTGTCCGAGAAGTCCGATGCGCCCTCATCATCATCCATACCGGCAGCCTGGCGCTGCTCGTAGTCGCTAACATCCTCATCGTTATCGAGATCATAGATCTTGCGCTTGAGAGACTCGTGCTGGTCGAGCTGCTCCTGCAGGGCCTTGCGCACGTCGTCGTTTCCGTGAGCATGCTTGGCCGCAGCCTTCGCCCACTTGCCAGTGTTTTTGTGTCTCAGTGACATGCGCTCTTCAGCACGGCTGCGTGCCTGCCGCTCCATAATCATAGCATACATTTCCGGGTCGTCCTCGCGCATCTGCTCAAGCGCCTGGTCCTTGGCCTTCAGCTTGTCCTTCTTCAGAATACCGCCGATAAGCCTTGCTCTTGATCTTGGCTGAGCGTTTCGCCTTCTGCTCAGTACGGAACATCAACTCGCGCATAAGCCGCAGCTCGCGCCGCCTGGCCTTGACCTCCTCCGGCGACAGTTTCTTGAGCTCCAGCTCCTCGTATTGCTGTTGCTGCTCGTCCGTCATTCCGCTGTCGGCCAGCATCTGCGAGATCTGCATCTCCATGTCAGTCTTGCTATGGCCGGTTGCCACTAGCGCAGTGCTGTTGACAACAGGCGCGCTCGGCGCATTCAGCGGGAACGACAGGTGCTCTGCTGATCGATTTGCGTCCACCGTCGGTTGCCATTCCGAAATGCTCTTTTTGGTCTTCGCATAGGCTACCTTGCGGTCCACCTGGTCTTGCAGACGCTTAGCCAGCGGCGCCGCAACCACACCTGACCCGCGCTTGTTAGCAGCCTTATCAAGCCTGGCAACCTTGTCACGCAGTACTCGGATCTCCTTGGCCGCCTTTCCCTCGCCGCCCTCCTCATCCTCAGAATCCGGTGTGGCGAAGGAGCCCAGAAGATCATCGATCCCCAGCGACACGCCCTTTGTAGACAGGCCACTGCCAATGGCATGCTCGTCCTCAGCTCGCGAGTCGCCGGTTTCGCTGACAAACCTGCGCTTAGGTGCACGTGCACTGATTGATGTCACAAAACCATCGAGCTTGCTGAGCTTGCTGAGCTTGCTGTCCTCGTCTTCCTCTGACATCTCGCTGTCTGACTCGGAGTCGATCTGATCAAGAACATCGTCTGACATATCGTCGTCCTGCCTGGGCTTGCTCGAAGCCGGCTCCTCATCTGACTCGGCACCGCCATCCAGCATCTCAGAGAGGTCGACCAGACCCTCAAAGTCCTCGTCCATTTCCTCCACATCACTCATGTCCCTGTCCTCATCCGTCGTCTCCATCGCTGTCCTCAGACAGATCAAACGTGACTCCCTTGGCCGTCTTGGTTTTATACGAGCCAAACTGCTCTTCATCGCTCTCATCAAACGCGCCGTCGCTGTCGATATCCTCGTCGTCTGAAGAGTCGATTTCGTCAACCTCGTAGTCACGCACATCAACACGCTCCAGCTGCCGCCGGTTTGTCAGCTGCTCTGCCTCAGAGTTGTCGGAGGCTTCGAAGACGTCGTATGATGATTGCGGTAGGTCTGATTTCTTGCCCTTCGTGCTAGGCTTGGTCTGCTTTTTTGTGGGATGCTACACGCCTGTTCATGGCCTTCCGTTGTCCACCCATTTTGCGAAGTTTTATGTAAAAATGCAGGCTACAGATACAAAGTTGAACTTTTTGCCAATATCTGAAAAAATCGCATATTCAGCAAAAAAAAAATCGTAATCTGATCAATTGCGATCACCAGCAGATCTATATTTTGGAACTGCTCCAATGCAACCCTGGCATTTGAAGAAAACCCATTGCAACTCCGGTTGCCGACGAGGACGGTAGCCGCCCTATATTCTATACAGCAGATGAAGGCTGTTAAGGTGTAAAAAGCTGATGATTTTTCAACAACGGGACCTGTCTGAAGTGGCCATTTTATAGCCACTTCAAAAGGGTGCCATAGAAACAATGAACTAGGAAAGGAGAAAGAGGGTCTTCGCGGACAGGAGATTAATCGTCATGACACCTACAGGGAATTGTAGAAGGCAGGTACTAGTAATTGACGATATCTCCTTGATCTGGAATGAGGAATATGTCAATCATGTAACGTCGATGGGGAAACTGGTTTTCGACACCACACGCATAGCAGAGGCAGAGCTTTCCAAGCACTGCTGCCGGACCCTTAGCCCAGCAAAATTCCGTGCCTACGTTACCGCCCATGCATCTGTGCGGTGTGTCCTAGCACCGTTTTATGCCAGCACGATGACAGCACGAAGGTTACCAGAGCAGCAACCCACTAAGTCAAACAAGCAGTACCAGAGGCGCTGTAAGAACCTATCCGGGTGTCGGGACCAGTCCCAAGGTGTACCCGCTTCACCTGCAAGCTGCGCCTTGATTCATTCATGAACCAGGCCCGTGCAGACCACAGGCTTGCCGCAAAACTCCGGAGCAAGTTCGGCCCAGACCCAGTGCTGATCATGGGCAATTGGAGTGCGCCAGATGGCCCAACACCATGCGCCGAATTCGTGGCAAGGGATGGCGCGACAAGTTCAAGCACCATGGCTTTGAAGTCTATCTGATCGACGAATTCCGGACATCGTCGATGTGCCCGTTCTGCTGCGAAAAGTCGCTGCAGACATTCCGGCATGTTCCCAATCCGCGGCCCTACCAGAGATCGAAGAACCCAACTGTGAAGTGCCATGGCCTTCTCCGCTGTACAAGCGAGTCATGTAAGCGGGCCATAGCACAATACAGGCGAGCCTATTCGTCTCGGCTCTTGAACCGCGATCTCGCAGCAGTTCTAAACTTCAGGACTCATTTTCCAGTCACTCTGTGATTCAGGCGGTATTCCTGAACTGGTTCCGTCGCTTTACGGCCATTGCTACCGATGCTTCTGGCACCACCCCTGCAACAAAGAACCTGCGCAAGAGGCGTGCAGCAGCGGAACTGCCAGCAGCTGAAACGCCTGCGCTGAGCAGGCCACCAAGGTGGGAGATGTCCATGATCGACTATTGCACCAACAACCATCCGACACGTTCAAATGACCGGTTCGCCGTGATGCCTCTTATCGACGTGTCAACCCATGCTGGACTAGCAACCGAGCTCGCATCGCGAGCAGAGCAATTCCAGTACTACCATGATTCGATTGCTGAGAGTTGTGGTTGTGAACTACCCCTCCCTCAGGCTCAATACCTGGCTGTGACGTCAATAGCGTCGCACCTGGCATTACGCAAACGGTTCAAAAAATATGGAAGCTGCTTCATATTATCGCTAGGCTTACCTAATCGCATCAGCATCAACCACATGCACAAACACACTAGGTCCAGTCACCAGCCGACAGTCATGGTGGCAACTGCTCAGGATTCTATTGTATTCAAACAGCTGTTTTATTGCCCATCTTGCAAATGGAAATTTATTGAAGCCATGAAATTTCCGCGCTGCTTAGAGGTTCAGCTTGGTGCGGCGCCAGTGACGACGCTTGGCGTTGTAGCTACAAAAATGAAACCAGGGGGTGTACAGAATCAGCAAAAGGTGTGTGACGTCAGGCGCGTGGCTGTTCACAGCTCAAACCCTCAGTATCTCCCAAGCACTTACCGGATGGTGGTGTCCGACTTGAAGCGGAACCAGGTGGGGATGGGCCGGTTCTGCTTGGCCTTCTTTCCCAGCTTGCGCTTGATGTTGAACGTCTTCTGCGAGGGCTACAGAGGGGAGCAGAAGGAAAAGACAATGCATTTGCAATTAGTGCCCGCTCTGAGCTCTGTCTGATCGCTAATGGTACTGGCCAGTCGTCCAGCACAGCCAGTCGTTGGCACAGCACTGAATTTCGGACCCGCCGGCATTCATGAGAACATGAATTTCCACAGGAGGCATTAACCACTCTGCGGTGTTTCGCAGCTTCCTTCGCATTAAGCTCATTCTCAGATTCCAGGAATTCCGGACCAGTCCAGCATAGTCATCGGCACCAGAAAATATCTCTGCGACATCCATCATGATCCGGAACCTCCTCGCAAAGATTTCCCAGGTTCGCATCCAACGTAGCGAGTTTCATACCATTTTTGATAAAACGAACTAGAGTTGTTTTGAAAAGAAGGAAATCTACCGTCTCAGCAGTGGATGCGCCTTCGCAAAAGCAGCAAAGACGCGCGTGAGCGGGCGAGCCACATTTCAGCAGCAGGTAATTCGATCAGCATCCTAGTGATCACTGATTTTAGCTGCAATCGGATCACCAGATCGCTAGCGGCGCCAGGATTCTGGTACTGCGCACTGCAGATGTAAACTGTGTCAGGTGCCACTTGAGCGAATAGAGGCATAGCTCCACAAATCGGACTGGGATGATTGCTTGTGGACTACCAAGCACGAGAAGCAGACATTGCTATTAATGAACAGCGCAGCCCCCATTTCAGAAGCTCATTCCCTAGTGAAACGTGCTCTCCAGTGTGTTGTCCTTTGGCGAGTCCAGTAGTTATGAGCTTTATGGAATGAATATATTTAGATATTGCTGAGGAGAAAAAGTGAGGATAGGGCCGTTCCAGTCCACAATGTTTATATACGTGAGGGTCTGGACCTGTACATGGTGGTGAAGGGCATGGAGTTGCCTGAATGGCAATACAATGTGTTGTGAGATGGAGTGCACTAGGTAACAGCAGGAGATAATACGGTGCTGTAGCTGTAAAAGCAGAAATGAGAAATGGCAATATATTACAAAGATGTATTTCCCTGGGCATATCGGTGGAGGCAATTGTGTTAACAGTGAATACAGCTGTTGTGTCTCGGATACGATACACTTAGATAGGCAGCCTCCTGCAACTGTCTGGAATACGTCTACTCTCCAGGCACCTTTCCACGACGTATATTGAACGTATGAAATATGCTATATGAAAGAAGGAAGGAGGAATCGCCAGGTGAAAAGGGCGAGTGCCCGTCTAAGTAGTGGTGCCAGTCGCTTGGAATAGTATGGATGGCCATTGTGGTCTAAAGGACTTGATCCGTGGTTCCTGAAATCATGTGGATTTGGAACCACAATAACTATTGCATATGCGGATAGCGCATTAGGACATTTCTTGTGGTGTTTGCGACCGTAGCCGGTCTGCAGAGAAATATTGGCCAAACGGGAAAGGTAAGTATCTGGTAATCAACGGTGTTATTCAGTAATCTGGCGTATAAGCAAACGCCGTCAGGATAAGAGATGGTAGAGAGTTGGACAGCAAATTGAAGCGGCCAAGAGTGAGAGTATTGCATACAGAGTGCCTTAGTGCCCAATCTTGAAATACCGCATTAGCTTTACCTAGGCATTTGGGAGTCTGCCTAGATATTAATTAACATTTAAAGCAAGTCAACGGAGGGCCATATACATCTACATGGAAATATATGTGCGCACTGCATCACATGTGGCACACTCTGGTATAGTCTACGCGCCACCATGGGCAGCAGCGCTTCTGCCTGCCATAAGGGCCGAACAAGCAAATCACTCAGCCACACTTTTCAGATGTGCACGGGCATTTGTCAGAAATGACTGTTCATCTCATTATTTAATCGCAAATGACAAGCCAACTCCTGACAGAAACAGCAGACGCCGACCACGCCCGGGATGTGGTAGAAACAGCGTTTCGATGCCTTTGCATGCGCGCAGATACAAACATCGACGGCTTGCTGGAAATATCGTCGGTGGCATTGCACCAGCGGTGGGATTTCCTTGGACCAGTGAGCAGCGCCATTCAAGAGCTCAACGACGAGTTTTTCGCCCAGGTTGACCGGGCACTCCAGTGGCAGGATGATGGAACGGGCAGATACATTCGAAATGTTCTTGCTGATCGGCTGAAGGAGAGCTCTGGGATCCCGAGCTTCTTGTCGCCCAGCAACGTTGCATACATGCGCAAGGACCCAGATACTATCCATGCGATTATTCCGTTTGCAAAAGTTTCGATGGACAATGCGTCAGAGATGACATACGTTGCTATTTTGTCGTGGGAGGATGGGAGGTGGACATACTTTAATACCTGCGAATTTGGGAGCGGCTCGCATGAGCTTGCAGAGTTTGCAACTACGGTCTCCGAGGCTGACACCGACTACCTGCAACGAGTGCACGCTCTCACCGAAAGCCTGCAGGGCGACGAGGATGGCGACTACTGGGACCAGTTCCCGCAGCCAGACAAGCCAGTCGAGAAGAAGCCAAAGAAGCAGGCTGATACCCAAGCAGCAAGTGACCAAGGCTCCGAGGACGACTACTGGAACATGTACGACAGCGACGAGAATGATGACGATGAAGAGCAGGAGCCAGAGCGCGCAAGCGTGGATCTGGAGCAGACCTCGGGTGGCTCAGATCTGGCCGAGGCTAATGCTCCGCTGTTGCACGAGTCGCTGCAAGACATGCTGGCTGGCTCGGCAAAGCTGGCCAGAGGAATCGGCATGAGCAAGGATGAGTTTCTGGCTCTGGCTGCTGCCATGTTCTAGTGGTTGTTGAATATAGTATTGCTTTTGAGGGGCTGTTGAGCTATTCTATGCGGACCTATTTCTTTGTGGCATCGCCGCTGGTGTCAAGGTGGTGGATGCCGTTGGCGTCCTCGGGGTGCGAGTCGAGCCACTCGATCAGCCCATCCATGCCCATCTCGCCCTTGCGGCCGGTTGTGCCCTGCAGGGTGTTGCGGAGCTCGACTGTGCGCCTGGCGACCTCGGGAGACGTTGTGACGCCGCCGTTGGAGTTCATGTCGTCGACAAGCTCGCCGAGAGTGCGGTGGGACACCGACAACAGGTTGGTGAACTCGTAAATCTTCTTCTCCAGGTTGTGGTAGTGCACAAACGACTCTGCCTCGTGGAACAGGGCCATCAGCGCCTGCACCTTCTGCTCGTGGCGGCGCTCCTGCGTCAGCTCGCGGTTGCGCGTGCGCTCCTGGGCCCGCAGCTCATTGGCCTCCTTCGGGATGGAAATGGACACGCGCGGCGGAGCCAGCTTGTAGCCGGGCTGGCCAGCGCTGGGCTTGGCAACAGCCTCGTTGGCGCTGTCCTCCTCGGAGGCCTCGACTGCGGGCTGGTGCTGATCAGCGTGCGACTCCTCGCCGGGGATGTTGCTCAGCAGAGTCTTGCCCTCCGAGTTCAGCACGTTCTCAGCAGACAGCGGGTCCGAGCGCACCTTGGTGTCGTACTCGATCCACTCCTGGCGCAGCTTTTCCTTGCGATTGGCCTGGTACCTCTTCACCCGCTCGAGGCTCTCCTCCTGCTGCTCGCGCTTCACCTGCTGCTTAACCAGGTGGTCGTACTGGTAACTGAAGCGCATCTCGCGCAGCTTCTGCTTGTACAGACGCGTCGCGTTCTGCTCCGGGTTGGACGAGCGGCTGTCAATCTGCTTCTTCGTGGTCGGCACAGCCAGGTCGCTAGCAAGCTGCGGTTTAGGCGGCTCGCGTGGCTCCGCTGGCCAGTTTCTGGGCGGCGGGAACCCTGGCGCGTAGCCCTGCTTGCCAGGAACGTAGTTCTTTGATCCCTGGTATTCGCTGCTGGCCGCGTCTGTGCTCTCGGCACGGGTCTGCATGCAGGGTGTGGCACGGGCGATTCCCTTCAAGGCGCGCGCCTGAATTGACAAGGCTCCGCGAGACAGCATTATCTTTGATTGTTGAAATTTGGAGGAAGTGGAGACGGCTGTCGGAAGATATGCTGAGGCAAAGCTGCCCCGCCTGTTGATCGGCCCGCTCGAAAAAAGATCGATATGTTGATATGGAGATCTGATTGGTGTGATTGGTAATCCATAGATCAGTGCTGCTCTGAATTCCCGAGCATTGCAGGCTGCATGGGGGGCTGGCGACTGATGCGAAGTGGATATCGACAGTCGAGGCGATGGCCGCTGGCCCCGAAAATGTGCCAAGACATGGCACCAGGTGTCCTATGGTGGGTCTGCACGTACATGCCAACGGGTGCCAGACCGGAGCCAGGGCAGCTGCTTACAATAACCCTCGGCTGCTGAATGCTGATTTCCATCACCGCAGATCTGCAATGCCCGTAAGCCCAAGCGCTGCACCAACGTCATCAGCTTGCGTATAAAAAGCGGACGCGCCAGCCAGCCAGCAGGGCCTGGATTGTTTTGCCAAGACGCCCCGTCTTTCTCTCTTCGCTCTTCTGTGCTGATACTTTTTGAATTCCCAACCCGTCCCTTTTCCCAATGAACTCTCTTGTTTCTCTCGCTTCGCGAAATGCGCGTCTGGCAACGCAGCGGACGCCGGCGCTCCTGGGCGCACTGTGCCAGTCACGGCTGATGGCAACGAGCTCGCAAGGCCTCGGCTTCCGCAACAGCAGCAATGGCGGAGCGCGCGGCTCGCAGCTCGGGCAGCCAACCCGCCGCCGCCTGCCGTCGAACACAATTGTCAAGTTTGTGCCCCAGCAGGAGGCGTGGGTGGTCGAGCGCATGGGCCGGTTCTCGCGGATCCTTGACCCCGGGCTGGCCATCTTGGTGCCATTCCTGGACCGCATCGCCTACACACAGTCGCTGAAGGAAGTGGCAGTGGAGATCCCGACGCAGAGCGCCATCACGCAGGACAACGTGACGCTGGAGCTGGACGGCGTCCTGTACTACCGCGTCATGGACCCGTACAAGGCGTCGTACGGCGTGGCCGACGCCGAGTTCTCGGTCGCGCAGCTGGCGCAGACAACTATGCGTGCGGAAATTGGCCAGATGACGCTGGACACGACGCTGGCCGAGCGCAACACACTGAACCACAACATTGTCAACGCCATCAACGCTGCGTCCGAGTCGTGGGGCATCGCCTGCCTGCGCTATGAGATCCGCGACATCCACCCGCCGTCCAAGGTCGTCGAGGCCATGCACTCGCAGGTCTCAGCCGAGCGCAGCAAGCGTGCGCAGATTCTCGAGTCCGAGGGAGCGCGCCAGGCAGCCATCAACGTGGCCGAGGGCTCCAAGCAGGCGCAGATTCTGGCGTCCGAGGCCGAGAAGGCCCAGCAGATCAACCTGGCCCTTGGTGAGGCCGAGGCGATCCGGCAGACCGCGCTGGCGGAGGCGGAGGCCATCTCCCGCGTCGCTAAGGCCATTCGTGGATCTGATGGCGGCGAGATGGCTGCTGGCCTGCATGTTGCGCAGCAGTACGTCGAGGCGTTTGGCAAGATTGCCAAGGAGTCCAACACAATTGTTGTGCCTGCGTCTGCCAACGATATCTCTGGCATGGTTGCCCAGGCACTGACTGTGTTCTCGTCGGTCACTGATAACCAGAAGCGCCAGTCTGCCAAGAGCAAGCCTGCCCTGGTTGAGGCCGCGCCCAAGGGCAGCCCCTCGTAGGAGTAGAGTTGTGTGACCCTTCTTTTTCGTTAGCGCATTTTGATACACACTCACGTTAACCCCCAGGGTCTGCTTCCCGCTGTTTGCAGTAGGAGGGACTGTGGTCCTGAAGCCAGAAAAAGACAAGCCTGCGGACCGGTGGCTCATCAGAACAACCGTGCTCAAATATTTTGCTCTAGCCTTATGAGTCACTGGAAAGTGCGCTCTCCAATTTGCCCTCGTCGCCACCCGAGAATGGAGGCTCCACAGAGAGCCTGCTCTCCCTTTCTCCTCTTCAAAGTCGCCATTCCATTCATTATCAGCACTGCTGCTTTTTCCCTCCGTCCTTTGTAAACGTATCTCCGATCGCTTGAACCATGTCCCTGACCACTTCACTGCCAGACGTCGGCGACCGCATGCTCTTTGCTGTGCCGAAAAAGGGCCGCCTGTACGACCACTGCCTGGGCCTGCTCAACAACATTGGCATCGAGTTCAACCGCAAGCCGCGCCACGACATTGCTCTGGTCTCAAACCTCCCAATTGCGCTGGTGTTCCTGCCGGCCGCCGATATCGCCACATACGTGGCCAAGGGCAACATCGACATTGGAATCACAGGCCTGGACATTATCCGCGAGTCACAGACCGAGGAGGACGTGACCGAGCTGATGCGCCTTGGATTTGGCAAATGCAAGCTGCAGGTGCAGGCGCCGGTAGCCAGCGCGGCAGCCTCAGCCCAGGACCTCGTCGGCAAGCGGATCGTGACCAGCTTCATCAACCTGACGCGGAAGCGGTTTGCTGAGCTGGAAGGTGTCAGCGAGGACGAGATGAGGACGCAGGTGCGGTTTGTGTCGGGCAGTGTCGAGGCTGCATGTGGACTTGGCCTGGCCGACGGCATCGTCGATCTGGTTGAGTCTGGCGACACCATGCGCGCCGCGGGCCTGCACGCCATCGACACGATCCTGGATACCGAGTCGGTTCTGATCACCAACAAGCACATGCGCTTCCCCGACATGGCCCAGATCATCCGCCAGCGTGTCGAGGGCGTGATGACCGCCCGCCGGTTTGTGCTGTGCCAGTACAACATTGCCCGCGAGGGGCTCGAGAGGGCCTGCGCGATTACGCCAGGCCGCCAGGCGCCCACCGTCACGTCGTTGGAGCAGCCCGGGTGGGTTGCCGTCAGCGTCATGGTCGAGAAGAAGCAGCTGGCCGACAAGATGGACCAGCTCAAGCTGGCTGGTGCCACCGACATTTTAGTCCTTCAGATTGCCAACGCCCGTGCATGAAACATAACTGATTAGATTTTCTGCTGTGATTCGTAAACATCCCGTCAGTTTGGAACCGGTTTATGCACCAGCAGGTGCCGTTATGCGCCGGTTGATGCCAGCCCAATACAACCCAGACCGAGATCGACTGACACATCCTGTCACTCGCTTCTGCTGGAAAAGTGCATGTTGTGTTGTTTGCCAAACTCTCGTGAACATTCCATGTTCCTCTCTGCAATCGTGCTGTTGAGCCTCTCCTGCGGCTGTCAACAATCGATGGCAGCTTCGCAACAGTATTTTTACCGCATGTTACTGGCAAGGTGTGGAATGCTTTATAAGCATGTCTTCCCGAGAGAGCTGCTTCATCTTCATTCGTCCCTTTGCTATTACACCTTTGCATTTCCTCGATAACTCATCCATGAGAACCAACGATATCGCCGTCGCTATCTTGTCGCTGGTGGGCCTGTCGGCTGCCTTCATTGACGACACACGCAACCTCAAGTGGAGCACTCTTGGCGGCAAGAAGACACGCCTCATCGGCCACCGCGGCGAGCGTGCATTTGTGCCTGAGCACACGTATGCGTCGTACTGGCAGGCAGCGCTCGAGGGCGCCGACTTCATCGAGCCCGATCTTGCCCTGACACGCGATGGCCAGATCGTTGTTAGCCACAACCTGTGGCTGGGCGAAACCACCAACATCCGGGACATTCCCGAGCTGCAGAAATACAAGCGCAACATCACCTGGCCTGACTCCAGCGGCCATGTCTACGAGCTGACCAACGAGTACTTCATTTTTGACATGACCCTGGAAGACATCAAGAAGGTGCGGGTCATGCAGTCCGATGTGGAGTACCGCCCGCAGATCTACAATGGTCTGTTTGGGCTGCTGACCTTTGACGAGTACCTGAGCACTATGCGCGAGCTGACGGTGAAGCTGGGCCGGCCGTTTGGTGCCATCCCGGAACTCAAGATGCCCAAGATTTACAACATGGGCCGTCCTTATCCCCGCTACTTTGAGGACCGTGCTATCATTACTCTGAGCCACTATGGCCTAGCGAACATTACAGGGAACATCGACAAGAGCCAGCACTCTGACCTCATTCTGAGCCCGGTTGCTCCCCTGCCTGCTGGCTCTGCACTAGGCCCAGCTGTCTGGCAGTGCTTTGACCAGGACACCTCTGCGTACCTTGCCAACAACACGGATGTGCCTGTTGCCTGCACTCGACGATGTCACGCCAGCCTTCTTCACACCCAAGGCCTGGACGCCGTGGCCAAATACGCCAAGATTGTGGCTCCCTGGAAAGATTTCTTTGTCACTGGCGCCGAAGCCTCGCTAAAGGCAAAGGGCGTGACATGGAATGCCACCGAGATCGCGGCCATGGGCGGCTTCATAGCCCCCGACCAGCTTGTGAAGGAGATCCACAGCCGCGGGATGGAGGTGTGCCCATGGACGTTCTACAACTCAAAGGAAAGCCTGTCGTACCTGTGCCAGGAAAAGGGCATCAAGCCGGCCAGCCGCAGCGGGTTCTGCCCCAAGGACAAGACTGAAGAGTTCTTCTACTTCTTCGAGCAAGGCGCTGACTACATGTTTGTCGAGGACATTGTCGAGGCAAACATCCTGCGCACGTTCTTTGCCAACAAGCTCGAGAACAAGCAAAACCAGCGCTTGGACAGCTAGATGCTTTTTGGCTAGCCAGCTGTTGCTCCAATCGATCGAGCCTTTTCTGTGTTCCTGAGCAACGATCCCTGTGAAACCGCAAGCTGCAGATCAGGCTGACCAAATCGATTGCCGAAAAACCCGCCCCATGTGTTTCTGCCAGTGTTGACTTTACTCCACCTCCCCCAATTCTAGTCGCCACAGCCAGGACACGCAGCGTTTGTGTGTATGCGGCCACATTACAGTGCACGTGCGCTAATGCTGGCGCTCAGAGATGCGGTAATGACATGTATCAAGAACCTCGCCATCGCCAGCCGGGCATCACAGTACAAAAGCGGTATCTGCAAAGCGGCCCTGTGCTAGACCAGTAGCGAATCGCAGCAGCGCTCATGTCACCTCGCATTGGCCCTCGTGCGAATCTCATAGTGTTTGCCCGCAACATGTCAATCGCCCTCCCTCCATAATCGGTTTTTTCTACAGATTATTGCTTGCCAGACCGCTGATTTGCTCGCCCCCCATCCATCCCCGCGCGTGAAAGTTGCTCGGCACTCTGTACTATTAGCATCAGACCGCCCCCTCCTCCTGCTACCCGCCCGCACGTATATAATGGAGCAGACGCGCATGTACCAGCCCCACCGGTCGTTCTCACGCACCCCGATTATCACACTATCAGTTATTTCTATAGCCCTAGTCGCTCTAATCACAATCCACAGAATGAGGATCCACGCACTCGCCTCCGCGTCGCTGGCCATCATCGGCACCACATCAGCCTTCATCGACGACACGCGCGATCTCAAGTGGAACACGCTGGATGGCAAGAAGACGGCAGCTCGTTGGGCACCGCGGCGAGAAGGCATTCATGCCCGAGCACTCTCTCGGCTCGTACTGGCAGGCCGCGCTCGAGGGCGCCGACTTCATTGAGCCCGACCTGACTCTGACCAAGGACGGCCACCTGGTTGTCAACCACAACGAGTGGATTGGCGACCTGACCAACGCCAAGGAGATCCCTGAGCTGCAAAAGTACCGGCGCAACCTCACGTGGACCGACGACGACGGCACGTTCCATGACATCAAGAACGAGTACTTTATCCACGACATGACCCTGGAGGACATCAAGAAGGTGCGCACACACCAGGCCAACATGACGTTCCGCCCGCAGATCTACAACGGCTACTTTGGGCTGCTGACTTTCGAGGAGTACCTGCAGACGATCCGCGAGCTGACCGTCAAGCTGGGCCGCCCGTTCGGCGTCATCCCCGAGCTCAAGTCGCCAAAGCTGTACAACACCAACCGCACCTACAGCCGCTACTTGAGGACCGCGCCATCATTACGCTGAACCACTACGGCTGGGCCAAGATCACCAAGAAGATCAACACCGCGGCTCACAAGGACCTGAAGCTGGCGCCAGTCAAGCCGCTGCCGGCCGGCACCAAGGTCGGTCCCTCGGTCTGGCAGTGCTTTGACCAGGACACGGCAAAGTATCTGTCCAGCCACACTGATGTGCCTGTCGTTGCCCTGAACGAGAACACGCCTGCTTTCTTCACGCCCAAGGGTCTCGACCAGGTTGCCAAGTACGCCAAGATCGTCTCACCGTGGAAGGACTTTCTTTGTCACTGGCGCCGAGGCCTATCTGAAGTCGCAGAACATCACCTGGGATCCAAGGAGATCAAGCGCCTTGGTGGCTTCATCGCGCCCGACCAGCTGGCCAAGGAGATCCACAAGCGCGGAATGACGATCTCGCCGTACACGTTCTACGACTCGCACCAGAACATGCTGTACCTGTGCCAGGACCCAAGCATCAAAGCCGGCCAGCCGCAGCGGATTCTGCCCCAAGAACAAGACCGAGGAGTTCTTCTACTTCTTTGACCAGGGCATGGACTACATGTTTGTCGAGGACATTGTCGAGGCAAACGTCCTGCGCATCCTCTACGCCAACAAGCTGGAGAACCAGCAGCGCAAGGGCTACTATGCTGCTTAAACCGTATGTTATTGGTACAAATTGAGATATTTACTCCTGCGGGTTCTTGGCTGGATAGACAATGTCGCCAGTGCACTGCTTCTTGGGCACGCCAACCTCGTTCTTGGGAATAGCAATAGGCACGTACGAGGTGATGTCCTTGACGGTTGAAGAACGTGCGGATCTCGCTCAGCACATTTCCGTTGCACCGCAGGTCAACTGCGATATTGTACTTCTTCTCGATCGCGTCGGTGATCTGCTTTGGCGTATACGTCTCCTTGTCATCAGGCACAACCCCGCCTTCCTTGAGTGCAGTGTAAAAGTCATACTTTTTGTTCAGCTCCAGTGCCCGTCCAAAGTACTCGACAGCATCAGCATTGCTCTTTTTCGGTGCGGGATAGCACTCGGGGCTGAGTGTGCTGGCGCATGTCCCGTGCTTGTTCCACTCCTCCATCCAGAACTGGCCGTTGCTCGCACCGCGCGACGGCCAGTACGTGTTCATCTGATCAAGCAGGCCGTTCTTCTTCAGAATCTCGGTCACCTTGGGGCTCTTCAGCCGACGGTCCGACTTGCCGCAGCCAGACGCCGGCGCCGGCCCATTCGCACAGGTGTTGGGCCACAGTCCATGGATGGTGAATCCAGGTGCCTGATTTAGCGTCTTGTCCCACTGGACCGAAAACAGGTGGACTCCATACTCCTCATAGCAGCAGGTGCTCAGTCCCTTGATGCTGCTCGAGCATGACTCGGGCTTTGATGGGCACTTGTCGCGAGTAACAGGCTCGATGGTTTGCTCCTCACTTGGCGACGATGCGGTGCCAGCTGGCGGCGAGGACTTGGGGGCATCAGTCTGTGTCTTGCTGCCCTTCTTCTTGTCCTTGGTTGGAGCGGTCGAGGTCTTGCTTCCGCTCCCGGCCTTGCTATCGCTACCTGTGCTCTGCTTCTTGGACCCACCCTTGGTGGTGCTGCTGCTGGTCTTACCCGTCGACGCGGAAGTCTCCTTGCCGGCCTTGTTCCTTGCCGCGTGGACAATTTCCGGGTATGCCAGGAGAATGACGCAGGCGATAAAGGTAATCAGAATGAGACGCATTTTTGAAGAGTTTTTGATGCAGTTGAAGTTGATGTGAATGCAAATGTATGGATGCTGTTGATGTTGATAAGTGAAAGCTGTATCCAGACTCTGCCACCCTTTTTATATGTCCGACACCTGGTGGGATCCAGGCACTTACCCTGACTGCCCTGATCCAGCCAAGAGCCGGCACGAACGCTCACCACATACAAAGCCCATCAGCCCTCTTTGTGGCAATCGGTCTCCTTGAGACCGATCCAGGAGATTGCCGAGTATAGCAGCAGCAGATTCTATTCCGAGAACCTCGTGTAGAAAATCACTATAAAAATAGATTTCTAAATGTAATCGCAGAGAACGGTGATGTAAACCCGTTTTTGGCGGACCAAGATTCGCTAGCCGAACTGGTAGATATAGCCCTCGAATACATTTAGTTTTCTGAAATTGAGCCAAGCATGCTCCACATGTAGCTCAGCGGTTTGGCTCTGCATTAACAGGAACCAGTCCTCTCAGTGGCTGGTTCAGCGTACACTTTTCTGTTTTGCGATGAGCCAGTGGTAGATGGTTCCGATGGCATTCATTCATCCGGCTGTGAGAAACAGCCTTTACAATGCACACACGCTAGCAGTTAGTGTAGTTTCTGTGGAGACATGATAGAAAATAGACGGTATTGCTACAGAACAGTTTCAGCAACAGCTATAATGCGGTTCCATACTATCGAGATTGTTTATTGAACAAAATGGATGCAGTCACTTTTTAAAGTACAGGAACTTGCTGGCGCACGAGTCCTTGCTGTTGGGCTGGGTCGGAATGTAGGTGTTCAAATCCTGGACACTGAAGTACGTCCAGACCTCGCTGAGCTCGCTGACCCCTTGGACCCAGTTGAGGCACCCATGATGATGTCAAGCGAAGCAACAAGAATGGTGCAGGCGAGGAAAGTGATCGAGGCGAAGCGCATGGTAGCTGGATCGAATTAGGGTAGAAATGTTTTGCGTGTTAATGCAGAGTCTTGTTGACAATGCAGGCGTTTGCCGAAATTAATGATGATGGGTATCTACATGGGAGATGCGTAAGCCAGCTTGCCTTTTATACAGGCGAGGTATCCATTTCCAGGGCAACTCTACCTGCGATCGCCGGCTGTGCCAAGGCATCCACGATGGACATTGGGACCACTCATGGCGGAAGCCAATGCGATGCTGCAAAGACACCTGTCTCTGAAGATTCGGATATCGCCATAAGAGTTGGGATTTCCCGCGTGGTGGCTGCCTGTAAACTGGGGGCCTTCTCCAGCCTACGTGCCAAGCACAGAATAGCGGTTGGCAATCCCGCTGTGAGGATTCCTGTGGAGTTTTAAATTTAGCCTGCGCATATTCGTTAGGCAGTCGGTCTCTAGAAATAGTATCCTTGCCAGGACTGTCAAGGGAATCTCTTGAAGCGAGTTCAAACCTATGTAGCAGCAGCTGGAAGCTGCGATGATTCGCTGATAGCAGAAGACTTTGGGAGATTGGCTACATGCATTTTACAGCTGTGCTCCTTCTACTGGAGTGATAGTAGGAAATAACGGTGAGCACAGAAGTGGTGGAGTTGAAACTACAGCCCACCTACTTATGCAGTATGGTAGTGGCTAAATATATTGCTTATTAGTTCTCACTCATAATCAGATCTACGCAGCACACGCTCACTGAGCTGCCAGGTGGCTATATAAGCGGCTGCATACCTACACCAAGCTAGGGGACCCGTTAAGCTCCTCAATAGACACTCGTCAATATATTTAGGCACTTGCACATCAGGATATGTACTAACATTCGGATGGTATTCCATGATAGCATCATAGGGACTTGACATGCCTCACTACCAATCCCTATCAGACTTCCTGATAGGCTGGTGGCGAGGTGTAAAGCGTACTGGACAGCAGCAGATAAATGCCATAGATGGACTACACTTGAGATTTCCATCATTCCCACGGAGATCAACTGCCTAGCCCTTGGCTCCTGCTGCCTTGCATGCGAAATAGCCTTCAGACCTTTAATTTGGACCAGGGCCCATATACGGCAGTGCCATCTGAAAGCGGACCGCACGATTTATCAAGGACGATTGCACTATTACTCCAGCGAGCTGGAAAATCGACAACAAACAGCACTGCTGATATGCAGCTAGCCCACGAAGCAGATACATGTGAATTCAAGTGCATGCAACTCTCGCTCTCGTCTCTATCTCATAAATGAGCGTGCTTTATACTTTGCATTCAGAGCAAGGAGGGCAAATTTTATCTCATTGGGGAATACCAGCTAGTAAACTCGCCAAGTAATTGACGGTTCCAAGCAGAAAATAGTGCTAGTACTTGGGCGGGTAGGTGAAGGTAGTGCAGGTATCGCTGACCCAGGTCGAGGTGGGGACGTAGGTGCTCTTGTTCTGCACGTTGAACCAGGTCCAGATCTCGCTCAAGGTGCCGCTCGAGCACTTGAGCACGACGTCAATTCCCAGCTCGGCCTTGATCGCAGCCTTGAACGCAGCGGCAGTGAAGGTCTTGCCCGTGGTTGGCACAATGCCACGGTTCTTCAGCGCAGTATAGTAGTCATACTTGCTGCGCAGGCCCAGAACCTGGGCAAAGTAGTCGTTGACATCCTGGTACTGTGTGTAGGACGTGTAGCAGCTTGGGTCAAGAGTGGTGACGCATGTGCCGTGCTTGCTCCACTCGTGGGACCAGAAGCTGTTGTTGTCGCCAGTGTATGACGGCCAGTACATGCTCATTTGGTTGTAGAGAGTGGGATTGTAGTTCTGAATGATGGTGCCGACGTTCGAGTAGACGCGGCTCGCATCACAGCCGCTGCTGGGAGTCAGTCCACCCGTGCAGGTATCCGGCCACAGGCCGTGCAGGGTGTACTGATCCGCCGGACCCAGGCCATTGTACCATTGCTGGACAAGGACGAGCAGGCCGTTAGTCGGCACACAGCAAGAGTCCATGCCGCTGGCTTGGGTCGAGCACGAGAGTACAGTGGTTGAGCAGGTCTGGGCGCTGGCAGCCGAGATTGCTGCAGAAGCGGCGAGGAGCGAGGAGGCAAGAAGGCGCATTGTCGGTGCTTGTAGCTGTTGCTGGATTAAACGAGAAAAGTGTGAAGAGGGACCAGAGGGCTCTAGTAATGAGATGCTTCAAATCAAATTTCTACAGCCGCGGTCGCTGCTTATATAGCATTGTTGGGTCACGACAACCGGGCAACAGGGGCCATGTGCATGCTTCGCTTCCTTGTGGCCTATCCCGTGTCCACTGTGCACTATCGATGGAGGTCCCGACTTCTTCCCCTCCCTTACCAGTCTGGTCCAGGCAGGTTGCGCTTCCATCTTTGCATACGGGCAGTGCGGAGAATTACTCGCTCATCCAAGGCGGGAGGTTCGCGACATGTCTGCCGATGTACGGCTGCAGGGGGTGGGCATATATAAACTGGCTCCAGCCAGGCACACTCGATGTAGCATATCATTTCCACTAATGCAAACTAACCCACGTGCCAACCACATGTCTCAAAACGACTGAAGAGATTAGCCCACCAGAGCTGGTTTAAGGTTGTCAGCTCTGCGTCGTGGGAGCCGGCAATCCAGTCTGCTAGTTGCTTGCTTTCTGAATGAGCGAATCGATGAAGCTGTTGCCGTTGATGATCTGCGTGGTTGCTGCAATGTAGCGGTGGTTGTGCTGCTGCGAGAGCAGGCGCAGAGCCGCAACCTCCGTGAACGTGCACCCGCCCAGGAACAGGACAAGCGTTGCCGGCGCCTTCTCGCCCAGTCGCTGCACCACTGTGTCTGAGGAGAGCAGGTCGCCCTCACGGTCGCTCCACTGGGTCACATCGACTGTTTCACCGGGCAGCTCAGCCAGCACATCATCCCAGCCCTTCCACCCGCCCTTGACTCCACCCGACTGCAGGTCCTTCTGCGCTGGCCGAGTCGTGTCGCTGGACGCACCACCGCGGAGGAGCGACGAATACCGGCTGGCGGCTGAAGGCGACGTGTATACTGCTGGGTCGCGCACCAGGCACTGCAGCAGACGGACTGAAAGCGGGGCATACCCAGAGTAGACATACGAGATGTCATCGGGGTCATTCTCACGCACGTCGCTGTTGACCAGGTTCAGCGTTTTTCGCAAAAAGCTGAGCGAGTTTGAGTGCGCCGGGTCCCGTGGTTTTGTCGACGGCACAATGGAATTCAGAATGCCAGCACTGCTGACGTCGCCGCCCGCCGCTAGTTTCAGTGCCGATGACTTTGCTGTCGAGCCTGCCGTGCCGCCATTGTTGCTGGCAGGCGACACAAGCAACCCAACTGTCTCCAGGTTATCCAGCGTGATGGTGTGGTGATGGCCAAACGCGTCGACCAGCTCCTCGTACCACGCATCATAGACCTTCTGCTTGAAACTAGGCCCGCGCCATAGCGAGTACAGGCACATTAGACGCAGCACCTTGTGAATGCTGTTGGGGGCAGTGATTGGCGGTGTATCCTTGAGCTCACCATTGCAGCCCGGCACAGGTGCATGTGGGTCCGCCAGCGCAAACAACTTGTCGAGATACGCCAGCTGGTCCTTTGAAATGTCGCCATTGCTGACCAGCGACTGCTCGATCTCCAGAACGTGATTAAAGTCGTCGGTTTGGGTCCGCTTAAGGATCGTCTCTGCCAGCGACACATGCGTTTTGAGTGACTGGTGTTCTGCCTGTAGGCCATTGAGCTTGCCCACAAAGCTCCGGATCTCCTGCACTGTCTTTGCCTTGTGGCGACTCTCGTACGTATCTTGCAGCTGCCGAGACATTTTGCTTAGCAGGCTGCCCACTCCGGCAAAGTTCATGTTGCGGATGTCGTTGAATATCGAGTCGGAGCTGTTCAGCGCAATGCGCTTGCGCTTGGGCGCTGCCGCTGCCGCCGCTGCCGCCGCTGCCTGCGTCGCCGAGCTCCCTGCTGCTGGGGCAGACGCCTGGTTTGCGTCGGACATATTCAGCGAGCTTAGTGACACATAGCCGCTATTTATACCGTACACCTCGCTGACAAGCCCCTCATAAGTCAACTGTGTCAGCAGCGGCGTTACCATATCCACGCCACGGTCGATAATCACCATGGAGTCAAACACGCTGGACATTGCCAGTGCACTGCTCGACGACCCGCGCGGATTGCTCGACGTCAGCTCCAGGCGCATGCGTGTCAATGTATCTGCCAGAATCTGCGCAAAGTCGCCTTTTCCAACTATCCGCGGGAAGAACCCGTACAGGCCCTGCAAGCGCATGACTCCACGCGCCGCATAGTAGATGCTCGAAAAGTCACCTTCCAGATAGAGCTCCTTGAACGTCGCCGGCAGCTCCAGTGACAACAGATCCTCCTCCAGCGGAATAAAGTCCATACGGTACTCTCCCACTGTCAGGTCGCCCAGAACGCCCTCCTCCTCAAGCACACGCTCGCACAGCAGCGTGCGCCGTGGAACCAGCTGCAGCGAGTACTCCTTGGCCGACGAGCCCGCCCGGACATGCTCTGCGATTGTCCGCATCTTGCCGGTGTGTGGCAGCGCAAAGTACAGCAGCCCCTTTATTGCGCCGGTCTCTGGCGGTATCGAGTCGAGCAGAAATATCTTCTCCACGCCATGCTCTTTAAGCACCGAGAAGTCTACGATAAAGCTCAGCGGCCCGGACAGGTCTGGATCGAGAACAAGCGCCTTTGAACCGCGAATCTACGTCATGGGAAGCATGTGGAGTCAGCTGCATGTCGTCTCACGCCAGTGCGCCTTCTCTTGCGAAACTACGTACGGAGTCTAGTACCGAAATGAGCTCACCGCGAAGAATGTCCCTGAGCTGGAGAATGTCCAGGTCATCGCTGCGCGCAGAGTTTGTCATAATTACAGGCGAATGGTGTATTGGAAAGCCAGAAAACAGCAGAGTCAGCCGGGTCCAGCTAGCGGAAAATGCAAAGTTGCCACAACAGCCCGAGCCACGTCACAGCCGCCAGCCAGCCTCTGGAGCACCAGCCTCTGGGTCGCGGCTCGAGCCGGAGCACGACCAATTCCGGCCAATTGGCCGCCAGCCAGTCACCGCGGTTACACCACTTTCAGATATTTTGGCTGGAATTTGTCGGCTTTGGGTGCCAAATCCGTGCTGCAAGGGTGGGGTTGGGCCACCGGGCCCTTCCATCGCCTGGCGGCCGGATACAGAAAGCTTGCGGGCCCGAGGCACAACACTCTCACCGCCCGGGTTCTCCAGTAAGTAATATTTCAGCCGGGCGCCTCGGTGCCCTTTCACGCTGTAGCGTCTATTGATTGTTTGTTGGGGTCACAGCGTTGGGCATATCTATTTGCAGCTGTCAGCAATCGGTGGTGCTCTGGCTTTCACGCTCCTGCGCTCTTGGCACGCGCAGCGGGATGGACAGGTATAAATCGGACTGCGTCTCGGACGAACGCGGTTTGTTTTGATAGCTCCGGTCAACATACACATTCCTCCCCATCTTCTTTTGCTTGTAATTAATTTCTTCTCCTTTGTACATACACGCTGCTCACACTAGTATAATGTTTGGCATCTGCTCCTGGAAACACCAGCCTGAGGACGAGGGCCGTGTCGGTATGCGCGATTCATCGATGCAGAGTGCAGTCAAGGGCACTGCCAAGGCATACATATTCATCATCGTTATCATGTCGTGCATCCACTGGTTTGTCGGATCCATGTACTACGGCGTCAACTATAAGCGCACGACATACGTCAAGAACACCGATGTCAAGGTCATCGATCTTGATGGTGGCTTCGTCGGGGGCAATGTCACACAGCTGCTGCTCCAAACTCCAGCAGGCGACGGCGTGCCATCCTACGTTAGATACGACGGCGTCAGCACGGTGGACGAGGCCAAGGAATTTGTGCGCAGACATGGCTGGGGCGCCGTGGTCATCAACCCAGGCCTGACTGAGCGCTATACCAGCGCGATGCTGCGGGGCACCGAATACGTTCCTACGGATGCAATCACCGCCATTTACACCACCGGGCGCAACGCCATGGTCACCCTGGTTTATATTGAAGGTTCCATGGCGGCTAGCATCATGAAGGCGAACGTCAAGTTCTCGGTAGGTGCGCTCACTCGACTAAAGCAAACAACTGCTGCCGGCACCCAGCGCACCAACCCTAGTGTTGCGGCAGTGATCAGCCCCATCGGTTACAAGGCAGTCAATGTCGCGCCGTTCAGCTTCGCCATCTCTATCATTGCAGCCACCTTCATGTTTTTTGTCTCTCTTGGCTGCACCTTCGCCCCAATGCTTGGGTGGAAACTGAACTCATTTGCGCTCTTCCTCAAGGTCCGCTACCGCGACCTGGCTGTGTTCTGGGTCGCAGTGATTGCCTGCTGGGTGTGTGTGCTCTCCTTCTACGCCTCTCTGGCCTTTCTGGCATACAGGGGCCCGGACTACAACACCCTGGCACTCACCTACACCGCCGGCAAGTTCTTTGCCATCTGGTTCACCGTCTTCGCCGTGGTCCTAGCTCTGGCGCTCTGGATCTATGCACTGCTGCTCATGGTTCCGCCCCTGTACTTTGGCATTGTGTCTCTGTCGCACTTTATTCCAAACGTTGCCTCATCAATTGTGCCTCTGGAGACCGCGCCCAAGTTCTTCCGCCTGTTCCGTGTGTTGCCCTTCTACAACGGCACCATGCTTTTCCGCACGATCACCAGCGGCGCCTACCCGCATGTCGGCCAGAATATCGGGATCCTGGCTGGTGAGCTGCTCTTTTCGTTCTGTGTCTTGCTTGGCGCCATTTGGCTCCGGCAGCGCATGGTTGTCATGGGCATCGCTGATATTCCTGGCAACATCCATGGCCGCCCCGGCTTCCACTCACCAGTTCCATACTACAAGGACGTGCGCAGACAAGCAGACGAGGAGGCACTGTCTAAAGAGAGCATTGAGAGACAGGCTACCGTCGCAGACAGCCAGTACAGACTCCTTAAGTAGATACGCAAATACCACCCCACAGCTTTAATATGTATCACTGCCACCTCCAGCTATGCAGAGAGCGTAAAATACATTCAGCATCCATTTTCTGCAGACTTGAATGCACGCGCTCGTTGATGGTTGCCTCATCAGCAATAGTCTACGACAACAAACAGTAGTGGCCATCCAAAGGAATGTAGAGGCGCATATTGAATGGAGCAGCAGAACAATCACCGAGCCGGTTCATATGAGCCGGCGGCTATTTCTATTGCTGTACTGCGGGAATATCTGCACCTGAGTTTCATATGCGTCAGCATCGGCAGCCAAGCCCTCCACACTGTCTTGAAGCCCAGCCGCGAGCCAGTTCTCTGCTTTGCTTCCTATTTGCACTGTATTATTTCCTGCTCCTTACCCTACAGACATGGTCGTTCAAGTGGTTGGCGTAGAGCTGTCAACGTTCACACGCACTGTACGCATGGCGCTCGAGTACCTCGAGGTCCCGTACGAGCTGCTGCGCACTGCACCGCATGCAAAACTAGCGTACAAGCACAACCCGTTTGGCCGGATCCCAACTCTTATTCATGACGAGTTTGTTGTAAACGAGACCCTAGCCATACGCATCTATATCGACCACATGTTCAGCGGCAAGGCGCGCACGCTGACGCCGGCAGACTTTTCGACCATCCTGGCCATTGGCCAGTGGATTTCTATGGCTAGCGACTATGCCTTCCGTGGGCTCGTCCACGGAATCTGCAAGCCGCGCATGGCAATGGAGGGGAAGGGCGTGAGCGAGCAGGAGATTCGAGAGAGCCTCAAAGACGCAGTCGCTCAGGGGAAGGGTATCTTGCGCGGGCTCGAGAGCCAGTTTGTCCAGCTCAGCGGTGGCGGCGGGCGACCAAACATTCCTGGCTGGAAAGAGCCTGACCTGGGCTGATCTCTTCCTGTTCCCAATCTTCTCGGATCTGTGCTCAATGCCCGAGCGCGCGCTGGTTCAGGAAGAGGCACCCAGGCTGTATGCGTGGTACGAGCGGGTTGTCCGCCTCGATATTGCACGCATCACTCACAACGGGACAGTTGCTGCTGCAAGGCTCTGACCCGGCCAATTGGGCTTAAAAGTTTGAAGTAATATATTCGATGTCTCGAAGAGCACGTTTGCCTGGTATAATCGAAATCAACAAAATGGAACTCGTTCCCTAGTACACGGGACACTTGGAAATAGGAACGAGCTCGGTGACCACAGTAGTTATGACCCGGGTGACGATGGTAGGAACCTGTTCCGCATCGCACTTTGTTGTAGTGGGGGGTTTGGTCTCACAGTCCGTGGTTGCAGTCGGCACAACGCTCGTCGATGGAGCCTCTGTCTCGCAAACGGTGGTGGATGGAACCTCAGTCTCGCAGTCGGTGGTGGATGGAACCTCAGTCTCACAGTCGGTGGTCGACGGAGCCTCAGTCTCACAGTCGGTGGTCGACGGAGCCTCTGTCTCGCAGTCTGTGGTCGACGGAACCTCAGTCTCGCAATCGGTGGTCGATGGGACCTCGGTCTCACAGTCGGTGGTCGATGGAGCCTCGGTTTCGCAATACGTAGTCGATGGGACCTCAGTCTCACAGTTGGTAGTCGATGGAACCTCAGTCTCACAGCCAGTAGGTGCAGTCGGCACAACGCTCGTTGACGGAGCCTCGGTCTCGCAAACGGTGGTCGATGGGACCTCAGTCTCACAGTCGGTGGTCGACGGAGCCTCTGTCTCGCAGTCGGTAGTTGCAGTCGGCACAACGCTTGTCGAAGGAACCTCGGTCTCGCAAACGGTGGTGGATGGGACCTCAGTCTCGCAATCGGTGGTCGACGGAGCCTCAGTCTCGCAGTCGGTAGTTGCAGTCGGCACAGCGCTCGTTGACGGAGCCTCGGTCTCGCAAACGGTGGTGGATGGGACCTCGGTCTCGCAAACCGTGGTGGATGGAACCTCAGTCTCGCAATCGGTGGTCGACGGAGCCTCAGTCTCGCAGTAGGTAGTTGCAGTCGGCACAGCGCTCGTTGACGGAGCCTCTGTCTCGCAAACGGTGGTCGACGGAACCTCAGTCTCGCAGTCGGTGGTGGATGGGACCTCGGTCTCGCAGTCTGTGGTTGCAGTCGGCACAACGCTCGTCGAGGGAATCTCGGTTTCGCAATCAGTGGTGGATGGAACCTCAGTCTCACAGTCGGTAGTTGCAGTCGGAACAACGCTCGTCGACGGAGCCTCTGTCTCGCAATCGGTGGTCGACGGAACCTCGGTTTCGCAGTCGGTGGTGGATGGGACCTCGGTCTCGCAAACCGTGGTGGATGGAACCTCAGTCTCACAGTTGGTGGTCGACGGAACCTCGGTCTCGCAGTTGGTAGTCGATGGAACCTTGGTCTCGCAGTCGGTGGTCGATGGGACCTCAGTCTCACAGCCAGTAGTTGCAGTCGGCACAACGCTCGTCGACGGAACCTCGGTCTCGCAAACGGTGGTGGATGGGACCTCAGTCTCACAGTCTGTGGTCGACGGAGCCTCTGTCTCGCAGTCGGTAGTTGCAGTCGGAACAACGCTCGTCGATGGAGCCTCTGTCTTGCAATCGGTGGTGGATGGGACCTCAGTCTCGCAATCGGTGGTCGACGGAGCCTCAGTCTCGCAGTCGGTAGTTGCAGTCGGCACAGCGCTCGTTGACGGAGCCTCGGTCTCGCAAACCGTGGTGGATGGAACCTCAGTCTCACAGTTGGTGGTCGACGGAGCCTCAGTCTCACAATCGGTGGTCGACGGAACCTCGGTCTCGCAGTTGGTAGTTGATGGGACCTTAGTCTCGCAATCGGTGGTCGACGGAACCTCGGTTTCGCAGTCTGTGGTAGATGGGACCTCGGTCTCGCAGTCTGTGGTGGACGGAACCTCAGTCTCGCAATCGGTAGTCGATGGGACCTCGGTCTCACAGTCTGTTGTTGCAGTCGGCACAATGCTTGTCGACGGAACCTCAGTCTCACAAACGGTGGTTGACGGAGCCTTGGTCTCGCAGTCGGTGGTGGATGGGACCTCGGTCTCGCAGTCTGTGGTTGCAGTCGGCACAACGCTTGTCGATGGAACCTCGGTTTCGCAATCGGTAGTCGTAAGGGGCTCAGTTTCACATTCTGTTGATGACAAAATATGAGTTGAAACGCTGCCTGCAGTTGAATAGACAGAAGTCCAGGTTGGAGTCACAATTGTATGGGGATAGCTCGATGTTGCCTGCGCAGAAGTTGTCGACGAAGGACACGGATGCTTTCGCAGATAGCTCTTTATAATCGGTCCAATGAAGAATTCCATCTTTTCCGGTCCGAAAATCTGCAGCAGTCCAAGCTCAATCTCAAGTGTGGGTTCCTTGGGCAGCTGTACACCGCCAAGAAGTTTCTTCAGTTGCTTGAACTTTTCATGTCCGATGACAACAAAACTAAATGGCAGCAGCACATTCATCTCCATTCTGATTGTCGACCACTTTGCGTTGACCGCATTGATAGTGCAAACGTTTGTCCAGTCGATGGTTGACTTGGCACTAGCGACTGCGCCTAAACCCATGAATGCGACATAGCCAAAGAGCGTATTGACCTTCATCTTAAAATTGATATCACGTCTGCGTCTCTGTTACTATTTACTCTGCGGGTATAAACAAAAAGTGTGACTAGTCAGAGATATCGAGCGGAGATGCTGAAATTAGATTATGTATGAGGAAGCGAGGAGGCAAGGAATATTTCAAAAGAAAAAACAAGCACGTTGGTTAAAAGAAAATAGAAATTTTGACTCGACCTGGCCATGCCGATATAGCGGTATATGTACATACAACAGCGGAATCCCAGCTTCTCCCTGTTTCTTCCTCTCGTTTTCTCTCACCAGATGTATTTGTTTTAACCCCCGGAATGCGCCATGTATTCTGAGGCAAATCACAGTTTGCGGGATAAGCGTCCATCCTAGGCTGCCCGTCGCTGGCGAATGTACGCAGTCCATCGAGGATTGCTATCATATTCGTGTACAGCACTATATCTCTTTGCCTCAGGGGGATTGACTGTAATGCACTGTCTTATGCCTGGAAACGGTTTGGGCAGGACCAGACAGGTAAAAAGGCACATGCCCTATTAGAAGTGCAAAAATGGCGGGCTTCTACATGCTGCACCATCACGCTACAATTTGCTTCATCGCAAGGACCATTGCGGGATCTACAGACCCAGGTCCATGCAGGCGACACATGGATTTGCATCATCTTTACATTGGTCTCGCTCTGTGCGCTTGTCTGCAAAGGTGGATGAGGCCGACGCTGCGCAGAGCTTCATGTGAAATTTACAGCTTCTATGGACGCTCGGCTGATATTCAAGCCGGACCACCCAAGTCGAATCCCAGGCAGAGACAGGTTCCAGGCACGAACTAAACGAGGTATTTTTGTTAGAAGCGGACATGGCCGTCAATTTAATGGGCTGCTAGCGCCTGAAACACAACCTGCAGAAAAACCGTTACGTTTTCGCTTCAGCGGGAGAGGGTGACCTCTTCCCACTTCACCATGCAATCGAGTCCAACCTGGAATAGCCAGTTGCTCAGTCCAGGCGGGGGTGCGCTGGTAGACTTGGGTTTTGGTGGGCACAGTGGCTCCATCACCTCATCACGCCGAGTTGAGCTGCTCGTGTTTCCATGCAGCGGCGAATACGAGGACACCAGTGCATGGCCGTTGCTGCTGAACGACCTTGTGCTCGATTGATCTGGTGCTGACACGAACGCCATGCTGTCCACATACCCATCACCAATACTGGCGCCGATGCTGCCGGTTCCACTGCTACCCCTCGTCACAGCACTATCTAAAGCACCATTGCTGCTGCTTCCACTCCCTTGTGAGCTGCTAAGTGAGTGGCTGGAGCTGTCGCTCTGCAGCCTATTTGTCGTGCGAACTGACTGCTGGGAGGAGGAGATAATGGTCTGGGTGGTTGGCCGCGCTGGAGGTACGTGTCGTGCAGTGCTGCTTGACACCATGCCGCGCGCACCGGATGTTCCGGAGACGGCCAACGTCATTCTGCTCTCAGGAGACATGGACGGAGTGGAGCGACCTGAGGCAGCCTCACTGTGTTCAATAGGTTCCTCAAGTGGGCTCTGAGATGCCGTGGTTGTCGTGCTACGCGATGTTGCACTGGTCTCATTGGAGCCTGCACCTGCAACTGCATTCCAATCCTGCTCCCGCAGCGTTGCAAGTGTCCGCATTGCTTCCTGCCGTGCCTCTCGGCCAGCACGTGGGTTAAGCAGCACACGCTCCGCAGCGACGCGCTGTGACGTGTACATTAGCCAGTGTGCTCGGCGTCCCACGTGTCTCTGCGCTGAAATAGATGCAGAGCTGGGGTCGTCATTGCCTGCTTGTGTTGGGCGAGTGGTAGGTGTATTGGTGGAGGTAGCTCCATCAGCAGCAGGCCGCACGCCCGTGTCATGCAGCGCTTCGTTGGTGGCCTCGTTTAGCGAACGCAGGTGGCGATCCTGTCGTGCCGACTCGATCATCTCGTTATACCGAAAGCTGCGCGTTGAGTCGTTTGCTCCTGGGACTGATTGCTGGATATTATGTTGCTGCTGTTGCGTTGGCGGGTTGATGTTCTGGTGAACATTGGTCTGTGAACTCCTGATCACAGTGGTTGTTGGCGCTGGCGGGGACGGCAGATCGTCCCACCCAACCGGTTCCCCGTAGTCATTCTCTCGCTGTACTGGAAACACATTGTCCTGATAGAACGTCCACAGATGTTGGAACCCACGTTGCTTGATTCTCAAGCGCTGCGCAAGGCAGCGGAAGCATGGGCGATGTATATAGTAGCCTACAACATTACCGCAGCCAAGACATGCGATATCCTGCACATGGCAGTCGCAGGGGCCACTAGGCGCCAAGTCGAACCGGCGTGCATGGTGAGTCAGTGAGCTACAGGTGCTGCAGCCTGAGTCCACAATCATGTCAGCAATCGAGGGAGCTACTGGCTGGTACACGACATCGCACCCGAGCGGGGGTAGGTCTGTTGAGAAGCAGCGGATCGCTGGGCGTGCCATGACAACGGCCTACTCCAATAAATCATGGGAAGCAGAAGGGTGCATGTAGTACACAAATAATGTGAGCATATTTCAAGGCATACAATGTGCGGGGAGATGGATAGTGAGGGCGGGGAAGCTGACAGATCAGTGGACAAGAATATGCAGATATTACGCCAATATCTGGGGCAGTATGAGAAGTGAAGGTGGCCATCACTGCTGGCCAGGCTCTGCTGCTCGCTACTTTACCTCCATTCCACGCGAGCTCCATAGTACGTGGCAGTGCTTGCAGTACAGTTTCCACACCGCCTGGAAGGACTCGGAGCGGTGCGAGTTAGTCGAGCGGGGAGAGAAAAACTCGGAAGACGACCGCATTGACGCTGGTGGCTAGCAAGAATATGTGGTGGGAAACAAACTGGAACAGAACCCTAGCGTAAACGTCAACGTCAGCCAAAAGATAGCAGCAGCAGTGTGAGGGAAGTTCAAGGCACAAAATAACAAGCGGAAATGCCAAATGGATAACAAAGCTGAAAGAGGATAACGGAGGAGTTTCGAAAAGAGCAGACAAGAAGGGCTCTATGTATGCAGGGCTCTCTTTAACATACCTTGCTCTGAGCATCTGGTCGGATAGTATTGCGAATAAAAGCGGCAGTAGCATTTCAGCAAAGGTGAGAATGACAGGGTGCTATTAAAACAGTCTTTAAATCCAGAACGGATTACTGGTTGCATTCTCGCTATTTTCTATGCACGCAGCGGTGTGTGGGGAGGGGCAATATTGATACCCGATAAGATGAATGGAATCTATGCTAGTTGGGTGGGAGCCAAGCAACGTCTGGATAGAAAATTAAACATAATAGTGCAATTGGCATACTCGTCAGAATTCTCAGGGGCAAAAGGTCAACATTCAATGTTCTAGTAGTCATGAAATTAGCAAAGGTAATAAACAGCGATCACTTAATGCTTGGGAGCTGGGCAGCGGTGAACAGCCTGCGAAGTGGTCTGGTAGACTGGGGCCGATGAAGCTGGTGTGGGAACATCGGTAGCCGAGTATCCGGGGTTGGGTGCAGTGGTTGTCGGCGCAGTCACGATGGTTGACTCTACAGTCGAGTAGCCACCGTTGGGAGCCGAGGTAGTCTCAACAGACGACGGGGCAGCAGTTGAGTACTCAGCGGTCGACTCAACCGACGACGGAGCAGCAGTCGAGTAGCCGCCGTTGGGAGCCGAGGTAGTCTCAACCGATGACGGGGCAGCAGTCGAGTATTCAGCAGTCGACTCAACCGACGACGGAGCAGCAGTCGAGTAGCCGCCGTTGGGAGCAGTGGTGGTCTCAACAGACGACGGAGCAGCAGACGAGTACTCAGCGGTCGACTCAACCGACGACGGAGCAGCAGTCGAGTAGCCACCGTTGGGAGCAGTGGTGGTCTCAACGGACGACGGGGCAGCAGTTGAGTACTCAGCAGTCGACTCAACCGACGACGGAGCAGCAGTCGAATAGCCACCGTTGGGAGCAGTGGTGGTCTCAACGGACGACGGAGCAGCAGACGAGTACTCAGCGGTCGACTCAACCGACGACGGAGCAGCAGTCGAGTAGCCGCCGTTGGGAGCCGAGGTAGTCTCAACCGATGACGGGGCAGCAGTCGAGTATTCAGCAGTCGACTCAACCGACGACGGAGCAGCAGTCGAGTAGCCGCCGTTGGGAGCCGAGGTAGTCTCAACAGACGACGGAGCAGCAGACGAGTACTCAGCGGTCGACTCAACCGACGACGGAGCAGCAGTCGAGTAGCCGCCGTTGGGAGCCGAGGTAGTCTCAACCGATGACGGGGCAGCAGTCGAGTATTCAGCAGTCGACTCAACCGACGACGGAGCAGCAGTCGAGTAGCCGCCGTTGGGAGCAGTGGTGGTCTCAACCGACGACGGAGCAACAGTCGAGTAGCCACCGTTGGGAGCCGAGGTAGTCTCAACGGACGACGGAGCAGCAGACGAGTACTCAGCAGTCGACTCAACCGACGACGGAGCAACAGTCGAGTAGCCACCGTTGGGAGCCGAGGAAACCGGGGTAGACTCAGCAGTCGACTCAGCAGACGACGGAGCGGCAGATGAGTGGCTAGTGTTGGAAGCCGTGGTGGTCTCAACCGACGACGGAGAAGCGGTGGTCGGAGAAGCAGTCGTCGGAGAAGCAGTTGTCGGCGAAGCAGTGGTAGGAGCAGCAGTCGTCGGAGCAGCAGTCGTCGGCGAAGCAGTCGTCGGCGAAGCAGTCGTCGGAGCAGCAGTCGTCGGAGCAGCAGTGGTCGGAGAAGCGGTGGTCGGAGCAGCAGTCGTCGGCGAAGCAGTCGTCGGAGAAGCAGTTGTCGGAGAAGCAGTGGTCGGAGCAGCAGTGGTCGGAGAAGCAGTTGTCGGCGAAGCAGTGGTAGGAGCCGCGGTAGTCCGCGAAGCAGTTGAAGTAGTGGAGGCAGAAGTGGTCGAGGGCTTTGACGGACCGCCAGCAATAGCATAGAGCAGCTCGTTGTCATAGTCCTGGTCAATTGACCACACCATCACACCACCGAGGTTGTTATTGGCCGAATAGTCGCGCTTCTCCTTGAGGCTCTGCGTATCATCATAGGTCACGTAAACCTTGGTCTTCTTGTTGAACACCCACGGGGTACGAGTAGTGGAATCGTAGTAGCGCACCCAGTCACCAGCCGCAGTAGTCGGACCCGACAGAATGCCATTCCGGCGCAGCGAAACGTATGTCCAGTCACCCACGGCGTCACCAGTGTGGGCAACATACTGGTTCTTTGGGTTGCTGGTCATGTCGACAGATGCCTTGTAGCCATGGCCATAGAAGGCAAGGCCGCCCAGAAGCTTCTTGCTAGGAATACCAGCCTTGGTCCAAGCACGGACTGATGAGTCGAACGAGGCCTGCGAGCCCTTGTTGGTCTCAAAGTACAGGGGCGCGTTCGGACCAGTGGTCGGCTGCCAGGAGCCGTTGATTTCATAGTTCATGAGGTTGAAGAAATCGACAGGTCCGGCAAAATCCTTGACATCGGAGAGCGGGCCCTTCGGGCCCCAGAACGGCGCTGTGCTTCCAGCGAGCGTGATGAGCTTGCTGCCCTTGCCAAAGCGGCTATCGAACTGGGCGCGCAGGTCCTTGACCAAGGCAAGCAGGTTCTTGGTGTCGTTCTGCGGGTCAATGGCGTTTCCGGGGTTGCCTTCGTGGCCAGGGTACTCCCAGTCAATATCGATACCATCGATACCGTGGTCCTTAACTAGGTTAACCAGGGCGTTAAGGAAGGTGCTACGGGCGGAAGGCGACTTCAGGATGGTTGAGAAATGGTTGGAGTCAGTCCAGCCACCAACAGACACCAGCGCCTTGGTCTTGGTAGAATGCAGCTGCGAGACAACGCTGGACAGGTACGAGGTCCCGTCGAACTTCAGCGAGCCATCCGCTTTGGGAACGCCAAATGCCAGCGCAACGTGAGTGTACTTGCTGTAATCAACCTTGGCAGCAGCATCGCGATTCCAGGTAGGCAGATAGCCAAACACCGCGAGGTCAGCCTGGACCACAGCGCAGAACAGCGTGCCAGCAGCGAGGGCGATAGCGGTAACACGCATTATATTTTGGTTTTGAGGCGTTTATGAAACTGAAAGCGTCAAGGTAGAGGGGCGGCAGAATAAGGAAGAGGAGGGAGGGGGAGGAAGGGGGATATCGTAGCTGAACTCTGGTGGTTAGAGAACAGGTAGGTAGAAGTAAGAAAGCGTGTAGAAGAGGAGACAGCGAGGATAGCGGTCCACAGCTCTCGCCCTGGCACATCTCTATTTAACGGTCTCTGCGGTCCGCCATGCACACCCCCGGTCCGCCCTGCCCCCTGCGCTGAACTGCGGATTCCATGACACCATACCGGTCCAGCCAACAAGACACCACCTATTGTGCAATCCCCCCAAAGCAGAATGCCAGACCGTTCCCAAACTCGGTTTCATGCATGCAAATTGATAGCACTTCTGCGTTTCGGTGGTGTGTACATTCCACTATCAATGAACTTCCATGCCGGGATCCACTCAAGATGTAGCAGACCGCACGCTGGTCTTTGTGGTCCGGCTATTTTCTCTTCTGCATCTGCTTTTTTACGACGCCGATCCATGTAGCGGAGATATTGGATGGATTGGCGTCTCTTGATTTCTAGCCTTTTATGTGCTGGTGCTGCGGAGTTCCTATTCGACGCCTTGATTTCTGGGCGATGCCTGGTCCTGGGCCAAAATCCGCTGTGATGAATCACTCATACCGAGAGCGGGCTAATGGCAGGTAGCCTTCGTGTCATCGGGCATTGTTCTCTATTTTGGCCGTGCTGGGTCATGCGATGCGGCAGACAATGTGCTGGAATTGACACCATGCCATAGCGAGCCTGTGCAGCACAGACTAGAGCGCGGAGCTAGAGCGACGAGCCGGTGTCCAGCGCGTCTGCTCTTTTCTCCTCTTAACAGCTACCCGGCAAAATGTATATGCTCGTTATTCAGTTGTGTTTACTGGCAGCGGCTTCGGCCAGGCGCCTTCCACCGAAGCCCCGTTACCACCACTCGATGGAGATCGTCAACGGAAAGCTGTGCGTTTTTGGCGGCAAGGACAACGCAACAACAACCAGACTACAGGATTTCCTGCTGGATTTCCGGTGTGTGAAACTGACCCGGCCAATCCGGCGCGTCCAGCCAGGGTGGGAGCAGCTGGAGTCGGCATCGCGGTTTGCCATGCCGCCGCTGGCACAGCAGACCAGCGTCTACGACCGCAGCAGCAGGATTATCGTGCCATATGGCGGGCAGACACCAGACGGATTCTCAAAGGCCGACAAAATCATGATATTCACAACGACCTATGAGGCGTGGGACGCGTCATACATCAGCGATGTGCTGCCACGTCGGTATATCCACTCGGCTGTGCTGCAGGAGTCCTCGGGGGACATGGTTGTTTTTGGCGGTGCCAGCGACGCGACGACCGCAGGCGAGAAAACGGCACGCTGGCGCGATCCAGCACGCATGGTGCTCGACAAGGTCCGGCACAGGTCTCATCTGCAGAGCATCGGAAGGCTGGCCGACAACGCAACCACAGGCACCATCATCCAGGACACCAACGCAATACCGCCTGAGGAAATCGCGCTGCTCACGCACCACACCAGCACGCTGGTAAACGACACGCTGATGGTGGTTCTCGGCGGCGACAACTGGAACAACTCGAAATCCGACGCCGACATGGTGCCCTTCGACCGCGCGCATGTATACAACGTTGACGACCATACATGGACCATGCAGCCGTGCAGGGGGCAAGTGCCGCTGCCGCGGTCGGGGCATACGGCTGCCTTGCATAGAGACAGCATCTACATTTTCGGAGGCGCCAACAACAGCAACTGGTCGATGATATACAATGACATGTATGCGCTGGACACCAGGACGTGGGTCTGGCGCGAGATATCAGTGCCCCACATGCCGAAGCCGCGCTATGGACACCAGATGAAGGCCCTGGGCCACTACCTGATAATCAGCCACGGGTTCCTCGAGAGTAGTACTGGCGACCCTGACATTTACTTTTTCGACACAGAGTCCCACACATTTGTCGACCGCTACTCCCCCGAGGGTATCTCGCGGTCAGAGCTTGATACTGAATGGGCCCCGCCGGTACAATCCCGAACCCACGCCATCATAGCGGTGATGTTTCTGCTGCAGTGTCTGGCCGGAATACTGCCTCTATGTCTGGTCGCCAGGAGCCTCTGGAGGATTCTTGTGGCCAGAGCGTCAAGCAGGCCGCAGCGAGACACACGTGTTCGCCGGATGAGCTCGCGCTTGGCTCGCTATTCGGAGACACTCCGCAACTCGTCCATCTTCCCCTACAAGCGCACGTCGGTGGATCCAGATACCGACCAAGCGACGGTCACCAGCCCATCCTCATTCGTGCACAGTGGGCGGCGTCGTGCCAGCAGCATTCCGCTTGAGACAATCCTCGACAAGTCGAACCGCCAGTCGATCTCGGAGGGCACGTCGACGGTGATTGGCAGTGACCAGGCGAACCAGGGAAGATCAAAGAGGAGCTTTGCGATGTCCAACAGGCGCCATTCGCGGGTGATGGACGATATACCCGACACTCGACCGTACGTGGCCCGGCGACTGACGGTATCTGCACGCCTTCCCCAAGAGGATGTCTCATCCACTCACCACAGCACCGACCGCATCGTCCGGTTTTCTGATGTTATTGACGAGCCAGTTATCGACACAGCAGCATATGACAACATCTCGCTCAGTACCCTTGATATACTGACTCCTGTTGCCGAGGTGCCAGATGCACTGGCTGAATCGTACAGTACATTGGAGCGGTTCTACATCGTGAATGAGAATGCAGAAAGTTGACTTGACTAGTTCGGCCGCACAGCAATTCCAATGTACGAGGAGCTTTCGGGTACTCGCATGAGATACGTGGAAATGCGTGTAGCATTCAGTGGTGGTGTGACATGCCGAGTGCCAGCTGTATGGGCCAGATCACTCACGAGAACAGGATGCATGTATTCTATCTGACAGCAGTCTATAAGCAGACACACACTTGAAGAGCGCTAAATGACGACTGCACCGGGCCCGGCCACCACAGGAGCTCTTTCCTCACAGGCCCTTCTCATGTGTATATCCCCGGGCAATCCCGCTCCGGCCCTCGACAGCCAACATCGGCTCAGGATCGTCCTTGTTTACACTGAAGTCCTCGTTGTCATCGTGTCCCAGCCCGCGGAACGACCGGGCGAGCAGATGCTCGGCACCAGCGCTGCCCAAAAACTGGGCAACCTGGGTGTTCTGGTTGCGCAGCGCAACATCAGCGCTGCCTGCAGACTCCAGTGCAGCAGTGTCCCGCGGGGAGTCGTACCGCTTGCTCTGCCGCAGGGTTCCGGTGATCAGCGAGAAGTGGGGCTCGGAATCGCCTTCGCCAGCGGATTCTCCGCCATCTTCGCTCTTTGCCTCCTCCTCGGCCAGGGCTAGGAACTCGTGGAACTCTGTGACATAGTCGCCCGTCCACTCACGGGTATGTGACAGCGCCAGCTGCAGCTCGTAGGGCGTGACAATCGGGCGATAGAACTCCTTCGAGTCCACCAGGCTGTGCTCGGGGCACGCAACCAGCACAAACACCTCGATCTCGGCAAAGTTGGCCAGCTTCGGGACATTCAGCTTCCCCACGACAAACACGTAGAATTTCTTGTGTGCGCGGCGGATCATGGCCTTCAGGGACTCGACCACGCTGAGGTAGCGGGTTGCCGCAAGCGTGCCAACCACAATGCCAATGACGTCGGCGTCCTTGGCCTTTTGCACCATAAAATACCGCCGGTTCAGGTGCTTGTTGACCTTGAACGTCTCTTCGCGCATTGCAGTTGCCCGCGGATCGTAGCTGAACACAGCCTGGCAACGCTGCGTCAGCATAATGTTGGTCAGTGTCGGGCTCTCGCCGCCAATGTACAGGATGGTGTAGTCGCCGATGGCTGTGCCGGGCTCCAGTTCAAATGAGCGGCCCGGCTTGATGTCGAGCGTGGGCTCAGCCTCCATTGCTGCTGCTGCTGCTGCTGCTGCTGCTGCTGCTGCTGCTGCCTTGCTACCATCGTCGCTGGCATCAGATTTCTTGTCGCAGCCACCACAGCAGTTCGCACCGCAGTCCTTTTTGGGCTTGGCTGGCTCGGCATTCTCAGACCCTTGCGGCACATAGGGTCGATCAGCGACGCTGATTGTGCTGCAAGTGACCGATTCAAACCGCTTGGCTGCCTCCAGGTGCTGTGTGATCTCACTAGCGATATATGCATACGGCACGTCATACATCAGCAGCACGCGCCGTCCGTCAAGCTGCTTCTCGGCCTCGGCCACAAGATGATCGATATCGACCGGCTCCTTACCGAACACGTAGAACACTGGAACGCGTGTCGTCAGGCTGAGACATGTCCGGCCGTAGTGCACGATCAGCTCGGCCGAGTAGTGCTCCGAGGCGACCTCGTCGACACAGCAGCTGCCGTAGGATGTGTCTGCCAGGATGAACATCTTTGCTCCGGTGCGCGCGGTCAACGCGTGTGCAACTGCAGTGGAATCGGCCAGAAGCTCGTCGGGAAACTGCAGCGCGACCTTTGTGTACGAGTTGCTGGCGATGACGCTGGCGGTGCGCTCGACCTCGTAGATGCGCTCGACCTCATCGATCGTCTCTGCGTGCTTCTCGCTGATCACCGCCTCGCGCTGGATGACAGTGCTGCCATCATCGTCGATGGGTGCTGGGGCTGTCAATTCGTTGGCCATTGTGTATGAATAAAAAGCTTTTTTTTTTCGTCGTGCAAAGACGCGGACAAGTGAAGGACCAAGCCGTTGACGAGACAAGCTGGGGCAATTTTTACCGATAATTTATTGATTTGGCTTCAGATCACATTGGCGATTTGTGCAAACAGGGTTTGCAGCGCCGCTTCGCGTAGTTGGATGTGAGTGGCTTAGCGATCTGCAGCCGATATGTGGGCGACCCTGGCAGCGGGTGGTGGGTGACATAATTTTACACAGGCAGGTGAGGGTGGGCGACGGGGCAGGCATCAGATAGAGTTGGACTTTACCGACAGCTCACGGGTGCTCGGCAGAACATTAATGCTGCTTGGCAAATAGGTGATGATGCCCTTGAGGCTGGTGGCGAAATTGGATTCGGTGATGACGCAGAGCAGCGACGGAATGCGGGCAATGAAGGTGAGGACGTGGTAGCAGAGCGGAGTGGTAGTCTGCTTGTAGTCCCAAAAGCCGAGCTCGAGCTGCTGTATGCTCCTGCTAACAAACACGGGAGCATTCTGCTGCTGCTTCATGCGTGCGCGAAGCACATCAACCGAGTCGATAGGAACCTGCACGTCGGTCTTTGTGTAGGGGATGTTGAGTCGCCAGAGGTGCGGCAGATGGCAAATTGCCATTTCCACTGCCGACAGATTGACAGGCACGCGCAGGTCGAGGCTCTGCAGGAATTCGCAGCCAAAGCGCCGAGGCAGTTTGATATTCGAGTGCGAGATGAGCGTGACCTTGAGCTTGCGCATTGGCGACGACACACTCAATACGTTTTCCAGGAACCGCTCGGCCCTGTCCTCGCCGAAGCGGAATATGCCAAGGCACGCGATGTGCGCCTCGCGCAGTGTGCGGAACTCTGACGCATCCACCGACAGCATTCCGCGGCCTGAGCCTTCCAGCATAAAGCTGGTAAGCTGGTCACACGGAAACGCCGCCAGGTACTCATGAATGCTAAAGGGGTAGCGCCGGATATTCAACCTGCGCAGGCGGGGAATGTATGGCGGCCGGCAGGCAGCTGCTCGGTAGCCATCCATGGCTGTGCCATGCCCATTGGCATTCCCATGTCACCGCCAGCCATTGTCTCTTGGGCAAAGTCCAGGTCGAGCTTGCTGAGCTGAGGGAACTGCGCCAACCCCTGCTGCCCGGCGGCGATCGTGTCAATGAGGTCCCAGATATGCACTGCCGGAATCTCAGTCAGGCACAGCTCGACAAGCGACTGCGCGACAATGTGCGGCAGCTGAACCGCGCCTTGTGTTCTGCAGCGGATGGACAGCGTGGTGAGGCAGGGAGAGAACGAGGGCGCTGTCAGCAGCGGGTAGTGCTGGGACCCGATGACCACCTCTTGCAGATTGCTGAGCCGCGAGTTGATCAGGCGGTTGAATGGATTCTCTTGATACAGGCTGTCGTCCACCAATGACTCGTAGCTGATGTGCTTCAGGTTCGGCAGGCAATGCGCCAGGTACTCGTTCAGGCTGGCAATGCTGCTGGGATCGTCTCCCGCCGGGCTCACGTGTGAGTACAGGCGGCCGCCCTGGTAGAAATACAGCGAGGTGACTCCCGACCAGTCGTGAGAATCAAAGCCGCTTTCCATTAGAGTTTGCAGCAGGGTCCGGGTATCGATAATGGTGTGCGCCGAGACAATCAGCAGCTCACGAGCATGGTGCGCCGATTGGCTTGATGCGAGAAGATGGATGTTTGTTTTCCAGTACGTCTGGTCCTTTGCCCAAGAGCGCTTCTGCTGCCGCAGCTCGCAGATGACCGTCCGGTACAGAAGCGGCACAGAGGCCTGGCGCCATGCAGCGCAGGTTGCTGTCAGTGGCTGGAGGTTCTCAAGTCTCCGGGACGAAATGTTGAAGGCATGTTTTACAAAGTCGTGGTAGAAGCGCTGCGAGACAAGATGCAGGATGTCTGGATTGAGTTTTGCGGTATGGCGGGCTACAGCCATGGTTGTCGTATGAAGCTGAAAATGGCTAGAGTGCAGAATCGGGGAGAGGGAGCCAGAAAAGGTAGAGATATGGCGGGAGCCAGGCTAACCCTATAGTAGGAAGGAGCTAGGCCAGAGGCGACAATGCGACTAGCAGAAGCCAGTAGAGCAAGACGCACAGTAACTACAAAAACAAAAGCAGGGGACAGCAGACTCGCAAGCAATAATATTTACAGTGTCCAGGAGATGCTGGCAGAGTGTGAGGGTACAAGAGGAAAAGCGCAAACAAAAAACAGAGCCAGGAACAAGCGACAGAGATCAAGAGAATGGAGGAAATAAAACGGCTAGTGCCAGAATGGCGGGTGGCAAGGCTGCACTCCAATTTATAGAATAGCGCCAGGCGACAGGCATCTGGCGCAAACAAGGCTAATAGCTACAAAAGTCCCTCAGGTGGACCGCTCATGGGGAGCGGTAGAAGCTCGGCCAAAACACGAGAGGGGGGTGAGTACACGGAATTGAAAGCTAAACAGGGGGCTCAACCGCCAGCAGCACAGGTGCATTGTGGCCCTCATTCTGCTCCTTGCCATGTAATTATCCAGGCTTGGCCAGAGAAAACCGCTTGAACAGGCAAGCGCTGTTTGCTTTTCCGCGCTGTTGCACATTGCACGGTGAATGCGCAGGCATGGCTTGTGTTTTGCAGAAGCTGCCTCCAGTCTATTGGCTCGTGCTATATTGGCTGCTGGTCACATGGATCGCGGCATGGTTAATCTGGCAACATGGCGCACATGTATATACACATGCTGCCGGAGTGTTCTGCGTAAAAAAAATCGTGGTGGCACTACCATGATGGTTACCTTTGCTGGTCGTCTGCCCGCCGTATACCGTCTAGCTGAGGGATATTTGTGTGTCCCCAGTGAATGATGGAGGCGCTCTTGATATATTTGGCTTTTTTCTCTGTCGAGAAAGTGCACCACAGGTAACTCCACGCATTACATCTTCAAAAGGGTGCGCCTGGTGATGGTGGCAGAATGCGCCGAGTCCGAGTCACATCAGAGACGAGTGGCAAGAGTACCAGAAACGGTCAGCATGATCTGAATTATGCATGGGTATGCGTGTCGCTCATGCTGCCTTGCTTGTTCTGGCAAAAAGGCCGCCGGGGCATAGAGAGAGCATGGCCGCTGTGCTGGACCCGCTTCTTGTCACAAAGCGGACAGCCCATTATGCCTCATGGCCATATTCTGGCTGGACACGACAATGACGAGGGTGACAGATCCATCCTGCATGCTGCCCATTATCTGAGAGAACCGTTGGGTGCCACGAAGCACAGGCAAATCGCCTGGGCCATGGTGCCAAGCACCTTGTCACATCCACACTATTTCCACACACCATGGACGACAGCAGCGACATTGTACTTGGAACCAGCGGGATCCACAGCATCGCCGAGTCTCTGCGGCGCGAGTCCAGGAGCCTGTATAACCGGCTGATGTCGATCGCCGACGACGCCCGATTCGTCAAGGAGACAGCGGCCCTGTTCCCGGGTCTGCCGGTGGTGGCCAACGAGCGGTGCGGCACATGGTACGTGGACCCGCAGATAGCATCAGCTGTCTCGGTGTACTTCAAGTCGACCGACGGGCACAACGGCAATTGGAAGTTCAGCCTGCGGCGGGCCAACACGCAGCTTCTGGAAGCGCTCGGCACTCACCGCGGCTGCCTGGTTGTGGACTCGACTCGGCGCGGCAAGAGCATGCCAGATGCATTCTCCAAGACTATCCCGATATGGTGCGCCGTGTGGACCCGGGCAATCGCTCGGCAGCGAGGGATGCCCACCTGGGACACAAAGCTGTATACCCCTCCACAGGTTGTTTCGCGCTCGGAACACTCCCAGATCGAGCAGCTAATAGACACCTTTGTCGCGGCGTTGCTCGGGTCCGGAATCGACATAGCCCGACACACCCACGCCATCGACAGGCCATTGCGCGCGATCTGGGTGACCCGCGACCAAGCACTGCATATGCCACCCGACCTCAGCGACGCCCCATTCACACCAGTAGTATGTGTGAGCGCCTCCAGCATTGTCAGGCAGCGGGTGGAAGCCAGTGGGGGAACAGTCCCTTCGTATATATTCAAGGCTCGGCGGATGACCACGAGACATGGGCGCAGGGGCTGACGCCGCGGCTATTCTGGAAGCACAAAGCCCGTCTGCTTGCCCACAGCAACATGTGCGAGGATGTAGCGAAGGAGGTGGTTGCGAAGGAGCGCGAGCGGGGCACATCCGGCCATGACGGCACAGATACTGAGGGTGGAGCACGGTCCAGCGTGGTGGGGAAGACGTGTGTTTCGGTGGGCGACCGGGTGAGTGGGCGGCCGCCCGAGTGCTGGCAGCAGTTTGACGCTATAATCAACTGCGGGTCGCCCGAGTACGAGCAGAACCGGGACCCGGCTCTGGAGCAGCGGTATCTGTTTCTGGACATCCCCGAAGGCAAGAAGGGCCAGGTCGCGCTGGAGAAGTCCATTCCCGCTGCGCTCGAGTTTGTCAGGCCCTTTGTTGAGGCGCGCCAGCGCGTGCTGATCCACTGCAGCCAGGGCATGGACAGATCCGTCGGCATTACGCTGGCAGTGCTGGCAAAGTACTTTGACGAGGGCGGGCAGTTCCACGAGAATCCGCCAAAGCAGATCACCAAGGACTCGATTCGCAGCCGTCTGCTGTGGATTACGACGTCCCGGACCAAGGTAAGCAGAGCGTGCCGAGTGGCTTTGTTGGTGTCGCCTTTGCGGGGGACCAGCCCAACAAAGGCCTTGCATCCACAGACCACCAGGCTAATCCGGATTCGTGGATCCCAATTATCTTGTAGGCGAACCCGTCCCGCGTAACGCTGAAGCGCGTCAACCGGCACTTTTTAGACTTCTTCTGAGCAGGTTTCTGGTCCAATTCATGAATTCCTTGTTGCTGGCAAAGGCGCTCTGCATGACATGCTGTCAGCCCTAGGCAGAATCCCGGTTTAGGCTCCGTCACGTGAATCGCTGCCCAAACAAGCTCAGCGCAAAGCACATGCGAGTGCAACCACTTTCCCTCTCTTCCTCCCTAAAACACACCCTGCTGGCATTGTATTTCTGGGGCTGCACGCACCTCCCTTCCCGCATTCTCTTGACACTAGCACACCCGAGCAACGGTTTCCTTTTATACAACACCTGCTGCGTTCTCCTTACAACACTGGGCCAATGTCTAGTAATTCGCTCGACGGTTATACAGTAAGTGGGCCACGGCATGAGGAAAAGTGCAGTATTACTGAGCACCCCCGGGTGTTGCAATGACTGAGGCAGGGGCTTGCTGCATTTGTAATGCGCCTTTTCACCTTGCAAAAAACAACACTGATAACCCCTGCTGTAGCTGAGCATGACCGACCGAAGCGCGTCGTTCGAGCGGGCACTGACAATCATGCAGAACGAGTGGCGCCGGTTCGAGCTGGAGCGGGTAGACTGGGACGTGGAGCGCATAAAGCTCAAGGCGCAGCTCAGCGAGACAGAGAAGCGCGTCGCACAGCTCACCTCGCTCTATAACATCTCGCTCAAGCACATCTCGGTGCTGGAGGGTCTGCTGCGCGATGCCAAGCAGAGCAGCAAGCAGGCCGACAACCCTACCACGTCATCGGCGAAGACCGGGAAATCAGCGACATCGGTTAATTCAGCAGGCTCATCGGTCTCATCATCATCAGGAGCCTCGGTCGAGGAGGTTGTGACCATGACCCGCACGCGGCGTGAGAAGAGCCGCGAGATGCTGTCACAGTGCCTAGGCCAGATCGACGTGCTGCTGGGAACCAGTACGCGGGAGAACGGCACGGGTCTAACACCGCCGTTCCCTATAAGCGACGTACTGGATCCGAAGACGCCGTCGCCGGTGATATCGCTGCGGCGAACGCAGTCGCCAGATAGCAAACAGAAGGACCGCCCAGGACAGCCACCGCAGCAGCCTACACCGTCGCAGCGCCTGCAGAACCAGGAGCAGACAGGTAGTGTTGCCAATGGGAAAGTCGCCACTGACAAGCCCGCAGAAAAGCCCACAGAAAAACCCGCAGAAAAGCCAGGGTCGACGTTTGAAAGTGCCAGCGACCCAAAGTTCACCGTGGGCTACTGGCCAAGGCCCAGCAGCCGGGGCGGCGTGCGCATCAACGAGCATGAGCGGGCACGGCGGCTATCGCAGCCGCCGCCAATAATCACAATGTCAGAGATTCAGTCGGAACGGCCCAGCAAAAAGACGGCTTCGCACAGCGACTCGGAAAGCACGGCTGCCTCCGTTGACTCGACAAGAGCGGGCACTGCCCCGCCCGTACCTGTGAAGCCGGCAGCACTGAAGGCAGTTGCCAGGCCAGCGAGGAGGATGCCCGACGAGCAGCCACTACATGTACTGGAACAGCGGGCACCGCTGCAGAGCAGCGAGTTGCTAGCCGACGTCGACAACGCCCTTCGCAATCTGACAGTGGATGAGGTCGACTCAGGGCTGGTGCGAGCGGTGCACTACGAGGTCAGCAAATCGTTCATTGGCCACGTCGACCTGGTGCGTGCACTGACCGTGCGCCAGACACTGTCTGATGGCCCGCAAATGTTGAGCGGCGGCGACGACGGACTGGTGATTCTGTGGGATGTGGACCGCAGCGAGCGGCGAAGGTCCAGGAGACGGCCTGTGTCTGACGTCATGCCCTCCAGTGTCTACCGCGGGCATCTGGCTGCCGTAACTAGTGTGGCATTCTCGGAGGGCCACGACTATGCGTACTCTGGCTCCCTGGACAGCACAATCAAAGTGTGGGCCCTCCCTGAGAACAGCCAGGTCGGCGACACCGACTCCATTCCCTGTTTCCCGGTGCGCGAGTTTAGCGAGCACACTGACGCGGTTTGGGACCTTGCATTCGACGTGCGTCGCTCGTTGCTGGTGTCGGTGGGAGCAGACAACGCCTGCCATGTGTGGAGCACCGATGCAAAGCTCAAATCTCAGCCGCTGCGGCGCACTTTGCCTGAGCTAGCAAGCACACCCACCGCGACGTGCTTTGTGATGGAGGATGCGATGCAGTTTGCCGTAGCCTACGCAAACAGTGGGATAAACGTGTACGACTCGGAGACCGGCCAGCTGGTGGCCTCGCAGCCACCGCCCCACGAGCTGCCAGTGTCAGCAAATCTGCAGCGCCGCCAAGTCGTCACACGGATCCGGAGCAGTACCGACCACAACATCCTGGCAGCCAGCGTCAGCGACGGTTCAGTGCGGCTTGTTGATACGCGCACCATGAGGCCCACCAGCCGGTCACAGATCCTGGCCCATGAAGGCTATGCAGCCACAAGCGTCGATGTCGGCAGCAGCGCGCTGGTGACTGGTGGATCGGATGGGCTTGTGCGCTGGTGGGACTGGCGGAATACCAAGTGCGCCTTTGAGGCTGCTGCCCATCTGAGAAAGGGGCACGAGGGCGTATGCGATGTCGGATTTGTCGGCCGACAGGTTGCTAGCGCGGGCAGCGACAGTTTGTTGAAGCTGTTCAAGTAATTGCGCCATATAATTTTAGCACCTTTCTCTTTCAGCTGGCTGTTTGAACGGCCTTCTATATTAATAGCGATGTTGTGACTATAAATGATTTATTTTATGCGGCGTCCAATGTATATGTTCTGGCGCATGGTAGGCACGGCATATGTGGCAATAGCTGTTGAGGGATAGCATAACGCCTGTAGCTCCATGCCTGGTGTTGACCTGTGTACCTCTGCGTGTGGAGGCAGAATTCCGGACAGCCAACCATTTTATCCTTTGCATAGCGTTTCCTTGCATTATGTACTGAAGCGTGCTATAAGATAACTAGAATGATGCAAAGCTAAGGAGCCCCCACTTTTGTGCTAGGCGGTGACAAATGTACTCTGTTGACATTCGGGGTCCAGAGTCCCCCTGTTCCACCATGGGCAAGGCCGATAACGCCTACGTACAAAGCCCCAGGCAGACGATCAGCCTCCCCTCCTCCCCTCAGTCATATTTTTGAGGAGCTATATTTCCATACACCCGATAACCACCTATCCCCTAGGTTAACACGTACCTTGGCTATGCGCTTAACCCATGGTGCAAAATCCATAGAAAGGGGGACCGTGGCTACAGTGCATTCGACAGGAAGTACTTCATTTTGAGAGCAGTGGGGAGTTGTACATAGTAGACAGCTCATCGCTTTGGCGATAAACTTAGTGACAATGACAGGCAGTCTTTGTGGATCCCAGCCTTATCGTCCACTGGACCTTGGAAAGCGCATTCCCTATATTCATAGCTGGTAATGGTGGTCCTATCTTTTCCAACCGCTACAAGGAATATATAAGCTGCATAGCAACCCCCCATCCTTAACCCCCTTATTGATACTTGTATACAGCGTGGTTTCATAGTAGATACATCTTGTGGAAAGGTACATAAGATAACGTACAAAACAGCTGCAGGAGGCTGCTCACCAACGCATTTCACACCTGGCATGCCACAATACATATGTATCAGATGAATATAGAATGGTAGTGATGAAGAGATACTAACGGACATTGGTGTGAATGGTACTACCTATTAAAGACATAATCTGCCATCCTGAGGACACAAACATATACTTTCACAGGCTAATCGTGCAATTATCAGACGATCTGGCATGGCTACTATCCCTGTGAGGATTTGCATCTACGTATAAATTAATGCGTGCTCTACACTATCTACCGCGTCCTAATGTGTGAGAATAATAGACATTGTAGCCGGCTACTTCAAGAATGGCCCGTTGAAATCGGCATTTGCCCCCCTCATCCAGACACATTCGATCGTAAAGCGCACTGCGGTTTGATTTTTCGTTTACATGCCTCATTTGTATAGAGCGGCCTTTTTGCTTCTAACTGGAAGGAGGCTGGCCACCTATTAAAAGCAACTGTCTGCCATTAAAATACAACCCTCGGCACTTTATCGTTCTTGATAAATATTACCTAGGTATTCTCTCTTTTTTACTCTTCGTAATGCCTGATACTACAACTGCCCTCTATGGTAGCTGGGAAAGCCCGCTGTCTGCAGCTGATGTTGCGTCAACGTCAAAGTATGTCGCTGAGATCTGTATCGACAAAGGCTCGCCCTCCCGTGTGTACTGGACCGAGTCTCGCCCATCTGAGGGCGGGCGCCGCACACTGTTCAGCCAGGAGACCACTGACTTTGATGGAGCCACCATACGCGAGCTGACGCCCAACACCCAGTGGAATGTGAGTTCGCGTGTGCACGGGTACGGTGGCTCGCCTTATGCCGTTTATGATGACCTCATTCTGTTATGCAATGCAAGCGACTGCGGTCTATACCTATTTGATGCGAACTCTGCTCTGGCACCTCGCCGGATTGCTCAGCAGGATGATAGGCTGTGGTATGCCAACATGGTCATCCATCCGTCCAAGAAGTTTGCTGTTGCTGTGCGCAAGGACCACCGCAATGGCGACATTGACGCCTTGGCTGTGCTGGTCGCCATTCCGCTGCCCAGCGACCTTGATGCCGACGAATTTAAGCCGACCGATGATGTTGTGCTTTTCAGCCAGAGCGACTTTGTGTCGAGCCCTGTGTTCAGCCCCTTGAACGACGAGATTGCATTCTATACTTGGAACCATCCGAACATGAACTGGGATGCGACTACCCTGCACCGTGCCACGCTCTCGTTTGACGCAAGTGGGGTTGCCAACGGCCTTGATAACCTGGCAATTGTCGCTGGAGGCGAAGGTGACGTTCAGGAGAGCATCTACCAGCCGCGTTTTGACAATGCTGGCAGACTACATTTCCTTGCAGACTGCTCGGGCTTCTGGAATCCGTACTGTGTTGACAGCGACAGCAAGACAAACCAGTCACTAGCTGAGTGTGGTAGGGTACGAAAACTCCTGGTAATATGATAAAGTGTCGGGATTGGGTGTGTGTGGATGGTGCTGGCCTCGAAACAGCAACCCATTTCAAAACCACCATACCAAATCAACCATATAAAAGCTTGACTTCCTAGACCACCTGGTCCCGCCTTTTTCTCCTCAGTAATTCTGATCCCATCTTATTTTCCATAAAATCCGACAACACTTACTCTGGTGAAGGTTGACAGGCTGCTACTGAGTGATCCAGTTGTGAGTATATTACCGCGTTGATTATGACGAAAGTAAAATTCACTGTGGACATAAATGCTATGGATGTATATGAAGCAAATGCATCAGCTAGTATATCATTCACTGAACCACATGCGTAATTTGTCTATACAAAACAAGCAGGCAGTGCATGTAGCAAGTCTACACTTTAGCAGCTGCAAAAGGTGTTTCTACAAGCAAACCACGCGTAATGAAATCCATGAAAGCTATATTAAATGGCTTGAAAGAATTTTCACCATGAAGGCGGCAAACCAATCAAACGGAATGCAGAGTTTAGAACCGGCGCTGGGACCGCTGAGCTCACAGGCTCAGCTTGATCTTGAAGTCATTCATATTGGGAGAGAGCGTACACAGTCATTGTACAAACACGTCATCCTATTGGTGCTGAAGCGGGTCGGGCTGCTCGTATCAAATACCGCCGCCAAGCTGCTCAATCTGCACGCCAATATCATGCTGTAAAGCTGCGTCCTGTGTCTGCGCCTGGATGCGCCTCAGCAGACCGACATCCTTGCCTGCAACGGCCACCTGCGCAGCTTCATGATAGTACCCGATACGCAAAAACAGCTCTGCCCGCTCCCCTTGGTCGCACTTGGCGATATATCGGGCCGCCTCCTGATATTGCAACGCGCCAATACATTCGTCAACAAATGCACGGTACCCAATGGGCGGCTTGCGTGCGTTCGCCAGGCGTGCTAGCTCAGCCCAGTCACGGCGTTGCACCAGCGCATGCACCTTTATCCAGTAGAATCTGCGCTCAGGCACCTTGAAGTCGCCCTTGAGTTTGTTGGCTCGTGTATAGTTTCCCCGGGCCATGCATTTCGCCACAGTCTCGTTGACTGTCAGCCCGACGAATTTCTCGCCTTGCATCTCTTGTTCGAGCTGGTACTGGACCTTCAGCAGCTTGATATGTGCGTCCATCGCCTTTGTCTGCCGCGCGCTGGTCTTGTCCTTCTGCAGGATGTCCAATGCAACCTTCAAATTTGCTACCAGCTCGCCGACATCGTGCTTGTCCAAGTTGTCAATCAAAATTAGCTGCGCTGATTTGCGGCGCGCGTCTTCCTGGTAGTAGTAGTCTCTGAGAACTGGCGATTTCTGATCGATGCAGTACTTCTCAAACAGTTGGCCAGCAACACGGCTGCGGCTGATAACCTTGAAGAAGTCCACCAGCTCCATCGCTTTGAACAGATGGAATATGACAAAGTACACCAGGTCGGCATCTCCACTGCGGATCGCCTCGTCCATTGCTGTCGATTCCTGGCCCATCGATATAAGTAGCGGGACCTGGTTGCCCGCCCGAGGCTCATGTTTCAGTAGCCGGATCGCCAGCTTCTGGTATCCAGTAGTATTGGCCACCTCCGCAATATCCACGTACGAAATACCCGGTACACTCTGTAGCTTGCTCATGATGATCTTGTACAGCGCATCGTCGTCGATAGTCGATGCCCGGATCTTGGCGCACGCCCAGTGTATGTACACCTGATCTGCCGGCTCCTCCATGTAGCGGCACATGAGTATGGCCAGCTGATGCTGGTTGCGGTTCAGGAGTCGCGCAACCCAGTCCTCAAACGGCTGGCTCAGGAACTGCATAGTCGACACAGGGATGCCATTCTCATACTGTGCTAGGCAGTTGACGATGCGCAGGTGTTTGCAGATATCAACTAGCTTGTCGCCGTTGTACACGTCCAGGAAAGCCTTGCCAAAGCTTGCTGTACGCAGCAGCGCCTGCTGTATTTCAACTATAGGCTCACAGCTCGCTGCTGCTATGCATGTGTCAATGGCATATGGCAGGTCGTCGCCCAGGTCGCGAATGGTCGAGCCAGCTTGCGACGAGTGTGCCTTTATATTTTCCAAGGAGTCATACAGCATCGATGCCGGCGTTTGCAGCCCAATCTGGAACACAGCCTTGCTTTCGTCGCTGACTTTGAACAGAAACTCGTGAGCCTCCGAGTTGAACATGCGCACCCCATCCAGCTCCTGTACCAGGCACATAGGTTCGTCCGTAGGGAAGACCAGAGAGTCACCGAAAGGGCCCAGGAGCACTGCCTCCGACTCATAGCTGATCACTACTGCGTCGCTGCCGCACCATGCAATATCCGCCGGCCGCTCAGCCGCACCATGTTCCATATCCGAGAACGACTTTTGGAAGTCGGTTGACACCACCTGCACACGGCCGCTTTCTGAACACAGGACCACCAGCCGCCCGTTAGGAGATACCGAGATGCTGGAGAATGGGCCAGAGTCCAGCAGCTGGTCCTGTGTGCCGACTGCGTCGATCTGCAGGATTGTCTTGCCCGACGACAGCAGTATCTCTACGTGGTGACTCAGACTTAGGTGTGGTGGGATGATGGTCCAGCTGCTCACCTCTCCAGTATGCTTGCCAAGCATCTTGGGCTTCGGCTCGTATATGTCGTTCACGTATATGAGCTTTCCGTCGGCGGTGCGCGCAACAAAGCCCTGGTCCCAGAACCGACAGTCGACAACACCCGCCTCCTTGGCCTCATTGCCCAAGGAGAACGCTGATCCAGGCGCACTCAGCCCGAAGACACGCACACTGCCGTCCTCATGCACGCATACAAGCTCCTCGCGGCTGTTCCAGCTAAACGCAGCAATGTGCAGTCCGTCGTATTCGATTTTGCCAATAAGCAGCCCGCTGGCCGAAAACACATGGATGGCCGAGTCCAGCAGCGGGGATGGGCCAGCCTCGAGCAGCTGCCGGTCGTCGCGCAGCAGCGCTATGGGGCCGCCGAATGACGACGCTGCCACGCGAAAGTTGCGCAGATTAAGGTCGGCCCACTGCATTTGGTACAGGCGGTGCTTGCGGTAGTAAACGTCCTGCAGCTCGTGCCACTCTGCTGTCGGCGTCAGTGTCGTCATTTCAAAATTAACAGGCCGTGCAGAAATAATACAGATAATTCGGTGTTGCAGTGGGAGCAGGGAAAAGTGACGTCGCAGGCTTGTGCCAAGCACACGAAAATAACAGCCACAGCGCAGTCACGTGGTGTAATCCGCTGATTGAATTTCTGGTGCTGATCAGCCAGATGCAGATCCCGTGATTATCGTCAAGATAAGATGCCATGCCCATTTTCGGCAGCCATCTTGGGCGACTAAGGTGTGGAAACCCATCGCTTGCGGCGTCGAATTCGAAACACCGAGACCGCACTGCACGGCTGGGGAGTCCAAGCACCTATCTCACCTTCACTGAATCCCCCTCGTTTGTTTTTCAATTCGCACTCTAACAAAGGAGACGGCTATTTGTATTATTTCTCTGCTTCTTTCTTTCAAATTCGTCGCTTGCGCCCAGTCGATTTAAAAGAAGACAGACAGACTAGAAAGAACCTGGAACACCCGCCAAACTAGAAACCTAAAAAACATGCTCAGGGCAACTGCACAGCGCACACTTTTGCAGCACACGCGTCGCACAGCGGGTAAGCAGAAATTAGGCGTCCCAAACTTTAAATCGGCACAATTTTGCATTCGCCAGCCATTGGAATCACACTGTTCAATCAACAAATTGTTCTTTTGTCCACACTTAGGTGCCCGTGGGTTCCGCACCACGGCTGCTTCGCGCAAGGAAATTGAGATGTTCATCGATGGCAAGGCGGTTCAGATCGAGGAGGGCTCTGCTATCATTCAGGCTGCCGAGAAGGCTGGCGTGACGATCCCGCGCTTCTGCTACCACGAGCGGCTGGGCATTGCCGGCAACTGCCGCATGTGCTTGGTCGAGATCGAGAAGTCGCCGAAGATGGCAGCGTCGTGTGCGATGCCGGTGGCTCCGGGCATGAGTGTGCTGACGGACACTCCCAAGATCAAGCAGGCGCGCGAGGGCGTTATGGAGTTCCTGCTGGCCAACCATCCGCTGGACTGCCCCGTTTGCGACCAGGGAGGCGAGTGCGACTTGCAGGACCAGTCGATGCGGTACGGTATGGACCGCGGACGGTTCCACGAGAACAAGCGCGCTGTCGAGGACAAGGATATGGGCCCTCTGGTCCGCACCACAATGACGCGCTGCATTCACTGCACACGCTGCGTGCGCTTCATGAACGAGGTCGCCGGTACCGGCGATCTGGGAACCACTGGCCGCGGTAACGACATGCAGATCGGCACCTATGTGCACAACCCACTCAACTCGGAGCTGTCCGGCAACATCATTGACCTGTGCCCGGTCGGTGCCCTGACATCTAAGCCGTACTCGTTCCATGCGCGTCCCTGGGAGCTGAAGAACACCGAGAGCATCGACGTCATGGATGCTCTGGGCTCGAACATCCGTGTGGACTCGCGCGGTGAGGAGGTCATGCGCATCATCCCGCGCACCAACGACGAAATCAACGAGGAGTGGATCTCGGACAAGGCCCGGTTCGTGTTTGACGGCCTCAAGCGTCAGCGTCTAACCACCCCGCTGGTTCGTGACGGCGATAAGTTTGTTGCTGCTACGTGGACTGACGCCCTGCAGATTGTGGCCGAGAAGCTCAATGCCACTTCCCCCGAGCAGATCCGCGCAATTGCTGGCGATTTGGCCGATGCCGAGTCGATGGTTGCGCTCAAGGACCTGTTCAACGCCGCCGGCTCTGAGAACCTGTCGGTTGACTCGCTCAACAACACCAAGGCGCCTGCGTTTGACGTCGATGTGCGCTCCAACTACACGTTCAACACGACTATTGCTGGTGTTGAGGAGGCCGACGCTGTGCTGTTCATCGGCACCAACCCGCGCCATGAGGCTCCCGTGCTGAATGCCCGCCTGCGCAAGCCGTACATGGCCAGTTCAGTCCAGTTCGGTCCTCATTGGCAAGCCCGTCAACCTGACCTACGACTACACTCACGTGGGCGAGTCCCCCAGCGCCATCGAGGATCTGGTCCAGGGCAAGCACGACTTTGTCAAGGTGCTGAAGGAGGCCAAGCGCCCGATGGTCATTGTCGGCGGAGCGATCGGCGAGCTTGGCAACGGCAAGGACATTCTGGCCGCCGTCGCGCGTCTGGCTGACACCGTACCGTCGCTTGTCACCGAGGAGTGGAACGGGCTCAACGTGCTGCAGTACGCTGCCGGCCGCACTGCTGCCTACTGATATTGGCTTTCGTGCCCAACGGCCAGTCGTCGCAGAGGCCCGTCCAAGTTCATCTACCTGCTGGGCGCCGATGAGGTTAACCCGGCAGAGATCCCGCAAGACGCCTTTGTCGTGTACCAGGGTCACCACGGTGATGCCGGTGCTCATCTGGCCGACGTCATTTTGCCCGCTGCTGCCTACACTGAGAAATCTGCCACCTTTGTCAACACCGAGGGCCGTGCCCAGCAGACCCGCCAGGCTGTCGGTACCCCTGGCGCCGCCCGCGAGGACTGGAAGATTGTGCGTGCGCTGTCCGAGGTTGCCGGACTCACTCTGCCCTACGATGACGTTGCGACCCTGCACGCACGTATGGGCGATATCAGCCCGTCGCTGGTCAACGTTGGCGAGCTCGATCATACCTCGCGCGATATTGCGCAGCTGGGTTTGACCCAGTGGAAGGAGGGCGCCGGAAAGAACCTGTCGGGTGCCTTTGTCAAGGTCATTGAGGACTACTTACATGACGGATGCTATTTCCAGAGCCTCGCGCACCATGGCCAGGTCCTCGGCCACGTTCACCAAGAACAGCAAGAACGCTGCCGAGCATTCTTCGGGTGCCCAGGCCACGGCGTAAACAGTGAGGATCCAGTGCTTTGGGTTCGATACTACCCCCTCGTCTATTACTTTCATTTTTCTCTTTTTCTCTCAGAAATACAACTCCCAACAACATCTTGCTTGCTATAGAGTTGTGACTACGCTATGTGTCCGAGATCACATACGAGATATTGATCTGCATCTTGTAAGCTTGATTCCGCCAACACAACGGCACAAGCGGTGTGGATCTAGAGCACAAGGCAGGAGATACAGAGCGGCGAATGGTGGCAAAGCCAAAAAGGGACGCAAAGGATGGATAGGGAAAAGGAAACAACGGAATGAAAGACTACGCAGTTCACAGCAATCGGACCTTGAGACTCTAGCAGAATGGTAGGGCAGAGCGCAGTAGGGGCATCTTTGAATTTTGCAGAAATACGGCAAGCTTGCTCCTGAGTTGAGGTTTTGAGCAGGGACGGCACGTACATGGCCCAACCAGCAATCAGGGATACACTTGAATGGTCATCTTCTTTGCTGCAGCAGGTCGGTGATAGTATGCTAGATTGATCTATATTTTGGCATGCGCAAAAGGTTGTCAAAAGCAGTGCCTATCTCATCTGTACCCGCGATGCTGGCTTGGCTGTCGTGGGCCGTTAATCCACGGAGACCTGGATCTATATCTACTACGGTCAGTGTACCGCGGCGGCGAGCGCGACCTAGATCCCCGGCGACCACGATACGCATGCGCAGGCGACCTGCCCCGGTAATAGTCTCTGGGCGACCGGTATGGCTCGTACGCCTGGTGGCGCGATCCAGTGTCATAGTGTATTGGTGACCGGCGGCGTGAGTAGGCAGGGCTGCGGCTGCGGAACGGCTCCTGGCGACGCACAGATTCGTGGCGCCAGCTGTCCTGGCGGCCGGTCCGCGATGGCGATCTGTCATCCCTGCGCATACCGATGGGTTCCTGGATATGACAGGCGAGGACTGGGAGCATGCGATTCCCGAGACGACGCGAGCTCTCCATCCTCGGGCTCGATCTCTCCTTCCTCTTCCGACGATACCTGGGCGATATCTGCTGCTGGTATTTGAGGAGGTGGTGGCGGCGGCGGTGCAGATACTGGTGGTGGTGGTGGCGGCGGTAAGGATACCGGTGCAGATACAGGTACATGTGGTACAGCCGAAGCCGTCGGAATTGCTGGCGATTGGCTGCTGGTGCGATTGGTTTTGCCGAAATTGGCCTGCTTGAGGAGGAGGACGGGCTGGATGACGTGTCCATTTCGATCTCTGAGCTGGCGCGCGACTGGGTAATTTGCATATGCGGCGGGGATGGGGCAGCTGGCGGCACAAGGGGCCGATGCGGCTGAATAAGCAACCGGCGGCGGGGGCGATACTTGACGCTTCTGTTTCGTTTCCCCAAGGCCGGTGCTTCCTCGGACGGCCAGAATCCGATAAACGAGGGGATCACCCGGCCATGCACCTCCACCATGGCGTCTGGAGCATCTGCCCGCCTGCGTTTATCGCTCTGTCGCCGCAGAAAGCCGACCCGGCCCGCGGCAAAGACCTCGTCGTAATATGCATGGCCAATAATATGATCGCGGAACTCCACGGCCAGCGACGTCATACCGACATGCACAATGCGGCCAGGGAAGAACTCGGTCGAGACCGCCGTGTCAGGGTGGAGATCGTCCCGGAACAACGCATAGACCTGGTCGCCGATGCGGTAGCTCTGCTCCATGGCTTTCTTGATCATCAGCATCTGATCCCAGTACACAGCCCACGTATCTTGCGCGTGCGGCAGCGCGCTGGTATCGCGGACCGTATACATGTTTTTTGGCGCATCGCACGCGACAATCTCGGCCTGAATGCACGCATACTGCGGCGCCGTCAGCAGCGGGTCGGTGGTCGGCACAAATGCTGCGACCGAGTCCCCGCGCCGATAAAAGCTGTGCCCACCCAGACGCCCGCCTGCCATCATTCCACGCGGCCCCTCGACCTCCAGGGGCCGCGACACCGCGCCAGCGCCTGCCTCCATGGCGCCATTGATTGCGCTGCGGATTCCCGAAAGCAGGTCCTTTGCGTGTCTGCGGTGACATCAGGTGGTTGCGTGCAGCGCGTTCCAGCTGGTCCAGGCGACCCTGGCGCTGCTAGCTGCTCGCCCAGGCGCTGCTCGAGTGTGGCGATGCGATCGGGGGTATGCGGGGGAACTCGGCGGCCAGGCTGTGGAGCGCAGAATTAACCAGAGCGTCGAATTTGGCTCCGCCCTTGCTGTCTTGGAAGGAGGAGAGCAGGGCGTGGCGGAGAGTGTCGAAGGAGCCGTCCTGCTTGAACCTTGCCAGGACCTGCTCCGGCGTAACGCGCACCATGCCCGAATTTTTGTTTTGGTAGTGTGTGAATAAAAATTAAGCGCGAATGGAGACGAGGTGGACTTGCCGGGCTGGCCCCATGGCCAATGAAGCGGTTGGGCTGTTGGCTCTCCAAGCCTCGGCAAAGATGAGCGCGCAGGCGATTGATCTTGATGCACGTGAGATCGGATCGGCGCTGGGCCAATGGGCAGGCATCTGGGGTATGTGCAAGGCTTATGAGGACGCCACAATTGCAGACACGCTCTATCCAGCATCAGCTCGGCTGTGGCTGCATGCTTACAACTGCAGTGATGGCATTGGGAGGCGCTCTCGTCAGACACCAGGACAACTACAAATAACCACTCCGTTTTCCCGCCGTCCACGTCCGCGTCCCCGGTCCTTTTCTTCCTCCTCTCGCTCAATCATATATATTTTTCTTCCTGTCCGCCATCGCCATACAGAGCGACTGCATAACCCTCCAGCTGTGTGCGTTTTTCGATTGAACTAACCATGATAGAGACTCTTTGCGCCTGGAAGTTCGCAGGTCGATAGTGCCCTGCATCAGGTGTTTGACCCTCTGCATTTCTCCAGGCATGGGCGACTATTGGCATGTGATGCTTGCATCGTACATTGCTGTCTGCCTGGTCAAGCGCGGGCTGCACATTATGTCGCAAGTATTCCTGCCGCGCATCTACGGGCGCCTGGACGACAAGACGAAGCGGGACTGGGACATTGCATCCATTGGGCTCCTCCATTCATTGTACGATTCTTCGATTATTTTGTGGTATCTTGTCGACGGCACGCTGGCCAAGAACAGGATGGACGGGTATGACAAGACATTCGAGTTTCTCCTGGCGACCATGCAGGGCTACTACATCTGGGACCTGATCGTGTGCCTGACGAATTTCTCCGAGTACGGCTTCCCCTACCTGATCCACGGCGGGTTGGGCGTCCTGGGCCTGCTAATTGTGACCTCGGGGCAGTTGCAGTTCTACGCAATTCCATATCTGCTGCCCGAGCTGAGCTCGGTGTTTTTGAATATTCGCCATCTGCTGAAGTACTCGGGCATGTCCGGCACGCTGGCGTACAAGGTCAACTTTGCAGTGTTTACGGGCGCCTTCATTGTAATCCGCCTTGGCTACGAGGCGTACCAGGCGTATGTGCTGGCTGTGGACGTGTATCATGGCCAGACTGGCAGTGCGTACCGGCCGTTCGCCGTGTATTTCACCGTGGTCGGGGCTACGCTGACGTTCCTGAATGTCATGTGGTTGCGCGAGATCCTGAAGGCCGCGTACTACACGCTGGGCAAGCCGGCCAAGGCGGCCAAGACAGCCAAGAAGACCCAGTAAGAGCAGGCGGAGAGGGCCCAATCAGGGCGTTTTTGTTGCCTTAGTTTTGAGCCGAATGGATGACGACGGCTGATCCCAGTGCCAGGCATCGTCTGTCCCGCATTTTCCCTCTTTTCCTTTTTTTCATAGCCTCCAGTTTTGTGTAGGTGGTACCGTTTCAAAAAGGGTTTTTCTTCTTTGCCTCCCTTTTATATACGCGTTCGTTTTCTTTTTCCTGTTGCATGTGAGCTTTTAGGGTGATTGCAGTGGTAATACAGTAAATGCAGTGGCCATGGACGCGACAACGAAGGAAATTCAGGACAATGAACTAGCGGCCCTGAGGGCAATATTCATGGTAAGCAAGAGCGTGCAGCGTGCAGGAGGTAGCTTGTGACTCCGCTGGGTTACTCAGCAGGTTTTTGGTGACTCGGCAAGAATAGGACGACTACAAGGACGTCGAGGCCAAGACAGCGTGGAAGGTGAAGCAGAACGCGCCCGAGTTTATACTGACAGTGCGGCCAACCGACGAGTCACTGCAGGCGCAGGTGTCAGTGGGCATGCGGATCCGGCTGACAAAAATGTACCCGCAGACATTGCCGCAAATCACATTGGAGAGCCCGGTCGGTCTCAGCGACACGCAGGTGCAAGAGGCGCTTTTGGAGCTCAAGCACGAGGCACGTAAACTGCACGGCACAGAAATGATCTACGAACTAGCCATACTTTTGGGCGACTTTCTGACCAGCAATAATTCGGCGGCGCAGGCAGCGCAGCCGTCGTTCCACGCGCAGATGGTCGAGCGCGAGGAAGCCGGGCGCCAGGCCGACATGGAAAGGCGGGCGGAGCAGCACCGGCGGCAGCTGGCGGCGGATGCCGAGGAAAGGCAGGATCTGGAGCGGCGCATTCGGCAGGAGCTCGAGCGCAAGCAGCAGCAGGTGCTGACCGACCAAAGGCGCGAGAAGCAGCTGAGCGATATTGCGGATGCCGTGCATAATGTTGCCGGACGGTGGGCCGAGGGCATCCAGCTGCTGACGTTCAAGCGGCGGATCTTCCTTGACCCAGAGCAGCCGCGCAATGGGCGGTTCCAGACAGTCGCGCTGGAGGAGTCGTCGATTGTCGATCCGCTGTGCGTAGTGTACGATGCATATCCGACAGATCTGGTGGGCGCCAGCATACACTTGTCGGACCGGTTCACGGTGCAGTGCGTTGTAATCACATCCCTGCATTATGCGACAGACCAGGGCCTCAAGCAGCTGATCCGGGTGAAGACGCGCATCGAGGATCTGGCGCAGATCAGGCATTCGAACCTGGTCACAATATACGGGTGCCATCTGGAGGTGCTGGAGGAGCAGAGCCAGCATGCAGGCCAGCGGCTATGGGTACTCAGCGACACGCTGTCATCGCACGACGGATCGACACTGGAGGACGTGCTAGAGTCGTGCGGGTCGATTGCGCTGAAGCAGACACGCACGTATCTGCGACATATTCTGCTGGCGCTGGTCAGCCTGCATGCGGCCGGATTTATCCACCGGGGCATCATGGCGCGCAATGTGCTGCTGAGCAAGCAGGGCCGGGGCAAGTTCATAGCAAAGCTGTTCAACACCAGCTACCGCGAGGAGCTGATTGAGATCCACCGGCTGACGCCCTTGTCGGGCAATGTCAGCGACAACATCGGCAACGACATCCGCGTGGCGCCGGAGGTCATGGAGCGGCCCGACATGATGGGACGCAAGAACGACATTTGGTGCGTCGGCGTGCTGGCGCTGCAGATGGTGCTTGGTCTGGATGTGCTGCGTAACGTGCCCATTGGCCAAGAGCCACACGTTCTGGAAAAGCACCGCACCAGCATGGCAGTCGAGCTGTACAAGGTCATTGCGCTGATGCTGACACCCGACCACCGGCAGCGCCCGACCGCCATGGAGGCGCTGAATGACGGGTTCTTCAAGCTCGGGCTAGGCGAATCTGAGCCGTCGGTTCACCGGCAGGCCCTTGACAGCGCCTCCCGCGGCCTGACCTTTGAGCTGCAGCGGACTGCCCGCGGTGCCGACGCGCCCTCTCCGGTGCATTCGCCACAGACAGCAGCGTCGCCGCCATTCTTTGTCGCGCAAAAGAACATCCAGGGCGAGACGGCGGCAGCGCAGCCAGTCAGCCGGGCGCCATTGCCTAGGGCATCCTCGGCGGGCCTCGAGCACTTTGTGCGGCCATCAGCGTCGCGGTACCGCACAGACTTTGAGGAAGTGGAGTTTCTGGGCAAGGGCGGGTTCGGCTCGGTGGTCAAGGCGCGGAACCGCATCGACGGGCGGTACTATGCAATCAAGAAGATCAAACTAGACGCGCGCGACACCGAGGGCAACAAGAAGATCTTCCGCGAGGTCACAACGCTGTCGCGGCTGCACCACCAGAACGTAGGTGCGGTACTACACGACGTGGGTTGAGGACGTGGTGGTGGAGCCCGGCATGCCGTCGATGCTGGCAGGGCTGCCGGAGGACTCGGATGAGTCGGGCGTAGACTCGTTTGCGTCAATCAATGTTCCGTCGTCAGACTCAGTGTGGTCGACCGATGAGGATGCGTCGGATGATGATGGGTCGGGCAGCAGCACCAGCAGCACCAGCAGCAGCTCCAGTGGCAACGAGGATAACGGCAAGGGCCTGCTGGTTAGCACAGAGCGACCGGACAAGTGCCAGTGGTGAGCTGGCGAGCCGGTCGGAGGGCGATATGACAAGCGGCGGGCGCAGTGGCGGCAATGTGTTTTCGGCGATCCGGTTCGGCACAATGGGATCAGGGGGAGCCGGCGAAAAAGACGCGGGGGTGCAAGCTGCCGGTGCGGGAATTCAGGATCGAGTTCACTGACTCGCAGCAGAACACGACGACGACACGACCGACGACCAACACAGGCGAAAGCAGCCTGGAAGAGGAAGAGTCAGGACAATATCCAGTTTGAGTATACCAGCGACGAGGCGGATGGCAGGGATGATGACGACTCGTACCTGGAGGATCTGATGCACAGCAATGCGCAGCGGCGGCAACGGCGGACAGGGCTCGAGCAACAAGCGCAAAGCGGGGCGACGGCTAGCAAGGCGGGGCGGCAGACCCAGATTCTGTACATCCAGATGGAGTACTGCGAGAACAAGACGCTGCTGGATCTGATCCGCGAGGGCATCGAGGAGAAGGAGTGCTGGCGGCTGTTCGGGCAGATCCTCGAGGGTCTGAACCACATCCACCAGAGCGGGGTGATCCACCGCGATCTGAAGCCAGTCAACGCGTTCCTGGACGGGGCAGGGGATATCAAGATTGGCGACTTTGGGCTGGCAACATCGAACTTTGCGCCGATCGACCAGACGTCACGGCTGGCCAGCCTGGACAAAAGCGTGGAGGAGACGATGACAGCAGATATCGGCACATCGACGTACGTCGCGCCAGGAGGTGACGGCCAAGGGAAGCGGGGCGACGCGATACAACCAAAAGGTGGACATGTACTCGCTGGGCATCATATTCTTTGAGATGTGCTATCCAATGAACACGGGGATGGAGCGGGCGACGGTGATCCACAATCTGCGCAGCAGTGAGGTTGTGTTCCCGGCGGACTTTCCAGGTGGACAAGATGCCGCTGCAGCACCAGATCATCCGGCGGCTGCTGAGCCATAGCCCACGGCAGCGGCCGTCGAGCGCGGAGCTGCTGGAGAGCGATCTTCTGCCACCGCGAGTGGAAGACGAGTACCTGCGGGAGACGATCCGGACGATTGCGAACCCGTCGCAGCCGTACTTTCCAAAGTTGATGGACTCGCTGTTTGGACATACGCCAGACAAGCACATTGACGCGACATTCGACTACCGGGCGAGCGACATCCCGGTGGACCAGCTCAACTCGGTGTTCCTGGACCGGATCCGCGAGCTGATGACAAAGGTGTTCCGGACGCACGCGGCAGTAGGAGCTGTCGACGCCGGTGCTGGCGCCCAAGGCGGACCTGCTGGATATGTGGCAGAAGCCGGCATACTACCTGGATCCGCGCGGCAACGTGGTGCAGCTGCCATTCGACCAGAAGGTTCCGTTTGCGCGGTACGTGGCGCGCAGCCGCATGACGGAAATCAAGCGGTACAGCTTCGACCGGGTGTTCCGGGCCAACCCAATCGGTGGGCAGCCGCTGACGGGCAATGCGGTGTCGTTTGATGCGGTGACCAACCGTAGCGCACACGCGGTGGCAGCGGCGGAGGTAGTGGCAGTCACGTGTGAGGTATTCCACGAGCTGCCAGCGTTCCGCACGGCGCGGCTGGAGCTGCAGCTCAACCACATGGCGGTGCTGGATGCAATCCTGGCGTTCTGCGGGATCCTGCACCCGGCGTGGGCGGCACCGGCGGGGCGGGCAGCGGACGATGCGGAGGAGGGCGCACGCCATGTGCAGTTTGTCCGCAATGTGTGCCAGGCAATCAGCAGCAGCGCGCGCGAGAAGCCGCAGGCGGTGAGGCAGCGCATCCAGATGATGTGCCTGGCGACCGGCGTGTCGCTGCAGGCACCGGCGCTGGATCGGCTGCAGACGTTCATGGCCATCCGCGGCGACCTGAATCACGTACAGCGCGAGGTTCTGGGGCGGATTGGGGCCGAGTGCGGCATGGCCGGGACGCGGTTCGCAGCGCAGGGCGCCGAGTACGCGCGCGGGGCAGGCGAATGCATTCAACGAGCTGCGGTATGTGGAGGCGGCGGTGCGGCACTTTGGCGTACGCATGCCTGTCGCGTATGTGGCACTGTTCAGCCACAGCTACGCGTACTGCAAGGGCGGGTACTGCTTCCAGCTCGCCACCGAGCCGCGGCGGGGCAAGGCGCCGCTGGTGCTGGCCACCGGCGGGCGATACGACGGGCTGCTGCGGCGGTTCGGACACCTGGCAGGCGAGTACGCCAAGCAGCCCACCGAGCCGGCAGTGCCAGACACCGAGCTGTCGCCGTTTGCGAGCCGCACCGGTGCTAAGCACTCGCACGCAGTGTGGCGGCAGATGTATTCCAAGGAGGACGCGCCGGTGGCGATCGGTACGAATCTGTCGGCGGGCAGCGCGGTGCTGGGCACGGCACGCGACGTGGTGTGCCTGGGAGTGCAGATCGACCTGGACCTGGTGGTGCAGGAGATGGCGCGGTACCAGCAGAATGTGCTGCAGAACGCTGACGCGGCGACGTTTGGGCTGTGGACGCGCAAGCGCTGCGACGTGGTGGTCGCGTCGTTCGGCACCAAGCCGCTGCTGCGCGAGCGCATCTCGCTGGCGCGCGAACTGTGGGCCAACGACCTGCGCACCGACTTCCTCTTCAACGACGACCCCGACATGTCCATGGAACGCCTGGTGGACATCTGCCGCGACCAGGGCATGAACTGGATTGTCACGCTGAAGAAGCGCTCGGGCACCAAGCGCCGCCCCGACCACGACCGCTTCGTCTACAAGGTCAAGAACATCCTGCGTCGCGTCGAGAGCGAGGTCCCGCGCGACCGCCTGGTCGAGTGGCTGCACACCGACATCAGCGAGCAGCTCAAGCAGGACCTGCTCACCCACGGAACCCGCGCCATGGCCAAGCCGGAACGGTGCCTGCCCGAGCCAAGCGAGCCGCCCACGCTCACTGCCTCAGAGCCGCCCGGCCGTCTCGACATCACCATTGTCAGCCCGCATAGCTCGGCCAAGAACCTGAGCCGCGCCAAGCACAAGCAGCGTATGATGCTGCTGGACCGTGCGACCGCCAGCGCCGGCCGCATCATCGCCGAGGTCGCCCGCACCGCGCCGGTGCTGGCTATTGAATTGGGCGATGAGTTCCTGCGCCGGCTGATGGGCGAGCCCAGCATCCTGACTGACCACGGCCTGAAGCGCATCCTGGAGCTCTGCTCCGCCCACCAGCGCTCGCATATCATCGAGCTGCGCAACCACATGGAGCGCTGCAGGCGTGAGGGCGTCGCCTACGTCTGGCTGTACTCGACCAAGTCCGAGACTGCCGTCAACTATAAGCTGTAACCAAAAAAACAACCAATTTATTTTCTAATCCACACTACTTGCCGAGCTCCGCTGCCAGCCGGTCAAACTCGGCCTCCTTGGCCGCCAGGTCCTTGACAAAAGCGTGCTCGGGACTGGCTGCCTTCAGCTGCCCCAGCAGCCGTGCGCGCTGGTCCGCCGCACCGCCTGCAAGCGTCTCCAGCACCAGCCGGTTCGCTAGCGTCTCGGCGTCCCTGGGATCGCGCTCGGTCGCCTCCTCCAGCAACCCGCGCGCCTCTGGATACTCCGCCATCTGCAGCTTGGCCACCGCCTGCGCTCCCAGCAGCCTGACATTGGCCGCCGCCTGCGCCTGCGCCAGCTCCTCAAACACATATCCGGCCTCGCGCGCCCCTCCCCTGACCACGCCCACCCACGCCTCTGCCAGCTGCGCCAGCGGTGCGTCTTCCTGCCCACGCACGCACGCGCTCCACCAACTTCTGCGCCAGATCCGCCCGGTTAATCCGCAGATACACACTGACCATCACGCACACGCACTCCAGGTTCTTCGGGTGCCCCGCCAGCAGACGCAGCGCCTCACTATACTGCCCAGCATTCGCCAGCACCTGCGCACCCACCGCCGCAAACACCGCCGAACTGGCCACTGCCGGATCCTCCGCCAGCCGAAGCACTATCGAATGGTCTGCCTGCCCATTGGCGTGCTGCTGCGCCAGCTGCCGCACCGCTTGCAGCACCGGCGAAGTAGTTGAGGCGGGCAAGCTCGTTTAGGACCAATGGATGATTGCCTTGGCCCAGGTATGCGCGGTACTGCAGGCTGTCGCGCTCCACTTGCGCGTCCGGGGAGAGCCGCGTCAGAGACGCCAGCGTGCTGAGCGATTGCGCGTATGCGCCCAGGTACAAGAGATTGCGTGCTGTGAAAAATTCGTCGACTACTTCCGCTCATTTTGCTGGTTCTTCTTTCCTTTGTGCTGTGATGATGAATGGTGAAGGAATTGTAAAAGAGTTGAGGAGAAAATGCGCACGTAGCTTTTGAGAGAGCGGTAGGTGATGAAGTCGGCAATGACGGTTTTGCCGCTGATTGGCTGATCATTATATGCTAGCTGCCTGAGTGGGAACAGTTGCACCTTAAATCTGAATCTGTCCAGGATTGCTACGCATGAAGCGCGCTGAGCGCAGGCACATAACAGTGGAGATACACGACATTACCCTGGGCTTTTTCCTTCAGATGTCACTACTTCATTCAGGGCACCGCTGTCCTCCGTGGCCCTGCTGAGCGGGAAGCCTACCACGCATACGCACCGGTCGCAATAGACTGCATGATAATCACAGTGGATACCGTGTATGTCACATGGAAAATGATAGCGATGCAACGGCATTATCCACAATTGCCTCACAGACTCACTGTATAGCAAGCAACACCTGCACTGACCAGTGGTCTGGCACCAGGAGTGCGATCTAGTATGCATTTGGCCCAGACGGCGATGACCAAAGAGGATGACCTGCCCTTTCAAGTGGCACCCGCTGGACTTCAAATAGCTGTCCAACTACACCAATCCGACCTGTGCCAGGCAACTCTCGCTACTCTTACCCATGGCAAAATACAGCTGTTGTTCGTAAAATGCTTTTCATTCACTCCTACGGACCTGGAGTACCGAGATTTATAGCCCTGGTATTGTGTTCTTGGGTACGGTACACTTGGATAGACAGCCTCCGTATGGGCTGTCCTGGAATTTTATGCAATGGCTATTGTGGCCTAGGGGTCTTGATCCATGGGCTTCCTTAAATTATGTGGATTTGGAGCCGCAAGCCGTATCCAGTTTGGCACAGCTCAGATCCGCTTAGGTTTGCCGTACGCTCTTGATGCCAAGTAGCATTTTTGATACACACTGTCCATTCCTCTGATTATTCAAATGCTCAATATACTTGTTGCGTTCTTTTCGGCGTCCTCATGACAGTCGATATTGGACTGAGTATATCTGTGCCTCTATTTTATCTACTCGGAGTATATTAGGTTGAATTGTTGTGCTAGCATGTCCATTTGTTTTTGATTAAAAGGCATCAATAGCATTATTGCTTTCAGTATTACTTTAGCAATCGTGTTAATGTAGACTTTTAAGCACCTAACTACGAGTCACCCTGATGCAGTGATCTCTACCCATGGTTCATTTTGTCTGCATGTTTGCAGAGCATTTGTTTCTGTAAAGCGCATCACCTGTCCCTGACTTCCATCAATATCTGCTACAGGGCATATTGTCTCAGTGAATAGGGGATTTTTGGAATGTATTTTTATTGTATCAATTGAGACTATTGCGCGCCATTGTAAGCAGGGCTCCAGCATTCACGAAACCAGTTCTATAATACGCCAATTTGTCCGTGCATCAAGTCTGAACTGTCAACCACAGTTCATGATTGAAGATCTATTCAGCCATTACGCTCTTTTGAAGGGTTTATTTTCCTGGAAACATATATAAGCGATGGTCGGTCCGCCGGATAGCGACGACATGTGCTTTGCACACCAAAACTCATCGCTGTACACACATACATACAATTTTCCGACGCACAATGAATTTTTCCATCGGCAACTTGTCCGCCAATTCATTCTTTGTCCTTTTCAAGACGAGTCCCACTGATCCAAAGGCATCTTGGAGGCGTCTAACTCACAGTCCAGACCATCAGCTATACGGTGGACCCGCTGATCCGCTTCGGCTACATCATTGTGGTCAGTTCCAAGGGTTGGTTTGCTGCAAAGGCGTATGGTGATTCGGTCTATTCCATTGATGAGGACGGCGAGATCCATTGCCGCCAGTTCTTTGAGAACGGATTCTTCCCTATGTTTATTGCAAACTTTGCCGTGAACCAGAACATCACTGCTCTTAACGATATGAAAACAGGGTTAGCCGAGGTTCATGGTCGGATCGACTTGCTCAATGGCAAGGCTACGGATGGACAGCCCGGATCAAACCGTCCCCAGGCTTCTTCGCCAAACTCCCCACGGCATGGAATCGCTGTCAAGGCGCCTCAGTATTCTTCAGTGCTATTAGTGCTTGTTATTCTATTGTATAAAACGCTCACTCTGTCAAAATACATCCTTACCCTTACCACATAAGCCCAATTCCTGTACAATTGGGCACAATATAATCACGCTCTTGCATGACTGCCCTTCGTGATTGTGTTCATAATTGACTTGGAACCTGACAACATCCACGGGCGATTTAGGATGCCTGACAAACCCATGTCTGATAATGCTACTTTTCACTAAAAGTGCCAGGAGGATATTGCTCTAGGCAAACTACCACTCTGGGAAACCTCTCATTAATGGAAGCAAATAAATATAAACATCCTTCCTGCAGCTAATACTCTGCTATGCCTTCGGCATGTCATTAACTGTGCCGAACGCCATCTCCATTGCGCCGATAATGACCTCGTGCTCTTCTCCGTAAGCCGTGCGTGCATAATCCAGGAGCAAGCCCTCAAGGTCTTTTATCGAGTTTGTGTCTGCAGCATAGTACATGCTGCGGACTGAAATGTTTATGTCTTTGATGACCGCTTGCAACTCTTTTGCCTTCGCCATAAACTGCGAGCTGTCAGAGTCCGTCAGTGTGGGCAGCTTGCATATAGCCCTTTAGAACCGCACCAACCCCCCTATAATCGGCCATCATTTTGTCAAGACTTGAAATGCTGCTTGCCAGAACCCTGTCCTTGGAACTGCTCGATTCTTTTGCGGGATTCATGTACTGCCATGGTTGTAGAGCTGTCCAGCGCTGTGTATACGGAGATATAGGATAGCAGGTATTTATTTGTGTGTGAGCACAGCATACGAAAAAGAGCTGTGCCCTCAAATCCCTTTATAAACCAGAACCCCCGATATGGCACTCTGCTGTGACTATCCAGGTATTTGAACTCTATTCTTCTCTACAAAGGATGAGCCTATACGCTCTTTGCGACATCCTGTGTCATAATAAAGTCTCGGCCAACCACCATATACAAAGAGAGTAGCAAACTAGAAAGCAATGGTATTGGGTGGACAAACTATAAAAAGGCAATGCTATCCACGAGTATAGCGGGATCTCCGCGGCATAGGCAGGCGCGAGGGTATTGTCCCTGGAACCGGGATCCCCGTCTGCTGTGTCTCCACCGCAGTCGGTGCTTCTATTGCGGCCGATTTAGAGACCACTTTCGCTACACCCTTCTCGTCTCCGTCGAGGGGGCCCTGGGTCTTGGGACGCTGAGCTGGCCGCTGGGGCACAGTATCTGGCGTCGGCGACGATGTCTTGTCGGATGCGCGCTTCAGCACAACTTTCGTCTCAGTCTTCGTCCTTGCTGGCGAGTTGGACCTTGCAGGCGACACTGCCCTCAAGGGCGATCTGTCTCTGACAGGCGACTTGCTGTACCGCGACGAGGGACTCTTGTATCCATTGGTACCGAATGGAGTGCTGCCACTGGTGCTGTTTTCACCAGTCGAAGAGCTGGGGTATACCGGGATACTCGTCCACACCAGCATCTCCCGGTTGGCTGGCACATTCGGGTCATCGAGTTTGCGGATGATATCCAGGTCAGGAATGGTGCGGTTCCAGCTCGACACTGACTGATACCGAGTAGCCCGTGGCGTTCCCGCAGTGGCTGGGGTAGGCAGGATGCCTGACTTGGTCTCACGCTCTACGACACCGGCAATAGCAGTGATGCCATTGCTGAGTGCACTGCCGAAGTGGTCGCGCTCCTTTGGCCTGTGTGCCAGCTAGCTCACCCAGCTCCTCACGCGCATTGTGCCAAGTTCCAATCGCCTGGCCGACTGTCTGGGTAGTGCGGCCATGGGAGGCAACGGCCAGCTGACGGCTCTCTGCAACAGCAGCAATCAGTGCGGCGTGCATCTGCTCTACCGACTGCTTCAAACGACCTTCGGCCTGCACAACCCGGCCATGTGTAGTCGAGGTGGCAGCAGGGGCTTCTGCAAACAGCACTGTAATGTTCTGGCTATGAGACTTCACCTCCGCCTGCATAGACGACACCAGGTCACTAGCTGCCTTAACATCGGCGGCCACCCGCTCGTCGACATCAGCCTGTGTGCGCGAAACCTTGGCCAGCACGCCCTGCGCCAGCAAATCAATCTCCGACCCAATGCTGCGGGTGCGCTTGAGTAAGTTTTCAGTGCGCGTACTAGTGTCGGTCTCCTGTTTTTGTGCAGATTCAATTGACTCGGCCAGGACGCCATCCTGGAGGCTGCGGCGCTCGGAAATCATCGTGGTGATGGTCTCCAGTAGCTTGGCGTCAGATGACTCCGAGTCGCTGCGCAGCGACTCGATTTTCTGGGTAAAGCTGCGCACATACTCTGCGTTCTGCACCCGCAGCTCCTCGATCTCTCGGTGCATTGCAGCAATGTCCTTCTCGGTGCTCAGCTGAGCCTCCTTCATAACCGCAGCTGAGTCCGCTACGCACTTGTCGAGCAGCGACCGGACGCCGACTGCTGCGCTATTGATGCCGTCCAGCTGGCACTGAGAGGACTGCTCCATGCGCAAGGTGCTTTGTTCGCAAGCCCCAACACACTTTTTGACCAGATTGCCATCGTAACCTTGAGCTGCGCGACAAGCTCCGAGACCGACTCGATTGACGCTACGCATGTATCACGCTGCTCCACGCCAGATTCCTCAGCCTTCTCAGCCAGCTCAGCCAGATGGGCTGCAAGTCGCGACTCTGCTTCGCTCAGCTTCGTCCTGATTTCAGTCTCAAACTGCTCGCCGACACGGTCATGCAGCGTAGCCAGCAGCTGCTGGGTTTGCGCTCCAGCCTGCTTGCTGTATTCGGCGACTGACGACAGCGCCCGCGATGTCTCCTCACCTACCAGACTGCCAATCCTGGCTACCGCGTTGAGATTCAGCTGCTCGCGTTCCTGCATGCGCGAGATCTTTGCATGGAGCTTCGCCGAGTCCCTGGTCGCAGCGCTGAGCGAGCTGTGCAGTGTACGCGCGGCTTCATCCAGCTCCTCTTCGTGCATAGCATGGGCCTTGGACACAACAATCTGGTTTTTGTAGTCCTGACGGGCATTCTCCAGATCCTGCTGCGTCTGCACCAGCTGGTTCCTGGCCTCGCTCAGCTTGTCCTCCATTTCCTCGTATTTTTCCTTGAGCTTGCGGTTCTCATCATTCAGCTGATTCAGGTTGTCCTCCATGAGCACCCTCTCGTTCTGCCAAGACTCGCCCCGCATCTTTGCCGACTTTGAATCCTCTACCAGCTGATCGTACGTTTCCTTCGACACATAGAAGCCCATTTTGTCGCGCGCCGCGTTGAGGTCATCTTCCAGACGGTTAATCTTCCCTGTCAGCTCGATGATAATGTCGGCCTTGGACACTGTGCGGTTGGCTGCCGGCTTATTCTTGATGCTCTTCGCCTTGCCCGCATAGTCCAGTGTCTTGATCGTCTCCTCGATGCTCGCCTTGGATGGACTCACTGTGGCAATCAGGCACGTGCGCGTCTTTCCGCCCAGCGAGTCCTTGAGAACGCGTGTCAGCTTGCTGTCGCGGTATGGAATGTGCTGGTGCTTCTCGACCAGGCAAGTGATAACCCGCCCCAGGGTCAGCAGCGACTGGTTGATCTGGCCGGCCTCGCGTGCGCGCATGTTCTCGGCTCCGCTGCGTCCAATATTCTCGCTGCCTGCAAGATCAACCAGATTGAGCTTTCCGCGCTTGAGCACGTAGTCGCCGTCAGAGCCCAGTGCCGATTCGCGAACAAGCACGTTGATTGTGAAGATTGCGTGTGAGCGCGAGCTGGTGTCATTGCACCTGGTTGCTGCCACTCGGCGTCGCAGCGAGCCATCGCGCATTAGTGCAATCGCCTGCTCGGCCGTCTGCACCCGCTTCTCCTCGAGGCCCTGGAACTGAATGTTGCCCTTGGTTCCAGTGTCGAAGACCTGGATGTGCGGCCCGTTCGGCTCGCCTTTGGCGTTCGTGTCCACAAACAGATCACGGAACTCCTCGTTGTACAGCTCCATATACGATACTGTCACCATGCTGGCGGGATCATTGCCGATGGCCTTGAACAGCTGGTACAGCGTGCGGGGGATAATGCCGGCATTGGTGGGAATCCTGATGCTGCCCAGGCCGCTAGTTATCAGCCTCTGGTTGCTGTCTGCAAATGATGGCATCTGCATGTCCAAATCGCCTTCCATCGTGTAGGTCTTTCCTGTCCCAGTCTGTCCGTAGGCGAAGATTGTGCAGTTGTAGCCCTGAAGCACCTCGTCCAGAATGGGCTGTACGACATTATCATATATCTCTTTCTGGTCGGCTTGCGGGCCAAACACCCTGTCAAACGTGTAATTCCGGACGTTTACCCCATTGCGCAGTGTGATTTCTCTGCCGCTCAGCGGTGCTATATCCATGGCAGGCACGCTGCTCTCTCTGCGTTCCCGGTCATTGCGCCCCCTACAGCATTAACCAACACGATTAGCTTCACGTGCTCTGCCTGTCTGACTGGCGCAGCATGGTGGCATTATTTGAATGTGCTTACCTGCAGCGGACAACGACCTGGATATTAATTTCTTTCTCCTGCTTGGTTTGGCTTCGTGACAAGGTCATGGCGAGGGAGTGTGAGGGGGTATTGACAAAATATGTATATAGCTGAGAGTATCGAGGAAAGAGGAAAAATCGAATGGGAAACTGTCAACAACCTTTTCTTGCGCCAATTTTTTCTTTCCACTTTTACCCCACAGATTTCGTTTGTTGCTGAAACGGCGAGCAGGCCAATCACAGATGCCATTTGATCAAACTACAGATTGACTTAACAGATCACAGCCAGCAGCTGGCCACCGGATTTCTGTTTGACGCGGCGTTTTTGATGCTGAGCACGGTGCTCAGGATCATGACTGTGAAGCCGAACGCAATGCACAGCCAGTGGGGGATCATCTTGAGCGAGAGCTTGGGCGCCGAGGACAGGCGCAGGTAGCAGCCAGAGGGCAGGATGAAAGCCAGGAACGACGCCGACATGCCGCCAGTGAGCTCCAGCAGCACCCCCAGATTGCACACTGTTTCGCCGATAATCAGGCCAGCCAAACACAGCGCCGTGGTGATAACAACATGCCGGCGCATCGAGAAGTCGCGGTCGCGGAAGAACAGCGAGTCGATGACCTCGCGCGCCACCAGCGTCTCCATCGGAAACGTCGTGATCATGTTTAGCGCAAAGAGGAAGCGCGCAATGTTGATCAGAAAGTTGTCCTGCGGGAAGTTGTTGAGGATGTTGCCGTGGGTCTTGTCCTTGAAGAACATATACCCGGAAACAGCCATCACCAGGCTCGCGATGCCTGCAATTACCGTCGACATGTGGATGACATCAAAGTACCGGTTCAGCGTCGGCTTCTTTAGCGACCCGTAGATCATGAAGCTGTTGTGGTGGCACACAAATGCAAAGGTGATGACGCCCACGGCCTGGAAGAACCCAGGGTTGGCCAGCGCGATCGGCGTCCCAGGCGATGCCCGGAGATCCGGGTCGATCTGCGGGCCCTCGATGATCACCGACACGATGATGGTGCACATGGCGACGACGGCGAAGGCACTGGTCTTGCCCAGCTTGCCAATGTCCCGGTACAGCGACAGCGGGTAGGCCATGCAGATGACAAAGAAGGCGATCACGAACCGGCGTGAAAACACCACAGCGCCGAACCCGGTCTTGCTAACCGAGGGCATCAGCGCCGAAAGCACATGCGGCAATGTGTCGCCGACAATAACAATAAACGATGCCATGCCCCCGCCCGCCATGGCGCCCTGGAAGAACGAGTTGGCGACCAGCCCGGGCTTGCCAAAGCAGTACTCGACCATCCCCTGGTACGAGCTGCGGCCCGACAGCTTCGCGCAGTACGCCAGCACCCGCAGCGTCCAGTCCACGATGCCTGCCAATGCGACGACCAGCAGTACGCCGACCAGCAGCCCAGCCTGCCGCATGGCGTACGGCAGCCCGATGACTCCGGCGCCGACAATGGCGTTTGTCAGATTGAAGAAACTGGACACCATCGATGCCCCGCCCTCATAGCCAAAATCAGCACCCGCTTCTTCCGCCGCCATTACTGGCCGCCCACGTGCTTCCCCGCCAATCTCGCTGAGTTCCGTCATCGAGTGCCGCGGGTTGTCAAATGACGAGAGCGCTGAGGTCTGGCCGTGCCTGTACTCGTGTGTGTGTCGGTCGTGGTGCTCGCCGCCAAACACGGTGTCGCTGTTGGAGCTTAGCCGTCCGTGGTACTCGTACGAGTCCTGGCGGATGTCTGGCTGTATCCGGTCGGCCTCCTCTTCTGTCGTGGGCACCGGCTGGTGGCTGCCATTTGACGGCTTGAACATTTCTTGTTTTGAATTGCGGAAGGGGGAGGAGGTATTAAAAATAGGCGTATTCTAAGAAAGGGGGAGTGGGAAAAGAGCGAGGTTGCATAAGCACAGCAGCGGCTGCCAGCACCAAAAGCCCTTGCTTATCCTGTGAGGCCAAGTCTGAAAACAGAAAGAGCCAGTGAGGAGCGGCGTGCCATGACATCATCGGAAAAAGCTCGCTTGCTGGTCCAGACTCTCAGCCGCTCGCGCCACCCAGACCACAGATCACACATCTCAGCAGCAAGGGGGATATCCTTAAAACAAGCTCTTGTTGCAACTAAAAGAACAGGACCATACAGGGGAGTATTCTGGGAGGAAACATAGGAAAGGCGAGATGGAACTTCGCCTGGAATAAAGTAAGCTGACACTCTCGCTAGATGCCCTCGGTGCTTACTCGAGATTCCAGGCAAAGTAGTCTAGATTACTGACGCGGTGCGGATTCGGCTTCATGGCACGCGGGATGGCGATCGGGTCGGCCACATGCATGCCAAACGACTGGGCAAGCTTCTGCGCAATGTACTTGCCGAACAGGAAGCAGCGCGGCATGCCCTCGCCGTTGTGGCCGGCCACAATCCATGCGGAGTACTTGTCAGAGCTCAGCCTCTCCAGCTTGCCCACATACGGGGCGCTGTCATTAGACACCGCGATGATGCCGGTCCACTCGTGGATCTCGGGACTGGCTGGCTTGTCATACGGGAACTTTTGCAGCGGAGGGACGGAAACCAGCGCCTCGCGCAGGTCGGTGCTGACTCCAGGAATGAGCTCGGCGTCGTTGGCATTGCCGGCCTGGTGGCGACCGCTCTCCTCGTAGAATCCGCCCATGATCAGCCGGCCGCCGTTCGAGAGCTCGATGGCGTACTCGGACCCATTGCTCATCCACAGGCCGCCGGAGGGCAGAACCGGCTCGGTGGCCGAGTCGGTGCGTGGGACAGTGATGACCTGGTCGCGGAGCGGGATGATGTGGCCGCGCAGCTCTGGCACCAGATGCGATGTCCACGCGTTGGTTGCAAACACAACGTGCTTTGCTGTGACCACGCTGCCGTCCTTGGTAGTGACAACGCCGTTGTTGACGTCGATGACCGGCGTGTGCGTGTGCAGCTCAAGCCCGCTCGCAATGGCCTGATCGAGCAGGTACCACACAAATTTGGCCGGGAACATGTGTGCTCCCGGCACAGCATCGGCAGCCGCATACTCGGTGGTTCCAAGAACCCTCTTCATTTCCTCCTTGCTCAGCCAGCGGGCGCCAGTCAGGCCGGCCTTCTGTGCAGCCTGGAAGTGCTTCTGTCCAATCGCATATACCTCGGGTGTATCGTAGACCTGCACATTCTCGCCCTGTCTGTAGCCGCAGTCGATATTGTGCTCCTTGGCAAAGGCAATATTGGCCTTGACGCCCTCATCGTCGAAGCGCCGCGTCTCGACCGTCATGCGCACGGCAATCTCGCGGTCTGCCTCTGTCGGTTCGACACGCCCGTCCTCGACCGCCATGCGGTGCGCATAGCGCTCGACGTCCATCAGAAAGTCGCGGTAGTTGGGAGCCGTCATGTGGCCGCCGTTGCGACCAGTGGCTCCAGAGCAGGCATCGCGGGCTTCGATCATCACCACCTTGCCTGGGTACTGGAGCTCGCACAGCAGATGGTACGCGGTTGACGCGCCCGAGAATCCCGACCCGACGATGACAATGTCGGCTGCGTCGGGCAGCGGCCGTGGGCCGTGCTTCGTTGAAAAGTGCTCGGGCAGGCTGCGCAGCCACGTCGACCACGTCGGGCTGGTGCGTGGCAATCCGGGGTCCTTCTGTGCCGCCTCCTGCAGCGACTCCTTGGCATCTGGATGCAGAAGCTGCATCACCTGGAGCTCGCTGAGGGGATTACGGTGAGCCTCGGTCTCTGTAAGCATTGTGGAATAGCAAGCGGGTAGTGGTTGTAAAAAAGGCTGGTATACAGGTAGGAAAGCTGAAGGCCGATGGTGCTCAAAGCGGCTGGTGTTATCTCTGCAGATACCGTCGCCGACAGCCCGCTCCCTCCACCGGCCTTTATACAGCCCCGATACGATCGTATCTCTGCAAATTTTCCCTTCCACCCAGCGTTGCCACGCCCCCACTCTCATTTCCCCCTGAAAGACAGGCGCGATTAGAGAAATTGATTATTTTTCTTGCCCGCTCAAGTCAGGGGGCGGCTATCCCCCTTGATTGGTGCAGGAACAACAAAAAAGATAGCATGCAACAGCGGCTGACAGGCGCACGAAACTGGGCCTAACGCCCTTCTAGAAGCCAGCGGCAATCTTGCCACAACTCTTGCCCGAGCTGCGGGCGCTCCTGCAGGCTCTACTTTTCCTGTGCTGCGCAAATGTAGGGAAAGATATAGAGCACGCGCTTGAACTTGAACGGAATGCTGTTGACCACGCAGTAGTGTGCCATCATCAGCACCACGAGGTACGTCAGGCCAAACGACACAAGGACGTGCCACCAGGCGTGCAGCTGCAGATTGACGGGCAGGACCGAGCGCAAATCGTGCCCGTTTATATACGGGCAAAGGTTCGTGTCAATAAGCCATACAGCGGCGGCGCACAGATACACCTTGCTGCCATCCACGAATAGCCGCCCAATGTGCCCCATTCGCGCCGCATCCAGCCCGCGCTTTGCCCGCCAAAGCATGTATCCCACCACCACAGTGCAGATGTTGAAGCTGAACTGGAACAGCAGAAACTGCACTTGCCCGCTGCACCCGGCAGTCACCGCTGTGACCACAAGTGTCCACAGCCCGAGCACCTGCTGCAGCCGCTGTGTGCTGATATTTGTCTGCGTCACCAGTGTCATGTATAGCGCGGTGGCCACCGACCACAGCATCGGCAGCTCGTCCAGCATCTGCATCTGGTATTTCAGCGTCGCATGAAACAGCCAGCTGCCGATGCCCACCACGGTTATTGTGCGAGACAAAACTGTAAACCCTTTGTGCCCAGTGGGGTTCATGTGTGCACAGGATTCGCCCAGAAACACCATGGCCAGCGACGACCACGCATTGAAGAACTCGGCAATGTATGGTGTCCACTCGTAGTTCTCCTCGCACCAATCAACCGACGATGTGATGTCGCCCCAGTACCCACCACGAACAACCGGTGCCATTCTTTTTTGCTGGAAGAGTAAGATTGCGTAGCTATTTGACAAAGAGAGTCCTTGGAGCCATGCGAAACACAGAGTGGAGGGAGCCAACTGCATAAAGTTATATGTGGTTGGAATGTCCCGCCTGTCCAAAGCACAGCAGAGCCAGATGTAATTCCAGACACCCCGTGTAGTGCATTAACCAAGGGGTCGCAGCGATCACACAGCTTGGCCAGACTGCGTAATGTGAACACAGCAGTAATGCGGTGGGAAGTGGGATCTAAATATATTGGTCGTGGTCGAGACTGCCCCACATGAACTGTGATTTGGCCCCTACTATAGATCGCAACGGCTCTGCGTATTCAGGTGTCTAATCATGACTAGGTGGTATATATATGGGCGCCAACAGCCCAGGAGCCGTGGAACTGAGCGAGATATACCGAGAAAGACAAGGAATCAATTTCACCCATACCCCCATCAAGGTAAGGCGTATGCCTATCAATAGTCCGAGATACCCCAGGTCCTCCCATCCCAACCTATGCACTAGACCTCCCAACGAATTCATTTTGTAACATGTAGGAATCACTGCTGCACTCTTAGCTGACATAATCGCCACTACATACAGATGGTCCGTTTAATCAACCAACTTCTTCTTGCTTCATTTGCCCCTTCCATTACTGGGCTCTACGCTGGACTCCCAGAGGATCGTGGCTCCAGGGATGTGAAGCCACATCCTATCAAGCATGTTGGTTCGTCCAGAGACATGTTCTTAGCTGGAGACTGGCGTAGCGATATGCTGCGTATGGTGAATAGCCAGCGTGCAATGCGCAGTCTGCCAGCTCTGATCGCCAACGATCTGCTCAACGCCGCTGCACAGAACCACTCAAACTACCAGTACTCGGTACAGACTATGACGCACCAAGACCCGGCCGGATCTCTTGGCGACAGAATCACCGCAACGGGTCTCAGGTGGACGAATGCCGGAGAGAATGTTGCCTGGAACCAGAAAACCCCTGCGGAGGCAATGGACTCGTGGGTTAACAGTCCGCATCATCTGGCAAATATCCTCGGCAACTTCAATGTCGCAGGGTTTGGAGAGCAGGGGCTGTATTGGACGCAGATATTTGCGCTGATTTCCTAGTTTTCCAGCCTCATTTGGCGACCTGGCAACCGCATTTGGTGCTAGATTGGTTTTCACCTTGGATTTCTGCAACTTTGCCGACCAGGCTGCGTATCAGCACTATTCTGCTCTCACCTAGCACTACCTATACCTCTATTCAACAGCTATCTATCCTTTTGGCAATATATTTTCCTCTCAATATACAAATCAGCCATAGAAAGCCTTCGAGTTTATTCAGATTTCTTGTGTATTCAGCAATCACGGTTCTACGGCAAGTGCACTTGACATCTCCTCACCTCGGATACTGAACACCAATGCTGTTTCCCATTTACCAGTGCTGATTAAGAGAAATGCAAATATACAGATGTTCATTCACAGTTATTGGCTGCTTCGGCCTCACAATAGGCAGAATAGCATTTCTAGCTTTCAGCAGGATTCATGCCTAAAAGTAGTTGGATGTCAATATATATGCTAGTCTCTTGCCCCCCATCCATTTTTAAAACTGGCATTATGCATTTCAGTTTTCCTACAGTGCTACCAACTTGGAGAAACAGTCAACAGACAATGACATATATCAGGCATTTGTTTATTCTAGCCCTGCTTGTATCTTTGCTTGACCAGGTGCTTGGCGAGAAAGCCAGCGCCTATGCAGCAAAAGCACCGGCACCAGAAGGTTCTAGCCGCCTTGCCTCTAATTGGCGCGGCCAGATGCTCGCCATTCTAAACCAGGAGCGAGCAAAGCATGGCAAGTCTCCGGTGATCATGGACTACCGTCTCAACGCGGCTGCCCAGAGACACTCGGATTACCAGTTTTCCTCGGGAATGATGACGCACGATGACCCAGCCGGCACTCTCGGTGCCAGGGCCAGTGTAGCCGGCATTGAATGGCGTGGGGTTGCTGAAAATGTCGCACACGACCAGCAGAGTGTTGGTGAGGTCATGACCGCTTGGATTCACAGCCCAATGCACCTCAGCAACATGCTAGGCGACTATAATATTGTTGGCTTCGGCGAACACAGTCTGTATTGGACGCAGATGTTTGCCAAGACGTGAGGAGACGAGGTGGTGCTACCAATAGTGCTGCTGTTGAGGGAGCAAGTAGAATATATGCTAGATTGACGTTGTAGCTCAATAATATTGTTCAGGTGCTCGTGCCAGTCAATTGGAGTTGATGCTCTGCATGTAGAGTGATACAAGATGCATCACTGTGTAGATGCTAATGGGCAAGAGGCAATGATCAAAATGATCCCAGACCGCATATAAACGCCATCTTGGTAGCTTTGCGTGCTATGTGAGCACCTGGTTCCTTGTCCCTTCTTGCTGTATCTCTCAAAACATCCCAAAGACAAAAATGGCCTCCATTGCCAGGATTTACAAGAACATGTCGTTGGACTACGCAAGTCTTCTGGATATAGAAGAGGACATAAACAAGCGCAAGATCATCCACGATACCATGGCGTCCACGGCACTCATCGTCGAGTACCATACCAGTATAGCTGCGCTGAGCGAGGATATGCGAGGGTTCAAGAGCATGTCGAAGAGGCTACGCAGGAAAATAATGTACAGCACATGCGATGAGGAGGTCATCAGCCGCTACAAGCAGAAATACAGCCACATACTGGCTATGCTGGATGCCACTGGTGTGGAGTTGAAGGCCAAGTGCAAGCTGTTCCGCGAAGAGCGCATGGTGCTGGACTTTCTGCAGGCTAGTATTCTGGGAACAAGCCCTGTTAACGCGCCAACACTTGCTCGCAAGGCACTGATCGAGATGTCTATTCCCAATGAGGAGCTCATGGGCACGGAGACCGGCGATGATTCCTGCGACCAGGAGTGTTCCTGAATTGTTTCATAATGCGTATTGACAATGCACCACCGCTTAGCTCATGTGGCAAATAAATCCCCACTCATACTCTGTCATGGGTTGTCTACACAAGAGAGCACTGCTCACATCTGACAGCAGAGCGTCTGCAATGTCTGCAATGTCCTCATGTAGCGAGATGGTGCCAGTGGAAAGCTGCTTCTCCGCTATGCGGGCTCTGCCGGCTCAGTTCCTGGAACCTGCGAGCCGCTGATCTGCTGCAACCGGCTCGCGGACTGATTAGCCACATGGCTCAGCAACAAGAGTGTTTTTATCCGAAAAAAAAAAAAAGCAAGGACTCTTGGCAGCTTCTATCTCGGCTACCTTTCTTCTACACACCTTCTTCAATTCAAACTACACATATAAAAAGTTAGAATGGCCAGCGCAGAGAGGGCTAGACAGCAGAGAGAACAAAAGCTGTTCATGGCGACGCTCGGTGTGGGCGCTACTGGTGCGCTTCTGACAGCAGTTGCGATCGCACACCGGCGGGCAGCCAAGACGGCCAGGATCGCTGGCGACAACATGACAGCCAACGTCGCCATGAAGGCATTTGGGCTAGGCACGCTGTATGCATTCTCTGTGGTTGGCTTTGGCACAGCGCTGGGCAACTACTACCTGAAATCGACAGAGGTGCAGTCCACGACTTTGTTTTCGGAGCGCATGCGCAACGGCATGAAGCAGATGCTCGGAGCATCAATGAAGGAGCGCATGGGGATTAGCGATAAGGACGAGGAGGAGGAGCTGCGGCGGATGGACGACAAGCTTTTCGAGCGAGACGAGGTGACGGGCAAGCCGAAGATCAGGTTTGCGAGGATAAAGTCGATGGTTGGGTCGGACGACACGGCGGAGGCAGATGCGGACGGACCAGCAAAGAAGCGCATGTCGCTTGGTGCCCGGATGCGCGCGGCGCTTGGCTACGGAAAGAAGCCAAAGGAGGAGTCGGCAGGGGATAGCACAGATGCTCGGCCCGAGCAGCAGTAGCCGTACAGTTCTGGATACCAATAGAATGCTGTATTATAAGTCACACTAGTAGCGTGCCTGTCACGTCGAACGCCTCGTGACCGTCGGGACACTTTACCCATGCGGTGAACGGCGGCTTTGAAAGCAAGCAAGCCTTGGCTGCGGTGTAGTCGACGGCTCTGTCCTTGGCCTGCCTGTAAGACACCGCCTCTTCGTCGCCCAAGACCAGCGGGCTGAGCTTTCTGAAAATGGCGGCCTTGCAAATGTCTGGCCACAGGTTGGCTGGCTGGCAGACGCCTTTCTTGGCCTTGGCGCCCTGGCGACGCCCATTGACCAGGGCTGCCGAAGCCTTAGCGCCTCTGTACCAGCACACCGACGCGTCTGCAGTAATGGCCTCCGCAGCCAGGCTCTTCATTACTGCCTGGCCACGGGCAAAGTCGACTGTCGTGTGCCGGACCTGGCATGTGTTTGCCCGATACGCCTCTGGCAGCCCAGTGACACCTGCAACACGTCTGTTCAGGGCACGGTCAACCGACGATTCCGTAAACAGCTCGCCGACAACGACACTGGCCAGATACATGGGCGGGATCAGGGTCGCCAGCAAGGCGCCCTGTAGCCCAAGCACGTTCCAGCGGGCGATCTTGTCGCTGCATGACATGGATGTGGTCGGGATGGAGTCTGCGCGCCCAGGCTTCAGGCGCAGTGACCCAGTGTCTGTGAATTTCTGATGGCCCCGAATCACACTGCCATCGCCCACCTTGCGGCGTTTGGCCGACGGCTCGCTATCCTCCGCCTTGTCCTGGGCTGTCTGCAGGTGCTCGACAGTTGCGTCGCCGCATGGGCTCTGCGACGTGTACAAATGGACCTTCAGTCCCAGGCTCTCCTTGACTTTAAACCGGCCGTCCTGCGACTCAAATATCGAGTCTTTGTCCTGCTTGCACAGCAGCAGCTGCTCGGCTAGATACACAACGAGGGCACGGCGGGCGATGACTTCGGCGTGGCTGTCGTGAACGCTGTCACCAAATTTGCTCAGCTGCTGCATGTGCAGACACTTTAGCCCCGTGCCCAGCGCAACGCACTCGTATTTGCTGGCATTGCGGGTCTCGAACACAATGCCGGCCAGAACCGTCCATTCATCCTTGCCCGGCGCCTTTGTCGCCGGCTTGCCTTTCTTCGGCAGCCGGTTGTACTGGTCAATCACGCACTGCGCTATCTGGTCCGCAGCACTCGTATCCATGTCGGTATTTTGAAAGTAGATGGCCAGAATAGCGCCAGCGGGTGGGTTTACAATATTCCCAAACTAAATGTTCAACAGGAGAAAACAATACAACTATGGAAGGTCTGGAGATGCTTCATTCCAGAATATGCTGCTCGCGCAGCTGCTCCGGCGACTGGCGCGCCTGGATCTTCTTGCTCAGGTCGTCGGCAATCCTGGCTCGCTTCAGCTCCTCCTGCTTGACCTGCAGTCCGGGCGCGACCTTGTGGTCCAGCAGGACGTGCTTGTTCTCGAGGTCTTCGCGCGTGGGCCGGTTCTCCAGCTTCCTGGCCAGCTTGTCCTCGAGCCGGTTGCGGTCCAGCTCGACCTGCTTGGCCTGCAGTGCCGGGGCGACCGTGCTTTTCTTGAGGACGTTGGCGGCCTCGAGCTCCTCGCGCGTGGGACGGTGCTCAAGCTTCCGAGCAAGCTGGTCGGCGGTGGCCTGGGAGTATCCTTCGGTGCTCATGGTTCAGGGGGTGAGAGGGGTGAGAGGGGTGTCTTGTAAAGTATAAAGCAAGCAAAACTGTGGATGAGTGAAGAAAAAACACACGGCTTGCTGCAAATGGCCCACTGGCACCTGCACATGCCAAGTGTGTTTATACCACTGCCATGCGAAGGCGGCGAATGACCTCATCGCCGCCCAGGCCCTAGTAATCAGATTCGGGATTATCGCGGAGAAAACTGCGCCGTGCTGGCCTGAAGCTGCTTGGGCCAGCTGGCCGCTCATCGTCTCCGCTGCTACCAAGTTTTCCACACTTTTTTTTATTACCGATGCTTACTGCAACGTGCTGTCGACCCCTGCCTCGAATTGGGCTGTCGCCCGCAATTGCGCGTATGTCGCGCTCAGTATTCGTGCGTAGGTTTGCCAGTCTGCATTGCCGGTCGGCACTCGCACCAGTGCCAAGACCGGTAGTGCTTGCTGGCAAGCCCTGGGCACCCGCCGATCTGGGCCAGAAGCGCACGTACTATAGCGACCAGCGCGACCCGTTTGACCGGCGACCGCACTATAAGCCCAACAACAGCCCCGTGCCGTGGCTCAAGCCGGCGCTGTATACAGCCGGGGAATTGCGCTTGTCGTGGTGGCATGGCCGATGATCCGCCTCGTTATTCTGGGCGGCATCGGCTTTGCATTCTACCGCGGCTTCCGGATGCTGATGATTGCGCGGGAGATAAACCGCGTGCTGCACGAGAGCGGCATGCACGGCAGCAGCGGCAAGGGCCCACTGGGCGACGTCGTGTCGTACATCAAGCAGACGATCGAGCGGCTGGCGCCCTTCTCCATCTTCAGCAGCACACGCCCCTCAGCCACCCTGCTGCGAGGCCTGGCCGAAGACGCGGTTCTGGCAGCCTACGAGGTTGATCCCCAGGTACGGGATCTGATTGGCGCCGGATCAGCTGTCTCTCTGGGCGAGCCACTCGAGTTCTCGTCGTCATCGTCCGTCAGCTCCTCGTCTGGCAAACAAAGGACCGATATTGAAGCGATTTTCCCAGTGTTTGCCGACAACCAGGCGACACACGTCTTTCTCCGTGTCACTGGCCAGGTCGAGGATGACGTGAAAGAGGCAAAAGTGTGGCTTTTGGCCAAAACCGAGAACGACCAGATTGTCGAGCTGGAACTGGATGTCCTCAACGATTCACAGACAGCTGGCCGGTCTGAAAAACACGCAAAGAGGCGTGTTCAGGATGCCGAGTTCAAAGATTTAGACTGACAAGACAACCACAATCCCGTTTACCCGATTGACCCTTTAGTTGACTGTGAATGGGCTGTGAATCGCCTGTACTAAGCCTCCCTTTCTTCTGTCTCTTTCTGGCGCATGCATTATAAATGCAAGACAATCCGCACGAAACGGTATTCCCTTTCTTGACACTCTTCAACCCCCAATTTCAAACGCTCCTTAGCGTTCGCACTTCCCGTTATGGCCTTATTAAAATGTTACTCCTAGACCCAGTGCTGAGCGAAGAGGCGCCGGAGGGGTGCATGGGTTTGGGGAGGCACGCAATGTGGCACGGGTGAGGTGTGCCCTGGCTCGCCAGGTACTTAAGCATGGCTCCCAGCATGCTCGCTCGTCTAAATAGCTATCGGTGCAAGCAACTTTCTTTCTCGCTCCCTCCCTCCCGCCCCTCTGTTCTATATTCCCCCGAGCTACGTGCCCGTCACCACCCAAAAATGCACTCAAGCGCTGATTCCTGCGACAGAGAATGCTCATGTGCCCTGTGCACCAGCGGCCGGTCATGCTGAACCCCCTTTTTTCACCTGCATGCTACCCACCCCCTCAAAAGTATCATAGAACACATCACTACAATAAAAATAATTCCCCGAAATACAGGTTTCTGTATCATCATGTCGTGTACTGTACAGCAAGGCGCCGAAGCGTATAACAGCGCAGCAGGTTCACCACATCCTACCACCAGCAACCTGCGCCTGAGCAGCAGTGGTGGTCGAGACGAGGGAGACAGCGGCAGTTGTGATGACGGCAGAGGCATTCCTTCCTGTAAACGACCAGGGATGCCTGCGAATGGCAAAAGGCTTGGTCTGTTGCTGCTGAAGACCGCCGTATCTGTAGCTGGTTTTGGACTTTTGTGTCTGCCACAAATTTGGCCTTTTATGCCCACGCAACAGACGCTTTCCGCGTGCACAGCATGCATGTCAGACTGCTGGCCTGCTTTTTATTAAAATTTCAATCGCCCACATCTCAATGGCATCCAGAATGCCCTTGTTGCCGGCTATTGAAAATCAGGCTATTCTGCACCGTTGCCAATTGCTCTCTCCGTGCTGCAATTACGTCTCTCGCAACAACCATTCGGCTGCGCTTGCAATTTAAAAAGGGATGGGATTGGGCAATTGTGCGATTTTGAGGCTGGAGCATGATTGGTTTTCTCGAGTAGATCTCTGTTTTCCGCTCGCAACGCATACGCCCTATGTCTTGCCAAAAAAAAAACAGCATGGGTGGTGTAATTGCACAGGTGGCAAATCGACAATGCTTGAGACCACACCTGTCCATTTCTTCCTCATGGTTACATGGCGACACCGTCCATAACAGGGCTATGTTTAGCTTGACAGGCTTAGAATACCTGTCTTATAATGCCAGCCCATAGTAAGATGGCATGTATAAGAGTGGAATGCAAAAAACGGCAGCGATCGTGCTCACCAGGCACCGCCAACAATCTAGGCCTGAGCAGCGGAGATAGTGGCAGCAAAGAGGACAACAATATATGCGGCAGTGATAGAAGCGCTCATGGTAAATATCGTGATTGTGTGAACAGGAGTTTGAGGGGCTTGAAGAAATCTTTCCTGAACGGAACCTTTTCCTTCATATACACTCAGCACTCACACCCTTTTTATAGATGATGTGTCAACCCCTGCATAGAGTTTGCCCTCTCGAGTGAGAAACAGCTGTACTCGTGCATTTGGTCATATCTTCAACACCGTTTTCAATCATATAATCAGAACTGGCACCGCTGCTGACCTCATTCTGCAACACCCCTTCTTGCACTGCATCTGGTCAAGGATTGCTATCTATCCTCCCACTACCTGTCACTGAGACGCTACAAGTCGGTTTAATCTGGCTTGCTTTGCCATCATTGACATGCATATGTCGCACAAATGTGCCATCACCATGCTATGTACTTTGGACTTCAAATATAGTTTTAATGTACAGCTGTGTGCGGTGCACCGTATCAAATCGTTTGTAAAGTATTTAGAATGGGCCACCGCCGACAACCTGCGCCTGCGCAGCAGAAATGGCGGCAACGACGAGAACGACGACAGTAGGGAGAGCGATAGAGGTGTTCATTTTGGTTTCTTGGAGCGTGAGTGACAGAGAGACCCTGAGGTTGTTTCTAGAGAGTGAGTTTCTTCAAAGTGCAGTGGGATGGTTATGTGGTTTTGCCAGTTTCTTGGAGTGGCAGCGACGTGGCTTTTTATATGAGAAAGGGGCGCTACCACGGCCTACAGCACCTAGTGTTTGCAACAGTGACCGCTCGTTGTAAAAGCCCCAATGAGACCACGGGCCACAATTGGGGTTTATTGAAGCAAGCGCTGTCTAAATAGTCGCTATTGCGCTGATGTGGGCACCGTCTATTTCACAATAAGCGACCTTGTATTGCCAAATTGGCAATTGTGATCAAGAATCGGAGCTGGAGCGTGCTGGTTTTCTGTGCTGATCCCTGGAATTTCTATCATCACAGCCGCTTACTATTCATCTGTCATGATTTCAATGAGATACTTGGGGATGGTCAGATGGGCAATACCGGGTACCACAAAGGAGCTGCATTTGCACCAACTGGCACTGGGAGCAAACAGAAATGCTTTTGCAAACAAGTATTCCAGGGTGCTTGGCTTGGGCTGCTGAATTAGTCCCTCAAGCAAGATTAAAAGTTAACATCATGTCCAACACGAGTGCCGCCTAGTAAATACTGATAACTCGCTTTACATCCCAAGCAGCATGCACACGAATGGTCATTAGCTGGCATCATCCTTTGAAAGTAGCTTTTGCACCACACTGCAACCAGCTGTGAAAGAAACATGTGTACCTATACACCATTCCGCAAACATGGATAACATGGCTTGTCGAGTGAGATAATGATGTACTAAGATATATATTGTCAACGGTCTAGTATACATGAAGCGCTCTTGTCCTGATGAGGTAATCGCAGTAATGTTTACCAGCTACCACCGCCGACAACCTGAGCCTGAGCAGCAGAGATGGCGGCAGCGAAGAGGACAGCGACAGTAGCGATAGCAGTGGAAGCCATGAGAAAGTGCTTGTAGAGGGGCTAGAAACTGCTGCTATTGCTGTTGCTGTTGCTGCCTGATGCTCTACTCCAACAAACAACAAGTCTATTCTGCTTTTATAGCTGGAACAAGATCATGCTGACCCAGCCTCTACAAGCGTCTAAGGCTACGGAGGGAGTCTCTAACGATGTAATAGCACGCACGATTCAAGTTGAGCTGTACAATTGCGCACATAGTGCTGTTTGTTATCTGAATTGTAATTGTAATTCTACAATAGCACCCAAGTTTTATTGTATGAACGGTATCTGCTGAGCAATTGGGCTGTAATAACCGGGGCCATCATGATTTTCAGCGCCAATCGCTGTCCTTCAAAAACACCAGCTGCGCTCTTCCCCCTCATACTGAAGGTTAGCCCTATCTTGGCGGGCCAAATGTGAAAGAGATGTGTGTAGAATAGTGTGCGTAGAGCCCACACTTGTAGGGAACGCCAACCAATCCTACACGCTTGCATTTCCAATACATGTGTTGACATGCGCTGAACAGCTCTGCTCGACCAAAAATTCATTTCTGCTGTGATAGTCCTGAAGATGGCTTAAACGACACACAGCATCCTGCAGACTATTGGCAGCAAATGTTTATGCAAAACACAATGTCATTACCTAGCAACAGTTGGTACTGCTTGGGAGCATAGTTCCAATTGATAAACTGCTGACACAGAAGCCTTAGGCTTTAAGGTATAGGATTATATTGGGTAGATACGGTCGTATTCGCTAATATACAGAGCTAATAACAGGGCTGTGGCCGTGGCATTTACCAGGGACCACCACCGACGACCTGGGCCTGAGCTGCAGAGATGGTAGCAGCGAAGAGGACGGCAACGGTTGCGATGGCGACGTAGGCGTTCATGGTATTGTTCTTGCTGTGCTGGCAAAGGGGAGGTGGTGGATTCTGGTATAAAGGAGAAGATGGGCTTGTCGATTGTACCTCGACCCTCCCTCTGAGTCCTGTGGGCAGGTCTTTTATAGTTGGGCTGAGCCCTCTCCTGGCGGACAAGGCGATGTGTAGCCTTCTCGAAGATGGGGCGGATACATTTTTGAAGTATACTCTGGGTCTACACATCGGTTGCACCCGTGTGGTCTTATTGTGCCGTATTGGCGGTGTAATTGTGTGAATTTTTAATTTCACAATGGGTAGCAGCGAGGTCTCCCACTTCAATGGTGGGCTATTGGGTAAATAGCGGGCGGTCCACAGCAAAAAGGCTCCAATTGAAACCCGGCCAGGGTCGATCGGTAGATTACCATATGCGATTAGATCCTCTGTGGGCACTAGGCATGCGCTTATGCCTGTGGCTGTCGATGATGGTCGCAAGGCATAGGATGCCACGCATTAATTGGCAGCGCATCTCCTTTCCAGCTTTCACAAAGCACAAGCACAGCTGGGCCAATTCATCTAGCAACGGCAATGTGGACGGTTCGTACCTCTAATTGCAGGTGCGAGCCAGCTTGCCGACACGGGTAAGCGAGCTTCAGGTGGCAATGGACCTCTTGTCGCTGGTATCTGTTCTACAACGTACACTACTCCCTAGAGCCTCCACCAAATCCCTAGCTGTTTCAGGCAGGATGAAGTTCCCAGACACTAGCATCGCGAAGCCCGACTGCCAGTGCACCTGTACTCTATGCATCGGCGGAAGAGGGTGTCGGTGGTATTAAAAGTCCTCTAGGTAAATACATTCTCTACGTCATCACTCCAGCTCAAATGAATGGTAGCACGGAAAGACAAAGTCGTCGTCAATAGCCTTTCTCAGCTGCTCGGTAATGAACAGCTCCAGCTTTTCGACATTTTTAAGTACATGGTGGTGCTGGTCGCCGATCTCTGTGCGAATGCAAAAGTTGTCCAGCAGACTGGTGCGTGGCGGCTCGGGCTCCAGGAAACAAAAGTTGATGCGGCCCTTTAAGTACGCAACCACGGCCAGCGCCGAGAACTCGATCTTTGTGATGTGCATTGTGACTGGCAGACTCGCAAACTGCGATGCCGGGTAGTTGAGCTGCAACTCGGTGCTCAGCACCAGCGACATGTCGCCTTTGTATTCAAGCTTGGTTAGCAGCTGCATGTCATCGTCGGTCCGCTCCACAGCGATCCGGTGCGGCATGGCACTTGAAAATGTGCTGGTACCGAGTGACATGCGCTGCTGCTGTTGTTGTTGCTGGAGGGAGGTCCGTGGCATTGTCTGTGCCGAGTACAGCGACGGGCTTTGCCAGATCCTTGTGCCTGGAGTCATTGATCCGGTTCGAAGCAAGCCCATAGGCGGCTGCAGAAACTGCTGAATCGATGCCTGCGATATCGGGCGATCTGGCAGCCCGCTCAACACCGACTCGAGGTCGTCGTCGATGTCCTGGTAATCGCTGTCGGCCGCAGCTACTGATGTCGATGCACCTCGCAGCCCTTGGCTCTGGAACATTCTGCTACCGATCTGCGATGCCGGCATGACCTGTATCCGCTGCATCGCCACGTCTGATTCTCTCTCTGCGTCCTCCTCCTCCTCCTCTTCCTCTGTGGCCATGTAGAATTCTGGGTAGGGTTCGGTCAGGTCGAGAATTTCAATGTCGGGCGGTGTGCTGCCGAAATCGAGACCCTCGACTGTAATGTCGCCCAGGAACACCGGCCGCTTCTCTAGCCGCGCGAAAAAGCTGTTGAGCTGCTGCTGGATGCTCTGCGCAACCTTCTTGTCCAGCTTCTCCCAGTGAATTGTAAACGACATTGTTAAAATAAAGAAATTAGGAGGGAAAAGGGAAGCGGCTGGAGCAAAGAGAGGGCGTGCGGCGGTTTCAGGGGCGGCGTGTATTTGACTTTTGGGGGTTGGCTCAGCAGTAGTCTTCGATCGTCTTGCCGTAGTGTACCAGGAACCCATCGGCAAACTCCAGCGCCTCGGTGCTGAGCTGGCGCGACCACGAGTCATACTGGGCGATGTTGTGCCGCACAACGCCGGTGATGCGCGCGCGGCTCATAAAGTTCAGGCGGAACCGCAGCGCGCGCCGGTAGTACTGGTGCCAGTCGATCCAGCCCTTGGCGCTGGCGATTTTGAATGTAGCAAGGAATATCCACCGCCAAAACCCAGGCATATTGGCCACCTTCTTGCACGACAGGCCCATGCTGATCAGCGACTCCTCGTCCAGGTAGCTCATAACCAGCTCCAGCATCTCTGGCGGTAGGCTCAGCAGCTGCGACTTCTCCTGCGAGTCGACGGTCTTGAATACCTCCCGCGGGTTCTCGTGGGGCTGTAGATAGACTGGCGCCGGCGCGTACTTGGGGCTCGAGATAATCCACAGGTCCGACACATTGTACTCTTCGTCGTTGAGCAGGATTTCCTTGACCTTGTCGGTCTCGCTGCGCTTCAGCCCCGGAACGTCGACGTCCAGATCCATGACATGCCTGCCGCTGTCGCATGCATTCGCAAAAATCCCGCGGTATGTCCACGGAATCCTTTGCCGGTCGAGCTCTGCCGTCAGCATCTCCAGGCACATATCGTGGACCACGACAACAAGAATGTCGGTCACTTCATTTGCCGCCTCGCCCACGCTCATGGCCAGCGGCTTGTTGTACTCCTCGGTCATCTCGCTCGCACACATGATGCTGAGCTCGTGCTCGGCAAACACAGGGTCGTCGTCGATGAACACCAGGCCGCCCGGGCCGTCGGTGTAGCAGCCGTGGTTGCGCGGGCTGACCCCGCTGTACACATTCAGGAAGCGTATCTGCTCGGTGTACATTTCGCTGGCGCAGATACGGAAGATGCTGACGTCTACAATCCATAAACATCAAGAGGAAAATCAAGGCCGCTGCATTTTTTGCATGCTTTTCTCTGCCATTCTAGAACGCGGGCCTGATTGCCAGCAAAAATAGGAAGCTGGTCCAGCCCGAGTAAAAAACTCTTACCGTGCTCACACTTGGCGGGGTCGCAGCCCTCGGGCATCTTCTCCTTCCACGTCTTCAACTCCACGGAGCTGTAGAGGTCGCCAATACCCTCCACAAACACCCCGCAAATCCAGCAATGCGCTGTCTCCGGTACCATGGCCATTTTCTCCCAGGGGTTTTGACAGGGTACAATAGAAGGCAAGAGGGGATAAAAATGGCTGAAAAGTTTGGGAGTGGGGAAAGCAGCGAAGAGAAACGGCTCGGCAGCCGTTTGAACAGCCACGAACAAGGGGCTTTGCAGGTCGCGTAGTAGTCGGCCTAGGGGCTGGCAGGAAAACAGCAAAATAGCGTGTTCGTAAGCGCAAATCGCTATAAAGTGCATCGTGGCCGGGAATCCTGCAAACGCAACAATTGCAAGTTTGCTCTTGATCGGATCAATGGCGCAGCTGGCCAGATCGCCTGGGGCCGGACCCGATGCCACCCTTGGTACACCTGCTCAGCAACGCATGAGATACGCCCAGTATGTGGCGGGTCCCTGGTCGAGTTTGAAGCTCGGAGGCGACGGGGAATAAACTGCAGATACACTGGTGTTATCAGCAAAGAGCGGGTTGTGATACAGTTACAGAAAACAAATCACGTGAATTTAAATATTCTGACCCAAGCTGTGCCGTGATGGGCTAGGTTCGCTAGCCCTTTTATCTCAGCTGCACACGCTGTGGCTGGAGGGCGGTAGTATGTGTTATGTATCAAAAGTACACTTTATACTGAGGTTTTGACCAAGACAAGCATGATGCGTATCAGTGTAGCCAGTATGCAGGCGGCCACCGTCGATGTCCTCAAAAGACCCCTTATTTCAGACATACAGTGGTAATTTGAAACCTATCATGTCAAATAAGGCTGTATTTGAGGCTGTGACCAATATTAGCAGTCATGGCGACCCTTTGTAATGCAGAAGAACGTCTGTACAAGATGCACTTATTACAGGCTGATGTATCTTGCAGACCAGTATAAATGAACTCAGTGTAGCCTACACTGTTATCCTTCCTATTGCCATTTCAATCCACAGGCACTCAGCTCCAGTTCGAATAGTAACCAATGTCCTACTGCTTCCGTTGGCCACGATCGAATAACAGGACCCAGCAGGTACACACTGAAGGGGGTGCTAGAAAGGTCCACAAGTGCACATACTGTGGGGACAAGTTCGGATACGATGAGGCAATGATATACCATGTAAACCATCTCTGCCTCCGCGCACCATGGAGGCATTCCTAACGACATGTAAAAGACTATAATACATACTCTCTAGTTAGAATAGTCTGTAATAATGTCTAGAATGGAATTCACATCTTTGACTAAAATGTTAGATTGTAGTTTTCATCCCCATCGTCGACGTGACTGCGGGAGACACAGTTCCTGTGCCGATGATAGGCAATGGCATTGTCTCAGTTTCCAACCGCTATATTCGGTATGCAAATGGATATACCCCTACTCATACTCGACTCTTGTATCCTATCTTAAGTAGTATATCTGTCTACATTCAACTAACTTGGTAATGTGGTTGAAAGGCTAACATGCGGAGCGGTTACAGGAGGCTGCTCATCAGTTCAATTGGTACTAGAGATATTATAGCAAGTTGCACCGGTCCACTTGATATGCATAAATTGTCTCTAGGCTTGATTGCTTTTTGGAGGGTAGGGCATCGCGGCTGGCTCAGTCAACCTATAGATTCATGATAATACGAAATACAATTAAACCTGCCACTAGATAGATTTCTACCTAGAATTATATATAATATCGTATTTATTGCCATAGCCATTTCACCTAGATATATTATGAAATTCGGTTGCCTTGATTATCGGTAAAAGGAATGCCATTTCGAAGATACAATATCGTTCTTGTTGGAAGATATCCAACAACCTGAGGTGCCCCTTCGCTAGATTCTCGAGAAATGATGTGTTCAGAAAGTGCATCTTTTACCGTAAATAACATATCGTCTGGAACAACAAGCTTGAGAAGAGAAGGTAGGCCAGACACCAAAATACACATTGCCTCAAGAGAAGGAATCGTTGGTATATCCACAATGCTTGAGAATAGGACAACTTGAGTGAGGGTGGTGCTCCAAATGGGTGCTGATTCTGTATTCTCTATGCCATTTCCAGTGTTGTATATGGCCCCGGCAAGAAGACAGCGCAGATGATGAAGCTGAGGGAGAATGTGGATGAGATCGGAAAGATATACAGGGAAGTTGAGATACAGCCTCTCAAGTCTTGTCCACAGAATCGTATCAGGGAATGGAATTGGTAGGCTTGTGTCAATAAATATTTCAGCGGTGGAAGTAGAGAACGATTTGCTGAAAAGATCCTTTGCAACAGACGCCGCAGCTTCGTCATGCACTTTATCTGGCCAGCTTCTTATGGAAATACGTAGAGTCTGAACATCTCTGAAGGTGGTTATCACAGAGAGTTGGAATTTATCAACAACGTCACAGATAATCGCAGTCTGTATTGGCGCGTCCTTGAATAAAGCGAGGGTGTTCGAATCTTTGAGTGGATAGTAATCTAAACGCATATCCTTCAGCTTTGGAAACGATATAGAAGGAAGGTATGTATCAGATTCATCTGTTGACTCAGATATTTTGGGATAGTGATAAATTTCAAGCTTCGTAAGGTTTTCGAAGATAACCGACCCAGGCAGACCGTCTCTAAAGATGTGCCATGAATGCGCGGTGGCAGAATAATATAGCCCCAATATCACCAATGAGGGTGCAAAAATTCTAGGGATATGCTCAGCACTCTCACTGTTGATGTGAAGATACAGTATAGTGAGGAATGAAGAGAAGTATGTGTGATCGAGTTGTGGAAGTGTATAATCGACCAAATCTATAGTTCGCAGCTGTGGTAAGTAAAAGTTTAACATATCACCAAGTGGGAATACTGGCGAATTCTTCAGTGGATAGCTGGATGCACCATGTATCAAATGCTTCAAATCAGGGATATGTGTTATAAAATATTGCGAAGTTTGTAACAGCCGTGTACTGATATCGTCAGCTATTGGGAGTTTGGTGTCCGAAGCCTGCTCTGCCTCAAGGAGGTCTCCAATAAAACGTATTGTTTTCAATCTAAGCCATTCGACAGTGCTGAATCCAAATATTTCGAGGATATCTCCAAGAGAGGGAAAATCGATGGTACAGTCTCGAAATGAGATAAGAAGTTGCTGAGTGTAGTTGCTGTTTTTTGATCGCACGATATTCGAGATGTTTGTTCTCCATAGAATAGGGTGTGGTGATGAGGCTGCGAGATATATGCCTCTGGATGCAAGTTGGTTAGAATCAGACGGGTTGCCATATAGAAGCATTTGGTCAGCTGTTAGTTTGTGGCACAAGATAATTGCGGTAGTGTAGAGGCTCTCTTTTATAGTGTCTCTCCAGTGTTGGCAAACCTGGTTAAGCTCGAGGAATGAAGTATAGATGTCGACATCATCTGAACTGCTCAGGTCAATACTATTGTCAAGTATATTGACAGTTCGCAGAAGAATATATGGTCTCAGTGTTGCCCAGTTCGCCATTAGCGTGAAAAACGAGGTTGTGAGGAAGAGTGGAAAATAAATGCAGTATCTGTTAACAGTGGTTGACAACCCGCATTTATCTTGGACATGTCTCTCCTTGTCAAAATCTCCCTAATCCTACTTTACCATCCACAATACCTGACCTCATATATTGACACGGGTTGCATAAATCTAATATCCTCTAGCGATTCTGGTTTAATCAAGGTACCGCTGTACTACTAGCTAGAAGAGTGTTAACATTCATACGGGTGTTTATCCTTTGTCTCTAGCGGGTGCGAGGCATGGTACGGTCGGCCAAGCGCACATGAGTGTGGATATGGACGTCAAGATACAATTGGCGGTGGAGGATAACAGGAGCCTTTCTGTCAATTATCGCATGCAATTAGCCAATAACTGTGCGGATGTGTTAGTGTTTACCCTAAATACAAGTTGGGTAATTGCTCAGCAATTCTTTTCTTATTCGAACATGCACATAGCAACAAGCATAATATTATGTTTGAACAATGCAGCATTTATTGCCACAGCCACTTCACCCAGATATATTATAAAATTCGGTTGCCTTGATTATTGGTGTAAGAAATGCCATCTCGAAGATAAAACCCTGCTGTTGTTGGAAAGTATCCAACAACTTGAAGCGCCTTTTCGATTGGTTCCTGGGAAACACCGCGTTCAGAAAGTACATCTTCTACTGTAGATAACATATCGTCTGGAACAGCCAGCTTGAGGAGGGAGGGTAATCCAGATACCAAAGTGCTCATTGCCTTAAGAGAAGGAACCGTTGGTATATCCACAATGCTTGAGAATAGGATAAGCTGAGTAAGGGTGCTGCTCCAAATGGGTGCCGATTCTGTATTTTCAAGGTTATTTCCAGTGTTGTATATGGCCCCGACGAAAAGCCAGCGTAGACGAGGAAGCTGAGGGAGAATATGAGTAAGATTGGAGAGATATACTGGGGAATTGGAGACATAGCTTTTCTAACTTTGTCCACAGAATCATATCAGGGAGTGGGACCGGTATGCTCGTCTGAACACGTACTTCAGCGGTGGAGGTAGAGAACGGTTTGCTGAAAAGATCCTTTGCAACAGACGCCGCAGCTTCGTCATGTACACTATTTTGCCAGGTACTGGCGACAATAAAAAGATTTTGAACATCTCTGAAGGTGGTTATCGCAGAGAAATGGAATCTATCAACCATATCAACGAAAGGTGGCAGACTGTATTGGCGCGTCCTTGAATAAAACGAGGGTTTTGGTGTCATTGAATGGATGCCAGCCTAATTGCAAATTTTCCAGCTTTTGGAAACGATATGGAAGGGAAATATGTGTCTGATTCTTCTATTGACTCAGATATCTCGGGATTATGATAGATTTCAAGCACCGTGAGGTTTTCGAAGATAACAGATCCAGGCAGGCTGCCTCTGAAGATGTGCCATGAATGTGAAGTGTCAGGATAATATAGGCTCAGATACTCGAGTGAGGGTGCAAAGATCCTAGGGATACGCTCAGCACTCTCACTGTTGATGTGAAGATACAGCCTGGTGAGGAATGAAGAGAAGTATGTATGGCTCATTTCTGGAAGAGTAAAGTCTGGTAAAGATATTGTTTGTAGCCGTGGAAAGTAAAAATTCAACACATCACCAAGCGGGAATGCAGGCGGATTCTTCAATAGATATCCGGATGTTCTGTGTTTTAAATGCTTCACATGGGAGAGGCGCTGAATAAAATATTGCGAGGTCTGTGATAGTCGTATTCTGACATCGTCGGCCATTGGGGGTTTGGCGTCCGAATCCTGCTCTGCCTCAAGGAGGTCTCCAATAAAACGTATTGTTTTCAATCTAAGCCATTCGACAGTACTGAATCCAAATGTTTCGAGGATGTCTCCAAGAGAGGAATAATCGATGGTACAGTCTCGAGATGAGATAATCAATCTCTGAGTATAGTTGCTGTTTTTTGATTGCACAATATGCGGGATGTTTGCTCTCCATAAAATAGGTTGTGGTGATGTGGCTACAAGGTATATACCCCTGGATGTTAGTTGGTCTGAATGAGAGGTATTGCCATATAGAAGCAGTTGATCAGCTGTTGGTCTGTGGCACAATATGATCGCGGTAGTGTAGAGGCTCTTTTTTATAGTGTCTCTCCAGTGTTGGCAGACTTGGTTCAGCTGGAGATATGAAATATAGATGTCAGTAACATCCGGACTACGCAGGCGAATACTGTTGCCATATATGACAGCAACTCGATGAAGGAGATATGGTCTCAATGTTGTCCCAGTTCGCCATTAGTGTGAAGAAATTGGTCTGTGAGGAGGAGCGGAAAAGAAATACGGCTCTTGTCAGCAACAGTTGTCAACTTACACTTGGCATGGGTTTGTCAATCTTTGTCAGCATTTCCCTAACCCTACTTTACCATCCGCAATACCCGACCTCACATATTGACACGGGTTGCATAAATTTAATACCCATTAGAACTGTTGATAGTATCAGGATACATCAATCTAAATGTGTATAACTGGTCATGTTTCTTTGAAGTTTGGCTAAAGTTTCCGCATTTGGCTCGCCTGTACCAGATGGATTCTCCTGCCCCGCGGCTGGGTCCAAGATGGGTTTGATCTCTACTTGGAAGTAGCTTCTAGTCCTCTACAACATTCGTGTATAGGGACTACAAGGAAATGAAAGCCAGTTTCATTGACATTTAACTCAACTATACACACGGTATATCAGTAGTATAGCTGTTTGCAAATCGTCTCTATGTAGACATGATACTACTGAATTGTGGTGTATTAATGTCAATCTTGTATATCTCTTTAAATACCTCTGCCGAGTATTGATTTATACAAACTGCAGTTTTTCGGCGATCCGAGAACCACGCAAGGGTGATATATATTGGATAACTACATTGCTGATATAAATCTGTGGTGTTCATAATGGCGTGTTTATACCCAAGAGATTAAACAGGAATTGGCTTGTTTAGGCATGGGTGCGAGTTGGCAGCGGGTAGCTGATAGTCTCAATGGGCTTGCCGTCGGTGTCAAAGACGGTATAAAAGTTGGGATGCGCGTAATCGATGACAGCCATAACGCCATCATAGTCGTTGATCCAGGTGTCGGTACCTGAGTGCGGCTCGGCATCGTCAGCATCATAAATACCGTCGATGCCCTCAACGCCAATCTCGAGGACGGCAGCATCAGTGACAGCATAGTCAATAAGCAGTGTCTCGCTCTTGTGGTTAGTGAAGGTGCGCAAGTGGTGTGTGGGCTCGGTCTTGTACGGAGCCGAGGACAGCGCGTAGCTCGCAGTCTCAATAGGAGATCCAGCAGAGTTGAACACTGTGTGGTGGTTCGGGTGGGCGAGGTCGATTACTGCGTAGACGCCGTCATGGATGTCGGCCCAGGTCATGGTGCCCGACGCAGTGTCAACATTATGCTTGTCGTAGATACCGTCAATGCCGTCGTACCCGGCAATGAATACGCCCAGGTTTTCGTTGGCCTCGTCGATCAGCAGAGTCTCACCCTCACCATCTGTCATAGTGCGCAGGTGGTGTGTGGGATGAGTCGGCTGGGGCATAGCGGCAGCAAGGGCGGCAGATGGCAAGAGCAAAGGCGATCTTCATGGTGTGGTAGAGTTTGGTGTTGGAAAGGTGCTTGTACTGTTTGATGGTGGGCACAAAATTTGGAAAATGCGGCTTTTTATGTAGCGTGTTGAGGCGAATACAGGATGCGCCAGACCACACTAGACCTCAGCACATCAGCCTTGGCCAAGACTGGTTAAGAATAGAAGATAATGAATGGGCGGAGAAGCTAGCATAGAGCCGATTCCCCTATGTATGCTTGATTTCCAGTGTTTTATGTTCAAGGCCTCTTGTAACTTGCGTCAAGGAAAACAGATATTTCAGGGGGTATGATTTCCTGGGGATGCACATTTCCGCATCGTTGTCTGAGCAGAGAAGCGGAAAGTGGCTTCGCCTGAAGCACACAAAGCTTGGCAGGATAGTGTTTAGGCGCTTTTGACATCTTGGCATTACTGCAGGATAAGCTGTGCTTTGATATTGCGCCAAGAGCCCAAGAGCCCATACCGATCTACAGCGCACGCTCCTCGTCGGACGGTGCCGAGAATGAACCGCAGGGCATATGAACTAGAGTATATGTATTTCTGTAACAGCAGCGTACAAGCCAGCCTATGACCGGTAGACACTATGCAAGAGAGGCTTCATTGCCTCGCGCTTGAGGTAGCGCAGATGCGAGGCAAAGTTGAGCGAGTACCAGAACAGCTGGCAGTAGTCCAGCGCGCTGATGATGTCGTCCAGCCTACCCTCAATAGCGGCGACATCCGCAGTCAGCGCCTGCGAGTCCCAGATATCGTTGATTCGGCGGATGGCGTCCTCAACGACCAGGTCCTCGCCGTCCTTCCGCTCCACAGGCTTCTCGGGGGTCTTCCATTTCGGACATCCTCGTCTGACTGCTTACCTTCGCGCTGGCGCTCACGGTCCTGCGCTGTGACAGTCTGCTTCAAACGCGCAGCCTGCACCTTGCCAGCCACAAACAGGTGGTAGGGCGTCTGCGGATTCATCAGCTTGAAGCGGTCGGCAATATCTGGGTCGAGCGACGATACAGCCACGGACGAGCCGCTGACTGACGACGGGCGTCGGGCACTGGCGCTAGACGGCTGTGGCTGCTGCGGCTGCTGCCCCTTCGTGCTGCTGCCGCCGAGTGTCCAGGCAGCCAGCTTGGCATCGCCGACTTGGTGGTCGTAGGACTTGCCGGGGTTGACGCTGCTGGCGACGAACCCAGACAGGTCTCCGGCGCTGGTGCCGGCAGCGCTGTCAAAGGGCTTGAGCCAATGCACGCGCTAGAAGGCGGGCGATCTCGTCTGCCATGGCCACCGAGCGGTCCCAGCAGCGCTGCGCCAGCGTATCGAGATCGCTGACAAACTGCAGGGTCAGCTCTGGGCGCTTCGCCTTGGCCATGTACCCGCGCTGGTACGTCGAGCGCTCAAATGGCATGCCCGTATGGCGCTCAAACACAGCTGACAGGTCAACTGATGAGTTGCGCGACGAGGGCAGGTCAAAGTCGAGCTCGCGGCTGTTGGTAGCGGTTTCGGAGATTCTGTTCTGCTTCAGCGTCTCGTCCTTGCTCGCTGCCGGGCCATTGGCCGGTGTGGTGACGCCCGTGGACCCCTGCTCGGTGTTGAGGCCGGTTCTCACGCCGGCAGCCTTGTTGGCCTCCTCATTGACCAGCAGATCCTCAAACAAATGCTCGCGGATCTGCAGCACACAGGCGTACAGGTGGATCTGGCATGAGGCGCCGACCATTTCAAAGTTGGCGTGGCGGCGCGCCGAGAAGGTGTCGGCGTACCGGTCGAGCTCTGCGTGCCACTGGCGGATGCGGCGCTCCAAGCTGCCGACGACCTCGACCAGCCGACGCAGCCGCATGGTCCAGCCCAGCGAATGTGTCGGGAGGTTGTCGTAGAACAGGGTGCCGCGGTCGACGCGCGGGAAGAACAGACGGAACATCTCAGTGCGCTGCTCCAGAAGCTGGCCCATGACCAGCGACAGAATCAGGTCGACGCGGCAGTTGGACACGGACGAGTTGGGCCGCTGCGAAAAGTCGGCCAGACCCATTTCCCAGGCCAGCGGCCCAGAGGGATTCTCCTGCGTCCACAGCTCCTCGCTGCACGGCAGCCAGACCCAGTGCCATCCGGGCTTGATGATGGGCGGGCGGCCCATGGCCAAGCCGTTGAACCGCTCGAGCTGGAAAATCGACCACCAGGCGCGCCGCCGCTGCTCGTGGTCCAGGATGCCGCCAGGGCGGCTCAGAACCTCGAGTCTTGCCGGGTGCGAGTGCTCGGACCAGCCAGTCTCGTACAGACCCATGTTGTTTGTGACGGGCGGCAGCAGGAACTCCTCGTCGAGCAGGTGGTACTGGCCAATGAACGCAAGCTGCACAGCCAGCTTCTCGTACGCTGCGCCCTCCTGCCAGTGCCCCGACACCGACATGTACAGCGCCAGGATGGTGATTGCCTGCAGCGTCGACAGCCGCGAGTTTTTGAGCGCTGCGGGCAGCAGGATGCGTGCAGCACGGGCAAACCGCTGTCCGCGCTTGAACGGGCGGCGGCCAATGCGGCCCTGCTTGGTGGGCTCGCGCTCCTTGAAGCGCGCAGCCACAGCCTGTACCGCGTAGTACAGAATTGGATCGACAGTGCCATCGAGCACCTGCCTCTCAAAGGTCGGGCGGTGCAGAATTGGCATCCACGGGTGGACGTAGACAAAGTACATTTTGATACCGTCATCGATGGTCTGCAGAATCGGCATCCCGCCCTGTGTCGATGCCGAGCGTGCGCGCGCTTCCGAATCAATGCTCATATTGCTGTCGTTCATGCTCTGCGGTTTGTGGTTGTCAATGCCGAGCACGTCCCCCAGATCTGGTTTGCCGTTTGCGGCTCTGTCGGCTGCGTCCTTATTTGTAGGCCACTGGTCCTTCGCTGTGGAAGGACAGGTGCGCTGAGGAAGGTGGGCGAGTCCATGCGCGGGGGCTTCTGCAGCTGCTGTGGCTGAAGATTGAATTGCTGTGGCTGCTGTGGCTGGGATGCGGTTGGAGGCGGCGTTGTCAGCTCGTTTGATGAGCGGTTGCCTGGGTCATAGCGAGGAAACGCATAGTTGTTGGCAAACACTAGAGAGTCCTCGGGGTTTTGGTTAGCTGGTGCGCTGGCTGTTATGCCGGCCGGTAGGGTGACGCCCAGGTTGAACGAGGGCCCGATGCTGGGGATGCTGTTGGTGTTGGCCTCCTGTGCCTGCGTGGCCGAGTTGGCTACCAGCGCCGACAGTTCCGCAGGCAGATCTAGGCCCTGCAGACCAGTGAGCTCAGCCCACAGCTGGCGCACATCCAGATCCAGCCCCTCCATCAGCGAGTCGGGCATCGGGTCGGCTGGCATGGCCATGGCCTTCATCCCCGAGTCCTGCGGCATGCCCGACATGCCGAGTGGATTGGAGATCTCCTGCGGGTTGGCCATAGAGGACTGCTTGCTGCTGGCACCTGCATCCGGCTTCGCCCGCTGCTCGTTCTTCCGCGGCCGCCCACGCTTCTTGTGCGGCGTCAGCACACACTCGTATCCCTTCTTTACGCAGTAGCTGCACCGTGGCCGCTCACCGCCGCACCGGATCTTGCGCAGCCGGCATGCGCGGCACGCCATTCCTATGGGTTTCGGTGCATCGCCCTTGCTGGCTTTGGTCTTTTCTGTTGTGGGCACCATGCCTACCACGGGCGGCTGCTGGATCGGCAGCAGCTGCTCAGGCTGCTGTTGCTGCTGCTGTTGCTGCTGGGAGAACTGCAGGGGCTGGTAGTTGGCGGCGGCCACTTCGGCGAGCGAGGGCTGTGATGTCTGCTGCTGGTCATCGGGGATTGGTGACTGTGTTGTTGGGCCCAAACTCTGGTACGTAGAAACCAAAGTTCATGGATGAAAAGGAAAAATATACGGATGCGAGTGTGGAAAATAGGAGAAGGTATATGGAGCGGATAATTAATTATTTGGCCAAGAGTGGGGAAGAAAAGGAAAAGCAACGGGAGTTCGGTTCTAGCCCTTCCAAGCGATGATAGAAGAGGAAAAAGACCTGTGCCGTCGTGTGCTCTGACCGGAGCGAGCGGCTGTGCTTATTAGCGTGAGGGGCTCGAGTGGGCTCGGCAGGGGGACTGGTGGGGGTTTGGCGCTTTTAGAAGGATCTGTTTGCTCTTGTCTTCGCTGGAGCTGCGCTAATTTCTATGATTGGCCGGGCATGCTCTATAATCGATGGGCTCAGCGGTGGGGCGGGAGAGGGCGCGCAAAAAAGATTACAGAGCCAGAAACACTCGGCTGCCAAAGCTCAATCCAGTCTGCTGGCAAAGGCCACGTCGGCGTCCCCATCTTTCGCCGGGTCTTTCTTTCGCAGCACGACGGCCACTGCGCAGCGGGTCCCTTGGGAGCATCAAATAAATTCGCGCGCTCGACATGGGCAGCCGAATATGGGCAGCTGGATGTCGGCCCATGTCTGCCCCTACTGCTGGACACCAGTCCCCGATGTCATGAATGACGCGGAGCTGTGGAACAGCCTCAGTCTGCCGAGCGGCGGCATCGGGCGTGGAGCCATGGCGCTGAAGTCGGGCGGCGGCGGCGGAATGGATCTCCTGGTGTTGACGGCTGGCAGTGCAGGCAGGCCAATGTCGGGCATATCCATGCCGCTGACCAGCAGGCACACAAACACGGCCATATAGGCAATCCAGTGCACGGCCTGGGTGACCAGCAAGCCGATGTACGCGTAGTGCGGCGGAACCGCAAAGCTGCCGACAAAAAGCGTAGCCAAATCCAGCACCTGCAGCGGCACCACCGCATATGCCACCCACTGCAGCAGCCGCTCCTTGCGCACGGCCGCCCACACGAGGCCCAGTGCCGGCGACTGCACGCGGATTGCGCGCCAGTGCAGGCGTGCCAGCCGCTGCAATGCCGGACTCCACGCGCTCGCCCGGCGCCCAGGCCTCGAGCGCCGCGCTGTTGCGGCTCACCAGACGCAGAACCTGGATCGAGTGGACGCGCAGTGTGTGGGAGAGGCTGGCGCGGGCATACATGACTGCGGCGAGCTGCATGACGCCGACCGCCAGCACTCCGCCGCCGCGCGTCGCCCCGTCGTACAATGTGGCAACGCCTATGAATATGACCAGCCCGCTTACCAGCCGCTTCTCGGAGCCGACCAGCCGCGACCGCACGACTCCCCAGCCCTTGGAGATGGCCAGGATGACCAGGAAATGCGCTCCGTCAGCCAGCGCATCGACCAGGCTCGTCGACACCACAACCATGGTGGCCTCATAGGTGGCGCTGCCCCACAGACTGTACCGGGACTGGTCGGCCAGACAGCTGACGAACCGCAGCACTGGTACGAATCCCAACACCACACCCAGAACCGGCACGCCCTGGCGCCTGCGCAGCTGCACAGCAGCCCACAGCCCCGCTGCCACCGCCCACAGCGTGTAGCATACGGCCGGGTACACCTGCTGCACGGGCATCCAGCCCGCCGGCAGGTTCGTCCACTCGCCGTTGTGCCACTGGTTGGCCATAATCAGATTGTACTTGAACTGCACCGTGGTCGACGCGCAGTTGGCCACCACCACAGCATACTCGCCGCCACGCCTCACCTGCCACTCCCACTCGTACTCGACCAGAAACACGTCATTCGGCTCATTCCCCAGCAGCTGCTGCGGCGACGCTGGACGGCGACGCGGACGTCCGAAGCCGTCAGAGTCGCTACATCAGCGCGCTTCTGCATGCCCGTGACTCTGGTTGCATGCGGCGGAGCCACTGCATCGGTGGTTTTGGTGATGAACGAGAATGCCGCCGGTTTTCTGCGCATCGTCCTTTTTGGGCGCAACCGGCGGCCGATGCAGCCCGGTGATGGGCGCTACATATTCGGTGTCGAGCCAGCGGCTGAAATCGCTGCAGATCGGCGTGCCGTCGTTGCGCAGCGTGTGCAGTCGCGCGACAAAATTGTTGACAGGCGCGGGATTTCGCAAATATCAGATAGACGTGGTCCAGCTCCACGGGCTGCGTGTCGCGTGTCGGCCCGGTGTCGTTTAGTGGCACGGGGTTGCCTTGGAACACGCCCTTGGCGCGGTGCAGCTTAGGCGTCCTTTTCCGACGAGAATGCGCCAAGCTGCAGAGGCGACGCGGGCGCGCCCGTCGCCGCGGAAATCAAACGCGCCGAGCTCGCCGAATGTCACGGATGTCGAGTGGTTCGGCAGCGAGGGCGCAGCATCGAGGAGCGCGGTCTCGCCTGTGTAGTTTAGCGCATTGGTGCATGTGCTGAGTAGCGGGATGAGCAGATATGGCCGCTTCATAATTTAATGTGGATATATGAGGTAGAAAAAATATCAAGGGAACGGCTGTAGAGATCGGGCGCTGTAGAGAGAAATTGTTTGAGCTGCGAGGCCGATTCTTTCCGCCTGCGCGGCCACCAGCGCTTCTGTCAACAGTAGCGCATCACCACTCCGTGGAAGAAAGCGAAAACAAAAAGCAGTAAACACCCATTCTTGACTAAAATAATCGCCATTTCAGACATTTAGCGAGTTTTCTTTCTTGTAAAGGGCGAGCAACAAAAAATGGAGAAAGAGGGGGATTGTAGTAGAAACTAGAGCTCGTCGTGCTTCTCTCCGGCTTCGACGTTGTTGGCAATCGACTCGAGCTCGGTTGCCTCATCCTCGTGCACTGACTCGAACTTGGGCTCGACATGGAACTGCTGCAGGGTTCTCCTTCTGGACCACCACGACAGGCTCACCGATCTGCCCGCCAGCAACGGTATCAGCGACAGCGTCACCGCTACCCTTTGCCTCAGCCTTCTCCTGCGGCTTCTCCTCGGTGTTGTCCTGCGACTTCTCCTCGACAACGGGCGGGATAATCTCGCCATCACCAACAGCCTCAGGCATTCTCAGGCACGTCGAACGTCCTCCTCCTGCTGCTGCTGCTTCGTCTCGTCGTCGGCGGTGGTCTCGACCTTGGGTGGCGGGTCGGTAGCGCGGACACCGCCAATGGCGTGCTCGCAGTCAAAGTCCCACGTCTTCAGCCACTTGCTCTTCACGCAGGTCTCCTTGTCCCAGGTGCGCGCATAGGTGATGAAGCTGAACACCTGGAAGGCATAGAGCACGGCAGCCAGCACAGCAATGTACATGGACCAGCGGATGAGCTTGGGCATGCGCGCGGACACCAAATCAACCGTGAAGGCAAGCACCATGATGGCCATCCACAGGGCCGGGAAGTAATGGTGGATGAACAGCTCGCGGCCCATCAGATAGAACGGCACGTAGTGGCAGAGCCAGGCAACAGTGAAGAAGCCGGCGCCCGACAGGTACTTGCTGCGCTGGCCGCCCAGGGTCGGGTGGATGTGGCGCTTGTCCAGCAGGAAAAGCACGGGGCGGATGGCCAGGAACAGCAGACATGCGGCCAGCGAGCTCCACCAGATGATCGGGTTCCCGAGCTGGTAGATGAACTTGCCGCGGCCGCCCCAGTACGCGGTTCCGCGCCTCAGCCATGGCCAGTGCTGCGGGCGGGCGGCGAACGGGTGGTCGCCAGTCAGGCTCTCGTTGCTCTCGGCCATGTGCTTGTTGTACTCCCAGATCTTCTGCAGCATCGTGAGCGGGCGGTACGTGGCCTTGGGCACGTCGGCTGTGATGTTCGGGTGGTGGGCATACTCGACATGCCACGTCGACATGCGCGGCAGGGAGTTCCGCATGCAGTTGACCTCGATCTGGCTGAACGCCCACTCGGGCAGCTTCTGCCGCGAGTTATACAGGACGCAGTTGAGGCGCGTGTGGACAATGCGGAACCGCGAGTAGATTGCCTGCACGCTCTTGTCGGAGCCCGGCGACTTGGAGTCGCCATTCAGGATGTCGATGCGGAAGTTGTCGTTGGCGTCGCCGGCAAAGCCCGGGAAGCCGTAGCCGCTGACCTCGAACTTGTTGTCGTCGTTTGTCAGCGCCGGCTTCTTGTCGTGCGAGTGCAGGAACTTGCCAGTGCCCTTGTGGCGCAGACGAATGACATCGCCGCTCTGGACCTTCCTGGGACCGTCGGTCTCGTCAACCGTCCTGTTGACGGCCGGGTACACAACCCAGACGTTGTTCGGGTCCGCGTAGCCGTAGATTGTGATCTGCTGCTGGCCGCTGCCCTTCTCGTGCTTCCACGGGTGGTGGTGCGAGTGCAGGTAGCCGGAGCGCGAGTTGCTGTGGCGGATGCGGATCTCCGAGCCATAGTACACGTCGCGGTCGGTGGACACATCGAGCCCGCCCTTGAGCGTGGCCTGGAACTCGGGGGTCATCATGGGCGCGGCATCACCGGTCTTTGAGAGAACCAGGAAGTGGACCTGGAACCAGAACAGATAGACGGCCAGCGGAACGGCCAGCAGACCGACGGCGCGCGCAAAGAAGTGCGCGAACCACCGCGTGGGCGAGATCCTCTGGTCGGCGATTTTCTCCCACAGGTCGCAGATGGTCGAGAGCCCGATGGCCGGGAACAGGAACAGGCCGACCCACTTGCAGCTGGCAGCACAGCCCATCATGCAGCCGGTGGTGAGCAGCCAGGCCCACCAGCCCAGGGAAAACGGCCGGCCCTGCTTGGTCCAGAACATCGACCAGGAGGTCAGCGACAGGGCCGTGAAGAACACCAGCGGCGAGTCCAGCAGGATCAGCCGCGACTGCGTCACCAGCCCGTTCTCGAAGCACACCAGCAGGGCGGCCAGCAGACCGGTGTCCCAGAGATACCCGCAGGCACGCGCCGTCACGTATGCAGCAGGCACTGTGACCACTCCCAGCAAGGCCGGCATCAGCCGCATGCCGACGTACGGAACCCCGGCAGCCTCGTAGTCCAGCCCGATCGACTTGAAGTCAAACATACCGTCGTACCCGGCCAGCTTGCCGGCTGCTGCAAACATCATCTTGGCCAGCGGCGGGTGCAGGTCGTAAAAGTACGTGCCGTTGATGTACTTTCCGGCAAACTTGCCGAAATGCACTTCATCGAAGACCACCTGGCCTGGTGTCGCCAGGCTGTGGCAGCGGACGATCACGGCCAGCGCGGTGGTCAGGAGAAGGACTAGCGCGTCGGCTGTGGTGAAGGTCCATTCGGTGAAAAACAGGTGCGATGCGGGCTGCTGCTGCTGCTGCTGCTTTGCGGGAGCGCTGCTTGTGTCCGGACGCATGCTGTGGCCCTTGGGGAGCGGGCTGCGTTTCTCGGAATTGCTCATTTCCTGAGTCATCCCGTGGTGAAAAAAGGCAGGATTGTGCAAGAGAAAGGAATAAAAAGGAATTCGCTGAAGAGAGAAAGGAGGAGAGGAGACGGAGCCGCCTCAGCCCATGCTTGCGATTCCGCTGGGGAGGGGTGAAGATTCTGAGCTGCGATGACGTTCAGTGGGATGCAGTGCGACATTCCTGGGCGATTTCAGCATTTTCCATGCAACGTTGCACATGCCAGCCATATGATGATTTCAAACCAGTAAACATCACACTACGTCTATTTCCAAACGATACTGTTTCCCGTGCATTCCAGCAGAGAGCGGCCCTACAGCTGCCCGGTCTGGTTCCACTTGACGCAGTCTGCAAATTTGATTTTGTCGCCGCCGAAGATATCCAGGGCACTGCCGATGGTCAGGTCGACCTTGCCGCGCGACAGCTCGGTGACCAGCGCCAAGTCTTCGACGGCCCTGGCGCCGCCTGCGTAGGTGACGGGAATCGGCGACCACTGGGCCAGGGCCTCGACAAGCTCGGCATCAATGCCGTTGCACAGGCCCTCGACGTCAGCAGCGTGGATCAGGAACTCGGAGCAAAACTCGGCCAGCAATTCCAGCTCCTCCCTGCCAATCACCATGTCGGTCATGGTCTGCCACTTGTTCATGGCCACGACCCAGCCGTCCGGGCGCCGGCGGCAGCTCAGATCCACCACCAGGCGCTCCCTGCCGACCAGCCTGCTGACCTCCTTCAGGCGCTCCAGCGAAAACCGCGCTTCGGGGAACAGCCAGCTGGTGATTATGACCTTTTGCGCGCCGCGCGCAATCCACTCCTGCGCGTTGCTCGACGTGATCCCGCCGCCGACCTGCAGGCGGTCCGGCCATGCCTGCAGGGCAGACTGCGCGGCGGCTTCGTTGTTCGCGCCCAGCATGATAACGTGGCCGCCGGTGAGGTTGTGCTGGCGGTAGAGCGCCGCGTAGTAGTCTGATGGGTGGGCGGAGACAAAGTTGGTCTTCAGCGTGCTGTCGTTGTGCTCGTGCAGGGTGCCGCCGACGATCTGCTTGACCTGGCCGCTGTGCAGGTCAATGCACGGACGGAATTTGGAGTGCATTTGGGATATTGTTCTGGGAGGTATCGGGGAAACGGGTAACCGAGGGGATGCCGGAATCAGGCAAGAGGGCAGGGCTAATCGGCAGCAAAACACTGGGTCGGGCGCGGTTGGAGAGCCAAATGGAAAAGAGAAAAATTTTGTTGGGGTGAACGAAAAAAAAATCCCATCGCCCAGCAAAAAGGGATTTTATTCTTAGCATTCCAGCGCTTTCCTTTCCTTCCCTCGATACTTTTCGGCCTTTCTTTTATTCTGAATTGAGCGCTTCAGCACTTGTACACGGGTCGCGAGACAAGCACAGGGGAAGAAGCACACAGGCGGATTTCGACATCAGCACAGCAGCCACAGACGCACATACCACAAGAAAAGGAGCTTGAAAAAGAAATAAAACCATGCCTGGTGCGTATACATATATGAGTATATTTTGAAGACCATGCGATATATGCAAAGGTCCACTTGCTGCTAATGTGACCGGGTGTGCGTGTGCGGTGTAGCCAAGAAGAAGGGAAACAAGGGACAGAAGATGAGTCTGAACGACTTTCTGAACGACGGCCCGACGACGTCGTCGTGGGCGGACGAGGATATGGAGCTGCCCTCGGCGCCGATGGCGGTGGCAGCGCCGCGCAGCTCGCTGGCGGACGCACCGGATCGCAAGGACATGGTGGGGCGCAGCAGCGACTCGTGGGCGGCGCGCGAGCCACGCGAGCCGCGCGGGCCGGTAGAATTCCCGACCAACCCTCCCTTCACATCATTTGTGGGCAACCTGCCGTTCAGCGTGGACGAGGACCAGCTGCGCGACTTCTTCTCGGGTGTCACAACGGTGCGGCTGATCCGCGACCACGCGACGGAGCGGCTGAAGGGATTCGGGTATGTTGAGTTTGAGACCTTGGAGGACCTGAAGCAGGCGGTGGAGAAGGACGGGGCTGAGTTCAGCGGCCGCCAGATCCGCGTCAACGTGTCGGAGCAGCGCGAGGAGCGGCCGTCGGGAGCTGCCAACTGGCGCCGCGAGCCGGGCGCTGCCAGCCCGTTCGGGTCGCGCACCAGCAGCGGGTTCGGGCGCTCCGAGCCCCGGGAGCCCCGGGAGCCGCGTGAGCCGCGCGAGCCGTCGGTTGCCGAGGGCGCGTCGGACTGGCGCGTCCACCGCGAGCCGGTCTCGGGCGAGAGCTCGCCGCGCCGCGCAGCCTTTAGCGACCGCTTTGCGCGCACCCCCAGCAATGCCGGCGAGCCGCGCGAGGAGCGCTCGCAGTGGCGGCGCGAGAACCGCGATGCCGAGTGGGGCCCGCCGCGCACGCCGCGCGAGTACCAGCCGCCTAGGGAGCGGTCGGCAAGCCGCGAGCCGCGCGCCCCCCGCACGCCCACCCAGGCCGAGCAGGCTGCGTCGTGGAGGATGCCCAAGAAGCCCACCGACGAGCCGGCCAGGAAGCCCGCCGACGAGCCGGCCAAGGAGGCTGGCGAGGGCGATGAGGGCTGGAGCCAGGTGGCCGGCGAGAAGCCCCAGCAGCCGCGCAGGGCGCCCGAGACTGAGCGCCGCGGAAGCGGCCAGGGTGCGGCGCGCGGCGGCAGGACGACCGGCGGGTTCTTCAAGCGCGAAGGCCGAACCGGCGACGACGGCGGCAGCTGGCGGCGCTGAGGTAGTGCATTTCTGTTCACCTTTTCTTTACCTGAATTCAACCCAGAGGATCATGTCTATCTGACCAAAACCCGGCCCATTCTTGCAGGCCATTCTGAACCTGAGTCGTAAAAAACGATCGGCGGGCTAGCATTAGCTTGCACAGGCCCAAAAGAAGCAATATGAAAATTAGCGACCACAGCACATGGGCTTCTTAGCATGAGCGCTGTTTCTCCCTCTTTTTCCTGCTCCTCTGCTCTTTCCCTCTATCTATTTTTGTTTCTATACCGTTCACCGTTAAACATTCTACCAATTATAGACTTCCTCTACATATTGTTATAACCGCACGCACTACACCCCCTCGCACACTTTCTGGCCAAGAACAAAAAAAAAAGTAGTATCTACAGCTTTTGGCTGACAAAGACAACAAAAAAGACCAATTCGCCACCATCTCTTTTGCTCGCCGTCAATTTCGGACTCGGCAGGACCACACGCTAGCAAAGGCCAGACCATGGGAAACGCGCCGTCCAAGGCAATAAAGGCGCGCAAGGGCGGGCGGGCGTCCGAAGACACGAGCGACAGCGCGGTGCCAGCCAGCATTGTGCGGGCGTCGTCGGACACAACCGGAACTAGTACTACCAACACCACCAACACGACCACCACAGCAGCAGCAGCAGCAGCATCGACGCGTGACAGCAGCAAGCCCGCACGACCATCGCTGGCAGGGGCGCTGCCATCGCCCATGGTGAACCGGGCCGGGCTATCGTCGCCGATTGCGGTGCCAGGCTCAGTGGGGGCGGTAAGCAGCACGCCAGCGACGCCCGGCTCGTTGTCGGGACCGCGTGGAGAGTATTTTCCGCTGCAGATGACAGGAACGCGGGAGTCACGGATGTCGCTGGGCGGGCGGATGCGCGGGCGCAAGAAGAAGGTATCGTCCGCGATAGAAGGAGTGGAGGAGGGGACGGTGCGGACGCCGGGGGCGGCAACGCCGCGGTCGTACTGCGACCTGCCAGGGACGTCGATTCTGACGGGCGGGCCCGGGACGGCGTATGCGGGGGAGCGGCTGCCGGCGCTGCGCGAGGAGGGGCGGATGGCGCTGACCGAGTACGTGTCGACGCCGAGCGGAGCCGAGTTTGCGATAATCAAGCACGCAGAGAAGCCAAAGCAGTTCAGCGTGGACGACATGATTTTCCGGCTGCTGGACGCCGGGTTCAGCGGCAAGGTCACCAAGAGCGTGTGCCTGCGCAACTCTGAGATCATCGCGGTGTGCCAGGCCGCGCGCGAGGTGTTCCTGGCGCAGCCGACGCTGCTGGAGCTGGCAGCGCCGGTGAAAATCACGGGCGACATCCACGGGCAGTACACGGATCTGCTGCGGCTGTTTGACAAGTGCGGGTATCCGCCGCACTGCAACTATCTGTTTATGGGCGACTACGTGGACCGCGGCAAGCAGTCGCTGGAGACGATCCTGCTGCTGATGTGCTTCAAGATCAAGTACCCAGACAACTTCTTTTTGCTGCGCGGCAACCACGAGTGTGCGAATGTGACGCGGGTGTATGGGTTCTACGACGAGTGCAAGCGCCGGTGCAATGTCAAGGTGTGGAAGGCGTTCATCAACACGTTTAATGCGCTGCCGATTGCGGCGGTGGTGGCATCCAAGATCTTCTGCGTGCATGGCGGGCTGTCGCCAGACCTGGCCAGCATGGATCAGATCCGGCAGCTGGCGCGGCCATGCGATGTGCCAGACCACGGGGTGCTGAACGACCTGCTGTGGTCCGACCCGTCCGACACGGCAGCGGACTGGGAGGAGAACGAGCGCGGGGTCTCGTACTGCTTCGGCAAGAGCGTGATCACCGACTTCCTGCGGCGCATGGACTTTGATCTGATCTGCCGCGCGCACATGGTGGTCGAGGACGGGTACGAGTTTTTCCACGGGCGGCAGCTGGTGACGGTGTTTTCGGCGCCCAACTACTGCGGCGAGTTCGACAACTCGGGGGCGGTGATGAACGTGAACGAGCAGCTGCTGTGCTCGTTTGAGATCCTGAAGCCGCTGATGGAGAACCTGAGCAGCTGCATGGCGCGCGTGGAGGCGAACTTTTGGTCAAAGCGGCAGCAGGCGGAGGCGCTGATGAACGAAGCCGCGGCGGAGAAGGCGCTGAAGGAGCAGCAGGAGCAGGAGCAGGAGGAGGCGATGGCTGGTGCTTCTGACGCGGCTGACTCGGCAGCAGCGGCAGCCACGCAGCCGATGGCGATTCCGACAGCAAACGGCGCGAAGAAGCCGCGGCAGCGCGTGGTGGACAAGGACGAGCTGAATGAGACGCTGCTGGAGGACGACGACGATGACGACGACGACGACGACGTGTCGGACGAGTCGCCGCCCGCTGCGCAGCAGCAGGACGAGCATGTGCTTCATGGCACACCGCCGCGGGGATCCAAGCTCAAGCAGCACATGGTGCAGGACCGGAATCCTACGCCAGCAGACTAATGCTCCGCAGTGGCTCTCTCTTTCCCTCTTTCCATACCACATCAACTTTTTACTTTTTAGCCGAACCGTATGTACTCTCACAAAAAATATCAACAGCCCTTGGACCTCAGACCCTGGAGTAGCCGATGCGCTTTTTCCGCCAGACGTACACGGCGAAGGCGGCAATGCCGAGGACGATGAAGAGAAATTCGTTTCGGAAAAAGTCCCTGCGGTCCTTCTCCTCGGGGTGGGTGCATTCCTGGTACTCGGGCAGCTGGTGCGAGTCCTGGTAGTCCTTTGGCACGGTGCCGTTCCATTCGCAGGCGACCTCCTGCTTGTATCCGTTCAGCTTGCAGAACGGCTGGTTCAGCTCTGAGGGCGCACAGGCCTGGCATTTGCTGATCAGGCGGCATGTGTATTCATTCGAATAGTCGTCCATTGGAAGAAAGCGCGGAAAGGGGTTGGAGAGCGGAGGAGAAGGAGGCTTGCAAGCTCAAAGCATAGGCGCGCCATGCACCCAAAGGAAAATCCTTGCTGCTTTCTTTTGCTTCGCTTTTTTGCTACTTTTTCTCTTCTGAATGGCTTCTGTCAAGGTAACGAACATTTCCCTGCTGGTGGACGAGGCGGTGCTGCGGACGCTGTTTGAGTTCCTGGGCGAAATCAAGGCGCTGGCGCTGACCAAGACCAGCGACGCGCAGGAAGCGACAATAGAGTTTGCCTCAGCATCGTCAGTCAAGCCGGCGCTGTTTCTGTCGGGGACGGAGCTAGCCGAGCGCGCGCTCACAGTGACGTCGCTGGGCGACTCGCAGCCCGGGCAGGCGCTGGCGAACGCACCGGTAGTGGCGATGATGGCAGCGCGCGGCTACCGTCGCACATGCACCGAGGCCGGGCGGCAAGAGGAGATATCGCGGACGGTCTACGTGGGCAACATCCCGGCCATGGTGGACGAGCACGCGCTGCTGACGTTTTTCACGAGCTGCGGGCCCGTGGCGTATGTCAAGATGGCCGGCGACGGGCAGCAAATGACGCGCTTCGCCTTTGTCGAGTTCGCCGACACGCAGACGGCCAATAATGCGCTGGCAATGAACGGGCAGGTGATGGGGGAGCGGGCGCTGAAGGTGAACCGGTCCAAGAATGCGATTAACAAGCCGATGGTCAGGGCGCCGGCGGTGCCGCAGGTGGCGACTTTGGCGGCGGTTGCGTCGCTGCCGAGCAGCCTGGACCCGGCGAATCAGGCGGGGAAAACCGTCAGTGAGGGGATTGCGTGGCCGGTGCTGGGGAAGGTCAGACCCGGGGAGGCCATGAGGAGAGTTAGGGAGGCACAGGACCGTGTTGAGGAGAAGTACCGGCCGGAGGAGAGGGCCAGGAGGGAGCGCAGCAGGGAGCGCAGCAGAGATGCCGGTGCGCGGTATGCCAGGTCGCGTCGCCGCAGAGATAGCGAGGACGACGACTACTATTACCGCGAGCGCAGGCCACGCAGGCGCAGCTCCAGCCGCCGTCGCAGCTCCAGCCGCAGGCGCAGTTCCAGTCGCCGTCGGCGGTAATTGGAGATGATCGTCTGAGGAGATCCGGATTTTGTGTATGCTAAGCGGCAGTAGCTTTGAAAATAAACATCCTTGCTGTGTGGTCTGCGTGCGCAGCTTCAGATGCTTCATTGAAGTGTGCCACTCGTGATTCTTGCAGCCCTCTTTCCTCTCTCTGCCGCCTTCGCTCAAATTCGATTTTTCTTCTTCCACATCTCACAAAAGCTGCAAATGAATTTGGTCTCCATCAGCGCGTCGGGGGCCACAATAGCCATGTTCGTGAGCCAGCTCTCGATTATCACAGAACTGCGGCGAGCCAGCAAGTCGCACAGCAGCGTGCCCATGCTGCAGTTCCTGGTGTCGTTTCTGAGCTCAGTGCTCTGGCTCAAGTACGGTCTGATCAAGGCCGACGCAACCATCACCTTTGTCAACTCCCTGGGCACGCTGATCGCCGCGTACATTCTCGGCTGCTTCTGGTACTACGCGCCCAGCCGCGCCTCCGTCGAGACCCGCGTTCTGGCCACTGCACTAACTGCCCTGGTACTGGTAACCCTGGTCGACCGCGCTACCGACCCGGCCGCCGTTGATGCATTCAGCCTGGTATGCTGTCTGATGACATTGGTGTTTTTGGGCTCGCCGCTCAGCCAGATTGGCAGCGTGGTGAGGCTGCGCGATGCCTCGGTGCTGCTGCCGTCGGTCACGGTGCTGGCGTTCACCAATAATGTGCTGTGGACGGTCTACGGGTACTTGCATAATGACCCGTACATGCTGTTTCCGAACTCGATTGGCGCTGGGCTGTGTGCCGGGCAGCTGGCGCTGATTGCGTACTACGGCCGGGCGGCGGCTCAGGCTGCACACACGCACACTGGCGGCACATTGGAAATGACCACGGTCGCGTAGAACAAAAGTGCTTAAAAGTATAGGTTTTTGAAACAAGAAAAAGTCAGGAAAAACACCCCTGGGCATTACATTAAAATGCAACATTTAGGCTTTTTCGGTATCACTGGCTTGGGTCCCTGAGCACCTGCACATAGGCGCAGATGGTGCATGCCCCGTTCTCAATGAACGGCTTGGCGCCAGGTGTCAGGCCGGTGCGCAGCTCGGCCAGCTTCATGAAGCGCGTGAACCCCCAGTTCGGGTTGTTCTGCGTGAAGCAGTGGTAAGCCGAACCGCTGGTGCTATGCGTGGGGTCGTTCGGGTTGGCCACCGCCAGGACGAACTTGCACGTAATCCTGACGTCCGGATTTCCGGGCTGCGCGTCCATGCTCTCCAGAAAGAACGACAACACGCCCTTGTGCGAGCTGCCAAACGGCCGGAGCAGGATCCGCCATGCGTGCCCGCCGCACCGAAACACATCGCTGGTCGCCCGCTTGTCCAGCGCGTCCCAATTCGCGATATTCCAGAAATACGCCTGCCTGTCCAGCACTATATCCTCCATATGCCGCTCCACGTACTGCGCCTCGTCAAACACACTAATCTGCGGCTTCGCCTCGGCCACCGGCGTCGGCAGTGACGCCGGCTTCTCCAGCACTGGCGCCGAGCCCACTGCCCGCGACCCCTCCGCGCGGCCCATCGACGGGAACTTTATCTCAATATACTGCCCGTTCTCGTCCATGCCGTAGCCACCCGTCGGCGCCTCTGCCCGCCCGCCATCCAGCTCCCCGGCCACCATCGTGGCGTCGTTCATTTCTGCCTTGCTGTACATTGCCTGCGGCGCCGGGCTCGTGGTCGGTGCCGGCCCTGCCATACTGGGTCGCTGCCCGTAGTACATGCTGGGTGCCGCTGTCGCCGGCATCGGCATCGCCGGGCCGTAGTACTGCTGGTAGTTGCCCGGCGCCGGCGACATCGGCAGGTAGCCGCCGTAGCCCGGATACACCCCCGGCAGCGGCTGGTACATGGGCTGCGGCTGCGGCGGGCTGAGATAGAACCGGAACACGGGCTCGCCGGCCTGTGTCGTCGGCCCGAGCGACGGGCTGGTCGGCTGCTGGCTCACCTGCATGTCTGTCCGCTGTTGTGCTGAATTCATGGCAGGTTAGAGGCGAGTAAAAGAAAATATGTAAACAGAAATGAAGATTTGGGGGGAACGAGGAGGAGGGAAGAGTGAAGAAATTTGGAAAATAAAAAGGTTGTTTATGTTTTCGCGGGCACGTCTGGCAGGAAACCGCCTGGCTCCTTTTAAACCGGTCTCTGGGGATGGTGGTTACTGAAGGTGGGCTATTTGGAGTCACACGTTGGTGGCACCCCAGATGCTGTTGCGGTCTCGAAATATAAAAGTGTCTGGCAGAGAAATGTCGCCCAGTGTGCTAAAAAGGAGCAGAGAATCGGCATTATAGCGCCCATCTCCCCTCGCAGCACCTTTCTCGACGCGGCCCAAGGGGGAGCATGCGAACAAAGATGCACCATGGCCATGCCCATTCTCTGCTCCCCTTTTCTGCATGTGCAAAATCAATGTCTCCCACCACGCACCCATGGAGGATCGCCCGGCTCTGTCACCCAAGCTGCCCACTCTATTTGCGAAATTACTTGCTTCCTTATTGCAATGCAGCCGCCATTGTTTCCAGACGCCCGCTTGCAGAAATAGTGCTTTGCAGAGGAAAATACGGATCTGGCCACCGGCTCTCTCACCCCTCGACCACATGCAGATTAGCTCAACAACAACGTCCTGTTTCGGTTTAATATCGCAGCAGCTTTCTTGTCCGCCTCTTTGGCAGCCCGGGGCAGTAGCATTTCTTGGACCGTCCGGAATAGATATCGCAATCCGATTGTTTGGGAACGGCTGGATAACCATATTTGCGCAATCACACAATTCCATGTCATACTTTGCTAGTGTTGCAAAAAAAAAAAAGAAAACCAACAATTGGATCAAACACCCGCCTCCCCTTCGCTTCCCCTTTTCCACCCCCTCATTGTTCAAACACAGCCTATGGAGCAGCTGCCCGAATCACCGCAGCATGTGCAGCCCGGGGCCAGCGCCAGCCCGCAGGTCAGCGTCTCGATAATGACGCCGGTGCTGCCCACCAAGGCTTTCGACGACCCGCACCTCGAGTTCCCCGAGGACATGTACCCGCCTGAGAACTTCTCCATGGTCTGCCCGTACATCTACCGCAGCGGCATGCCGAAAAAGCGCAATTTCGCGTTCCTGCAGAAGCTCAAGCTCAAATCCATCCTGACGCTGATTCTCGAGGAATACCCGACACAGAACCAAAAGTTCCTGGCCGAAAACAACATCACCCTGTTCCAGTTTGGCGTCGCCGGCAACAAGGAGCCGTTTGCCGATATCCCCGAAGACATTATGTGCGAGGCACTGCTGACGCTGATGGACAAACGGAACCATCCGATTTTGATCCACTGCAACAAGGGGAAGCACCGCACCGGGTGCTTGGTTGGGTGTCTGAGGAAATTGCAGGAATGGTCGAATACCAGCATTTTCGACGAATACCGGAGGTTCTCGGCCCCAAAGTCAAGGTCCATGGACCAGCAGTTTATTGAGCTGTTTGATATCCAGCCCGTGCTGGATCAGGTCGACAGGGAGAATGTCCCAGATTGGCCGACAATCAAGTGAGAGGCATCTTGGCTACATGTATTATCAACACGTATGTGATTTTTGTATGTGGTTGTTGTGAAGTAAGGGTAGTATTAAATATCTTCGTGTACAGGCAAATACTGCGCAACTTCAGTATATGAGCTGTTTCGCAGTGCAGCAACATCTTGATTATACCAGCTATTCTGATGCATATTAGATTTATGCGACCTGTGTAAATGAGTGAGGTCGAGTATTGTGGATGGTGGAGTAGGATTAGGGAAATGTGGACAATGATGGATACGTGTGAAAAGTGTGACTTGGCAGTTATTATTGCCCGAAGCTGTATTTCTTCCCTACTCCTCTTCAAAAACTCGCTTTTCACACTAATGGCGAACTGGGCAACACTGAGACCATTTATTCTGCTCCGGATTGCCAACATATGTCGCAGTAGTATTCGCCTAGGCAGTTCGGATAATTTCGACACCTATACTCCATTCCTCCAGCTGAATCAGGTTTGCCAACGCTGGAGAGACACTATAAAAGAGAGCCTCTATACTACCGCGATTATCTTGTGCCACAAACCAACAGCTGAGCAATTGCTTCTATATGACGGCACCTGTGATTCTGACCAACTCGCATCCAGAGGCATACATCTTGCAGCATCGTCACCACAGCCTATTCTATGGAGAACAAACATCTCAAATATCGTGCGATCAAAAAACAGCAACTACGCTCAGCAACTTCTTATCTCATTTCGAGACTGTACCATCGATTTTCCCTCTCTTGGAGACATCCTCGAAATATTTGGATTCAGCACCGTCGAATGGCTTAGATTAGAGACGATACGTTTTATTGAATATCCCCTTGAGGCAGAGCAGGATTCTAACACCAAACTCCCAATGGCCGACGATGTCAGAATACAACTGTCACAGACCTCACAATATTTTATAAATCACCTCTCTCATGTGAAGCGTTTGATACATGATGCATCCAGATATCTATTGAATAATCCGCCAGCATTCCCGCTTGGTGATATGTTGGACTTTTACTTGCCACAGCTGCGAACAATAGCTTTGCCCGATTTTACTCTTCCACAACTTGATCACACATACTTCTCTCCATTCCTCACTAGGCTGTATCTTCACATCAACAGTGAGAGTGCTGAGCATATCCCTAGAGTTTTTGCACCTTCATTGGTGACACTGTGGTTATATTATTCTGACACTCTACATTCATGGCATATCTTCAGAGGCAGCCTGCCTGGGTCGGTTATCTTTGAAAACCTTACAAAGCTTGAAATCTATCATAATCCTAAAATATCTGAAATGATAGATGACTCAGACACATACCTTCCTTCTATATCGTTTCCAAAGCTGAAGTGTTTACGTTTATATTACTACCCATCCAAAGATTCGAACACCCTCGCTTTATTCAAGGACGCGCCAATACAGACTGCAACTATTGTTGATGCTGTCGATAGATTCCAACTCTCTGTGATAACCGCCTTCAGAGATGTTCAGACTCTAAGCATTTCTATCAGTAACTGGGAAGATAGGGTGCATGACGAAGCTGCAGCGTCTATTGCAAAGGATCTTCTCGGTAAGCCGTTCTCTACTTCCACTGCTGACTTGCGTATCCTGACAAGCCTACCAATTCCACTTCCTGATACGATTCTGTGGACAAGGTTAGAAAAACTGTATCTCCAGTTCCCGGTTTATCTCTCCGACCTCATTCATATCCTTCCTCAGCTTCCTCATCTGCGCTGGCTTCTTGTCGGGGCTATATACAACACTGGAAATAGCCCTGAAAATACAGAATCAGCACCCATTTGGAGCACCACCCTCACTCAACTTGTCCTATTTTCAAGCGTTGTTCATATCCCGACGATTCCATCGCTTGATGCAATGTGCGTTTTGGTATCTGGCCTACCTTCTCTTCTCAAGCTAGCTGTTCCAGACGATATGTTAGCCACGGCGAAAAATGCACTTTCTGAACACACCATTTCTCGAACATCTAGGGAATGGGTATTTCAGGTTGCAGGGTGTCCTCCAACAAGACCAAGGCTTTATTTTCAAAATGACATTCCTTAAACCCGATAACCAAGGCAACCGAATCTTATAATACATCTAGGTGAAGTAGCTGTGCCAATAAATGCTACATTGTTTAAACATAATTCTATGCTTGTTGTTATGTACATGTTCGATTAAGAATCAAGATGATGGAATACTGGTCAGCATATACATAAGGTAAAAACAGGTACACATCCACACTTGCGTATGCTTGGCTGGATGTACCATGCCTCGCACCCGCTAGAGGCAAGCAGGGATAAACACACGTATGAATGTTAACACTCTTCTAGCCAGTAGTACAGCAGTATCTTGATCATACTAAAATCGACAATGGATATTAAATTTATGTGACCCCTTTAAACGAGTGAAGTCTAGTATTGTGAATTGTAGAGTAGGATTAGGGAAATATTGACAAGGATTGACATGCATATGACAAGTAGGGGTTGTCAACTGTTGCTGACAAGAACTGCATCTCTTTTCCACTCCTCTTCACAAATTCGTTTTTTACACTAATGGCGAACTGGGCAACACTGAGACCATATATTCTTCTGCGAATAGTCAATATACTTGGCAATAGTATTGACCTGAGCAGTTCAGATGATGTCGACATCTATATTTCATATCTCCAGCTTAGCCAGGTTTGCCAACACTGGAGGTACACTATAAAAGAGAGCCTTTACACTACCGCGATTATCTTGTGCTGCAAACCAACAGCTGAGCAATTGCTTCTATATGACGGCACCTGTGATTCTGACCAACTCGCATCCCGAGGCATACATCTCGCAGCCTCATCACCACATCCTATTCTATGGAGAACAAACATCCCGCATATTATGCAATCAAAAAACAGCAACTACACTCAGCAACTTCTTATCTCATTTCGAGACTGTACCATCGATTTTCCCTCTCTTGGAAACATCCTCGAAATATTTGGATTCAGCACCATCGAATGGCTTAGATTGGAAACAATACTTTTTATTGGAACTCCACAGGTGGCAAAACAGGATTCCGACACCAAACTCCCAATAGCTGACGATGTCAGAATACAACTGTCACAGACCTCACAATATTTTATAGAACATATTCCTCATGTGAAGCATTTGTCGCATAGAGCATCCGGATATGTATTGAAGAATCCGCCAGCATTCCCACTCGGTGATGTGTTGAACTTTTACTTGCCACAGCTCCAAACACTATTTTTATCCGATCGTATACTTCCAGAGATGGACCACAAGTACTTTTCTTCATTCCTCACTAGGCTACATCTTCACATCAACAGTGAGAGTGCTGAGCATATCCCTAAAATATATGCACCCTCACTCGAGTATCTGAGCCTATATTATTCTGACACTCTACATTCATGGCACATCTTCAGAGCCTGCCTACCTGGATCTGTTATTTTCGAAACACTTACGAAGCTTGAAATCTATCACTATCCCAAAATATCTGAGTCAACAGATGAATCTGACACATATCTTCCTTCTATATCGTTTCCAAAGCTGCAGGAATTGCGTTTAGGTTACTATCCATTCAAATATTCCAACTCTTTCGCTTTATTCAAGGATGCACCAATACAGACTGCCACTATCACTGATATAATTGATAGATTTCAGCTCTCTGCGATAACCACCTTCAGAGATGTTCAAACTCTAACCATTTCTATAAGAAGCTGGCCGGATAAAATGCATGATGAAACTACGGTGTCTATTGCAAAGGATCTTTTTAGCAAACCGTTCTCTGCTTCCACCGCTAAAATAAATATTCAGACAAGCCTACCAATTCCACTCCCTGATACGATTCTGTGGACAAAGTTAGAAGAGCTGTATCTCGATTTTCCCGTCTACCTTTCCGATCTCATCCATATTCTCCCTCAGCTTCCTCATTTGCGCTGGCTTCTTGTCGGAGCCATATACAGCACTGGAAATAACCCTGAAAATACAGAATTAACACCCATTTGGAGCAGCACACTCATTCAACTTATCCTTTTTTCGAGTGTTGTGGAGATACCAATGGTTCCTTCTCTCGACGCAATGTGCATTTTGGTGTCTGGATTACCCTCCCTTCTCAAGCTGGCTGTTCTAGACAATATACTATCTACGGTAAAGGATGTACTTTCTGAACGCGGCGTTTCCCAGGAATCAAACGAAAAGGTGCTTCAGGTTGTTGGATACCGTCCAAAAAGAGCATGGTTTTATCATGATTTTGGAATTCCCTACACCGATAGTCAAGGAAACCAAATTGTATAGTATATCTATATGTAATGGCTGTGCCAATAAATGTTACGTTGTTCAAACATAATATTAAGCTTGATGGTATGTGCATCCTCGAATAAGAAAAATGCTGAATTATTAGCCAACGTATACATAGGGTAAAAAATAAAACATCTTCACAGTTATATATTGGCCGACTACATGCGATAATTGACAGAAAGGCTCCTGTTAGCCTCCTGCCAATTGTATGGCTAAACTCATACCAATACTCGTGTGTGCTTGGCCGGCCGTACCATGCCTTTTGCCGGCTAGAGACAGGAAAGGACAAATATCCGTATGGGCTTCAACGCGCTGTAAGACAGAGATGTAACAAAACTACGTTCATGTAGTTGGGACGACTAGCTATATTAAGCCATTAATTTTTGAATAACAGCAAGAACAATATAGCCATTGCTCATACTTTCTTTCATTTGTGATGTGGTTTTCAATGCATTTATCACCTGCATAGAACTCTGTCCTGGACGCATTGTTTGGAACCGTACCCATCATGGAGACAACATGGGTGAAGTGCAGTATGGATAGAAATGGATCTCTGATAGAGCATCTGAACGTAATCAGCCTTACGTTGTCAAGAGATCGCACGTCACAGCTATACTAGCGCCAAGCCCTGCAGATCAAATGCGATGGCAGATCAGATGTAGACAAGGAAACAGCCCAGAAGCACACACCCAGTGGGCGATGCATGTGCACACATTCATACAGTGGCATTCTAATCGAGGCACACCAGGCAGCACGCGGGCATTGCGGTACTAGGCAGCATACGACTCTTCAGCGGCGCTGCGTTCTTCGCCATAGGCAATCCCGGCTTGGCAGTCTGCCTATCCGTGTGGACCGTGTTCAGGCGCTCTACACCTGCACTGCTGGTCTGTAGCGCCGTCTGAGAGGGCTGGCTGTGCGTGCCACGCGTTGGGTGGGGGAGATAATCTCAATATCTACAGATAATCATCTTGGTCGTCTGGGCAACGGAGGAACAGCAGCCGGGTGCATCGTCGCACAGCGGTGATCTGAGCCGAGAGTCTAAAACAACACGCTGCCCGCCGATTGGATGGAATGCGCCCGTGACCAAAGAGAGCCGCCAGCCTCCCCAAAAAATTTTCAACGCGGCCGGGCTGCCAGCCTGCAGGCCAGAAAGCAAGCACTGTTTGCACTCTGCACTTCTCGATCCCTTCTTTCTCTTGTCTCCAGTCTCCCTCTCTCTTCCGTTGCTGCTTCATACACACACCTGCAGAGTGTCCCGCTTCCCTTTCCTTCTCCCAGCCATAAACGCACATTCATTTCTCCCCTTTTAACGACGCGAGGCAGAAACAGCACTTCTTAGGAACCAGACGATATTATTTCCGTAGACCGAAAAATGAGTTCAACAATGCTCCAGACCGCAATTCCCATCTTGGCGTATTGCGGGTCGTCCATCACAATGACGCTTGTCAACAAGCTGGTTCTGTCGAGCTTCGAGTACCACATGGTGTTCTTCATGCTGGCAGTTCAGGCGTTCGGCAGTGTCGCGCTGATGGTCCTGGCGCACCACGTCGGGCTGAACGTGAAGTACCGGGCGATGAACAAGAAGGACGCGATGACCTGGTTCCCGGTAGCATGCTCGCAGGCGCTGATGCTGTACACTGGCGGTAAGGCGCTGGAGTACTTGAACGTGCCGCTGTTCACAGTCTTCAAGAACCTGACGATCATCGCGGTCGCGTACGGCGAGAAGTGGGTATTCAAGGCCTCGGTGACGCCGCTGATGCTCACGTCGTTCTCGCTGATGGTCCTATCGTCGCTTGTGGGCGCCTGGAACGACATCACGTTCAACGGCCACGGGTACTTCTGGATGAGCTTTAACTGCCTGGCGTCAGCGACGTTTGTGATCCACATGCGCAAGGTGATCAAGCAGGTGAACTTTAAGGACTTTGACACCGTGTACTTCAACAACCTGCTGACGCTGCCGCTGTACATGGTCATGAGCCTGCTGATGGAGGACTGGACTGGTTTCACGGGCTACTACTCGAACCCGGTGAACTCGGCGGAGCTGTACTCGTTTGTGCGCGGCATGTTCGTGTCGGGCGTGGCCGCCTTTGCTATCTCGTACTGCTCGCCGTGGTGCCTGCGCACGACCTCGTCCACCACGTACTCGATGATCGGTGCCCTCAACAAGCTGCCGATTGCGCTGTTCGCCATGCTGTGGTTCCCCGATCCCATCACGGCTGGCGGCGTGCTGGCGGTGCTGCTGGGCTTTGCCGCCGGCCTCGTGTACACGCATGCCAAGAACATCCAGAAGCGCGATACGCCGCAGGGCGCCCAGGTCCTGCCGCCGCCCATTTCCATGGATCGGCTGAACCAGAGCAACGGCGACTCTGCCAGCTCGGCTCACGCCAGCTCCAAGTAGAAAAATGCATTTTATACGACTAGAATGTGTCTACCATCCTAGATTTTTCCCCCATGCGCACTCGTTAAGAAATTGACCCTCCTCAGAATTCCGCGGTATATTCTCGTAGAATTGTAGTAATACCACGAGTCGGTCCCCCATTCCATTGTGGACATGGCAAATGTGCGGAGCTATTGAGGGACCGGAGGAGTACATGGATTGCCTGTGGAAAATGCTATCTGCCTCCAATGCTACTGCCCAGTCTGCCAACGTTCACTGATTAGGCAGGGAGATACAGCGGCCCGATGCGTTTACCTTTACACTATTTTCTTGGACAGCAAGAGCCGTTACATATGCAATCGAAACCGAATACTGGTTCGACAGCGCACACTGGAGTCGGCGGAAATGTTCTAGCGGGAACCGGCTGCAGTACAGAAGAGCAGAAAACGTTGGCCAGGCCTTAAATCTCAAGAATTCTTGATAAACATTTGCCTGCTGTATCTGCATATAGAAGCGACACCCCCTCCCTCTGCCACTCCTTCTCATCCTTTACCTCCTCCCTGTTTCATTCTCCCTCACCACTCTGCAGTCTCTAAACCCCTTACGCAAACAACATATCCCCTGCCACCTCTCACTCCCCGCGTAACGACGTACACACCCCTCTTTCATTACACAGATCTAGTTTCACGACCTCCCTTTCTCGCCCGCAGTCATGAACATCCTCCCACTCCTCCCACTCCTTGCTGCTGCCTCTGCCCTCAACGGCCCGCAGCCAACCACCACTGTCAACGCTGAGTGTGCCAGACAATGCAGCACTGCACCCGAAGACCAGCGCGAGACCTGCTACCGCATCTGCTCGCAGTTCTCCGAGCAAGGTGTCGCCTTCACGCCCATCAGCGCCCGCTACCAGCCATCGCCCGCCCTACCTGCTGCCATCCGCCCGGTCCAGCAGCAAACCGCACTTGGCGGCCGCCCCATGGCCACGATTGACCCCAGGAGCTCGGCAAGAAAGGACAGGGGCGGCGAGGATAACGATGAGGACGGCAAATCAGGCAAGGCATCATCGCGTAGTGCTGCTCCACTTGTTAGCGGCGCTGGTGAGCGTGCAGTCGTCGGTGTTGCTGCTGCTGTTGCAGCAGTTGTTGCTGCGGCCTTCTGAATTCCATGATGCCATCTCATTTTCATGTCATGCCCTTTTTATCTTGCTCCTTACACCCTTTCATGTCTTCGCTCTTATGATACTGCATTCCGTTTATTACCTGATAAATACTCCAATATACTTTTTGACGCTTTTCTAAGACTTTGTATTCGAGAGATATGTCGCATACTGTGCTTTTGGTAGAATCAAATGACCACTTTTCCACGTCCCGAATGACCTTGTTCATACATATCCCCTCATATCTGGTAGCTGCAATTCTTGGGCTCTGAAGTGTCCAGGGTGATACTGGTTTGTATGGTCATTCCAAGGACAGCAAATATGACACAAACCGCCAATATCTTGGCGATTCTATCCCCTTTTTCTTTCAGAATGGAGGTGAATGGCACCTTCAAATGTGGCAAATTTCAAAACTAAAGAAAAAGGAAAAAGAGAAAGGAAAACTACAAATGCCGCGTGCTGCCCTTTTTGAAGAGGTCGCTGCTATGCAACATCTGAGCACATCACTGAAACCAAGGCAACAATGTGCAATTGTAGTGATCACAGGTCTCCACTGGATATCTCTATTGGCTCAGCGTGAGGGCTGCTCTCGTTGTAGGTCGACTTGGCACCTACCATATCATCATCATAATGATCATCACCGGCTGCACAACACTAGATCATTGCACAACACTATCAAATAAGCATTTTAATGGCTGTATATGTGCCTGTGGTGGTAATTTTGAATAGGGTTTATTATATAAATATATTAATACTGCCAGTGTACTTGTATGTGCTATTAAAAGGAACTGTTGATTTTAATCAAAACTGGGTGCCAATGTGGACCAAATCAGCAGTGGCGACACCAGGAACCAGGCGCATAGCAGTGGAGGCTAATGTCCGGCTGTAAACGATGGCAACTCGGATTTGGATCTTTCACAAGAATAACATATGGTTGTGGCACAAGTATCTCGATCAAATAATACATCGGGGACACTAGTCTCACGACCGATACATATGTCATGTCAGCAGCCTCACAGCTTTTATCTTGATTCCTTTATGTAAATATTCCAATTCCTATCATGCAGAACACCAAAGCACTAATGTTGGATACTAGTCGATGGACTACATGGTTTGTCTCAAATCGGCAAGTCACTGTGCTAGGAAAATCCTGACTTGGCGACTCACCAACTATGTGGCGCTGAGCTCTTCTCTGAAACAGCTCCCTTCTCTTTTTCTTACCGGTTTAACTGCTTAGTATTTTCTCACTTCTTATTTTAAATCTTCGCGTATAACGCCTCAGTTTACTTGAAGTACTGTAGACGGAACAAGAAGCTGGCATCCGCCTGCCACTCTATCTCCGCTTTATCTATCTTGAGTAACTCAGCGCACAAAGAACTTTTAAGAATTTCCATGAAACCCCACGATATTTCCATTTATCATATGCGCACTGCTTAATCTGTATGTCAGTACATTATCCTTCTGCCCCGTTGGCCTTCTACTCCCATCACCGCATCCATTTATGGACATTGCCTTTCTCCACATTTAATTGCTTTGATCTTAATTCTTGGGCACCTATTCTGGTGGCCCAGCATCTAATGAACCCTTACACGGGTTTGGATTGTGTATTTTCAATTATTTTGTTAGAGCTGTACCTGCTTCAAGACTATTGTGTAGAGCACTCCTTGATAATGTTGGTTGGGATGTAGTTGTCGAGGTATTTGTAGTATGTGTCGATCGGGCAGGCATTGAGGTCGCACCACTTCTGGCCCTCCTGCAACTGCAAAACATGGCCGTTGTACACGACACGCACAATATGGCTGCCATCATTCTTCCTCCATAGCTCGAACGCCAGGTTCGAGGCATACGGCGGCCACAGCATGTCGGCGTTGGATGCCTTCAGGGCACCGAGGATAGGGGCAATCGTGGTGTCGTGGGCCGAGTAGAGAGAGAGAGCTTGAGCTTGCCTGTGTTTCCAGCAACAAAGCTCTGCATCTGCTCCTTGAGCGTGCCAAGGAATGAGCCGAGTCCCAAGCGTGTATACTCGGGTGAGATCGAGCTGTCGCGGTACTTGAACGCCAGCTCAAAGTTGGCATTGCGGATGACCTGCTCGACATCGTCTTCTGTCGCGCACTGGCCGCTGCTGTTGCACGGGTACTTGAACCCGTGGCACTTGCGAGTGATCAACACATCTAGGATGACGTACCAAGTGGTCGTGTAGTCGGAAGTATGCATGCCCATGATATCTTGAAGCCTCTTCATCAAGGGCGCCTGGTCCTTGAGGAAATTCTGGTATTGGGCCGAGGCAGTCATTTGTGCAAGGTTGGTTTTGATCTTAGGGCAGGCAGCCGGATTCTCGTGCATCGTTTCGATGCTCTGTGGGTAAGTGTGCAGAGGAATTGCCACATTGGACTCGATGCTGCGACCAGGATAGAGGTTACCAATCAGGCTCTCGCCCGAGTTTTTGGTGCGCCAGACGTATGTTGAGCGGAAGTGGATGATGTCCGAGTCATAGAGCTTCTTGGGAAGGAAGTTGAGCTTGTCAACATAGATGCTCCGCAGCTGAGACCCGAGCTGGAAATGCTGGAACTTGCCCTTGTCAGTCAGTTCGCCCGATTCGCATGAGCCTTTGTAGAACTGGTTCTCGAAGCCGAACTTGCCGTTCCACTTGGGGATCTCGATTACCTGCTTGAACGACCCAGTCGTGTTTTTGGCCGACGGGTTAGCGATGTGGAGATACGTGTCCTCATCAACACCGTCACAGGTCCAGGTGGTGTCCTCGTGGGGTATGATTGCATTTGGGGTGCGGTCGCCATGACGAACAACAAGCTGCACAAGCTCGAGCTCGGCGTTGGGAACGGCAGTGTAGGTGCTCGCAGATGGGTAGCTTGCCTGGCAGTAGGTATATCCGTGAGGGACGTCAAAGTTATACCAGGGGATAGGCGTATTAAAAGTGATCTGTGCCGCGCTGCTCTGCGGGCCCGGAGACGGTCCGCTGATGGGTGTGGCCTGGACAACGCTGCAACCGGCAATGGCAGCCACGACGATTGGTGGAGAGAAACGCAGTACGTGCATTCTTTACTAGACACTTCTAGAGTTGCGGGAGTTAAGGGGGGAAGTAACAAAGGAGTGTACGATGAGAAGCTGAAGATGCCAGAGTGCGATGGGGGATGATGTCGTCTAGCGATAGCCATTTATATGTTGTTGCGAGCCAAGAAGACAGGGCGTAAAGTACTATTTGGAAACTACTACCTGAACATGGCCGCCTGGCCCCTCTCCGTATTTGCGGACCTTCCCTATCTAGTGTCTTTGCTGCCATGATGGGGGTGAAAAACATGGCGCATCACTCCCCGCGCCCCGCAGATGCTCCTGTGTAGCGCGAAAGGAATGTTTGGCAAGGACAGGAGAGGGAGACAAGCAAAACCCAATACTCCGAAGGAAATAGCGGCTGCACAAAACTGGGCGCTGTATGCACGTCTGTGCGCCAAACAAATGCCAGGAACTATACGTCTTGTAGACCACTACGGTTTTTGTGCTTACCCGTGTGAATTTTCCCAAACACACCCAGCCCATTGAGTCCTTTCACGCAGCCGTGCATTTGCTGAGCACGTCCGCATTCGCCACGGCGATCCACGGCCCCTCCATCCAAGATGTAGGACAACCCCCTGAAATTTGACGGAATTAGGGATATGTTCCATCTATTGGTAGATCGCTGTCCAGTAAGAGCGTTTTGGCAGAGCACCTTCCATCGTACTCATCACAGACCCACTAGCAGACTGAACCATTATTGTAGACATCGTGTACGGATGACGCATGAGGATTGGCTGATTCCTGCATCATCTCCTGCAGAGACAAATGTCTACCTGAGGTGCAGACGTGTACACAGCACTTTGGATCCGAGACGCATCTGGCTGACTGGGGCCGAACCGAGTCAGATACATGGTAGCGTGTGCCCTGATCCTGCTGGAGAGAATGGGCAGTCAGACTCGGATATTTGAGTCTGAAAATGACCTTTCTTTGCTATGCACACCTGTTGCATCAAACTGATGTTGCAACATTGCGCAGCATGAGGCTATATGCCCAACACTTGCCGCCCGCCCTTTCCGTTCTCCTCACCCTAATGTTCTCCATGCCTTTCTCTGTTCTCTCCAACGGTTTCTTTACATTTATTCTCTTGATCTCTTGATGAATTCAAACCTGTTAACTATTCGTTTTATTAGCCTCCTCTCGCAGAACAAAACTAATACTAACCACACGCTCTATCTTCTCTTTTGTAGGTTCAAGTTGCAAGATATACTTTAAAGAGGTAATCACTCTCGGTGGAAGGCAGCAACTTCAGCGTAAGGCTATGGACTAACCATTCCCACCTCTCGCTATAACCTCTGCTACTTGGATGAGAGTTGGCTTCTTTCCCGACTGCATGTTGGGTTCAGGCGGTAGACCCGGTGGTCTTGTAGCTACCAACACAAGTGTTAAAAAGGAGTAGCGAGATCATCTCCTTCTCCCTGATCTTCGTTGTTCTTGCGATTCAAAGCAAGGGTGTTCGAGAGTTGAGTGGCCATGATCTTGACTTTCCTATCGACCGAATATTATGTCACTATTCAAAGTTGGGTGCAGGAAAATATTGAAGGAAAATTGGAGCTCAGTTAGATAGCTTCAGTGGGAGAGTTGCATCAGTTTTTATATATCCACAATCTCAAAAAAGTTATGATTTAGTTAAAATACTGGGTACAGCCTACAGCTCTTCACTGCTTTTGCTGTTTTAAGCATCCATAGCTTGTGGCACATATTCAGAGCATCCATAACAACTTGATAATGGTCATTGACAAGAAGGAAAATAACAACTATTGCGAACATTTTCCTTTCCAGTGTAGAAGGCGTTCATTGCCACTAGTTTGCGGCGCCATTGCTCTGTATCTGCAGGATTGCCAAACATGAGACAGAACGGTCAAAAACAACTGAATGTAAAGCCTCTGCTATACAAATCTGGTTCCAACTATGCCAGCAAAATAACCAGGAGTTGAGCTGGAGGACTGGTGAGGAGTTATCTTCTACTAGGGGGCTTATTTTGCCCAAGCGAAGAGATATTCCTTAATGCCCGGACTGAGCGGATGACCGATGCATACTGCCGCATGCGCTCCAGTCGACTTACTCTATAAGGCTTTATCACACCAGTATCCGAATTGCTCATGGATCGCAACATTTTTGAGGTGCGAAGCACGCATAACCCCGAGCTGCTTCCGCATAGACAGATGATTGTTTAGTTTTTGTTTTGACCATATATGACAGCCACTGTCAGATGAAGCTGCACTAAACCAAACGCAAACAGCAGACACAGGTCCCAGGTGGCGTATTTAGGATGCCAAGCCTCACCCGGTCAACCCGATTGTATCCTACCTATGGCTCAATCGGCTCAGTAGACCGGCATCTGAAATGAGTGAGCCGAAATACAAGGTATACCATAAACAACATGACGCTGTCTCACTATGCATCATTTATTTTCTTCATATGCTCCACTACCAGTGCTGACATGGTCTAAGATACATGCAAAACCAATATTCGGAATATAGTCGACTAGTAGAACCCTATCGAAAACACGCACTGATCTCACACCTCCATGTATCGATTATTAAAGTTGAACCAAGAAAAACAAAACAATTGTCAGATTAGATAGAGAAAATTGAAAACCCGCAAGGAAAAGTAGGTTGAGGTATCTGAAGCACTGATTGCGTTTTTATACGTGGTCATTTAACCCTGAATACCACTCAGCGAACTATCACATTTTAAATCAGGGCTGCAATGTGTGATTTCTATGAAGAATGAACAAAGTAGAGGGTAGATTCCCTTGAAGTTATCCTTGTGCCAGCCCTCAACAAGAGAACATGTATTAGAGAATATCAGCAAAAATAGCGATATCAGCTTGTCATGCATATGCACTGCCCTAAGCACCTGGCCATTTTTAGAATACATAGGATGGTAAATAGTGATTTGTGGTATTCACCTACTTGCTTTTGTATGCTAAGATGGTGTTTGTTAATGTGGAATATTAATAAAACAGATGAGGCTAATAGGGTGCATAGTAATTGTAGAAGTGGATATACCGCTTCATTAGATAGTGGCCATACAGCAAGCGATTCACCTCTGCGGCTTGCGTGCCATTGATCGCACAGCTCGTCACACGCGGCAAGCGGCAAAGAAGTTGGCAGAACCCGTCCACATCGAATGCCTTGTCAGCGTAGATATCAAGCAGCCTCAACCTCCAACTGAGCGCCCGGTATGGATTCTCTTCAGCGTACTCCTCGTCGATAGTCACTTCGAGTCCTTCAGGAACGGTCTTCTGATCAGGGGTAAACCGTGTCGCAAGCGTCTTTTGTAAGCATCGACACGCAGTTGATATGCAGCGATTCCAGGTGCGGCAGCTGTGCCACCATATTGCCGAGCATGTCCTTGTCGGCAATGGCCACTGCAATGTCGAGCAAGACCAGGTTGTGCCAGTTGATGGTGCGAGGCAGTGTATAGTAGACCGGGCCGAGCATGACGACCTCGCGGACTGCGGACTCTTGGGCGAACAGTTTCTGGATACTGTCTGATGAGTACTCGCGCTTGTAGAACTCCCCTGTGGGATGTTCTATCTCAAACCGCTGCACAGTTTGCAGGACACGCCAATCGATATGCTCGAAAGCATCTGGGTCATCCTTAACCACCAGCCTTCTGAGTGTGTTAGAAGTGAAATATGCGTAAATATTGTCGTACACACCTATGGCGTTGGTGACACGCAAAGAACCCAACACCGGGAAGTCGATGGGGTACTGGTATCCGGGGAATGCCGTCTTGTTTTCGGCGTTTACGACAAATGTGAAGTCAATCTTCACTAAACTCTGAAAAACTAGCTGCCCTTCGATCCAACTCAAAGAGATTCCAAGGGATGGGTCCATCAATTCGAAGTAGGTAGAGAAACCGCAGACGAAGAGCAGGAATCAATGGCAAATCGCGGTGGCGGCGAATGTGCTGGATGTTTATCGACAGCGAAGACAGATTTTCGCAGAATTTGTGAAACTCTAAAGGCGTCGTCAGGTGAAGTTGAAGGGCTTCCAGCTGGTACATATACTTTGTGAATGTCTGTTCGAATAGAGTGCATCTATCTGGTGGTAGCTTAGTGTATCCAGCCGATACTCCCCACTTGCGTTGTCGATGGAACGTGAGATCACTGACGTTTGGGAATAACCTGTGGTAGACCTTCGCAGCAACTTCAGGAGTCTGCATTGCCAGCAGTCCAGGTCCTCAGCACCTGCCTGTATCAATCCTCTACCAAGGAATAGGATCTTACGCACAGTTGCCAAGGGTCCGCCCAGAGAATCTGCAAGCTTAGTCAGCTCCTGATTGATGTTCAGCAGCTTTTTACTCACGCCGTGTGCGATGACCCGGAACTCCTTAATCAGATGGCGCTTCCGAAGTAGGTCAATTGTACGCAGGTTCGAGCGCCATATGCGCTTGTGGGATTTTTCGCACGAGGGGACATCGCAGTCACAGGGGTCATTACTTTCCAGGATCAGGACGGTGAAGGCGTTGGCTGTCAGCTCGTTGACACGGGTTGGACATGTCTTGACGAAACTCTCCACGTAAAAGTAGTCGCTCATCGTTGAGACAGGACCAACTGAGTTCTCGCTGACTTTCACGGGATTGAGAGGCAGCTCAAAGCGCCAGTCACGACCATCACTTCGGTGAACCATGATGAAGAGGGAGGGTGGATGAGGATGGTTTAAGAAGAACTAGAGAAGATGGTGCGGTGAAGTAAGTAGAGCAGGAATAGCCAGATGTCCGGGAATGGGAAAGGCAATGAGGAGTAGAGGCAGGGTGGGCGATGCTCTCCTGAGTTTCATACCCCCTTTTGAAATACTCTACACAGCGTGCTGCTTTTTGACAACCTTTTTGCAATGGCACGGTTCTTCAAAGTGAAGGAGCTGCAAATGCACGGAAAAGCGTATCCGATTACGCGGCCACCTGATGTGCCCATATATAGACATATTAAGCCTCAGGGCCATCCGGCAAGCCAATGATATCTCGGCTGGTTGCTGGAGCATGCACAGGAAGGGCGACATAAAGGCACAGGTGAGCAGGTGAACAGGTAAGCCACCACTTGGAGAAATGCAAATACCCACTTGGCAGGATGGTATCCTGCTTTCTGGACACTGCCTCACCTGCTACAGGAGAGTGCACTGGGATAGGAAATCTGCACGAGTGGCTGTTTTCCTGCCTTGATGGCACGGAATGCAAGTCTTCACTCTGTGTTTTCAGCTGTGAGCTGTTTGCAGTGTCTTTTGTGGGTGCATGTATGGTACGGATACTATGCACAGTGCTGGAGACGGGGTGAGAAATGTGTTCATTGGTACTTTGGCCACTGGTTGAAGAAAAACTGACTGAACATGTAGTCAGCAGAACCCCTTGCTGCCATGGTGGGTTCACTCAGTATTTTTGAATTTGCCTGTGCTTTGTACTGGCAGGAGTTTCCGTTATTTAACCTTTACAACTCATCATCCGCTCCATATTCCAAGAGTCAGTGCGCTGATTTCCACAGTCCTAGCCCTGTTCTTTCGAGTAGGATTGCCTGCCAAAGCGCCAGGACGCTTATGTCCTCAGAAAAGGAGACTAGCCTAGCCATGCAGCGCATCCTGCACACCTTTCCCTCCCGTCAGTTTACTTTCGGATCCATCCTTTTAACCACACCATCTGGCGACCCCTGCTGGAAAGAGGTTCAGAAATGGGGAGGCTTGGTGCATGGCTGGTATGCACACGTGCATCTACCAATGAGAGGCACAGACATGCAAATGGCGAGCGATAGACGGCAAGCTGTAAACAATGCGCTGCAATCTGACTGCCGCGTCAAATCTAGGAGCTATTTCATGTGCTTCTAGCGTGCAGTCAGAGGTTTAATTAATTTCAATGCGTGCTCTTGGTTGGCATAAAAGCAATTAGCATTATCTGAAAGCGCGTTCATATACTTTTGAAAAGAGTCTACGGAGAAGACATTCTAGTTGAAAAAGTCCGGGTTCCTGCCTTCGGCGCCTTGGTACGAGGCAATAAGCTTGTTAATCTGTCCAGCCATGCTTGACACCGCTTTTGCTGCGGCATCCAGGTTCCCAATCGCCTTGTAATGAGCGGCGTTCAGGTCCGACTTTGTCTTGCCCGACAGGCTGCCTGAAATTTGGTTTTTGGTTTTCTGCAGTTGGTCGATGGCGTTGCGAATCTGTATGGCCTGTGAGCTGTAGCTCTTGGCGGCCTGCTGCAGAGCAGCAAAGTTGACGACTGCGCGCTTATCGTAAGTGTCGGGCGTGGGCGCGGCAAACACAGCGGTGGTGGCCAGGGCAAGGAGAGCAAAGGAAATCTTCATATTTTGCAAGTAGTCTAAAAGTCAAGGTAGGGAAGAAACGAAGGTGCGGTTGTATTGTGCATCTCTGGGATGGGGATATCGTGTACCGTTTTATACCCAGGTCGCAAGATGTCCCTGAAATCAAAGCAGCCCAATCTTTATAAGCAAGATATCGAGCGCAAGGGATTTCTGGTGGGGAGATGCGATGCAGAAATTGCATGTAAAAGGCACGCAAACCCAAGCATGCGAGCCGGTTTATGCAGTGTATTTTTAGGTCCAATTGTTGATATCTCCGTGCTTGCATATTTTCGGTCATTTTCGGTCCTTGCCTAATGTGCCTGAGCTTGGTTCACTACATTCAACAGTTGGCCAGGCTAATTGGCATCTGGAGATGGGATTCTACTTAATATCAGGTCACACATAACATACGGAGATGGGGTGCCTGGTGACGTTGCCATACATGATCTTTTCAGTCGTTTACAGTCGTAAGAGTGAGATTAAATGTATGCAAATGCGCGGTTTGTGGAGAAATGTGCGCTGATGCTGCTGCGGCAGAAACAGCTCAGGTCAGGGGTGTGGATGATATTAACAAAGGAAGTGAAGGAATAGATATTGAAAAGTAGAATGATAAAAGGTCAGCTGGCTGAAGACTTTGTAGAAAGGCTAGCAAGGAAGAAGGAATGGAACTATTAGAAAAGGAGACGCTGTCACAATAACTTGCGATTTTTTTGGTAAAAACAGTATTCGCAGTCTTATCCGATGCTCATGGCATTCCGCTCGCCACGGTACAGGGCCAGTGGCACGTCGTCGTCCTCATCAGGGTCGCTGCTGCTATGGTTGGATACTGGAGACTGGGTGCGGAACGGCTGCTGCTGCTGGTGGCCGGGCTGCATGTTGTAGCCAGCTGGGCTCATGTAGATTTGCTGCTGCTGGCGCTCATACTGGGGCGACCTCATTACTACGCGCTCGCCGCCAGAACTGCCGCCGCCATGTGTACCTGATGACCGCCTCCGGCCACCATTGCCTGTCGCGTGACTTTTGGCCTGACCTCTTGCCACCCCGCCGGTCTGACCGGTCGCCAGCATCCATGGGGGCCGGCTGCTGGTTCTGCTGGTTCTGCTGCTGTTGCTGCTGCTGGACCCTGCGGGTAATTATTAGGCGCTTGTCGCATCATTCCGCTGTTGCTGCTGTTGAGACTGTTGCTGTTGCTGTTGCTGTTGCTGCTGATCCATGTGCTGCTGCTGCTGCGGTCCTTGTTGCTGGTTAGGTCCCGGCGACGACGGGGGCTGGTGCTGCGCCTGCTGCGACCTCGGATTGATCAGCTCGAGGTACCAGAACATCATATTGGATAGCAGCACCTGTTGCTGCAGTGGCCGCCGCGGGTTCGCCAGCTTGATGGACGCCAGGCGGTAGATCGCGCGCTCGATGTGGATTGGCAGGCGGTTCGAGCCAGTCCCGAGGCGGGCAGTGGGCGGCGGGCGCTGCGGCGTCAGGATGCTCGGGATTGGCTTGCCTAGCGCTCTCCACCCGCTTCTCCACATCGCTGTCCGCATCCTGCGCGGCCGAGGCGGTGCTGGGAGCCGCATTGCTAGGTGGCGGCGGTGTGGGCGACGAGCCATTGGCAGGGGGCTCGGTACGGGCGGCCTGCTGCTGTGCGCTATGGCCGTTGTGGTGGTCCTTTTTGCCCTTACCCTTGCGGTTCAGGAATGAGATTGGCGAGGGAAGCTTGGCCTTGCGGGGCGGCGTAGCTTCGCTCATGGTATGTGCATGATGCATGGCTGGGCCAGCAAGGGCTGGCGACTCGCGGCCGGTATTGTCGCTCTGCGAGCGGGCTGCGGGCTCTGGCACACTATTGCTAGAGCTGCTGTCCTGGGTCTTGTCTTTGCCGCCCCACTGCCACCATGACCCCGACTTTTTGTGTGTCACAGTTTTGCGCGGTTGCTGCTGCTGTTGGTGCAGCTCCTCAGGCTCATGGGAGACTGAGGGGATCCGCTGGTGCTGCTGCTGCTTCTGAGAAGGACCCTCTATGGGAGGGGGTGACACACTTGGTTTATGCTGAGGTTGCTGCTGGGATTGTGGCAGGCGAGGGCAATTGCGGCAACGAGCCAGACGGAGGACCCTGCCTCTGAGGAGCCTGAGGCTGTGGCTGAGGGTGCTGGACCTGCGGCTGCTGAGGGATACTAGTCGGCGGCGCATTGCTGGGGACCGGAGGGAGGTGGTGACTAGGCACAGGGGGATGCTGGTGGTACATGTTGCTGGCCTCCTGGTTGCCGCCAGCCGGCTCCTGCTTTTTCTGCTGCTGAGGCAGTTTCTGCTGCTGCTGCTGCTGCTGCTGCTTCGACTGTGGCTGGGTTTGCGGGCGAGGAGGTTGATGCTGCTGTTGCTGGGGGGTGGTGGGGCGCGAAGAAGTCGACGAGGACGACGACAAAGGCCTTTGCTGCGACCCCGCGGCCGACGGGAACGAGGGCGTGGCACGGGGGACAGGCGGGGGCGGCGACGACATGCTGTTCTTGCTGTACGAGCCCAGCTCGTCCAGGTTGAAGTCGTCGAAGCCAAAGTCCTCGACCTCGGCGGTAATCTGCTTCAGGATCTCGGCAGTCGACATGCGCTTGCCCTCGGGCGCCTTCTCGCTCGGTGGCAGCGCGGTTCCAGCCAGCCCCACCTCCTCGTCGTCGATCCTCGGGTGCGGCCACCGGCGGTGCCAGCGGGCTCGACACGCTCGGCGTTGTCGCCTCATGGGCCTTCCTGCGGCCACGCCGCGCCGACCCCGTGCTCGCTGAAGAGTCCCGGCGCTTGTTCGCCAGGCGGCTGCGCTTCAGCGACTGACTTGGCCGTGCTCTGCACCAGAAACGGCGCATCCCCGTCGTCCTCATTCACCCGCTCAATAAACGTCTTGCGGCGCATCAGCCCCGTTGTGTTGCGGCGACGCAGCGCCGCTGCGCTCTCTGCCGGCTTCGGGCAGCGCGCCGTCCCGCTGCTCCACGTCCGTGTACGAGTAGCTCAGAATCGACTTGCGCCGATGCACGCTGTCCTCCATCTTGCTCAGCTGGCTGCCGTGCAGCTTTATCCACTCTTGGAACTCGCCCGGCGCTATCTCCGGATGCAGCCGCGCCGGCAGCCAGACATTTGCCGCCTGATTGAGGAAATCCGAATCCACACTGAACTCCTCCGGAAACCGCGCCGCGATGGCCCCGCGCTTCAGCTCGCCCACCGCCTCCAGCTCGTCTGTGAGCCACTCGTCGGGATTGCCTGAATTGCCCGGCGACTCTGCCGATGGCTCGTCGCCGCTGTCATTTGGTTCGTGATTCCGCAGGTCGCTGGCTGACCGACGCCGCGGCATGCGATTTGGAGTCGCATCAAGCGACCCTCTGCGACTCTGCCCAGAAGTCAGCATACTAGTACAAGGGGGGAAGGGAAGGGAAAAAAAAAGGAATGTGCTTGGGAAAAAAACAAGAGGTGAAAAATAGAAGAAGGCCAATTCCTGCAGAGGAAAAAGAGGTGTGGAATTGCGAGTAAAAAAGTCTATGAGCAGAGGGAAATACTGTTGCTTTGCAATAGGCATGCACTGGCCGGACTGGGGGATAATCGACAGGGGAGGCTGGCTAGCTGCGTTCCTGCTGTCAGAGAGCAAAAGAAGGGAAATAAACTTATTGGCGAGTTGGTGAGTGAGAGAGAGAGGGAAAGCGGATGGCGGGACAAGGCCAGCGAATCCCCCTTGCTCCCCTCCACAAGCCCGCCGCACAGCATGAGCAAGGGCCCGCTGCTTTTGCCTGTTGTTGTGGTGCGGCTTGCCCTCCTCATGGGCGCACTCGAGTCTATCAATATGTGGCGAGCAAATGTCTGTTTATCTTTTTGGGGGGTGGCAGGACGAGCGCAAACAGCATCTTGCGCCGGAGCCAGTGATGGGCGGGATACATCACGTAGCACTAGGACGGCCCACTGAGACGCGGATGCGGCCCCACTGCCAAATAAGAAACCGACCCGACATGTCCCCTCGGTCCCGTTCTGTGGTCCCACCGGTTTGTTTTTCCCGCCTGATGGTATCAACACCCGCCCGCTTCTCACACTGCCAGTCGTTACTTGCGAGCCAGCATCAGGCAGGCTGGCTGGCGGGCCGAGTAGAAAGGTTCACGTCATTGATAGATGCACCATGCACATGCTATGCAGCCCGGTGCATATCACTTTTGATTCACCCCCTCCTTCGGGTCCCTCCTGCCAGACATTTTGGCTACTAGCCTTGTTCAAAAGGAGGAAATGACTGGATCTACTGCCCATGGCATTCTGCCTACTGCCATTCGAAAATATCCTATTGACCATTGGCCAGGCTCGTACCAGCACAGGCCATCGTAGATCTGGGCCCCCGCAGCATCGGCGGCCATCTGGTTCTTGAATACGGCGAAGTTTCAGCGAGTCGCACGTGAACACGGCGCGGTAATTGGAGTGGATTGCGCGGCCCATCCCGACAATGACAACCAGATCGGCAGCCTGCGCAATGGCGCACCAGGCCGCTCGTCCAGCTTGCGCAGATCCAGACACGGCCCGCTGCTGCCCGTGCCGCACACCTGCAGCCTGCCCTCGCGCCAGCCCATGTCCAGAATCGAGTCGATGTGTGCGGCCCGGCACACAATGTCGACCAGCTCGACCTCGGTCACGTCGTTCAGCGCCGGTCCGCGAGTTGGCTGCCAGGACAACGTCGGTGCCTGACGCCAGGAGGGAGCGCGCCAGCGGCAGAATGCCCAGACATACATCGGCACCGCTGTTGTCAACGAATATCACGGCCTTGCGGTACGCTCTGCCGCTGATGACAGCACCGACGAATTGCTTCAGTGTTGTCGAACTGCGGGCGTCTGGCGAATGTGGTGCGCGCGTGAGCAAAGTCTAGATTACCGCTGGCCAGCTTGTCGCGCAGGGACGTCGACCCCCAGTCAAACATGTTCCCGGCCAGAACGTTCTGTAGGACCGTCGTCAGCCGCTGCGACTGGTCGGAAATCCGGTCGGTCTCCTGGATCACCTCGGGCAGCGCCAGCAGGGCGGCGTCGGTCTCGCGCTCCTTGACATGGGCAAAGATGTCCTCGAGTCCAACCTCGTGCAGACACTGTTCACGCAGCCCCAGCAGCATTCGCACAGAGATCAGGCCGTATGCCTGTGGCTGCTCGCGCAGCCGCCGCAAATGCTTCAGGTACAGGGCGACGAACCCAGTCATCTTACTCTGCGTGTCTGGCCCGCACTCCAATGCCCCGTTGTCGGCCAGCTCCAGCAGCCCGTTGGTGTTTTTCTCCATGGCCGAGATCCAGTATGAGCGCTGCTTGGTATCGGTAGACAAGTCAACTGTGTCTGGCGAGTACGGCGTCCGTGTACTGTTGACCAGCTGCGGCAATGGCAGTAGCTGCGACGGCTGGCGGTCCAGCACGCCCAGCGCACTGACTGCATCATCGGCGATCGTCTCTGTGATAGGAGAAGTTTTCTGTGAACGAATACGATTTGTGCCGCCTGGCCTTAGCCCTGCAGCGCCGTCGGCGGCGTGCGCGGCGACAGGGTCGGCGAGGACCGCGACGAAGGCATGTCTGGACTTGACGAAGGCGCCGGTAGCACCCAGGAATCCCTCGTGGCGCAAAAACAGAGCACGCATTTCGCCCTTGGACCAAAAGTTGATGGCATACGACAGCGTGTGCATGGTCAGCGGGTGGCCGCGGATGAAATAGCCGCCAAAGTATATGCGCTTGACGTTATGTAGCCGGGCGTTCAGGTAGGCAATCTGGCCGATGTTGTTGCTGACCATGTACAGCAGCGACCGCGCAATGTCGGCATCATCGAACTGCTTGTCGAGCGACTTGCGGTAGACACCGGCCATGGTCGACGCAATGTTGGTGGCCTTGAGCCCGATCTTGTCGTAGTTTGTGCCGTAAATGTCGCCCACCATCATGTCGACCTTGGTGTTGTCGCCGGTCTTTGTCATCTCCAGCATCTCGTCAAACGACCGCACGCCCGTCAGCAGATTGAGCAACCCCCATAGCGTGCCACCGCCCAACGATGTGCCGCTGATGCGCTCGTACTCATTCTCGCTTGTGACCTTCAGGATGCTGACGCCCGAGCCAATGTTCACCAGCATGTACGGGAAGAAATCGTCGCTGGCCAGGTTCTCGAACTGCATCGGCGCGTCCTCCGAATACGTGAACACCTCGTCGGCGACCTCTCTGATCAGGAAGTTCAGTCCCTTGATGAGGCTCTCCATCTCCTCGACCACCTCGATCTGCACGCCCAGCTCGCGGTCCAGGAGATCGCGGAACCGGTGCGCGCCGCCGCCCGTGGCCCGGATCACCGGGCTATCGACTCCAGGCTCCTGAGTGGCTGGCACCGATGAGGGTGGCTGGCTGCTGTCCAGCAGATTGCGGATAAACGCCACGCACTTTTCGACATTGTCGGTCTCGAATGCCTGGAAGTGCATGCGCCCGCCCTGGTCGCTGCTGTCGGATGCTGTGAAATACACCACCTTTGGCCAGGCTGCCGCCGATGTCCACGGCCACTTTCTGCACCCGCCCGGTCTGGTTCGGCAGGAGAATGTCGTTGGCCTCGCCGTGCTGCCGCCCGTCGATCGTCGCGCCAGAGGAATTGATATTGCCAAACATCATGGTTGTGTATGAGAGTGTGGAGAAGAGCTGAGGGAATCGGCGAGGAACTAAAGTGGATCGGGGGAGTAGAGCGGCGGCGAATTGTTTTGCTAGCGACTGGGCAGTTTTCAAAGCGTTGGGGGAAGGAACAGGTGGAAGATTAATGACGGTATCGTGACAGGAGAAGAGTAAAGAGAGAGAAAAGGGGGCGCCTCGCTTCCTGCGCTTATATACGCATTCAGCAAGAGCTGCTTATCTTCCTGTGCGCGTGCCTTGGCTGCATTATCTCTGGCCACGCCCGGAGCAGCAACGCAGAGCCATCCTCAGGGGCATGGACCCTCTGTGTGCTCCGCTGCTCCGAGAAACGCACGGAAATGCCAGGCTGCGGTCCCGGGACAAATAAGGAAACACGCACGTGACTCTTGCCAATCATCAAAGCGGCGTTTCTGGGCGCCAGCAGACCCCTGTCACGCATTCTTCCTCCACGCAGACATTTTTCTAGATATATTTTCTGTACACTAATTCCTACAACACAATGGGCGTCGTTCTCGGTTGCATGTCGAGCCAGTTTCTCTCGTGCATGGCGTCGCTCGGGTGCTCGTGCGCGTGCGCAGCCTGCAAGGGCCTCAGGCCCTCGGGCTCCATCGGCACGCGTCTGTCGTACGCCGGCATGTTCCTTGTGAATTCGTCGATTGCCTACGCAATGACCACAAGCTGGGGCATCGACCTGGTGAAGAAGATCTCGTGGGGCTTCATATCGTTAAAGTGTCCCGAGGGGGTGTGCTACGGGACGCTGGCGGTGCACCGCATGTGCTTTACGCTGAGCCTGTGGCACATAGTGCTGGGATTTCTGACGTATGGCGTCACCGACAGCAGGAACCCACGGGCAAAGGTGCAAAACGGGCTGTGGTTTGTCAAGATATTCGGGTACCTGGTGCTGGCGGTGCTGTCGTTTGTGATTCCGAGCGGGTTCTTTGAGTTCTACAGCAAGTACATTGCCATGGCGGGGGCGGCTGTGTTTCTGCTGGTACAGTTGGTGCTGCTCGTGGACTTTGCGTACAACCTGGCAGAAGGCTGCATTGAGCGGTGGGAGGACACGGGCCGCCCGCTGTGGAAGTACCTGCTGGTGGGCGGCACATGCGCATTCTACATTGCGTTTGCGGCAATGACGGTCGTGGACTATGTGTTTTTCGCAGACCGCGGGTGCGGGCGCAACCAGTTCTTCATCACCATCAACATGGTGCTCTGCATCCTGGTCTCGGTGGCCGCAGTGCACCCGCTGGTGCAGGAGGCGAACGTGCGCTCAGGCCTGGCCCAGGCCGGGATGGTGACAGCGTATGCCAGCTACCTGGTCACCAGCGCGCTGGCGGGGTCGCCAGCCGGCGACGTCAGCAACGGCGAGCCCGAGTGCAACCCGCTGGCCAAGGCAGCAAGCGCACGGGCCACCATGGCCATTGTGGGGGCGTTTTTCACAATCGGCGCAATCTGCTACAGCACGACCAATGCGGCGACCAAGGGCAACACGCTGATCCGCAACAACAGCGGGTACGAGCCGCTGGCTAACGACGAGGACGTGCCGATGACCCACCAGACGAATGCGCAGCTGCGCGCCAATGCCCTGCGCGATGCGGTTGCCAGCGGCGCGCTGCCCGAGTCGGCGCTCGACGCGCAGGACGAGGACGAGCAGGACGACGAGAGATCGGGCGTGCAGTACAACTACACGTTCTTCCACGTGATCTTTTGCCTGGCGTCCATGTACGCTGCCATGCTGCTGACCAACTGGAACAGCATCGACTCCAAGGACAAGGTCATTATCATCGGCCGCAGCACCACCGCCGTCTGGGTCAAGATCATCACCAGCTGGCTCTGCATGCTGCTCTACTCGTGGACGCTGATCGGCCCGGTGGTTCTGCCGGACCGCGAGTGGGCGTAGAGTTTACATATGTATCGTGTTTTACAAAAGAAGAAAATCTACCGCTATGCTAGGGACATGGCCTCGGCCACCTTGATGGAGTGGCATGCATCCACCTCCAGATCGACCGCATAGCAGACGACCAGGGCCTCGACAGTGCACGACACCACATGGGTGACCAGCTGCAGAACCGCAAACGGCAGCGCGCTGCCAGCAACAGCGACCAGCACCGCGTGCATGGACAGCATCTGCATAGCCTTGGTGCCCAGCAAGTACCCGAGCACCACCGACACCAGCAGCGCATAGCTGGTCAGCGACGACTTCAGCATCCCAACCACCGACGAATGCAGCAGATGGTGCTTGCGCAGCAGCCTTGTCACCGCACTCGACGACTCAAAGAACCCCTTGCCGGTCAGTGCCGCATACACCGCCGAGTAGCTGTTCCAGCTCTCGATAAAGTACACGGGCCGGCCCAGCGCCAGCGACACCAGCGACACGGGGATGACGCGCAAAAGACTGACTGCCCACCGCACCAGCAGCTCGGCCACATGCATGGTCTTCACGGCCAGCAGCAGCGTCGCGCTGACCACCACTGTGCCCAGCTGCCGCGTCAGCGCCGAGACCGCCGCCGCCTGCAGCGTCTGTAGCGCCGGCGGCTCTCCCGGATCGTGCCTGTGGAAGTACCACTGGCTTACCACAATCGACACAACCGTCCGCAGCACCTGCAGGGCCACCGCCGACGTCCACGCAAACGACACCGCCAGGTATGCCGGCAGCCCATACGCCCCGGGCTTGCCCGCCGACCCCATCAGGCTCTGCACAAGCGGCAGCCGCGACGCATAAATCCCAGACGCAATCGCAAACACGCCGTACATTGCCAGCAGCAGAACCGCAAAGCCAAACAGCTCGCGCGTCTCTGCCAACACGTCGCTGGCCAGCTTGACCACTGCCACGCTGCGCTCGATGTCCTGCCGCTGCTGCCGCACGTACAGCGCAAACCGCACCGCCAGAATCAGCGACACTGCTGAGACAATCCCCGTGCGGATCTTGTACCCGAGCATCCCCTCGACGCCGGGAAACGCCAGCACCTGCGATCCGGCCCACACCGCCATGCTTAGCCCGACCAGCGGGACCGCCAGCGTCGTCATCCACACCGCCTTGCGCGTCTGGTGCCGCAGGGCCTGGATCCACGCAATGCTTGCAATCACCGATGCCAGCGACACCGCAATCACCTGCAGGACAGCGTCGGCCATGTCCCGGTAGTCTTTAAAATACGGGGATTTCGACGACGGCGTCTGTGTCGATAGCAGAAGGTATATGCCGACGGCGTGGTACGCCACTGTGTTGAGAACGAAGATGTACTTTGTGACTGCGTGCGGCGAGGGCTTTCCATACCCCAGGATGCCATCGCCCGGCTGGTACGTGGCCAGGTCCTGGCTGAACTCTGACACGTACGATTCTGTCTCGCTGGCCTCTTCATCACCATTCTCCTCTTCGGAATCTGACGACACCTCGCTGTCGCTCTCAAGCACCTGCAATGCGCTCCCACCAATATCAAAGCCTGTCAATTGGCCGAACCTCGACAGCAGATCCGACGACCGCATGCTCTCTATCGACGCCGTTCCTTCGAGAACCGGGTCAATAACCGCTGCCGACTGCTGTATTGACGGTGCCGAGTACCGCAGCACCTCATCCGTGTCAATGAGCCGCTCATCGCCATGCAGCAATGTCTGCTGGTTCGGAAACGACGAATATGCCGACTCGAACTGCTGCGGTGACGTGCGCACACTGGCAAAGCTGTCCACCGACGCAGCATTCGACGACTCGAGCCTTGGCGAAACCCGCTGTATGCTGTCTGCCGGGCTCGCCACCACATGGCTCACGATGCTGCTGCCGCCCATCACGCCCTGCGCAATGTCCTCCGCGTCCTCCCACATCCCCTCAATCCCGTCCTGCAAAACTTGCTTTGTGCCTGCATCCAGGCTATCAAACTGCTGCTCGGCATTATTGTGCTCGCCCAGCAATGTCACTGCCACCGCCAACGTCAGCAGCCGCCAGAGGTCGTCGAACGGCGGGCTGGCGAGGCTGGCCACGCTGGGGATGTAGTCGCGCGCCAGCTGCTTGTTCAGCGCCTGCTCAAAGTACCGCAACAAGAGCCGCGCCAGCTGTGCCAGTGCGTCCAGGTTGGGCTCGTTTGGCCGTCCGGGCAGGACCAGCGACGCTGCGCTAAAGTAGTCAGGGTCCGACTGCGTCACGGCGTCTATTAGTATGTGTGCGTCTGCAAGGGACTCGATGGTCGCTATCTCTTTGCTGGCGAGCTGGCTGACCTACAAAGCAGAGCGCTGGCTCCATTGAGAAAGTGCCCTGTAGGGAGTGTGACTGCTGCGGAAAGTGCGCCTTTAGGGCTGCCTTTTTTGCTTACCCATTGAAGGCATGCTTGCCGGAATTCTGGCTCTGTATACGACATTGCTAGCAATGGGAAATGTGCATTAGAATAGCAGCGAAATAGTAGCACAAAAAGGGATGGAAAAGAAATACAGCTGCTGTGAAGCGAGGCGAAACGAAGTGTGCCAAAAACGCGTGCAGCGTCAGCACACCATCACGGCTTGGACCAGATGACTTTGGAAATCTATGAGGGATCAAATCTTTTTTTCTTCAGCTCTGGCGCCCGATAACGGCCGACCCTTGCCTCTTGCCAGCCCGTGCCCTTTTGCCCGATACCGTTTTGTGTCCTGGCTTCTACCTCCACTCTCTGTACTTTTTCTCTTTTTCTCTTTTTCAACATTTATTTCGTCGATTCTGGCTAGAGCGTAATCGGCTACACAGGACAATGCGCGACGACATTCGCATCGTATTAGTAGGCGATGGTAAGATTCATGCGGCGACTGGGCGCGGCGGACATTGAAACCACAGCCATACGACCCGCTGCCAAGCCTTTATAAATTCGCACGAATTTTCCGTATGTAGATGGTGTCGGCAAGAGCACATTGGTTACAGCGCTTATCAAGGAGACGTTTATTGCAAATGTAAGTGCCCTCACCTCGTTCAGCCCCCCGTGCTGGTGCTGCATGCCGCATATGAAAGAAAATGGCCGCGTGCTGATAAACAGCCCGCTTATTTCCTGCTGCCTGTAGGTCCAAGCGGTGGTCCCCGAGGTGACCATTCCGCCCGAGGTCACACCAGAGAACGTAACGACGCACATTATCGACACATCACCGAAAGCCGACGACCAGGAAGTGCTGGAGACAGAACTGCGCAAGGCCAACGTGGTCTGCATCGTGTACGCCTGTCGACGACCGGAGCAGCTTCCAGCGCGTGCACGAGCACTGGCTCACGATGCTGCGGCTGCAGGGCATCAACCTGCCTGTGATCCTGGTCGGCAACAAAGTCGATCTACGCGACGACGAGAATATCCCGGGCACGGTTCTCGAAGAGGAGGTGGTTCTGATCATGAACGAGTACCGCGAGATTGAGATCTGCGTTGAGTGCTCCGCCAAGGCCCTGCTGAACGTCTCAGAGCTGTTTTACTTTGCCCAGAAAGCCGTCCTGCACCCGACACGGCCCCTGTATGATGCGCGTGACCACACCATGAAACCCAAATGCACCGAGGCTCTGGCGCGCATTTTCCGGCTGTGCGACATGGACGGCGACGGCATGCTGAACGACAACGAGCTGAACGAGTTCCAGCGCAAGTGCTTTAATACGCCGCTGCAGCAGCGCGAGCTCGAGGGTGTGAAGGAGATTGTCAAGGCGAGTCGCCCCGACGGCGTCACTGAGGGCGGCCTGAATGTCGAGGGATTTCTGTACCTGCACCTGCTGTTTATTCAGCGCGGCCGTGTCGAGACAACCTGGATGGTGCTGCGAAAGTTTGGCTACGGTGATGACTTGAGTCTGCGCGAAGACTACCTGTGCCCCGAGTTTGACGTGCCTGCAGACTGCTGCGTCGAGCTCAGCCTCAACGGCTACGCATTCCTGACCGAGATCTTCAAGCGGTACGACGCGGACGGCGACAGTGCCTTCTGCCAGGAGGAGCTCGACAACATCTTCAGTCTGTCGCCGGGCATTCCGTGGAAGCGCGGCAAGTTCCCGCAGTCGACAGTGACGAATGCCGCTGGCTCTGTGACCCTCGAGGGCTGGCTGGCGCAGTGGAGCATGACGACGCTGCTCGACCACAAGCAGACACTGGCGTACCTGGCGTACTTTGGGTTCCCGGGCGATATCCGCGACGGCCTGCGGCTAGTCCCCCGGCGCAGCGGGTCGCCCAGCGCCAACGCACTGCGGAAGCGCAAGAAGGGCAAACTGCAGCGCAACGTGTTCCTCTGCTACGTGGTGGGCGCGCATGGCTCGGGAAAGACATCGCTGATAGACGCGTTCGCCAAAAAGCCACACAGCGAGGACTACGTGCCAACGACACGATCAATGACCACGGTGAATTCAGTCGACGTCAAGGGCTCGGAAAAGTACCTGGTGATGCAGGAATTCGGGCCCTACGACACCAGCGTCCTGCAGAGCCGCAAGCAGCTGGAGATCTGCGATCTCCTGGTAATGGTGTACGACTCGAGCGACCCGAACTCGTTCTCGTACCTGACGAACCTGCGCAAAAACTACGCCCTGGACTCGCTGCCGACCATTTTCGTCGCCACCAAGAGCGATCTGGACTACGTCGAGCAGCGGTCGGAGCAGCCGCCGGATATCTACTGCCGCGAGCTGAAGCTGACGGCGCCCGTGTACGTCTCGGTGCGCGAGTCGCAGATGGCGAACGTGTTCCAGCGCATGGGCGCGATCACCCGGGTGCCGGCGTCGGCTACGCCCGCGGTTCTGCTGTCGCGGCCAAACTCGTGGTCGGTAACGCGGATTATTGGCGTCACGGCCTTGGCGGGGGTGGGTCTGCTGTCGACGGTTGTTGCCTACCAGGCAATCAGGTACTGGTGGAACCATGTAATACACTCGCGGTCTGCGTCGGCGCCGCTGAGCAGAAAAGAATTGTGAAAAATTACCCTACATACTGAAATAAACGCCTTCTTTTCTTTCGTTGCACATTCAGAGCTCTGGCATCAGCTTATCGGGCGATAAACACACCATGACGACAAATGCATATGCGAAAAATATCGAACATATGCATTCCAACAAGGGTAAGAATATATTTAAACGATGTAGTATTTATTATAGAACCTACTTTACCCGGGCGAGCTATGTACTCTGGCCGCCTTGGTTATCAGTATAAGGAATGCCACGTTCAAGATAATACGCCAGTCTAGCAGGAAGATATCCAACAACCTGAGGCACCCTTTCGTTCGATTCATGGGAAACGCCACGTTCAGAAAGTGCATTTTTTACTGTGGATAATATATCGTCGGGGACAGCCAACTTGAGGAGGGAGGGTAATCCAGAGACTAAAGTACACATTGCGTCAAGAGATGGAATCGTCGGAATATGAACAACGCTTGAAAATAAGATAAGTTGAGTGAGGGTGCTGCTCCAAATGGGTGCTGATTCTGTATTTTCAGGGCTATTTCCAGTGTTGTATATGGCTCCGACAAGAAGCCAGCGCAGATGAGGAAGCTGAGGAAGGATATGAATGAGGTCGGAGAGATAAACCGGAAACTGGAGATACAGTTTTTCTAACTTTGTCCACAGAATCGTATCAGGGAGTGGGGTTGGTAGGCTTGTGTCAATACGTATTTCAGCGATAGAGGTAGAGAACGGTTTGCCGAAAAGATCCTTTGCGAAAGACACCGTAGTTTTGTCATGCACACTATCTTCCCAGTTTCTCATAGAAATGCATAGAGCCTGAATATCTCTGAAGGTGGTTATCTCAGAGTGTCGGACTTTATCAACCATGTCAACGATAGTTGCAATCTGTATTGGTGCGTTCTTGAATAAAGCGAGGGTGTTCGAATCATTGAATGGATAGTATTGTAATCGCAAATCCTTCAGCTTTGGAAACGATATAGAGGGAAGGTATGTGTCTGATTCATCTACTGACTCAGATATTTTAGGATTATGATAGATTTCAAGCTTTGTAAGGTTTTCGAAGATAACCGACCCAGGCAGGCTACCTCTGAAGATGTGCCACGAGTGTGCAATATCAGAATAATATAACCACAGTGTCACCAATGAAGGTGCAAAAACTCTAGGGATATGCTCAGCACTCTCACTGTTGATGTGAAGATCCAACTTAGCGAGATATGAGGAAAAGTATGTGTGATCGAGTTGTGGATGTGTAAATTCGGGCAAAGCTATTGTTTGCAGCTGTGGCAAGTAGAAGTTCAACATATCACCAAGTGGGAATGCTGGCGGATTATTCAATAGATATCTGGATACATCATGTATCAAATGCTTCACATGAGGGAGGTGATTTATAAAGTATTGTGAGGTCTGTGACAGCCGTATTCTGACATCGTCGGCCATTGGGAGTTTGGTGTCGGAATCCTGCTTTGCCATCTGTGGATCTTCAATAAAAAGTATTGTTTCCAATCTAAGCCATTCGACAGTGCTGAATTCAAATATTTCGAGGATATCTCCAAGAGAAGGAAAATCGATGGTACAGTCTCGAGATGAGATAATCAATCTCTGAGTATAGTTGCTGCTTTTTAATTGCACAATATTCGAGATGTTTGTTCTCCATAGAATAGGGTGTGGTGATGAGGTTGCGAGATGTATGCCTTTGGATGCGAGTTGGTCTGAATCAGATGGGTTGCCATATAGGAGCAACTGCTCAGCTGTTGGTTTGTGGCACAAGATAATCGCGGTAGTATAGAGGCTCTCTTTTATAGTGTCTCTCCAGTATTGGCAAACCTGGTTAAGCTGGAGGAATGAAATATAGATGTTGACATGATCAGGATTGTCCAGAAACAAACGGTTGCCAAGTATATTGACCATTCGCCGAAGAATATATGGTCTCAGTGTTGCCCAGTTCGCCATTAGTGTGAAAAAGCGAGTTTGTGAAGAGGAGTGGAAAAGAAATTCGGTTCTTGTCAGCAACAGTTGACACCCTCCATTTGTCATATGCACGTCAATCCTTGTCCACATTTCCCTAATCCTACTCTACTATCCACAATACTCGATCTCACTCGTTTACACGGGTCGCATAAATTTAATATCCGCTAGAATGGCTGGTGTTATCAAGATACTGTTATACTACTGGCTGGAAAAGTATTGCTGTTTATATGGGTTTTTGGCCCCATCTGTCTTTAATACCCGATGTGAGGAATGGTGTGGCCGACTAAGCACACACAAATGTCAAACTGGAGGCCAACATATAATTGGCAGCGGAGGTTAACAGAGATCACCCAACTGAATATCCTATGACATTTTCCAGTGGCGACGTATCACACTGTCAACTCATCGCTATTATGACTAGCGGTGGAGGTGTGCCTGTTGTTACCCTATGTATACGCTGACTTTTAGTTTAACCTTTATTTTCTTATTCGAACATGCGCATACCAACAACTAAACCACATAAAACTAGATCTCAGGCCCACCGGACCCTCCTCTTTTCCTGCAGTTAATCCTGCTTTACCCTTTATTTGGCTCCCATACACGCTCGTAAAAACCCATTCCATTCCTAAAGTTAACAATTGTAACACCCACTGTTGACCTTCGGACAGTCCAGTAGTTATGAGCTTTATGGAATGAGTATGGCTAGAAATTGTTGAAAAAAAAAAAAAAAAAGAATGATGGGGATTTGGACCTGCACATGGTTGTGAAGGACATGAGGATGCCCGAATGTCAACACCCACTTCACCTAGACGCATTGTTAAATCTAGTTGCCCTTATATTCGGTATATATAACACCATCTTGAAGATAAAATACTGTTTTTCTCGGACTGTATCCAACTACTTGACACTCCGCCTCACAAGATTCCCGAGGAATGGCGTATTCAGAAAGAGCATCTTTTGCGGAAAGCAATATATCGTCTGGAACAGCCAGCTTGAGGAGGGAAGGCAATCCAGATACCAAAGTACACATTGCGTCAAGAGAAGGAATCGTTGGTATATCCACAATGCTTGAGAATAGGAAAAGCTGAGTAAGTGTGCTGCTCCAAATGGGTACTAATTCTGTATTTTCAGGGCTATTTCCTGTGTTGTATATGGCTCCGACAAGAAGCCAGCACAGATGAGGAAGCTGAGGGAGAATATGAGAAAGATTGGAGAGATATACTGGGAATTGGAGACATAGCTTTTCTAACTTTGTCCACAGAATTGTATCAGGGAGTGGGACCGGTATGCTCGTCTGAACACGTACTTCAGCGGTGGAAGTAGAGAACGGTTTTCTGAAAAGATCATTTGCAACAGACGCCGCAGCTTCGTCATGCGGTCTAACTCCCCCGTCATTGACGCCAATAAAAAGATTATGGCTATCTCTGAAGGTAGATAATGCAAATTGCAGGAATCTATTGGCCATATAAATGATAGTGGCGGTTTGTATTGGCGCGTTCTTGAATAAATTGAAGATGTTGGAATCTTTAAATGGATAGTGATCTAAACGTAATGTCTTCAGCTTTGGAAATGATAACTGTGAGAAATATGCATTGGCGCCAACTACTGTCTCAAATAAATCAGGGAAATGAAAGATTGTAAGCACCGTGAGATTTTCGAAGATAACTGACCCAGGCAGGCTACCTCTGAAGATGTGCCACGAGTGTGCGATGTCAGAATACACCAGGGTTAAGGTTTTAAGTGAAGGTGCAAAAACCTTAGGAAGACGCTCAACACTTTCGCTGTTGATGCACAGAACCAGCTTAGTGAGGAATGAAGAGAAATATGTGTGATCAAGCTGTGGAAGCGTAAAATCGGGCAAAGCTATTGTTTGCAGCTGTGGCAAGTAGAAATTCAATACATCACCAAGCGGGAATGCTGGTAGATCCTTTAGTAGATACATGGAAGCATTATGCCTCAAGTACCTCATATGAGGGATGTGGTTTATAAAGTATTGTGAGGTTTGTGACAGCCGCTTACTGATACCAGCAGCCGTTAGATGTTTGGTTTCTGAATTCTGCCTTGATGTCGATCGATCTATAGTAAAGTAGAGCCTCTCCAAGCTAAGCCATTGAACGGTGCTGAACCCAAATGTTTCGAGGATATCTCCAAGAGAGGAATATTCGATAATGGCGTTTCGAGATGAGATAACCAGTCTCTGCGTGTAGCTGCTGTTTTTTGATTGCATAATATGCGGGATATTTGTTCTCCATAGACTAGGCTGTGGTGACGAGACTGCGAGGTAGATGCCTCTGGATGCGAGTTGGTCTGAATCAGAGGTGCTGCCATATAGAAGTAGCTGCTCAGCTGTTGGTTTGTGGCACAAGATAATCGCGGTAGTGTAGAGGCTCTCTTTTATAGTGTCTCTCCAGCGTTGGCAAACCTGGTTAAGCTGGAGGAATGAAGTATAGATGTCGACATCATCTGAACTGCGCAGGTCAATACTGCTGCGATATATGTTGACAATCCGAAGTAGAATAAATGGTCTCAGTGTTGCCCAGTTCGCCATTAGTGTGAAAAACGAGTTTGTGAAAAGGAGTAGAAAAGAAATGTGGTTCTTGTCAGCAATAGTTGACAACCCTCACTTGTCATATGCATGTCAATCCTCGTCGATATTTCCCTAATCCTACTCTACCATCCATAGTACTCAGCCTGTGTATTTACACGGGTCGCATAAATCTAATATCCATTGTCGATTTTGGTATAATCAAGATACTGCTATACCACTGGTTAGAAGAGTGTTAACATTCATACGTGTGTTTATCCCTGCTTGCCTCTAGCGGGTGCGAGGAATGGTACAGCCAGCCAAGCGTACGCGAGTGTGGGTATGCTGGCCAGTATTTCATCATCTTGGTTCTTAATCGAACATGTACATAACAACAAGCATAGAATTATGTTTAAACAATGTAGCATTTATTGGCACAGCTACTTCACCTAGATGTATTATAAGATTCGGTTGCCTTGAGTATCGGTTTAAGGAATGCCATTTTGAAGATAAAGCCTTACTCTTGTTGGAAGATACCCAACAACCTGAAACACGCATTCCCTACATGTTCGAGAAATCGTGTGTTCAGAAAGTGAATTTTTCGCCGTGGCTAACATATCGTCTGGAACAGCTAGCTTGTGAAGAGAAGGCAGGCCAAATACCAAAATGCACATTGCATCAAGTGATGGAATCGTCGGGATATGAACAACGCTTGAAAATAAGATAAGCTGAGTAAGGGTGCTGCTCCAAATAGGTGCTGATTCTGTATTCTCTATGCGATTTCCAGTGTTGTATATGGCTCCGACAAGAAGCCAGCGCAGATGAGGAAGCTGAGGGAGAATGTGGATGAGATCGGAAATGTAGACGGGGAAGTTGAGGCATAGCTTTTCTAACTTTGTCCACAGAATCGTACCAGGGAGTGGGACCGGTAGACTTGTCTCAATACGCACTTCAGCGGTGGAGGTAGAGAACGGTTTGCTGAAAAGATCTTTTGCAATAGACGCCGTAGTTTCGTCATGCACACTATTTCCCCAGTTTCTTATAGAAATGGTTAGAGTCTGAACATCTCTGAAGGTGGTTATCGCAGAGAGTTGGAATGTATCGACCATATCAGCGATAGTGGCAGTCTGTATTGGCGCGTCCTTGAATAAAGCGAGGGTGTTGGAATCTTTGAATGGATAGTAATCTAAACATAAACCCTTCAGCTTTGGAAACGATATAGAAGGAAAGTATGTGTCTGATTCATCTGTTGACTCAGATATTTTAGGATAGTGATAGATTCCAAGATTCGTAAGGTTCTCGAAAATAACAGATCCAGGCAGGCTGCCTCTGAAGATGTGCCATCGAGTGTGCAATGTATCAGAATAATATAACCACAGTGTTACCAATGAAGGTGCAAAAACTCTAGGGATGACGCTCAGCACACTCACTGTTGATATGAAGATACAGCCTAGTGAGATATGAGGAAAAGTATGTGTGATCGAGTTGTGGAAGCGTAAAATCGGGCAAAGCTATTGTTCGCAGCTGTGGCAAGTAAAAGTCCAACACACTACCAAGGGGGAATTCTGGTTGATTATTTAATAGATATCCGGATGTTGTATGGCTCAAATGCTTCACATGAGGGATATGTTCTATAAAGTATTGTGAGGTTTGTGGCAGTCGTATTTTGACATCGTCGGCCATTGGGAGTTTGGTGTTAGAATCCTGCTCTGCCTCAAGGAGGTCTCCAATAAAGCGTATAGTCTCTAATCTAAGCCATTCAACTGTGCTGAACCCAAATGTTTCGAGGACGTCTCCAAGAGAGGAATAATCGATGGCACAGTCTCGAGATGAGATAATCAATCTCTGAGTATAGTTGCTGTTTTTTGATCGCACGATATTCGAGATGTTTGTTGCCCATAGACTAGGCTGTGGTGATGAGGCTACGATATGCATGCCTCTGGATGCGAGTTGGTCAGAATCAGACGGGCTGTCATATAGAAGTAGTTGCTCAGCTGTTGGTCTGTGGCACAATATGATCGCGGTAGTGTAGAGGCTCTCTTTTATAATGTCTCTCCAGTGTTGGCAAACTTGGTTAAGCTGGAGGAATGAAGTATAGATGTCGACATCATCTGAACTGCGCAGGTCAATACTGCTGCGATATGTGTTGGCAATCCGGAGTAGAATAAATGGTCTCAGTGTTGCCCAGTTCGCCATTAGTGTGAAAAAGGAGTTTGTAAAAAGGAGTAGAAAAGAAATGTGGTTCTTGTCAGCAATAGTTGACAACCCTCACTTGTCATATGCATGTCAATCCTCGTCGACATTTCCCTAATCCTACTCTACCATCCATAGTACTCAGCCTGTGTATTTACACGGGTCGCATAAATCTAATATCCATTGTCGATTTTGGTATAATCAAGATACTGCTGTACCACTGGCTAGAAGAGTGTTAACATTCATACGCGTGTTTATCCCTGCTTGCCTCTAGCGGGTGCGAGGCATGGTACATCCAGCCAAGCATACGCAAGTGTGGACATGTACCTGTTTTTACCTTATATATATTTTGGCCAGTATTCCATCATCTCGGATTCTTAATCGAACATGTACATAACAACAAGCATAGAATTATGTTTAAACAATGTAGCATTTATTGGCACAGCTACTTCACCTAGATGTATTATAAGATTCGGTTGCCTTGGTTATCGGGTTTAAGGAATGCCATTTTGAAAATAAAGCCTTGCTCTTGTTGGAGGACACCCAGCAACCTGAAACACCCATTCCCTAGATGTTCGAGAAATGGTGTGTTCAGAAAGTGCATTTTTCGCCGTGGCCAACATATCGTCTGGAACAGCTAGCTTGAGAAGAGAAGGTAGGCCAGATACCAAAAGTGCACATTGCGTCAAGCGATGGAATCGTCGGGATATGAACAACGCTTGAAAATAGGATAAGTTGAGTGAGGGTGGTGCTCCAAATGGGTACTGATTCTGTATTTTCAGGGCTATTTCCAGTGTTGTATATAGCCCCGACAAGAAGCCAGCGCAGATGAGGAAGCTGAGGGAAGGATATGAATGAGGTCGGAGAGATAAACCGGGAACTGGAGATACAGTTTTTCTAACTTTGTCCACAGAATCGTATCAGGAAGTGGAATTGGTAGGCTTGTCAGGATACGCAAGTCAGCAGTGGAAGTAGAGAACGGCTTACCGAGAAGATCCTTTGCAATAGAAGCTGCAGCTTCGTCATGCACACTATCTTCCCAGTTACTGATAGAAATGCTTATAGTCTGAACATCTCTGAAGGTGGCTATCACAGAGAGTTGGAATCTATCAACAGCATCAACAATAGTGGCAGTCTGTATTGGCGTGTCTTTGAATAAAGCGAGGGTGTTCGGAATCTTTGGATGGGTAGTAATATAAACGTAAACACTTCAGCTTTGGAAACGATATAGAAGGAAAGTATGTGTCTGATTCATCTGTTGACTCAGATATTTTAGGATAGTGATAGATTTCAAGCTTTGTAAGGCTTTCAAAGATAACCGACCCAGGCAGGCTGCCTCTGAAGATGTGCCATGAATGTAATGTGTCAGAATAATATAACCATAGTATCACCAATGAAGGTGCAAAAACTCTAGGGATACGCTCAGCACACTCACTGTTGATATGAAGATACAGCCTAGTGAGATATGAGGAAAAGTATGTGTGATCGAGTTGTGGAAGAGTAAAATCGGGCAAAGCTATTGTTTGCAGCTGTGGCAAGTAAAAGTCCAACATATCACCAAGTGGGAATGCTGGCGGATTATTCAATAGATATCTGGATGCATCATGTATCAAATGCCTCACATGAGGGAGGTGATTTATAAAATATTGTGAGGTGTGTGACAGCCGTATTCTGACATCGTCAGCCTATTGGGAGTTTGGTGTTGGAGTCCTGCTCTGCCTCAAGTGACTCTTCAATAAAGCATATTGTTTCCAATCTAGGCCATTCGACAGTGCCGATTCCAAATATTTCGAGGATGTTTCCAAGAGAAGGGAAAATCGATGGTACAGTCTCGAAATGAGATAAGAAGTTGCTGAGTGTAGTTGCTGTTTTTTGATTGCATAATATGCGGGATGTTTGTTCTCCATAGACTAGGGCTGTGGTGATGAGACTGCAAGATGTATGCCTCTGGATGCGAATTGGTCAGAATCACAGGTGCCGTCATATAGAAGCAATTGCTCAGCTGTTGGTTTGTGGCACAAGATAATCGCGGCAGTGTAGAGGCTCTCTTTTATAATGTCTCTCCAGTGTTGGCAGACCTGGTTAAGCTCGAGGAATGAAGTATAGATGTCGATATCATCCGAACTGTCGCAGGCGAATACTGTTGCGATATATGTCGACAATCCGGAGTAGAATATATGGTCTCAGTGCTGTCCAATTTGCCATTAGTGTGAAAAGCGAGGTTTGTGAAGAGGAGTAGAGAAGAAATACAGCTTCGGGCGATAATTAACTGCCAAGTCACACTTTTCACACGTATCCATCATTGTCATCATTTCCCTAGTCCTACTCTACCATCCACAATACTCGATCTCACTCGTTTACACGGGTCGCATAAATTTAATATGCAACCAGGAATGGCTGGCATCAATCAAGATGTATAATACTGGACCATGTCTTTACAGTGGTAGGTTGCAGTCATGCAGGACAGGTTGTAAACTCAGACATCAGGATAATTCTCGGCACCGACACGCAGCTCTGCCGATCGCCAGGGCGCCTCTTCCGCAGCGAACAAACATGCAAGTGCGGATATACAACTGATTACGCAATGTTCCCATCCTTATCAACCAGTGGAAGCTGTATAAATAATAGGCAGCGTCCTTTATATCATGGAACCAAGGAACATTAGCTTTCTGCATCACTCGATACCATGGAAGAATTCCGCCAAACAGTCGAATCCCAAGTTGTTTCTCTTTCCGCCCTAGATTCGTATGCGTCGGTGATCAATACGCAAGTCATCCTGTTCTACGAAAATGAAAGCGCAACTCCTGACTTTATGCCAGCTCACCAGCTCAAGGAAGGATTTTACAAGACACTAAAACAGTTCCCTACGCTTGCCGGATATTTTCGCCAGAAGCCGGATAATGGGCTCGAGATTGTGATTGACAAAGACGATCTCAACCTTCCCGAGTACCGAGAGTCCACATCAGACATCCACTTCGACAGTCTCGATGTGGCTAAATTTAACCCAAGTGTCTGGCCAGAGGGGCTAATGAGCGCCGGCGTAGTCCCGATTCCCAGTAGTTCCAGTGATAGGATTAAGCTCGCAAATGTGCATATAGTTCGACTGAAGGATAACAGCGGCGTTGCCATGTTTATCAGCATCATCCACGCCATTGGCGACGGCACAGGGTTCTACGTATTCGTCAATCCGCTGGGCCGAAGAAACACGCTGCCTTCACAACGGGGAAAGCTGTGTCTGTTGCCAATTATTGCATGGACCGCTCAGCTATTCAAGCGAGCCTTCCTGATACCCGGAAGCCATTGAATGCAGCTACAAAACTGGCATTTACAGAGCCGTTTCGTATGGCTGAGTGGATGGCATGGCTGTCGCTGAACACACGCAATAAGCTAATGGACAGGGTCATTACTGGGGCTGGGTGGCAAGGCAGCCTGTACAAGATCAACCGAGCCAAGCTTGATTCGCTTCGCACTGAAGTCTCAAAGCATATTCCGGATGGAGAGCGCATCTCCAACAACGATGTCCTTTCGGCACTGATTGCGAAGACCCTGGCTCAGTCGGAGCAGTCAGCTGCAACCCATCTATCAGGCGCCGTGTCCTGGCTACTGGGCAAGCAAAGCATGCAGAAGGTTTCCTATCGCCTGCGACAGCCGCATGCGTCTCGGGATATCGCACTTGAACTACGTGGGTAACGCCCAGTTCCTTCCTGCGTTTTCCGTACCCATCGAGCAATCCGAGTCGCCAACAACGCCTGGCTCGCTGGCCGAGATTGCACGCCTGGTGCGGGAGGTAGTCAATTCGGCCGACGCTGAGCACATCGCGTCGTACTTCGACACGCTCTACAATGAACCATCGTCGTATACGCGGCCGTTCATTGCGAGCACACTGTTTAAGAGCACCGGTAACAATAACAAGCCAGTCGCGGTTCGGGCTGTACAGCGCGGACTTCGGTCGTGGAGCGCCGGCATTTGCCACAACGCGGCCGAACCGCGTTGCTGAGGCGGTTTCGATTCTGCCCGACCGTCCACCAAGCAAGGACTTGTATGTCAGCTTCACCAACACAGCGCAGATGCTGGAGCTGATCCGGACCAACAAGTTTTGGAGCGACTTTGCAGAGTTTGTTTACTGAACTCATTTGCTGGTGCAGTGATGTTTTCGCAATTTCTATATTTGGTGAGTGCTGCTGATTCCTGCATAGTGTAAGGTTGTCAATCGCACAGCCGAAAAAAGTAACGCCAGGTTCTTTGCCTCAGCTATTTTTTTATAATACTTACAATGGACGATTTTGTCTCTTCGGTACAGTCGCAGGTGTATGGGCTGTCGACGCGCGATGCGTTCCCGTCGTACATCAATCTCCAGTATGTGTTTTTCTACAGAAACACCAACAACACCAAGGATTTTATGGACGCCAATACTCTGCAGCGTGCGTTCTACAAGACACTGGAGCAGTTTCCGATCCTTGTCGGCCACTACCGACAGCGCAGCGACCGCGGGTTGAGCATTGTGGTTGACAAGGACAACCTGAACATGCCGTATTACCTACGATTCAACAGACGGCACCGTCCACTACGAAGATCTGAAGGCGCGCAAGTTCCATCGCGACGCGTGGCCCAAGGATCTGATGACAGCGCACGTAATGGCACTGCCAGTCAAGGGGACGAAGCAGCTGCGGCTCAGCCATGTGAATATCGTGCGGCTCAAAGACAACAGCGGGGTAGCCCTGTATCTGGTCTCTCAGCCATGGTGTCGTAGATGGCAGCAGCTACTTCCAATTCGCCCACCGCTGGGCAGCCGTTGCACAGGCGATGTCCCGCAGTGAGCCGATCCCCACGGCCACGTTCACCATTGGCGCGTCAAAACTGCACCAGGGGTTTCCAAAAGGCCGCGCATCCTTGGACAGGCTGCTTCGTGAGTACTTTAGCAAGGAGAACTTTGCATCGAAATTGCTGGCGTGGCTGGCGCCGCACACACGTGCCCGGTTGCTGAGCTTCGCCACGCGGCAGGTCAAGATCACAGGCGGGCTGTTCCGCGTACCCAGGAAAAACATTGAGCAACTTCGCCAGCAGATGATTGAGATTGCACCGCCGGGCACGCACATATCGGAACAACGACGTAATCACTGCCATCATAGCCAAGGTGAACGCCCAGGTGGTTAGCAGGATCACGAAGAAATCGTCGAATATCGGCGACGCAGTGCTCAGTAAGCTGCGCAAAGGGCAGGAGGTGCGGCTGGTCACTGTTGCATGCGATATCCGGCACCGCCTCGGCCTGAGTGCTGCAGATCTTATCGGCAACGGGCAGTTTTTGCCTACGCTTCAGATCCCGAATGCGCAGGCAGAGTCGCCGATCACCCCCGAGACGCTGTGCGAAATTGCTGTGATGGTTCGGCAGGCAGTTGATGCGGCAACGCCTGAGCGCATTGCAGAGTTCATTGAGGAGGGAGACAGACATCCAGGCGGGTTTACATGCCCAATTGCCAATAGCTCGTCGCTGGGATCAAGCATTGGCGTGTCGAACCAGACGCGCTTTGGAGTGTACGAGACCGACTTTGGATACGGCATACCAGAGTTCGCTCTGATTGACCCGGAGCTGGGGCCGGGTCTGGTCTCGATCCTGCCGGCATGTCCGCCCAGCACCGACTACTACATCAACATATCTAACCTAACCACGATCATCGACGGGCTCAATCGGAACGAGTTCTGGACCGGCATCTCAGAGCGCATATTCTGAAGTGCTTTGTGTATCCTCACTGGTGGGCAAGCTGGCAAGCGTAGCACAGGCAGATGTTAGAAAACACTGCCTAAATGTTTGCACGCCTTTTGCGATCAGCAGATTGGTGAGCACGAGGCATGTTTCATGCGTGCAACGTCTGTGCGCGAGCAAACATTACGGGGGACGCTGGTATAAAGGCAGGCTGGGATGGCGGGCGAGGCTATGCAAGGACTTGCTAGTCTTTGGAATTCCGCTTACAAGATCTTCCTTCTCTCCTTACGTCTGCCGGTCTCTTCCCCCTCTTCCTTCATGTCCGCCCACCCCTTTTAATGACCCTCCCACTCCCTGAATGTAGCTGAAAACCAAACAAGCTAGTCCTTACCGCTTACGACCTCTACTACAAAGCCCCGACTCTACGAACAAAAATCGCAGCTCTGAGCATAAACCCGCTATTTTGTGCTCAAACGAACCACACTAAAACCACCTACCCGCATTTAACGACCCGACTCTCTATCCTCCCGCCTACTTACGTAATGCCAATTTTGAGAAATAAGGATGTTTTAAAATAAAATGTAAAAAACACAAAGCATTTTCAGTAGGCAGTGCTGCGGTGGCTCGTCCGGCCGCTCTTTCGGCGGCGGCGTCTCGAGTCCTCCTCCTCCTCCCTACTGCGCTCATTCTTGGCCATGATGGCCAGAATCTGGACAAACAAGCGTACCAAGTCATTGAAAAACACCAGGGCATGTGCCACCGGATCCAGGTCACCGAGCCGCGCCTCATCGAGCATCAGCTGCGTATGCAGCACCACGTACACGCAAGTGCTGGCCAGCGCCAAGTACATCTCAGCGGTCAGAAGCAGCCGGGTCGGGAAGAAGAAATTCACCAGACTGACCCACGCCACCGAGCCCAAAGCAAATGCCACCACACCGATCATGTAAATGACCTGGCGGCGAGTCGACATCACAACGCCCAGAGCAAACGACGCAAACAGCACGGCAGCCGACCCCATGGCGCCGTACAGAATTCCAGGGTTGTGATACAGGAATTCCGAGCACAGCGGCATCAGCAGGGCGCCGGTCATGTAGCCCGACGTCCACAGCAAGGTGCGACGCAGTGTCAGGTTGTCCTTTGTCGGTCGCATAAGCAGAATGGCTAGCGAGGATAGCACGGTCACTGAGACAGGCCAGTAATGGATGGATGAAGTTGGTGTGCAAGGACACGTATGTGCCCATGATGGCCGAGGCCACGGTCGATGCCAGTGTCAGGTAGACGTCCAGAACCTGGCGCTGTGTCTTTGGCGGCAGGTCGGATATCTGCGCGTACGACCTGAACAGCGTCTCTGCGTCCATTGTTAATTTAGGAAAAGGGAATAATTAGAAAAGCGATAGGAAATACGTGGAGGAAAGCAAAATAATTGCAGAGTAAAGGAGGCAGACTTTGTTGATATAGGAATCTCGACTCCCAAACTAGGCCGATGGCGGATGTTCTTTTGCACGTGATTGCGCTACGTTGCGGTTTTTTATTCGGGTCAATGGAGCTTACTGCGCTCAGTGCACGCAGAATGCCAGTAGGATGGTGAGGGGAATATACAAAGGGGTGTAGATGTAGAGTCGTTATGTGATATTGCAAGGGAGGGGGTGCGAGACGACAAGGTGCCTCGGCAGCCTTTATATTTCACCAGCATGTCGATCCCTCCCATGCCCAGGCATCCCGGTTTGTGGCCAGTGCTGAGCAAGCAAACGACGTGGAAGATTATTAGCATCCCCCAACCAAGCCCTGATGCTGCGGATGCTGATTGCACCGGGTTTGTGTGCTGGCACATAGTCATTGCGGGAGGTGGAACAGGTGCCGCATAACCGGGCGGCCGTGGGGGCAGTTCCACGGGTGGTCCAGGCCGCTCAGGTTGGCCACGATCCGTCGCATCTGTGCAGAGCTCAGGGGGTCGCCAATCATGACGGACTTGCGGCAGGCGCGCGAGGCAAACATGCGGCGAGGCGCGCTCGCACCGTGGCTGCGGGTCGGCCGAGAGCCGAGCGATGAGCTCGCGCAAATCCGCCTCGCTAAACATGGTCTGGTCAATAACCGGCTGGCTGACCATGCTCAGGCGCCGGCCCGGCACCGCCTGCTCGTCCACCGAAAGGCCAAAGCCGTTGCGCTCAAGCACATGGAGATTCTGCATGGCCACGGCCTCGTCGACAATGTTGAGCTCCAGTACGTGGGGCCGGATCAGCGGCTGCGAGGCGATGCGCGCAGTCGATTGGAGTGTCTCGAAATTGTACTTTTCGTCAGAGGCGTGCTGGTCGATGATGAACAGGTCGTCGCGGAACCGCGCGATGATGAAACCCAGGTTGAACTGCCCGAGAACCTGCATCTGGGCGAAATCCGATTTGCGGATCAGCCGCGACAGCGACGCACGCGCCTCGGCATCGCTCAAATGCACGCCCGAGGCAGTCTCTGGAGTGCTGGGCGGTTCGGGGATGCTGGCGGATTGCTGGCGCTGCTGCATCCGCGCCGACACTTTCGACCAGTCGTAGGAGATGTCGCGCAGGCGGTTGCGGCAGGCGCCGATGACCATGGTTGCGGGCTTCTTGGCCGGCTGGCGCTTGGGCACAGCTGGCGGGGCGCTGGCGGTGGGCGTGGCGAGCAGTGATGAGCTCTCGAGTGGAATGGATGATGGCGCATGGACAAGTGCGGGTGGCTGCGCTGGCTTTGTAACCATGACGACGCTGGGTGAGACTCGAGTCTTGAGTGGCGGGGCCTCAAAGTCGTCGCTGCTGCGGACTACTGCAGGCGGGGCAGCGGCAAGCCGGTGGGACCACTGGCAGTTCACCACTGTCCATCTGCTCGGCCGGGCGCTTGGTCCCGGCGCCACCCAGCAAGACTTGGACCTTCTTATGCACTGCAAACTCGGACTCCTTCGGCTCCAGCGCCTCCCCCACCGCCTCCCTGAGCGCCCTTAGCACCACGTCCTCGTGGCGTAGCAGAATCGTGCGCTTGTCGGGCGTCAAGTTGACATCGACGGTGTCCTGGTTGACGCCGACCATAATGGCAAACACCGGGTACCTGGCCGGGCACTTGCCGCGGAACAACTCGTTGACCAGGCGCTTGGCGCGCATGAACTCGCACGGCCGCCCGTTGACAAAAAAGTACTGCTTATCCGATGCGCTGCGTCCAGCCTCGGGCAATGCCCGGGAGACATGCCCGCCTACAGTCACATCAAGGCCCTTCGATCGTCTGCGTGAAGGAGATCTCGGCCAACAGCGGCCGCTGCTGCGACCCAAACACCGCCGAGAGCCGGCCCAGCAGCGAGCTTTGCGCGGCCGTGCGCACAGCCACCGACGCGCTGCCCTTGGTCTGGTTGGACAGAACCAGCCGCGCATTGCTGATGATCGCGTACTGCTCCACAAGCCCCACCAGCTTCAGGTATTCGCGCCTGGCGTGCCGCTGCAGCTCCTGCTGCCGCACCGGCCACCGCCCAAACAGATTTCGTCAGCACCACCGTCGTCCCGTGGGAGCGGGCGACCGGCGAGGATGATGCGAGGGCGCCGGCCATGTCGTATGTCAGCTGGACGCCCATGGGGTCGCTTTCGCGCGTGCTGGTGGTTATAGCTGACCGTGGCCACGGCGCACAGCGAGCTCAGGGCCTCGCCGCGGAACCCAAAGGTGGTGATTGTGGAGAGGTCGGTGAAGCTGCGGATCTTGGACGTCCAGTGCTTGCGGCACACCGTGGCATGTGCCGCCGATGCGATGCCGCTGCCGTTGTCTATCACCGTGATGGACGTCAGCCCGTTGTCCTTGAGGCGGATCTCCACCGACGTCGCGCCTGAATCCAGGCTGTTTTCCAGCAGCTCCTTCACTGCCTGTCGCCAGATCGACGATCACCTGCCCGGAGCACAGCCGGTGGACTGTGTCCTTGCCGATCGGCAGCATTTCGCCACTGCCTCCTGCCACTGTATCTGTAGACATGCCAACACAAGAAATACTGTTTAGATGGGTGCTTTATGAGAGCGAAAGAAGAACTAGTCCCCGCGGCCGCAGCAAATCCCCTCGGCAAGCGACCTAAACTCCAGATCAGGAGCCCACGTTATGGTGTCTATCGGGCTAGTTCGCAGTACTCGTCAGCTCGCTGCCGATCCGGTAGTTGGCAATCTTCTCCCAATCAACCTTGTTGCGCGTCACCGGCAGCGTCCGCCGCAGGCCCCTGAACGTCTTCTCCGCCAGCTGCCGGAACCCGTCATTGATGCCGCGCTGGAAGTCGCCCTCCAGCTCGCCAATCCTTCTTCACCACCTGCTCTGCCCTGGACGTCCGCGGTGAACTCGGCCTGCGTGTCCAGCTGCACATTCCCGTCCTCGAAGTAATGCACCGTCACCTTCGCCGACCCGTTCAGCTGCCCCGTCTCCGCACTGAACGACCACACCGCCCGCCACGACCCGTTCCAGAAGTTCCCCGGCGAGAACCGGTTGCTCACAATGCACAGCACCAGCTGCCCCTCGTGCGAGAACACCGTGCCCGCGCCCTCCGGGTAGTGCGCCAAAACATATGCGTCCAGCGCCGTCTGCAGCTGCGCCCGCTGCTCCTCGTTCGCCCCCGCCGCTGCTGCTTCCTGCGCATCGTGAGCCACGCGACGCACATGGTCGAATGCAAACTCCTGCTGCGTGTTCGGGCACAGGTACCGCCCGTCCTCCAGCTTGTTGTACGGCGTCAGCAGCACCTACCAGGCATATTTGGCAAAAACAAATTCAGCAAACCTTCCTTGCATTGCCAGATCCTCACTTTGTCTTGCCTCCTTACCTTGCTCTCCGTCTCCGGCACCTCCACCACCAAAAAGTGCTGCATGTTGCTCTCTGCCAGCACCGGCTCGATGTGCTCCTGCAGCGCCTCGTCGTCGTTGACGATGCCGCGAATGTCTATGAAGAACAGAAATCCTGGCCCAGATGAGCGAAAGGTTGCAAGGGTCCGTGCCAGCAATAGTAAGCTTTCAAGCGCCCTGTGGCCCTTACCGTTGAACACGTCGTCCACCTCGCCCGGCGGGCTGTGCAAAAGAAGCTTGGCTGCCTTCTCAACAATGCTCATTGTGCAGGGAAAAAGTCGAAAATGTGTAGTGTAAATAAATGTGCGTGTAATTCAAATGCAATCAACAGCGGAAACGGAAAAAGCGGCGCTTTCATCACGGCACTCTGGAGCCTCTTTTCTCCTGGGCGCAGACACCCCTGGATCTCGCAAGGACGCTCCTCCCCGCCGCCAGCATGTAGAAGAAAACAAAGCACATTTGCTCGGGGCGGTAAATTTTTAAGAAACTGTGGGCAAGCCTTCCTACCAAAACATAAAAGCTGTATGATAAAAGGAGACTCTTAGGCAGAGGCAGCAGCCAGCTCGCGACGGCGGTCGCGCTCCTCGGCAATGGTGAGCTTGACACCCTTGTCCTTGGGCAGCGAGATCCACGGCTTGTTGCCGTCACCGATCACGAACACGTTCGTCTGGCGGGTAGCGAACGAGCGGTCCAGGGCGTCCTTGACGTGGACGATGTCGAAGCCGCCGTGGTGGCGCTCGCGGTGGGTGATGATACCAACACGGCCCATGTTACGGCCGCCGGTGACCATCGCGACGTTGCCAACCTCGAACTTGATGAAGTCGACGATCTTGCCGGTCTCCAGGTCGATCTTGACGGTGTCGTTGACCTTGATCAGAGGGTCGGGGAAGCGGACGGTGCGGCCATCGTGGGTGACGATGAACGGAACGGCGCCCTGGCCCAGCTGGCAGCGGCGGACCTTGCCCAGCTTGAACTTGGCCTCCTCATCGGTGATGCGGTGGACAGTGAAGCGGCCCTTGATGTCGTAGATCAGGCGGAAGTTCTCGCCAGTCTTCTCGATCGAGATGACGTCCAGGAAGCCGGTCGGGTAGGTGGTGTCGGTGCGAACCTTACCGTCAACCTTGACCAGGCGCTGCATGAGGATGCTCTGGACCTCACGGCCGTTCAGGGCGTACTTCAAGCGGTTACGCAGGAAGACAACCAGGGGCAGGCACTCGCGCTGCTTGTGCGGGCCAGCCGAGGGCTTCGGGGCGTAAGTGCCAGTCAGCTTGTCCAGCATCCAGTGTTTCGGAGCGTTAAGACGCTTCATATGCTTCTTGGGACCGCGAGCCTAAAGGTAGACAAAACCAATCAAGCAGAATAGCCACCACGGCAAAGTTAGCACAGTGCAGTCGTCTTCAGAAAGCAAACCGGGTTTTTTGTATGTGGCAATATAGAGCGGCAACGCTGCCCTTGCTGTCTGTCGAGGGGAGGGGGAGAGGACAGGTCTGTTTGCGACAAGAACAGAGTTCGCTCGCTGCAGAACCAACGCTCTGCCGAATGCGCTCTCGAATGCCTGTCGCAGCGCCGCTCTGCAAATGTCTGCCAAGCAATTCCGACAGGTCGAATCTGCGCGGCCAGCCGTCCAGCCCGATATTTCCCCTCGCGCGACAGCAACAATTTTTTACAGCTGGGCGTATCCATGCGATTTATCGGCGCATCCATCTCTGCCAGGCTCGGATTCGCTGCCAGTCCACCGGGAACATACCATGGTTCGTTTTTCTTCTGTTATAAGTTTGACAGAATAGGCGTCAGAAAAGAGAAAGTTTCGCTCTGTATAGGCGGCCAAATCACTGTATTGGCTTGGTGCGCTAAAAATTGCCTGTGCCTGCAAAGGGGCTAAAGGACAAATCGGCTGATTGCGGTGGCGCACAGTAATTGCTGATTGCAGAGATCGATCAGTGCTTGTGATTTGGATCACCCTCTCGGATTCGCTGGGCTGGTTTTATTGGCCCTTGTGGGAGTTCGAACGTGACCAGTGTCTCTGGTATCTGGGTTGACTTGAGACTGGCCCGCCACACAGGAAGCCGAGGGCTATTTCTAAATGTTCGCGCTGCCCCTTTGCAGCGGCGTCCTACGCTTTTTCTTTCTAGCCTCTCACCCTATCCTTCTTCTCTGTAACGCCCGCCCCTTCACCTATTACTGTACTTTTACCCTCTGGGTTCCCCGTTCCCTTTAGATATTCCTTACTCCAGCTGTTACGACCAAACGACATGGACGCGATGCAGCTTCTGCTTGTACTGGCTATGTTCGGTGTGGGCGCGGCAGTGGCGGTTTCGGTAAGCCAGCGGTGATATGGACGAGCAGTAGCGACCCCCAGACTAGTCCAGTGCCATCTAATTAACTGTTTCCCCCTGTGTGTTAGACCCTGGTGGTGCACTTCAAGAGCCCGCAGCCGCGGCCACGCAAAGAGAGCGAGAACTACTACGAGGGAATCGACGAGAAGCACGAGCGGCAGAAGCTGGGCTCCTTGGCCGAGGCAGCCTCGGTTGATCTGACCATTGTGGTGCCAGCATTCAACGAGGAGGAGCGGCTGCCGGTGCTGCTCAATGACATACACGAGTACGTGAGTGCGCGGCGCGCCGACGAGCCCAAGTTCTCGTTTGAGCTGATAATCATGGACGATGGCAGCCGGGACAAGACGTCGGAGGTGGCTCTGGAGTTTGCGCGCATGCACGGCATCAAGGAGATCAGGGTGGTGCGGCATGTAATCAACCGCGGCAAGGGCGGTGCGGTGACGCAGGGCGTGCTGAGCGCCAGGGGAGCGTACATTATCTTCTGCGATGCCGACGGAGCGACGCGGTTCAGCGACATCGACCCGCTGTGGCAGAAGGCCCGGGCCAGCGAGCGCCAGGGCCTGGCAATCGCCATCGGCTCGCGCAACAACCAGGCGCTGTCGGGCACCGTGGTGCAGCGCAGCCACGTGCGGGCGTTCCTGCAGTGGGGGTTCCACACATACGTGACGATCCTGGGCGTGCGCGGCGTGCGCGACACGCAGTGCGGGTTCAAGCTGTTTAGCCGCGGGGCTGCACGCCTGGTGTTCCCGAACATGCACGTGGAGCGCTTTATCTTCGACATTGAGATCCTGCTGCTGGCGCGCTACCAGAGCATCCCTGTGGTCGAGGTGCCGGTCAACTGGCATGAGGTCGCTGGCAGCAAGATGTCGATCGTCCGCGATTCGGTGCAGATGGCGCTCGATCTGCTGGCTGTGCGCCTCAACTATCTTCTTGGCTACTGGAAAATCAATACACACTAAGAAGAACGGTCTGGGCTCGGGTGGGCCGGTTCGCCAGGCTCGAGCCTTTTGAGCCGTGGATTTAAGCTCAACCCGCGGATAATACTGGCCAGTAGTCCCGAACCGGCGGTGTGCTGTGTGGATCCTTGGGGAACGTGCCGCATATCCTCCCCGAATTAAATTTTTACAACGCTGTTTGAAAAATACGCGCGCGTCCAGCAGGGCGCTGTTCCCAACCCCGAATACCTCCTCTCGCCCTGGTCGCACTTGCTCAAGCGCGCATTTGCCGTGACTGCCAATTATCCGCCGGTATTCTCCGCTCGGCTCTCAGAAAAAATTTTGTATGCTCAGCCTGCGAGCGCGGCGGATAAAATCCCACCTCTGGTGCGGGGGCGCTGTCCCGTACAGCCTAGGAATCAGAAAAACAACCGCACTCTGCTCCTCCACCCCCACCTCACGCCCCTCTTAAGCGACCCACTCTTGTCCGTTCGCAGCCACTCTTGCTTTCTTTCTCGTTATCTCTTTTTCCTTCTCTTTCAAATCTCACCTCAATTTCACAAAATGTCGGCTGTCACCAAGTCCTCGCAGGCTGCCCGTTTCCTGTCGCGCTCGTCGAAGCTGCTCACTCCTGTGACTGCTCGCATGGTCGCCCGCGCCTCTGCCCGCCACATCAGCACCACTCGGTAAGCATACACACAGCTCCTCTGTATTCTCACCCGCGCTCTGTGTTTGTCTTGGTACTGATGCATCTGTCCGCCTGTAGTGCTGTCAGCTCGGCCGCTGCCCTGCGCATCAGCAAGATCGCGTCTCCTGCCAGCGGCATCGCTCGCCAGTACAGCTCCAAGAGCTACCCCGACCACCAGCTGGTCGGCATGCCCGCGCTGTCCCCGACCATGACACAGGGTAACGTTGGCCAGTGGCAGAAGGCCGTCGGCGACCGTGTCGAGCCTGGAGATGTGCTTGTTGAGATCGAGACCGACAAGGCCCAGATGGACTTTGAGTTCCAGGAGGAGGGCTACCTGGCCAAGATCCTGGCCGAGACCGGCACCAAGGACCTGGCCATTGATTCGCCGCTGGCCATCATCGTCGAGAACGCCGAGGACGTCGCTGCCTTTGCCGATTTCTCGCTGTCGGAGGCCAAGGTCGAGACCCGCGCCGAGGAGGCCGCTGGTGCCGCCCCGGCCGCTGCTGCTGCCCCCGCTGCTGCTCCCGCCGCTGCTGCCCCGGCTGCTGCCGCATCCACATCGACTGCTGCCTCGGGCGAGCGCATCTTCGCCAGCCCTCTGGCCAAGACCCTGGCCAAGGAGAAGGGCATCGATCTTGCTCAGGTCAAGGGCTCCGGCCCGCGCGGCCGCATTGTCAAGGCCGACATTGAGAACTTCAAGGCGCCCGAGGTCGCCGCCCCGGCTGCCGCTGCTGCCGCCCCTGCCAAGGCTGCTGCTGCTGCTCCGGCCGCTGCTGCTCCGGCTGCCGCTGCCCCGGCCGCCGCTGGCTACACAGACATTCCTCTGACCAACATGCGCAAGGTCATTGCCGCGCGCCTGGGCGAGTCCAAGGCGACGATCCCGCACTACTACCTGCAGCAGTCGATCACCATGGACAACGTGAACAAGCTGCGCAAGTCGCTGAACACGGCGGCCAACGGCGCCTACAAGCTCTCGGTCAACGACTTTGTGATCAAGGCGGCGGCGGCAGCGCTCCGCGATGTGCCCGAGGTCAACAGCTCGTGGCAGGGAGAGTTCATCCGCCAGCACCACCACGCCGACATTGCCGTTGCCGCGGCCACCCCCGCCGGTCTGATCACCCCGATTGTCAAGGCCGTCGACGCCAAGGGCCTGAAGACCATCTCGGCCGATGTCAAGGACCTGGTGTCCCGCGCCCGCGCCAACAAGCTGATGCCCGAGGAGTTCCAGGGCGGCAGCTTCACTATCTCCAACCTGGGCATGTACGGCATCACCTCGTTCTCGGCCATCATTAACCCGCCCCACGCTGCCATCCTCAGCGTCGGCTCCACCGAGCAGCGCCTGGTCCTGGATGAGTCGTCCGAGAAGGGCTTCAAGACCGCCGAGGTCATGTCCGTCCAGCTCTCGGCTGACCACCGGGTCGTCGACGGCGCCACCGGTGCCCTGTTCCTGAAGGCCTTCAAGGGATACCTCGAGAACCCCCTGACTCTCATTCTCTAAATTCTCCAAACTCTCTTTCTCTAGACTACAAAAGTTGCCAACTTTTTTATTCCACAAACACCTTGCCAGGCGAGCGATGGAAAAAGGATCAGGGGCGAGGATTGCGCAGCATGACCCCTGCGTGTCTTGGCAATGCGAAAACAAAGCCTAAACCTCTCCTAAAAAGAAGCCTGTCCCAAGCACTTTTCTCTTGCTCGCTACTTTCTTTTTTGTTTTTTCACACTCATCTCTAATAAAGGATGGTTTCGGATCTCACGTCCAAGTTCAGCAGCAACTCATTCGATACTGCCGCCAAGGTCACCAGCGTCTTCGGCCCGCCCGAGCTGCTCGGCACTTCTCCCGACCACCTACAGTCACCGCCCGCAGTTGCCATGATGCCCGGTATTGCCATGGACAAGGCAGACGGCGGTACGCCATCGTTCTATGTCGGATATACGGGCGACGACAAGATCCTGTGGTTCAAGATCCAGCCCGACAGCAACGGAAACGAGCAGGTGGTGCAGAGCGGATGGAAGCCTCTGCACTGAATTTATAGGCACCATGCTTTTGTCAAATAAATGCACAGGTGTCTTGGATGGTAATGCTGCAGCGGCCTGTGTGAATACCAGTACTATCGATTATAGGGCCTCCGAAACCCCATTTCCTATGGCCATGTTTACTTTTCCGAAGGCCACATGTAATATGTATGTGGGTATACAGCCTACTCACCTTTGGACTCCTTCTACATACTTGCATATAATATAATTTCACATGAAGTACATATTGCGTGAAAATATAAAACAACATAATGTACAAAACAGTCGCAGGAGGCTGGTCACCAACACATTTCATACTTGGCATACCACAGTACATATATATCATATGAATATGGAATAGTAGTGATGGAAAGATACTGACGAACATTAGTGTTAATGTTACTATCTATTAAAGACATAATCTGTCATCCTGTGGACACAAACATATGCTTTTACGGGCTATCCGTGCAATTATCAGACGATCTGGCATGGCTACTATCCCTGTGAGGATTTGCATCTACCTACAAACCAGTGCGTGCTCTACACTGTCTACCGCGTCCTAATGTATGAGAATAATCGATATTGTAGCCGGCTACTTCAAGAATGGCCCGTTGAAATCGGCATTTGCCCCCCTCATCCAGACACATTCGATCGTAAAGCGCACTGCGGTTTGATTTTTCGTTTACATGCCTCATTTGTATAGAGCGGCCTTTTTGCTTCTAACTGGAAGGAGGTTGACCGCCTATTAAAAGCAACTGTCTATCATTAAAACACAACTCTCGGCACTTTATCGTTCCTGATAACTATTACCTAGATATTCTCTCACTCTTTTTTACTCTTCGTAATGCCTGATACTACAACTGTTCGCTATGGTAGCTGGGAAAGCCCGCTGTCTGCAGCTGATGTCGCGTCAACATCAAAGTACGTCTCTGAGATCCGTATCGACAAGGGCTCGCCCTCCCGCGTGTACTGGACCGACTCTCGCCCTATCTGAGGGCGGGCGCCGCACACTGTTCAGCCAGGTAGACCACTGACTTTGATGGAGCCACCATATGCGAGCTGACGCCCAACACCCAGTGGAATGTGAGGTCGCGTGTGCACAGGTACGGTGGCTCGCCCTATGCCGTTTATGATGGCCTCATTCTGTTCTGCAATGCAAGCGACTGCGGTCTATACCTATTTGATGCGAACTCTGCTCTGGCACCTCGCCGGATTGCTCAGCAGGATGACAGGCTGTGGTATGCCAACATGGTCATCCATCCGTCCAAGAAGTTTGCTGTTGCTGTGCGTGAGGACCACCGCAATGGCGACATTGGCGCCTTGGCTGTGCTGGTCGCCATTCCGCTGCCCAGCGACCTTGATGCCGACGAATTTAAGCCGACCGATGATGCTGTGCTTTTCAGCCAGAGCGACTTTGTGTCGAGCCCTGTGTTCAGCCCCTTGAACGACGAGATTGCATTCTATACTTGGAACCATCCGAACATGAACTGGGATGCGACTACCCTGCACCGTGCCACGCTCTCGTTTGACGCAAATGGGGTTGCCAACGGCCTTGATAACCTGGCAATTGTCGCTGAAGGCGAAGGTGACGTTCAGGAGAGCATCTACCAGCCGCGTTTTGACGATGCTGGCAGACTACATTTCCTTGTGGACCGCTCGGGTTTCTGGAATCCGTACTATGTTGACAGCGACGGCAAGACAAACCAGTCACTGGCTAAGTCGATGAAAGCTGATTTTGCAGTTGCTGAGTGGGAATTCGGCTTTTCTACATTCCAACCTGTACCTGGAAAGCCGGACGAAGTCGTAGTTCGCTATATCGCTGGCGGCAGAGCACACCTGTACCAATTGAATATCGTTCCACATGAGATGACCGAGTTGCCGACTCCCGAGTGGTCCGTCATGGATGCATTCCACTTTGGTGTTGACCCGAAATCCGGGTCTCAGATCCTCATGATGCTTGGTGGTAGGCCAAAAAGCACTGTCTCCCTCTTCACTTACTTCATGAACGATGCACCCGATGCCAAGCAGCTAGTATTCGGTGGCGCCAGTGTCACTATGCTCAGCGATGAGGATATTTCTATCCCATCGGAAATCGAATTCCCCACCCGTCTGCCACCATTTGACAACGACCAAGTTGGCCAAGGTGGGTCCGATGCAACGGCATTTGCCTATTTCTATCCACCGACTAACAAGAACTTTGCTGGGCCCGCTGGAGAACTGCCTCCTCTTCTTGTTCTCAGTCATGGTGGGCCGACCTTCCAAGCTGACCCGATCTATAATTCACAGATCCAGTTTTGGACCACACGCGGATTTGCTGTCGCCGATGTAAACTATGGTGGATCAACCGGTAAGGGCCGTGCCTACCGCGAGCGGCTTTATCCATGGTTTGGCATCGTTGATGTGCAAGACTGCTGCGCCGCAGCCCTCCACCTGGCAGAAACCGGCAAGGTTGACAGACAGCGTCTGACAATCATGGGAGAAAGCGCCGGTGGATTCTGCACATTGGCTGCGCTTACATTCCTCCCCGAGGTATTTGCTGCCGGTGCCAGTGTCTGCGGTATGAGCGACTTGGAGCTCTTTGCGCAGGAGACACACAAGTTTGAGGCACACTACATAGATAGGCTTGTTGGGCCATACCCAGAAGCACGGGACCGCATTGCTGCCTGGTCGCCTATCAATTCTGTGGACAGGCTGGAGTGTCCGACTGTGTTTTTCCATGGTGCCGATGACAAGATTGTGCCACCGAATCAGGCGACAGTGCTGGCTGAGGCACTGAAAGATAAGGGCGTCATGGTAGGGCATGTCGAGATTCCTGGCGAGGGGCATGGATTCAGGAAAGCAGAGAATATCGTGCTCGCACTTGAAGGGACAGCTGAATTTCTTCGGCAAGGTCCTGGGATTCACTCCTGCTGGCACATTCAGTCAATCGAGATCTTTAATGAGAAGTAAATGTTGCATTCCACACATGGCCTCTATTCTGCAAATAAAGTTGAACTATACTGTGTATCTTCCGTTGATTTTTATCATATTTAACCTTTAGCAAGTAGCCCATTTAGGAAAGTAGTGCCTGTATGTTAGCTGTCAGTTATCATCTGCAGTGCTACTCTGCTACGCTGTCCACCACTAGAATCATCACGATACATGTGGAGGATCATACCAGAATTGCAGGTTTCCATACAACGTCGCTGATAATAGCAAAGTAAAGCTATAGCCAGAGAGAGTTTTATATACACGTCTATTATACATTCTCATCCCCATAGCTTAAATCCATTTGAAGTGCTTTCCAGCGCTGCCATGAACAAGAGTAGCCATTCCTATTGATGTGATTTTTGAGGAATCTTTAGGACTCAACTCGGGCTATACTATACGTATTACTTTCTATAGCCGTCTCTGGCAATACACACCCTCTGTCGAAAATGAAGCCCGCTATATGTCAATATGTGAATCATAATGAGGTCATGCACCTTGCCTTTCTTCAAAGACCGGCTTTACATAATGATTTACACGGCCATATACAACCATACAGTCTGTTGGTACCTGAAGATCCTTTTTGAGATCTTAGCTTATATTAAAATTTTGAACTGATTTTAAGAATAAGGCGCAACTAACGAAATGGCGGGAAAAGATGGATAAGATGAATCGACTAACAGGCGACACTAAAGCATAAAAGACGATTAGAGTACAATGTTATAAAAAGGAACAAATAATAGGGTGACGGAAAGACATGTAGCTGATGAGGTGTCTAGGGAGAGGTGCGGTTGTTTGTTTCAGTGGTGGTGGGGTGCGCAGGCCCAACCTTTTTTAAACCACAGGCTTGTTACTCCTTGAAGCCAGCCTGAGGAGTAGCCGGGTTAAGAGTGCCAGTTGATGCAGTGCTGTGGCCGCCGTTCATGTTCATGGCGGCGGCGGCTGCAGCGGCTGCGGCAACCGACAGGTCACCTCCGTCCTCATGCGGGACACCCTGGATAGTGGCCTTGTTGGCAAGCATGTCGGTCAGCGCCATGTGCGATGACGACGTATTGGGCATCATCTGGATTGGCGATGCCGCGGTCGAGTGCTGGAGGTGATCGGGATGCCCCAGCGCATGGTGGTGCGCATGACCACCCATCGGCGAGTGCATGTCGAAGGACGATCCATGATTGACCATGCCGGTAGTCAGGGGTGGCAGCATGTGATGGCCGAGCGGGCCGCCCGACGACGGCGGTCCTTGCATCAGGCCGTTGGGCATGCTGGCGGCCAGCGGCGTAGTCGAGCCGCTGCTGTTGGCCGGGCTGTCCTCGTTGGAGCCGCCGCCCTGCTGCTGCTGCATGTTGGCAAACTTGGCGCGCTGGCGCTCGTGGATCCGCTGGTGGCGACGCAGGTTGCTCATGACCGAGAACCGCTTGCCGCAGCTGTCCCAGGTGCACTCATACGGCTTCTCGCCCGTGTGCGAGTGCATGTGCGTGGCAAGCGTCGACGGACGGGCAAACATCTTCTGGCACACAGTGCACAGGTAGCGCTTGCGCTGCGAGGTCGACGACTGGCCGTGCATGCCGACGCGGCCCACACCGCCCGACATTGACCGGGTCGGCGTTGGGGGAACGGCCATGCCGTTCTGCTGGCTGAGACTGGCTGACGATGGCATCGACGAGGCAAGGGGCGGAGGGTTCTGGAATAGCAGGCGACGTGGCCGAGGAGGACATGGCCATGTTGAACCGGCCCATCATCATCGGGTTGGTGGCAGCAGCGCCGTAGTGCTGGCCGCGCATGGTTGCCATGTACTGGCCCTGGTGGGGCGTGCGGTGAGTAGGCACTGCTGGCGGCAGCAGCAGCGGCCATGGGGTCGAAGGCGCCGTGCGGCGAGGTGGGCACAGCAAAGAACGAATTCGAGCGCTGGTAGTTACCGGCGGAGTCGATCGGCGGCAGGTGGATGCCGGCGTGGTCGGCCGGGTTCTGGGTGCCGTCAGCCGCAGTGGGCATGGCAGCATAGCCGTGGTAGGCAGCGGCAGGGTTGGTGTAGACGCCCTGGCCAAAGTCGTTCATGTACGTGCCGGTGGTATGGTCAAACGACACGGCGGCGGGGTCGTGGGAGAGACCGTTCTGCTGGGCTGCGTGTTGGGGCTGCTGTTGGGGATGGCTTGTTTGGTAGGGGTGAGCGGCATGCATATCGGCAAGGCCATTGGGCTGCTGCTGTTGCTGCTGTTGCTGGTGGTGGTGCGATGCAGGCGCGCCAGCTGGTGGTCGCTGTCGAGTGCTGGTTGTAGTAGTACTCAGCAGCCGGGTTGGCCGCGCCAAACGCGGAGTCTCCGCCCTCGAGCCCGGTCGCACCCATACCGGCGGAAATTGGAGACGTAAAATTGGCCGTCGAGTACCCGACAGCAGCAGCGGCACCCGGAACGGGAATAGCCGAGGCCTGCTGATAGGCGGCATATGTGCGCCAGCCATCGTTGGTCTGGGCAAACCCATGCGAGGCAGCCGAAAGTGGTGGCGTCGGCTGGGCACCCATTGCTGCAGCATCAGCACCGATTCCATTCAGCACGCCTGCGTGCGAGGGGTCGTTCTGCTGCTGCTGCTGCGCCTGCTGCTGCTGTTGCTGCTGCATGACCTTGACCAGCGGGGTGTCTGGCGGGCTGCTGGCAGCGGTGTCGGCGGGCTGCTGCGGGTGTGAGTACTGGTACTGCTGCTGCTGCTGCTGTTTTGTCGCATCATCGTTCGGGTATGAGGCGGGGCCCGACATGTAGCTGGCGCCGATGGGCTGGGCAGCCGTCGAGTAGGCATGCGACTCGGCTGGCCACGACGCAGCCACGGCCGTGCCACCTCCGCCTCCCAGGTTGTTCGGGTCGGGGGTAATAGGCACCTCCAGTGGCCTGGGGCTTTTGTACGTGATCGGCGGCGTTGGCGCTGTGTTGCATGTTGAGGGTAGGCGATGTTGTGTAGTTTTCAGCGTACGCGGCCATATGGGTGAGCTACTGTACGCGAGCGAGTGGAAGCTGGTTGTTTTGTGACAGCTCGCTGGTTGCCTTGTATAAATTGAAGAGGGCAGTTGCGCTGAGAGCCTGGGGGATAGGGAATAGAACAGAGAGAGAGAGAGAGCTTCGTGTGTGGAGGGTGCGAGAAGTGATAGCGCAGTAACAAAACAAGGGAATTGATCCGCACAAAAAACTTGTTCGCGTCCTTTTTGTGAGTGTTCCTGGTCCAAAGCCCGAGTGTTTACGCCGTTTTGTTGGTGTGCCTACAGTGAGAGTGCGTGCGAGTGGAGGGCAGCCTGCTGCTGGATTTAGCGCCAGTGGTCGTTACCGGTGGAGTGAACACACCACACGAGAGCACAAGGTGGACGCTCTCGAGCCAGTGGATTTGCACTTCTCAGCTAATGATAGGCGAAAAGTGAGTTGTACACAATCGCCAATCTTTCTCGGAACGCGCTCAAAAAAGTTGCATCACAATGCGCGAAGAGCTGAAAGGAGAGGGAAACCACAACAGGGGGCCCTGTCCAGGGCATCCAAGCGCCATCCCGGGCAATCGCGCGCTGTGGTGGATGTGCGGGGGACATGTCGAGGACATGTCGCGTGTGTCATTGAAAACGTACCTCGAGTGGGAGAAAGAGCAGAAATGTAGGGGTGCTTGTAGCAGGTGGGCCGGTGCTGTTCCTTGAGGAGAGGGCAGTGGTCTAAGAATTATTGTAATTACGCGTGCAAAATAGAAGGAGAAAAAGTGGATGGCGCTGGAGAGAAAGGTGCGGTGAGACGATTTGCAAGAAAAAGTAGTCTAGAGATTACACGATCCTCTTTAAGTATCTTCTGCCGTTCAGAAAAGTCGCACAGGCGCTGCTGGAGCTCATCCTGGTGTTCTGACGCCTTTGCAACTAGCAATCTCCACAAAAAAACACACTTAACACGGGGCAAACGGAGGTTTGCGTATTGAGAAAATTTGCTCGTTCATTCTCAAGGGGCGGACGGTGCACCCGCAGATGGGGTGGGTCGCAACCACCCCCGGGCAAGTCTCTCGCTCTGCACGAGAAGGCAAGCAGTTCCCATTTTGTTATTGTTTTTCGCTGACCACAGGTGCTTGCGGGGGGTTTAGGGAACTTTGGAAGCCATTTTAGGGTAGGGAAGCAAATCCGCATTTCCCGCTGCTATCGCTGTTGGCAGGCTCCAGGCGGACGCGAGTCTCGCAGCTGCCGCGGTCTGCCCGCGTTAATTGCCTGGGTGTCGCTGCAAAAACAAGTGTCGCAAATTTGCGATGGGCCGGCGCCTGGGGGTATTCTGGCCCAATGGGCAGTCACCGCTTGCTGAGTCGACCATGATTGGCCTTCCCGCCCACAGGAGGGGTGCGCAGAGGACGGGGCTGCTCGGCAACACAGGTTTTAATTATCAGTGGAGCATGGGATAGGATGGGGTTGACGCCTGTGGCCAAACAAGAGGGACGCTCTTTCGCTGTCCCACAGGAGCACCGGCAGCAGCAGCGGCGACTGTGACCCAGGGATATGAGGACCACGGCCCGAGGGCTGTGGACCGTCCCCGCCACTGCGGCAGGTGTGGCGATTGATTGATGTGGCAGTCTGGAGTTTGTGCGGGGGAGGCGTTGTAGCGCGAGTCCGATGCGACATAGGCTCGCGGCAAATGCGGGCGGATGGTCCATTAATTAACAATCAGCGTCGCTCCATGGGGCTGTCACTCGGGCCATCCCTCCTCTCACGCACGCACATACGCCTGCCGCTGTATTATTCGCACAGGGTACGCGCGCCCCTGAAAGTGCCACTCAGCCGCCGCCCTTTTCTCCCTTGGCAGGCCCGGCCTTCCCTTCTGGGGCTTCTGGGGCAGTAGTCAGCGCCGGTGCGCACAAGGGACGCCCCTGTGCCGGCCGACGAGGTGGGTGTTTTCGGGGAACGCGGACATGGGCAGCCCAGCACTCGTGCATAACAAGAAACAAGCCGGCTGCAAGCAGGAATCACTCCGTGCCGCTTTCTGCTCTTGCATATCTCTCAAGCGTGCATGGCAAATCATTGGATGGCGGCTACTCGTATCACATGGAGCAGCTCAGCCCAAAAATGCAATTGCCGTTGGTTTTTTGCTTTGCGACTGCATATCGCCTCCCCTCCTCGCCTGGCCAGCCTGCGTGGCCTGCGATAACTCAGCGACCCAGAGCGACATGCGACTCCGATTCGTAGCTGGGGCTTTATTCACAGATTTGTCGCTCCCCTTTTAATCCTCGGCCTGTTTGGGAGCGGGTCCTATGTGCTGATAGGGGCAGATGCCCTCGGGAAAACTTACACCACTGGGCGCATCTTCTGGCCAGAACGTTCCCTTTGCTTTTCGCACTTGCCTCTTCTGGCATCCCCCGTCCTCGTTTCCAGCTGTTATCGCCCTCGCATCTCACCGTGCTGCCAGCCCCGAGCGCTGGCCCAATGGCAAGGGACCGGCCCTCCAGGCGCACGGGGGACGGCCCGGCTGTTCCCATCGCGCAGGCTTGCACACTGCAGGCAGTCCATGCAGCATTGAAATGCGTCTGTTTACTTTTTGATGTGATGGCACAGGGCTTATGGCGCGGCGGGGCGTGGCCTTCTAAAAACGACAGATGGCTTGTTTGCGCGATGTCTTGGGGTCTAAGGATGTGCCGCGGCAATCATTATCGTTTATTCCTCGTGAGTCTACATGTTATTGAACGGATTTCGAAGGATCTGCCACGTAGCTACCGCGGTTGTGCCCGGCGATACAGAGTGATGGCCATCCCTCGCCAGCTCCAGAATCCTGGTAGTTTTTTTGGCAGCCGTTTCTCACATTGGGCTCGGTGCCTGGACGGATCCTCCTCACTCCGCCCGCTGCACCACTCAATTGCGGAGCGGACGGAGTGCCCGAAAACAAAAGCAGGTCTTCGCCGGAGGGCTTCCAGTCGCTGCCGGGGAATGGCGAGCGATGAATGAGCGCCAAGGGCGTTCGGACATTGTCACTTTGTGGTCGGTCAGCTGGGGTGGTCAGCGCATGCATCCTGCACTGCGGTGCCGCAAGGAGGGGGTGAGAAAGTGCAACGCTGCTTTTTTGGCATTTCGCCTGTTCACTGCAGCCCAGCCGGCAATCCTTTTGACACTGCCCCCCGCAGTGGCCACGATGTAAAGAACGCCCTCGGATTGTCGCTCCGTTCAGCGTCTGCCTTTGCGCTCTGCTCTTTGGGATGCCGGGGCCATAACGGGCAGGGTTGCCCGATTAGGCCTGCCAATTTATTGCTCTGTCGCACTATTGCTGCGAGCATTCTAGTCCCAATCGCTCTGCAGCGACATTTGAAAAGGTTGGGCCCGAAATGCGACATGGCAACTCTGTGCCAGCAATTTTTTATCCGCCAGCGGGACGCATGGCAAAAACCGCCGCTTTCTGCATGATGACAGGTCCACAATCAACATGCACATCTCGGAGATGGAGGTGTGTCCGATTTGCGGTGGTCATGCCTAGGTAAAAAAAAAAGGTGGATTGGACTCGGGTTCGGTGGGTATCAGAGATTTTTGGCGCTCAACTTCGGATTCACAGGCTGTTTGTCTATCTGTGGTGGGTGCGCGGGTTAAGGCCGATTATCGCCCATGATGTGGCGAACATGTCCACCGCCCAAGGTATGGCTGCAGGCAGATGATGGACATGCACATGTATCCGCCCACCACCACAGCAGCCTTCTTTGGTACCATTCAGTGTTATATTTGTATCCGCCAAGGCTTTGTGCCTCGCAAAGTAAAGGCTGCAGTTGCCCTACTGTTCCCTTTGCCTCCCTCAATCTGCCTTATTTTTAGGACCCGGCTCGCTTTGTGCCAAGGAGTGCAGCATTAGCGGGCCGAGCCGCGGCTCGCTTCTCAGAGTCGACACCACAGGAATCTGCCTTCAGCCAAATGGTGGCATGGTGTTTCCAGGTGTCGATTGTGCGACTGCTGTCTTTCCTTTTTGAGCCAGCTTTCTTCGTCCCTGCTTTCATCCACTATTTAGCTTCCCTTGCTTTTCCAATCCGCCCATTTCCTCAACGCAATGGCAACAATAAACAACGGGTTCCAGAACGCATCATCGATACAGCCGCCGCAGCCAGCCGCAGCACCAGACCCAGGAGAGTGTCGCGTCGTCTGGGTCCAGCATTACTGGCCGGCTGAGCCATGAACCAGCAGCACCAGTACCGGGCATGAGTCATTCAAGCCCGGGTAGTGCAGTACCAGCGGCACAAAACACTGCAACACAGGTGGATTTGACCGAAATCGACGTAAGTTGTTGAGACACTTGGCGCCCTCCCCTTGTCTTACAGAGACACCCGGCGCTTTTGGTGTAGCAAGCAGTACGGTGCACTTGCAGAAGGAACACGAAGCCTGTTTCAGTTACTGCTCCCAGCATTTTTCGCATATTTCTGCGCTTGTTTTGTTGCCTTCCGTGTTGTTCAATCCAGGATGGGCAATGGGCGTCCCTAAAACCTACGCGTCCCCGCATATTCATTCTCTGATTGCATCCTCACACTCGTAGGGCGGGCTTGGAATGCTGCTGGAGAGATCGCGACAGAGCCTCGCGTCATGCAAGGTAAGTACTTTCCAGACCTATGTGTGTGCTGCCGCTCTACACCGGTCATGCAGAGGCCATTCAAAAACAATACGCGGTTGTTATTAGGAGTCGGTGGCGTTTCTGAAGAGTCGGGCAAAGGTCGAGGAGGAATACAGCCGCAATCTGCAAAAGGTGGTCCTAAACACGCTGAAGACCATGGACCGGACGCATGCGCGCGATAATTCGCACCAGGCGACATGGCAGAGGCTGGTGGAGGTGCACGAGACGATGGCAGCAAACCGGATGAAGTTCTCGATCACGCTGTCGGAGATGTCCGATGACCTGAGCAGCTACGTCAAGGAGAAGGAGAAGATCCGCAGGCAGCTCAAGGAGACCGAGATGCGGTACCAAAAGTCCTATTGAGGACATCGAGGCAGCGCTGGACAAGGTAAGGCGTACACACTAATGCGCGATAGCGAGTCTTTGACAGAGGGCGTCCAGCTAACTCTCCCCAGCACTCCGCTTTAGGCGCGCTACAAGTACGAGGTATACAGCAGTGAGTGGGAGAAGCTGCTGATAAAATCCGGCAACAGCCGCAGCGACGGCGCGTCGGCGGTTGGCGTGTGGGCAGGGCCAGGCACGGGCTCGGCCCCCACCTCAAAGTCGCGCAACATGGGAAATGCAGTAACCGGCATATTCAGCAAGCACAAAGGCACGGTGCAGGAGAATCTCGAGCGCATGGGCAAAGAGGCCGAGGTGAAAGTGAAGGTCGCCAACAACAACTACCGCAAGCTGCTCAACAGCACCAACGCAATCCAGGCGCGACTTTTACGATGTGCAGCTGCCCAAGATCCTGGCCAGCGTGATGAGTCTGATCGAGGAGGTCGACGAGTGCCTAAAGTGGAGCCTGGGCAAATACGCATACGCGTACGAATGCGCAGTCCTGGCCGATGCGCTGACGCTGAAGCCCTCGAATGGCGATCCGGGGATGATGGAGATGATCGAGGATATCGACAGCAAGACGGATTTGGATAACTTTTTGCGATTCACGGCGCACCAGAGCGGACGCGTCGATCGGACTAGCATCCCGTACAAGGAATATGAGATGGTAGGCTATGCAGCCACATGGCAAAATCCTGCAGATCGCTTATATACGGTCCGGGTAATCACCAACAAACATGCTCAATTGCTTTCTTGCCCCCCACCCATGTAGTCACCGATTGCACGGACATATGCAAATCCAAAGACAATCTTTGGGGTACCGCTGGCGACGCAAGTGGAGCGCGACGGACACGCGATCCCCCTGATAATCGTGAAGTGCACAAAGGCGGTTGAGGCGTTTGGGCTCCAAAACGAGGGGATCTACCGGCCAGTCGGGCCAGAGCTCGCAGGTCGCACGCTTGCGGAACGAATTCAACCTCGACGCTGACAATGTGGATCTGCAGCCGAGTGCCAATGCAGCCGACATCAACAATATCACAAGTGTGCTGAAGATGTACCTGCGCGAGCTGCCTGGCGGTCTGATCCCGCACCCGCACCGCGACACGCTCCTGGGAATGTTCCCGTTCGAGGACGACCAGCAGCCGCAGCAGGACACAGGAGAATATGGTCAATGTGGTGGTGTGCACGATGCGGGCGCTGCCCAGGATGAACGTGGAGATCCTGAACTACTTGGTTGCACATCTCGACAAGGTGCAGGCGTTCCAGGAGTTCAACATGATGAATTCGGAGAACCTGGGAATCGTGTTTGGGCCAACCATCATTCCGTCGGGAGACGACCCGGTCAATGCGGCAATGGATATCAGGAGATCGGCCAAGGTGGTCAAGTTCATGCTGGACAACCGGAGGGCCATATTTGAATTGTTGTAACCAACAAGCTCTACATGTCTTTTCGTTCGCCTCATTCGTTTCACTTATTCACTTTTATACGTCTGTCGTTTATTCTTCAAGCTAATATATTTCATTTCATTCCCAACACTACAGATCAACACTGGTTTTAGAGCGATGTGGTGACAGTCAGGGATGTCGCGTGGACCAAAAAGACCGGCGGCAAGTCGTGTGCCAGCGTGTCGATTTCAGTCAAATAATCCATGGTCTTTTGTGCGTTCTGCGATGCGCCTAATTCTGGTGCCTGCAAGGTCGTGAAGATCAGTGCGGTTGACGGCTTGCTTTCGCGGCGAATCAGCTCATTTAGGATTCGGTTTTGCGTCAGCGTCGGCATATCGTTGAACTCTGTCTGCTGCTGCTGCGCTGGGTGCGGCGGCAGAGTCGGCGACGTCGAAACAGGTGCAACTGGCGGCTGCTGATGCGGGTTGGAGTTCAGCGCCGCTAGTGCGCGGGTGTAGAAATCTGTCAGCACAGCTGAGCCGTCAGACCGGCGGCGCGCCTGCAGCTGTACGTTGTGGTCTGCGGTCGGGATATTGACTGGCGGCGCATCCACACCAGGCTGCCTGTCCGCCTGGCCATCCGCCCCTGATTCTACGCGTAGGCCCAGGCTAAGCAGCTGCTGACGGCGACTGACACTGGCGGGCGATCGTCTGTCGCCTTCTGAGATGGTCGCATAGCGTGCCAGCGCACGCGCGGGCCCATCGTCATCGTCGGTTTGCAGGGGTGTGCGCAAGCCAGTGGCGGGTTCGCAGTCCGACAAAAAGTCTGAATCCGACTCGCTGCTCGAGCTGTCGGCCCCCAAACGGCCAGACTCGTACCGCATGGGCATCGGCAGGTTGACACGCATGCTGAAGCCGAGCTGTGGTGACTCTGCTACATGCTCTTGTGGCGGCTGCACTGGCGATGCAAACGTCACGCCTTGTACTGGCCTCTCAGACTGTGCCATTCGCGCATTCGGCGGCACACTGGACGCAGACGCATCGCGTGCCACCATCGGTGACTCTAGCACCGCCGAATCGTACGATATGATTCCTGCATTCCTCAGGAAATGCACACGCAGCTCGGCCTCAACACGCAAGTCCCTAAGCAGCTTTGCCACCCGCCTCGTTTCCTCCTCGACATCGGCTTCGTCCTCGACAAAGCACATGACGCGCAGCTTGTAATTCCGGTTCCAATACGGCACCAGGTGCAGCACGGTGCCGAGCTGCAGGACCATGACGTACGAGTCAAAGTTTGTCAAAGTACGTGCTGTGGTCTGACGACCGTGATACCGCTGTGGCGGTGCCGATCTGGATCGGCCACAAGTCAATATATCTGGTTTTGTGGGACGACGTGCGGGCATGCTTGCGCGGGCCAAACCACCAGGACTGCGGAGAGACCAGCGAGTGTGCATCGGGCATAGTCAGGCCGAGCTTGGAGAAGCCATATGCAATTCCGATGGCCTTGCCCATTAGCAGCACATCCTCGATGATCCGCAGATACGCCTGCGGCTCGATTGGCGTGTTGAGCTTGATACCATCAGTCGGCAGCAGCACATCATCGATCGTGCCAGTGTCCGACTGCCTGTTGCTAGGCCACTGCTGGTTGAGCTTCAGGAAACCCATGACCACAATATTGGGCCGCATGCCGCCGAAGCCCAGCGCCAAAGATGATGGACCGGGCACCAGCGCCTTCGTCGGTATCCACTGCCAGATTCAGAAACGCCTTGACTTGAGCAAAATCGATCAAGCGCATCCAGGCAGCCTCCTGCTGACGCATTTCCGGCAGCGACTCGTAGAAATCCCCCTTGATGACATGGCCAATGACGTACAGTCCGCCCTTCTTCAACGCGTTGCAGAACCGGATCAGATGGAAGGAGCTGCGCGGGTTGTGTACCAGCAGCAGGATCTGGGGGCGCCAGAACTTGACGTGGTCTTTGCGGACATCCAGGCGGAGCATGAACTTGCGGCACTGGTGGTAGATGAGACTCTGCGTAACATCGCCCCAGGGCTTGGGCGGACATGTAAAGTGCACATACAGGAACAGCAAGATAACCACGCCTGTCGATACCAGCGCTGAGATTGCGTCGACAAAAATCATGACCGCAAAGCACCCAGATGCGCCGAGGAATGCCGTCCATGCCTTGAAGTAATGGAATGTCGGCCTAAAGTTCACCGATGCAGCCAGCTTCAGAACCAAGCACGCCAGATTGACAAAACCAAACATGATCAGGTTGAACATGGTCGTGTAGGGGGCGACCGCATTGATGTCGCCGGCAAGCAGCGCGAGCTGTGAGATCACGTATGTCAGTATGATGGCATTGACAGGGTTGTCGCTACGGTCAACACGCTTGAAAGGCCGCAGGAACGCAAACAGGTCGTCCTTGGCGATTGCCTGCATGATGCTGGCAGAACTCAGCAGCCCGCTCAGAGTGCTGGTGACGCTGGTGGTGATTGCACCGATGGGTATCAGCAGGGGCACAACGTTGATTTCCTGCAGCACGTTGAAGTTCTGGCGCAACGTGCTGCGATGCGTGGTGGCTCCCAGCATCATCACCACGCCAATGTACAAAAAGAACGTGATGATGACGGCCCACAGCGTGCCTTTGGGGATCGACTTTCCGGGCTTGCGCAGGTTTCGACGACATCGAGGCACCCGCCATGATACCAACGCACGCAGGGAACAGCACGCCAAACACTGTGCCCAGTGTCTCTGCCGGACTTGCCCTCAGCGATTGGCGCAAGGTCTGGCCATAGGTTTTCCTTGAACGTCGCCATGCTCCAGCTTGTATACCGAATGTGTTTCTCCTCGTGCTCAAACGGAGTCTGTACGCAAAACGACACAAACATCGACATCGTAGCAGCAATGATCAGAGTCGACAGGGCCGTCGAGGCCTTGGCAAACATCTGTGCGCCTGTCAAGCACACGATCGTGCAGAAGATCAGTAGGATAGAGTTGTACAGGATGCACCACCACCTGCCTTCCGGAAACACCTGCGCGACGTCGCCGATATTCTGCCCAAAGTTGTTCAGCAATGGCTCCACAAAGGCAACGTCGTTGAGCACGCCCGCCAGCAGCGTGCCTGCGTAAAACATCAGCCCAATGCTTCCGCCAAACTCGGGGCCCAGGGACCGCGACAGCATGTAGTATGGCCCGCCGCCCTTGACCGTGCCATTGGTAGAGATGGCTGAAATCGACAGTGTTGTCATGGTAGTGATTGTGTAGCCGCCGACAAAGGCGCCTACAGTGCCGACTATGCCGACCTGGCTGATAAAGTACCCCATGCGCACAAAAACCAGGATGCCCCAGATGCTCAGCATCACTGGCATGAACACCCCGTCCCACGTGCCGAGCTTCCGTGGTGCATCTGCCGACACACGCCGTCTGAATCGCCGCCTCCTTGGCCGCACACTGACGCTGCTGATGCTGTTGTAGCTGGCCGGCTCATCTATGGACCTTTTAGGCAATAGCAGGGTTGAGGTCTCGACTGCCTGCGATGTGCTGTGCGAGTCACTGTACTCCTCTTCCTCGTCTTGGTTGTCCGACCCGTCGTCGTTGCCTGCAGAGCCGACGCGCGCGAGCTGGCGTTCCAGGTCGTCAATGTGAGTTCCGGCTCGACTGAGGAAACGGGGCATTTACGAACAAAATTGAAACCGGATTGCCTTTAAAATATAAAAAGAAAAAATGGTATAGTGACAAAACTAGCCGAGAAAAAAGGCTGTGCGCTCTAACAAAGTTTTAGCTCCCTCTAACCACAGCCTCGGGATACCCAGACAATCAATGTCGAGTTGCAGACATTGCATCATCTGCATCCCCCTCCCCACCCCCCTTGATCTCACAGCACATAACGCTCAGACCTCACCCGTCATCAGCGGCCTTTTTGCGAATGCACACAAAGTACTGCTCTGACGACTGCTTTCTCGACGCATCGGGTTTCTCTACCACCACCTTCTCGAACCCTTCCTTCAGTGCCCTGCGCAATTCGGCCTCGCCGCCGCCCATGAAGAACTTGAGCACCAGGCACCCGCCGTAGCCCAAGAACTCGTCAGCAAACTGCAGTACGTCCTCGCACAAATTCATGGTCCTTGCTGCATCCGTCGCATGGTGGCCGGTGAACGACGGCGCCATATCAGACAATATCAGCCCTACTTTCCTCCCATCCAGTGCCTCCACCACCTGCTGCTTAATGTCCGGACTCAAGAAAGTCGCCCTGGATAAACTTGACATTGGCGATTGGCCGCATGTCCAGCAGATCCACGGCCACTATACGCTCCTTCATGTCCTTTGGTTGGCTGACACGGCGCGCAATCACCTGGCTCCAGCCGCCAGGCGCTGCTCCGCAATCCACAACGCAGATGTTGTGGGCGCTGGGCAGGAGCTTGTGCTTGTCAAGCATCTCAATTAGCTTGTAGCTGCTGCGTGCCCGGTATTGTTCAGCCTGGCCTGCTTGACGAATGGATCACGCTGCTGCCTGTTGAGATACCGGTAGGAGGACCCAGTCGCTTTCTTACTGGAGAACAACCGTAGGAAAACCTGTGGAGAGCGCGGAATTAGGGATACTGGTAAAAACGGAATCATGGCTTAGGGTGCTGGACTGGGAGGCAAGAGTGCACCAGAGCCTAATGATTTCACATAGTGTTTATCCCACTGCTTGGCGCACAGTCCAGGTACTATGGAGAAAGGCAAATCAGGAGTGATACGCTTTCACCTCCGTTCTTCTCTGGCTTTTTGATACGCTATAGCCACTGTAGGTATTGTTTACAACCGCATCTGTGTTCATGCTCACTTTGCTCCTCTTTCATGGATCACGATTGCAGCAGTAAAACTACAAGTTTTGCATACATTTCTGTATCTCATTGGCATGGATTGCTGTCCTATCTCGCATACAATCAACGCACAGCATGTGCATTCAGGCAGACACTGTCCCTCACGGCCTTCAGCTATCATACAAGTGAACAGTATGTTTGTGTGATACACAATGGATTAAATACCAAACACAACGCACTTGTTAATATTTGTCCAGCCTGGGATCAGAATGAGTGTAGAGCTGAGTCGGCGACAGACGCAGGAGAAAATCTGACACTGCCGCAGCTGATCAGCAGCAACAGCAGTAGTAACAACAGCAGCATCAAAGGCAGGGCAGAGGCAGAGGCAGAGGCAGAGGCAGAGACACAGACACAGAAGTGGATCTGCCGCAATGGGATACCAGGTAGGCAGCGAAATGCACAAGTCCTGGCGGTCATGCAGCAGTAGACGATAGAGCCTGTGCTCACACTTTGCTTGTGTGGATTTGTTGGTAGTCATGCCGAGCGGCAGCAGCAACAGCAACAGCAACAGCAACAGCAACAGCAACAGCAACAGCAAGGGGGTGCGACGTAAGCAGGGCTGTGTGCAGCACAGAACCAATGACTGTGGCCAGGCATCCACCGCAGCTGATCAGCAGCAGCAGCAGCAGCAGCAGCACACAGAACCAGTGACGGAACCTGCAGCGAGTCGTGCTTGGCAGACCTATTCAGCATAGGTGCTCCATTTCACATGGATCGAGGGCGGACAATCTCTGGAGGGCAAGGAGAATAGTTTGCTGGCACCTGAAAGTCTCCGCGTCAGTTAATTTCTCCTGCCGTAGACTTCCGACACCGAGCTCAGGGGCGCTACGGCTGTGCGGTTCCGGTCTGGCCCGTTCCACTGGCTCCGGCAGCCTTTCCTAAACGAGACATTGCTGCAACCGGCGGTGCGAGGAGTGTGTGGTTGAGAGATATGATTTGACTGAAGAAAAGGAGACGAAAGAGAAAAATTCACAGGGGGATTAAGATAGTGGGTCTAAGGGGTGGTGGTGGTGGTGCTTAGAGCTGGGGGCCCGCGGCAATGATCTCGGGGGTGGCCTTGTCGGCGTACTCCTTGAAGTTGGACTGGAACAGGCGCGCCAGCTTGCCGATGGTCTCCTGGAACTCCTCGGGGGAGCCCTCCCAGGCCTGCGACGGGTCCAGCACCTTGGCGGGCACGCTGGGCACCGCAGTCGGGATCTGCAGGTTGAACACGCCGTAGTTGGTGTACTCGGCCTGCTCGAGCTCACCCGAGTGGATGGCGTCGATGATGGCACGCGAGTACTTGAGCGAGATGCGCTTGCCGATGCCGTAGGCACCGCCGTTCCAGCCGGTGTTGACCAGCCACACGTTGACGTTGTGCTCCTGCATCTTCTGCGCCAGCATCTGCGCGTACTTGACCGGGTGCCACACCAGGAACGGCTGGCCGAAGCACGCCGAGAACGTGGCCTCGGGCTCGGTCACTCCCTCCTCGGTACCGGCGATCTTGGCGGTGTAGCCCGAGATGAAGTGGTACATGGCCTGCGCAGGCGTCAGCTTGGCCACCGGCGGCAGCACGCCGAACGCGTCGCAGGTCAGCAGCACAATGTTCTTGGGGTTGCCGCCCACGCACGGGATCTTGGCGTTCGGGATGTACTCGATCGGGTACGCGCAGCGCGTGTTCTCGGTGATCGTCTTGTCGGTGTAGTCCACCACGCGCGTGTTGCGGTCGTAGATGACGTTCTCCAGCACCGAGCCGAAGCGGATCGCGTTGAAGATCTCGGGCTCCTTCTCGGCCGACAGGTCGATGGTCTTGGCGTAGCAGCCGCCCTCGATGTTGAACACACCGCTCTCGGTCCACACGTGCTCGTCGTCGCCGATCAGCGGGCGCTGCGGGTCCGCCGACAGCGTCGTCTTGCCGGTGCCCGACAGGCCAAAGAACAGCGACACGTCGCCAGCGGGGCCCTCATTGCACGACGAGTGCAGCGACAGCACGCCAGCCTTGGGCATCAGGTAGTGCATCACCGTGAACACACCCTTCTTCATCTCGCCCGCGTACTCGGTGCCCAGAATCACCATCTGCTTGCGCTCGAAGCTGATCGACACGCTGGTGCTGCTGGTCATGCCCTTGGTGAACTTGTTGGCCGGGAACTGGCCCGCGTTGACGATGGTGAAGTCGGGCTCGCCAAAGTTCTCCAGCTCCTCGGCGGTCGGCCGGATCAGCATGTTGTTCATGAACAGCGCATGGTAGGCGCGCGCGCACACAACACGCACCTTGATGCGGTACTTGGGGTCCCACCCGGCGAATCCGTCAAACACGTACAGGCGCTCGCGCGTGTTGAGGTAGTCGGCTGCGCGCTCGTAGTTGATGGCGAACGACTCCTCCGACAGCTTCTTGTTGACCGGGCCCCACCACACGTCGTCGACCGTGGATGCCTCCTCGACAACACGCTTGTCCTTGGGCGAGCGGCCCGTCTTCTTGCCCGACTCGGCAATCAGCGCGCCCGACGACGAGATGGCAGTGCCGGGCTCGTAGCGCAGCGCATCCTCGTACAGCTGCGACGGCGACAGGTTGCGGCGGATCTTGCCCTCGTAGTTGATGCCCTCAGTGTTAATATTTGACGAAGCCATTGCTGTGTTGGTGGCTGTGTGTAGTAGTAGAAGAAGAAGAGACTGAGGGGAGGTTGTTAATGTACAGGAAAGATATAGGAGAAAACACGAAGCTTGGGGGTTGCTTTGATGAAATTGCTGTGATGTTATCGAGACCTGTCACCGATGGCGGCCGCGGGGCCTTTTATACGCAATCCACAAACCCCCATATGGGCACTGTGCTGGGCAGGCTGCTCCAGCCGTAGCTGGCCCGGCGCCAGGGGGCAGCAGCGATCGCACCGAGAACTAAAAAAAAAAAGCAAGTCACATTTACACGGGGCAAGGAGAATAAAAAAAATTCCCGCCTTCTTCCATCCGCGTGGCCACAGCCCCACTAAGGCAAGGGGGCAGCAGCGCTGGTGGGAAATACCGGAACTGGGCTGCGAGGGCTCGTGGCGAGCCCCTTGTTTTCGTTTGTCCTGGCAAGATGGCCTGTGCTCAGGCCGCCTCTGTCTGCCTCTCCCGCAATTCGGTGGGGGCCAAAGAGGAAGGCGGATTGCCCAACTCCACGTCGATTCCGTGCTGCCATTCTTTTTGCGTCCTCGTGTCAAACGACAGAGATAAGAATAGCGGCTAATAGCTGCTGACCCGGGTTTTGTGCAGTGCCCTGTGCCTTTAACTGTGCAGTTGCTTGCAGGCTGGTGGGAAAAAATATCAACAAACACCCTCTGCGGAGAGAGACAGGGGGCAAGAACGGCAGCACACTGCCCCTCCACACACACCCGGTGCTCCATGAACCAGGCACTGTCTGGCCCACCCAGCAAGAGACTCCGGCTTCCACTGCTACGCACACATGCAGCTCTGCCCACCTGAAGCAGCAGCAGCAGCAGTAGCAGTAGCAGCAGCAGCAGCAGCAGCAGCGCATCCTGGCCTTATCTCTGCCTAAAACAGGAAGGCACAGTCCCAGCATAAAACTAATTCCACCCCTCGCTTGCGTGCTGTGCCTCGCCCACAAAGTGGGGGGGAGTGGCCAAGCAATTGCAAATTAGCATATGAAACACGAGTGACTGGCGTGCATGGCAGGCACTGGGCTGGGCCTGGGACCCGGAATGTCCCGCTCCCCCTCTGCCCACCACGCTCCGACACGACCCATGCAAAATAAAACACACCAGACAACAAATATCCTCTCTACATGTCGCAATAGGCAGAAATATCCACGGCTGCATCCACTGCATCGCGGTGGAACAGGCTCCAGTCTTCCACCCAGCTGCGATATCGCCAGCCGCGTCTCCTGGATCAGACAAAGATATCCACAGAAGGGAAAAGGTGGTCTGAGCCTAAAACTCGCCTGTTATCGATGGAGGAGACCGCTTTTCGCATACATCAACCACCCACGATCCACTGCCAAAGCGGCAGCCCGATCGATAAGGACCCCCGAAAAAAAATAAAATAACTCTCACTGCAGTTGCTCCCAGACACCAAAGGCGTCGGTCTGCGTGCAAGGGAGTGGCGCGGGCGACCGGTGCCGCGTCTGCTGCTCGCCAGCGACCGAGTGGCGGGGCGACTAGCCAGCGCTAATTGCCTGCGTGCGAACCTGTCGCTGAGTCTCGGCAAAACGCCAGGCAGTGTTTCATGTCTCCCCCTGTTTCCCGCATCATATGCGACAAAGGCGAGCTGCCAAAAACAGCATGCCCTGGCCCGGTGGTGCCCGGGAGGGGAGCAGGACCGGGTCAGAAACTGCTGCCCTGTGCGCTCGCTGCATTTTTAGCGCATTTGCCGATCGGCTTCTCGATTGATACCAAAAAGGAAAATGTCGGGAGACCTCCCTCTGCTGCTATGGTTCCGGGATCACCCTAGTGTGCTTTGTGCTTCTACATGTTTCAGGTTGGCGGCGTCGGAAATAAACCACCCAAAAAACAGTCCCACCTAGTGCCAGAGAAGTGTGGAGTACACTAGCTGTCGTACGAGGCATGTCCAGAAAACTTGGGGCACGTCACTGCGAGCCAAGCATGGCAAAGTCGGAATCAGCGCAAGCAATGAAAAAGGTGCTGCTCGGTGAGCCCGAGGCACACCGCTGCTACAATCAACCCATGTTTTGGCAACAGTGCCAGGATTGCTGTGGGCTGCCTCGTTTTACACAACCCTAGCCGACTAGGCGCACTGCAGGTTGTGACGATCCCTGGCACCAGTCTTTGGTGGTGTCCAGTGTTAAGGGGGGGGGGCATCTGCTCAGGCACAGAAATGCAGCAGCATGGCCTGCATTTGGACAGGAAGGGTTGCTGCACACAAGGCGTATTGTTGGTGCCATGAATAGCCGTGATATTGTCCTCTTGTTTGTCGTCGATATACGCAAATGCACTGCTGTAGGAACATGGCTGTGCAGAATAACACCTAATTATTGACATATCGATAACTTTATGTGCATGCCTTATCCCCTGCTACATGGCCTTTGCTACCACAGAGCAGTAAAGTGCCTTCTGGCTACTCAGTTGGTACCATTTGAGTGCTGGGCGCAATCTGTACCAGACATATGCCCATACAGTCTGATTACTTATTTAAAATATCACAAGTTCCTCTTACCACTAAGCTACAACGCCTGCTTAGGTAGCTCACAGCAACAAGTATATGAGTGACTTGAGCTGGTAGCCCACAAACCCTGCTAGCAAAAACCTCTTGTAAAATTATCATATACCTATGCTCTTTCTAGGCTTAATATGCTTATCACTAGGAATATAGGCACACCTTTTACATAAGGACTGCAGCTTGGCCTAATTTTTTTTTTTTGGAAGGTAAAGCACCACTGCTTATCTGGCCACTATATAAGAGGTTCTTTATAGTTACTGAACTAGGTAGAAAGATATTTAAAACATCTAAAACATATTGTTCCTTTGTGACCATAGTATTTCTATAAAACCCCTACTAGTATCCTGAAAAATTTTCAGTTAATAAACAATTAATATTCTTCTACTGAGATATAGGCTAAGTTATAAAGAAACCAAACTGATATTTTTAGGATACTGATAGGGGTTTATAAAAGTACCCATTTTAGTATTTTTGTTTATTTGTTAATATAGTTGCTATTATTATTTTAGGTGTTAATGAATAATCTAGTTATATAATACTTATTCAATACTAGTAAATGATTTATAATTTGTTAAATATCTATTCTAATAAAAGGTTATTTGTTTATTTAAACTTTCTTATCTATGAATAACCTCTATACTATATTACTATAAATAGAACATTTATTGGTATATAGGATAGCTTGAAAGCATGTGTTTATTTATATAGTTCTTTAAGCTAACTAAGGATTTTGTCCTTACTGTTACTAGTATTATTCAGAAGTTATAGTAAGTTATCTACTAATAGCTTAAAGTAAATATCTTACTATACTTGTTTTAGTAGTAATTATATTAAGGATCTATAGATATAATATCAATGCTAGTTATTAATACTTCTAATTTTATATAAATTTAGTACTATGACCAAAGCCCTACTATGGTGCTGCAATATTTGGTTATCATATCTACTTTATTAAAGCCAGCTGACCAGTTATACTAACCAAAGTACAAACAAATGCATCTGTCTTATATAGAGGTAAACACACATCACAAGCGCAAGACTTTCAATTATGTGTTAATATTATTCTCAGTCCCTTAATTAGGATCACGTGTGCTTACGCAACCCGACAGTTCCCCACTATACAAGCACAACAGTCTGTACCAGTATGTGGTTTTTGTTTTTGTTTTTCTTTATGCTTATTAGTTGTATAAGTCGCAATCGTGTCTACAACACACCTTTATTCTCTGTTCGCTAGATAGCCAAACATTTAGTAGTTCCCTCCCCCCAACTGGACCTGCGCTCTCATAGCTAACACAATGAGGACCATTATCGAGTCGGATGGCAGACTGGTTGATTTTGGCAGCCGGCTTGTGATGCTGAAGATGTATATCACGAGCTTCATTTACCTCAGGTATCCTAAAGGAGAATACACGTTTCGCTGGCCGATGAGACTGACTGAGGGCATACACAGCATACCGCAGCCGACCAAGGCTGGTTTCGAAAATATCCACATGCACATCATTAAAGAAGAAGACTTGACGAACAAGAAGCTTCTGCGCTGCTTTTCTGGCACTCTGACCTTCAGGGCTGAATACCAGGGGAGGGATGTCTTTGTGAAATATGCTCGCGACGAAGACAATGTGCTGCCTCTCATCGCTGAATCGTTGATTGGAATGAAATTCCTTCCTAGGCACTCATATATACAGGAGTACCTCGGAGTCACAGCGAATGGCCTAGTCTCGGAATATTTCGACGGAAAGGAGCTTCCGATAGTAGACAGCCTATCGGATGTAGGGAAGAGCAGATGCTTTGCAGCGCTCAAAATCCTTCACGATCAAGGGATAGTCCATGGCGACTTGGGGCCACAGAATATCATGGTGAACGGAGACGAAGTCAAATTGATCGACTTTTCCAACGCGTACAGCAAGAAGTGGAATATCGACAGAGTATACCCAGATGGCTATGAACACCCGTCCCCTGCTTCTGAAGTCGAGAAGCTAACTGAATATCTAAAAAAGCTGAAGAATCACACCTCATAGCCTTTATTTTGGTGCTCTCTTTATAAGTAGCTTCCTAGCTTGCTCGCTTTTCTCTTCTTTACACCATAGTGCTGGCGCTATGGTTTTGGCTCTAGATCTTCCATGACCGAATTTGTGCGATGCATTCGAACTCGTATATAGCCTGGCGCATTCATTCTACGCCAGGCCAGCCATAAATATATTTTTTTAATTATGGCTAATATCCAATACTATTCTTCAGCATACCTACATTGCTATATAGCTAATCGTGACATACTGATTGAGATAGCTATGGCTGACATAGACTGAATAGTGGCCACCATAAAGCCATAGCACACCTAACAATCATGAGGTGCCCCACAGTTGTACCCTGATATGCAATTACAAATAAAATGAGTGAAGCTTGCGCCGCAAGCCAGTGTGGTTCCACTCACCACATGGCCTTCATAGTTTTCCAACTCTGTCATCAGTGACTCTGGCCTCTCACTTATTCCACTATTAGCGCAAGCGCTGTGACTCTGACACCTTTTCCCAATAATGGAGTCTGTGTTTATCACATTGAGAAATAGAAAGTGAAAAAGGAAGTGAAAGAGAGCAAAAGAGACAGTCGCGTAGCTTTGCAGGCCCACAATAAAAGCAATTCTCTATGTTAGAAGTACAGTTTATTATAAACTGCGGTGCTGTATAAAAAAAAAGAGAACAGTAGTTGGTTGCGAATATGTAGTATTGAGACTATTCAAAAAAAAAAAAGAAAGAAAGGGAACTGGAAAGCCAGGCACTAAGCAGTTCTGCTGGTTTTTGTAGTGAGAGTCCTAGTCATGCAATGCCATTCAAAAATGTTTGCATACTATTAATCCCTATCCTGAGTAGCCACATGAGGTTGGCTATATATACCCTGCTCCTCTCCTATCTATGGTAGATATCACACATTCACTCCTTCCGTAAATAGTCATATATTAACCTACTTCTTATAAATTTTTCATCTTAGTATTATAACAATACATTTTTCATTATAAACTTTAGTTTTACTTATATGCCATTTCTTTTATAAGAACATTATACTCTCTATTCAAACCTATCCAAAACTATGAGCAGGTTTAGAGCAGCTTTTTCCTCATCTAGGGTTAAACAGCTTATCCAGGATACAATTGTTGGTGTAGCCCAGGATTATATTCAAGGAAATGTAGGAGGTAATGGCCAAAATAATAACCAAGATAACAACCAAGGCAATAACCAAGGCAATAATCAAGGCAATAATCAAGGCAATAATCAAGGCAATAGCCAAAACAATAACCATAGTAATGCATAAGGATAGATTATATTATTAACTATATCCAATTTTGCCAATACATTACCTTAAATACTATAGCTAATAGTAGTTATTTAAATATAAGAAAGTTCTAACTACTTAAATATCTTATAAAAGAATAATCAATTAGTAGTATAGAAATCAATTACTAATTCAAATATATATTTTAAAAATCAAGAATATTTATTAATGAATATAAATATTATAACAACAAAAATATTAAAGAACTAAAAGATACCAAATATGGTGCTTCTCTAAAAACCTTTTAGTATCCTAAAAATTTCAGTTAATTGGGTAGGGCTTAGCCTCTATCTCAGTAAAAGCATACTAATTATATATTAACTAAAATTTTTTAGGATACTGATGGGGGTTTTAGAGAAGCACTATATTTAGTATCAGAATAGAAAAACTTAAATAAAATAAAATATTATTATAAAACTTAGAATTACAGACTAACTTCTAATAGGGTATATAATACTTAGTACTAGAGGTTATTCATAGATAAGAAAGTTTAAAGGAACTAATCATTTTTTATTAGAATAACTAATTAATAATATATAAATTATTTACTAGTTTATATAAATACTAAAATAGGCACTTTTATGAAACCCCTAGTAGCATCCTAAAAATTTTAGTTAATTTCTTATAACCCAGCCTATATCTTAGTAGTAGCTTATACAATTTAAGCTATTATTTTTATTATTTTTTTTTTATTGTTTTCCAACTCTAGATATCCTAGCTAATAATGTTGTATTCTTACTATAGTAGTTATTTAAAGATAGAAAATTTAAAATGCTTAAGAATCTTATAAAAGAATAATCAAATAAGAATATATTTATACCAATTACTAATATAAACTATAAATAATGGAGGTCATTCACAATCACTAAACTAAGTAAAAAGTAATTAGAAGTTGTAAAACTTTTTGTTCTTTTGTTTTTTTTGAACTTCTCCGAAACCCCCTTCGGCATCCTGAAAAATTTCAGTTGATACACAATTAATATGCTTCTACTGAGATACAGGCTGCGTCCCGAGAAATCAACTGAAATTTTTCAGGATGCCAAAGGGGGTTTCGGAGAAGTGTCTATTCTTATATTTTTATTTATTAGTTAATCTAGTTGCTAAAATCTTTTTGGCCATCACTAAACATTCTGATTTTTAAAATATTTTTCAACTGCTAGTAATTGATTTGTTATTTAATACTTGGTTATTCTGATACAAGATATTAAGTTTCTTTAAACTTTCTTATTTGTGAATGGCCTCCTTAAGAGTATATCTTAACTCCCTTTTGGGACTTGAGTTGAAGAATAGAGATAATATGCCTGATATATCTGATGCAAGATATACTAGTAATGGCATTGAACAGCAAGGATTTGTTCAGCAATCTGATATCTTTATGGATTCATGTGTTGTTGAGATTCCTGACTCATATACTCTAATGGATCAACTTCACAATATTACTCCTTTTGATAGATTGCATAGAGTATTTGGTGATGGTTATAGTTTTAAATATATAAGATGCAGCACAAGTGTGACAAATGGTAACGTCTCTGTGTATAAAGTATCTGCTCCAAATGTTGCAATAGCTGATCCTGCACTAACTGATATCTTTCTTAGGATGCATCAAGAACATGTATTTCTTCAAAACTATGATATTACCATGGATTGTCTAAATATTTCTTCTAGAGCTATTGTTAAGGAATTTCTTCTTGATAATGGAATCAGTAGCAAAGATATTCTTGATGATGAAAATAAAGTTGGAGCAAACTGTATTAGCTGGTTTACTGATGAAGATGAGATAAGAATAAGGAACAAGTTGTATAATAAATTTGTTCAACTCTTAGAAAGTGGTGAAGTTCGCAATCAACTTACTTCTAAGCTATCAGAGCTAGTAATGCCAACTTCTCAACAGTTTGGTGAAACACTTGTTGCGTGTAGGAATGAAGGATTAATGAGACTTGAGCTTACTGTTCACTCTCCTGAGTTGAAGGAAGTAGAATGGAACACAAACTTAATTGTTAATACTCTTGAGTTTCTTCATAACTGTAGGACATTTGCAACATCTTATGAAAAGCAATGGATGGCACTAGTTGATCAGATTCATAACAAACATACATTGTGTATTTACTTCCATAAAGAACATTCTCTTGGTTACTGCCATTGGTTCAATAAAACAACTAAGAAGAAACAAGGAATAGCTAAAAAGTTGAAAAAGAATGAGGATATGATGACTGTTGTTTCTAATCTTACATTCAATGGACACCCAACTGTTCTTCTTACATATGCTACTAGTAGTGGTCCTCTTGAATCTGAAGTTGTTCTGAGAAGAGATATCACAAACATCACTATTGTTCCTAGTCAGAGAAACTCCTTCTGGCCAGTTGCTTCAAGAGAAAGACAACAACATACATTTGCTGAAATGGGACTTATTAACTATCGTGGAATACATATTGATTGGTTAACAGCTCAGCAAGCAAGAGAGAAAGTTAGGCTTTCAACTCTCTCAATTGTTAGTGATAATACTGATGGTTTAGGAATAGATGACCTTCTTGCAGATATTAGCAATATTGAACTTGATGATCTAGAACCTACATATTTAAGAGAAAATACTGATCTCAAGCCAGCTAGATATAAAGTTGCTTACAACATACTTCATGTTGGTGATGAGTTCTTAGTTAGTTATTACTTCCTATATACTTTTAGAGGATTACCTTTCTACTATCTAGATATTTCTATGATTCACAATGAAATAGTTAGCAGCACTCATACACTTATCAAAGTACTGGCAAGTAGTCCATTTGGTGAATGTATTGCTTCTGTTATTGGCCAACCAAATCAAGAAGTGGTGCTTAAAGTAACTAGAATTCATAATCGTATTATCCATACTGAGAGGATCTAGTTTTAAAATGGGCAGTTGGCAACCATTACTTCCATATCTGCACAACTGTAGTTGCATACATCAAACACATGCTTAATACTAACACCCCTATCTTCTGAAACATTCTTAATCCATGCTCTGATATACACTGTTAATTTTCTGCTCATATTGAAATTTCTGCTAAGTAGTTGGACTAGCTTTTCTCTCTCTTCCTCATCTAGCTCAGAAAGTTGAGTGTTGAAGAACTTATAGAATGGGCCCATTATAATAAATGACAACTTTTAAATTTATTAGTACATCGCACAGATGAATCATCAATTACAAGAACTCAGAGAAAAGGAATATCATAAGCTCTACACAAATAAGTGGAAATTTCTGAATGATGACTGGGTAGTTCTTAAGCATACAAAATATCACAGAAGTGAAGTTCGTGAAGTAAGAGAAATCAAACTTATAAAAGATACACTTCTTAAACATCTAGGGATGATTCCTGTTTTCTTCTTTCTGAATGTTCTGTTTGGCTGCACTCATTATCCATGTCCTTACAGAAGTATAGAAAAAGGATTGCTTATCTTATACCAACTTGTAGAAGGATTGTCAATCAATGAAATGGAAAGATTCCTTCCAAGAAGCAGCTATCAAGTTATTCATAATATGTTCTACATTTCTGAAATGCAAGATTTGAATAAGAAGCTAACATTCTATCTGCAAACAATGTTTTCTACTCCAGAGCTACGACTACTTGCAGCAAAGATGCAGAATCCTCATGGGTTTAAACATGTAACACTAATGTTAGATGGCCATGACTCAAGAGCACTACACAATGGAGCATACAAACCAGGACTTTATTCCTTCAAGTTGAAGAAATCAGGATATCGTACACAAGTTTGCATTGATATAAATGGAATGGTTCTACTTGTTTCACCAACAGAAGACTGTAGAGATAATCCAGATTCAAGAATGATTAAAAACATGGGATTATTAAAGAGGATATCCCCTATAGATTGTATTGTGCTTGATGGTGGCTATCCACAGAGTGTTCTTCAAGAGATGACAGAGGAAGAAGAGCAGGAGGACTTTGGAATGCATAACTTTTGTTTGCCAATTAGAAAGCAGAGAGGGGTAAACTTACTAGAAGCAGAAGTAGAGTACAATTCCCATCTTGGATCATTCCATTCAATGGTAGAAAACACATTTGGAGAACTAGGAACAACATTCAAAAGGTTGTCAAATAAGGAGATTGTTCGAGTAAAGAATAAGAATGTTTACAATGTGCAAATGAAACTGTGCTGTGTATTATATAATATGAAGAAAATACTAGCAAACAGTGATGTGCAAGTAGAACATCATCATACTCTCTGGGTTATGACAAACTTTGACTATCCTGAATCACACAATGAAAGATCAACACAAATGGAACCAACATATACTTTACCTCAAAAGGTTGAGTTTGAAGCATCAATGGTTGAACTACAAAATAGATTTCTACAATCTAAAATTGATGACAACTATGACTGCTTTGTAGATATGGGGTAATAACAGATATGATGCTAGCTACTTGATTTTAAAATAGCTAGTTCTTATCAATATTATTCAATATAGAGGGTATTCATAACTGCTAAATTTAGTAAAAGATAGTTAGAACTTTTAAAACTTTATTATCTAATGCACATTCTACTCCTTCTCTTGTAATTCTTATAATTGATTGTTCATGGGTGGTAAGATAAGATAGACAACTCTAGTTCATTATCAATTTTAGAAAATGCCATCATTCCATAACTTCCTTAAGAAACATATAGCTGATTTGAGTACTGAAGAAAGAGACATGCTAACTTTAGTGCTTATCCATGACTTTAACATGAGTGCTGGCTTAGCATTCCAAGTGCATAATTGGATCCAACTTAGTGGAACTTTTTATGAGATAAAGGTTGAACATATATATGAAGTGTGTCAAAATTCCCATAGATATATGGAGTGGATGGTAGCATATAATATGTTTTAAAATGGTAGTTATATAACTGTGACTATTCTGTAGCTCTCACTTACAACTCTTAGATATATTTGTTGGTGTATTATTCCTTTCTATAGAGTAATTGCTTTTCTAAAAGAACTATCATCTGGTATCTAAATATGAGTTGGCTGTATATCTCTCCTATTAATATGAATATCTAAATAGTAGTAGGAATGTCCTCTGAATATACAGAGTGCATATTATGTAACTACAAAACCATTACTGAAATAAAGAATAATATGAGCAACTCTTTACTAAAGGCTTAAGATCTAGATTCTTATATAATTATTACCCTTATTTCATCTAGTATGGCATCTTCAATCACTGTTGTTAGTGCATTGATCTTTTGTTCACCTATAGAAACTACACCTCAGACATTTCTTATAGACAAATCATAATATTTGCTTATTTGAGTACATTCTGTCTATCTAACTAATATGCATCTCTTAATAGTAAACTAATCACATCTTATTAAAAGTGTGATATTGCTTAGATATAGGATATATAGACCAGAAGTAATTTCTTGGATTTAGAACAATAGATATATTATCATCAACTCTTCTAAGAACATTTACCATATTGAGCATATTCTTATGTGACTTGTATATTTGATGTTTTAAACTAGCACAGTTTGATGCTTTCTAAAATTGATGACATATATGATTGCTTGGTGCATATCTATTAATTACAGATGGGATTCTAACAACTTGATGAATTTATTATGATTTTTTAAAATGGCATAATTTGATTCTTTCTAAAATTGATGATATATATGATTGCTTAGTATTAGAAAAATAGTTATAAATAGGATGATAACGACTTGATGACTAGAACATGATGTTTTAAAATGGCAGCATTTGGAGGTTATTCACAATCACTAGGAGGTCATTCACAATCACTAAACTAAGTAAAAAGTAATTAGAAGTTGTAAAACTTTTTGTTCTTTTGTTTTTTTTGAACTTCTCCGAAACCCCCTTCGGCATCCTGAAAAATTTCAGTTGATACACAATTAATATGCTTCTACTGAGATACAGGCTGTGTCCCGAGAAATCAACTGAAATTTTTCAGGATGCCGAAGGGGGTTTCGGAGAAGTGTCTATTCTTATATTTTTATTTATTAGTTAATCTAGTTGCTAAAATCTTTTTGGCCATCACTAAACATTCTGATTTTTAAAATATTTTTCAACTGCTAGTAATTGATTTGTTATTTAATACTTGGTTATTCTGATACAAGATATTAAGTTTCTTTAAACTTTCTTATTTGTGAATGGCCTCCAATGTAGTCTAGATTATTTAATATTATCCAAATATATTGATAGCTATAATAATAAATAAAGAAAAGATACTAAAAAGGGTGCTTCTGCTGGGATAGAGGCTAGGTCATAATTAATCAACTAGAATTATCTAAGATACTAATAGGGGTTTTAGAGAAGAACCCTATTTAGTATAAGAATAAATAATTATTTACTAATTTAGAATATTTGAATACCCTCCTTTAGAATAGTAAGAGCATAAAAATATATCAATTTTATATGATGTTTTTGCTAGCAGAGTTTGTGGGCTACCAGCTCGAGTCACTCATCTACTTGTTGCTGTGACCTACCTAAGCAGGCGCTGTGGCTTAGTGGCAAGAGGAACTTGTGATATTTTAAATAAGCAACCAGATTGTATAGGCATATGCCTGGTACAGATTGCACACAGCACTCAAATGGTACCAACTGAGTAGCCAGAAGGCACTTTACTGCTCTGCAGTAGCGAAGGCCATGTAGAAAGGCATATGGCATGCACATAAAGTCATCAATATGGCAATAATCAGGTATTATTCTGCACAGTCATGTTCCTATAGCAGTGCATTTGCGTATATCGACGACAAACAAGAGGACAATATCACGGCTATTCATGGCACCGACAATACGCCTTGTGTGCAGCAACCCTTTCTGTCCGAATGCACGCCATGCTGCTGCATTTCTGCGCCTGAGCAGATGCCCCCCCCTTAACACTGGACACCACCATAAGACTGGTACCAGGGATCGTCACAGCCTGCAGTGCGCCTAGTCGGCTAGGGTTGTGCAAAACGAGGCAGCCTACAGCAATCCTGGCACTGTCGCCAAAACATGGGTTGACTGTAGCAGCGGCGTGCCTCGGGCTCACCGAGCAGCACCTTTTTCATTGCTTGCGCTGATTCAGACTCTGGCATGCTTGGTTCGCAGTGACGTGCCCCAAGTTTTCTGGACATGCCTCGTACGACAGCCAGTGTACTCCACACTTTTCCGGCACTAGGTGGGACTGTTTTTTGGGTGGGCTATTTCCGACACCGCCAACCTGAAACATGTAGAAGCACAAAGTGCACTAGGGTGATCCCGGAACCACAGCAACAGAGGGAGGTCTCCCGACATTTTCCTTTTTGGTATCAATCGAGAAGCCGATCGGCAAATGCGCTAAAAATGCAGCGAGCGCACAGGGCAGCAGTTTCTGACCCGGTCCTGCTCCCCTCCCGGGCACCACCGGGCCAGGGCATGCTGTTTTTGGCAGCACGCCTTTGTCGCATATGATGCGGGAAACAGGGGGAGACATGAAACACTGCCTGGCGTTTTGCCGAGACTCAGCGACAGGTTCGCACGCAGGCAGTTAGCGCTGGCTAGTCGCCCCGCCACTCGGTCGCTGGCGAGCAGCAGACGCGGCACTGGTCGCCCGCGCCACTCCCTTGCACGCAGACCGACGCCTTTGGTGTCTGGGAGCAGCTGCAGTGAGAGTTATTTTATTTTTTTTTCGGGGGTCCTTATCGATCGGGCCGCCGCTTTGGCAGTGGATCGTGGGCGGTTGATGTATGCGAAAAGCGGTCTCCTCCATCGATAACAGGCGAGTTTTAGGCTCAGACCGCCTTTTCCCTTCTGTGGATATCTTTGTCTGATCCAGGAGACGCGGCTGGCGATATCGCAGCTGGGTGGAAGACTGGAGCCTGTTCCACCGCGACGCAGTGGATGCAGCCGTGGATATTTCTGCCTATTGCGACATGTAGAGAGGATATTTGTTGTCTGGTGTGTTTTATTTTGCATGGGTCGTGTCGGAGCGTGGTGGGCAGAGGGGGAGCGGGACATTCCGGGTCCCAGGCCCAGCCCAGCACCTGCCATGCACGCCAGTCACTCGTGTTTCATATGCTAGTTTGCAATTGCTTGGCCACTCCCCCCACTTTGTGGGCGAGGCACAGCACGCAAGCGAGGGGTGGAATTAGTTTTATGCTGGGACTGTGCCTTCCTGTTTTAGGCAGAGATAAGGCCAGGATGCGCTGCTGCTGCTGCTGCTGCTGCTGCTGCTACTGCTGCTTCAGGTGGGCAGAGCTGCATGTGTGCGTAGCAGTGGAGGCCGGAGTCTCTTGCTGGGTGGGCCAGACAGTGCCTGGCTTATGGACCACCGAGTGTGTGTGGAGGGGCAGTGTGCTGCCGTTCTTGCCCCCTGTCTCTCTCCGCAGAGGGTGTTTGTTGATATTTTTTCCCACCAGCCTGCAAGCAACTGCACAGTTAAAGGCACAGGGCACTGCACAAAACCCGGGTCAGCAGCTATTAGCCGCTATTCTTATCTCTGTCGTTTGACACGAGGACGCAAAAAGAATGGCAGCACGGAATCGACGTGGAGTTGGGCAATCCGCCTTCCTCTTTGGCCCCCACCGAGTCGCGGGAGAGGCAGACAGAGGCGGCCTGAGCACAGGCCATCTTGCCAGGACAAACGAAAACAAGGGGCTCGCCACGAGCCCTCGCAGCCCAGTTCCGGTATTTCCCACCGGCGCTGCTGCCCCCTTGCCTTAGTGGGGCTGTGGCCACGCGGATGGAAGAAGGCGGGAATTTTTTTTATTCTCCTTGCCCCGTGTAAATGTGACTTGCTTTTTTTTTTAGTCCTCGGTGCGATCGCTGCTGCCCCCTGGCGCCGGGCCAGCTACGGCTGGAGCAGCCCGCCCAGCACAGTGCCCATATGGGGGTTTGTGGATTGCGTATAAAAGGCCCCGCGGCCGCCATCGGTGACAGGTCTCGATAACATCACAGCAATTTCATCAAAGCAACCCCCAAGCTTCGTGTTTTCTCCTATATCTTTCCTGTACATTAACAACCTCCCCTCAGTCTCTTCTTCTTCTACTACTACACACAGCCACCAACACAGCAATGGCTTCGTCAAATATCAACACTGAGGGCATCAACTACGAGGGCAAGATCCGCCGCAACCTGTCGCCGTCGCAGCTGTACGAGGATGCGCTGCGCTACGAGCCCGGCACTGCCATCTCGTCGTCGGGCGCGCTGATTGCCGAGTCGGGCAAGAAGACGGGCCGCTCGCCCAAGGACAAGCGTGTTGTCGAGGAGGCATCCACGGTCGACGACGTGTGGTGGGGCCCGGTCAACAAGAAGCTGTCGGAGGAGTCGTTCGCCATCAACTACGAGCGCGCAGCCGACTACCTCAACACGCGCGAGCGCCTGTACGTGTTTGACGGATTCGCCGGGTGGGACCCCAAGTACCGCATCAAGGTGCGTGTTGTGTGCGCGCGCGCCTACCATGCGCTGTTCATGAACAACATGCTGATCCGGCCGACCGCCGAGGAGCTGGAGAACTTTGGCGAGCCCGACTTCACCATCGTCAACGCGGGCCAGTTCCCGGCCAACAAGTTCACCAAGGGCATGACCAGCAGCACCAGCGTGTCGATCAGCTTCGAGCGCAAGCAGATGGTGATTCTGGGCACCGAGTACGCGGGCGAGATGAAGAAGGGTGTGTTCACGGTGATGCACTACCTGATGCCCAAGGCTGGCGTGCTGTCGCTGCACTCGTCGTGCAATGAGGGCCCCGCCGGCGACGTGTCGCTGTTCTTTGGCCTGTCGGGCACCGGCAAGACGACGCTGTCGGCGGACCCGCAGCGCCCGCTCATCGGCGACGACGAGCACGTGTGGACCGAGAGCGGCGTGTTCAACATCGAGGGCGGCTGCTACGCCAAGACCATCGACCTGTCGGCCGAGAAGGAGCCCGAGATCTTCAACGCGATCCGCTTCGGCTCGGTGCTGGAGAACGTCATCTACGACCGCAACACGCGCGTGGTGGACTACACCGACAAGACGATCACCGAGAACACGCGCTGCGCGTACCCGATCGAGTACATCCCGAACGCCAAGATCCCGTGCGTGGGCGGCAACCCCAAGAACATTGTGCTGCTGACCTGCGACGCGTTCGGCGTGCTGCCGCCGGTGGCCAAGCTGACGCCTGCGCAGGCCATGTACCACTTCATCTCGGGCTACACCGCCAAGATCGCCGGTACCGAGGAGGGAGTGACCGAGCCCGAGGCCACGTTCTCGGCGTGCTTCGGCCAGCCGTTCCTGGTGTGGCACCCGGTCAAGTACGCGCAGATGCTGGCGCAGAAGATGCAGGAGCACAACGTCAACGTGTGGCTGGTCAACACCGGCTGGAACGGCGGTGCCTACGGCATCGGCAAGCGCATCTCGCTCAAGTACTCGCGCGCCATCATCGACGCCATCCACTCGGGTGAGCTCGAGCAGGCCGAGTACACCAACTACGGCGTGTTCAACCTGCAGATCCCGACTGCGGTGCCCAACGTGCCGGCCAAGGTGCTGGACCCGTCGCAGGCCTGGGAGGGCTCCCCCGAGGAGTTCCAGGAGACCATCGGCAAGCTGGCGCGCCTGTTCCAGTCCAACTTCAAGGAGTACGCCGACAAGGCCACCCCCGAGATCATTGCCGCGGGCCCCCAGCTCTAAGCACCACCACCACCACCCCTTAGACCCACTATCTTAATCCCCCTGTGAATTTTTCTCTTTCGTCTCCTTTTCTTCAGTCAAATCATATCTCTCAACCACACACTCCTCGCACCGCCGGTTGCAGCAATGTCTCGTTTAGGAAAGGCTGCCGGAGCCAGTGGAACGGGCCAGACCGGAACGACACAGCCGTAGCGCCCCTGAGCTCGGTGTCGGAAGTCTACGGCAGGAGAAATTAATTGACGTGGAGACTTTCAGGTGCCAGCAAACTATTCTCCTTGCCCTCCAGAGATTGTCCGCCCTCAATCCATGTGAAATCGAGCACCTATGCTGAACAGGTCTGCCAGGCACAGACTCGCTGCGGGTTCCGTCACTGGTTCTGTGTGCTGCTGCTGCCGCCGCCGCTGATCAGCTGCGGTGGATGCTTGGCCACGGTCATTGGTTCTGTGCTGCACACAGCCCTGCTTACGTCGCACCCCCTTGCTGTTGCTGGCCGCTCGGCATGACTACCAACAAATCTACACAAGCAAAGTGTACGCACGGGCTCTATCGTCTACTGCTGCATGACCGCCAGGACTTGTGCATTTCGCTGCCTACCTGGTATCCGGATTGCGGCAGATCCACTTCTGTGTCTGTGTCTCTGTCCTCTGCCTTTGATCTGCTCTGCCTCTGCCTGTTGATGCTGTTGTTACTGCTGTTGCTGCTGATTCAGCTGCGGCAGTGTCAGATTTTCTCCTGCGTCTGTCGCCGACTCAGCTCTACACTCATTCTGACCCAGGCTGGACAAATATCAGCATCATGCTATATATATGCTGTTTCAGATATGATCCCTACACATAAAACTTTAAGCTCTCCATTATTAAACTATCTCGCTTCCGCTTACATAACCACTAATTATGAGTTCCGAGCTTTTGGTACCGATATGCTATTGATTAAGCTAGTCTACTAGTCCATTACTAGCCAGCTTATGTAGGTCTTTTAAACCAGGTAATTTATGACAGTGACTTGTATTCGGCAATAATGATATGGTAGTCGACTGATTATAAGCTAATAATAGCTGCTTCAGCCAAGTTTATTCGATCGCCATGCTTGCCATTCTCGCCGTGAAGTTTATATCTTCTCCGAGGGGAACTGGAGATGCATTTCAAACAACTCCTTGCTCATATCCCTCGATTTATTGAAGCTCTCCAGTTCAATATTCTTGCCCATCTGCTCTGTTCCAAATACCATCGAGTACCACCGTCACAAATAGGTGGTGCCACTCGACAGTGCATGCAGATGGTAGCTTGACCCAACATGAAATGTGCCCATGGTTTATCCTGTTCGTATACATCTCAATCAAGTCTATGGTGCAAAAGAACAGGCACTCAAGCTGCTCTCCGTAGGCGTCAAGCAGAGACATGATCAGATTAGGCCTCAGGTCTGCCATGGAAGATAGTTTTGAGCTTGGCTACGTTGTCCTCTTGGAATGGCTAACATCTTGCCCTTCTCTACATCACTTAGGGAGTCGATGCCAATTGACCTGAATGGCTGGTGAGGTTGATGTTTGCTGCTAGTCGACTTAGTGCAGAAAAGTGATGTTAGGAGATGAGAGCGTCGCTTAGGAAGCGGCGGCTGAATCGCTTAAAACAGCGAGGTGCTGCCAGAATGTTCACATCAACTGCTTTCCATTTCTATCGAAGATTAGTGCCCTCTAATAGCACCGAATCAAACCATCAAAGGCTCGGGTAGTTAATATACACAGCACACTGGTTGCCACCAGTAAAGTCACAAATCATATATTAAACCGATCAAATGTCAGCCTAGTTTGCCGGCGGCTGCTGCTGAGGCTGTTGCTGCTGGAGTTGGTACTGCTGGTACTGGACAGCCTGCTGGTACTGCTGTGGGTTCTGCACAGCCTGCTGCTGCTGCTGCTGCTGCTGCTGCTGCTGTGGCGGCAATGCCTGCGATGTCATAACCTGCTGGTGACCCTGGGCAGCCTGCTGCGGGTAGTACATAGTCTGCTGCGACGACGACATGGGTTGCTGGGAGGCCACGTAGCCTTGCTGAGCATACATGACGCCCTGCTGCTGGACTGCAGGCGGCTGCACAGGCGATGCAGCAATCTGCTGGGCAGGTGTCTGCTGGGTGGCCAGGATGGGCTGCGAATAGGAGAGGCTAGTGGTGGCAGCACTGACTGGGACGTGCTGCGGGGCAAGACTATATGCAGAGTAGCTGCCACTGTACATGGGCTGCTGCTGCTGCTGCTGCCGCTGCTGGTTCAACTGCATCTGCTGCATCTGCTGTGCCAGCTGCATCTGCTGTGCTAGTTGAGCCTGTTGTTGGCTGCTGCTGCTGCTGCCTGCTGTACGTCTGGCCTGTTGACTGTGGCCTGGAGCCTGTTGAGCCTGCTGAGCCTGCTGGCTGCTGAAGTGGAAATCCTTGCTGGGGGTACATCTGCTGGGGCTGCTGCTGAGCCTGCTGCTGGGGCTGCGTCGTACTATCGCGCTTCATCAGGTCATCATAGAGCTTCAGCACGTCATTGAACTGGGTCTCGAACTTTGCCAGCTCCTCCTTGCGCTTAGCAGTCTTCTCGATCAGCTTGACAATCTTGGGCCGCAAAGCCAGGGTGGACGCATACAGACGCTGAACGTCCTCGTTATCGGACACATTGTCCTTCATTGGATCGATGCTGCCAAGCATGCGCAGCAGGGCCTCGATATTGTGGGCCTCAGTGAAGACCTCGACGGTGATCGTCGACGTCGCGCATAACCTCGGCGCGCACATCTACCAGGGGCTGGACGAAATTGGCAGGGAAGATGCCACTCTTGCTGCGCAGCTCGCCGCGCCACCAGTCGCGGTACTTTTGGATCCAGCACAACAATCACATCTCCCTTGAAAAAGCCCAGCTCGCCGGGCTCGGTCGGCACAAAGTCAAATAGAGCCTTGACCTGGATCTTTTTGGCACTGGGCACGTGGGTGCTGCGCCGCGCCACGCCCTGCGCATTATTGCTGGCAGCCATAGTTTTCTGGCGCGTGATCTCGCCGCGGATCGCTGCCGGCGTCTGGAAGTTCGTGCGCAAGCCGGGCTTGTCGGCCGACGACAGAGATAGCGCCAGCGCCAGCTGCAGGTCGTCCTCCTCCTTCTGCCGCTCCAGCTCCGAGGGCTTCGGGACCTTCTCGGGCTTCTGCGGCGACGGGAAGACAAACCGCTGGGCGCGCAGCTTCGTGTACGTTTCCTCCATCAGGCTCAGCGTCGGGTCCTGGCGGAACTCGAATGCCCATTGCTGGATGTTGCCCAGAATGCGCTGCTTGACCGACTCGTGTGTGGTCTACATTGTCCGAACATACAATGTAAGCGGCTGTGCATCAGAAAAAAAAGGTGCACAAGATGGCTAGGCCACATGGTCCCCTTGCTTACCTTGTCATTGAGAATCCGTGTCAGCGTAGTGGTGAAGGCACGGGATGCAACCTCCTGCTTGACGTTCTGCCCGCAGTTCTTCAGCATAGCCTCGATGAGCTACATTGGTATGTGTGATTTTAGTGGTCAAGAGTGCAAAAAAAAAAAGAAGTGACAGGTATGCAGCACCTTGGCTTGTGTCAACTTACCGACATCGTGTACAGGACTACGTTAGCATTGCGATGCAGCAACCGCTTGTTGATTGCATTGAAGCACTCGCCAGCGCTACATGGAACAGCAACAAATAGCCGCTTACGTCAGTAAAAAATGTATGCATATGGGGGTCCGCCCTATGGTCAAACACAAATGCTTACTTGGTCTCGCTGGTGCCGACCCGGTCGCACACCTCCATAATGAGCTCCCAGTTCTCGGTGGTGAGCATTTCGCTCGTTGTCTTGTCTACATGGAAAATATAGGCATGAGTGACACAGGAGGTCAAAGGATGCATAGCAGGAATTTCGCAATCATTGCTGCGGCAAGTACGTACTGACAAGCTCCTCATATGGACTGCTGGCTCGGAACATGGTTTATGCTGGGATAATACAAACTCAAGGAATAAGGAGATTAATGAAATTGAAAAGAAAAAAGCAGGGTATGAGGAGGCTAAATTCGCAGAGGCGGGGGAAGAGCGTTGCGCCAAGCACATAAAAATAAATTGCACCACAACTTGTATGGGGAGTGCCAAGGAGCGGACACCGCCCAATCGGCAGTATCTCCCGTGACCTACTTGAAGATTTCGGCTGCAGTGCGTCCTCGCATTGGCAGCGCCTGGCGCCGCCTTCCTTTGTGTTGCCACAGGGCCAGCAGCCCTGGCAGCCGACGGCGGTCGCCTCAGGCCAGCAGTTGTAGGAGCCGGACGACTCGATGCGGGACGAGCCGGCAGTGTCGCCGCCGAGGTGGCCTGGGAGGCTGGGCGGCGAGCGGCGCCTGCAGATGACTCGTCGGTGTCTGGTGCGGCGGCGGAATCGTGGGACCGGTGGCTTGAGCTCCATGCGGGGAGCTGGCGAGCCGTCGTCGTGCGAATGCGGGGCATGGGCCGCGCAGCCCGGCCGCGTACATACGCGCGGCTGCTTGCCGGACCGCACCTCGACGGGCGTCCGCGTGCCCTGCGGCTTCGTCGGCGTTGATTCCCCGCGCGCGCGCGACTGGCTGCGACTACTCGGCGTGCCGGGCTCTGGCGGCGCTGCGCTTGACGCCTGCTCGCATTGCCTGCTGCTCATCATCGACATCCATGTCGCTGGAAGTCAGCGGCGCTGCGGGCTGAGCTGGCGATCCATTGCTGGCAATGCGAGGGCTGGACAGCAGGGCATTGGTCGGGGTGCCGTCGTTGGAGGTCTGCAGGCGGTTGATGAGCATCGGGGTCGACATAGGACATGTCGGCATTGCGTATCCACTGCGGTGTGGGCGGCATGTCGGCTAGCAGCTCGCGCGTGGCAGTGCTGGACCGCAGCGTCTCGAAGGCATTGCGCTCGCGCTGCAGCTCCTGGCGTTCGTTGCCCAGCTCCAAGGTACGCCTCGGTGAACTGGCGGCGCTTCTCCTCCAGCATCTCCTTTTCCTGTCGCAATGCGCTGCGCTCCATCTCCAGCTCTTCCAGCGACATGCCGGAGAACGATGCGTTCAGGGCGTCTGTCGCTCCAAACCGGCCAGCCATCTCCATGACCTTCTTCTGCTCGGCCATGATCCGCCGCTGGTCTGTCGATCTCCTGGTTCAGAGCCTGCATCTCGGCCTCAAGCTCGCGGATGCGCATGTCGCGCTGCACGAGCTCTGCCGGATCAGCAGCCGATAGTTCCTGCTGGCGCCGGCGCTCGTCGGACACGGCCTTACGGATGGACTCGAACATGGCCACGAACGGCGCCATGTCGACGCTGCCATCGCGCTCCACCACCACCTGCACCGCCTCGTCCTTCGTCCTCGTCCTCCAGCACCGCTGCATTGCAGCTTGCCCAGCGTGCCGCCCAGCTGCCGCAGCGTCTCCTCCTAGCCTGACAATGCGCTTCACCAGCTGCTGCTCGTTCGACTCGTACTTGCCCACCAGATCCTCCAGCATCAGCTGCTCATGCGTCGCCGCGTCCACCGGCCGCCCGCTGCGGTCCCGCACCACATCGTTGGCCAGGATAAACATGACTTTTGCCGACCGGTGCTTGTCGACAAGCAGCTTTTGCATCCGCTCCTTCAGCTTCCCAGCCTCCAGCTCGCGTTTTTTCGCTTCATGCACATACTGCGTCTTGGTGCTGGCGGCATTTGCCCTAGTCACACGCAGCTCCGTCGCCAGCGCCTTGCATCTCCTGGTCCTTTGGCGTCCTGTATGCGTTCGCTCTCCTTCAGCCGCACATTCGCCATGGCCGCTGCGCGCTGCGCCTGCTCCAGCTCGCGCTCCAGCCGCCCGATCGTCGCCCGCAGCGAGTCCTCTTCGCCCATCGCCACCCGCATTGCGTCCTCTGTGTGCTCCCGGAACGACTGCATCTGCCTTGCGCTTCTCCACCAGCGCCAGCAGGACACTCTACCACGCGCTTGGTTGTCCTCTAGACACTCGGGCAGCTCCGGCAGAAGCAACGGGCTTGGCAGCCCCAGCTCCATCAGCTCGCGGTTGATGTAGTGCAGGGTCGCGTATGGATTCATCCCCGTCTGTGTGAACCGCTCGCGTGCGCTAGGTCGCTGATGTCTGCTCCATCTGCCGTAGGCCTTCGTATGTGTGTGCTGCCAGCCCCGACCCGCGTCGCTGCTCGTTGTAATCATTGAAGCGACCCGTAGTCGTCCCTAAACACATTGCCATTCTCTGGCCTCGGGCTTTCGTCCCACATTGTTGTCGCTTGGATTTCTGCAGCAAAAAAGCGGGTGGTAGAGCCAAGCAACGGTATGATTAAAATGCTGGGAATGCAGAAGGGAAAGGAGGTTCGCGCTTGTTTACTTTTTGCTCCTTAGCGTAGAGGCAGGTCTGAGAAATTCAGCCCGATTTCTATTGGTCTGTCACGTGATCTTGTTGTCAATAGCTTGGAAAGCCAGCAACTGCCCTTGATGTGTGGGTAAAGTACGCCTCTCCACCACACCCACCCTTTTTGCCTGCGAGCACAGCCGGCTTAGATGGGCATGAAAAGCCGCATAGTGCATTTGGCACAATGCTGATATCTTCATATAACCATACAACTGTATATTCCAAATAAGGGACAGTGGTACATGCAGCATGCCGTTTGGCTGGTACGTCTCCTCTCAGGTACACCTGGGCAGTGCCGATGGAACTAGATGCATTCGGATATCAGCGAGATGCTTAAAGGCCAGCAGAGACAGCGACGGCAACAAGAAAAAAAACCTCCCCATCCAACATCAAAACCGGTTCAAACCGTCCCGAGTTTAGCGCATAGCGAGGGAAGGGTAATTTTCGCCTAGCTCTACCTCCTGCTAGCAGCCGCTAATCCTCCGGAAATTAAGTTCCAGTCATGTGCAAGCATGGCAGCGCGGGAAATTTCGTTCACATGCTACTGCACATCAGAAAGTGCCTGCAAAGAGAAAAAAAAGAGCCATGTTATTTGGACAAAAGAATCCGCTAGTTCTTCTCAAACTCGAGCTTGCCAAGGTACTCGTCCTGGTCCTGCCTGGTCGTACTTGCGGAAGCAGACATAGAACAGGACGGTGAATCCACCCATGAGGCCACCGACAATGGCAAAGTTCTTGACCAGGTGTGGGTTGGTGGAGATCGAGTTGAAGCAGAACGCCAGGATCGAGCCACCGGCGTTGGTCAGCAGGAACAGTGACATGATAATCGACTTCATGCTCTCAGGCGCCTTCTTGTACGCATACTCGAGACCAGTGACTGAAGCGAAGATCTCAGGCAATCGCCACCAGAATGTAGCACGGCACCTGGATAGCAGCCGTGATGTCGTTGTTGCTATGGTGCACGCCGTTGACCTTCTGCGACGGGTACTCGTACCACGGGCCGGTCTTGTAGATGAAGTGCTGCACCACGGCGGCATACGCCATCGCGACAGCAGCAAACGTGAAGCCCAGGGTGATACGGGTGACCGGGCGCAGCTCGAGGCCGCAGCGACGGAAGCCAGGGTAGATGAGACGGTCGAAAAAGGGGATCAGGATGATGATGACCAGCGGGTCGATGTTCTGCATAATGTCGTTCGGCACCTTGCCTGTGATCATCTGGCCGGACTGCGACACCAGGTTGTTCGACATTTGCCCGTAGCAGAGCCAGAACACTGGGTAGCACAGGAAGATCTTGGACGCGCGCACCGCCACGCTCAGCTCCTCGACGAACTTGTCGTCCCAGTCCATGTTCAGGCCCGCCACATTGTACGACGGCTTGGCGATAGTGCAGCCAGTTAATCGGCTTGTTGGTCGTCTCGTTCACGATCAGCCGGTTCTCCGCCTTCGCCGCCTTGTGGTTCTTGATACCGGCGCGGATCACACGGTACGCCTTCAGGATGATCGAGCCCGTGGGCTTGGTGATCACGTACTGGTTGCGGCCCAGGTAGAACACGGTCACACACACAACGAACATGCACGTCGGCAGCAGGAAAGCAGGCCAGAAGTCAATCTTCGCCTCCATCTCCGTCGTCGCAATCGCCGACAGACCACCCACGTTGATGGACCAGTAGAACCAGTTGAAGATCGACTGCACCGTGACCTCGCGATCAACCACCACCTCAGTGCCGTCCTTTCTCTTGCGCACAAACGGACGATACCGCCCGTACTGCTCGGCAACCATCGGCGACACGTTCGATTTGATACCGCCGGTACCCAGACCAATCGTAATCATGGCAATAATGAGGCCAGGCAGCGCACCGCCGTGCCGAATCGACGCCGGAATCGAGGTCAGGGTCAGAATCAGGTCGCCTAGTGTGTAGATGCATCCGAACAGCAGAATGGTCTTGTACTTGCCCAGCCACTGGTCGGCAATAACCGCACCAAAAATCGGGGTCAGGATAGCACCAGAACTGGAAGAAGTTACCCAGTCCAGTCGCCATCGACTGGCCGCCGTTGATGGCTCCCGGGTCGGAACCAGGGATCTTGTAGTCGTTCTGGATGTAGTTCTGGAACGGACCGGTGATACCGTAGTATGTGAAGCGCTCGCAGAACTCAGTCAGCACCACGAATATCGCGGCAATTGGCAGACGGTCGCTGACGCGCCGAAGCGTGTTCATATCCTCCTCGGTGGCCCAGCGCTCACCCTCCCGCAGGTAGTCCTCGGGATGGTCTGGGTGCAGGTCCTCCTTGTGGATAGAGTCGTGCTCCGACGACAGCCTTGTTGACAGTAGCAGACGACATTGCTATGTGTCGGGAATATTATCACTTAAGTAGCTAATAGGAAGATAACAGTAAAGCAGTAAATGACTGGTACAAATGGCCGTCCAATATGGAATAGGCACGATAGAAGGAGAAATCAACAAGAACGTTCCTTGCTGGATTAGAAAGTAAGGGGAAATAGAAGCCTTCTGGGGGAGAAAGGATTGGAGGAAAACGGTGGCTACTGGGGATGCGCATGGCGTCCTCCAGGCAATGGCATTTTATACCCTGGCAAATGAAGCGACCAAAGCCAAAGCCAAAGTAGGGAGAGCCTGTGTGCGGGGGAGCGAACAACGCATATGCACAATAAGCGACAAATGCGAGGGGGTAGGTTGTCTTCCACCCCCCTCCCTGGACGAAAAGGGTGTGGGTGCTCACGCCAAGAGGCAATGCACTTGCTAGACAGCACTTTTATGAGCATGCGAAAGTTTGCTTGAGCTTGACAATCTCCTCTGAGAAAGCAGCATGCTGAAAAAGCAGCTCCGGGTGCATCTCCGGCGCAGCGAATACCGCACCAAGAGCGGATGGGCAGTGAACACTCCAGCAAAAAAGAGCGACATCTGCGGTTGAGGGATCATCCGTCGACAGCACAAAGAGATGAATGCTGGCACAGCCGGCGGACCTAGTTGGTCTCTAGCGAAAAAAGATGCAGCAGATGCTTCCAATTGCATATGGCCCCAGTCTTGTCCTTCCTTGCGCGCTTTTGCTCTTCCATCACGCACGCTGCATGCTGCATCCCAGGGCGATCTCTGTCTAGATGACATGCTATTTGTCCCACGGCCGGGCGATGGAATCTCTAACAAAGGGCGGAATGTGACAGCCGGTACTCACAGGGCCAATGTGGGCTCACTTTTGCACACACTGTGTTCTACATTTAGGCAAACAGGCTACCTGTTTCCCAGACACGCTCCTCTCCTACCTCACCCCACGATACCCCAAAAATACATATCGTCGCGTCGAAGTCCGCATGCTGCTTTTTTGGAGTGCCTGCTCATTTGGGATGCGCACTGGCGTATTGGGACAAGATAGCAAGCAAATGGCGGAAGTGGCAAATGTGGGAATGCCAACTATGAATAATTTCTAGAAACTGCAAGCCAGCTTCCCGCAGGACACATCCCCTATTGGCATCCACCACACATGCCGACCTGGCATGGCAGCTGTACACTCTAGTCCGGCCGCAGGCGGGATGACCACATGACATGTCATCTCCGCCACCCTTTCGACGTGAGAACAACCAACTGCATCATGCATGTCTTGTCCCGAGTCAGAAAAATGTGAATATGGAACTGCCGACGTCCGCTAAATGAATGGACGCGTCTACTGACGGTCGCTCTGAGCCACCAGCAGCCTGGCCCTCGGGCGACACAGAGCATCCAAACAAGCCTTGCGCATCATAGCAAAGTCCGCCGTGGCAACGCCAGCCTAGATCGACCCCTGCCCCGCTTCGCACCAGTCTCACTTTCTGCAAAAAAGGAGACAGAGGTACACCTGTCGCATCGATCTGTTGTTGATGGCGAATTGCAGCGTGTTTGTGTTTACTCTTCGCCATCCGGGAATCCCACCCACTGGAAGAGGACGGAGCGTCAGAGTGCCAATCCTCTTCCGCACCATATATGGATCGGCCCAACATCTTAATAAGCCCGGCCGCTCACTTCATGTAGGGGTATTAGTGCGGTCCCAGGTAAGCGGGTTCGTTGGTTCGCTGCTGGAGCACAAGGACTGGCCGGCTCCCTGCCTTTTATAGAGGTTCCGATACCAGATCCGTTATTATGACTCACACAAGGCTATCCTGGGGCGATGCTGTGCTGGGGCTGGGCGGATCTGGCAAGCACATGGTTGCGGGCTTGATCTTGGACTGCGATTATGAGGGATCTGTTCCCAGGCCTGCTCCGGAAAATTGTCCGCACATAGATATGCCTTGCATGTGTCAGGGCGGATGCTGCCTAATAGGCCTAGTTTACAGCCTGCCGGGTCTGCTGACAACCGGATCCAAACGAAAAGCAGCACCCATGGGGAGATACAGCTAGTTATCAAGGCAGTCTCTGGCAACGCATGTTACTGAGGTATACGCAAATAAAAATAAAGAAAATACTAACGGTAAAGAAAAAAAAAAAAAAAAAAAGTCTCAGAGAAACAACGCAATAGGTCTCAGGTGGCGGGCACTGGTCCACGCACCACATGCTTGGTGTCCGCGGCCAGACCACAATGCATAAATCCACAATTGATATATATTTTCTGCTGATAAAGGGAGATGCTGGTATAAATGTGCACCAGGAACAAGAGTATAGAAGGGCAAGGGAGGGGATGATCTGAGGGGTGACTTGAACAAGAAGAGGAAGAAAAAGAAGAGGAGAGATGGAGGGCTTGAATATGAGGGTGTGTTTTCGAGATTGGCAAAGTTGTTAAAGAGAAAGGATAAAAGAGGTAGAGATTAGTGCGGTGCTGTACGAATGGCCTCCCGGGCCGCCCTGATCAGCGGCGCCAGGGAGCGCAGCGGATCAGCCTTCTGCAGGAACGGATGCCTGAGCAGCTCAGTCGCATTCGGCCGCTTCGACTCCTTGACCTCGAGCGCCTGGCTCAAAAAGTCCCTAAACACCATCGACAGGCTCTCGGGGTTCTGGATCTTTGGCGTCCCGTTCGTTGCAATCAGGTACAGCGCGCGGATCGGGTTTTCGTTCAGGTACGGTGGCTCGCCTTCCACCATCTCGATCGCCATGATGCCCAGCGACCACACGTCCACCTTGGGCCCATACTCCTTGCGCATCACCACCTCGGGCGACATCCAGTACGGCGTGCCCACCATTCGTCGTGCGCTTCGCCGCGTTCTCCGTCAGCTGCGCGCAGAATCCAAAGTCAGTCAGCTTGATGTCGCCATTCATCGACAGCAGCACGTTGTCGGACTTGATGTCACGGTGGATCACGCCCTTCGAATGCAGATGCTCCAGGCCCTCCAGGGTCTCTCGGCACACCGTGGCGATCTGGCCCTCGGTCATCAGGTTGTTAGTCACGACGTCCGTTAGACTGCCACCCTCCATGTACTCCATGACCACCCACAGATCGCCGCGGTGCAGGAAGCTGTCGATGAAATTCACAATGTTCTTGTGCTTGCTCTCCCGCATCACCAGAATCTCGTTGATGATCAGGTCCTTCTTCGGCTGCTTCTCCAGGTTCATCTGCTTGATCGCCACAATGTTGGAGCTGCCCACCGGCTGCGCTGTGAACACACCGCCCTGACGCGCCCTGCCCGATCTTGACGAAATTGCGGTACAGCAGCGTCGGGTCGTTCGGGTTGCAGATCGACTGCAACCGCATCACAACCTCGTCCGTCGACGGCTGGTTCGTCCTGGCGGGGACGTGGCCGGGGTACCGGCTGTGGCTGGCCCTGCATCGGCTGCTGCGGTGGAGGTACCGGCTGCTGCGGCTTAGGCATCGCCGACTTGCTGGGCATCGTTTGGTGACGCTGCACAGGCTGCTGGGGCTGTTGTGCCGCCGACTTGGTCTGGTAAACCGCCTGCTGCAGCTGGGGCACCGGCTGCTGTGCCTGCCCGTAGTTGTTGGGCATCGGGCCGCGCTGCTTGAGCTGATGACTGCTCGACTGCTTCTTCAGCGCCGATGGATGTGTGCCGTGCATGGTCGCGCTCTGTTGCGGCATCCCGGGCTGTGACTGCTGAGCGTGGTGGTGCGACGACCCCTGCATGTTCTTTGGGTGTGTTGGCAGCGTCTGGCCGCGCTTCAGTGCATGCTGCTGCTGTTGCTGCTGTTGCTGCTGGGCCTGAATCTGCGCCTGCATTTGCTGCTGTGCCTGCTGCTGGAGAACACCGAACGACGGTTGCTTCTTGATCTGCTGCGGCTGCTGGGATGACGACGACGACGACGACGACGGGAACTGCTGGACACTTGCGCTGGCGTGCACCTTGGGAGCCTTGGGAGTCGTGGTGCCCGACGACGACTGGCTGTACGACGGCTTTGGCCCCGACGTCGTTGCCCGCTGCGGCTGGCGGTATCTAGTCTGCTCGCCGTCCTCATCAAAGGCACGCTGCATCTGCTGCGTTGCCACCGCCGACTGGTGCCGTGCTCCGTCGCTGTTCGTGTACTGATGGTGGTGACTGGTAGTGGCGCCAGGCGCGCGGTACTGCGGCGAGTACTGGTCAGCCGGCTGCTGTGGCGGGCGCTCCAGCGACGTGTTGATTGGGTTTACCAGCGACCCGTCCTCGCCAATGTTTGGCAGCTGCGGCGGCGGGGTCCTGGCGGGCGTGCCCTCGGCGCTGGGTTGCTGACGGTGCTCGCGCTGAGCGTGCAGAATAGTCTGCTGCTGCTGTTGCTGTTGCTGCTGCTGGCGTCCTGCGTCAGGAGCTGATCCGTTGTCCACACCGGCCATCTTCTTCCACACCATGTCGTCCATGTGCTTTGTGTTCTCCTGGTAGAAGCGCATCACCTCCATCACCGCCTGCGGATTCGCCTCCTGGTCCTGCTTGGTGATGCCAGCCTCGCGCAGCATAATCGACCACTCGCGCGGCAGTCCCTACAAATTAAAACAATAAGGCGCCGCCCATGTGCAATAATTAGGATGTGCATCGGTGATGCTTGTGTTGATCAAGAAGGCCGACAAGAAGCGTGACAAAAAAGAAGCTCAGTCAGTCTCAGCTTCCGGCTCCCAATTAGGAAACAGGCCAGGCCCGCCGACGTGTTTGGCTGGCCCCACTGCCCGGAGCACAGCAAGACAGGCGCTGAAGAGGGGAATGGGTGGTTAAGAAGGGCAGAAAATTCCCCCCAGTGAGCATGCGAATGGTAAATCATGGCAAGCTACATGCTTTTGCAGCCATTTGAAAGAGAAAAAGATCAAAACAAATGGTGCTGCAGCCTCTCCCTTTTTTTATTCCATAGGCGGTCCCAGCGGCTGGCAGCCTTCAGAGCGCCTTTTCATAAAGGAGAGCAAAAAGTGCAGCCAGAGTATCCCTCTACTTACCGTGAACTCGCCCGTCTCGTTGTTGAAGCCGACGTGCGTGAGGTGAATGGGGTTGTACGGCGCAGAAATCTCAGACCGATTGTCGCCAGACAACGAGTCTAGAATAGCGACAATTAAGCAAGGTGAAGAAACGAGTAGGTTAGTTTAAATGCAACAAAGGCTATACCCCTTCCCAGAGGCCGCGGTTCAGCAGCGAGCCTCGCAGAGGAGAGAATAGCCCACGACAGCAGGCGTGCTCGTTTTTCGCTGCGCGTCACAAAAGATAGAAAGTGAACGAGCATGGGGGTTTGCTTTCTTACCAGACTCCTTACCAAACATCGACGAGAACAGCTTGTTGACTGCTCCCTTGAACGACTTGTTGCCCTGCGAGTTGTCGACCTGGATGGGCTCCAGCTGGCCCAGATATGTGCTATTAAGGGGTTTCCCGTCCGAGTATTTGCGCGTCGGCAGGCTCTGCTGCAGATTGCCTGCTGTGGTCTTGCTCCGCTGCAGCGTGTTTCCCGGACCGTGGCCCGACTTCTTGGGCGGCGGCGGCGCCTGCCGTGACGGGACCATGCCGCCCTGCGCAAACTCGCCCGAGCCGTTTGCATACCCGCCATTGGGCGTCCCGGAGACCGAGCTGGATGGAGCATGCCGTGACCCCGACGGCGGTGCCGGTGCGCTGCGCCGCGGGATAAACGAATCGGGCGCCTCGAGCCGCGACGAATCAGCGAACGCCGGATCCATTCCCTGCTCGCCGTAAATTTGCGTTGCAGAGAGACCGCCGTGGTAGGCTTGCTCCCCCGGCGGGGTGATGGGCTGTGACCCTCCGTGTCCTTGGCTTTCGTTCATCTTGCGAATGAGAGAGTGAAATGTAAGGTTTTAAGAAAAAGGGAGTGGACAAAAAGAGAGAATAGCGAGTAATAAACAAGAAAGATTTTTCGGGACTTTCCAGTAAAGTGGGTTTCGATAGAGGAACGGAGCAAGTGCAGCTAAAAGATTATATGGTTGTTTTTCATCCAGCCACAGTGGCCTGCTGTGCGTTAGTTGAGGATCCGTTGGTACAGGCGCGTGCAAGGGTGAAATGTAGGTTAACGAAGAGGGAATTAAATGAGGTGTTTTGCAAAGATGAGAAGAGAAAAAGGCCAGTGTATTCTAGACCCACCGTGTTGCTCAAATCGCTTGCGAGACGGGCCAACCAAGGTAGATCATGTATAGAGCCACACAATGAAGCAGGCTGATTCGACGGCTCTCCCCCCGCTCCCCTCCTGTCTTGCGAGAAATAAGCGCAAGTGAGAACTGCCTGTCAGAAAGACACCGCCATACGCGAAGCCCTCACACCTCTTTGTTGGCGCTATGGCCCTCGAGGTTCCCAGGCCTGAAATGACATCAATACACAAGCAGGCAGTGTATAATAAGAACTCTCCCTGGTCCAGCAAGCCCATTTGGGAACTGGCGCCCAGGTCTGCATATTGCCCCTTGTGCGAGGTACTTATTGACAGCACTGATCCGGAATGGAAAACAGAACCTTGCAAGTGCTGCCCGCCCGATGCTCTGCTCGCGGCCCAAGCCCGAGATTGGGCCTGTCTTGGAATTCGCATCAGCGATATGCCTTCTTCATAATGTTCATATTGGAACCAGTTCATGTACTGCATTCGCAGTTTCGATGCCGCCACCAGCGCAGTTCCCGCCAACTGTGGCGACACCATCAGACACAATGGAGCCGCGGCTCGCCCCGACTCGGCTTGTCGATTTTTTATCGCGGAGTGCGTGCTGAGACCCGGCCCAATCAGCGCGGCAGAGGTCAGTTGCTCAAAAACTTCCTCCACGTCCATCGAAGAAGCGCGCATTTGCTCTCTTTGAAAAATGGATTTGGCCGTTGCGCTCTCTGAAAAAAACAAAGCACTTTTTTTTCTCCCTCCTTGCACACAAAATCATTTTTAACTCTACGGAACCAACTCTGATGCTGCATCAAGGCATGCCCAACGCAGACACAGCACAGACAGAGCAGAGCAAGAGGCATGCGCCTGCTCGGGTAGAGAAAGGTAAGGGACCAGCGCTTGCTGAGGTAATAAAGCTGGTGGACCATCTCGAGACTGCCACTGCTAGGCCAAAGAAGGGTCCGAGCGACCCAGAAAAATAATTATGCGGTCCGGGCAAATAGGATGTCGACGTTGGCTCTGGTCAAGTACCTCCAAGTGCCAGCTCTGACAACGCATTTTTTTTCGTCCACGACTTTTTTTTCTTCACGCATGAGCATTCCATTTCAACCTGCTGCCCGCTTCAAAATACCACGACCTACTAACATGCCGACTTGTTCGTGACTGTACCTCGGTTACCGCTCACCTGCCGTGGCTAATACATAGAGGTACGTATACGTGAAATCTCAAAATGGGAAAATAAATAGTACTATATTGAAACCTACCCCTGCGAGCAAATAGCAATTTTGCTGCTAAGCACTAAATCGTTTTTTGTAGCTCCACTTTCTCATTGCGCACTACCTGTCGCAGAGCACTCTCCGGGACGCGACGGCGCCGCTGCTGGCAGCACTGGAGGCAATGCCGGCCATGCTGCCCGAGCGGCATGACTGGCAGGGAAATTTACATTCGCGCTCATACAGCGAGCTTGCTCGCGAGCTCCCGCATGTAAAAGGCACTGAGCTACTGCGTGTAATGCAGGCATTGACCGATAGAGACACAGCTGAGCTGCAGACCGCCGGTGGGACGGTCCTAGGACGGACAACCCGCCGATCACAAAAACCTATGCCAATCACGGCCCGGATACGCGAGCGGCACACCAACCCGTCGCGGCAGCTGCACCAGTCACAGCGTCTCCCAGTCTCGATATTTGCCAGTGCGCGCAAGCTGGTGCGCTGCCATGGACACAAGTTCCCGACATTCTGCGTTAGCTTTGACCGCACGTCGCGGCGCATGATCACGGGGAGCGACGACTACCTGGTCAAAGTGTGGTGCACACGCACCGGCTACCTCATCAACTCGCTGAAGGGACACCAGGACGTGGTTACCGATATCACCATCAACACCGAAAACACCCTGGTCGCGTCGTCGTCGCAGGACGGCTCAGTGCGGATCTGGAACTTAAAATCCGGCGAGCCACGCGCTGTCCTGGTCGCTCACGCCACTGGCCGCAACAAGTCTGTCACCGCAGTGCGCTTTTCGCCGTCGCCAGTGCCACAGCTGCGTTTCCTGGCCACGTCCTGCGACGATGGACTGTGCCGCCTCTATCGCTGGAGTCGCGAGTCGCTCACGGTGGATTCGACACCCATCGAAATTGATGCCAGGCCAGACACACGTGACAGCATCACGGCATTCACATTCAACCACACAGGTTCACGCTTCGCTGTGGCCACAAAGGGCGGATACATCAGCATCTACTCGACCATCGCAGGCGCCGTCAACGCCCAGCCTGGCCAGTCGTGGGGCGAGCCAAAGCTGATCAAGCGGCTGGCAGCACACGATGATAGCATCACGACGCTGGCGTTCAGCGGCGATGGCGAGATGCTGCTGTCAGGCGCAAACGACGGCACAGCCAAGGTGTGGAAATGTGATAGCGCCATGTCGGCATGGCACTCAGTCACAGCTGATGTCAAAGAGCCCGTGCCACCGCCGGAGGATATCCTGCCACTGGCACTGACCAGTGCATGGGCCGAGCCAACCGCGCCTAGGGCAGAACTAAACCAGCCGGCGCCACTGCCCACGGCACTGCCTGCTGATGCCCAGCAGCCGCCAGCACAGACAATGCTGGCTGATGGCATCATGTCGGTAGCCGGGCTACCGTCCGCAGCAGCAGCCGCAGCAGCCTCTGAGCCCAGCAGTGCAGTGATCGAACAAAACCGCTTTGCCTTGGCCGACCAGCTTGCATCTGTCGGCATCAGCAGCCCTGCTGAGCTGGTGGCGGACAGCGCAACAGCGGCAGCCCCGGCAGCCCCGGCAGCCCCTACAGACGCACCTGCCGGCGCTCCTGAAGCTGCTACCGACTCAACAACGCCAGCGCCGCTCACTGTAAAGCGCATCGAGACGAACCAGGTCGCCTGGATGTGCGACAGCTCGCATGTCATCATCAGCAACAATCTCGGCACTGTCTTTCTCTTTGATCCACACACGGGGAAGACCGTCTGGAAAAAGCGCGCCCACAGCGTCGCCGACACGTTTGTTCTGATCCCCCACCCCACCGACCCGCGGATCGCCGTCTCGGGTGGCTACGACGGTCGTGCTATCATCTGGGACGTGAGCACCGGCAACATCGTAAATGAGCTAAAGGTCGGCGAGCAGCTCTTTGACGGCGCGTTCTCCGAGGACGGACTTACCTTTGCGCTGGCTAGTGAGAGCGGCGCGGCAACGCTGTTTGGCCTTGGTCCAACGTGGGCGTACGATGATGCAAACAAAATGCCCGAGCAGACGTTTGCCAGCGACTACACGGGGATTATCATGGACGAGAACCACTTTGTCGCTGACCAGCAGATGCAGATTGCTGCGCACCTGGTGCCTCACAGCGCGCTGATGGACTTTGACGGCCGCGTGTATCGCAAGCAAAAGGGACCCAAGTTTGGTATGGGCATCACCATGGGCGTCGACAGCGAAAAATTTGCCAGTGAAGACCGTGGCCGGCTGGCTGCACTGGCTGTCGAGCTCGAGCATGCCTATCTCGACGTGCAGGCTGCACAGGCGCCTGTGGCAGAGACCCGGCCGGCACGCCGTCGCCGTAGGCGCGGCCGTCCTGCACGCTCCGAGACAGTCGAGGAGGCCATCCCGGAAGCAGACCTCCAGATCATTATCCCCATCGACGATGACAGTGACGACGAAGAGTATACAGCCGGAGAAGATGAGGAGGAGGAGGACGATGGCGTGCTGGCGTTGGATGATGACGACGACGCTGACGGTGAGAACGAAGGTGGTGCGGACCGCCGGACTGCCCTTGAACTGCTACGCAGCCGCCACAACACTGCCACAACGCGCATTCATCGCCGTGCAGGCCGCCGCACCATTGACGAAGACGACTCGGACGACGACGAGGCAGATGGCAACTCACGTGAGGATCTGGCCGATGCCGGATCGGGCAGCGAAGGGGAGGACAGTGGGTCCTTGCGTCCACGCCGCAGTCGCCGCGCTGGGCGCTTGGTCATTGAGCCCCCGTCTGAAGACTTTATCAACATGGACTCGTCCGACGAGGAGTTTGCGCTGGAGGAAGCACCTCCACGGGTCAGCACTCACCACCAACCACCGAGTACCCGTGGTCGCCGCCGTGGTCGCCCTCGCCGCCGTGGCCGCCCCCGCAACTCGGACCCGGTCGTCGCCCATGCCGATACCCGTCGGCAGATGCGCAGCCGGCGGATTGCTAGCGACTCTGAAGGCGACGATGACGATGACGACATCGACATGGAAGGCATGGCGACTGACACCAGCGAACCCGCACCTCCAGCCTCAAATGAATCAACTCCAAGGCGCAGCACCCGCTTGCACACCAACGGTACGCGGCGCACTACTATTGAGTATTCGAGCGAGGCTCTAGAAGATGACGTGTCGGACGGTCGGTCGATTCCTCAGTCACGTGCAGACCGCCGCGCCGCTCAGCCACGGGTTCCAACGTCGAACAGCAACGGTGAAGGTAGCGACTCGGACTTTGACGACATGGCACGGACGCGGGCAGGTCGGCGTCGCAGTGGCCGCAAGCCCCTGATTCCCGATGAGGAGCCGCACACATCTGCACAGGCGTCCACGTCGCGAGACAGCCCGTATGCCCCGACAGAGTGGATCTTGGCCACGCACCCAAGCACTGTTCCGTACCGGCCACAGGTGGGCGACATGATTGCGTATTTCCGCGAAGGGCACCTCGATTTCTGGGCCAGCCCGAATCGCTGCAAGCAGCTCAACGAGAAGCTCCTCCCATATGTCCAGTACCCAAATCTCTCGGTGGCTGTGTTTGGCCGTGTCGTTGGCATCACCTACGCTGTCGGCCCACCGACATACTGCACGGTCAAAATCCAGCTGTTCCGGTTCCAGACGCTGGAGGAGCTGAACACAGAGAACCCGATGCAGCATGAGCTCACTCGTCGCTACATCCAAGTGCAGTACCATGACTGCGATGGCGTTCCCGACTTCATCATTCTGTACTCGCGCTACCGCGCGTCACTGCAGCGCACGCTGAGCCGTGGCGACTCTGTTGATATCTTGTTTGACGAGGACCAGATGCACAGCGCTGAGATTATTGGGTTCAAGGATATCAAGCCGACAGCGCGGCACGCCAGCATGACTCGCCAGATCGCTCGCAACCCTTGGAAGAGCATCACAGTGCGATGGACCGAGGATGAGGAGAGCGCGGTCGAATCCAACACTGAGGGTGATACGAAGACAGAGCAGGTGTCGCCGTGGGAGCTGGATCATGACCAGGGCGTAGACTCTGAGATCCACGAGACCGAAAAGGCTGCGCTACTCGAAATTGTCGATGAGCTACGTTTGAACGACGAGTTTGGCTGGTTTATCAGCGACGTCGACTATGTCAACGACTACCCAGACTACCTGCAGAACGTCGCCTACCCTATGTGTCTCGACACGGTTAGACAGCGCATCGAGTCCGGTTTCTACCGCTACGCCTCCGCAGTCACCTTCGACATGATCCTGATCAAGGAGAATGCTGAGATCTACAACAAACCCGGCACGCCTGTCCCGGTGGCTGCCAAACACCTGCTCGATGCATACAAGTCCGTGTTTAACCAGACATTAGGCGACCATACTGAGGATGCGTCGGGCACTGAGCAGGTGTCACCGTCACGTCGGCTCCGCCGCCAGAGCTCGGCAACCAATGGCCACACCAAGCTGCAGAGCCAGCCAAGGAAGAGGAAGACGCCAATGAATGGCGGGGTAACACGGAGGTCGTCGCGCAATCGTCGGCGCAGACTATCAAATGAATCGGATGCGTCAGATGGATCAGACTATATGGCAGAGAATAACAATGGGGACGAAGATGACGATTTTGATGCCCCCGAGGACGACGAAGACGAAGACGACGACGACGACGACGGACTGTATGACTAAGCTTATCCAATACCTCAAAATATCTATATATGTTGCATATTTTTGTAATCTTCACATCCCCTGGATATCATGCATATATGCCGGGCTGGCCATGATCAGTGTTGGTTGGCTCACATTTTATTTGCCAAATGTGTTATTCAGCCCGAGAACATGCATCATACAACAAATGTATTCATCTATACGAGTACATGCCGTATATACACCAAGCATCGTTTTTTGCTATACTCATACAGCCTGCAATTTGGAAACATCACATTTGTGTCTCTTCCAAACGCCTCGTATACACATCCGTATATTCAACAAATCAACTATTTGTCAAATGCAGTATTTTCTTTCATAAAAAATTGTTGACAACTTGCACAGCAAAAATTGACATGCCTTAGACACCTGCCAACCTGTTTTCGCCAAGCCATGTTGGGATTCTGCTGAGAGCAGCCCCGAGCAGACTCAGGGAAGCACTGTGCCTTGTCTGTTTTTATAAATGGCTAATCCCCCATTCTCCTCTTTGTTTCTGCAACTTCCATACATTCCATTTTTTACACACCTTTATAATGCGCTTTTCTTTGGCAAAAAAGCCTCCCTCTGACATAGTGTCAGCGCATAGCTCTTCCACCTACACAGACACGATTAGCTCCAATACAGGTACGTTCTATCTGACGGAGGAGTTTGACAGCCCAGACAGAAAATACAGGTACTATGTAGAAAGCATATATGAACAAAAGCGCTCGCTTTTCGGCCGGCTCAAGCTTTTCAAAAGGTGAATTTTGCGCAGCCCGTGCGGCTGTGTCGATATTCACCCCATCCCCACAACAAAAGGCGTTTGTTACGGTTGAGCTCTAGCAAGCTCTACCTACTATAACCGGGGGTTTGACTTCATGATGGGAGAAATACGGTGTAAACGACCTTAGCTAGATTCTTTCGAACCGGCTGTGTAAAATAAGCATAATTGTAAAATAAACTATTTAAAAGAATCACACAGAAACCTTCTGTATTTGCACCTTGGCAGCAAAGCATAGAATTATTTCACGTAGTCGACACAATGTGCTTATTGATATAATTAAAGCCTATTTATCAAAGAATGTGATCTATAAATCAGAGGCGACGAAATGCCATCATCTATCCAGCATGTCACATGTATGATGTAGTCAGATGATAGGTTGTCAAATGCAGCAAATTTTATATTCATTGTTTGCAATTTTAGGATGCATGTCATAATGTGGAAGAAGATCTATGCTGAAATTAGCGCCTTGTTCGTTGGGGTTCGGTGTATACGTCTGAAAGTAAAGCTTGAATCAAGTACATCGGGCAAGGGAGCCTCCGGACAGATATAAATTTGACTGCAGAGGATCTCGACATCCTTTTCTCCTTATCCATTTTTCACAAGGACGCAACTATTTAACAGCAAAGAACTCTAACATGTACATCAGCCACAGCTACTTTTGAGATGCCGATTCTACGCGATACGGGGGATTCTGGAACTCAGCAGGGGCAGGACACTACCACCGAAACTACTCCGGCCCCCAAGAGAAAGACCAAAAGGTCGATTTTCATCAGAAACCAGTAAATTAAGGTCTTTTTATTATTATTATTCTTCTCGAATAAATTATGTTAACCATTCGAGGTGCAAACGAAAACATGACACATGGTAAGCCATGTGTTTGGTGCTGATGTTCCAATTGTCTGATTCGGCCATGCTCATTTGGTTTACAGGCTTCTACTCGTTTGTGCATCTGCACCTAATGCTTACTGGAATCGGAACTGTTATTTCCAGAAGCGTTACCAGTTTATGCAAAATGATGGCGGCAACCCCGGCTGTGTGGCATACAATCGAAGGCATCGGTTGGCACAATTTCAGAACATAATTTGTTGGGGATCCATGTTCATTCCGAAGTACTCTGTTCGGAGGAAATATATTTAAGAACCACTCATACATCAACAAAACGTACTGTCACGGCCATTGTTAAGAATACGCAATATACTCGTCATCTATATACTGTATGCAGCAAAACATGTATGCACCATCAGTTGCCAGTCCAAACTTGACTCTTCGTGATGCAGATTATCCTTTCGCAGATAACCTTGGTAAAAATATAGTGGTCGTCGAAGGAGCAAAAATGCTTGGGAACGGCAATTAAGGCAATTACACGGGCTAGCTTTGGTGAGCACAAAGCAGGTGGCGATGCATTTTTAAAACATACTGCACTCAATAACATGTTTCAGTGTCTAGTTGACTTGGTCGGATGCTCTAGATATTGCTGCTCAATACCTACTGTTTTGTAGATGAGTCCCAAACAAAATGAAATAAATATAACTCTGGTCACAACTAAGGTATATTGAAGCGATATTATATATTCTACAAAGAGCAGATTGATTGTGGTGGTATTAATGTTCCAGATATAGGAAATGACACTGGTTAGTGTGAAGCAAACATATATGATAATACCAAAGGCATTTTGGAGTTATATGTAACTAGCACTATTTTCTTGTTGTTTAACACTCTGTTGGGATGGCAACACTGATGCGTAGCATTTTTGATGAATTTCGAATAGCCTAATAATGAAAACTCTCCGCAGCATGCACTGATACATTTCACTAATGCGTTTAGCATTGCTGCAAGAGAGCTCGAGACCCAAAGCCACTCAAAAGTCAAAGCGAGGGTTTGGGAAGCGGTAAACCGTTTGCACACTTTTATATAAGTGAGATTAGAATAGCACAGGGTGTTGACATTGGAGTGCCGATCCACTCCCACGTCACCATGCCAACAACCAAACCACATAAAATCAGACCTCAGGCCGACCGAACCCTCCCCTTTTCCTTCAGTCAATCTTGTTTCACCTTTGATTTTAGCTCACATACACGCTCGTAAACACTCGTCCCATTCCCAAGGTTAACACAGGGAAAGCAGATGCTTCGACAATGGAGAGGAATATAGCGACTATGGATGTGGTCATCAAAATGTATACTCCAACTATATCTGCCTATGCACATCTTCCGGGTACATCCAGCTCTAGTAATGTAAATATTTTTGTGATAAAAGTAGATACGAAAGCGAACGAGTGGCTCAACAGAGTGTGCTTTCACTTCCTCGCGGCCTTCTTGGCAGCTTTTGTGACCTGTGCCTTGCGGGAATGCAAGGCGTTGATATCCTTGGCGCGCTTCTTCGCCTCGTCCTGGGTGCGGTTGACGAGCTTGCGCTTCTTGCGGCTTAGCATCGAAATGGCAATACGCTGCCGCTCCTCCTCTTCCTCCTCAGCCTTGGAGCGCTTCTTGGCAGCGGGCTTCTTGGCCTTCTTGTTGCCTGCCTTCTGCTGGTACTCCGTGAACGACAGGCCTTGGCTCTCAGCCAGCAGCTGCTTCTGGTGCTGCTTCTCGGCAATGTCGTCCTCGTCTTCATCATCAGACTCTTCCTCGTCAGCGCTATCACCCTCGATCTCGGCATCCTCCTCGCCCTCGCTCTCCTCCTCGTCCTCATCTTCGGGCTTCAGCTTCTCAACGTCACCCTCAAAGCCTTCAGCAGTGGCAAACTTGGCAGCAGCCTCGGGAATGTAGTCACCGTCGGCATATTCAACGAAGGGCGAGAGATGAGGCGGCAGCTGCTGGCCGACCAGGTAGTCGTCGGTGGGCAACAAGCGGCGGGCGTTGATGGAATCGTAGACCCACTGGGGTTGCAGGTATGTGCGGTTCAGGAACTGGTGGCCCTGGACGGGGCGATCGCAGATCTGCACGGTGATGTTGGTGTCATTCTCCGAGTACGGTGAGCCGCCGCCCGACGAGCTAGCCCAGCCAAGACGGCCGCCAAAGGCACGGATGACAAATTCGAGCGAATACCGAGGGACCTCACGCGACAGGAAGAATACCTGCTTGTTGAACAGGAGCTCGGCAGTGTTGGAGTCGTCGTCTTCGTTGCGTGCCTCCGAGTCGTCCCCACCGACGGTCACCGAGCTGTACTCGGGAGCATCCTCGGCTGTGGCCAGAGACTTGATCTTGGCACCAAGGGTGCTCAGACGCTGCTTCATCTCCTTGGAAACCTTGGTGTGCTTCTCCTCTATGGCAGTGGTCTCCTCATCGTCATTCTCCTTGATCAGATCCTCGACGCGCTTGGATTCGACACGCAGCGAGCCTAGGCCGGCGGCGCTGTCGTCCAGATCGGCATCGACCTTGGGTGGGTAGGCCAGGTTGGCAGTGGTGAAGAGGCGGTAGTTGACGAAGCCAAGCAGGGTGCGGTAGAACTCAAGGAAGGTGGCCATGACGCGGAAGTCAACGTCCAGCGGGATGTGCTGGCTGAACTGGTACGGCACGATCCATGTCACGGTCTGGCCCGAGATCTCGGCCTGGTAGTAGATGCCCTTGATTGACAGGAACACCTTGCGCAGGGCATGGCTGTGGACAACAAAGTGCATGAACTCGGCCGACAGGCGCTTGCACTCCTCAACAACCTCGTTGCTGACGTTCTTCACGACCGGCATAGTGGCAAACAAAAAGAGCATGCAGAGGGCGTCGTCGAGGTCGCGTAGGGCGTCGGCAAAAGACGGGTAGCGCTCGCGCACCAAGTGGTCAAGAGTGTACTGCGGACGGCGCGAGTGCAGGTCCTTGGCCTTGGTGATGTCGTGCTTGCCCAGGGCGTGCTGCAGCTTGCGCAGGAACGTCTTGTGCTCGCGGAACTTGGCAATCAACGGCTCGCTCAGGAGAAGCTGGATGTCCTTGGCGTAGTAAAACGTCGTTGGCTTCGAGGATCCGCGGTTTGCCTTCTTGCGGTTCTTGGGCTCCACCGGGTAGATGCCCTTCAGGATGCACAGCCGCCGGAAGTCGGCTAGCGATACCTGCAGCTTCTTCAGCGCCCGGTTACGCGTAATGTAGGTCGTCGACGCTCCCTCGGTGAACTTCTTCTTGATCTTTCCCATGGCTGACGGCTAATAGATGGAATGGAGGCGGGGGGTGTTGTGTATACAGAGCAAGTGCAGGAGAGCAAGAAAGAGCGTTGCCAGCAGGCAGCAAGCGATCGCAAGAAAAAAAAGATTTGTCGGTGTGGATGATCCGGATCAGAGATCAGCTACCCGATCAGCACGGCCAATCAGAGGCGTGACTGGCTCGATGCAGATTTTTCTTCCTTGCAGCGTACAAAGAGTCCAGCCAAAAAAAAAAACAACCTGCGGCAGCAGCAACCCGAGGTGTCGTTTACCCAGTCAAAAAATCACAGTTTGAAGAACAGTGGAGAAGCTTTCGCCGCGCTTGCTCTTTCCCTCTCTATTCATTTGCCTCTGACTTTAGTGTTTACCTTCTGTTGTGACCGCAATACACAGACAAGGGAGACATCGCATTTCTTCGCAAGCCTATAGCATTTCACTTTCCCACTTGCGCTGTTTGAATTTTTTTTTTTTTCAGAGTCTAGTCCCCCACTATCACCAAATTCGCTTTTTCTATTCAAATGGACCGCATTCCAGAGCATCGCCGCAACGCATACAAGACAAAGGGTGCTTTTGCGGCGGAGGAGCTTCGTCGCCGTCGCGAGGAGCAAACCGTCGAAATTCGCCGGCAGAAGCGCGAGGAGTCGCTTGCCAAAAAGCGCAACTTTAACCTGCCGAATGACAACCTGTCCGACAGCGAGGACGAGGAGGGCCTGGGCTCTAACCAGGAGCTGCTGCAGGAACAGTTCCCCGCCATGATTTCTGGACTGTACGCCGAGAGCCTGGACGACCAGCTGACGGCGGTGACGCGGTTCCGCAAGCTCCTGTCCAAGGAGCACAAGCCGCCAATTGAGGAGGTTATCTCGTGCGGAGTCGTACCGCGCTTCGTCGAGCTCCTGCGGTCGACGCACTCGGTTATTCAGGTAAGCAGATCTGGACAGCTGCATTTGCGAAATGCAGCCTCGCAGTGCTTGGAAAAACTCGCTGGCCACTAATTCCTGAATGCACTCTATTCGCTCCCCCCCAAAAAAAATTGCTTGTAGTTTGAGGCCAGCTGGGCCCTGACCAACATTGCGTCGGGCTCGTCGCAGCAGACACAGGTTGTCATTGATGCGCAGGCCGTGCCTCTGTTCATCCAGCTGCTCAGCAACGAGAACCTGGATGTGCGCGAGCAGGCGGTGTGGGCGCTGGGTAACATTGCTGGCGACAGCCCGCGGTGCCGCGACTTTGTGCTGTCTGAGGGCGCGCTCCAGCCGCTGATCCAGCTGCTTAACGAGAACCACAAGCTGTCGATGCTGCGCAATGCGACCTGGACGCTGTCGAACTTTTGCCGTGGCAAGAACCCGCAGCCCGACTGGGAGACAGTAAGTACTGCAACCGCAGATGCCTTTTTTGTAGATGTGCACTATTGGCCAGACGTGCATCACTAACTCGTATTGTTTGGTGCTGGCCTATTATGTAGATCAAGCCTGCGCTGCCGGTGCTGAGCAAGCTCGTCTACTCGGTAGACGATGATATCCTGATGGACGCCTGCTGGGCAGTGTCATACCTGTCGGACGGACAGAACGACAAGATCCAGGCGGTGATTGAGTCTGGCATGTGCCGCCGGCTGGTTGAGCTGCTGATGCACCCGATGACGACTGTGCAGACGCCTGCCCTGCGTTCGATCGGCAACATTGTTACTGGTGACGATATGCAGACGCAGGTCGTGCTGAACTGCGGTGCCCTGCCGGCGCTGCTGTCGCTGCTGAACTCGCCCAAGGACGGCATTCGCAAGGAGGCGTGCTGGACGATTTCCAACATCACCGCGGGCAACACCACGCAGATCCAGGCGGTCATTGACGCAAACATCTTCCCGCCGCTGCTGCACGTGCTGCAGAACGGCGACTTCAAGAGCAAGAAGGAGGCGTGCTGGGCCGTGTCGAACGCGACCTCGGGCGGGTTGAACCAGCCGGACCAGATCCGCTACATTGTGCAGCAGGGGTGCATCAAGCCGCTGTGCGATCTGCTGAACTGCATGGACAACAAAATCATCCAGGTTGCCTTGGACGGCCTGGAGAACATCCTGAAGGTGGGCGAGGCAGACCGCGAGAAGAACGCGTCGCACATGAATGAGTTTGCGCTGTACGTCGAGGAGGCTGGTGGCATGGAGAAGATCCACAACCTGCAGCTGCACGACAACATCGAGATCTACAAGAAGGCGTACAACATCATCGACAAGTACTTTGCCGAGGAAGGCGAGGACGAGGAGGACAGCGAGTTGATGCCAGGCGTCGACGAGCAGACTGGCCAGTTCAACTTTGAGGGCAACGTCGCGGTGCCCGAGGGCGGCTTCAACTTTGGCAACCAGTAAGCAAAAATGCCACTCCAGGAAGGGGGGTCCCAGAAATAAAGCACCTGTTTATCTCCGAGACACGTACAGCGCACCGCACATGATGGCGTCCATATGTGCTGGTGGCGTGTAGGATGGTGGCATACGTCCTGGCACAGCACTGTTTTCATTCTTTTCTCAAATTTCCGTTAATAAAGGTTCAATATATTCTACACGAACGCAGCACCTAGGTCTACTTGGCAGGGGTCCTAGAGGTGGTCTTTGCAGCCTCATTCTGAGCGCGCAGCTTGCGGTACCGGTCAATGAACTCCTCGGTGAACTGTGCGCCGCGTGGAAGCACGACAAAGTTGGGGATTCCGTCCCTGATAATATACTTTTGGTGGCCGATAGCGGCGCCCAGGCGTGTGCCCATGCCGACCTTGACGAGTCTCTCGTCCTCGTCGAAGCCGCCGACCGGGCGGTGCAAAAAGTACGTGTCGACATTGTCCGATAGTGTACTTGTGCTCAGTGTCCCAGGGCGGCGACTGCGCAACCACCTCGCCTAGCATGTCGCCGATAGTAAGGGCCTCGTCAAAGTCCTGGACGAAATCGGACTCCTTGAACTCCGGATAGAGGAAGAACACAGGCCAGAGGAGGTGGCCGGATTCCTCGTCGAGTGAGACCTGGCGGCCCGAGTCGTTCTCCCAGGCATACGGTGCGGGCTTCTTCTTTGCCTTCTCTTCGTCCGAGTCCGAGTCCGAGTCCTCCGGGCTTTAGCTTCCTGGTGGTGTCGAATTGGAGCTTACGGATCTCGATCGCTTGCTTGAGCTTCTGACGCTTCTCAGCAAGCTTGCGCTCACGCTCCTCCTTTTCCTTGATCTTGCGCTCGTGCTCGGCCTTGGTCTTCTCAACTTGCTTCTGCAGGACCGCGATCTCGCGGTTAGTCTCGTCAATGCCCAGCCCCCACTTGCAGCACTCGAGGGCCTCCTCGTACTTGCCCAGCGCCAGACATGCCTTGGCAGAGCGGAACAGCGCCTTGGCGGACTTGGGCCGCAGGCGCAGCGCTTCGGAGCAGTCGCGGAGCACCTTGCCATAGTTTTTCAAGTGCAGGTTGGTTGCTGCTCTGTTGGTGAGCAGCGAGACCTTGAGGTCGATGTTGTAATGCTCTGGCGCCAAACCCTTGGTGTAGAAGTCAAGGGCGTCTTTGTACTGGCCAGCCTTGAAGCAGTCATTGCCCTGCGACTTGAAGTTCTCGGCGATCTCCTCGGGCGGGCCGTCGTAGGCCAGAGTCTTAAGTGCCTCTAGAGCGGGGTTCTCTTCGTCCTCGTCAGTGTTCAGATCGCGCATGAAGAAGGGGAGCTTGTTGAGATCTTGCTCAATCTCGTCCCAGGACTTGCCGTGCACTTTGCTGGCCGGTGCGGGGCCCGCCGAGGCCTGGTCGTTATCAGACATTGCAGAGGTTGGAGGTGAATTGTCGAAAGAAAAGCAGAGAAGAGCGAAGAATCAGCAGGCAGAAAAGGACGGGTTTGTCATCACAGCGCTGGAAAAATTGTGTAATCTGATCCTCTGATTCGCGGTACTGGCGCTGGCTGTGTCTTGGGCATCTTGGTTCGGCGAAGCAAGTTGCATGTGGCTAGGTGTCCGGCCAGCCTGGCAGGGACCAGGAGAAACGGGACCAAGACAGCATCTATCCTTGCTAGGTAGCATTTTAGGCTGGTAACATCCTGAATAATATAAAGCCTGTAGCAGAGTTCAGACCTCAGTATCTTTGTCGCTTTTCCTTCGTCAAATGCTTCATTCTGAAATGATATGCCAGTTTTCATATTTCATATCACTGGTAGTAAGAGTGGACAAGCATGAAATATTACTTTGTATAATAAATTCTGATGTCGAATATCCCTTTTCTGGCAGTGCGGAGTGCCTCGAGTCCAGATATATTTCCTCTGTGGACTGCGATCACCTCCAAGTTCGGAAGGCTTCTGACGAGGGAACAGGTATACCAAAGTACGTCGGGTCCGCCATGATGGATCTTGAGATTTCGAAGCGTTGTACTGATTGGCAGCAAGTCCGAAGTATCACCAAGATAATCCTCAGTGATATTAGGAATTGGGATCTCCTCAACTTCAGCTGTCTCAAATGCGGGTTCCCAAATGTAGAGTGGACTACTGGCACTCCAATTCCCTAGATGTGTGATATGTAGAGTCCTGAGCTGTGGTAGCTTCCGAATAGCGCCAAACAGCTGAGGGAATTGGTCATCACTCAGCTCGATCGTCAGGCTTACGACCCAGGCCAGTCGTTCGATGTACTTCAGGGGGAATGGGTTGCTTGTCATGGACACCTCCAGAGCACTATGCATCGCATTGTAAAAACGAGTGATAGTCTCATGCGGGAGCTGGGCGGAGACATACTCACATGGCTGGGAATTAAGAGTGAACGACTTGGCCTGGGAAACAATACGAGTATCAATGGAGGAAAGATACTTCAGGTCTTCGCCCATCTTCAGGACTTTGATCGGAGAATGACGGAAGAGACTGTACAAATCGTCGTAGTATCGAGCAGAATTGTCAACCGACAAAGATGACAGCCTTGGGAAACGTATGATGGATCCACTGGTCGGATCTAGTTTCGTACTCAGGGGTGGTCGGAAACTGAACGCCAAACTAAGTAGTGTCAGGTTGGAGAAGACGATTTCGTTGTCTTTTGTAGGCTTGAACCAGTTCCAAATTACGTCTCCGTTGATATTATAGAACATCACCTCGCGTAAAACTGATGCGTTGAACTGGGGATATCCGCTATCATGATCTATATATCCCAAGTTCATTTTCAAGCTGGTTGCTTCGAATTCCATGCTCGAGATGGCTCTTGGTATCAGCGAATGATATCCATAAATAGAAATGAGCTGCTTCATGTAGTGGCGAATAAGCCTTTTGTACATCAGAAGTAGTGGGTCAGGGCTGTTGTCATAGTTCCGTGTTGCACCGCCATACTTGAACTGGTTATAGGCAATCGACGTGATGTTTGGGAATAGGCCAGTGAACATATCAAACGCCTGGTCAATTTCGCGATCCATGGCCGAGATTTGATCTGGAGTAGTTAGATGCCTCGCAATTCCAGTACCGTAAAATGTAACCGATCTGACGCCCGTCCACTTTTTACCATTGGCTTTGAATACTCTTAGAATACCCAATATCGGCGGCATGCACCTGCAACCAGGTGCAAAGGAAATGGTTAGATCGGTAACCGAGCTGGTCAACCCCATTGAAACGACTGTCACAATGTTGGATACCAGCCCGAAGCCGTGGTCGTTGTTCCTACTGCATCGCTCGGTGCAAACACGCTCGATACCAACAGTCTTGACCTGCGTTCTGAGAGCCAGGGCTCTCCAGCTACGACACACGTGTGCCAGTGGCAACACATCCTTAAGGCCAAAATAGTTTGACCGCAGGGAGTATCTGGGTGTGCATAGCCGCTCAAAGATCTGATCGGTGAGGTCGTCGGGGAGTCTCGTAATTGGTCCTGGGGTCGACATATTAGAGAAGTGGGGTGTAAAAAGAACTAGTGTTTGAATAGCTAGGGAGCCAAGTGGAGAGGTAGGCTGAGGAGGAAAAGCAGTGCTTTTATGACAAGGAGCAAGGGTGGGACAACTTTCTTAACCTCAGAAATCAAGAGGATCTTTCTGGCCGCTGCCAACACCCACAAAGGCGACAGCAATGTTGTAGCGACAGATGCGCATTTTTCGCACCGATAGCATTGGCAGGATGTCGCTGTTAGGGCCAGGAATGGGTATCTAGCACTGCCAGAGTTTGCTCCCACCGCACTATTTTCATGTCTACTGTGCAATAGTTGTAAACACTGGGTCTACTCTCCTAGGTGTGTTTGCCTAAGGTGTCGCTTGGCAGCCCTTTGGGTTTTCTGCTACGCTGTTCAGATAACTGGCCTTTTTCCACTGTAGATTCTTGCTGATATCCACACGCACGCAGACCGAGGATGGCCATTTGGGAGAGGGCGTTTGTTATCCTTTTCACGGTGCCATTTTCATCTATTGTGGCAATAGCAATGTATGCATTCCTACCTCTGGCGTGCATGAGGATGGATAGCTGTGGCCTGTCGTTGCTGAGTAGAGTTTCTGGATGTGCCTGGTGTATTTACGTCCTTCTACCAGGGTTGCAAGGTGCCAACAGTCACCAAAAATCAGCTCCACATAGTATTCAAGGTCAATGCAGGGTAGTAGAGTGTAAGGCACTGGGCTACCACATTGTCTTGCGAGTTTACTCTATCATATAGCCCTTCTGATATCTCATTCCATAACAGCCAATACATACGGTGATCTGGATTAAAGAATCAGTGCGGAGTGCGACAGTGGGCTGAGTAGGGCTTAGCAGCACCTTTCAGGCCCTTGCAGCTCTTTGGAAGGGACAAACTCGCGTTCGCTTTTCTTCTGCTCCGTATTTTTTATACTGTTATTTTTCTATTATATCCCCTCGCTTCAAGTCTCCTACGCAGTATTTGGCACAAAGCATGGACATGTCACTGGACGACCGCAACGAGGAGACGCTGATGGCGCAGCGCCTGGTGCGGTTCAACCATGATGCCGTAGCGGCCAAACTCAAGGCACTGAGGGACACTCGCAATAGACTCCGACAGACGCTCATTGATCAGGGCGTCATAAGCGACCCGAAGAAACCCACGACCCTAGAAGGGGCCAAGCAGTTTGTCGGAACCTGCACGAAAATGTGCCCCGACGATGAGCGAGAGGAGCGCGAACTGCAAAACAACCTCCACAAGTATGAGGTGATTCCTGGGACGAAAGCGGGCGGATCCGGCAAAGACAGTCAAGATCTACCACCGGTCGTCTGCGGGCGATGAGGAGCCTCTGCCATCAGATGTGCGGACACCCGAGACACTGCTGAAGACGCTGGATTACTTGATGAATGTGGTGGTTGCGGGTGACCAAACATTGGAGAACTGTCACGGGTTTGTACGCGACCGGACGCGGGCGATCCGGGTGGACTTTACGCAGCAGAACGCCTGCAGCCGGGAGTCGGTGATAGCACACGAGCGGATTGCGCGGTTTCACATTGTCTCCCTACATGTGCTGTGCGGGAACAAGGACTTTGATGAGCACCAGGACATGGAGCAGCTGCACAAGACGTTGAAGACCCTGATTGAGGTCTACGAGGACCTGCGGGCTGAGGGCTTGGAGTGTCCGAACGAGGCTGAGTTTACGGCGTACTACATCGTGTCGCAGCTGCATGATTCCGATGCCAAGCGTATGGCTGACCAGCTGCCGCTGCAGATCTTCCTCACGCCGATTGTTCAGCAGGCGCTGAAGCTACACAGGCTATCGCAGACAAGCAACGAGATCGTCAACAAACAGCTGCCGCCGAATCTGTTTGGTGCGCAGATCCAGACCACGCAGTTCTTCCGCGCCGTAGCCTCGGCCGAGACACCACTTGCTGCTGGCATGCCTGGCCGAGTACGAGTTTCCGCGCATCAGACGAGCGGGACTCAAGGCTATGAATTCGGCGTTTCCGCACCAGAAGGGCAGAGAGTATCCGCTGGGCGAGTTTGCAGACATTTTTGCATTCGATGGGCTCAACGACGCAAAGGAGTTTTGTGCGCTATTCAACGTGCCTGTTAACGAGGGCGGCGTGATGCTGGGCGCAAAGGTCGATAAGCGGCTGACGTATCGCGAGCCGGCGAGAAGGGCGAAGAGGGTGCGGAGGAATCTGAGAGTCGTGGGTGTCAAGTTTCCAGTCAGCGACACCTATTCAAGTGATCAATTCGGATCTGGATCCCGGCGTTCTTGCAACCCCATCCAATGCGCCGGGCTTTGGCCAATGCCTGCAGTGGCTAAAAGCCAGGCACCAGTACCGCCAAAGGCAGTTGCTGCACCAGTGAAAACAGCTGCTGCGCCAGTGCCGGACAAAGTCCAGTTTGCTGTGCCCAAGGTGCCGGCGCCAAAGGCCATGCCCAACCCAGCACCCACGAAAGTAGAGCAGCCGGTAGCGCTGTCGACACCAAATGCATTTGCCAGCAACCACAGCAGCATTTTCCAGATGTCCAAGCGTCCTGAGCTCAAGCCACAAAAGGAGCGCACCAAGCCTGCCAGCGAGCAGCTGCCCCCAATTTCGCCGATTCAGCAATGCCATGGTGAAGCCAGTGACTGCGCCAGCACTAGAAGTCGTCGTCGCTGTCTGCCCCGCAGTCGTTGTTTGCACCGCCAAAGCAGCCAGCCGATACCAGCACCGCGAATCCCAGCACTGCGCCTGCCAAACCTGATGTGCCTGTGCTCACCCCTACGCCGGTAATGAAGCCTGCCTTTTCCATGCCCGTGGCTCCAACACCGCAGCCAGAGGCGTCCAAGGTGACAGAGATAACATGGAACAAGCCGCGGCGGTTCATTCCACTGGACGATGCTGTCCAATGCCATTTTGGACAACATGCTCGAATCTATTGTGCGTGACATTGCCGCACCTGAGCTCGACCGCAGTTGTGCCAATGAGCGAATCGCGGCACAGCTGGCTGAGGACATTGCCAGCTCGCTGACCGACTATACGAGCGCCTTTATTGCGTATGAGGTGGCATACCGAGAGGTGATGACTGCCAAGGCAGATGCATTCCGGAAGCGCGCGTTGGCGAGCACAGTGTTTTCGCAGTGGCAGATGGAGGTGACGGCACGGGAGCAAGAAGCAGCGCTGCGACAGCAGTATATCGACGATTTGAAGACAATTGTCGATAGTGCGCCGGCACTGCAGCCGCCCAGAAGCCTGCTCTCTAGGCAGCCGATGATGATTTCGCCTGCACACAGCCGGACGCAATCGAATGTGTCGAGTGTATCGATGCAGTCGGCACAGGCCTGCTGAGAGCACGTTCTGGGATTCGTGCCAGCTGGGCCGCAGCGGATTCGCATCCCTTACGACGGACACTGGAGGAGTTTGGCGGTCTGCCGTTCCACGCCAAGATCGGAGTGGTAGGCGCACACGGAAACAGCCTGCTGGCTACCGGGCTCTGGTGGCAGATTGACCCGGTCCAGCGCCACTCAAGCGAACTCCAACGTGGGGAGACAGGCGAGCTACTCCAACAACAAGGCACAAGACCTGGAGATTGCCGATGAGACTGACGAGTTCCATGTAATCGATCGGCGGCTTTATGCACGGATTGCACTGTTGTCGCAGACGCCTGTAGCGGACGATATCCACCGCGATCTCTGTGACTCGCCGGCGGGCGCCGAGATTGCAGCAAACTTGCAAGCGCTTGCCGATAATCTGCGGTCTGGCAGCGGACCGCGCCATACACTGCTTGTGTTTTGGACTAGCGATTCACGGACCGGAAAGACCGTAACCAAGCTGATCGAGAAACGGGCGAAGCAGATTGGAATTTCGACGATGACGCAGCTGAAGGTTGCAGCTTTGGATCTCCAGGCGCCTGGGCACCAGTTTGGTAGGGCTGTCGGGTGGGTATTTAGCCAGTTGGCGCAGGCACAGCAGGCGCTGCTGGTGACGTCGTCGAGTGTGCTGACAATGGTCAAGGATGCAGTGCTCAATAGCCTGCATCTGATGGTGGGCAGTGTTTGCAAGCTGGCTACCCACCAATCGAGCAACGAACTAGATGTGCAAGGTGTTCAACTGGACAGTGGACATAGTCAACTCGTACCTCGAGATTCTGAATTCGCGGCTGCTGGAAAAGTGGGCCAAACTGCCCAAGCTCTCCACGTACGCGCATGTGGATGAGTCCCAGGGCGAGCTGCGCGTCGAGTACTTCTTCCACAGCATGCCAGCTCTAGGTGCTGTGGCGGGAGCTGCGCTAGACGACATTTTCCAGGCGTGTGCCCTCGGCCAAATATCGCCCCTGGTCGCACATCTGAGGGCACTGGAATTTACAACACGGCACCAGCTGGATCTGCTCCAGCAGCGGATGCCCAGCGACCTGTACCTCGAGCGGACTCTAGTCGACAGCGAGATAGCAGACGCAAAGCTGACAGCCCAGCAATCGGCGGACCAGGCTGCGGATCTGTGTCGCCAGGGCGCGATGGTCGTGGAGTCGCCGCCAGCCTCCGTCATATCGATGCAGTCGGTGCCGTCGCTCAAGCGGACGCAGTGCTGCTCTGAATTTGCTGAACCGCCTTTGTCGATTATTGCTGAGGACATCAACCGTAGCACACTGTCGGTGAAGAGAACGCGCCTGGCGGCTTCCGCGCGACTGAGTAAACTTCAGGAGGCATTGGCGCGTGCGCACCAGCAATTGCAGTAGACATATATTTAAAACTAGGCAGGACGGATTGCGCGCTTGATCATGGAGCTCCAGAGGCCGGCAGATGGCGCGACGCTGATGTGGAATGGGAACGGGTTGCCGTGCGTGCTGGCAATCAGCGGTATGTGGTCCTTGTGCTGATCCATCTGAGTGATCACGTACAGCAGCGAGTCCTTGACTTGGTCCTCGGCGCGCGCCTGCATCTGGATAAATTCTACACCCTGTGGTGGTGTTTTACGACTTTGTATGCTAAATACAAGTGGCTTTGTTTGTTTGGTTTACACTTACCTCTTTCTGTGCGGCTAATGTGCGCTCGAATGTCAAACACCCACTCTTCCCAGCGAATCTCCTCTTCGGACTTTGAGAACCAGGCGCGCTTTGACTTTGTCTCAGTAAAATACAGCGTGATTTGGGTTTTGGAGTCTGCGGTTGGCGATACTGTTTGCATTAGCTCACCGACCTTCTCGTCGACCGCAGCGCTTACGTCGGGGTCGTCGACGGATACGTATGTAATGGAGGAGAGGGCGCGCTGTTCCTTGGGCTTAACATTGCCAAAGTACCGGTGGAACAGGATCGTATGCAGAATTGCTAACTTAAAAAAAAATCGAATGGTTAGTACAGTTGGCGCAGGGGACAGATGTGGCATTGGAGTGGGATGTTGGGTACCTTTAATTGCTTCGGGGATCAGATTCCGCTCAAGAGTCTATGCAAATGAGGATGATATGTGGATTAGGTGAAGGGAGGGGGCAACTATGTGCATGCATGCATGATGCCTGTTCAATCACCTACCAAGGCGCGCGTATTCACTTTGTGGTCCATTTCAACATTCGGTGCTCGAGGCAGCTGCTAATTATCGGCAATAAACAAGAGGTGAAAAAAGAGGCTATATATTGTAGCTGAATAAAAGCGGGTAGCGGAGCGCAGATACTTCTCTTGACATGTGGCCACACTGTCGCTTATGGACACCACTGGCATATATGCATGGGCATTATAAACATGGATTGCGCCATTGGTGGCATGGGCCATATGACCCATCTCCCCCAGGCTCACATGACAGTGGCAAAGATTATACACACACGAGGGGGTACTGAGAATGAGGGAGATAGAGGTAATATACATAAACTATGAGAGCAAGGGTGAAAGGCTAAATAGGAAAAAGATGCCACTTTAGGCCTCCACAGCAGTCTGCGCCGCAGTAGCCGCCTCAGCCTGCTGCTTCTTCTTGCGGGCCACAAAGGCAGAGCGCATGGCAAAGTAGTCCTTGTGCAGCCCGCACTCGGTCTTCTCGGTGCCCGCCCAGCGGCCAGCGCGCTCGTCCTCGCCCTCCTTGACCGGCCTTGTGCTATGGTAGTCGCCGACGGACTTGTACCCCTGGTCAAGCAGGGCATTGTACGGGACCTCGTTTGCGCGCAGATAAGTCCAGACCTGCTGGAACGACCAGTTCGCCAGCGGATTGATCTTGACCAGGCCGGTGGCCTGCTCGACCTCGACAATCTGCAGGGCGGCACGGTCGCCTTTCTGGCTGCGGCGACGGCCCGAAATAACCGCCTTGGCGTTCAATTGCTCGTAGGCGCGCCGGGCCGGCTCGACCTTCACGGAGTAGTCGTAGACGACGTCGTCGCGCTCCCACAGACGGTCGCCGTGCTTGGCGATAAAGTCATCGCGGCTCTGGCATCCCTCGGGCTTGAACACGTGCAGGGGGAAGCTGTACCTTTGCTGGCTGCGCTGCGAGAGCTCCAGAGTCTCGTCGAAATGGTGCAGGGTGTCGACGAAGATTACCGGGACGGAGTGGGATTGCGCTGCAAGCATGTCGGTTATGACGTTGCCTGAGGGGCCGAATGCGGTCTCCTGGTAGAGGTCCGAGAATGTGATGGTGGCCCAGTTGAGGATCTCCTGGGGCTCGAGCTTGGCCAGCCGGTCGTTGATGTGCTTGAGCTGGGCATCGTCGAACTGTAGAGCGGAGGCAGTGAAGGACGGCATCGTTGTGAAATGTTGCCACAGCAAAAAGTAACGGAGTCAGAAAGAGTTTCGGGAATAGTCACGATATAGAAAGCTAAATGCACCGGGGGGCCCGACATGGCTTTTATACCAGCTACACGCTGCCAGCACCACTGTTCTTCCCCCCAAAAAAAGCATTAGAAACGCAGCCGTTCATTTAGCAGCACTGGCAATAAAAAAATAGCGCCATGCGACAGCCAGGGGGAATCTGTATAACCTGGATTTGTCAACATTCACCTTCCAGCCCAGGCGGCAACCAGGCAGCGAATCGCCTGTGCTGAAGATAGGGGCGGCATCAAAATACGGGTATCTATGGGGGAGGATCCAATGGGTAGGGCCACCCGCCGACACATTCAGGCATTTGTCATCTCCACCATGCATCTCCATTCTGCAGAGACAAGGAGGTGGAGGAGAAATGGAATTCCTTTGGAATCTTTCGTCTGCGCGCAAAAGATGTGCCGACCATGGCGTCTCGCACAGCCATCTTATATAGCAAAGACGTGCTGGGTGTATGCCTCTACATTTCAGCACTTGCTAGACATTTGGGCAAAACAAAAGTACCAGAGGGAGCGCACAGCACATCTAAAAGCAGGCATCAACAGCGCAACTGCGGGCTAGTGGGATATGCGGTCACGCAAGAAGCGAGGGAGATGGAGTAGGCATTTTCTATGCCATCATTGATGGTCCTGATGGCGACATCTGGGTTCCGCATTATGAACCAATTGGGTGGGAGCTTGATGACGCAAGGGGTCGATCCATTCTTTGGTACCATGGAGGATTGCTGTGCGTTTAGCAATTGGGTTAGGTCCCCAATGCTGTCGCTCTTCAGAGCCGGGCAATTTGATATTCACCGTCACAGCAGAGAGAAAAAGCAGGCGTCACAATGCAAAGCAAGGGCATGCACCTCGCACATACGACATGGAGAAGATGTGGTAGGTGCTTGTTTGCAGGCAAAATGATTGGTGTCGGGACACATCAAGAGTGTGCAAAGAGAAAAAGTCACAGATGACAAATTGCACCACGGGGCGGCGGCCATGCCCTAAATTGGACAGCAGAGCCACGTTCCCTATGCGAGCGCGGACGTGACCCAAAAAAACATACCAGCAGGAAGGAGGAAGCCTGCAAGCGCGGAGATATTCGTATAATCTCATCAGGAAATTTGCTCAAGCCAGAGTCTGTGCCCAAGCCTGTTACCAGTCTGATCGCCGTGCCCAAATTTTTTCAAACGACGTTGTCTTGGCCAGCTCAGGTGGTTAAATAGGCGCAGAACGAATAAATAGTCATCAGCATGGCGCTCCCTTACCGACAGCCCGCGTTATCTTTTCCTCTCCCCATTCCTCACACCTGTTCTTCAGCTCTACATTATTTCTCTTTCAAAAGGAAGCAATAGCAGCACTTGCGTCTCTTGTGAATATCTCTTTGTACCAATTCCACACACCCCTTTCTCTCTGCCTCTGTTATCCAGAAGGACATACTCCCGCTTCACTGACAAGCCACTAAGCTACAGGTACGGTACCAGGAAAGCAAAACGCCAGGGCCTCCCCCGCAACAATAGGGGATGGTTCTGGGTCCCTAAGCGTAAACACTAAAAATCCAGCCTTGCCATTATGTAGTAGTTCTCTTCACCAATTCCATATTACAAGGGCTTCATTGCTATAGAAAACACCTTCAAATGGCTTCTACACTCCGGTCAAACACGCAAGGATTCGCGTCGACTGCGGCGGCGGTTGTCTACACGGCAGCCACGACGCTGTCGAGCGCCACGGGCATTGTATCTGATGCCGCGATTGTGGGCGACAGTGCAACGCAGCTGCGCCAGGCCAGCGAGGTGGCAGCGTATGCGTCAGACAGCGAGGGCGTAGTGAGCATTGTGACGGCAGCCAGCACGCTGGTGGGGCTGATCCCGACGCTGCGCGATTTTGCGCGGGCGAAGCGACCGGTGGTGGTGCACGTGCCGGTGTCGTCAGCGTCTGAGGTGACAGATGTGCTGGCGGTGCGCGATGCGGGGGCGGCGATTCTGCGGTCGTCGTCGGCGCAGCAGGCAGTGGACTATGCGGTGGTGGCATCGCTGACAGCGCAGCAGCTGTCGTTGCCGGTGATCCATGTGTTCGATCAGGCGGCCGGATATCGAAGTCAAGGTGTATGAGAAGCAGGCGTTTGCGGAGATCGAGGCCGAGGGCGTCTATGAGACTGTGGCAGCGGCCATGGGGCTTCTGGGCGACTACAAGCCGATTGCGTATGCGGGCGCGGCGGATGCCAGCCTGGTGTATGTGACGTTTGGCGCGGCCACCGCGCCGCAGGGAGATGCGGGGGCTGTGCAGATTGGGCTGTACCGGCCGCTGAATAACGCGGCGCTGCTGGCGGCGATCCCAGAGACAGCGGCGCGGGTGGTTGCGCTGGAGCAGGCGGTCCGGCAGCCGACGCCGTGGGGGCCGCTGCTGTTTGATCTGGCGGCTCTGCTGCATTCGTCCGAATGGGACGACGCGCGCACGCGGCCGGTGCTCATTGACGGAGTGTCTTCTGTGGCGCCTGCATCGCTGACCAGCGAGCAGGTGGCCAAGGTGACAGGCGCATGCGGCTCAGTTCTCGTCGCCTGCGCACTTCAGCCCGGCGGAGCTTCTTGGTATTGATGGCGAGTCGGTCAGCAGCGAGCTGGCTGAGGGGTTGTCGGCCGACGAGCAGCAGCAGCGCGTGTCACGGATTCCGTATGGACAGCTTCTGCGGGATGTCTTCAAGCAGCGGCTGCACGTGGCAAATGCGGCCGAGAGCACGTCGATCTGGGGCAATGGCACGGCAGCCAACCCCGAGTTCGGCTTCGGCAAGCTGGCGGCGTATGAGCAGGAGCGCGAGCAGCTGGCGGCAGCGGTGACGGCGCTGCTGCGGAACGTCGATGTGCCCCTGTCCAAGGAGCTGCACGCGGGGCTGACGCAGTGGCTGAGCGGACGCACCAGTGCGGCGGTAGCGACGGTCGAGGCAGGCGGCCGAGCTGGTGCGGCTGCTGGAGGCCGAGCAGAGTGCCCACGAGCAGATTGGCTCGGTTCGGCGGCTCAGCGGCGGGTTTGCGCAGCGGTCGAACTGGCTGATCGGCGCCTGACGAGTGGGCGTACGATGTGGGCAGCAGCGGAGTGCACCACGTGATTGCCAGCGGGCTCAACGTCAACATGCTGGTGCTGGATACGGCCACGTATCCGTTCACGGCAGGCCAGCAAGGGCCAGCAGCGCAAGAAGGACATTGGGCTGTATGCAATGAACTACGGCTCCGCCTACGTGGCCTCGGTTGCCGTGTACTCGTCATACACGCAGGTCCTGCAGGCGCTCAACGAGGCCGATGCGTTCCCAGGCCCGTCAGGTGGTGGTGGCCTATCTGCCGCACTCGGATGGCATCTTCAGCGACAACTACTCGCCGATCGAGGTCCTGCAGCAGTCCAAGCTGGCTGTCGACAGCGGCGCCTGGCCACTGTACCGCTGGAATCCTGATCTGGCCACGCCCGAGCAGCGGTTCCAGCTGGACAGCGAGAAGCTGCGGCGGTCGGTCGAGGACTTTTTGAAGCGCGAGAACGCCCTGGCAGCGCTGGGCAGCGAGAAGCCCGTGCTGAGCCTGGCCACTGACAGCGCCGTGGAGAAGACTGCCGGCGATAAGCTGGCGCGCAAGGCCCGTGGCGACCTGGCCAGTCTTTTGGGTGGGCTGAGCGGCCCGCCGCTGCTGGTTCTGTTTGCGTCTGACGGCGGCAATGCCGAGGAGGTGGCCCGGCGTGTGGCCCGGCAGGCCAAGCGGCGCAGCATGGATGTGCGAGTGATGAGCATGGACGAGTTCGAGGTCGACGAGCTGCCGTTTGAGAAGACGGTTGTGTTTTCGATCTCGACGGCCGGGCAGGGCGAGGTGCCCACCAACGGCCGCGAGTTCTTCAAGAACCTGATGAGCGCCAGCATCAGCCTCAACGACACCGAGTTTGCTGTGTTTGGTCTGGGCGACAGCCACTACTGGCCGCGCGAGGAGGACGCGCTGTTCTACAACAAGCCGGCACGTGACATCGACCGCAAGCTGGCCTGAGCTGAGCGGCAAGCGGCTGATCGCCGTTGGTCCTGGGTGACGACCAGGACGCTGACGGCTGGGAGACTGGCTACGCGGACTTTGAGGCACGGCTGTGGTCGGCCATCAAGATCGACGTGGTCAATGCGGCTGAGGAGGAGGAGCACAAGCGCACGGACGAGGAGAACAAGATCATCAGCAACTACCTGCGCGGGTCCATCGCCGAGGCCATCGCCGACGACTCCAACGGCTATGTCGACGAGTGGGACGGCAAGCTGCTCAAGTTCCACGGAACCTACATGCAGGACGACCGCGACCTGCGGGCTGAGCGCCTGGCGCGTGGCGAGGAGAAGGCTTTTTCGTTCATGATCCGCGTGCGGCTGCCGGCCGGCGTCACGACGCCCGAGCAGTGGCTAGCTATGGATAAGCTGTCTGACACCTACGGCAACCACACCATGAAGATCACCACCCGCCAGACCTTCCAGCTGCACGGTGTGGTCAAGCGCGACCTGCGCAACACCATGCGTGGCATCAACCGCGCGCTGATGGACACCATTGCTGCCTGCGGCGATGTTAACCGCAACGTCGTCGCCTCGGCCAACCCGCATCAGGCCCACCTGCACCCGGAGATCCGCCAGCTGGCCACCGACATCTCCGAGCACCTGCTGCCCAGCACGTCGGCCTACCACGAGATCTGGCTCGACAAGACCTTTGTGGCTGGCGCTGCCAAGCAGCCCAGCGGCACCGAGGACTCTGAGCCGCTGTACGGCCAGGCCTATCTGCCGCGCAAGTTCAAGATCGCCATCGCCATTCCGCCCGAGAACGACGTCGACGTCTTTGCCTACGACCTCGGCTACGTGGCCATCCTGGATGACGCCCAGCAGAACATCTTGGGCTACAACGTCGTCATCGGCGGTGGCATGGGCATGACCCACAACAACAAGAAGACGTACCCGCGCCTGGCGTCCTGCCTCGGCTACGTGCCCAAGGAGCACGCGATCATTGTGGCCGAGAAGATCATGCTGGTGCAGCGCGACCACGGCGACCGCACCAACCGCAAGCACGCGCGCATGAAGTACACTGTCGACGACCACGGCATGGACTGGTGGCGCGAGCAGGTCGAGGCCCGTCTGGGCTTCAAGTTCGAGTCCGAGCGGCCCTACAGCTTTGCCCGCAACGGCGACCGCTACGGCTGGACCGACTCGGTGCCCGGCTACAAGAACTTCACTATGTTTGTGCAGAACGGCCGTGTTGCCAACTTCCCCGGTAACCCGCTCAAGGATGCCCTGGTCGAGGTTGCCAAGGCCCACAAGGGCACCTTCCGCATGACCTGCAACGGCCACCTGGTCGTGGCCGACATCAAGGACGAGGACGTGCCTGAAATGCAGGCCCTGCTGGCCAAGCACAAGCTCGATAACCTCGACTACTCTGCCCTGCGTCTGCACTCCATGGCCTGCGCTGCGCTGCCCACCTGCGGCCTGGCCATGGCCGAGTCCGAGCGCTACCTGCCGCGCCTGATCGATCTGCTCGACAAGATCATCGAGGAGGCCGGCCTGCGCCAGGACGCCATCGTCATCCGCATGACTGGCTGCCCGAACGGCTGCGCCAGGCCCTACAACGCCGAGATCGCCTTTGTCGGCAAGGCCCCCGGCGCATACAACCTCTACCTGGGCGGCGCGCATAACGGCAAGCGCCTCAACAAGATTTACCGTGAGACTGTCACTGAAGAGCAGATTCTCGAGCTGCTGACCCCCATCATCAAGCAGTACGCTTTGGAGCGCAGTGACAACGAGCACTTTGGCGACTTTGTCATCCGCAAGGGCATCGTCAAGGAGACCATCGAGGGCAAGGACTTCCACACCGTCTAATCTTGCTGTTCAGTAGAACCGGATGTTTAAAGTTAAATGAAATTAGAAGACAAGTCTGAGAGTTACATGTGAAGAGAATGAAAAGAAAAATGTAAAAGCAGGCGGAAAAGGAACGGCTTTTGGCGCTCTAGTCCGACATGTCACCATCCTCGCCATCACTGTCCAGCGAGCTCAGCGAGCTAATATCGTCATCGTCGCCGCTAATCTCGCTGCCCTCCTCCTCCTCCTCCCTTGCCTCCCCGCGCTTCGCCCCTAGTGCACTCAGCGCGCTCTTCGACGCAAACCTCTTCACATAGTCCTTGACCTTGGTCTCGTATGCCGTCGCATCCCGCATCATCAGCGCTGCTGCCTCGCCGTTCAGCGGGTCTGTCGGATTCGGATAGCGCAACAGCTGCGGCAAAAACGACTCAAAGATATTCAGCATGTCGAACATCGGACTCCATGTCTGGTTGATCACGTCCAGGCACACCGACCCGCTCAGCTCGTCGATGTTCGGGTGGAAGATCTTGTTCATGAACCCGATCGACGGCGACTTGTATGGGTACTGCTCCGGCAGCTCCACGTGCACCTTCCAGATTCCGCCCGCAAACGGCGCTACAGAGCCAGTAAAAACACGTCAGCTAGACATACTTTGGTTTCCTCGCGCATACCACCTGGGTTTCGCCTTAAAGTGTCTTGCTCGCCTGCTAAGCTCGCATATACACTGGTGGGGGTTTCAATTCCGCCTTTCCGCGAGCCCGAGTCTAGGCTAGCTGCCCCTCTCCCTCCCTTGCCTCCATCCGTAAAAACCCCCGCAGCCAAAATACCCAATAGTCGTTGGTGGGGGGTACTTACTATCCTCGGGTCCATGGAACCGCACAAACAGCTCCTGCATATTGTCGTTCACCAGCTTGACGTCGTAGTCGCTCATGAGCCTACAGCATTAACCCGCTTAGTGCTCCCTCTGCCTCTGCTCTACGCTACAAATGCACAAAAGGGCTACTTACAGCTTCATGACATCAGTCTCAATTCTTCTCCTAGAGTTCGCCATTGCCCTTGCAGAAATACAAAACTAAAAGCCTATATGAACAGTCACAGTGTCAATTGGTGTAGTAGAAAAAGTACCGAGAGAAAAGAAAGCAGAGGGGAAACCCGTGCCTGTGGAGGGAGGCAAGGACAGCTCTTATAGTCTAGCGCTGGCCCCCTCTTTTCTAGAGCTGCCTGCCGTCATTCTTTGTGTAAGACATCCCGAGTATGTTACACGTGACCCCCTCGCAATTTTTGCCTCCACCGATCCGGCTCCCCTTGATCAACCGAGCCGGACGGCTGGCTATTGCCTGGCCATACGCCATCCTGCCATCCTGCCATCCTGCCATATACGCTACAGGACTCGGCTACCCCGGGCCAGTTGGCCGCTTTTTGAATACCAGGCACCAGCGGGCCGTATAATAAAGCAAGCCGGACATTGGATGGCTTGCATTAATCCCAGCCGCAGGATGAGGGGAGAAGGCACTGGCTGCACTGCGCGTTTGCCTTTGCCTTAATCCAGACGAATTTGTTTTACATCTAGCCGTCGATGTACCTCCATGTGTTGATTGGATACCAGTAACTGATCATGTCTGCAGTTCCAAAAGCTATTTTTAGCCCCCACTGCTCTGCTTCTCTAGGTAGTATGATTGTGGATATTCGCAAACCTTGATGGCAGACGCACCACCAACACTGACACCAAAAAAGGTCCAGCTCAGCAGAGAATGTACTTGAATTGGGCCTTGAGCCCACCACCCATGCAGCCCCACTGCCATCTATTGTGCATGCCATTGCTTCCCAGCCCAGTATTTGCACCATTTGCACTATTTGCTTCAGGGCAGGTATTTATTGTCTGACTGAGCAAGCCGGCGTTTACATACAAATGCTATATAGTGCGCACTGGAAACAATGGACCCTGTGGACCTCATAGCTACTATACCTCCATTTATTATCTTCTGCAAGCACAACTGGGGTTTACCTGAACCAGGGCCAATACTCAGCTAGCGTTTTCAAGGGAGAAGCATATACTGACAGGTCTGGACAGTCCACAACGCTCAATACAGTTGAGTAATTTATGTGTGCTTCGGTCACTTACAACCCGCTGTATTCACGACGCCTATCACATATATGCCACTAATCCCATTTGGGATGCATGCCATGTAGTTTGAGTATAGAAGTAAATACACCCACTACATTTATCGCTAGATATCTTGTATCAGCCTTTTTACTCGGCCCTCTATACCCTTTGGTGCCATTACACTTACCTCTTGCAACAGCCAGTGGCAGCATAGTGATATCCCATTCCTACTCCATTTGTCAATCATGAAAAGTACCCTGGACTATGAGTGAATATACGGCTGAATTTGATGCCTAAGCCTATGTGATATACTTGCACACAGAGACAATGTCAAGACAAATGGCAAACATAGCCCGGCTCCATCGTTCATCATCGCCATTGGTAGTGGTCAATGCAAGCACTTGGCGAGAACAATGCATAGAATATGTCTTCTGTCAGTCTTGTAAACACCACCACACGTCATAACAATCGCCCTATGCGGTTTGTCCATTTAGTCATCTCTATTCACAATTGAGTCCCCTCTGTTAATCTTCAGAGAGTCCAGCAGCTATGAGGTTTATGGAATGAGTATAGCTAGAAATTGCTGAGGAGAAAAAGGGAGGATGGGCCAGAATGGCCTACAATGTTTATACAGGCGGAGATTTGAATCTGCACATGGTGGCGAAGGGCATGGGGCTGCCCGAATGTCAACACCCTCCTCTCAATAGTGTAGCCACAGAAACCTCTTTAAATGAACAACCTGCAAGAAAGATACACCTTTGGCCAATATACATGGCCAAACACCGAAAACATGATGGGAGTATTTTAGCATTCACACGAGCAACACAAGGGAAAGGTAGGAACAAAGGGTTTGAGAGTGTACAAAATCCTTGGCATGGATTGAGGCCCTTTAGGTGGTCATTTTACTGCCTGTACTTTTTGCTCCTCTCCTCTAGTTCTTTAAAGCCCGCACTAAGCACATATCCACTCTGTACTGTGAAGCATATATCAGCTGAAGTTCTAGCCGCTTGCCTATCGCTAACATCCATATCTTTCGTTTGTTGTACTGACAGTCATGTTGAAGGCGGGAAAATCGGCCCGTAGAGCCATTCTGCCCCAAATTGCCCATCCGGCACTGCCCTTCCGCTGCCTGTCGCCCAGGGCTGTTCGCAAGGCCCGCAACCGCCTGCAACATGCAGGTATTCTCGCTAACTGGTTCCATGAGGGAGCCGAATACGGGAACTACGCACAGCCGCAGCCCGAAGCTAAAAGCTGTAAGTAGTTGATAGCTGACTTTTCACTGTTGCTTTTGCTACTTCATTTGCAGGCAAGCAAACGATGTATGTGTATATACACTATCAATCAGTTTCACTCGGCGCCTTCTATCCCTATTTATCAGTGCTCATTCATCCTCCAATGGTCCAGTTGGTTTCTACAGTACCACTCAATGAGCATTTTTGCGCAAGCAAAAAATCTGACACTTGGTAAAAAGCTGTATTTTTGTATTTATCTATAGTCTCTTCAGACGAGCTGGAGAACCGCCAGCAGCAGCCTGAGCTGCTCCATCTTGTCAACGGATACCGTCGTTATGGACACTTGAGCTCGAACCTGGATCCCCTCGGCATCAAAAAGGCAGAGTAAGTCAACTATATACATCGGCACCTTTCATCACCTGGCAACACCGACGCTCTGCCAGTTATGCGCTTGATTTTATGGATGCCTTAGTCAAACTCACTGACACTCCGCCTCTCCAATTTCACTAAAAATTGCTTCTTCCGTAGGCTTATTGAGGAATTATCAGCTGGGCTGTATGGCTTGACTGAAGAATCGAAGATGTACAATGTTGAGGGTATGTGTTCATACTGAAAGTGCTTTCTACCCGGTTAGACAGAAACACGGCAGAGTATATGACACCAGTTGCCTAAGCAAACAGCTACATTTAAACACTATCTAGGTATTATTGCACCGTCGTCTGGGCTGTCAAGACGCGCCGATCTGTCAGCAATTATTGAGGCACTGCAAAGGACGTATTGCCGGAACATCTCGTATGAGTTTGAGCATATCACGGTAAGTATACCATAGGTACCAACTCCATTGCAGCCAATAAAAGGTTTGCTGCTACACCCAATGCTCCTCCTTTTACCCCAATCGTAGAGCCCGGCTGTCAGGCAGTGGTTTGCAGGATACGTCGAGTCGCTCGACACAGCGGACATTTCCCTAAGGCGTGAGAGATTCTTTGAGCACATGACAAAGGCCGAGGTAAGGCGTCTATTGCTTGCATGTGCATTGCACTTGCAAGACACCTACTGTACGACAAACCCCCTTGGTCCCATGCTTCACTTATCACAACAATCGCCTAACAACATTTGTAGCTGTTTGAACAGTTCCTCCAGAAGAAGCTCCCCAACGTCAAACGCTACGGACTCGAGGGAAGCGAAGCCATGACAGTTGTTCTGGACCAGCTTATCTTTGAGGGATCGTGTGCCGGCATGACTGATGCAGTGGTCGGGCTCACGCACCGCGGCCGAATGACGCTGTTGGCGACTGTATTTGGCTACAGCGAGGCCGAGATAGTCCACAAGCTGCGTGGCGGTAGCGAATTCCCCATTGGATCACTACACACGGGGGATATCATGGCGGACTTGGGAAAACCTGTTGTTTTGACCTACCCAGAGAGCTCCACCCCTGTGAATGTCGACATCGTGCGCAATGGATGCCATCTCAACTCGTCAATGCCCGTTGCTGTAGGCAAGAGCCGCACCAAGGATGTCAACATTGCAAAGACCCGCAGGTCTGACAGATATATGGTTGGTGACCATGTTCTGGCAATAACAGTTCATGGCGATGCGGTAAGTACAGGAAACATCATGTTTCCTGGTTGTGTGACAAAAGGTCTAATTTTCAAGTTCCCCTCCATGTAGAGCTTTGAAGCACAGGGAATTGTTGCAGAAACTCTGGGCATGTCTGGTCTTGCACATTTCACGAATGGTGGCACAATCCACATTGTCCTCAACAATCAGGTTGGGTACACAACTCCGGTTTCACATGGGCGGTCCACACGGTACGCGTCTGATATCGCCAAGTTTGCGGACATTCCCATCATACACTGTGAATGGCGAGCACCCAGAGGTAAGAGATATTGACTCAATATGCGAATGACGACAGACGGAATTGGTACTCCAGGTAGATGCGGACAATATACTAACGTGTGTCCTAATTGGATAGGAGGTTGCCCGTGCAGCTCGCATTGCCTTTGCATATAGGAGCAAGTTCAGAAAGGTTTGTGCATGCGATAATGATAGTCTCATATGCGGCAATAGCACTCATGAATGTGAATAGCTGAATTTAATGAATTTGTTTATTAGGATGTTGTCATTGATATGTGGACATTCCGCACCCGTGGCCACAACGAAATGGACGAGCCCACATTTACTCAGCCGGCCATGTATAAGGCTATACATGGACGCAAGTCGATTCCAGCCCAGTTTGAGGAAAAGACTGATTGTAAGTGTGCATTCCCAATATCTTTGCGATCGCATCAACAACCTTCAGTCTATTTCTAATTGACCATTCTTTGTAGAACGACGGCGTACTGACAAGCGACTATGCCAGCACCTTCCGCAAGTCATATATCAATACGCTCAGTATGGCATTTGCCCAGTCGCTCAACTGCAATCCAACCGAGGCGCCAAAGTCGCCAAGATGGAGAATGCTGAGTCCGCTGCGCAGCATCCCCGTTGAGAAGCCAACCGGTGTTGATATCGGTACGCTAAAGGAGGTTGGTCTGCAGTCAGTTACTCCAGCCAAGGGGTGCAAGGTGCATCCGCGCATCGAGCGCTTCCACATCAAGCCGCGCGTGAAGAGGCTGAATGAGGACCAGCCGGTCGACTGGGCCACTGCCGAGGCGATGGCATTCGGTACGCTACTCAAGGAGGGGTACCATGTGCGACTTAGTGGACAGGATGTCGGTCGCGGTACGTTCAGCCAGCGACATGCAATGCTCGTGTGTCAGGACACTGAGCAGGTCAGCGTGCCCTTGAATCTCCTGCCCGGCAAGGATGCAGGAAAGATCGAGGTTGTCAACTCGAATCTGTGCGAGGAAGCGGCGCTCGCATTCGAGTATGGCGTGTCAGTCGAGGATCCGTTCACTCTGGCAATCTGGGAAGCCCAGTTCGGTGACTTCTTGCAACAACGCGCAAACCTCAGATTGACAGGCTATGTGACCGCAGGCGAGACCAAGTGGGGCCAGCAGAATGGCCTAGTAGGTATTGTTGCCGCATGGCTTCGATGGCGGAGGTCCCGACCACAGTTCCTGCCGGCTCGAGCGCCACCTTGTTGCTGTCAAACGACCCTGTTGACGGTGAACCCAGGCCAAGCGATGCCCTAATGTTTACATCGCATTCCCAACCACGCCTGCCCAAATGTTCCATCTGCTGCGGCGCCAGATGAAAGCGCAACTTCCGCAAACCGCTGATCGTTGCCGGGCCAAAGACACTGCTGCGTCTTGCTCAGGCAGTCTCGCCGCTTAGTGACATGGGGACCTGGCACCCAGTTCCAGCCCGTGCTGGACGACCCGGTTGTGCAGGACCCGCGGGCAGTCAGGCGTGTGATGCTGGTTTCAGGCAAGCTGTACTACGACTTGGCCAAACTCAAGAGCGAGCATCCAACTAGGTGAGAATGTCGCGATTGTGCGTGTCGAGGAGCTGTCGCCGTTTCCGCGCCAGCAGCTGTACCAGACGATCTCGCAGTACACCAAATGCGACAGATTTCGTGTGGGTGCAGGAAGAGCCTCGAAACGCTGGTGCATATTCGTTTATAGGCCCAGCGAGTCACCCAGCTGCTACCGGAATATGCACCACAGCTTCGATATGTTGGGCGTGACGAACACGCTGCCGTGTGCTCTGGCGTCGATTCCCAGCAGGCTGAAGAGCACGTGCGTCTGACGCGTGAGGCGTTTGAGGGCCTGCGGTCGCTGGTGGTTGACCTAGCCGCCGAGAGCAGCGCGTCTCAGATCCGCCACCGGCAGCTTGAAGACTCAGCACACTCAGCGGTCATGCCCACCATCGCGCATCGGTGGGGAGGGGGCGGCCATATCCATGCTGCGCAAGGTGTTGCTGACCAGTGAACTGTGTTGAGATTTGTACTTTCCAGGTGCTTACCATTTTCATTTCCACATGTTTTCATGTCAAATTTGACAACAGAGCCAGGCATTCAATCACAAAGTGCCATGAAGACCTACATTTATTGTCCAAGATACGTGCTCAGTTGACGAATGGCTCGGAGAACAGTGAAAATTCCGAGTCCGAATACATAGATAGCGAGCATGGTGTCGATGGGCTACGATGCTTCAAATGAGTAATTTCTGCCGTGGGTATTGCCTGGCGACAATGAAAACAACTGCACCCAACTGCTCGTTGTCGATGGACGCATTCCATCCGTGCTAGGTCGGTGTCCGATCGGTTCCGGCTGGTACATCCGGTGGTCTTTATGATCAAATAAGGGGTGGTCGTTGAGAGGAGACCACTCAACTAGTCTCTCCGTAGAATATTCGCGACCATGGTCTGGGTCGCCAGCGTGGTCTTCAGGTGTGTCTGTATCACTGAGTAAGAGGTCATCAGGAGGTTGCTGCTCGATCTGCGACTCTTGTTGGGCCGTTTGAGAAACTGCCTTGTCTTTTGTGTTGCAAATATTGTCCTTGTCGGCACATCGGGATGCTGAATCGCCTACGGAATTACTGATTGAGGCGCTGTCTGCCGCCGGTGCTGCCTCAAGCAGGTTGCTGATCATAAACTGTGGCAGCAATGGCGGACACAGGCGATACGCATGATACTCCCATGCTTGAGAGTGCGCTGGGTCTTTTTGATATGCCACCATATGCACTATGCATGCACGCAGCCATTGCGGGCAGAGGCTGACTAGGGTACCCAGGATCGCGACCACAGCCAGAGCAAGCAGTGCCTGCAGTGACCACAGATCAGCTGCGAATATGGCGAGAGACTGAATCATTATTATCCTAATTCCTGCGATGTGACCAAAGAAGCAAGTGTGCAGGCTGTCGTTAGGTCCCAAAAGGTGCGGCAGTGGATTCCTTTGGAAGATATGTAAATATGCTGTGAGAAGAAAAAGAGAGATCGTTAAGAGAGGTATGAGAGGGCGGTCAAATCGTGGTCGTAGAAAGGATCGTATTAAAGAGGAGGAGAAAGAGCCGTATTCAGATGCCGATAGACTCTGCAGACAAGCTTGAGTCTCAATACCTCGTCTGTTATTTTCGCCACACCTTTCAGCCGTCAATACTTCCGTAGGGCTTTGGGAGCCGGCAAGCCTGCTATTGTGAAGCCTCTTTACTATTCCGGGAACAGGTCGCATTGTCCCAAGACTTGCTCAATGCAATTGTCCGCAGCTGAGCACCAAAAGCAGCAGAAAATAGTGGGCAAATGTGATTGCAATCACAACAATGTGATTCCAATCAAGAGCGGTCCGGTGATTGGGCACGATAAACAACAACAAAAAATCGCGCTTGGTCGCTGGCCACGAAAAAATAGAGACGAGAATTTATTTTGTGCCCCCTGTTGGCAAATTGGAGGGCTGTGCTGCTCGATTCAGGCTTGCATCTGCACTTTTCTTCAACAGCAGCTATTATTTCGCGACTATTGGAAATTCGGTTCTATTTTGCCTATTTATGTTACAGTAAACTCCTTTTGAGCGTAATGAGCAGCCAATTAAAACTACAGAACACCGAGGTCTTTGTCAGTCTTGTCGGGAGCAACAGCATCGCCGCGCCCGGAGACACATCAAAGTACTTTACATGCACGCAGAATGGTAATGTATCGCAGGCGCATACTGCTTTCTCTCGCAGGGACTGGTTGTCCAAAAGACCAGGCATAAAACTTCCATACTAATCCGGCTCATTGTTCTGCTGATCTGCGGGTTCTACTTGCCCGTCTCCGTTTGCAATCTCCCTACCGCTGGGGCTACTGTAGGCAGCACAGAGTAAGTTTCCAGATCGTTGGCTAGTCCATGAGGCGCAAGTAGACAACGTAGTATAGAAGTCACATAACTAATGGTCCATTCCGGTATCTGTAGTCGCATATACGTTGATGGGTGTACTACCGATAGCAGCAAGCTGTTTGCAACCGGCGACTTCCAGAGATATGTAAAGCATGCGGTGGAAGGTAAGGCACATTGCAAGACCCCTGCAGGCCGGGTAGATGTACAGTTTACTAAAGCACTGGTGTGTCTATGTAGGTGGTACATCGTCGGTATTTCTGTCGGCATCAGGGATTACGCGCTTGGCAGACTACGGACCGCAAGCAGTTTATGAGCGACCTGTGCCAGAGTATCAGCAAGTGTATGAGCGACTTTGATCCAGACATGAGCATGACCTACGCGTTTGTGGGCGTTGACCGACCAGAAGATGATCGACTTTCATCACGACTGCAGTGTAAGCCCTGAAGCGATCGAGCACGGGCTGGCTGATCTCCAGCATGAGGTTGACGACTGGGAGATGGTGGAGCAGAAGATCCTGCGCGGCTCAACCCTTCCATTCATCCTATCGTTGCACTTTGAGAGCCTGCATGGAACACCGACAAACGGGCATTTCTGTATTGTCGACTTGAACTTTGTTGACTGGTCGCCACTGGAAATACCCCGTGCAAATGAGCAGCCGAGCGACCCGATGTCATCATTGCGCCTTCAGCAATCAACACGGCCGCTCACCAACCTGATCCACCTGTTAGCCAACGGTACAATCCTTACAGGTGCTACAGTCCAGAGCAACCCGCTTGTGGATTTGACCGGCGAATTTTTGTACGGCGAGAGCAAGACAGCGTTTGCGATGTATGTGAGTTCAGACGAGTCGCCCAACGGCAGTCTAGAGTCGACCATTGAATTGATCGCATCGTTGCGGCGTCTCAAGAGCCGCGAGATCATCCGACCTGTGGATCGCCGCGTACTGTTCTTTTACGAAAAGGCAAAGTACTACCAGTCGGAGAAATATCGGTTCCAGGATGAGCTCGCCGACACACAGGATGAGAAGGAGGCTCTGGAAAAGGACCTGGATGATATCCAGCGTGATTACAGCGACGAGAGGGAAGCGCTGGTAAAGGAAGTTTCCCATTGGCAGGAGCGCAGCAGGACACTGGAGGAAACGCTCGACCAGTTGCGGTCTGAGAACGAGGGAATGGAGGCAGATGCACGGTGGGAGAACGCAAAGCTGGTCACAGAGAAGCTGGCGCTGCGCTGACGAGATCAGGCGGCGCGAGATCGAACTGACACTGAGCGAGGACGAAAAGTCCCGGCTGCTGGACCTCACCTGAGGCGCTGCAGGAGTCGCACGTTTTGCTTGATGCGCTGCACGGCAAGCTGTTTGATACGTACCGGGATCTGGCAGTGCGGTTCGTGGACATGGCCAACAAGAGCGACACGATGCAGATAGCAGTTGAGGAGCTGAAGGACCAATCTGCGAAGGATAGGCAGGATCTGGAAGCGCTGCGGGCGTCGGCGCAGTCTGACGCGCAAAGCTACGAAAAGTACATGACTGACATGGAAGACCAGCAGATGCACGTTGTGGGCGAGCTCGAGGCGCAGCTGACGGCTGCCGCTGCGCTTAGCAAGGAGCTGAAGGGGCGGGTGGCCAAGCTCGAGGCTGAGAACCGCCGGCTGACGATGTCGCAGACATCAGAGACCAAGGACCTACAAAAGACTGTCGCAGAACTGACGTCGCATCTGGAGTTTTCGCGGCAGGAGATGATGAATGAGAATGCTGAACTGGCGAACCGGCTGCACATGTCCCAGCGCAGTGTGAAGCATCTGGAGAACGATAATGCGCGGATGGTGGGACGGCTCGAGGCCATGGCATCTGGCTCGGGGATGAATAGGTGCAGAGGCATCGTGGGAGCGCGAACGCGAGCAGCTCACAAAGAAAATTAAGCGGCTCCAGCGGGCGGCAGAGGCGGCCGAGCAGCGGGCACTGGAGATGCGCGAAGATGGCGAGTCGAGCCTGTCCGAGTGGCAGAGAGAAAAGCAGAGTGCTGATGAGCGTCACAGGCGGTTGACGGGTCGGGTCCAGTCGTATGCAGAGCATGCAGCTGGTGTGAGCAGTGCGCTAGATGAGGAGCGCACAAATGGAGCTGCCATACCAGCAGCAGCAGCAGTGAGCCGGCTGGCGAGAAACAGGACAAGCAGAAGAGCAACCACTGGATCAGATGATGGCACAGCTGGAGACCGACGACAATGAGGAAGGTGGCCACGGCCACCGAGGAGCCAGTGCAACAGGCCAGGCGGCGAGGACGCCCACCAAAGAAGAAGGCAGCTGCAGAGACTGGGGGTAACCAGGTGCCTGGCAAGAAGATGCCGCCAAAAGAAGCAACTCGCCGGGGCCGTGGTAGGCGAACCAAGCACACTGAGGCCCATGCCGCCGCCGCCGATGACGTCGGTGACGTGTCTATGGCTCGCGTTAAACAACCTGCAGCGCGCCGCCGCAAGACTATCCTTGAAATGGATGCCTGAGCTGAGGACGCAGCCTGCACGGAAGCGGGGTAGCAAGAAGGGGTCACAGCAGCGGCAGTCGGAGGAAGAAGAAAGCGCTGAGCCGCGTATCGGTGACACACAGGAGACGTTGGCGGCTGATGAGCCGAGGGCTCCGTCGCCTAAGCGCAAGCGCGTGGGGAAGACTGCAATCACGCTCGGCCCTGTGAGCAGCGAAGGCACAGGGGCGGCGCTCAAAAAGAAACGCAAGCTCAACCTCAAGCGTATACAGACGATTTTGGGTGGCAATAGGCAGGCAAAGGCGGCGCCAAGCAGGCCAGCAGGCAGAGACAGCGAGCAACCCACTGGCACTCAAATTCTCGGTACCGAAGATCCGATCAAAACCGCAAGATCTCGGATCATAGCGGCAGGAGCGCATACCGGCCTTCACGTACCGCATCAGCGAGCGCTGTAGCAAGGCGACTGCGGCGGATGTGTTCGTTTTCTCGGATAGGTGGCTCACCATAAGGAAAAATGGCGCTGGCCCTAGTCCTGCGATGGAGCTTTTTTCTAGTCCGACACGCAGTGTCACCTTTCTCGCTTCTCTTCCAATTTGTGTTATTTCATTTCTACATTCCATTGACCCGAGTTTCATTTAACTGGAAATGGCGAACCCTAAAAAGGCTATTGTGTTTGTCGCCAACGGCACCGAGGAAATGGAGGCTGTAATTACCATCGACGTGCTGCGTCGGGCAGGCATCGAGGTGCAGGTGCTGGGTGTCGAAATCGAGCGAGGACCTGTGACGTGTAGCCGCAACATCCAGATCGTCCCTGACGCGTTCCTGGGCGACGACGCCGGCAAGATCGGCAGCTACGACGCCGTGATTGTCCCTGGCGGAGCCCTCGGAGCCACGACGCTGTCGCAGAACGGCCAGGTGAAGTCTATCCTGGCAGACTTTTATGCGCAGCATAAGGTTGTTGCCGCCATTTGCGCTGGCACCCTGGCAATCAGGTCGGCCGGAATCCAGACAAAGTCGGCTGAGCCGCCGAGCGTCACATCGCATCCGAGTGTGCGGGATCAGCTGGAACGCGATTTTGCATACAAGGAGGACCGGGTGGTTGTTGATAGAAATCTGGTGACGAGCCGTGGACCGGGCACAACATTCGAGTTTGCGCTCAAGATTGTTGAGTTGCTAGTGGGAGTGGACAGGGCGCGCGAGATTGCAGGCCCAATGATCCTGAACTTTGAAGTCTAGATACAGACCGGCGGTCTCTTTTGGAAGTGCAGTGGTCCCAGAGAAATAAAAGATATATCGTGTTGAATTGTTCTATTCTGCTAGTAGCGCTTGCCGAGGTCAATGTATACCTGGCCGTTGTCCTCGTCATCGCTGGCCTCATCATCCGACGCGCCCGGCACCGAGCGCTTCTGGGCCGGGTCAATGGCGCCAACGTCCTTCAGATACGTTTCAATATCCTTCTTGCGTGTGCGCATGCCGCCAAACTTGTCCAGGCGCACCAGCTGCGCCTGCATGTCGCCCTTCCCATACACCAGAATGGTCGGCAGGTTGGCGTCCGGGTAGTTGTGGATGCACTCGACCGACACAATCTTTGCAAACTTGGTCTGCTTGTACTGCTTTGCAAGCACCGACAGGTGTCTGTTCAGCAGCTTGCATTCCGGGATGCTGTCGCGGAACAGGTGGACGACAATCCACGACTCTCTGCTGGCCAAGGTCACCTCGCGCTTGTAGTCAGGCTCGGAGATATGGATGAGCTCACCGAACTTGTCGTTGGCGAGCTCGGCCTTCATCTCCGCGAGGCGCTGGGCACGGTACTGGTTCAGGATCTCCTCGTCCTCGTCGTCTTCGAGCTCGTCGAGCTCGTCGAGATCGAGGTTGTCGAGCCGGTGCTCGTGCTCCTCGCGCGCCTTTTCGACAGCTGAGTCGTAGATGTCGTTTTGCGTGATCTTGATTTGCTGGGGCAGGATGCCATGCTTGCGCAGAATGTCGTTCCACTCAGTATCTTCGTTCGGGTCCATTGTCAAGAGGCTGGAATAGGGGGTTCCTGGAGGGAGGGGGATCTCATGCGCATAGGCGCCAAAAGGATCCACTGGGTATATATTCGAAAACTCAGATTGGCAGATATATTGGGAGCCAGATTTTATTGCTTTGCCCACCGGTGAGCCTTCTACTTGCGGGCCGACTTGAACACGCGGGTCTGCTTGCCGTACTTTACCAGCACCCGCTGCTCGATGTTGTCAAGATCCCACTCGTGGTAGATAATCGAGAGCGTGTCCTTCATGCCCAGGAACTGCTTGTTGAAGTCCTGCGGCTGGCCTGGCTGCTGGCCCATGGCGCCCATGGTGCTCATGGCCGTCATATCGCGGGTTCCGTCGGCAGCGTTCTCTCCGCCTAGGATCAGCGAAAACACGCCGCGCAGACCAAACAGGTTCAAAAAGTACCATGACAGCGACGACACCCACTTGACATCCATGTTGGGCGTCATGATGCCTGACTGCAGCATCTGCTTGAAGCGCAGACCCAGCGGGAACGGCAGCTTGATCAGGATAAACCCAGAGAAAAAGAACTGGATCCAGCCCATGATGAGCGTCTGCGGAACGATGCCCATCATCTGCTTCTTCATGCCGTCCATCATCACCTCCATGTTCTTCGGGTCCGCCATCGGGTTCACCAGGCCGCCATCGTCCTTGCTGACCTTGTTCTTCAGGTACACGCCGTCCTCAAACGCCTGGCATAGGTACTTCTTCCGCTCAATGAACGCTGACGTCGGGAGGTACGCATTGTTCTGTGCCAGGAGCTGTCCGCGGATCAGCGCCTTGCCCTGCCGGATGTCCTTGAGCTCGGGCTTGGGCGGGTCGCCGGTCATCAGAATCGTCAGCTGGTGACGGAACACACCCACCAGAACCATGATGATCGTAATCGGGAAAAGCACCCAGTCCCGAATCGCCGGGTCCAGGAACATTGTCTGCTCCATCGTCTCTACCGAGCCGCTCATTGTTGTCGTCAGGAGGTAATTCTGCTGATAGAGGTGAATTTTAAAAAAAGGGAGGGGGAACAGACACGCGAGAGAAATTAACAGCCGAAAGCGCACAGCACGGACAAAAGACCTGTAATCGTTGCGTTATAATCTGCACGCGTGGCCCCGTCCTTCAACACCAACCAACCCTGAGGCTGCGTGTGGCCGAATCTTTTTTCTTTTCTCCCTCCCCACCACTCAATTTTTAACTCCTTCCTTCAGCAGCATACTCACAAATGGAACAGACAGACAGCCCGCGCAAAGAGCCGCGCTCGCGAAGACGTGGCCAGCACCAGCATCAAAACAGGAACCACGGGGAGCAGTCGCCCCGGCACCCACCGAGCACCAGCAGTCGCAGCAATGCCACCCCGCCTGAAGAGGAGAAGGATTCGAATTTGCCATCCGGCTCATCATCTGTCAATTCGAGGCAGCACGAGGCGAGGCGGTCGGCCTGCGACAGCACAGAGCGACATCAGCCGCCTGCTGGCCAACGCTGGTGCGTCCACCGCTACCTACGCGAACAAAGCAACTATCCGATACACCATTGAGCAGCTGCTTGTTCTCAAGGAGAGCCCGCTTGTCAAGCCGCCAACCGACTTCTCACCGTTCACACCACCACCCAGGTAAGCTACCGGCTAGAAAGCCCATGTCGTGTGGGAAGCCCCCTCACCTTTTTCTTTGTATGCTGACTCGGACCTGCCTTTGGTCATTGCGCAATATTAGGCCAGACCGGCAGGCAAAGCCCACGGATCAGGCTGCAGGTGCGCGGTCTAACCCTGGCTCTCCGGCAGCCAAAATGGCAGTGCTGGCCAGGACAGCAACGCGAGACGCCAGAAGGATATTGTCTTGGCCCCGCAGCGGCCGTTGGACCCGTCGTATCGCGGCCAGAACTCGACGCAGCGTGTTTTTGGCGTGCCTCGCAGCAGTGTCAGCAATGGCAGTATCGCCAGCAACGGCAATAGCAACGGCATGCCGCCCGATGGCGGGCTATCAGCTGATGTCCGCGTTGGCAGCAGTTTGCGAAACTTGGCTCACTTCTGGCTCGTCGACGAATGGTGGAGCTAAGGCAGCCAGGCAAGGCACCCAGTCGCTCGGTAGGCGTGCAAGCAATAACGACTCCAGCAGCAGGTCGGGTGCAGCGTCGTGGCGCTCGTCAGCCGGCGTTGGTGGGCCTGGCGGTGGACGCAGCAACTATCACCAACACCAGAGCCACCAGCCCCATGCTGGTGACTTCAGCTCGATGGTGGAGACTGAGCGCGGCCAGCCAGAGTGGATGGACGACGATATGGCGTATGACGAAAACCAAAGTATGACCAAGATTAACGACATCGAGGAGTGGAAGCAGCGTATGAAGAGGCAGTCGTGCGAGCCCACGCAGGGTTCTGGATACACCCATGACCAGCCGCATCTTGTGCCTACTGGGGCTGTTCATTCGGACGGTGCTGCCCGTGGATCACGGTTCCTGCGGCTCTTCCAGCACTCGCAAGAAGACGACGCAGTTGCTGGACAGGCCATGCAGGCTGCTACTCAACCCACTGACAGCAACGCGGCCGATGTGCCACAGCCGGACTGACCAGGTGTCCAAGCTATTCAAGGTGCTGGGGAGCAAGGTGAGCGTTGGTGCTCCAAATGGCAACATGCTTGCAATGCTGCAGCCCCAGCAGCAGCAGCAGCCGGACACAGCCCCAGCAGCAGCCAGCCGCCTCCACCTATTCCTGCTGAGGCTGGTCTCTTGGGTCGTCTGGGGCTGGCTGGCTATGCCGCTAACCCTGCCGCTCTTGCTGCTGAAAAGCCCGCAATCACCCTTGCCCAGCACGTGCAAGTCAATGCTGCTGTGGTGCACGCCCCCGAGCCGCAAGGCTGATTCACAAAAGAGCCTGGCACCGCCTGCACCGACCCATTGCCCAGCACAAGTCGGCCAGCCCGGCGCCAATCAACGAGGCACTGCGCGGAATTGTCCCAACATCGGTTTTCCGCAAGAGTATCCAGTCCGGTGGCTCGCCTGCCGCGGCCAAGCGCCCCGATAGCGCCAGCTCGTCGTCCAGATCAGCCACCCCTGCCCGCAACCTGCCGTCGTGGCTGGTCGAGCTCTCACGTGGCCGCCCCGCCGCAGGGGCCACAGATGGAAATGGCGCGCCGCTGATTACCAACGACACGCTTGGGACACACGACCTGATCGATGCGCTTGAGCGGGAATTCCCGGCGCTTTCAGTCAAGCCGCGCCCCTTGGATAATCAGTCGATATCGTCACTATCTGTGCAGGCCTCTGTTGGCGTCCCGGGCGACATTGGGTCCATCAGGCGTGGCAGTGTGGACACGGTAGCAACCGACCGTCAGACTGACGCTGTGCTTATTGCCAATGATGCCATTACCGCAGCTGTCTCTGGCACCTGCAGCAGCTGTTCCTCCCCCTCCTTCCCAGCAGCAGCATCATCAACATCACCATCAACAGCAGACACCAGTGTCGGCACCCGAGTCGTCGAGTGTCGCAGGCAGCCAGCCTACAATGCAGCAGCCCCAGCAAATGCAGTTCCTAGTGAACCAGGCTGCAGTGCACATGTCGCCCAACAGTGCCAGCAGTGCGAATGGCAATATGACGACACCCGAGCTGGCGCAAAGCCCCAATGCACAAATGCTGCCACAGAACATTGTGGGCCAAAGGTATCCCCCCGCAGATGATGCCCGCTGAACAACACGATGATTCCCGGTCTGATCCACCCGTCGGTGATGCAGGGCCAGATGCCGCCCCCTCACATGCCGATGATGCCGCCGCCGCCCCATGGGTTCCCGGCTGGAATGATGTATGGTATGGCACCGCCCCCGCATGGCATGTTTGGCAACATGCCACCCCCACCAATGTCATTCCCGATGGGCCAAATGAACGGAATTCCTGCGCCGATGAACGAGCACCAGCAGCTTATGCTGATGAAGATGATGGCAGAGGTGCCCCCGCAGATGATGTTTGGCCAGATGCCACCGCTACCTCAGCAGCATATGTCGGCACATGGACCGAGTCCTGCCCCAGGCATGATGCAGTCCAGTGGTGCTCCGTACCCAGGGATTCTCGGTATGGCTCAGGCCGCTGATGGACATAACTCGGCTGGTGCCCAGGATCCCTTGCATCCGTCCCAGCAGCACCAGCAGTAGGCACCTTGCCTTTAAATTTTCCATCCCTATTTTTAACCCGTGTGTAGAGCCCACTCCCTCACATGTGCTGGCGACTTTGCTTTCCAATAAAACTATTTATATGGCAGCAGGTTGCTGGCTTTGCAATTGTCTGTGCCGCGATACCACCATCGTTCTTCATCAGACATCACATTGGCGACATCTGCTAAGACCGCTGTGAGCCATTAGCTGCCACCAACTTCGGATCTGTGGGTTCCAGTATATCTAATAGCCTAAGGCTAAAGATGATGGCTGCCAAGTGTTGGGCCAGCACGCCCTGGATTCTAATGGCCACAAGCAGCCCTTTGATCACTGCTGATCCCACTGCGCGACTCGATGTGCCTTCGTGCCGCGCGCTTCTGTTTCTTCTCCTGTTTCTTCTCAACCACAAAATTCAGAATTTCGTTGCAATGCCCACTTTTACACCTATAAACGCGCAGGAGGTTGCAGAGGCACAGCCTGGAGACGTTGGCGACAAGGCGGCTGTGGGCGTTCCTCACGCGCATTGTCGAGCAGCAGGTACTGAGCAACACAGCAGCCTTGGACCTGCCTCTGGAAGGCACGTAATTGACTAAATATTTGTCGTAATTTAGGTCCGGGACTGCATTGGAGAGCTACAGTGACTGCATTGCGGCTGTGGAATAAAGGACCTATCGCCGAAGCACTGGCTAAACTTGAGGAGCTTTCGACGTCACCACTCATATCGATGCAGCAGGTAAGGAAGCGCGCTTCGAGACAGCCTGTGTTGGTTAAGAAACGGGCACTGAGTAGTGCCATGCTAACGGCGCAGTTTTCTGTAGGACAGCCATATCGAGACCGAATGTGACGCATACTGCAACGAGTATGGTGGTATCACGATGAGCAGGCTTCGGTCACTGGTATTCAGGGGGATAGGGTCGCTGGTGATTCAGACAGCTAGTCGGGCGAAACATGGATTAGTCTTTCAGAACGTGGGCACACCGCGGTTTGAGATCACCGACTATGAGCTCGAGCCAGAGCTGGCAGAGGCAGCACACAAAGCGGTGGCATCCATTACAACGGCCATTAGGTTTAGCCAGGCCGAGACGACGACATATCTCCTGCTAGCACACAGCGCAATTCTGGCCGGGTGCCTTGACATTGCTACCTCGGCTCTCAGCAGTGGCTTGCAGGCGTCCAGTGGCCCAGTAATGCTTCCGGAACTGCAGGCCCGAGGGCTTGTTTGCAGCATGGATGTCGCTGGTGCACTGGTGCGGCAACTGCACAGTCCAGCGCAATGGTGGTGTTTGAAGACGTTGTGTCAAGTTGCTCTTCTGAAGGGCGATTCTGACATGGTCGAAGCGTATAGCGGCGCTGTTTCAGGACGCTGGCGTCGCCGCCGACAGTATTCCTCTATGTGCTGAAGACCTGGGCAAGATCCGTCCTGCACCACTCCAGCTTCCGCCTGCACCACTGTTCAGCACTTTGCATTCCATACAGCGGTACACATCAGATGAATCAGCGAATACACTGCCTGAGACCGTGTCGCTCAGATCTGGTGGATGGATCCGTGGCGCTTTTTGACGTGGGACAGGCTATCCTTGGCACATTTTCTCAGCTAAGCGACCCCCGGGTCGCCAGCAACTCGCTATTCAGAGAGATTAGCTTTGAGTGTCACAAGCAGTACTGCTACCGACGATACAGCTAGAACCAGCGACATGGACAAGCCAGCCAACTGTGACGATACTGCCGCTGTCCTCAGTGGCGAGCATAAGATTGAAGTGACTGCACCTGAGTTGACAAAAGTGCCGGACGGGAAGGGCTATGATACCAAGTCTCCGACTACAGGTGATGAGGAAAAGTCAGCAGATGCTGATACCCCCAGCGGTCATAAGCGCCGAGAGTCGTTCTCTGGGGACGAAATGCCCACAAAGCGCAGATCAACGAGGTTTATTGAGCGGTCGACTTCAAGCCCTTGCAGGGTCAACGCCGGGCACTGCTGGAACAGGTACGCTTAGCGCTGGAAACCGCGTCCCTTCGATCCGCAGCAATCAGAGCTGCCCTCTGTCAATGAAGGCCGATCAGCAGGGCTCGCCAGCTTATGACGAGGCAAAGAGCAGTACCGAGGCATGGTTCCGGTCTATCAGCTTTGGGCGGCAGCCAACATATTCGGGATTGTGGACCACAAGCAAGAATGTGGCACGCTCCATTGCGCTTTATCTGAACCGCAGGCGGCAGCAACAGCGGCAGCGGCAAAAGTCCAAGGACAAGTCGGAGCTGGAGACCAGCGAGGATGCCGCAGGGTGGTGCCTCGAAGCCAACGCTGAAGACAACGGCAGTCATCTCTGCCAGAGCAGCAGGTACCTCGACTCGCTGAAGCTCCTGCTTTCAGCACAGACCAATGGTGACCAGATACCTGCGAAAGATGGTCTGCACTGTCAGCGAGCAGCATATTTCGGTAGACGAGTGCAGGCGGCTATTTGATGGTAATGACGGCGTAATCGACTTGCTGCTGCGATACTACGACAGACTCTGCATAGCACTATGCTCCGACGTGCCTGCCGGACAGTCTGCCGACAGTCGCCTGTCTGAGACTGCCCTGCGCACGCTGGAGCAGGTTCATGAGGCGATAATTGACTGGACCAACGACTCGCTTATGTCGGGGATGTCACCCATGGACTACGAGAAGGCTATTAGGTACGGCCTGGTTGCGTTGCAGCTGTTGAGCGGTGTTCTCATTCGGCAGCTGTTACCAAGCGATATGTACCAGTGCATGCGTGCCGAATGGATCAGGACAACAGATAGCGTCTTGCAGTCGGCCATGCGCGAGCAGGTGTATCAAAATCTCGACCTCGAGTACCGAATTGCCAAGGAGTGGGCCGACTACGAGCTTGCGGTGGTTTCTAACGATGTTGATCTTGCTGAGCAACACATTGCCCGCTGCGAGGAGCTGTTTGACACGCTGCAGACACAGCAAGGCGATGGCAGCTGGATGGGTAGCACCAAGTGTGCGTTCTCTGGGGAGCCAGTGACGCTGAAGCTGGTCAAGAGTCGACGAGGACACATTGCCTCGTTCCAGGCGCTGGTCAAGGCTGAGTCGGCGCTGGCATCAGACAAGGAAGGCGCAGCACGTCGACTCGAGTCAATCGTTAGGACGTTTACCGCTGGTGAAACTGCTGGTGGGTATTTTTCGTTTGTGCAGAAGATCGCGACAGTACGGCTCTTGGCGTCGATATACAACGAGCAGTCGCAGACAGGCAATGAGGCCCGGCTCGTTGTCATCGAGCTGTTTCTGTACATGGAGCGATTAGTAGCAGAATGCGGTGACTCTGACAGCGATACAGCGTCGGTGCCGCTACGTCCTATTGTTGGCAGGTGCGTGGACTGCTTGCAGCGGCTGGGCGAAATTGCTCAGGACGACTCCCAAGTTTGGGAAGAGTTGGCACGGATGCTGGACACTGCGTTCTTTTCGACTAGCTGCATGCAGATGCTGGCACTGTCTCTGGAAGTTGCGGCCTATTTCTCGGTTGACCAACCAGCTGAGAGCCCTCTGGCTGTCTCGCCAGAAGCGACACTGTCCGTCATGGCTACTTGGCTTGTTGCCAAGCTTTCGGCTGACATTCCGGCACTTCCAGTGGCAGAGGAGTTTGCCTGTGTGCCACCGAACTGTTCTGACGAGGCAGTAGATGAAAAGGCAGCTGTTTCCGACACCGGTGCCGAGCCTACAGCTGATCCGCCCCAGGCCCGAGGATAGAGACCCAGACTCGCAGAAAACCACTGGCGACAGCACAGAGTCATTGGACAAGTACACGCTGCTTCTGTCGGCAGTCCATGAGCTGTTCGGTGAGCGTGGAATGTGCACTGTGGCCGATGGCTGTTTGCTCAAGCACCAGATGGCAGTATGCCGGAAGGCGTTGGATGACGATCGCGACAATCTGGCATACTGGGATACAACTGCGTCATGTCTGCGGTGCCTGTTTGACATTAAGCTGTACAGCAGCCGGACATCGGTGCATGTCTGCGAGCATTTGGACATGGACGAGGCGTCGGCTGGCCTGGTGTACCGCCTGGTGGAGCCCGAGCTGCTGGACACTGTGCGTAGCCGCAAGGGGACTGGGCTGCGCAGCGATCTAAAGGCAGTTGTGGACCAGGCGAGCGCTGCTTTGGGCGAGATAGACGTGGACGGGATCCCGCATTTGAGCATGAACATGGACATATTGGATGGGTACCTGGATGGCACGTCGATGCCCACATTCGCCGAGGTCGAGCGGTCCTTGCGCTATTCGAGTTATGACAAGCCGCTTGTCAGTCTGCCGCTAAGGGAAATTCGCCAGACCAGCCGGTTCCCCGATGCATTCTGGTCGCTGCCATTTGTCCGGGCAACAGTGCAGCATGACCTGCTGCGCTCGCGGATGAAGTCGGGTATGTCGCGCGCGATCCAGGACTATGATGAAGTCATTGATGATTTCAAGCTCAATGTGGCCCTGCATCCAACATCAGCCGAGGCCTGGCACCATCTGGGGAAGGCATTCTGGGATCTGTCGGAAGAGATCCTCTTGGGAACGGCGAATGAGATCATTGAGCAGCGTTTTGATGTCGCCATGTTGCAGCGGTCGGCTTTATCGTGCGTGGTACAGGCGAAGCAGTACTTGGAGCCGCTACCTGTGGAGGCCGATGTGCAGGAGAAGAGAACTGGCAAGGCCCAGAACGAGGACTACTGGTGGTGATAGCGACAGCGAGGAAGTTGAGCAGGCGATACGGCTGCATATCCGCGTGATATCGACGGCAGGTAAGCATTCTCTATACTATCGGATCAAGGCCGCTGCCGCTATTGGCGCTGAGGGTTCTGCCGTCCAATGTTTTGCCTAGCGACGACGAGGATGAAAGCGGGATCTGTCGCTAGCCAGCGCTGGGACACGGGCCGGTGGGTGAGCGATAGACCGCAGCAGCGACTGGTGCCGGTGGCTGCGCTGACACGCTCGCTCACCAAGCGCTACGATTCTCCGTCTGATGAGCGGGTGTTTGCTTTGGCACGAGAGATGTTTGCGCTGGTGACTGCGCTGGACAAGACCCACTGGAGGTGGCCTTATATGCTTGGAAAGTCAATCGGCAAGCTCGGCGAGTTTGCGACTGCCTAGCGCCAGCTATCTGAATGCGTGCTATCTGGCAGTGTCGGGCGGGAGGCCGTTTTCGTCAACTGCGAGCCTGGCAAGTGCGGCGCCCACTGTATCAGCCAGTGCATCGACCGCATCGATCTCTGCGGGGTCGGGAGTGCCGCCTGCCATCAGCCATTCTGCATCAGCCTCGATTGCGCGAAGGCCCAGCGGCTGATGCCCAGTACAAGCTCATCAGCTCTGTTTCCAAGCTGCTCTTTGCTGGAGAAATGGATCCGGCAACTGCTCTCCGCTTCCTGACAGCAATGCCGTACTCTCCGTTCGTAGGCGAGGATACGTCCAAAGCCCAGGATCAGTCAGCCGATGGCAGCATTAACGTCGGGTCCGTCTCCGAAGCCAGAGGTCCGTTGCAGTGTTCGAGCAGATCCGCGGGGTGGTGCAAAAGATGTGTGCATCCGACAAGCGTCGCTGGCACCACCGGCCATGCTACCTGCTGGCGTGGATCGAGCACCGTGTGTTTGGCGACTCCGAAGCAGCCAAGCAAACGCTGCTGCCGCTGCTCCAGATGCGCAACCAGACGAAGCAGCTGGCCAGCTTCTACAAGACAGACTCGGAAATGCCCGGCAAGCACTACCTTTACCTGGAAAAGTACCTGCTGCTGTTTATCGACACGCTCGTGGCGACAGCCGACATTGACAGCGTGAAGCTGCTGCGTCGCAAGCTGAAGCGCTCGTCGGAGGCCCTGTATGAGCCGTCGGTGCTGCAGACCAGGATAGGCAGCGCGTATGTGCAAGTGCTCCAGCACCTGGTTGCCCGGCTGAACTGCCCAAAGTATGTGGTTGATGAGCAAGGCAAGGAGCATATTATTTTGCAGAAATCGCTCGAGGGTGCAAAGGTGGAGCAGGTGTACTCGGTTACGCGGCACTGCAAGCTGAATCGTGGCCTGTATAACCATGTTCGCGATATGGCCATGAGCAACATCACCCACTTTGTTGAGCTTAGCGAGCATTTGGGCGGTGTGCTCAACATACTCGAGAAACGGCAGCAACAAGGAGCCGCCGATCCGCACCCGGGGTCTTCTCAGACCACTGCGATTGACGTGGTGAAGTCGGCTGCCGCAGCCATTGACCAGTATCTGGCCGACGCCAGGCGGGCAACTGAGCTGCTCGAGCTTGTGCTCGAGGAAAAGAAGAAGCACATTGACGACACCACTGTGCTGGGGCAGCTGGCAGATATGCTGGCCGACCTGTTTATCCGAGTACTGCATGGCTACGGGCAAGACAAGCGGGCTGTGCATCCGCCGCCATACCAAGAAGGTGATGCGGCCGAGCTGAAAGAGTTCTGCACCCGCTCCACGGCGATGCTCGCACCGGCAGGAGCCTGACAGCAGATCACAGCGCGCCGAGGGCAGCTCCTTCTGGCAGGATGTTATTTTTGACGCGTCGCGCAACGAAAGCTCGCAGCAGTACAAGCTGCTGGACCCGCTACTCGAGTTCAGCATTAACCGACTGTTGGACGCTGTGCGCGATGCCAAGGCTCAGAAGACCAATACGTTCTCGTACAGATCGCAGATTGAGGTTGTCGTGACTGTGCCGCCGCCACCACCTGCCGCACACTCTCCACTGCCAGCAGCAGAACATCAGCCACAGCCTGAGCAGCAGCAACCGCCAGCCCCCCAGGGATATTTCCAGTAGCAACGTTTCAGTGAGATAACTATGTATTACATGTCGAGGGAAGGGGAAAAGTTCATCTAATGTGCATGCTTGCGGAAGTAGCTGGCGATGTTTTCATACACCAGGAACGTGATGATGTTTCCGGGAAGAACGCGGACAAGCCCAGGGCCGAATCCCTTGTAGAATCCGCCGAGCCCCTCCGACCGCCCAATCCTCGCCATTCGCATCGCCGAGGCCAGCGTATGCCTCGCCAGCAAGCTGCTGCTGCTGCTGCATGCGGGATCGCAGCACCTTGGCTCGGGTAGGTCACTGCCAGCGCAAAAAACTTTGACGTCGTGGACATGGCGGCATATTCGAACGACGAGAACTTGTCGACGCTCTGGTTGGGCCCACGGACCCGCAACCGCCACTTCTTCATCTCCTCGTACGCCATGAACTGCAGGCCGCCGTGCGGCACACCCAGCAGGCCGGGCGCCAGGCCCTTGTAGAGCCCGCGCACGCCCTCCTTCGTTGCAATCTGCGTCAGCCCGTGCATCAGCCCGCGGTACGCGCACGGGTCAGCCCGCGATGTCGTGCACATGCGCGTTTTGACCACCCAGAGCGGATTGGCCATGCACTGCGTCAGCGCTCCCGCCATGGCGCCTGCCGCCAGGTGCTGCGCAGCCGACAGTGTGCTTGTTCCCGAGGCCTGCCACTGCTGACGATGTTCCGGCCATCTGGTCTTTGATCCACGTGTACCATGCAAAGTACAGCCCCCAGCTCGCGCAGTTGCCCGCCAGGTTCGGCACCAGCCCGCGGTAGAGCCCGCCGACGCCGTCGTGCCTGAGCACATGCCGTGTTGCCCGGATCGCCCGTCCTACTATGGCGTCGTTCTGCGATGCTGCGTCCACCTGCAGCCTGATTTTCACCAGGTCCAAAGGATGCAGCGCTACTGTCGAGGCCACTGCCCCGCCGACCCCTGCCAGCGCATTATCAAGCGAGAGCGACCCCGAGAACGATGCTTGGCTTCTTTGTCATTGTTGTCTGTGCCTGCATTATGTGGAATTACTAGTAGGAAAAATGACAGGAGGCCGTAGATATCAGTGAAGGAGATAAAGCAAAAGAGCGGGAAGCGCGCTGATTAAGCAATGCACATAAGCCCGGAATCCCCCTGTGGGAAAACCGCAGGCCTGCTAAATATTTGCCCGCTCGCTTTTTTGCTGCGCTGGCACGGGACCGTTTTCGACGGGAGGCGGAGAATTTCACGTGGCAGTGATCGGACGATGTGATTGCGCAATTGTATCAAATGATTAAATAGGCGTGCAGCATTTGCGCTGTTTTTCGCACTGTCTCCAAGCCCAATATCAGCGGCGGCTCCTCGAGCAAAGAGCGCAGAACTCTCTCTTTTTATTTCGTTGCCCGTATCCAACAGAAAATACGAAAAAATGGTCAGCATCGCAGCCCGTCGCAAAACAGCAGCGCATCCATCCCCTCGGCAGGGCGCATCAATCGGCAGCAGCCGTGCTAATAGTGAAAATGTTATCCCACCAATGTAGTCGAAGAAGGCTGGAAAGGTTAAGGCTCCCGAGCAGGTCATCAGCTTCGGTCCCCAGGTCAAGCCTGGAGAGCTCGTTTTCGGTGTGGCTCACATCTACGCCTCGTACAACGATACTTTCATCCACGTCACTGATCTGACTGGCCGTGAGACCATCGTTCGCGTTACTGGTAAGTGAAATGTCGCAGCTCTCCCCACCGGCTGAGCCGGTCCCGTCAAATCAGCCCTTAGTTCTTCTCGGGAGTGCTGGAGGGCGCGGTGTCTGTTGTCGCTTTTTGAAATTCCCCTGGGTTTGCCGTCCGCGGCTGAGTGGCATTTCGGCATTGCGTTGCATTTTGGGGTTGGAATGGGCTGTCTCGTGTAACGCGCACCTGCAGGGCTGTGTCCCGCTGGTATAGCGACCGAGCATCTCTGGCCGCCCCATACCCTGCTGCATGCTATATCTACGAATGCACCACTTGGCCATGGTCCATATCAAGCCGTTCCTGGCTTGTTTTGGGCGTTGATGAGTTTTCCCGCCGTGGGTCTAAAGCACAGCTGCACACGTTGCGCCCTCCATGCTGGCATCGCAAGCGTCTGTGGCGCTCGTGGTGCTAGGGAACAGCAAGAGTATCGCCCTGCTCTAGCTGCACCCTGCTCTCCACGCCGCGGCCCGTGCCGTCGGTCTGTGTTCCCGCCCGAAGCGCAATGGCAATGTCGCTAGCGGCAGACGGAGGGACTAGTGGTGATACACGTACTCTCTCTTTATGCCCAACCCATGCACTTGCCGCCTCGTCGGTGTACTAATATTGCACATGTGTTTTCCATAGGTGGTATGAAGGTCAAGGCTGACCGCGACGAGTCGTCGCCGTACGCTGCCATGCTTGCCGCCCAGGACGTTGTTGCCCGCTGCACTGAGCTCGGCATCACCGCCCTGCACGTCAAGATCCGCGCCATGGGTGGAACCCGCACCAAGTCCCCCGGCCCCGGTGGACAGGCTGCCCTCCGTGCCCTTGCCCGCGCTGGCATGAAGATCGGTCGCATTGAGGATACCACTCCCATTCCCACCGACTCTACCCGTAAGAAGGGTGGTCGCCGTGGTCGCCGTCTGTAAGCATTTTCTGCTTTCTTTCTTCATGGCTGCTGCCAGTTGCGCCTACCTTTCGGTGGGCCGTTGCTGGCTTTGCCTCTGAATAAAATTTAAACCCGTCGCGAAATAAATGCAATTATTGAGCTGTATGTTGTGAAATGTATTGGCAAGGCGCTACCATGCGGGCAACTGAATATCCTATTGCTGTTGTTGCTGCTGTTGCTGCTGCTTCTGTGCCTTCTTCTCGGGCACGATGTGGAAGTTGACGCCGGTCAGCGTGTGCTTTTCTGGCGGCAGACGGACGCCATATTTCTCTGGAATCAGCGGCAACGGGTGCTTATTACGCTCCTCCGCCAGCTCCAACAAAAACTCCTTCTCGGGCGGCGACGTGAACGAGTAGTTTACGCGGCCCTGGATGGCCAGACGTACGTCCTCCATGTCAATCTCGTTCTTCTTTGCGTGCTCGGCGTACACGAGCGCGTCCTGCAGGACATCCACTGTGTATCTGTGTGAGAACTCGAGCAGCAGGTTGATGACGCTTGGGTCGCAGTCTTCGACACCCCGAGACTGCAGCAGCAGCGCCATGATCTTGTAGTCGCGCGGTGTGTCTTCGGGCTTATTTGGTGTCTCCTCCATTGGATATACAGATTCCCCCTGAAGGCAGATAAATATGAAATATGTACGCTAGTGCTACTACCTGGAACGCAGTCTGCGCGGGTTCTGCTTCTCAAATCTAAACCTTTGTGTTCGCATATAGCTTTACGGGACATCAGCAAAATCACGTGCATACTCGCCCTAGCTGCTGGCCGTGTGACGGACTCCCAGTACTGATCAGGGGTCTGGCCGATTAGCCCCGTCGCATAGAGATGCTTCCTAGTGGATGGAATGCGGCTATAAACCGCGGGATTCGATAGGTACTGTGTTTAAAACCGTATCCCACTTTCAAACACCACCACATCCTGGCAAGTTACTAGGTATCTGCATTTAATAAACCCTTTCATTCTAATTGCAAAAAACTGGTACTAAGGTGCAGTTTTACTTTCAGTTGTATGACATGTCAAGACCATATACAATTGTGATGCCCACACCCATCGAGAGCTGGATCTTCAAGGGGATGGATATCCATATCCGCCTCTACCTGTGGATACGGTATTAATGGATGCAAGACGTCCTCTGATCCAACTGCACATTGGGTTTAACGTGGAGCGCCAACCACTCGGTGGCTGGCGAGCTAGTAGGTGGACATGTAATACCACTGCACTAACATACTTTGGCAGCGCACAATTTAAATGCAAATCTTTATATCACATTGCTCTGCATAAACTACTTTCCAAGGTAAAATACAAAGCTATTTAATAGTGGTTGAGATAGTTCATTGGTATGCGCTTGATATTTTTGGGGTGTTGATGCTGAGAGTAGTTTATTTTTGCCAAGTCTATTGGTGCAACCTGTATAGTTGTGTATAGACCATTAAAAGGATGTGCAAGTGTATCTTACAACCTATTTGTGCATAGGCAGCCTTGAATAATTAAAACTAGGGCTAGAGTGAAGGTCATGTTTGAACCACCCCTTTCATCTTCATTCCCGTTATTTCTTTGAACAAGAGTGAAGGCCTTTTGTAGATCCATTCTATCGACCGTTTGACTAGTGTGAGAGTAGGGATCAATTCAGGAAAGAGAGAAAGTGTTGGAGAGTGAGGACAAGAACGCAATACTCCAGTACCAACAGTATTGGTGCTTGCTCAACTGTTGTATACCCGCTATATCAAAATGCGGTAGTTCAAATAGAGAATTAGGTACAGCCTACAGCTCTCCATGGTTTTTGTTGTTTTAAACATCCACCGCTTGCAGCACATGTTCAGAGCATCCACAAGAACTTGGCAATGGTCATTGTCAAAAAGGAAAATAATAACTATTGCGAGTGTCTTTCTTGCCAATATGAGAAGCATTCATCGCTACTGTTGTGTCTCGGGTACAATACACTTGGATAGACAGCTTCCTGCAACTATCTGGAATACGTTTACTCTCCAAGGACCTTTCCACGACGTGTACTGAACGTATGAAATATGCCCTATGAAAGAAGGAAGGAGGAATCGTTAGATGAAAGAGGCGGGTGCCCGTCTAAGTAGTGGTATTAGTCGCTTGGAACAGTATGAATGGCAGTTGTAGCCTAAGGGTCTTAATCCATGGATTCCTAAAACCATGTGGGCTTGGAGCCACAGCAACCACGTGCATACACTATGTGGATTCCATGCACAGTGCCGAGATAGGAGGTGAGAAGCTTGCACGTTGGCACTTGGCCACTGGTTGAAGAATATCTGGCCGAACAGGCAGCCAGCAGAACCCCTTGCTGTCATGGTGGGTTCACTCAGTGGTTTTGAATTGTCAGCTCTTAGTACTGATAGAAGCTTCCGTTATTTGACCAACAAACTCGCTGTCGCTCCATATTCCAAGAGTAGTATGATAATTTCCACAGCCTAACCCTGTTCTTTCGAATAGGATTGCCAGCCAAAGCGCCAGACGCTTAGATCCTCAGAAGAGGAGACTACCTAGCCATGCAATGCACTCTGCGCACATTTCCCTCCGTTAGTTTGCTCTGGATCCATCCTATTAACCAGATACAACATGTACCGCCATCTGACAGTCCCCGTTGGAGGGAGGTTCAGAAATGTAAAGTGCGCAGCTGACTCCTCCCATTTCGTCTGCCAATAGGTGATGCGAATGTGTAGCGCCTTCATATGCTTGCTGTTAGAGCCACTCTGTGCCTACCATCGTTGGTATTTGAAACCATCTCATTGCCAGTCCAGTTGGCTTTTATCGGGTGCCACCGCTAAAGAACAGATTAGCTAGTGACATCTATGCTACCTTGAGCAGATTAGCAGTGCATGGCCGCTAGACGGTGGCCGATACTCAACAACACCTAGCCTGATGCCGCACCTCGTTTTGGGCAGTCCGGAATCTGATCGCGTATCCAATTAAAATCATCGAGCTCTGTTTACTTTAGAGGAATTTTAACTGGCAACAAAATTACAGTTCGAATTGCAGCGATTCGTCCCCTCTCTCTTGCCGTTTCCGCATATTGTTCGTTAAATACTTTCATTCAGTGTCAAATTTGTATTCTCAACATGTCAAAGACCCCAGCCAGAGCATCGGCGCCGTCAGCTTTCAGTCTGCAGACGCCGAACCAGCCGCCGCGGCAACTTGTGCAGGCCAACGACAACGGCCACTTGCGATCGCAGGCACCACGCTCCACGGCCGGACGATTTCCAATGAGCGGTGACTCCACTGCAAGTCTGCGCTACAACCGCCCTGGACCCTTGCAGCGCACAAAAGGCGCAAAGGGTGCGCAGTACGACCGGTTTATTCCGAACCGCTCGGCCATGGACATGGAGTCGGCGCAGCTCAGTCTGGCACAGGGCAACAACAAGTGCCTCGACAGTGCTGACCTGGCGTTCCAGAACATAGTTGCAAAGGGACTGGGACTAGACCCGAATAAGCGCATTTTGGCGTTCAAGGCAGAGGCGCCGGGCAGCGATAAGCCCGACTTGCGGCAGACGCACGGCCAGCTAGCCTTGAAGTCATCTGCATCGACGTCAACTAAGCGCCGTATTCTGAACACCCCCGAGCGCGTGCTCGATGCGCCTGGGCTTATCGATGACTACTATCTCAATTTACTGGACTGGTCGTTTGGAAATGTCCTTGCAATTGGGCTTGAACAGAGCGTTTACATGTGGAATGCGAGCTCGGGGGATGTGAGCAACCTCTGCCAGCTCGAGGGTGAGGAGTACATTGCGAGCATCAAGTGGTCAGCGGATGGATCATATCTGGCCATTGGCACCAGCGAGGGCGACGTGCAGATCTGGGATGCTGAGTCGCAGACCAAGATCCGTACCATGTCGGGACACCAGGCACGCGTCGGAGTCATGTCCTGGGACAAACACATTGTATCATCTGGGTGCCGTGATGGCAGCATCTGGAACCACGACGTGCGTGTATCTAACCACAAGGTTTCTGAGCTGATCGCGCATGAGAGCGAGGTATGTGGGCTGACCTGGCGCTCCGATGGCAATCTGCTGGCCAGCGGCGGTAACGACAACTTGGTGAATATATGGGATGCCCGCTCGAATGTGCCCCGGTTCTCCAAAACACAGCATACGGCGGCTGTTAAGGCGCTGGCATGGAGCCCGCATGAGACCAACCTGCTTGCCACAGGTGGCGGGTCGTACGACAGACATGTTCATTTCTGGAACACCACTACGACGGCACGGCTGAACTCGATCGATACTGGGTCGCAGGTCACTTCCATTCAGTGGTCGACAGAGTATAAGGAGCTGGTTACGTCGCATGGGTACCCGCACAACCACCTGTCGATTTGGAGCTACCCGTCGTTGTCAAAGGTGGTGGATATCCCGGCACACGACACACGGGTTCTGCATACGGCTCTGTCTCCGGACGGCCAGACACTAGCCACTACTTCGAGCGACGAGAGCTTAAAGTTCTGGCGCCTGTTTGAGACGCGCGGAAAGACAACGAGGTCAAGAAAGGGGTCGCCGTCGTATGCAACGGCAGGATCGAATGTCAATGCCAATACCAGCTCACTGGGTATGTCGCGCCCCTCGTATATCCGATGAGTAGATAATGTAACATGCCACTACTCAACATGCTCCTTTAGTAAATCCTACGACATGATGGGTGGAATCTGTGGGGTGGTGTTGCTTTTGTGGTGTTGCTGCCGGTCGGATGCCCTACTCAGATTTTGGGCGTTGCTCTAATTTGCGCATTGCCACCGCGCACACTCATGCACTACACTAGGCAGAAGCAACCGGTATATTCGATGACTATTGTCCGAAGAATTGTTAATCTGGTTCTCTCAGCGATTGTCTTGGGTGCGAGCGCCACCCAACAGGGAGATGCGATGACGATGCTCGGTGGTCGGTATGCAAAGCATTTGCAGTTCTGTGTTGATTCGCAGTATTATTTTGTTTTGACAAACGATCGGCAACTAGTTTTTGCGCTGGCATAAAAAATTCTTCCTCGCCCAACTTCCCCGCAGCCAAGTTCCAGGTGTTCCACTATTAGGCAGGTGGATAAGGATTGTGGAGACAGCGCGTTCCTTGGAGCATCTCTTTTCTGCTTCTGTGCCTTTTGTTGCTTTTCTCTATTACACTATTTGACGTCCCGGGAAAATGAAGGTGGTCGTTCCACGCAGCATCAGCTTGGACAGAATCGACGAGTGCCTCTCTGACATGCACAGCGAGTTCGTGCACGTCGACGACGCGCAGCCTGCGATCGAAGCGGAGCTGACAACCGGCCAGCCGTTTATCGTCCTGGGTATGTTCGATTTCACAGTCTACAATGCGCCCGGCGGCCATGTGCGGTGCAGCTACCAGTCGCGCAACTACGTGACAATGATATTCTCCTACACACCGTACCTGTTATACTGGTGGTGGCAACTGGACGAGCGTGGCGGTGTGCTCATATACGACGAGCCGCCGCTAGTGTATTTTGTGCACGAGAGCAGCCGGGGTGCATTATACGAAAACGCCATGGATTACAATTCCGTGGTCGTGTATTTTACAGAGCGCAACATTGCAGAGTTTGCAAGGATCACGCGAGTTAAGCGTATGTGCAATGTGGATTTGTTCATTGTATATATGGACGGCGTCTACGAGTGCTTCGAGACCGGAGACACTGGCAGTATGCTGAGGTTCGGTGAGCGAGCCAAAGACAAGGTCATAGAGCAGGTTCGCAAGGATGCTAAAAATCTCCGCGCTCTGCGCAATACTGAGGAAAAGCTGGATATGCGGTGTCGGAAACGGCGCCGCGTGGAGCGTTTCAGGCTGATGGACCGGCATGGCCACATGGTGCAAGATGGTGTGCGCTTCCGGCTCAAAGTGGCCGGCTTCCGCAGTGGCATTGGCGAGGATATTGCAATCAGCTTTGCTGGCGGCGAGATGACAACGGTGGCCGGCGGCGGCGACAGCTTCGTCTGCGAGACCATTGATGGGATCGCGTATTTGAAGCGCAAGAATATGTTTGTGTATTGTCCGGGGTGCGCGGGCAATGCGATCAGGCTGTCGCCAGCGTTGCCGGAGAAGAGGGAGCGGCTGCAGCTGCATTTCATGGAGAATGGGGCGGTGCGGCTGACAAAGTGGGATGAGGAGGTGTTTGCACATTGCGTGTGGGCGCAGCAGCCAGCCGGGTGTGTCGTCAGGCTGGATGACAGCCCCGATATGCGGCGGTGGGGTCCGGCCGTCGAGCTGCTACTTGTAACATGAACCTGGTATTTCCGGCTAATACATTGCGTACATTTCTCAATCACGGGTGGTTGATCCTTTGGCAGAATCTAGGCCGTGATCGGATCTAGAGAAAAAGCAAAAAAAAAAAAGCTAATTTGGCATTTGGCCTCTAGCTTTTTTGAGGGGTGCTCTGTTCTTCTCTCTCCTGGTCTAACCAAACACACCAAAAGGTGCATATTATCTACATACTTGACAATACAAAGCCATGGGTCGCAAGCAGAGATCAGCCAACTTGCTGAACAACCTCCCGCAGCTGCAGAACCTGATCAAGCGGGATCCGTCGTCGTACCGCGAGGAGTTCAAGCAGCAGCTGCAGCACTTTGAGGCGTCGCTGGCGATTTTCGAGCTGAAGCCAGACGAGGAGGCGCGGGAGTTTGGCGAGCAGATAAACTTTCTCTCGCAAGTAGCCAAATGCTATCCGCGCGACTGCATGCACTTCCCGGACAAGCTGATCGGCCTGCTGCAAAAGCACTACCCGGTTTTGAACTCGGACCTGCGGCGGTCGATCGTGCAGGCGTTGATACTTCTGCGGAGCCGCCGGGTGGTGTCGAACATGAAGGTTATGCCGCTGTTTTTCACGCTGTTCCGGTGCCGCGACAAGCCGCTGAGGGAGCTCCTGTACAAGCATATTGTGAATGACGTGAAGCTGGCAAACAAGGGGAAGCACCGGAACCACAAGCTGAACAAGGCGCTGCAGGGATTCATGTATACGATGATTACGTCGGCCGATGCGCAGGACAAGCAAGGGGAGGGGGCGATTGCGGCGAAGAAGAGCCTGGATGTGTGCGTGGAGCTGTACCGCAAGGGCATCTGGACGGACGCCAAGGCGGTTAATGTGATTGCGCAGGCGTGCTTTTCGCCGATCACCAAGGTGATGATGACGGCGGTGCAGTTCTTCTTGAACCCAATCAAGAAGAAGAGCGACGGGGACGAGTCCGACTCGGACGGCGACGTGGACAACTCCAAGGCAGGCAGCAGGTACGTGCCTTTGTCGATGGTGCAGCACCAGAGCAATGTGACGAAGAAGACAAAGTACCGCAAGCGTAAGCTGGAGCGGATCGAGCGGCAGTACAAGCGCGAGCAGGCGAAGCGCACGGGCGCGTACTTTGACGACGACGCGGAGGAGAAGAAGGGCAAGAAGAAGCAGGTGGTGGTGAATTTCGAGGCAATCAGCCTGATCCACGACCCGCAGGGGTTCACGGAGAAGCTGTTTGGGAAGGTCCATGCGGCGACGACGGCCACAAAGCGCGGCGGCGGCTCGGTGGAGCGGTTCGAGGTTAGGCTGGCGATCCTGCGGCTGGTGTCGCGGATGATCAACCACCACCAGCTGCAGTTGCTGGCGTTCTACCCGTTCTTCCAGCGGTACCTGCAGCCGCACCAGACTGAAGTGACCCAGATTCTGGCCATTCTGGCCACCGCCTGCCATGCATTTACGCCGCCGGATGTGCTGCAGCCGCTGATCCGGGCGACAGCCGACAATTTCGTGGCCGACCACTGTGCGCCTGAGGTCATGTGTGCTGGACTCAACACAATCCGTGCGATTGCCACGCGGCAGCCGCTGGCGGTGGATGCGGATCTGCTGAACGACCTGATCCAGTACCGCAAGCACAAGGACAAGGGCGTGATGATGGCGGCCCGCAGCCTGCTGGCGCTGTACCGGTCGGTCAATCCAGAGATGCTGAGCCGCAGGGACCGCGGCAGGGACGCGAGCATGGGGGAGGGCGTCAACATCATGGCGGCGTTTGGCGAGGCCAGGCCGGCCGAGGGCGTGGAGGGAGCGGAGCTGCTGGAGGACGAAGAAGAGGCTGGAGGGGAGGACCAGGAGCAGCTGGAGGCTGGATGGGAACAGTTTGAGGCTGCAACTGATAGCGAGGAGGAGGAGGAGGAGGAGGAGGATGGCGAGGAGTGGGCCAACGCTGACGATGATGACGAGGCCGTGATTGAGGTTGGATCGTCTGATGAGGAAGAGGGAGGAAGGAGGAGTGGCGACGAAGAAGAGGCTGTGGTGGAAGCCGTGGTGGAGGCTGTGCCAGCCAAGGCGGCGCCCAAGCGGCAGCGGATCGAGATGACGCGGTTCTTGACGAACGAGGACTTTGACCGGATTGACAAGCTGAAGCGGCGGCAGAAGAAGGGCACGCTGCCGACACCTGTCCGTGTCAAGACCGACGACTACTCCGATGATGATGAAGTCGACCTGTCAGACGCGTCGTCCTCATCATCATCAGACAGCGAGAACAACGACTACGTGGACAACGTGGACATTCTGGGCGACTACCACACGCGCAAGCGCCGCAGAAAGGCCACGTACGAGGAGCGCACGGCGACGATCATGGCCGGACGCGAGGGACGCGACAAGTTCTCGAGCTCCAAGGCCAAGCGCGACCGTGACGGGCGCAGTCTGTCGAACAAGGAGAAGCGCAAGACCAAGGACTACCGCATGATTTCACACAAGCGCGGAGTGGTCAAGAAGGGCAGACGGAGTCTGGTGGAGAAGCAGCGCAGTCTGCGCAAGCACATCGTCAAGCAGAAGAAGAAGGGATTTTAAGTTTTGACGGTTGCGCTTCATGGCCACGCTCCGTGGTAGGTTTGTCTATTCCTCAAGCTGCATCAGCTCACTATTCTTTGCGTTCAACTAATAGAACTGTTCTTAAAAATCGAATCGCTGTGCAGCCTGTCTGCCCTGAATGCTTCATCCCTTGCAAAGCTGTAATCGCCGGCAAACCCAGCGAGTACATGAGGCGGTGAATGGGTGGGCGAATATACCTTTGCAGGTTTCCAAAACTCTGATGCTACTAGAAATGACACCCACTGTACTGCTTATCAATGCTATTTGTCTTTGAAGCGCAAACATATTATGCATGTGGCTAGAGTGTGGTTTTTACTTATATACGAAAGAAACATGTGCACTGTCTGTAGTCATTGAGAAATCCAGAGTTTTACGCCCAGTTACTGACAGTTGCGACGAGCGTTGCGCCCATGCCAGTCTCGCGCGACTTGAACTCATACGGCGCCTTGGGACTGCTCACAAAAAGCGAGAACCCGGTTCCCTTGGCTGCCGCAATCTTGCACTGCTCAGTGGCATTGATCTTAATCGGCTGCTTCGTGTCCTCGACATAGAACGTGAACTCATTGCCCAAGAATCCTGGCTTGTTGTCGCCATTGACCGTGGCCTCGTCCCAGGCATTGGCGACAGCGACCTGGAGCGTGATGTTCAGGGGCGGGACAGGAGTGTTGAAGGCGGCAGCGTCAGCTCGCAGCTCAGAAGACGGTCGGGTGCCTGCGTAGCCTCCGAGGGAAGAGTGAAGCCGAGGAGTGCGAACTTTTCGGTGCTTGCCTTTAGCACAGGCTCTGAGCCGTGGGTTTTGGCAGACTCAATAGGGGCGGACTGAGATCCAGGAGTCCTTGAAAGCAGCGACTGGCCCGTAGGTCTTGGAGTTGACAGCGGCAGCGAAGGGTGCGGTCAGGGCGAGGAGAGTGGTGGCGATGATGGTGGCCTTCATTGTAGATTCTTTGGAGAAGTTAGTTGTTCCTTTGGTGTCGAAGCTGGAATGTATCTGTTGGTAGTGATGCTGGAATGTGGGAAGCATGTCCCAGATCGCTGCCCTTTTATACTGGGGATTCTGTGTTCGCTGCGCAAGACTGGTCCAGGAATAGCTTGCACTGCGATGCCTAGAGGCTTGACAGCCGTTTTTTAGAGCATGTAAAGACATCAGACTCCGCAGCATAGTGACAACCCAGACTTAGCCATGACAGCACACTGATTCCAATCTATGACAACCCTAATGATTTCTTCCAACATACATCAAGATTGTAAATCAGCCTGCTACTCGTTGTACATGCCCTGAGAATAACTTTAGATCGAAAGGCCAACATAGTGTTAGGCTGTCAGCCCTCCAAGCTACATCAGCACTTTACATAAAATATTTTGAAGCATTCTTCCCTTGGTAGTCTTCAGACTACCGCCTTAGTGGGAGCTACGTATATGGCAAAACTTAGGACAGCCAAATATCTTATCTTTCGAGCAACCCTTTGCTATGATAAGCATTGAAACAGAAGTAGGTGTAACCGGAATGAAATGAAGTAAGCGATATCCATCTGCATGCCAGATAGTAGTTAATATATCCTTCAGCTGGACACAGCAACAGTGGTCAGAAAGATGGTGACTTTTTGAGCCAAATGTAGTCATTTGGATCAGCGGAGAGCTACAGATGTTTTGGCTCAGGCATCAAATGTGGGCTATAAGGCTGCCGATGCCCAAGCCATAGTCCATGCAGTGTAATAGGCGGTTTATAAGCAGCCCGACACGATACTAAAATATCGTGTGCGATTGTAGAATGTTGTCCGTGGGTTGACCGACAAGAGACAGCACTAGCATCTCCTTTGTAAAAGGCTGCTTGGAAATAATCCAGCAAGTCGCTACCATGGTTGCTAGTAATGTATAAGGCTCTTTGAAAATGCCTTGCCTCAGCGAATGATTGCCAGTAGGGTTTATGACAGCAGCTTTTGCCAGGCAGTCTGACTTGGGTCAAACCACTCAGCTGTCACCATTACAGCGTGTAGATGCCGAATAGTATTTTCAGCAAACGAAGAGCGGCAGATCGTCTTACATAGGACGCTCCGCTGTTTAAGAGATTAACAAAGAGCTACCGGCACCCTACCGGGGTTAGCTGCTGGAAGGCCACCCGTTCATCGTGAACAGTTTGGGTGAATCCTGCAATCGGTGCCCAGCTTCATCGATTTGAGCGTTGGCGATGTGGTCTTCAATCTCTCGCTCAGTCCTTTTGGCATCCATATCAACCTTACCATTACACGAGTACTTCATGATAATGTACTCCAGCGAGCTGTTGTTCGACGTATTCTGTGGGAACAGCGCGGATATTTGCGGTGTCTGGCTGCAAGAGAGCCTGGAGAAGACTCGCAGTATGGAGGATAAAACTCTGCATTCTCCCAGTCGATAACGCAGACAATCTTCCCCTTGTTGATAAGGATGTTTCTGGGCTCTAGATCATTGTGAGCTAGCGTGAAGGGCATTTCAACCATCCTTTTCCAGCCGGCTGCCAAACTTTTCACGGCATGTGTCACTAAGCCTGCCCAAGATGAATTCCTTCGTTGTGCTGTACGCTGCTGCGGGCTTCCCGGCATAAGCTATCGCTCATTTGTAGTATGTGTCCTGCGGCTCACTGCACTGTAATCGTCCCTATCTTGTTTATAGACGAAACCAGTTCATCCTCGGTTTCATCAATGGGATTTTGGGTGATAGCCTTCAGCCCTTTCCATACAGAAGTGCTTTGGCCCTTCTTCAACAATCCCTAGGCATGGGGAGCTTCCCCGTAAGCATCTTGATTATTGCCACTTCATGAGCTACGTCTCCTTACTTGTACACCTTATCACCCTCGCATCGTACGTTTCTCGTCACCCACATTGCTTTGAGATATTGCCGAGCGAGAGGGAGAAAGTGAAAATATGAAAAACGAAAGAGAATTAGGTTTGCCGGGACAGTAAGGGTGGGAGAAGGAGCTGCAGTCATATCCTCAATATGAAGAAAGAATAAAGACACTTTAGGCTTCTCCTGCATGATCACGCCGTTAAAAGAGCATATGAATAACGCGCAGAAATGCAGCAAACTTTTGTTCGATTTCGCAGCATTACCAGGAATCACTGAGCCCTACTAGTGAGCCAGAGCCACGTACAAATAGCAGCAGCAGCAGTGTTGGCTGCGGGTAATCCTATACGCCGCTGGTCATATCCGCAGCCCGAGGCACTGCTCAGCTGGGTGATGGCTGGTGCCCAGAGAATTCCTGGCTGTCAATAGCGCTGTTATCGGCCGCTGGCTGGTCAGGGTACACCGCCCAGATGCGCTTTTAAGCATCAGTAAGGTGGGATGCAACACCAGAGACATGGGTCACAATATGGATGCGGGCAGCAATGACGTCAAAATTGATCCAATGCAATAGTGGTAATGTTGTTGGCACCCTGCGGTTCTGCTGCGTTAGTGTATTGGTATGCTCTCCTGGAAATCGCCGATAGTAGCACCCGTGCTGGCAGTGTATGATGGATAATGGCTTGCCATGCTTACAGACAAACTCGATTGGCTCATTTAAGAACCAAAGCGAGTCAACCGACTTGCTGTTGTGGTTGTCATTTGCAATTACGATACTCTCCAGAAACAACATGTGTGGCACGTCGACCACCAAACATGCTGCCAGCTCGTCATCCTCAGTTGGCTCTGTGCAGCAACTCCAGCACAATATGTGCCCATGTTTCATAGGGTATATTAGTGCATCAGCGAACCAGTGCGACTCAGAGAGCCGATAATCCACCACTTTGGCACTTTGGCCAACCTCCGATGATGCGGATATACACGTGACTTAGATCTGTGGCAGTAGCTAATCGACGTGGCACGCAGCGAAGGCCCGCGACTTTTCTCCATTGGACATTTTATTTTCAAATTCAGATTTCTAAAAGATGACCGAGACCACGCAGATTGGGTTTGATCTGCTGAGCTACATTCACGATTCGCGGCAGACGTACGGGCTGCGGTCGCAGGACTACACGCGGTACCGGCGGTTCTGCGCTCACCGGCTGCAGCGGGTGCGCAAGTCAGTCAAGCTGTCGCAGGGCACGGGGACAACCTTCAAGCGCAAGGAAGTGACAGCAGAGAATGCACGCACCGCAGAGCACCTGGAGGTGCTGGTGCTGGAGGCAGGAGCGGGCGTGGGCGTACGCTATGGACCTGCGCGAGCAGTTTTCGCGCACCGAGGAGCCGCGGCAGGGCTACCATGTGATCCGGCGCCTCCGGGCCAGGCGTCAGCGCAGCCTCGCAGCTGGCAGCAGTGGGCAATGCGGTGGCGGACGCGCGGACCAGCCTGGCAGCGCACGCGTACTGGCTGCAGCTGAAGAGCCAGCTGCATTTCCAGCAGGAGGAGTATGAGGCGGCGCTGGATTGCGCGGTGTTTTCGCGGGCGGTGAGCCTGCGGTTGGCTCAGGCGGGCACGTCGCAGCAGCACGCGTTGGCGCACGCAATGATGGCGACGCTGGATCCGATTGTACGGCTGTCGGCGTACCGGGTGCGCGTGCCGGGCGCCCAGCAGAAGCCGCCGGGAGAGGTCGCGCAGGAATGGTACGAGCAGCAGATGGTGGGGAAGCCGGAGCGCGCTGCAAGCAATGTGCCTGGGTATGCAGAGATTGCTCAGAAGCTGGCGGCGTTTGGCAGCGATGAGCCGGCCAACGACCAGTACGAATCGGCGTGCTCGGCGCAGCTCGCGTGGCGCGGCGGTAGCATTGGGTTTGCCAGCTCTGAGCTAGCTGGAGCGCTGGCGAAGGCCGAGAAGGCGCTGGCAGCGGAGAATGCTGTGGCGATGTACCGGGTGGTGGAGCGGGCGGCCCAGCGCCTACATGTGGAGAGCGCCCAGGCAGCGGCCAAGGTGCAGTCGCCGGTGGCCGATGCTCTGGCGTCGGCGTACCTGGCGGTGCAGCTCCATGCCGTGTGTGTGCAGCACGCATTGGTGCTGGCCAAGTACCGGAAGCAGATTAATCTGCTAATCCCCCGCCTGCCGCTGTTCTCGCCGGCCGTCGGTGCGTGGATCACCGAGACGCCCGCGGCGGAAGCAAAGCCTGGGCTGCTGGGCAAGATCGCCGGGATGCCGGACGGCGCCCAGGTAGTGGTATTGTGCGATCTGATCCGCAAGACGCTGGCACGGCTACAGGGGCTGGTGGCAGGCATTCTTGCGCGCATGGCGCCTGGTGCAGTACGGCTGATCAGCGGCAGCCAAATCAGCGACGAGATCAGCGCCGCCCAGGCGTACTACAATGCCGTGCGTGGCTACTATGCGGCGGCCCAGCATGCGTCGGCTGAGCACACCGCGTATGTTGATGCGCTGGCGCTGCTGGACTCTGTGGTGTCACAGGAGATCCCGCAGGCACTGCAATTGATTACCAGCGTCAGTGGCCAGGAGCCTGCCGACTGCCTGTGGAGTGCCCAGGTGGGCGTGGCAGCGGCCGATGTGCAGAAGCTCGAGAGCGACGCTGCTCAGGCGCTGCAGGTGGTGCGTGGTCTGTGTGCTGATGGCAAGTCATCGTCGGTTGCAGCCAAGGAGTGGGTTGCGGATCCCAGTAAGTGCCCGGCAATGGCGGCCAACGCGCTGGCGGGGCGCGCGGGGGCGCCTGCGCGCGTACCACAGCTGGTGGATCTGGACGCAGTGTCGTTTGCAGCGGTGCCGGTGAAGCCGCTGTTCTACGACCTGGCGGCTGCCAGCATCGACTTTGACCTGGATGCGATTGAGGCCAAGGCGGGCCGGCAGAGCAAGGGCAAGCTGTCGTCGCTGATCGGCGGGCTATGGGGCGGGCGCTGAAATCAAATTAACACAACGCGGTTTGCAACGGACGCGTTCGAGATCAGCTTTTTTATACTTCAACTTCAGCTCCCCTTTATTTCAAATTTCCATAAAATGTTCAGCCAGAAGGCAATCAAGCGCGGAATCAGCGGCGACACGCAGGCGACGCCCGAGGTCGTGCGGCACTCGCGGTACCCGCACCGGCTCTCCGTATACAGCGACCCGCCGGAGCTGGAGGTCAGCATTGAGGAGTTTGAGTCGTTCGCACTGGACCGCCTGCAGGTGCTGAAGGCGATTGAAGACGCACAGATCCGCAGCTCCAACGAGGCCGACCGCCATACGCGCATATCCTCTGCGGTGGACGCGCACCTGCCCCTACACACAAACCGCTCAAAGCTCCCGCTGCGGCAGCTGATGGCAGAGCGACGCAAGGACCATGTGAGCCATTTCATCCTCCGCCTGGCCTTCAGCCGCACCGAGGACCTGCAGTCGTGGTTCCTGCGGCACGAGGGGCTTCTTCTGCAGCACCGGTTCCGCGACGCTGACGCGCAGGAGAAGCAGCATGTGCTGGCCACCATGCACCTGCCCCTGGTGTATCTGGCGCCTGGCGAGGGCATGGACGTGCGCGGCAGCTACTATTCCAAGCAGGACGCGCTGTTTGAGGTTGACTTTGAGCACGTACTGGACTTGGTGCAGCGCATGCAGGTTGTGGTGAACAAGGGTCGCGCGCTTGTGCCGCAGGCCGAGATTGCCACGCTGCTGGTGCATGAGTTCCGTCGCCAGCTGTCGCGGGCTTTGGCCGTCTGTGCCAAGGCTCTGCCACAGCTGGGCGAGGATGAGCGTCTGGTGCCGGTTCTTCAGAGCCTGAGCCGCCAGTCGGTCCGCAGCGAATACCAGCCCACAGGCGCTGCTGGCGAGGTGACTGCCGATAGCGTCGATTCCTTGGCTGTGCACTTCCCGCTCTGCATGCGGCATCTGCACACTAGCCTGCTGAAGGACCACCATCTGCGGCATGGCGGCCGCATGCAGCTGGGGCTGTTCCTGAAGGGCATTGGCCTGGGGTTGCCCGAGGCCCTGGTGTACTGGCGCCGCGCATTCAGCAACCTGACCGACGACCAGTTCCAGAAAGGCTACGCGTACAACATCCGCCACAACTACGGCCAGGAGGGCCGCCGCGTCAACTACACGCCATACTCGTGTAATCGCATCATCACCACCAACCCGCCCGGCCCTGGTGACCACCACGGCTGCCCCTTCCGCCATTTCGCCTCCGACCGCCTCAACGCTGCATTGCGCCAGGACGGCCTGGGCGAAGCCGAGGCTACCGAGGTCGTCGAGCTGGCCCGCAATGGCCACTACCAGGTCGCCTGCACCAGGCATATGGAGATCAACCTCAGGAAGCGCCGCACTGAGCCTGCCGAGGAGCTGCGAGTCGATACTGTCGTCAGCCCGAACCAGTGGTTCGATCTGAGCGTCGGCAATGGCAAGCTGCCCGAGTCCTCGCGGTTCGCTGCCAGCGCAGCGCAGCCCCCAGGCATGACGCAATGATTCCGGCGCCAAGCAAATGTGCGTGATCGTGTGTGCGAACGTAAATAGAAAACACGGCCGGCCTTGGCGTTGTTGATAAATAGTCATTTTGCCTGCGCTGCCAGATCTAGAACCATCCTGGGCATTACTGCGCCCATGGGCGAAAATCAAGCGCGAAGAAATCAAGCCCAGTAAAAATAGCTGCACGTCCAGGTGTCACTCCTGCTTGTCGTCATTCAAAAGCGGTGCTCTGCGACCAGTAGAAACGCCTCAAAACAATCCTCTCTTTCCCTGCAAGCTCGCATTTTTCTCTGCTTCTTTTTTCTCGCGTATTTTTGACGTACAACACCTATCTTAATTCAAATCTAGCATCTTTCCAAACTAAAAAAAACATGTCTTACGGCTATCGCGGTGGTCCTCCTCCCCAGCAGCAGCAGCAGCAGCAGGGCAACTACGGCCGTCCTCCTCCTCCCCAGCAGGGCGGCGGCTACGGCGGCGGCTACGGTGGTGGCCAGCAGGGCGGCTACGGCGGCCAGCAGGGCGGATACGGTAAGTAGAAAACCCCCTTCCACCCTGGAACAGCAACCCCTTCCACCCTGGAACAGCAACCCCTTCCCTTCATAGTTCTGGACTATTCATGCTAACAACCCATGCATTCATGCAAACCCACTGTTCTGTAGGCTGGCGGTGGAAACCAGCAGCAGTTCCAGCAGCTCCAGTACTGGTTCCGTGCGGTCGACAGGTATGGCGGAGCTTGTCATTAATTGTTGTCGGAAATATCCGCGCGAGCTGCGGCCTTGGTGCTCAAACAATGTTTCTCCTTTTTTTCCCCGTGTAGTGACGGCAGTGGTCAGCTGGACGCGAACGAGCTTCAGCAGGCTCTCGTTAATGGTACGTATGACGCGTCTCGTTACTGGGTCATAGCCTCCACCAGCCCTCTAGAGGGGAGAGGGGTTTGACCCCCACCCCCGACCGCATGTCTGCGAGATAAAGGACATGCTGCCAATATATGCAGCTCTCTGTTTGCAAATCCCCACTTGCACGCGCATTTTTCACTCAGCGAAATAACGTGAGTCGCCTTTTTCTTCTTCATGTAGGTGACTGGAGCCGGTTCAGCCTGGACACTGTGCGTCTGATGATCGCCATGTTTGACCGCGACCACAGCGGCACCATCAGCTTCGACGAGTTTGTCGGTCTCTGGCGCTACATCGAGGAGTGGAAGCAGTGCTTCCGCACCTTTGACCGGGACAACTCGGGCACCATTGACCGCGGAGAGCTGCTGCAGGCTCTGAATGCCTTTGGTTTCCGCGTCTCGCCGCAGATTGTCGACATGCTTATCCGCAAATACGACATTCAAGGTAAGTTGAGCCATGCAGCTGTCGAACATACTAATAACCGTTCTTGGTGAATGCTCGCTCTCTTGTAATATCATGCTACACTTATATAACCAACTTCTATCTCCTTCCCCTTCTTTACTTTGCGATATGCCTTCCACCCCTCTGTGTTCTGCATTGCTCTTGCTGCTCTCCTCGAACTGTGCACTATGCGTGCATGACATCCCTTCGCCTGCCGAAATGAATTGAAATGATATTTGGTAAGTTCACCCCCCACCCATTCTCTTTCTGCATACTGACCACACGACGCAACATCTCCCCACTCACTTTTCCTGCTTTCTTCTTTCTCCATCACCATATGTGTCCAACTCGTGGACAACCAATTTCATCACTAACACCCCCACCTTGCAAAACCCCCACCTTGCCGCTTTGCAAACACAATACTTCCTACACCACCACCACCACCACCACCATTATTGTTTGTTTCTTGCTTGGCATTGATAGCTGGAAATGTCAAATCGGCCGCTAAAGGACGTGGTGCCATCACATTCGACAACTTCATCAACTCGTGTGTGACCATCCGCTCCCTGACCGACTCCTTCCGTCGTTACGACACCGACAACGACGGATGGGTCAACATGAACTACGAAACGGTAAGTCGCATATTTCACCTCACTCTTTGCAGCCCGTGTTTATGCAAACTCGTATTACTAATACTGTTACTAATTAGTACTTTGAAAACATTGTGCGCTTCATGTAAATGCCACTCCCCTCTATCATCGTCTTTTTGTCGGGAGATGTGCGTGTGTTTTTTTGCCCTTTGTAGTTCCTCCAGCTCGTCATCTCAAACAAGTAAAGCACCACATTTTCAAGTCAAGCCAAGATATCGAAAGCAAGTTATCGTCGCGGACCCAAGTCAAGTCAAGAACCACATTGTCTCCACACCCCACGTTGCTGCCTTTTCTCCTGTCTTTTCCTGTTTATTGTTGCTTACCTGCTTCCCCTCTCTCCTTATATTGTCCTCCTTTCCTTTTTATTTTACAAAGCAAACACGCACACGTACCTTATGTCCACTCGACCCACCCCTGGAAATACACGTGCATCTGTCGCGTTGTTATAGTGATCGGTATGCTTGCATATATTTATGTGTGTATGTGGAATTGTTACATGTCGCTCACGACCAGCATCGGTACTGACAACTTCGCCAACGTCAGCGACCCGGGACAGACATACAACGATGGGCGTCCAGATCTCGTTGCGAATAATAGCAGTGAGGACCTGAACCTCTGAGGAAGACGACGGTATCTTCCCATGACTTGATGACACGGCTGCACGCGAATCGAGGATACCCGTACCATGTTGGATATATACCGCCACTTCAGACCCCACGGCCGCTGTGCTTTCTCCTCCTCTTCCCTTAAGTAAAGCCACATGTCAATGCCATCCGAAACGCTCTGAAACGCAACAAATAAGCGTGTGCAAACCAGCATCAACGCTCACAATTTATTGTAGTAAATCCACTGGATAAGCAAGATAATGCTGCAGATGCCGTTCACGACACTATGTGCTTCCACATAACTGGGAGCTAGCACCTGGGAACTGCGTAGAGGCAAAGCGATCCGATGACTGCGAACTCAATCGATTGAAGAAGATGGTATGCAATCGGCACGTACGTAGTCGACTTGCGTTTGAACACCAAAATAATAGATGGTGTGAAGTAAGTAGCATAGATCCAGGGCACCAGCCTGTGACTGAGGTGATCTATAGCCCAGAAAAGTGTGTGAACTTGACTCCCATCAGACATATGCAGGTACTGAATATCAATGCCGCCGGAGATATACGCTTGATAGGCGTACTCCACGACAAGAGATGCTCCAATAGCCACGAGCAATAGCTTAAAAGTCCATGAGCATATTTCGGAATAGGCACTCTCCGGGTCGTTCTCCTTGGTCTCCTTAGTTTGCAGCGACTCATCGTCCTTTTCCCTGTCACTGGTGTTAGTCGCCCGAGAACCGCTGAGATACCGTATGACACTCGCCACCCGTCTTTGAGGCATAATCCCAAGGAGGAACTTCATCAAACACCAGGCAAAGCCAAGGTTAACGAGCGCCCCATCTAACCCTGCATGCGGAACCACTAGCCCAATGGTACCAATCAAGGTTGTCTGGGATATCTCTTGGAATATATACATCGCAAAAATCGAGTTGGCCTTTCCGCTGTTCGAACAGGCTGATGCCAAATAAAGCCTGGCAATGTAGAGCTGCCGGATGAGCCACAGAGAGAGTAGTGCTGGGTAGAGCGCAAGGTAAATCGCGGTTGAGACTGTCGAACTGGCCGTCGATGACCAAAGGTTTAGGCGTGGCGCCAAAAGCTTGCCCTCATTCAATTTAAACAACCTGTACACCTCATCGTTCACTCTGCGTTCGATGCGGTTAGAAGCCTGCTCGGCGCTAGTGCGTACGCCACGAATCCCTATGGCAATATCAACAGTTGCACTGAGTGCTTCAGGCTCCTCGTTGATTCTGCTGCGATTAGCAAGAGGGAATTTTTTCCATTCAGACTTGGCGTCACTGTCCAGATAGAGCAGAGGGAGGTACACGTCCTTGGCGCTAGTGCTATCAGTTGTGCTGTCAGACCCGAGTGATTTTCCATGGACGACGGTGCACTTGTTGCAATCGAATATTGGGCAGGGAGTCAGGATCTATACACGTTGTCCTCGAGATGGATCTTCCACTTGGCCTGGGTATCCACCCGGAATGTTGATTTCGAGACGCAATGGGCCTTGATACCTTTTCCCTTCTGGTCATCATTGTAGCACGTAGTCAAAATTGACGTAGTCGCAATCAGGCTCTGATCAACAACCAGATGGGGGTCGCTGATATTCGGGTGAGGTGTAAACTGGCCAGCCTTCTGAATGAAAACACACATGAACCTCGTATCCGTATCCGTTAGATTCAGACCCAGGCGCTTCTCAAAGACTGGGTACCGGTTCGCCAGGCTCTGCGGCTCGATGTGCCAGACTTTCGGTGGCATTCTGGAAGAACGTCTCGAGTGAATCAGAGTCGCACGGCTTATTGTTGACATATACCTTGGCCTCGTATTCAAATGGTTCCTTCCATGCGAGCGAGATGAGCTCGGCAGTCTCGTTGGCAGGCGGCACAGGATGAAGATAGGGAACATTCGTGGTTGGAAAGTAGAAAACCATGAACGTTTGCACGCTCAGGAACAGCGACTGCAGAAGCAGCCATCCGGCAAACGCAAGCACAGCTAGCTGCACAAGCTTACCAGCAGACAGGACAATATTCATGTCGTGGAAATATAGGGAGAGATGTTTGAAAAGTGGATGAGAAGAGAGGAGAAAGCCCTTGCTTGTCCCTGGTATTGGATACCTTGAGGATTGTCGTCAGCTGCGGTTGTCAGTTCCGCTCAAATGATCTACTGGCAGGGAATGGCATGTTTTCGATGATTTCTTGCATTGGAGAGCGCTCGCTAATCAAACCTGATCACTCACTGATTTTCTGTTTGGTCGTGTCCGATGCTAAGATGTGCTGTGTAGTGTTTAAACGTGGATTTTGACGCTATTTGAAGCCGTTTCTTACAATTGCACGCTAAGTCTAGTATCATAGTTATCCTGACAAGCTTCTAATAGCAATAGGCATGCATGGACTAGGTTACAGGCAGACACCAGCTGATATTACTACTAGGAAGCAAGAATTAGGACTATTAATGCTATCCAGTCTGTTTGTTAGCAGTGCTATGGACTTTATTACTAACTGCTGTGTCTCTGGTACGATACACATAGATAGACAGCCTCCTGGCAACTGTCTGAAATATGTTTACTCTCCAAGCACCTTTATATGATGTATATTAAATGTATGAAATATGCTATATAAAAGAAGGATGGAGGAATTGCTAGGTGAAAGAGGCAGGTGCCTATCTAAGTAGTGGTGCCAGCTACCTGGAATAGTATGACTAGCCATTGTGGCCTAAAGGTCTTGATCCATAGGTTCCTAAAATCATATGGATTTAGAACCACATTAGTATCAACTAAGGAGGCCATTCATAAATAAGAAAGTTTAAAGAAACTTAATATCATATATTAGAATAACTAATAAACAAATTATAAATCATTTACTAGTAGTTGATAAATATTTTAAAATCAGAATATTTAGTAATATCTAAAAGATATTAGCAGCAATATTACTAATAAATAAAATAACAAAAGGTTACTTCTCTGAAACCCCTATTAGTATCCTGAAAAATTTCAGTTGATCTCTTATAACCTAGGCCTATATCTTAGTAGAAGCATATTAATTATATATTAACTGACATTTTTCAGGATACTGATAGGGTTTTATAGAAGTGCCTAAATAACAAAAGAATAAGAAGTTTTAGAAGTTCTAAATATTTATTATCTAGTTTAGAAACTGTGAATAACCTCCCTACTTAGAAAGATAGATAGGATAGATATAGGTATATTATTTGCAAACTGGCTTTATGCATATTAGAAACTGGATTAGCAGATAGAGTGCATGTGCCTTGTTTTTCAGTTACTTCCTTCTTATGGCATTGATTCAGATAGGGAGGATGATAAGTAAATTGAACCTGGGTAGCAATATGGATTGATCAACTTTCCCTTCATGAATAAGACTGTGGGTGACATGTAGGATAGCATAAATGCTCTGGGGAAATGGCCAGTTTGTAGTCGATGATACACTTGGTACCATATCTACGGACAGCCACAGATTACTACATAAGTATTCTTGCTATTTGCATATTAACAAAGAGCAAGGGTTTAATGAGCAGATATTTCATAGCCTAGATTTCGATTGTATGAACTACCACCGCAAATGCAGCCATATTGTGATGACTCACTGCAACACATTTATATACGCTGCATGTATACGCAGATATATCATTGGGCAAGTGACACTGATATCAGTCATGGAATAATAGCACCATTTTGCTCATGCAAATATCCTAATTTGTTACTTTTCTATGCGTTACCTGTTGACATGCATATAAATGCAGCACTCGACAGGTACTCTCTTAGATATACCATAGCTTTGGTCTGCATGACCATGGCGAGTTTACCCCCCTCAGCCGCCCTGGGGTCGAGTTTGACCTCAGATGCAACTCTCTGTGGGACAAGAGTTCCTTAGGGACTGAACAGCTGCTACACTATTTATGTCAGAAAAATAGCCAGATGCGGTTCGGGGAGTTGACAGATCCGCCACAGAGTTAGGCCTAATGGCCATTGGCATTTCCCCGAATGCTGTGGATGTGGGTACATGCGTATCTGTCGTGCGAACAGCAAGACCTATCACCAGGCACTATTTGTCCCCAAAACAACAAAAACAGCAATATGAAATCCGTGCGGCTCAGGATTCGTGGATTATTATTTGAGCCACAATCAAAAGTTTTCTTGGTGACTCTTTCTTTTCGCTCCTTCGCTTTCACCTCCCACTACCTTTTACTATTACCATGGTCCCGGTCGCTTCCAACGGTTCGACAACGCGCGTGCGCGAGATAATATTCCTGGGCACCGGCACGTCTGGCTGCATTCCCAACATTCCGTGCATTACCTCTGACAACCCTGACTGCACGGTCTGCAAATACTCGCTGACAGCGCAGGGAGCGAAGAACCGGCGACGCAACACCTCGCTACTGATCCGCATTGATCATGTGGACGGGCGCGAGCGCAACGTGGTAATCGACTGCGGCAAGACGTTCTTTGAGTCGGCCGTGGAGGTGTTTGTCAAGCACAATGTAAAGACCATCGACGCCGTTCTTTTGACACACGGGCACGCCGACGCAATCCTGGGCCTAGACGACCTGCGCCAATGGACGTTGAGCCTGGGGGCCAGCATTCCAGTGTTCCTGAGCAAAGAGACGCTGGAGACCGTGGGCAATGCGTTCCCGTACCTGGTCGATACAAGCAAGGCGACCGGCAGCGGCGAGGTGCCGAAGCTGAACTTCCAAGTAATTGATCCAACAGTGCCACTGGAGGTGGCCGGGGTTGAATTCCAGCCACTGCTTGTGGAGCACGGCCGGTACAGCGACGGCGAGCCGTTCTTTTTCCTGGGGTTCCGGTTCGGTAACGTGTCATATATCTCGGACTGCTCTCGGATCCCTGAGGCGACGCGGCCGCTAATATCCGGCACAGAGCTGCTGGTGCTGGATGCGCTGAGGTGGACGTCGCATGCGTCGCATTTCGGCTACTGGGATGCGCTCGAAGAGGTCAGGCGGTTCCGCCCGGAGCGTACACTGCTGACGGACTTTTGCCACTCCATTGAGCACGGCGACATGGAGGCGTATGGAAAAAAGCTCCTGTGCGAAGAGGGCCTGGTGGTCGATCCGGCGTACGACGGCATGCGGGTGGTTTTGTGAAGAGCTTCGTATTGTCACCAATAGATCTTTTTTATAGCTCAGTATCATTCAAAGTGGATTACGCGCTGGAGCGGCCGCATCGTCGGGTTTTCAGGGTACCCGGCTGCACTAACGTCAAAGTCCCGCCCGTCCTCGTCGAATGCCGCGAATCGCGTCACCACGTCGCCGTAGACGCCGAGCCGCCACCCGATCTCCTCGTACAGCGACTCTGCCACTTCCTCCCACGCGCCCACGCTGTCATTGCTGTCGCTGAAGCTGCTTCCCGAGTCCCCGCCCCTGATACTGGGTGTAGGTGCCAATGGCTGCCGCCGCGCCAACAGGTCAGCCAGACTCGATGCGCTAAGCATTTGCCCCAGCGGCATCCCCAACATGCCGCCTGCACGAGCCCGTGCCATGGCTACCTGACGCGGCCGCGGGCTGCGCGAGGCCATCCGGATATCTGCTGCCCCATTCAGAGTTGCATCGCTGGGCTGCCTGGGCGGACACGTCTGTGCGGGCAGTGCAGGCAGCCAGACGTGGGAAAAGCCCGGGTCTGTCACGTGTTTCGGCCACAGAACCGTCGGGTCATCGAACAGCTCGCTGCGAACAGGCACTCCCGGCCCCACTGTGGCGATTTCTGGCCGTGCATCTATCCGCCACGCCTCATATGGGAACGGCGCCGGCTCAGCAAATAGCTGGCTGATTGCAGGATCGGGCCGCGTCGGAATCAGCGACGCCTGCGAGCGGATCTCCTGCCCTATTTCATTGAACATTGGCGGCTCGGGCGACCCGCCGTGCTCGGTAACGGTGATTTTCAAGCACGGATCAGAACATGCGCGCTCGATCTCGCGTGGCAGCGCATACTCGTGGAATCCCATTGCTGTGGTCTGCGAGTTGGCCAGCTCGGGCTCTGGTGCCGGCGTCGCTCGGCCGAGTCGAAGCCGCACGTCGGCTGTTTCCTCGGGGTGATCGTCAATGTAGATAAGGCGCGGGTAGATGCGCGTCTTAATTATGTAGTTGAAGTAAAAGGTGATCATGATAGTAGATATCACCATGGTGAGCTGCATCCCCGATGCCTTGGTTTTGTGCACCGACACACGCATCACTATGACCAGGAAGAACAGCGCCTCGGCCGCATACAGACACATCCACCGGTGCGCCAGCAGCTTGACGCTGATCTGTCCGCCAAGCCGGAACGACCGGTCATCGTACACATACATAAACTTGTACTTGTAGACGAACGCGAACAGCACAAAGTAGAGCGTTGTGGCCACCGTCATCAGCGGCGCCACAGCCGAGTAGATTAGCCCCAGCAGAAACATCAGCGAATGGGTCGGGATCGCCTCGGCGTACTGAAACTTGGACGGCATCTTGTGCTGCAGCATGATGCGCGGCGACCGCCGGCTGAACCACGTTGTAAATTTGTAGTCGATGATGCGCAGCACCCGCGCCAGCTCCATCCCAGCGTTCGCCAGCGCCTGCATCAGCACATACGCCATGAAGAACGTGCTGACCGTCGGTATCTCCTTGATAATTGTGCGCGCTGCTGCGAACGGATCGTGCAGGAACGTGTCAAAGCTGCCGAAAATCGTCGATGCCACGCACGGAATCACAAACGCATCGGTGATCTCGAAAAGGAACATGTAGTTCAGCAGCGTCAGCTCCATGTGCCGTGTTGTTGGGATCCCCTCTATGGCGATTGCGCGCCGGAACAGACCCGGGATCATCCGCTGCAGAATCCCCAGGATCAACGGCGGAAACACTCCCTGCACCAGCCCCGCCAGCTGCGTCGGCCAGTTCGAGATGTCCTTGAACGGCCCAAAGTTTTCCAACCGGTCCATCTTTGCCACTGCCGAGATAAACACTACCGGGAAGATCCATACGCTGATCACACCCAGCACGAACGCCCGCGATAGAACCTTGTTGATGCGCTTCGCCCGCATCGGCACCGTCAGGCCCGGCCAGTTGATCTCCCCTGGGTCAATGTCGCTGAACCGCGGCCAGTATGTTGGCGGCAGGCCGCGCCGGAACCACTGCGTCTCCAGCGATGACTTGCATGCCTCGTGTGCCGCCTCCTGCCGATTAAAAACTATCAGTGCTGCCGACGGCCGCTGGTCCATTGCCAAATGCGTCCGCAGCCCGCAGATCTCGCGGTTCAGCTCTGTGATTCGATCGCAGTGGTAGGAGATTGCATCCACTGGCTCTCCACGCGGGTCCTTCCCCTCCCAAAGCCGCGCCATCTCGAACTTGCTTATCCGTGTTGTTGGTCGCAGTTGCTTCATAATCCCGCCGCGCCGCGTCCGTCCGAAAGCCCTTGGCCAGGAACTCGCACATGTCGGCTTCGAGCTCCCGCACGTGCTTGTTCCGTCGCGCTACCAGCTTGCCCATGTCGCTGTGCGTCAGGCATGGGCACGCGGCCATCACACCGCCTGGAAAATGTCTAAATTTCTCCAGCAGCTTCTCCACTGTGTTTTCTGCCCGCGGAATCCCTGTGATAAGAACTGAATTGGCTCGCAGAAGCTGCTTGTAGTCAGGCTCACGTAGATATGCGTTGCGAATCCCCAGGTAGTGGAATGCGTCGCAAAATGTCAGGTATATTGTTGCCACTACACTGGATCACATTTTTCAGTTGGGAAGGCCATATGCACTATCCAGCTGATAAACAGACATCTCCTCGATCGCAGAGTCATACTTACGTACTAGCACGCAAAACAGCACCACATGGGCCCACATCCGACTGTCCTTATTGCTGATATTGCTCATTGTGAGCTTTTCTAGCGACTGCATCAACCCACCCCGATCCTCGTCATTGGCAATCAGCACGCCAATGGCCAGGACAGCAAATCCAGAAAACATCACCGCTGTACTCTTCAGGTTCCGCATAAACATCGCCGCATCCGGCCCTGCCACCCGGTACACTGCATCCTCTTTAACCTTGTACGTTTGCTTTGCCCACGTGAACCTCGACGTTTCAATAAATGGGTCTGGCATCCGCGTGTACAGTGCTGCGAAATTCCGCGGCGTATACAACCGCGGCTTCCGTCGTCGGTAATAGGTAAAGGCCCCGAATAATATTAGCCCGACAAAGAAGTAAAATATCATTGCTGAGAGAAACGCAGAGAGCGATGGGTTCTGTGCCTGAACTTGGCTAGTATCAACCATTTTTTATGTCTTTGGCCGGTGCCAAACTCTTGTAAACCCACGAATACGGAAATGTAAAATCTGAGATGCAAAGAAAAGTGTTGAACTCTTCATTTCTCTTTCATTTTTGGTCAGACATATATCCCCAAGAACAGGAGGGCTATGATCGGCGAAAAAAGGACCTCGACCTAGATCGTCTAATAACCCGACCCAGGCGCATCGCCACTCACTCCCTATTATCACATCATATCCCACAACACTCACTTTTTTATTTTATTTCGGATACTAGTTCGATAAGTCAATTCTAAGGCCCTAGTGTGTGGGCATCATGCATGTATCTACCTCGGCTAGTTGGTGGTGAGGGATGGCCTTGCATCATAGATTATCTGCCATATACTTTGTCTGAGGAAATCATCAGCCGTCTCCATACTAGCCTTAGGCAGAGTGCTGATACCACCCTGCCATCGAACAGCGCTCTTGTGGAAAAACTGCAACCCTGGCTGCTGACGAAGTTTGGTATTCACGGGAATTAGACTGTTCATCGACCGCGACAGTTGACACTTCGGAACTATCAATCATTATATTCCTCAGTAACTACGGAAAAATAAGGACTATGAAGATTTGTGACCCTGGCTGGTAGAGAGATGCCACCAGTCGTTCTATATTTATAGGCCCTGTGTTGTTTGAACCGTCGAGTTAGCTTTATGAATGGTGGAGGGAAGCATAGCATGCAGGCTCCATGGATCAGACTTGTCAAAGATACTCACACTCGGTCGAATGTGCGGTTTCCATATTTGGCATCGCTTATTGTCCTACAGCGACCCGCCAGAACTAGACAATGGGAGTCTTTTGCAATTTGGCATTTCTTGTCAGGGCATCATGCAAGGATCTGCGTGTTGTGTGGGGACCAGCGACTTGTCCTGCGGCAGGCCTGAGGAAGAATGTTTATGAATTATGAACGGAATCAACTTTTGAAAAGAGCGCACATCTGCCAAGAAATCGAGGATATGTGAAAAAGGAACTAAGCGGTAGGTGTGGCTATTCTACAGACTAGGGCCATCACATGTTTGCTTCCTATATGTTGGCTCTAGCATAATGTAGATACTGTGTGAGATATGCAACATGAAACAGGTAGATCTGCAGTTCAGAGTAGATGTAATTCAGCAACCATAGCTGCTTAACCTGTTGTGGTCAAGGTGGTTTGAAGTATTTAATACCGCTGATATGGTGCAAATATATCAATCACATCCAAAAACTGCACTTGCAATGCGACACGATGCCTAATTTACCTCGACAGCCTCTTACTTGAACTACTTTCAGGCTCCGCGATTGAAGCGCTGAGTGTTGACTGAGTCTGCCCAATTTGACATGTTCGTGCCCAGTAGCATTGCACGGTAATCAAAACTGCCTTTGGAGCCGCCACTAATATCACTTTCCTCTGGAAGGTTAAGAGGAGCAAGTGAAGCAACTATATCGGGAGTCCAACCGACCCGCCGGTTAGCTCTTTGCTCGAAGTGGTCGGACAGTCTCATCTCCACGAGTGAGCCAATATTCTCCCCTGGTACTGGAATTGTGCCTGAGGAACATGGCCGAAATACCATCGGCGAGTGAGGCGACAGTGGAGACCCGTTAAAGGCAGCATTTCCGCGGTGACACCAGGGAGTCGCCCTCGCAGCTTTCTGGACATTGGGAATGCCTGGATGCTGGTCCATATACTGGCCAAATGAACCCGACTCCAGCATATCTTGGTCAAGGCTGACGGCAGTGCGAAGTGCGGGAACAACAGCTGGAAAACGCACAGGATGTTGTACGTTGTTGCTCTGGCTGCGCTGAAACGTACCCGGACCAAATGGCATGTATCCGGATGATATGAACTGCATGGGCGGAATCTGGGTTTGTGAAAATGGCTGTGCACCTGCTGCAACTAACGGCACCGTTGTCATCTGCGAGCCATACACCGGATACTGCTCGGGTGTATAGCTTGGCAGCATCTGTGAGGTCTGAGGGGTGAGCAAGGCCACTATATGGAACGCTTGAAGACGCAATAGCGAATGCTGAGGAGGTATTGCCGTACTTTTGTTGTGCAGGTAGCCCCGTAGTGTTGCTGTATTGGCTTTCTGGAGCTGGAGCTGGAGCTGGAGGTGAGGGGCATATCGGCGATGCCTGAAGAGCTGGCTCCCTTTCGCAATTTGGCAGTGAAACGTGCTGAAGCGCCGTTAGCTCTCGAGCAGATGCGACAAGACCAGGTTGTGGGAGCATTTCATGAGCTACATGGTGCAGATTCTGAGCATTTTCGAGCTTATCCAGGAGGCGCGCTGTGGGGCTGCTCCTGATAGGCGGAGACAGGGGTACTGGCTGTGGCAATGGGATCATGAGGGCAGATAGCGACTTCCTCATAGCGGAATGCCGCTTGGCAGCATGCTTCTCAGCAAAACGATCCTGAAAGACATCATCTGGTGCCCTGAAACGAACCGGCTCTGGGTATAGTTCGTGAGTAACTCGTTTTCGGTTTTCCAGCATCTCTTCTTCACCGTGCGCGAAATCGCACTTGGCGCCAAACGCACAATCTTTACCCTGCTATTATATTCTTGCATGGCTCAGTCTTGTGCTTGAGAGGGTTGAGTCGTTCGCGCAGTTCAGCCTTGCTGTGAGCGTGTGTGCACTTTATCCCCATAGATACAGGTGCCGCTTTGCTTGAAGTTCTCGCATAGTCTGGTCTTATAGCTGCGGCGGTTGTTGGTACTGTTCCGATATCTGTTTGTCGCAGCCCAAGACGCCTGTCTAGATAAACTAGCTGACAACACCTCCAGGACTGGCTTATCTGGTGACTCTTGCGGATAGATGAACGAACCAGCTGTGCTACGAGAACTATCAGCTTCGGCAACTACCGTAGCTGCCAATATTCCGGCAACACCAACACGCATGCTTCCTATAGCCGATATAAAGGTATAGCTAGTAGCGTGTTGACGCTTTAAACTGATAATGTTCATACACTTGGCTCTACATTTACGCTGGACTATGTCCTGAATATACCTTTCTTCCTCTCCATGGTAAATATACAGAACAGTGGTTGTAGAAGGAATTAAAGAAAAATTAATATACGAAACTATGTGTAGAGCGAAAATATAACGAAATATCAGAGACAGTGAGTAGACAGGAGGCAGGCTGTTCGGGAGGCAGCTTTGTACTGCTGGCTGTGCGATCCAGATTTGCGGTAATACGCCAATGTTTAGGCGATGTTTGATGCAAGAATTATAGTAGATGTGATTTGTGAACGCGAGCTTTCTCGACTCGGCTCCAAATAGGTTCATTCTGGAGGCGCAAATTGCTGAGATGTGAAAACTATTATGAGTGATGAGGAAATAGCGCAATCCAATGTATTGTTGCAAGTGTCGACTGCCTCAAACCATTTGTTCTTGAATTAATGACTGCTGGTATTGAATGCTATGGAAATAGTATCCAAGATATGCCACTACACTTTCATTATGTATTCATTTGAATACCGACAGCTTGTCTTTTATGTAAAACTTGCAAAGAATGAGGATATTCGATATATTGGAAAGCTCTTCATGGCGAAATTCCGGACCAGTCGCCATGGCAATCCATGGTATCACTTGGGCCGAACGCCATCCTCCTCAGCAAATTTCATTTATTCATTCATAAAGTCATAATACTCTCTGAAGGTAACAGCGAAATCTGAATGCGCAATATGGATCATGCACACAGGAATAAAAGTTTATTCACGATAGCCATGACCTGCCAGATGCCACTTCTGACAAGTGATGCGAATCAATAATTGGACCATGACAAGTGCGCCACTGCTAGTTGCTGCTCTCGAAGCAACGTGATCATGATGACCCAAGCAATAGGTGGTTTTACTCTAGGCCATCAATTCCCAGAACACTGAGCAGGCCACGCGCCCCAAGGAACTTAGGACCACCGTCGGTTACAGCCGACATTCTGCCTCATACCAGCTGCAGCAGTGGTACCCCGATACAAATCAGAGGACGCTGATTTAGTTTGAGCATGTTTCTCTGACCAAAACGGGGGTGGGATTGTGAGCTGATACATAGGCTGCATGTTGGGACCGAGGAACCGCTTAGGATCAACAGCGGTCTGGCTAGTATGCTGGTGAAGCGAGTAAGGAGCGCTTGAGTCCTGTGTAACGCTGTGCCCAGATACGGCCGCTAGAATGTACTGAGAAGTATCAAGTTGGCCACCATGACGGACTAGGAGCCGCGAAGTTTGAACACGCAGCAGAAACCTGCGAGCTGCAGGCAGGGGTCCGGTCAGACAGATATCGATTCTCGGGCAAATTGTATGTCGTTCAACCGACACCGGTCTAGGCTGCATTTGCTGGAATCCACGCACTGTCCGGCGACCTTCGGTATCTGTCCTGATGGAATCTCTGCTCATCTGCATCGTGTGCAAACTCGCATTTGTCACCATAGCTGCAAGAGCGCTGGTTGGCAATCCTCACGCACATCACTGTCTTGTACCGAGGACCGTGTATACGCGGACGAAGCTCACTCTCGCCATGGGCATGCCGACAGTTTTCGCCATAGATGCATACTCTGCCCTCCATGAAGATCTGGCAGAGTTCAGTTTTGAATACATTGCTCATGGGAATATTGTGCACCTCACCATCAATTGCCAACCCTGGTGTACCAGCCGACCAGTTGGAGACAGGAAAACGACCACCTTGATATGATACCATCGGATTCGCTACCTGCGTACGCCAGCTTCCTCCGGATTCCAAGTTGGCGCGATCACCGCGCTTTCCTTTCTGTGCAACTACAGCATATTATTTATATTCATGCGAAAACAATGAGTGGCCATGTCAAGCTTACGACCTGAAACAGCCACTGATAAGGACGCAGGATCGACAGGGGAATGAATATACACTACCGTTGGTGCTTGACATGAGTACCAGACTTTGCCTTGCAGAGCTCTTGATGTTGAACTGAAAAGATAGAAAGTCTAGTGCACGCTTTAAATACCAGAGTGAGAAAACAAAATAGCGTCGAAATAAAGCCTCATGAGGGAAGGATGGCATGGCTGGATATGCCTCACTGCAGGTTCTCTGGTCGGCTTTTGTACTCGACGGATGCAGCTAGCATTCTCTCAATGCACAGTACTGGGGTATCAGAGAGCTTATTACAACACAGCATCATCTCATTAAAAGCCTCAGCTTGTACTATTTTGGCCAATGCATTTTACAGAATGGAGGAGGGCATGGCTAGCATACACTGACCACCGTATGTCGCAGGCTTTTAGCTAAAATAAAGTTCCCCGTTGTTTGCTTTTGCAACAGGGGGAACAAGAGTTTATTCTAGTCTGCACTGATCTGCTTGCAGCCTTCGCGTATTTATTAGTATCTGTATATGCAACTTGAATAACTGCAGGTTTTTGGCAATACCCAAGGTCAGCGCAAGCATGTCATCCCATGGATGTATCAGGCTTGCAGCGTTACAGGTCTAGCTGCGGCTGCAGTTTCACATGGTAGTATAGCGCATTACATTCTTCTGCAGACGCAGGAGCAGTGATTTTCATGCACATGCTGTTGATCATATTTGCATGGTATATGTGTAAGCCATATACATTATCAGGAACGCCATCGCTACAGTGTACGTGTAGTCTAGTGATGTGTATGAGGGAGTAGGCTCACAAAGTGAACAAACAAAGTAATGAGAAATGTACACCGTTGTATATATGGAGGTAATCAGAAGGGGATCTAAGAATAAAAGCTGCTCTGGCAGCTTACTGCAGCCACTTCTGCTTGAGCATATCCTTAGCCAGGCTCCTCCGCACCGGATTGATTTCCAGCATGGGCATCAAAAAATCGGCAATCTCCCTCGAGTCCTTCGTTGAGAATCTGTACTCGTCATGCAGCAGGTCGCTGAGCGGGAACGGATGCAACCGCCGGATATGGCGCAGCTCACCTCGCCTGTTAAACAGCTCGTTGGAGTATTTTCCGGACAGCGCAAACTTCTTGGGGAATACGCCTATGGTCTCGATGATCTGCGCAATGTGGTCTTCGTCCTTGGAGTACCGGCCACCCGAGTGCGGCTCGAACAGGTAGTCGCCAGTAAGAAGCTCGAATATTAAGCAGGCGCACGACCACATATCAGCAGTCTCGTCCCACCGTGTCCCGATGATAACCTCGGGGGATCGGTACTGGCGTGTCTGGATGTCCTCCGTGAAATGGATGGTCCTTCCAGGTGGCGTTGCCAAGGTCGGCGATCTTGACCTTGAGGCCGTGGCTACGGCTCGGCGACGACGACGACTTGCCAGCCTGCGACGAAGCTGAGGGGTCAGAACTGCTGGCAAGCGAAATCCCGTTCATGTCCTTCTCGAGCGACTGGGTGAGCTTTGCTGCAGATCCCGAGAGACTGTCCACATCCATCCCAGCCGACTGCTGTGGGGCGGCGTCTCCAGAAGGGCTGGGCGCACGGGAGTTTGCGACGCTGCGGCTGGCTTGCACAAGCGACTCGTCACTGGTCGTCTTGGTGTGCGCCCGGTTGGCCGCGTGCTCGATATTGTCGTTCTGCAGCTCGCGGCGGAATCACCTCCTCGACGTTTTCGATGCACACCAGAACATTCTCGGGCTTGAGATCAGTGTGGATCATGTTGCATTGGCCGTGCAGGTAGGCCAAGCCGGCGATTATCTGGCGCGCAATCTGCTTGACCAATGAAACCGGCAAACCCTCACGCCTGTGGTCGGCGCTATCGTCGTGGGCGCTGTGTGATGACGACGCAGAGCTATGATGGCTGCCGTGCGTGTCTGCCCCCGTGTCCTTCTTGACAGTGCTGAAAGCATCGCGCAGATTACCATAGCGCCGGGCATTGCGCAGCAGCGACAGCAGGTTCTCGCCGAGGACCTCAAACACCATGCACACATGGCGGCCGTTAGGACCCGAGTGCTCAAAGCTGTCGAGCATCTGCGCCACGTAGTTTTCGCCAACATGGTTGCCCTTCGAGTCGACGGCGCGCTGGCACAGCTCCATCTCGTCCTTGGCTGCCTCGGTGTAGTGCGCGGCAGATTTGACAATCTTCAGGGCAACGTGGATGTCCTTCTCGCGATCATAGGCCAGCCATACCGTGGAAAAGTGGCCCCAGCCAAGCTTGCGCACTACCTTGTACCGCTTGTCCTTGAACTGGTCGCCCAGCTTGACTGGGTGGTAGCCGCCCTTGCAGTAGTCCTCGATGTCCTCCTCTTCCACTTCGGGCTCGTCATCGTACGCTGATGATCCCTGGCTGTCGTTGCCCGCGTGGTCTTTTGCCGAGGGCGAGGAGTTGTCTTCGCGAGCTTTGGTCCGGCGATGCAGAAATAGACGCCGATGGGTGTGGGCGGCGGGCTTCAGCGGCTGGAGGCTTCTTGGCGGCTGTCTGCGGGTGCTGGATGCCATTGACTGGCGCGGCCTTGGGCTTCTGCTTGGCCATCGCGCGGCGCTTGGCGTTGAGGATAGCGTCTATTCATGAAATCAGGGAGGGCCAGATCAGTAGAAAAATTTCCGAGGTGATTTGGTTCAAAAAGGAAGCCAAGCCGATCAGTCGTCCCTCTACGGGGCCGTTTCCGCTTAACGGTGCCAGCGAGTGTGCTAATATCAAAACACGACCACACGCCCGCATTATGTGGTTATGAGTTGTAGCTATTGTCAAAGAGACAAAGCAGTCCGAATTTGCGACCTGCTTGTTGGTAATACTTACTGTTCATAGCTCTTTTTGGTGAAGAATTGCCTGGGAATAAAGTCAGCGAACAGACGTAAGAGAAATAGAGACCCGGTCCTTGTTTTGCTTCGCTTCTAAGTGCTCTTACAAAAGAACGAGTCTGGAAAAGAGAGGCGGAGAGGAAAGGAGGTGAAGGAGGTGCGGTAGGAGCTTGCGAGAGAGAAGAAAAAAGAAAAAGAAAAAATTACTAGAGCATAGGCTGGGCTAAGGCGAAAAGGCATACTCTTCACCGATGAAATAGAAAAAAAGTAGTTCCTTTTGCCCACAAAATTGCGTGATTATCTTTGCCCCCGAGATCAAGAAAAAAAAAAAAAAGTCAGTCACGATTCAGCTATGCGTCGAACACCAGTGGTTTCTCCTAACGAGACGGCGATTTTATCGGAATGCTGATGCAGAGGCAGCGCTTAATAGCTGCGTGCTGCCATATGTATTGAGTGCATCGATGACGTTATGCTGCCAGGCATACCACGCCGCAGCCTGTAAAATGCAGTCACACAAGTCGTCCTTCTTGCTTTCGCTGCCAAACATGCGAATCATGCTCAGCGGAAATGTGACGTGGAAGCCGCCTGGCAGGACATGCGCAGCACTCCGCGCGCCTCCTAGCTTCTTAATTTCCTTCGAAAGCATAGGGCTTTGCACCGGCAGGCTATTCTGGTTCGCATGGGTTACCAGTGACTCCAGGATCCAGCTCTGGATCAGGCCGATGGTGCGTTCCTTCTTGATCGCACGGCGGCGCAGCTCGCGTACTTTGCTCAGATGTGAGTTTGTCTCCAGAGCCAGGGTCTCGAGGTCGTGCGTTGCAGTGCGCGTAGATCGGCGCCGCGATTTCTCGCCCAATGCCTGCATGATGAGCGACTGCTGGTCGCTGGTTATTTGCCGCTGCGTGCTCAGCGACTCATCCATGCGCACAATCAGCTGGCTTAGATCGCTGTTAAGCTGGCTCTTTGTCATTTTGGCCTTGGATCGGCGCTTAGCCAGCTTAGTACCGTCTGCAGATTCAGTGAGATCTGAGCCAGATGTGCCGTTCCCGTCAATGAACCCCCAGTGAGCACTAACCAGACTCGGACTGACAGGCTCGACGTGCGCGCCGACATTCCGCAGATTTGCATACAGCAACGCTTCGACAAGATTGTTGACCATAACCGAATTGGTCACCGCCGCCGACCCCTGCGACCGAAACCGCTGGTGCTCGATAATATACGTACATGCCGATGCTGGACGTACCGGCAGCCGCTCCTGGACAAACCTTTGCACAACCTCGGCCAGAATCCACGGCTCAAAGGTTGCCTCTTTCAGCAACTCGTTCCGCCGCCACTCGATCACCTCGCCGCTCTTTGACATGTGGACAAACGCCAAGTTGCGGAACCCAATGTCGATAGAGACGACTTCCTCGGGGATAAATGCGTTGTGCATGCGCTCAGCCTTGCGTGCCTTGCGCTGACACCGCCCGAAATGCCGGCTCAGCGCCAGCTCCTGCGACGCACGAATGAATGCGCTTAGGGATTCGAGCTTGTACGCCCGCCCTGTGCCTTGAGTGAGTCCGCAGCTGCGCATTACGTCGTTGAGCTGGGTGACCTTGAGCTGGTCGAGGTTCTTTTTAATTTCGCGCGCAATTTCCGTCTCGGCCTCATTCTCGAAAACTATTGTGTGTTTGCAGCGTATGCATGGTCTGGTTGGCCGCTGTGGTATCCGCCGCCGCAGTGCCAACTGCCGTCCCACTTTTAATAACAAGCGCATTCCAGGTGTCGGCGAAAAAAATGCTGCAAGCAGAAGCAGAAGAGTGAGGCGTAGATGCCAGGATCGAAGCTGCATAAAAACGGTTTAAATGATCGGGAGGGATCTAGTAATCATGCAGCATTCTCGGTCCACTTCGCTGTCGGACCCTTTGTCAACCAAAGCTGTCTGAGCTCGCGCGATTGTTGCTTCTCCACCGTCACCTTATTTGTAGCAATTTCAACTTCCTTCAACGCGCATTCATAGAAACCCGACTGGAAGGCCTTGCTCGAATGGCACTCAAAGGCGTGTTACGACGACTGGCGACCGCCTACACAGTGGTCCTGGCTATAGTCAACCTTTATTTTTCCAACTACGCACGTCTGCATGCACTGCTCCACCCACGCTCGGACATCCGCTTCAACCTGTACGGCGACCCACAGATCGAAGGCGACGCCAAGCTCAAGCGCGAGCCTACCACGGGCAAATACGACCTTCTATTCAACGACTATTACCTGCGGCACGTCTACAAGTCCACCATCAACGCATTCAACCCGCAGTATGTGATGACCATGGGCGACATATTCTCGTGCCAGTGGGTTAGCCGCGAAGAGTACTACAAGCGACTACACAGGTTCAAGTGGATCTCGTACCAGGAGGACGAGCTGAACAATACAATCCCCAACAGCCATATACATTATACAATGGCGGGGAACCACGACATCGGGTACGGCGAGGAGACAGAGGCATACCACATTGCCCGATACACAAACAACTTTGGCCCGCTCAATCTGGACTTTTATGTCAGCGCAAAAGAGGACAGGCCATTGCACCATGTGGCTATTCTCAATGCAATGAATTTGGACAGATCGCGCAACGACGAGTATCGAGCCGAGGTTTGGGACTTCGTCCACAAGCTGGCGGCTGATCGGCGAGAGAACCCAGAGATTCCGCTACTGCTGTTTTTGCATATTCCGCTCAGCAAGCCCGACGGCGTGTGCATTGACAAGGCCGCAACCAAATACGTTGATGGGTTTGTCAGCTACCAGGACTTTTTGTCACCAGCGACATCAGCTTTCCTGCTGCACTGTCTAAAGCCCACATTCGTCTTCAACGGCCACGACCACCGCGGCTGCGTTGCCGCGCACAGAGTAGCTGAGTCTCCGGCACTTGCGATAGAGCTTATTGGCAGCGGCAGCGTAAAGAATGTCACAGCCATCGACGAGTTCTGCCAGTTGACCCCAGAGGAACTCGGAGCACACCAGGATGTCCTGGACAAGGCGATGGCTGGGACCATGACTGCGGCGATGGAGTTTGATGAGGCCAGCGGACCGTGGTCTGCGATCGAAGTCACGGTCCGGGCCAGCATGGGCGAGCTTGACGGCGTCGCCGGCATTTTCGACCTGACTGTTGACGAGGAGGGGCCAGGCACGGTGGGCATAGCTGCCCAGTCCGATCGTCGCAATGTGGCAGCCCGCGCCAACGGCTTCCGGTACCAGTACCGCGAAGTCGCCCTGGGCAACCACCTGGTCATCCGCATACTGCTCATCACCGACGCGATCAGCGTGCTGGTTCTGTCGGCGCTGTTTGTCATCCTGCGCAACTGAAAACAGACGGTGACGGCATTTTTTTTCGAGAAAGTTTATTTTCGTTGACTCCGTTGAAGGAAACAAAAAAGAGGAGATTGCACATACACTCAAGCGAATGAGAACATGTCCAAACCGAGCATCGAAGAGGGGCAGTATTTAGTTCGAAAGAGCAAACCCTTTTTTCAAAATTTACTTCTTGCTGCGGATCTTGCGGACGTAGAAGTCAAGCTCCTTGCCCTCAAGAATGTAGCCGTCGCAGCGACCCGACTGGCCCGGGCGCGACGAGATGATGGCGTACAGGCGGCCAGAGACGAACTGCTCGTCCAGAGCCTGCTCGACGTTGCCCTTGCGAGCAGCGACGGTGCGCTGAAGGTGGCGCGAGCGCTGCTTGTTGGCAGCAGACTCAGCGGCCTCCTCCTCAGTCAGGCGCTTCTTCTTGCCGAGGATCTGAGCGTAGTGGTTCTCGTACCACTGGCGGAACGGAGTGGCATCGATCTGAACAATGGCGCCCTTGACCAGGGTGTTGGTGCGGACCAGCTCGTTGTTCGACGCGTTGTACACGACAGCGACGACACGGGTCTTGCGGGAGATAGCCTCCGAGCCCCACGAGAAGGTACCGGTATCCAGACGCATGGCACGGAACTTCTTGTTGCCACCGCGGACACGGACCTCGTGAATGCGCTTGGCGCCAAGCTTGGTGTTGGCGGCCTGGCGACCGAGCTCGAACTTTCTCTTCTTGCGGTACTGGGCGCGCTTGGCACCAGTGTGGGAGCGCTTGTGGCGAGAGTCGCGGCTGATACCTAATCACCCAGAGTTCAAATTTCGTCCGGCCATAGTCCATCGGGGAAGCGAAATGCGAGCGTGTCGAACAAAACAGCCGTTTCAAATGCCAGAACGCAGAGCCAGAATGCCATACATGGAAAGGGAGATGGGAATTCAGAAGGAAATTAGTCGTCACGAATTCACAACAAGCCAGCAGTATTGCTCCTCCTCGTTCCGCGGCGCGCCGCAATTTTTTCGCAGGCGCGTATCCGTCGTGGAGCCGTCCGAATAATTTCGCATCGATCCCGAATCCATCCGCCCGGACATATTCCAAATCGTCGCCGTTGTCGCCCATGGATACATACCCATTTTTAGTTTGACAAAAACAGAGGGTTTGGGAGAGAGAACGGACCTCTAGCGCCGTGCGCGCCGTGGGCCACTTGTCGACACACACGATCGCGGTCTGCAAAAATGCCCCCGTGATTGGTGATCTGATCGATCAACACTGGCTGCTGCTGCCTAGATCGGACAAGCAGGAAATAATTTTTTTTACAGAGCGACGCAAGCCGGGCAGCAGGCAATTTGCACATTTTGCCTCTTACCCCGCTGCCTTCGACGCACACACGCACTTTGCACATTCGACAGCACACATAGACACTAGCCATGGGCGAGAAGAGAAGAAAGTCGGCCGACAAGGAGTCGTCGAAGAAGCACAAAAAGTCCAAGAAGCACAGCAGCACCACCGCCAGCACAGAAAAGGCCGTGGACCGCTGCCGCGCCCCGCCGCACGTCCATCCCCGTACCCGGAGCTGATCTCCTCCAGCGGGTTCGTCGAGACCACAGTCAAGCTGACAGGTGACGATCGCGCCCATGTACAGCAGCGACTTCTCGGCAGGCGTGCACGAGACATTGAACAGCATGCTGCTACACTATGTGCCGCAGGTGCGCGGCGTGGTGCTCTCGTACTCGAAGGCGCGGCCGCTCAGCGACACAGGCCCTGCTGTTCAACGACTCGCCGTACAGCCCAGCTGGATGTGGTGGCCAAGCTGCTGCTGTGGCGGCCAATCGGCGGCATGTCGGTCAAGGGCCGCATCAACGTGCAGTCGCCCGACCACATTGGCCTGCTGCTGTGGGATACGTTCAATGCCTCGATCCCGGCGTCATATATCCCCAAGGACAAGTACGAGTGGCGTGCGTTTGACGACGAGGAGATTGCTGCTCGCGCAACCACTGTGGCGACCAAGTCGGAATCGGACGACAGTGAAGAGAGCGAGGACAAGGATGAGAGTGAGGAGACCCCCGAGGAGGAGCAGCCCGAGGAGCCCGCCGCCGCAATGGACTTTGGCGACAGCAAGTTTGGGTCGGGCGAATGGGTGCTCAAGGGCACAAGCCAGAGCATCGGCTGCCAGTGGCCTGCTGGAGTTTGTTATTGTTGATGTCATTCGCGCCAACGAAGTCCTCAGCGTAACTGGAGCGTTGCTTTAGACTTTCTCTTTTCCGTACATCATGAACAAAAAAGCTACCGACAGAAAAAAAAGAGCACATCTACATTCCCCATGTCAGCCGGATGACATGGTCGGTCTTGCGCTGCGTCGACTTGATGAACCCGAGGAACCGCATCTCCTCGACTGCCCGCATGAACCGCGCCTGGATCTCGCTCTGGCCCTCAGACCCCTCCTCGCCCATTGCCGCGTCGCCTTCCTTCTCGACGACCGACGCAAATGCCGTGTACCAGTCGTACATGTTGATCATGCGTCCGCATTCGCGGTGCAGCCGGTACGCAATGCTGGTGTCCTGCATCGACGGCAAGATCCGCTGCTCCGCATCATCCTCGTCTTCGCCCTCGTCGCAGCACTCGCAGTTGATGTAGTACACGGTCTTCCCCAATGCTGCCTGCACTGCCGCACGCGGCTGCGCGCTGAACGTTGTGTCAAGCAGCAACGAGTGTCTGTAGTAGAAGACTTCGTGCAGCGGCACGTCGCGGTACGAGGTAAGGCAGAACTGGAGGAGCTGCTCGAGGATCTGACAGCACTTGTCCAGCGCCCGCAGCATGCTGTCGCTGGACGTGTTGTCGAACAGCAGGAACGGCCGGTTCTCCATGTCGTGCCGTGTGCGGATACGCTTTTGTGCTATTTGTGGTGAATCAGCACCAATCTGCGCGGAATCGTCCATCAGCATCGCTGTTTTCTGGATCCTCCAGCAACTCCCTGATACGCAGCAGCAGCTCGCAGATGGACCTGCCGTCAGACAGACCTGAGCGCTGCAAATCGGCAACATCGTGGCTGTGTGTAATCTCCTCAAGCCTGGCAACCAGCTGGCCCATCTCGGGCGCCTTCATCTTCCTCACCACTGCCGATAGCGTTTTCCAGTGAGTACACTCGTCATACTCTTGCCCAAGACTGTAAAAAGTGCAGCGTACGCACTGGCTTGCGCACTGGCTCCGGCGCCAGCTCCTGGATTGCTTTAATGAACGCAATTCCAAGACTGTAGAACTTTCTGTACTCGACTAGCTCCTCCAGCATCCGCCCAACGACCTGAGGTCTGCAAAAACACGTCATCAGTCAACGCCTTGTGCACAAAGCCCTGGGTCGCTTGACTGCAGTTTCTCCAGGAACCCCTGCGTGGACCGCTGCATGCGCACAAGCTCTGCCTGGTCATGGCTCAGTCTAATCGGCAGCTCGAACGATTCCCCTGTCCGCATCAACCATCGCAGCCAGAATGCTGAGCGGGTGTGCGTAGAAAAAGTCCATTACCGCATACTTCAGCTTCCTTGACAAATGCCGAGATCGAGAAGTTGTACAGCAGGAACTGGTCGAGCAACGATTTGTAAGCCTCCGCGCCGAACGCCAGCACGCATGTTCCCTCGACAAACATTTCCTGTAACCACTGCGTCAATGCACTCTTTCGACCGCTGCAGATTGAACCGCTCGACGTTGAGCATCGAAATGCTTGATTTTGTCAGCGACTGGTGCAGGCTCTCATAGGACGTGGCCAGGCCCAACACGAGCACTATCGGCACCTGCTGACAATATCCGGTGGCGATGCGGATAAAGTCGTCAACCACCAGCGGTGGGAATCCCTCAAAGTCCTGCAGAATCACCTACCATCCGTGTGTCCTCAGAGACTCGTCCTGCCTGCCTCTCCTCGTTCCACCACAGAGCCAGCAAGCCAGCGTCGTAGTTGACTGCCCGTGTGCCCGTCGCAGCCGTGCTTTCCTCCGACTTGCCGCCAGCACTGCTGCCACAGAATACCTGGTCCAGCAGCGCACGCAGCATATTGGGCAGTGTCGTGCAGTACTGCGACTCGAGGAGCACAGCATGATGGCCCGCTGCTTGTAGCCGTGTCCGCAGCATCGCAAACAGCTTGCTGTGGTCGCCGGTGTTGACGCCCGCAAAGGCCACTGCCGTTGCCAGTTCTGTGGTTGGCGGATCAAGCCGGCCCTTCTCGTCCGTCTCGATTTTCTTGTATGCACTGCTGGCGAATGCGCACATTTCGGCAATAGCCACGTTGTTGGCTGCCTCCTCGGTGTCGATTATGAGCTTTTCGAGCGGCGGCCATGTCGCTTCGAATAGCGTCCGCCGGAGCTCCACTGACTCGACGCTTTCGTCGCCCTGCAGCAAAGGCACGAAGCCGCTGTTGTCCGTAATGCGCTTGATGCTCTGCCGCCTGGCTGCGGCCTTCTTTTGTGCGGACGGCTTGATGATAAAGGTGCTCTCTGTCATCGAGTCGAATGCATCGACGGGCTTGTAGCTGTCGCTCATTTTGGAGGTCTGTGAGAGGGTGGAGTCATAAAAGAGCACTGAGGCCAGTAAAAACCTGTAGATCATAAATCTGTGCTCTGGAAGAAATCAATTTCCCTGATTGAAGAATCTTTATGGTTAACAATGTCTATTCTTTTTGCATGCTGAATCTTCGGTGCACGAGGAGCTAGGCTGCGTGGACTTGAATAAGTGATAGGCATGCCTCAGGTTTATAGTTTGAACTGCAGGCTATGGTGAACAGCATGTATAGTTGTCGGGTGTACGTAGGCACTTATTCTCCGTTTTATATATGCACATCGCTTACCACTCATGTAGCTGGCATAAGAATATGACCGAAAAAGATGTGCATATATAGGCAAGATGTTAAACGAAAACAAGTATATTTTAAATAAATACTCTATGGAAAATAGTCGCACGCCATGACCGGCAGACATGCACAATAGAAAGAAGCGGTATGGAACCGCCAACTCTGTGTTGAAGGTCATTCTTTCCCACTCGTCATTCACTCTGTGGTTCCAAATCCTTATGATCTTAGGAACCCATGGATCAAGACCTTTAGGCCACAATGGCCGGCCATACTATTCTGGCGACCGGCGCCACTACTTAGACGGCACCTGCCCTTTCACCTGGCGATTCCTCCTTCCTTCTTTCATACAGCATATTTCATACGTTCAATATACGTCGTGGAAAGGTGCTTGGAGAGTAAACGTGTTCTAGACAGTTGCAGAGCTGTCTATCTAAGTGTATCATACCCGAGACACAACACACTCATATTCAATACCAAATACGCCTGAAAATGATACTGAGAATGTCAGGCGGACAGACTGCGCAGAAGAAAGCGCCGATATCGTGATTGCGAGAGTATAGCAGATGCAAAAGAGGCTGGGATGTGGAAATAAGCAGCACAAGCTCAACCAGTAGTGCAATGTCATTTCCAGCCACAGCTGGTCCCAAAACGCTAGTATGAGGTGTCGCTGGACTGCTTCAATAGTCTTCATCTACAGCGTTGGCTGATGTTGTCAGGGTATTCATTCAGCATGTACAACAGTGGAACGTGAAGTTTACATGTGCAAAAAGCTACTAGTTCCATTAGGCATCATGCGGAACGGCAGCGGGAACAGCAGCGAGTTATCTTTGAGTAATCCCAAAAGCTCATCGCAGTCATCCTTGAGCAGCGCAATGTGCTCAGCAGAGCCATTTCGCTTCGATATCCTTAACTTTCTTTCGCAAACCCATCGGTCTTGGAGTCCATAAAAGCGACCTTGATACAGCGGCCAGATGCGCTACTGTTTCCATTCTTTGCCACAATATCGGTGTTCCACGCAGTCATAGAAACCAGTGCCACCGGCTCGCACGACTTGCGCTCTTCGATGACAAAATGGTACAGTGCATGGGCTGCTGCATGGTCTACCAGCTCCTTCGAGACTGTCTGCGACAGGCTGACCCCCAATGAAGGGTAGCTCGTCGAAAACAGATGTCGATGCGGTGGACAAGCAGTTTCAGCAGCCGCTTTGGGCCCATGTGACCCAACCTCGCCGATTACGTAGCTGCACGAATCGCATCGCAGCTCCATATACGAATTGTGGAACCGCGTCTACTCAGGGAAGAGCAGGGGTTAGTGTGCAAGCAGGGATTGTCACAAGTGCGGAATGTGTGCTGGAGCTCTAGACAGAGTGGGCAGGATCTGACCCTCACCCTGTACTGTTCAGACCAGCGGATCTCGGTAAGCCAGCACATATCCTATCACTGAGAACTGCCGGTGCCTAATGCTATGCACAGCCAGCATGTTTCCCTAAAGGACATGCGTGGCTCGAACAGAGACTGCTCGTTCTGGGATCCCTGTTAAATGTCAGGACTGATATAGACACCATGTGTAAGCACAAGGAGCAGCCGACAGCATAGGCGGAATCCGTGACTAAGCAACAAATATACTTGCCTTCTTGTCGAGCTCGACATTTCGCGTCGGCAATTCCCTAAACAGCGACCCGGGCGCCAGCAAATGGGTATTACCCACCCACACATCAGCCCCCCTTGCTTTCAGCCTCCTGGCAGGCCACCTTGCCGGTGTCCGGCTCGAACAAGTGCAGCAAATCGGGATTGATCCTCAGCTTGTCTTCTTCCGGATGGCACACCCAGCATTCAACCAGCTCGCTCCAGTACGTCGACGGCAGATCGCGCACAACCACATCCCTGGCGCTGTGGGTAAGCTGGCTGCGGCAGCTGCGGCAGCAGATGGCCGTGAATCCGCGCACGGAGTCTGCAGAAATCGGGCCGTCGATTTGGCTCAAAGGAACGGCGCTTTTCAGGTGCTGGAGGTGGTTTGTGGAGCGGCTGATGGGCGCGCGCATGCGCAGCCAGCTGCTACCATTCTTGGCGGGCAGAGTGCTGGTGGTGGCACGTGCAGCGTTGACAGATGCTGGCAGTACAAGCGTGGTTGCTATGTTCAACCGCAATGTGCTGTCGTCGACCAAAAGAATATCGCTCTGGTGGACATGCTGGTCGAGTTTGACATATATGTCAACCAGGCCCAGGTTGTCAAGCACCTCAATATAATATGACGCCGCCATCAATGCAACAAAAAAAAAAAACGAGAAACGACAATGACAGGTAGGATTGGCAGGCATGGGGCCATGGGACCAGCGACCCGGTTTCGGCATATGACACCATCATCCGGAGCAGAACCACAAATAATGGGCGAGGAAAATGCACAGCATGCAGAGCTCGTTAGTAAACATCGGGACTAAAGAGACGGGGGATTAAATAAACTTGCGGTACCATTCCCGGATGCAGCTGCCGCGGTACGAGTCGAACGAGTATTTCTGTGCAGTGCCGTCAGCGCACAGCACCACCACGCTGTTGCGCTCGCTGCCAAAGCCGCAAATGCAGCGCACCTCGCTGGCAATCCGGAAGTGGGCAAACGACCATTCGGACGAAAAGTACTTTGGCAGCACATCCTTCAAGGAACTTCAGGTTCGACTGGCGGTTCCCGGACGAAGCCGCCTGCTGCTGCTGCTGCTGCTGTTGCTGCTGCTGGTCAGCCGTCGCCTCCAGATTGAAAATATGCACAGTGCCCTTGTCTGATGACACACAAAGGCGGGTGTTGTCGGGAGAGAACGCAATGCTGTAGATGTCGGCCCTGTCGACGCCTCGCCGCAGCTCGTGCAGCAGCCGGCCGCTCACAGTGTCGAACACGCGAATCAGAGTGCCCTTCTCGCTGGCGCTGGCCACCATGGAGCCGTCGGCACTGACGGCCAGGGCGCTGATCGCAGTCGCATGGGCGGCGACAATATTGATGTTGGTTGGGTGCACGGTGCCCTGCACGTCCGAGCCCTTGCTGCGGGTCCTGGTCAGGCCCGGCCTGGCGCTGGCGTCAGTCGACAGGTTAATGCACGAGTGCAGGTCGACTATCTGGATGTGGCCCTTCTGGCGGCCAGGGAAGGCCAGCACGCCGTTCTCGCTCCCGCCGCTGATTGCCGCGACGCCGCGGTCGTTGTCGCTGGTCTCGAATGCATGTAGGTGGCGTGGCTTGGCCTCCAGCGAGCACACAATGCACTTGTTGCGCAGCACCACCACGATGCGGTCGCGCTGCAGCTGCACGTTCAGCACGTCGGAGCCGGAACTCGAGCTCGGCGATAATCTTGGAGCTCGCGTCGTCCCACAGCATCACCTTGTTGGGCGGGAACCGCGGGTTCCGCCCGCCGCCCACCAGAGCAAGGTAGTTGGACCGGTACAGCATGGCCACCATGCCAATCCCTCCGTCCTTGAACTCTACAGATAAGGTACGCCTAGTGAATTTACCTTGGGAGTCATTGCCAATTTGCTGCGACGCAGCAGGAAAAGGGTGCGCTTACCTCGCCTCATTTTCTCCTTGTACGGGTCGCTGTTGAATATTCTGAAGCCCGTCTGCGTGCCAATTGCGAAGCACCCGTAGTCCTGGTTGAAATTGGCGTACAGTAGGTCTGGCGCATAGCTGTCCTGGGCTCCCGAGCCCGAGCGAGGAACCGGACGTCCGACATTCATAGCTGGCTAAGTTTTCTTTTAATTGGAACTGGAGCAATAGAAAAGAGAGGGCCTGAGTGCAGCGTGTATTGGCCGTGTAAAAGAACAGAAAAAGGTGAGAAAGTACAGGTAGAAAGGTGAGAGAAAGCGAAAGCATGCACGGCTGCTTCGTGGAAGCACACGTCAGGCACCCCCGCCCAGCCTGATGATTTCAGGCCTCCATTGCGTAAATCTTCCTGATCCCGGCCGGCAGCGCCTTAGTCAGGGTCACTGGGCACAGGCCGGTCTCGTCGACATGCCGGTAGATGCACGGGTAGCAGAACACATACCCGGACGGCGCCATGGCTGGGTTGGTGCGCGGCTTCTGGCAGAGCGGACACAGCGACTGGTCCTCGGGCACGGCCACGCCGTCGGGGTGCGGGCGGAGCGGCATGGGCGGCGGCGGCACCGGCGCCTGCTGCACCTTGCGGTGGAAATCGGACCGGTACCACCACTCGAGGAACCGGTAGAAGAAAATCGACAGCGGCAGCAGCACCTTCAAAAAGTCCAGTCCGCCCGTCAGCATGCGTGCCAGCAGATTGCGGGTATACCGGATCACCGACCCGTTGGCCGGCGCTGCCAGCCCGCTCTTCGCCGGCCCGCGCTCGTCCATGGCCCGGTAGTCGGCAGCCGTCAGCCGCCGCACCTGCAGGCCGAGCAGATGCAGCCACGGCGAGTTGTAGTTTGTGCGGTCGAACATATACGCGACATAGTACAGGGCCGTAGCCATGTGGTAGGCAAAGTTGATATGCGGGATAGAACCTTTTGAACCACCGCTTGGCGACCAGCAGCCGCCGCCGCATGCCCGTGACGTCGTCGGGGATCTCCTCGTCGGCCCCGGCGAATGCTCCGCCCAGCAGCCGCGCTGCCTCGCCGCCGCTGACCTTCTCGTAGTACTGGTCCAGCCGGCTCTTCACCAGCGGCAGCCCCACCAGGAATATCAGCGACCCCCACCGGTCGCCGCATGTCAGGCTGTTGTCGCCACGAATCCTGTGCGAACGCACCCGCTTCAGCCCGTAAAAGTGCTCAGGTGAACGACCCGCCGTAGTTGCGCAGATAGTGCCGCTCCACAAGCAGCATGATGGCTGCATACATCCTCCTCGTGCCAGTTCAGTACCCGGATCAGGTAGCGCGGGTACCGGTGCGCATACACCGACGTGACGTGCTGCAGAGCCGGCTCCAGCAGGTCCGTCATTTTGCGCTGCGCAATTATCTCAAACAGAGACGGCTTGCCCGAGTCGGCGCCGCTCAGCATGTCGCTCATGAACTCCATGACTAAAGACAAATGTGAAGTGGAACTCGTTGAAAAGATAGCGAAAAGCTGAAGCAAAGTGCGAGATAAGTTTCAGGTGGACGGAAATCGCTCGAGACCATTGCTACCACATGCGATTGGATGCCGAGGAAAATGCCCGCAGTGCGCTGGCCGAGCCGATACATTACATGGCCTACACATTCGGCGGGTGCTTGAGCAAAGAATTCAACCAGAAATATCATAGCTACTACGCAGCGTTCATCCCACTCGACCACGGCTACAGGTGGGCCTTCTTGGCCAGGATCTTGCCGAGTGCGCAGTGCTGCTCACGTAGTGAAACGCCATGGACCACGCAGGTCATTATCTGTTCGAACACTGGGTCCCATGGGAGCGACTTGTCCGCCATGGTCTCAAGCTGCTTCTGGATCTTGCCCACATACTCGTGCTGCTTGATCAGAAACACCCTGCGCTTGATGGTGGCCTCGATAAGCAGCTGCTGGTCATACTTCAATGCTCTCGCTTTGCGGTTGAGCCCGTTGATCTCCCGCAGCTGCCGATGTGGTAGGCGCACGGCTTGCCCCAGCATGCTCCTCAGCCTGCTGCCTCAGATCCGCCACGACCGAACCGCACTGGAGCAATGTCGCGCATGACACGCATATTCTCCTGGTACAGGTTCTTCTCTCTGTCCTCCATTGATGCAATGTTGTCCCTCAGCTCCTGCAGCTGCTGAATGATTGCTGCAAATTTTGCCGGCTCTGGCTCGCTGCCGGCTGACTCGCCTGCAGCTACTGATGAGAGCAGTGTTCGCCATCGAGTTGATAGTCGGTTTTTTTTTCAAGATTGATACGGGCCAGAGATAGAGACAGAAATGAGTCCGGGCGGCACTGCGAGAGAGGTGTGCGGGTTTATGTAGCCGTCTCGGAACAACCAGACATCACCGCACGCTGATGGGTATGAACACAGGCTGTCGCTGGATATGTCGACATGCTGATATCAGCTGCCGTTGCCCCATTGTAGTAGCCCTTCTTCCCTCGACTGACGTATGTGCTCATCGCATTTATGCATGAGACTAGGTTCTCAGCCCACGTCATCATGAGTCCCAGGAGACATCCGGGTAGACATTGCTGATTGACTCAGCATGTTGCATCTCAGCATTTGCACCAAGAGACTGCCCTGATACGCGCTGTATTGGGGAATCTTCAAGCGACAGGCGTGGGCTGCAAGCTGAGGATCTCGGCACATTGCTTATCCGCGATTGGCTGGATTGACCGGAGGAAAAATGAGGGAATTTCTTAAAATTGGCAATCCTTGTGTCGCACAGGCATACCTGTGCACTTCTAAAACTGGCGCTGGACATGAGGATGTCCAGATTTGCGCGCAGGAACTCGAGGAAGAGGAATGGGGTCAAAATATTTCATTGCACCGTATGCTGGAAGGCGCTGTGTGGATAGAGAATGGCGGGCTGCAGGCTGCAGGCTGCCACCGGGTCGCGCTGCAGTGACCAGTGCGTTGCCATACGGCCACGCCTGCCTCGGTGGAGTGGAGGGCAGTGCTGCATGGCAGCCTAGGGAACAATGCCAATTGCAAGCAGCAGACCTCGCACTGTCAGCTAAACTCCTCGCTTTTCTACTGGCCGGCAAAAACATCAAGCGTGCAAGGCGTGACTTGCCTTCCCCACCCAGACTATCTGCTGGCTGTAGCGTTAGGCATGGGATTGCCCAAATTCGTTTATTCAGTCCCCGACAGCATCAAAGGGCATGTCCGGCGTGAGTGTGAAAGTGAATGTCTGCTGCCTGGCATTCAAGCTTCCGGCTTCCTCCTTTTATCCTCAGCTATCTGGCACCCCTTTCCCCTCACCTCGTCTCCATTATAAATATCCACTCACGCCTCTCCTCGCTGGTGCTCTGCTTGGTCCTCCTGACAACCACCACTGCAACATCCGTTATTTCTGCTCCTTGCTGCTTTCCCCCCACTTTCGATATCCATCTCGAGGAACACTTTTTTTTTATCCATCTGCACATATGGAGGACGACACCGCCAGTGTGTGCTATATCCGCACGCCAGAGTACACAAACGAGTTTGTCTCGCGGTTTGTAGCCGACGAAGAGGCGCTCCTGCAGCGCAGCACATCGCCTCGGTCAAGCAAGCCCACGGCGCGACACAGCTGTGCAATCCCGCAGTCATTCGACGACAGCATGATTTTTGTGCCGCAGGGCGACTCGCACATCCCGAGCACGATAACGCAGCTGTGCAAGCGCTGCCACAAGTCAAGCGCCGGGCTGGTGGAGCGGCGCGCCAGTACGCGGGCAGGCGTCCTGGCATTGGTGCTGTGCGTGACGTTCCCGCCGCTGTTCTGGCTGCCGCTGGTGTCGAAGCGGTGCAAGGAGGATGGTGTTTGTCTGCTTCAACTGCGGCTGTGTCATGGGCAAGTTGCGGCCGTCGTTCCAGATCGCCAATAAGCGCCAACAGCAGCTGGCCAAGCGCTCGCTGCCTGTGGCGATGCATTCGTAAAGGAGTGGCATATACTGCTCCTCCTTTCTCTTCGTCCCTGGCATGTGGATTGTCGCAGCTAACGGTTATTCTCGTCCTCCCCATGTCTTTTAGATGTCTTGGCGCCTCTGACCATGCCGCTTATTGCTCCCCTTCGTCGCCCTCTTGCTTTGGCACATTTTCCTCCTGGCGCCAGAAAAGCGGACGCCATTCACATGGCGCGGCATATATTAGTCTTTTTGGCTTCAAGCACGACAGCGCCTCCGCCTGAGCAGCAAAAGAAAGCCTTGTAAATTTTAAATTTTTTATTTCTTGGTCCTCATACAATACACAACAGACACTGTTTGTCCAGCCCAGCGTTCAATAGTGGACCGTGGAGGGAGGGGCTGTACCGTCTACCTCCGATGTCCCCGCCCAATCTTGCGCTTGCACTGCGGGCAATAGTGTGTTTTACGCTGGAGGCCTGGCACAACCAGCGGCACCCAGAACAGCGGCCACGCGATGGCAGCTGTGATCAATGCTGCGCCTCCCGCCTTCACGCCAATCGACCGCTTGACGTTTGTCTCGACGACATAGTGGCACCACGGGCACTCGACAGTCGTGACCTCGCGTCCCAGGTTCCCTACCGCCTGGGGACCTGCGGGCACATGGTCGTAGTGGTCCACAGGTCCACTCAGGGACGACAGCGGGGGCAGCCCGGGAATGCGCTCTGGGTCGTGGTAGTCGGGGCGCTGGCCTTTGGGCATTTGCGACGGCAGCGGGTTCAGGTACGACTGGCGGCCCACGGGATGCTGGTCGGAATGGTACGGCTGCTGGGACTGAGCCATGGACTGGTAGCTGTCTTGCGCGTAGGGGTTGGGTCCGGCCGCCGTTGCGACCAGGGAATGGTTCCTGTCAGAATATTGCGGCAGGGAGGTGTCCTGTGCGTAGGGATCCCTGCCTGCCGGTGCATTGCCATACGGCTTGCTGCTGTCGAGCGATGTATCGGCTCCCGAGTCGAGGCGATTGCGGTAGCCGCTGTGGCTGTACTGTGACTGCGCAGGCGGAGATTCGTCATAGTGCAGCTGCCGACTGCCGGCATCGATAAGATTTGCCGTTATCGGTGTGTTCAAGTGCGAGCTCATTTCTTTCTTGGTCAAAAGGGAAGTTTCAGGATGGTGCTGATATGGAAAAGGTTTTTGTTGCAGGGGAAATCTTGTTCGTGTCGAGTTGCCGACGGCTACGCTTAAATAAGGCTGGCCAAGAACGGCAGCTTTACTTGGAGACATGCGCATTGAACTGGCTGAAACATGGCGGATGCCGGTGTCTGGAATTTGTCGACAAACCTGCCTGCGTCATACAAAAGCTGTGGAGTATTTGTCTCCTGACTGCTGATGGAAACAACTGAATCACTGGATCTTGTTTGTTCTTGGCGGTAGCTACCGTCCCCCTGCTGGACGAGAGTTCCAACCAGATGCTTTTGTTTGGACGCACAGGAGAAAAGACTGCGGCACTATGGAAACGTGCAGCTTGTCAACTGCATGGCTGCGTGCTGTCAGGGTCTACCAGTGGGGTGGAGAATGGAGATTCCAATCACCTGGTTCTAGATGGTCTAGAGAAGCTCTAGAATCAGGCAAGATGCGGGAGAGAGAGAGAGGCAAAACGGCAGTAACCCCCAGTGCAGGGACTTTACGTTGTTACATTTTCAATGTGCACCTTCCCCTCACCTCATGTCAATATGAACATTCTCGACAAGAAACAAATGATGTTCGTATTCCCAGCTTGAGCTGCAAAGCCAATGCTCGTCCTTTTCCACTGCTGGCCCTCAGATTCCCATCAATATTTGCTAGTATTTTCAATGAAAGGACTAATCCACTCGTTCCTTCTGGCTGTGCTTAGGCACACAGTGCGTCTTAGGCGCACGTTGAAATGAAGGACCCGCCGCCACGCCACTCACAGTACAGCAAGTACTATGCTGACAACGACGATGTCGATTATAACATGAAATCGCCGCTCGGTCCCATTGTCAGCTACCCTTGCCGCAGCTTCTCCGCCGGGCCAGTCCAAGGCACACTAACCGCTGGGCGCCCGTTCCACGTACAATTTGACGGCGTCGCAACGCACATGGGCGGTGACTGCCAGTTTGCGATCTCATATGACAACGGCACGACATTTGCGGTGATCTGGGACAAGCTCTCGAGCTGCTTCCTCGACACAAGCGGCGGCGGCTACGACGTCCCGATCCCGGAATTCCTGCCGGCATCCAAGCACGCAGTGTTTGCGTGGACATGGATCAATGGCCTTGGCTCGCGCGAGTACTACATGAACTGCGCCGACGTGCGGATCGAGAACTACGGGAAGCAGGAGCCGCTAACAGCGCATCAGCTGCTGGTTGTTAATTTGCCCTGGCAAGCCGGATTGTGCCCTGAAAAGACGGGCCGCGAGGAAGACCATGTTATCGCATTGCTCAAAAATCGCCCGTTTGTAACCGTCGGCAAACCCATGGATATGGTCCAAGGAAGAGGTGGCTGAGGCCAACCAGCGCAATGACGCCGATGATGACGCGAGCTCCAACGGCGATTTCGGCAAGCGAGGACTCGGCCAACAGCGATTCGACCACGGTTGACCCGGTCGATGACTCGGATATCCCGGACGAAATTACCAGCTACATCACGGCGACCAAATTCATCACGGAAGACGATATCCACGACGAGGAAAACACCAGCGACCTGGATGCCGGGTTCACCTACGGCAAGGGTGCAATGGGCGATGGCCACATTCCTGAGACCCTCTCGGGGTTCGGCGACGACTCCACCATACTCATGGGCAGCTTCACCAAGGATCCGCTGGAGTCTCTCGAGTCCACGACAGCCGATTCCTTTGAGACGTTCACACATCTGACCGGCGCTTCCCATAGCGCTGTTGGTGAGCTGGGGGGGCTGGATTTGTGGCCCGAGAGCTCGTCGTCGTCGTCAATGCATGAGGCTGTTGATCTGGATTACGAAAAGACTCTGGGTACACAAAGTGACCCGCTTTCCGGCTCCCAGCGCCCATTCGACTACACGATGCAGGGCATGTTCCGCAGCATGCCTGTGGCGGAAGCAGGCGCAACGTCGGCGGCGTCGAAATCAGTGCATATGGTGACGCATATGGCGACCACGACGGTGCATGGAACGCCGGTGCTGCAGGTGGTGGTTTCGGCCGACAACACTATAATCCCAGAAAGCCTGACAATCTCGTACCCAGCCTAGGCATCTCGTTTACACGCTCTAGTTAACAAGTTTGCTATCAATCCACTTGAGAGCAGAGTGGCGGGGGCCTCACTAGCATTGGCGTGAGCAAGAAGGGATTGCCAGCTGGTGTGCCAGCGTCCTGCTGCAATTGGCTCGCTGCAATGCTATGCTAGGCATCTAGGATGTGTAATATTTGTAGCCGCCCGGAACCCAACAGAATACGGCGTCATTTCCACCCGGCTCCTCGAGAGTCCCTTCTTCTCCTCTGCCTGGCTTATCTCCTTGCTAGTTTTTCCCTCATTCTTTCAGTATCTACATCTGTCCAGGCTTGTAAGACACCGCCTCTTCTTTTTTCTTAGACGCCCGCAGTAACTCAAACATGGTTTCGCAGACAGACTCGTACTTCCGCGACGTGCGCATCGGCGTGATCGGTGGAACTGGTCTGTACACGCTCGACGGCCTGACGGTCAAGGAGGAGGTGACGCCGGTGACCCCCTGGGGCGAGCCCTCAGGCCCGATCACCATCGCCGAGACGGCGCGCGGGCACCAGATTGCGTTCCTCGCGCGGCACGGGCCGTCGCACAGCGTGCTGCCCAGCGAGGTCAACTACCGCGCCAACATTGCGGCGCTCAAGGCGGTCGGCGTGCAGGTGATCCTGGCGTTCAGCGCGGTGGGATCTCTGCGCGAGGAGGTGCGTCCGGGAGACTTTGTGCTGATTGACCAGGTCATCGACCGCACCAAGGGCGTCCGCGGCGACTCGTTCTTCACGGGCACCGGGGTGACGGCGCACGCGTCGTTTGGCGAGCCCATCAGCGCGCTGCTGCGCGACTTGGTGGCCAAGCACGACAGCGCGGTGCCCGAGATCACGGTGCATGCGAGTGGCACGGCGGTGTGCATGGAGGGCCCGGCGTTCTCGACCCGCGCAGAGTCCAACCTGTACCGGTCGTGGGGCGCCAGCGTCATCAACATGACGTGCATTCCAGAGTCGAAGCTGGCGCGCGAGGCCGAGATCACGTATGCGCTGGTGTGCATGGCCACGGACTACGACGCCTGGCGCGAGTCCGAGGAGCCCGTCACCGTGGCTGAGGTCATGAAGACCATGAAGGTCAATGCGGCCAACGCCCGCACGCTGCTGCTGGACGTTCTGCCGGAGCTCGAGACCGCAGTCTACTCGCCGGGCGTCTGCGCGCTTACCAAGCCCGAGACCGGCAGCATGCAGTACGCGTTCCAGCAGGACCCGACCAAGCAGTCGGCTGTGGGCAAGGAGAAGCTGCGGTTCCTGTTCTCCAACTACTTTTGAACACGAAGAAGCAAAGTCTGTACAAATGTGATTTCTTTTGTTTGGCTTGAATTTTGGAAAGGAAATAAACGTAGGGAGGTTAGTTTGTCATGTCGACAGGTAGCAGAGCGCACTGCGCATGAACTTGGCGGCAGCCTTGCGCACGAACGGCTGCTCGGTGACCTCCAGCACGTCGCACACCTTGAGCACCAGTGCGTCGACGCTGCCTGCCAGCTGCATGCCAATGGCCGAGTCCTTCTGGCCCTGGCTGCCCAGCACATAGACGTCAGCCCACAGCTCCAGCGTAGCAGCTACGGTATGCGCAATAGATATCAGACCGATATCGGTTGGCGTGCCGGCGGCGGGCTGGGTGAAAAAGTAGCTCTCGACAATATCGGCCGACATGCCCACCAGGTCGTCCACTAGCTGGCTCAGCCTCTCATGGCTGCAGCCGTCTGGCGACACAGCCTGCTGAGCGCCAATGCCAGCGACATGGGATACGCATGACGCGGAACGCGACTGAGATGCGGGCCGCGTGAGCCACAAGCTCCAGGCGCATATAGGCCGGCCCCAGCAGTGTCAAGTCCCCCTGCTTGACCAGACGCCTTACTTGGCCATGCCTCACCATGGTGCTGGCATGTATGTGCGAGTTCTCCAGCATCGCCAGCCAAGCCCACGCCTGGCCGCTGTCCGGGTGCTCCTCGCTGAGCAAGTACACCAGCTTCAGGATGCGCGCATGCAGCCCGCACTGCCGCGCCGCCTCGCGCTCGGCTGCCAGCGTCAGACCCCGTCCGATGGCGGCCATGTCAACGGAAGTGTCTCCGATGAGCTGCCTCAGCTTGGCAATCACCGCCGCCCACACCCAGTCAGGCACCGCCTGGCATTCGCTGGCGTAGCGGTTGACCGCTGTGGAAATGCTGCGCAGGGCCTCAGCAGTCAGCGGCTCCAGCGGAGCCATGGTGTAGGCACCCGCCAGGTCCAGAAACGCCCGGAACGAGTCCTGGCGCACCGACAGCGACATGTGTGCGGACTTTAGGCAGTCCATCAGCAGATCCAGCCATTTCCCCAGCACATACGACCAGCACGCCATACATGCTGGTGTTGCCGCAAACAGCATGGCATTCAGACGCAGGAAACCCGCCATGCAGCAGTGTCTTGTACGCGTGTCTGCCCAGCAAGGGGAGCGCGCGCTGGATGCTAGCGAATGCCACGTCAATGAGCTTTGTCCGCAGGTCCTCGAACTCGCTGGCTCGCATACCCGGTGGGCCCTGCGAGCTCCCGCACGTGCCGTTGTTGCTGGAGAGCTGTAGCGACGGATCGGACCTGCCTTGGCTAGCTCCATCCTGCTGCCCATCACTGCTGCCACTGCTGCCACTGCTGCCACTGCCAGCCCCCTCGGGAACTGCAGCCTCTGGGTCGTCCAGAGTCGGTATGGCCTGCGGGGGCGACTGCACGTTGCGCAGAATGGCAGCCGGCTCGTACGTCAAGAGATGCACCAGGGCAGTGATGATGCTCTGGATCTCCGGGGGCAGCTCGCAATGCCCGCCCTCGCTGTCCCCGCCGTCGTCCCAGATGGTCGCAATCGACAGAGACAGAGAGGCGCCGGATATCTGGTCGATCATCTTGCCCGACAGCCGCACCCATGCGCCCATGACCGACTCTGCCAGCCCGCCATCCTCGCTGCTGCCCGGCTGTGCGCACACTGCGACTGCCACCAGCGCGCGCAGCGCCGGCAGCCGCCCAAACTTCACCGACGGCGGGGCGTCCAGCGACTGCTCCACCGTGTGCAGCAGGGAGATGGCGATGTCACGCACCTGGGGTCCGGCCGGGGACCGCGTGCAGTGCCGGGCCATGCGCGACACCATGTCGAATACAGGCAGTCCAGCCTGACCCCAGACAGACCAGGCACTTGGCCACCAGGGTGTTGAGCTCGCTGGCGATATACTGTATGACCGCCAGGTCCCTGGTGGCCTTGGCGATTCGCACCAGCACCTTCAGCACGCGGTCCTGCAACTGCAGCACCGAGAACTTGGGCGACCTGGCCAGATGGCCCACCAGCCCGAACGCCAGGCTGATTACCAATGCGCGTGCGTTGGATGAGGTGCGCCCGGGACACCCCAGCCCGGCAATGTACTGGCTGATGTGGTCCCAGACTGCCAGCCACTCGAATGCCGACCGGTCAGAGGCAAGAGCCTCCAGGATATTGAACATCTTGCGCACGTTGCGCGTAGCCCTTTCCACGCTGTCGGCGCTCCTGCATGACCCGACAGTCGAAATGCTGCCATGCGATTTTTGCACGCCCACCGCCGAGCCCCCGCTCTTTATCGACCCTGCCTCCGAGCCCATGCATTGCTGCTGTGCCTCGATGCTGGCCACCCGCGCCAGCGCGTCCATGTAGCCCAGTAGCCGCGCCAGCGGCATGCCGACCGGCTCGCTTTCCATGCTCGCCATTTCCACATATGTCGGGGGCACCAGCGCATGCACCGCCGGCTTGGAACCATCGGCACTGGAAAAGCTGCTCGAGTCGCCAATGGGACTGAACAGGGTCTTGTCGGAATCGGGGCTGCCCGCCGGCTTCTCTCCATCAAACACAATATGCGACTCCAGCCGGGCACCGACAGATGCCAGGAGCTGCGCCAGCTGGTCCCACACCGGCGCCAGCACCGCACGCTCCTCAACAGCCACCTGCATGATCACCCTTGCCGCCTCGCCGTGCTTCCACTCGACAACCGTCCTTGTCCAACCCCGCCATGCGCTCCAGCCCGCCTGACTGCCTGCTGAATGATTGCTTCGTCTTTGGACTGCCCAGCAATGCGCAAGCACTGCTGCATGGCGTCCAGGACCTGCTGCAGCAGCGACTTCTGCAGCCGGCTTTCGGTGGTCAGCATGCCGGATATATCGCCGCTCTGGTCCCACAGCCGCACGTTGGTGCGCTCGAACGCCCGCACGAGCAGCGGATGCAGTGCTGGCCAGATTGCTGTGAACATGGCCTGGTTCAGCCCGCCAATTGGGTGCACCGGGCGTTCGGGCGACAGTATCCAGCCAGGGTGGGCGGAGGCAGCCGCGGTGATTCCCTGCACAATCGGCGAAGGCCTGGATCTCGACAAAGGCCTCACAGAATGCAGCTCTGGTTGTCGTGTCCTTGGCTGCCATAGGCATGTACTGCTTGAGCAGATCGTCCGGCCCTATCTTCGCCTGTCTCTGCCACACTTCGTAGTCGGCGATCACAGCCAGACACGCCAGAATATAGACCATACCCACTTGTTTTGCGCTCGTATCGTCCTTCTTTGGCGGGCTACCCTGCAGTGCCTCTGCCCCCTCTTCGGATGGTGTGCTCAGGTAGGTGCAGTTGCGCTGGCAAAACTGCCGCGCAAATGCCAGCAGCAGAGTATCCAGCTGCTGCACGCCATCGGGTAAGAACACGCTGAACAATGCAGACAGCGCGCTGGCCAGTGCCTGTGTCTGCAGCTGCATCTGCTCGAACGCCTGCGCCAGGTACTCACACGACTCGTCGCTGAACGCCAGCTGACACATTGCCGTGCGCGAAATGCGTGTCTTGCATGCCGCCTAGTTTGCTGACACTAGGTATTGCCGCTGACTCCGGCAATCAGATGCTGCATAACGGTGTCGGGACAGTCGCTGGGGATGAACCCAAGCTGCAGAATCGTCTGCAGCCCTGCCTCGGGATTGCTGTTGAACAGGCTGACGGCGTCCTCGACCGACTCGGGTATCCGGAAGCGAATGCATGCTGATGCTGATGTCGTCAGTATGCTTATATATGCCGGCTTCATTGTGCCTAACCCCCAGGCCGTCGACCATGGCCACCAGACACTTCAGTGCCATTACGGCCATCCGCAGGTGCTGGATCTTTCGCTGCTCCACTTCGCCAGACTGCGTGGCCGACACCTCGCTGCTGCCGCGCAACGAGCTCCACACGCCATGAAGCCTACCGGTGACTGCCGGCGTGCTGGGCGGCGCCTCGAACACGACGCGCACGATCCGGCACAGGACATTGAACAGCTCCTGGAACGCGCAGCTGGAGTCGGCCGCATCTCTGCTCTTGGGCAGAAGCCCCACCAGCGAGCGCGCGTCCCCGCACACGCGCATCAGCCCGCGCATCACCAGCATCTGCTGGACACTGGCCGCCATCTGCATGGCTACGACCTGGTGGCTCAGCGAATTGGCCATTTCGCACATTTTGGAGTGCGCCCAGGCGCTCTGCAGTGGCGCCAGGTACACCTCCTTGAACAGTGCGCCCAGTGTGTCTTTGAGCGGATCCCACGGCCGCTGCAGCAGTGCAATCAGTAGCGCCAGTGCCTTGTCGAACACCTGCGGCTCAGTCGACGTCCCGCATTGCCGGGCAATGCTGGGCATGGCGCTGCAGTGCAGCATGCAGAATGGCGGATACACGCGCGTGCTGTCGTCGATATTGCGCAGGAGCAGGTCCAGCAAGTCCAATGCCAATACCTGGCCAGCCACGATTGACCGCGACGTCACGGTGTTCGCCAATACGCCGTTGCTGGATTTGCGCAAAATCCCAGCATCTCTTCGCTTCGCTGGCGCCGGACTGCGCCACTGCCCAGCCGTGGAACAGACAGTAGACGAGGCACACGCGGTCCTGGGCATTTGCATTGCCACCGGCCATTGCGCACATTTTGGCTGCCACCTCGGCCAGCGCACGCTGGGCTGCGGCGCCTGCACTGCCCTCCTGCACTGCAATCTGCTTGACTGTCTGCAACGCACAGACTACCGCCACCGAATGCATCTCGTGTGCGGCATGCACCAGCAGGTTATGCAGGATCCGCGCAACCCCCAGATACGGCTCGCCCATTAGCTCGTGGCACTTGCATACTGCCGATACTAGCGCGTCCAGGGCACGCCACCCTGCTACCATGGCGGTGCCTGTCGCGTCCTGCGGTCTTTGTGCCGTACAGCCAACTGTACTGCCGTGCCTCGTCCACCACCCGCCATGCTTCTAAATACATGCCATCCTTGTTCATCAGGTCGCGCGGCATCCGGATGCCGGTATTGTGTGCCTGCAGTGCCTCCTGGCTGCTGCTGAGCATGGCCAGGCTTTTCTCGAGAACATTGAGAATCGACATTACCAGTGACCGGTTGCGTCCGGCGGCCAGCGCTTGGTCCAGCAACTGCGTTAGCTGCGCAAAATCTAGCTCGCCGCGCTCATCGTCCTGATCTGCCTGATTCGGCCGCCTGGGTCGGCGCAATGAACGTGCCGCTGGTCGATGCCAAACTTGCATGCTGCTTGTCTTGCAGATCGATCTCTTGCACGATTGTGCCAAAGATCTCGTATATCGACATATGGCAGGAGGTATTATAAAATAGTGTGTGTGTATTGGAACTGAAAACTAAAGGATACCTGAAGTTTTTTGTTTCGGTTTTGGAGCAGAAGAGTGTATTCAAAAGGGCAATGTCCAATATGTGGAGGCGGCTGACAAACGCTGTGCTTCTCACTCTCTAGTCGCCGATCTAGGAACACTGTCTTCCAGCGCGCCTCCAGCTTGCACCCCCGTTTCCTTTCAATTACCGCCCCGCCCTTGGTATCACTTAATATCGGTTAAAACAATATAGAGGGACTCTCCAAAACCTCGAAGGTGGGGGACTATGTTTGCTTTGAATCCCCGGCCCCAGGCACTTTTCTCCCTACAGGCCGGTATAATCATCTCAGGCCTACGCAGTAGCATGGTGGAAAGCTATCTATATATACGCACATATTTCTCCACCATTTCTGAGGAATGTGGATTCTCACAAGGCAGCCCAGCCATATGGAGCTTCAAATGCGGTATATCCTACTGCTCGCCTGCCTGCACTTTTGCTTTCCCAGTCCGACTAATATTAATTTGCCGGTATCTCAATAATGCACCTGGGAAAGGGGAGGGTGTGCAATGACACAGGGAAAATTGAAATTACTGAAGAAAAAACCAAACGAACACTAATATGCTGAGTTACATGTATAAATCTGACGCATAATTTTGGAGAGAGGGGCGACTAATCTTTGCGTGGCATCCACTTGCGGTGCTTCTTTGGCGGGTCCGGCGGGAACTGCACCTCCTCGTCGGGCTCGACGAACACCTGGCCGTACCACGGACGATGCATGACCTTGATCTCTCTAATGATATCGAGATCGCGCGGCTTGTTCATCTTCTGCCATGCCCGGACACTGTACCGGGGCAGCAGTGCGACGACGACCGAGATGACGAGGCCGAACCAGAACTCGATAGTGACAAACACCGCCTGGGCAGCGCCGCCGACAGTAAAGTACTTGAACTGCGATGCAATGGCAATATAGACGAAGCACACGGCAATCGAGAACGCGACTGCCAAGCCCATCATCCAGTTCCACTGCCACGCGTTGAGCCCGACGCACAGACTGGCTGCAACCACAACCGATATGGTCGGCCCGGTGCTGAAGTCCGAGTTGCCCCACACCTTGCCGTTCCCGTTGGCCACCGTCGACTTGTACGTGAACAGGTAGAAGGTGAAGAAGATGACCACCGACTGGTAGATGCCGTCGATGAAGTACGCGTAGTAGCGCCACCACTTGAAATAGCGGTTGCGGATGCCGTCCATGTACACTGCAACGTAGGTCATGGCGGTCTTGTAGTTGAACGGCTTGTCAGCGCACCCAAGGATAATCACAGGGGCGACCGTGAACACCACGTTGTAGAGCTGCAGATACGACAGATCATAGAACACGTTAGCCGAGAACTGGCAGTAGATCGAGTACCAGAACGGCACCATGGCCCAGATCACGTTCTTGTAGAAGAAGCTCAGAATCATCTCGCTCATACGCAAGTAGTCGAACAACCCGTGGACCAGCAACAGGTTCTGCAAAAAGTGGAACCGCCCAACCGTGTAATCCGACGCCATGGCTGCCTGCAGCCCTTCCTCGCCCGAAATGGCGACGCCGATATCGGCGGTCTGGATCATGCTGACGTCGTTGGCGCCGTCGCCGATCGCCAGCGTGACCAGGTCCAGCCCGTCCTTGACCAGCTTGACCACCTCGGCCTTCTGCAGCGGGCTGGCGCGGCAGCACACAACCGACTTGAACAGCGGCGCAATCTCCAGCAGCAGCTGCTTGCACTCTTCGTCGGCAAACACCTGGCTCAGCGCCTTGCCGTCGATAACCAGGGCGTTCAGCGGATGGTACGATGTGCCGTCGACCGAGTGGTGCGGCAGCCCGTCAATCTCGGTGCTCTGCCGACGCAGGAACTCGATCGACTGCTGCACCTCGTCCGGCGTCAGGTCCTCCTCCGGGCCGGCATTGCCGAGGTCAAAGTTCACCGTGTTGAAGTGCTCGTTGTTTTCGTCGTCGTCATTGAGGCGCGGGAACTCGGCACGCTCATTCGACGCCGGCGCGTGTGTGATCTGCGGCAGGTCCTGCGGCGGGCTGGTCGCCTGGCTGGTGACGGTCTCGGCGGTCTTGCTGCGACGGTGGGTCCAGCTGCTCTTGCTCAGGTTGCGGCTATGGCGCCGGATCGACTGCCCGATATTCAGGAATTTCTTGGCCCGTCCGATCTTGTACGAGACGCTTCCCAGCGCTGTCGCATCAGCAGCGTGCAGCTGGACATTGGCAGTGCTGGGCTTGCGCACCGCCTCGGGACGCGGCGTAATGGCGTATTTGCCATACGCCAGGTCGTTGATGGCGGTCTGCTTCATGATGCGCGCAATGAGCTTGAACCGCGACACTACCTTCTCGGGGCCCGACGAGCTGTTGATGGTCCACAGCTCCATCTCTTTGGTCAGCAGGTTAGCGGCAAAGCCGATGTTGATCGCCGTCTCCATCTTGTCGCCGGTCAGCACCCAGATCTTGATTCCGGCAGCCCGCAGCGACGCAATGGTTTCGGGCACCTTCTCCTGCAGCTTGTCTTCGATAGCCGTGGCACCGGCAATCAGCAAGTCGCTTTCCATCTCTTCAGCGACCATAGCAATCTGCTCCTCGCGGTCGCTCTCTACCGACGCCTGTGCGGCATGGTACCGCGACGACCACCTCACCCACTCCTCCTTCAGACACATGGCGGTAGCACAGCATCAGCGTGCGAAGACCGGCGTTGGCAAACTCGTCGATCTGCGTAAACGTGCGCTCACGCATAGTCCGCTCAAACGCGAGGTCTTCGCGCGACGCGAACGGGCGGATGTCCGAGTCAGTCGCCGCCGGCAGCTTGGCCAAGCGCTCAATCATCACGTTATCGGCACCCTTGGAAAATACGATGATATCGTTGTAGGGCGGTGGACGGCGCAGGATGTTGGACATGCGCTTGCGCGCCGAATTGAACTCGATCGTGTCCAGAACCTCGTACTGCTGGCGCTCGCCGTGGATATCCAGGTAGATGGTATTCTTGACGCGGCCCAGGAACGTGTAACCAAAGTTCTTCGCCGCACGCACCAAGGCGCCCTCATCAGGCGACTCGGCGCTGTAGGCAATCTTGCTCAGATCGGTCTTCTCCTCGGCGGGCTCGTCAGGCGGCGAGCCTGACTGGCTGCGGTCCATGTAGTCCGTCGGCGGGCTCATGGATGTCTCCTCAGAGAAATACCGGATGTCCGTCGTCGCCCATGCGCAGCCGCGACCCGGGCATAGATGCGTAGCCCAGACCGTTCTGGCTGTCGCCGCCGTCAGACATGTTGGGCCGCATTGAGGGGCCGGCTCCATCGTTCGATCCGTTGCTGGTCGAGTGGCCCATGTCTGCCAAGGCGCTCTCCGATGCCACCCACTCGACACCGTCAGTGCCAGTGCTGGTAATTGTAGCTACCGAGTCGGTGTGGCCATGCTCGTGGTGGCGGTGGTGGTGCTTACTGCGGTGACGCCGGTGCCGCACCATGTCGGTGATCTTCTTTCGATCCGCTGCGGTTATGGAAGATGCGCGTCAGCTTGCGGATCGTCGAGGTGCTGTCGTCGTTTGCATCACTGGCCACCTGCTTCTGGAAGCTCTTCTCCACCACCACTGAGTGGCAGGTGGCGAGCTCGGTGAAGAACAGATCGATCATGTTCTTCTGCCGCACCGGGTCCACGTCGAAACCCGCCCCGCAGCGACCGGCGCGAGCCCATGCGGTGCACTGTGCGCGGCGGCGAGAACGCCAAGCCCAGCTCGTTGGCGGTTGGGCTCAGGGGCGCCTGCATTTCGGCAGGGGCGGGGCTGGTCTTGCCGGGCGGGGCCACCTCAGGCTTCATGTCGTAAAAGATCTGCGGGTCGACAAACGTGTACGAGCCTCCTTCGCCGGTGCTCTCGTTTCCGATCTCGACGTACTTTGGGTCAAACACGTTGCGCATGGCCTGGAGGTAGGCGCCAATCATCTGCTTGCGCTTCACCTATCGCCTCGGCGTCAGTCATGGGCTTGCAGAGTGCGGGCCCGGGACCGCACCGCGCTGATCCTGCACCGGCTGGATCCGCGGCGACCGCCTGTGCAGCCGACTGTTGGCCTGCTGCGGCATCCCGCTGGCAGTTGAGATCAGCGGCGAGCTGTCGTACTGGCTGGTGCCCTGCGACATAATGCTGGTGGTTGTGCTTGGCCGCATCGGGTCGATCAGGTCCTCCCGCATTTCGTCATCCTGTAGCTCCTGGAAGAACGGGTTGGCGCCGCCCTCGGGTGGGTTATTCCGGTCGACCTCCTCCTGTGCCATACGACCCTTGACCACATCGAGCTCATCGCCCGGCAGCTGCTTTCCATAGATGGTGCCGTTGATAGAGCACATGCGGAAGTCCATTACGTTGCGCGTCAGTGTGCCGGTCTTGTCGCTGAAAATGTACGACACTTGGCCGAGGTCGTCCGAAATGTTCCAGTTGCGTGCAATGACACCGCTGGTCTGTCGGCTCGTAGTACATGTTCATGTCCTGGTAGATCCAGTATGCGTGCCAGCTCTTGACGAACTCGATACTGACATACAAGGCGATAGGGATGACGTTCTGCAGCATAATCATGGCCGACCAGAACAGCGCGAACCCGTACGTGCCCTTATCCATGCCGTCGTCGACATACATGCTGTGGCGGTGCGGAGCCTCGGCATATTTCAGACCGCCAACCAGTGCCACGACAAACGACATGACGAACACAAACCCAAAGCACAGGAACACCTGAATGTTCATCATGCGCTCGATGCGACTGCGCTTGTACGGCGTCGGGCCAGAGTTCAGCACAATCTTTGTCTGCTCGCCCGTGTACAGCACGATACCCACGATCCAGTCAGTGTTACGCACTGTCATTCCACGCAGCAGCACGTTGCTGATCGAGAACGGAACAAGCAGCGGCTCGTCGTATTCGGCAGTGCCAGGCAGCGACTTGCCCATTTCACTACACAAACAAAAGAGCATGACAATTGGTGTGATTGTTAGCTGTGGCGCTCGAAAGAGACTTTTCTTCTGCTGCTGCAATTCTCCGAGGATAATAAAGCCCGTCATTGCATTGAGACGCAGAGCTGTCCGTACAATCCACACGTGGCTCGCAGCAACAACACAAAATACGATCATTCAATGTGACGGCTACAAGTGAAGGCCCAGTCCACCAGAACATGAAACAACCGCGACATGCTGCGGCGTGCACGCACAGACAAGAGGCAATGCAGATAATAAGCACAAAATGGTCTGGTGATGACCATTGACGGAAGCCCGCCATCACTTCACCCCCAAAAACACAGCCAAGGCTAGGCTCGCAAACAATCGGCCCTTTCAGCTATGGATACTTTACCTTGCAGGATTCTTGTTTACAACAGTCGCCATGTTGTCTGCAGCCTCATCGACGCCACCGGCTTTTGCATCGTCGGCGCCGTAGCTTTGCATGGTTGCCGGCTTAGTAATCGCCTTGGCCAGCGGCGAATGCTTCATCGGCATGGCTTGGCGCAGAGTGTTCAGCTGGCGCATCTCGAACGAGTTGCTCTCGGGCATTCCATATTCCTCGGCTGGCGGGCCACTGGAGCTGGTCTGCATCGGCGCTGTGGCAGAGAACCCCTGTGCTGCAAACTCGGCATACGGCGGCGTGGAACTCGTCCTCTACAGGAGGCTCAGGCACCGCGAACACGCGAATTGACCCGTTGATTTTTGTCATATCAGATGTGGGCGGGTCCACCTCGACGATGGCCTTCACCCGGCCGCATCCTTCGGCGTCGCGCACGCCAGCGGTCTCTGCTAGAGATGCGCGCGGCTTGAGGTTGGTCTCACCATCGAGGTTTTTTGTCTCGACATAGCAGCTGCCGTCGTCGGCGGATGTAGCCAGCATCAGCATGTCTGCAGGGCGCCGGGTCGCCGGTGCGCAGAATCACAAAGTCGCCAATGCGTACATTGCGCCATTTGGCCTCCTCGTTGAGTACTGGCGGGCGGGTGGCATCCACAGGGTTCTGCGACTCCTCCCAGTCAGGCGGAATCTGATTGTACAGCGTCTTCTTCTCCAGCCGCCGAGCCATGCTGATGCGCATCCGGTGCGACCATTTTTCCTCTGCAATCAGCGCCTGGTCGTCCTGCCACTTGAGGTTGGTATTGCGCAGATTCCGCACAATCCGCGTCGGCGTCTCGTTGAAGTGCCTGTCCGAGATGTGTCGCCGCCAGTCCTCGAATCCGTCCTTGGCTGCCGTAATCGCCAGCACCAGGATAATCGGTACCACTGTCAGAAACCTGCTGCCCAGCGAGAAGTAGCTGATCAGCTGTAGGATAGTCAGCACCAGGAAGTACACGTTTGCGACGCGCATGAATTGCCGCGACAGGTTCTTTGGCAGAAAGTTGATCAGGCTGTACTGTGCTGTTGTGATTGCGTTCGTGCAAAAGTGCTCTGCGTGCGCGGCCAGGCTTTCGTCGGGCACTGCCATGTTGACATAGACTTTGCGTGCCGGCAAGAACGCTGCCGCCTGGCGTACCTCGTTCACATTGCGCTTCGCCGTGAGGAACGCCCGCGCTTTTGTCGCCATCCTCTGCCATGCCGTCAGGTGGCTTTGCGCCCAGACTGCCGGTACTGCTCATGACTGCTTTCTATAGTGATTAGTAAGAATGTTAGTGGTATGCGGAAACAAAAGCGAGGCGGATGGGGAGGGGAGCCATCCCTATGCTGTCATCGACTGGTCAATCTAAATAAACTTGTGCAAGCCCACAAGCAGCCGCCGCCGTCCAGCCTGCACGCGTGCTGCTAATTTCACGCGTTGCAATCTCCGGGGAGGCCAGGAGCGGCCTGGCAGAATCCCGCCGGTTCCTTTTTGTGCTATTTTCGGAACGCAAACATGCACGCCGACACCTTGCCCAGAAAAGGGTTGCAGCCAGGCATTCACGGTGGCCAAGAAAAACCGCAGACATAAAGGAGATGTGCCCAGAAACATGCCGAGCCCAGAGCCGTTTTAGAAAAACATCGTGTACCTTAGTATCGGAGTTCTGTGCTGCTGGAAGCCGTCTGAACAACGAGCAAGAGACCCAGTGAGAAAAAAGGGGGAGACAGACGTAACAGGATGAAAAAAGAACCGGTGCAGTCTATAAACCGAGGACAGAAGAAAGAGAAAGAGAGATGACCTAGCTCTGGTAGACGAGCTTTGAGAACAAGATAATAGACTCCGGTTTGAGTGTCTCACACAGGAGGATGGTGTAGACTTTCAGGAAATACGCTCTTGGCAACCCAGCTCTAAAAAGTGTGACCCCTGCGATAGAATATAGGGTGTGCGCTTCGGGATGTTTGCTATAATATAAAAACAGTAGACAGAGGGACTTTGAAGAGGAGAGCAGTAGAAACTGCTACAAGGAGCTTGGCTGTTTTGTTTGCCAAAAAAAAAAAAAAGAAAGAAAAAGTTCAAAAAGCCAAGGTTCCAGCTTCCCTTTGAAGTCCGCAACCGACATGGTGCGGCCAACTTTTTCCGCACGCCGGCTTTATTGCCTCCTGGAGCGCTGCCCCTCATGCGGCGGCTTCCCCTCTCCCCGATTTCCCGCCGAACTCGCCTCTAGAAATCACAACAGATGCAGCTAGCGCCTGCCAATCGACCCCCCTTGTATCACACTGGCTACCCAGTTCGCACACTATTTAGGTCCATTGTGCAAGGTTTTTTGTCTGCAGGTCACCTCACCTAAACTTGCCCGCTCTCGGTCGTTCTTCGCCTCCCACAGAGGATCAATCGCGGATGTCTCACTAAAAATACACAGCGTTGGGGAGACCGGCTGCGTTACCCTTGCCTGCCCCATGTGTAGCTGCCCTTTTTTCTTTGCTGGACCGCTCCGCCCTGGTCTGCTGGAACCTGGAATCTGGGATACGTCTCGGCGTCATAGCGTGCTTACTAAGCCTCGAGGCTGCTGCTCCTAATGCTCTCTACACCAGCAGTTTTGAAGAAACCTCTTGAGAATTCTCTATGACAGGACGCCACTAAGGATTCCTGGGACCACTCTACCATCCTCGGATCCCCGCCACTCGGCGGACCCGCTTCCAATACCGGCACCAGCACCGAGAGGGCTTGCGGGAAAATGTGGGCAATATCTTTTAAAAAATTAAAATTCTGGAATCTCCCTACATGCCGTGCGGCTGGGGCGTCGCCTGTTGCTGCTGCTGCTGCTGTTGCTGCTGCTGCTGTTGTTGAAGCAGCTGCTGCATTCTCTCCTGGGTCTTCGCCGACAAATAATGGAACACGGCCTCCTCTGCCCACGGCTCGTCGTACAGCTTGCTGTCCTTGAGCCACTTTGCCGCCTCCTGCTCCAGCGCGTGCTTGCGCTCCTCGGACATTCCCTGGGACTCTTCATCCGCCTCCATAATGGCGCCCAGAGCGGCCTCCAGGCCGTGCTTGCGGTCGCCCAGGATGACCTCCAGGTCCTTTGTCTGGTTGTCGATCCACCGGTGGATGAACGCGACAGGGTCATCGGCGAACCCGCGCAAAAAATCGCGCTTGCTGCGGGCGTTGTGGATATCGATCATCTTCTGCTGCAGCTGGCTCTCGACGTGCACAAGCTCGCGCTGGCGCGTCTGCAGGTTCGCCAGCGGGCCTGTTGTGTGCCGCCAGTGGTCCTCAACCTCGACTTCAATGTCGAATGCGTATTTGCCCATGTGGAAGCCGCCCTCATGCACCCGTACCGTATACTCAATGACGATTGGGTCGGGCCGAGCCAGGAATGCATGCAGCATCTGCGGGATGGCAGCAAACGACACGACCTGGTGACCCAGCGCCTGCTGCAGCCCCGCGTCGCATCTGATCTGGTCCGGATCATCATTATCCTGCAGGTTGTTGAGCTTGATGTACTGCCACAGCTTCATGATGAACCCGGCCTTGGAGATGGTGCCGCGGATATCCAGCAGCTCGCGCAGCAGCGGATTGTTGACCTTGAACCGGTCGGTGGCCGTCCGTATGTCCAGGATGATCTTTGTCCTCACGTCCTCGTCGCCCCGCCGCTTAATCTCGAACCCATCGACCTCGCCGTCGCCTGCGCGCCGCCACTGCACAAGATTATCAGCATGCGTGCTGCCGCGGTCCAGCTCAACAACAACCGAGTTCACGAACTCGCTAAACTTGTGCTGCCCCGGCCGTGACTTGCTGGTCGTCCCTGGCGCGTCCAGCAGACGTCCTTCGATGCGCAGAGTCCAGGCAGGTGCGGCCAACGCGTCCAGCTTGCCTGTCGCCCTCGGCGTCAGTCTCCTCCTCCTGGTTGGCCTGGTTGCTGGCAAGGTTGGAAATAAACACCCGCAGGAATGCGCTTCTTGTATACAGGCTTTCCCAGTGCTTCTTGCACTTCGAGCCGCTTGCGGATGATTTTTGTGTCGAGCTTGCGCTCCAGTGTCTGCAACTGCGCAAACAGACGCGACTCTGGAATGTATGACTCGATTTTGGGCGGCAATGACCGCTCAATCAGCCTCTTGCGCTTGTTTGAATTGCCAACTGCTGCCATGAATGAATAGGGGAAGGGAGTGAATTGAAATGAGAATAACGCGTCAGAAATCAAAGCGGACAATAGCAGCTGTGTTGCCTGGATTTTGTCTACTGTTTTCAGTTCTGCTTGCCTCTGCGGAAAATGCGGCTCGACGGCTCGACGGCTCGCTCGTGAGTAATTGAGTCGTAAGGGACGTGTGACGGCTCCGGATCGATATCCTGTCGAACTGGCAGCAGGTCTGTGCATGCATTGAGCATTGGGCTGCGTTCAATTGACCGATTCAGCTACATGTAAGCCGCTTTCGGCATATCCATACTCTGTCTGGAACCACGTTAAACACAGGAACCTGTCTCACGGATATTTTCAACTCTGGCGCTGGTGGACCAAGATTTGATGTCAGCGGCATGATGTGCCCACATGGCCACAGCTGTGCCTGCGAAGCGACAGTGTCTCAGTCCAGTCATTCAATGCCGCCCAGACCGACATTTGCCAACCATTGTGCCCATGTCCGCCACTACCAGCACAGAAGGAAAGCGCAAATTATCCGGACCGGGACTTGCACTGGTGGGGGAGAGAGCCGTATTTAGGCTGTAGTACGGACACGGGCCAGGCCAAATCGACCAAGTCACAGCTTTTTTACATACGGTGTCTGTGGGATGATCGCCTTAGCTTTCTGCACGCCCTCCCAAGTGCCCTCCACTGGGTGGCACCGTGCATCGTGTGAGGTGGCGGCGGCAAGCCGGCTGCCGATACCGAGTATTCCCGACTGCTGTTGACGGCGGCAGGAAGGCGAATTGGGAAGGGGCATATCCCTCAAATATCCCTTGTTTTTTGAGCGTCGCCCCCCAAAAAAGATCCTTAATTCTCCGTACCCAGTGTGTTGAGAACGCGCCCAAACAGTATTAAAACCGCCTCCTTTTCTGCTTCAGCTCATTCCGCACGCAGCCTAATTTCACCCATTCTTGCCCCTTTTATTTCGACACACTTTACATGTCTTTACGAGCACTCCTAGCACGAAGCCTGCGAGCACCCACCCATACCGTGCGTCCATGCATCTGCCTCAGTCCGCTCCGCCGCCTACAGACTCCACACCAGCGCCGGTCGCCGCACCCAGACCGCTGTGATGACTACGGCTGTGCGCCCGCCGCTTGAGATCCGTATGTCGGATATACCGCCCGAAGGAGCCGACCAGGATGATAGAGATTAAGCCGTACCCGTACTATGTCGCGTATACAGAGGAAGGCACAGTACGGGTTGACGTGCGCAAGAGCCCCCAGCTCATCGGACAGACCACGAGCCGTGGCACCAGAGGATATAACCAGGATAGGGCCGAGTATAGACCGCTGCGGATCCCCGGGATGGTGGCAGACCGCAAAGATAAAACCAGCGCTCAGATTATGTACCTGGGCGTCTACGACGGGTAAGCACTGCGTGTGAGGTGCGGTGGGGTGTGGGGGCGGGGATCTTTTTTCCCATGTGCACGTGGAGGTTATATCTGCACGATGTTGCGGCGTTTTCTTAATTTGTTCATTGCCCTTGTAGACATGGTGGAGAGTCGTGCGCCGAGTACCTAAAGCAGGTTCTGCATAGCCACATCGAGAACGTAACGACAGCCGACCTGGCCTCTGTTGTGAACAATATGCGCAACTACGGCAAGGACTGGCAGACATACACGCCCTCGGCGCTGCAGGGGCTAGAGAGCGCCCTGCACCGCCGCCAGATGCCGAGCTTTCTGACCATCGAGGAGCGCATCACGCTGGCATTCCTCAAATCCGACAACGACATAAAGAACCTGCGGTGGAGCGACAACCAGGGCTCGACCGCCTGCACCGTGCTTTTGTGGGACTCCGAGGGTCTGCCGTTCTGGTCGCACGACAGCCAGCTGAACCTGGTTGTATCGAGCGTCGGTGACTCCAAGGCCATTCTCTGCAACGTCGACGAGCATGGCGGATTGGCCACAGCATTAAACACACTGCACCACCCGGGCGTGCGGGAAGAGCGCGAGAGACTGCAGCGCCATGGCGCATTCTTCTCGCGTGACTCGTTTGGCGAGGAGCGGGCGATGGCGAGGGTTGCCAATACGCGGGCGTTTGGCGACTGGCAGGTGAAGCGGTTCGGCGTCATTGCCGAGCCCGAGATCCGCCATTATGAGGTCCAGGGCGACGAGGCCGCGTTCCTGATTGTGGTTTCCGACGGGCTTACTGGCGTTCTGACGGACCAGGAGATGGTCGACATCGTCAAGGGATGCAGCGACCCGGACCGGGCAGCAAAGAAGCTGGTGGACACGGCAGAGCGGCTCGGCTCTGACGACAATATGACTGCGCAGGTGCTGCGTCTGCCGGGCTGGGAGCAGCCCATGAAGGACATCACAGCCGAGCACCGCAAGCAGCGGCTCGAGAGCATCGACCAGGTGAAGAACCTGCGCGGCTCCATGCTGGTGGGTCCGCACGGCGGCAGCTCGTCGATGCAAGAGTCCCTGCATGGAGCACCAAGTGTACGTCTGGCCAAGCCCGAGCGCCTGCTGAAGCGCATCTTCACCACGCACCAGCGCCCGAAACGCGATACATCCACAGGTGCCCAGGGGCTCCAGCTCACGGTGGCTCAGATCCAGCAGCGGGTGCGCGCGTCCGGGCACCGCCTCACGCTTGGTTGCTGAGCCTGACGAGCTCGAGCTGGACACAGACGAGGATAGCGGCAGCGTTATTGCTGTGCCAGAGGTGATGCGCATGACGCTGTCGGTGCTGGGCAAGGCCGGATGCCACCATGGCCAAGGGCGACTGCGCGCTGACTGCAGCCCAGGAGGGCACGCTGCTGACGCTGCAGGAGACCGATAAGGCGTGGCGGCTCATCGGGCTCCATGTCATCGAGGCCTAGGTGTCCTATATGCTCGCCATGTGTATAGTTTTTGCGTTTTTCGAAAGATGTCCCGTATGAAAGAGCGACCACAAAACAATGCATCACGTGCATGGCATTATTGCGTTTGTGACACGGGTTTCTGAGCGCTGGGCGCCATTCCGAGCAGCACAATTGTGCTCCTGTGAACAAGGTTCACACTAAGAGTTCATAATCGGCAAGCGGAGGCGCTCGGGCGGAGGGGGCTTTCCTAGTCTCGTAAACAGGATACAGCACTCGCTCAAGGCTGGGGCACAAGACGCGGGTCAATATATGCCTCCCGCGCATCCCTGGACAATGTCATTTCCCGCCCCGTGACAGATGGTAGTGCCGACGATTCACGTAAACATCCTATGGGCACTTTGCCGAAGGTCCCTTTGTGGGTCACCGACTGCCAATAACACCGCTTTTTGGCGTGGAGCAGGCCAAACTCGAGTGCCTGTTTGTCAAGGTTCTTCTGCCGTGTATCGTGAAATGAAATTTGAGATTCAATTTGTTCCTCTTTTTCTCCGTTCGCTTCCTGTGTTTTTCTGCTCTTCCTCCTTTTTCCAGGCTTTTCTACCCCTGCTTGCCTGCAATTTTTGCAGTGTTCCTGTATATCCTGAAAAATTATCAATACGTGCTGTGGCTGGTCGGGGTAATACTTGTTTTCGGCATATAAGAACCTTGGGTATTGTCCCTTCCTTTTTAAACTCGGAGAATCGTCGCGCATCTCTCTTTCGCTCCATTCCCTTTTAATTTACTGCTCTATTTTGCCTGCTATTCTTATCTAAACCCCTTTTCTCCCCACCTTTCGATACCCCTTTGCTCCATTATCCTGGTCGCGGGTTATATTTCGTCACCGGCTTTTTTTATTTTAACTATTCCCACACACAATGGCCTCGCACAGCAGCCATAACACCTTGCTCTCCAGCATTGGGCTGCTCGCCTTGGACCAAAGCATTCCGCACCCGGACCCGCAGGCGAGTGATCGCGAACAGCTTCTGTGGGATTCCCTCCGGAAGGCGAATGCAGAAATAAACACGCTCCAAGCCTCTGTGCGCCAGTTGCTTGAGCTGAATCTGAGGTACGCAGAGAGGCTGCAGGGTGCCATGGACACTGAGGCTAACAAGCGTGTGCGTCTTAGCCAGCCCGATACACTACACACAATGAGCAGTCCTGCGGCCACCCTACCTGCGGGCTCTGTATCCAGCCCACTGACACAGCAGCAGCAGCAGCAGCAGCAACACCACCACCAGGTTCAGCAACAGCCGCAACAGCCGCAACAGCCGCAACAGCCGCAACAGCAACAGCCGCAACAGCAACAGCAGCAGCAGCAACAACAACAGCAACAGCATATGTACTTCCAACCAACATTGCGCACACCGATACAGAACGCAGGGCAGTTTGACCGTGACGGGCAGACCTACACGGTGGCTGCACAGACACCCGAGATGCAGGTGCAGATTGTCCATGGCGACCAGCAGAGGACGCGTATCTCAGAAGCAGCCACCGCACTGACAAATATCCACACGGCGGAATCAGCATCATTCGCGTCACAGGCAGCAATCGTAGCAGCAGCAGTCAGTGCGGCCAGTGACCCGCAGCAGCAGCTCCAGATGCAGTCGCTAGGGCTGCGTGCCACAGCAGCACCCGAGCAGCAAGCCACAGGGCTGTCTCTATCGATGGCTGCGCAACAGCAAACGACGCAACAGACAGCACAGCAAACAGCACAGCAGACAGTGCTCGCTCCGCAATCAGCTCTCCCTGCGGTGCCCTCCTTGACCTCCCAGGCGATATCGGCGGCAGCGGTTGCTCAGGCAGCGGTTGCGCGCCAGCAGCCACAAAAGCGAAAGCGCACGCGGCCTCGGCAATCGAAGCAGCCAGTCACGCAGTCGGCAGAGCAGCCGGTTGCTGACGATGCCCAGGATACCCAGGTGCCCCGGACATCGGCCACAGAGAATCTGAGAGTTGGCGACCCTGAATCCATCCCCTCGATCGGAAAGTTCGAGTCGGTCCGGGCGTTGTACAGTTACCGCGCTGAATCAGAAGAGTACGATAGAGTACACGGCAACAAATGGCGCGAAAAGATGGACAGCAGACGGCGCCAGAACTGGAGTCGCATCACTGCAGTGTATACACGCATCCAGCAGCTGCGTAGCGGCAACGAGTCGGAGGAGTCGCTTGCGAGGGCGATCCAGGAGGTTGCCGATGACATGGACCAGGGAAAACATGACCCTGACAAAGTACTCGCAGACTGTGCGAAAGAACATCAACGAGGCTCGCAAATCCAGCAGAAAGGCGCAAGATGCTGTCGAGGCTTCGCCAGACAGAGAGGAAGGGATTCAGTTGCAGCAGGTCCGGCAGCAGCCGCAGCAGCAGCAGCATGTACGGCAGCAGCAGCAGATGCTCCAGCAGCAACAACAGCAACAACAGCACCAGCACCAGCAGTCCCTGCAAATGCTCATCAACCGGCAGCAGGCCCAGCTGCCCAATCCCCCCGGCTACTGATATGATCTCGTCTTGATATCTTGCAATCTATTATCTAATGTCTAATCGATCACCAACCGCATCTGCTCAGCAGCATGTGAATAGGGCGAAGCCCTACCGCCAGCTGGTCCGAAAAACTGCAAAACAAGGCAACGATCGGTATTTCCGAGATATGCATTGTTTCGTGCCGACAGGCGGCCGTGGTGCAACCATTGCTTGGCAACACTCTTTTCCAGCCACTCCTCCGGCCGGCAGCAGGCACCACCTGACAGCGTGCAAACGCCCCTGCAGCGCACAGGCGGCACTGTGTCCGGCCTTGGCGGATGTGCGGTTTGTTCCAGCAGGCTCCAAAAGGGAAGCGAAAATTCCTGAAACCCCACACAATGAACAGGAGAGATGAGATTCCATGGGCTAGCAGACAGATCGCCAGCCAACAGGCGAGATTCCAAAAACCTCTGGTATAAGAACAAGGGAACTCGACCCAACCGGTCCAACACAGAAAAACCTCACGCAACACAGCGAGCCTCTCTCCTCCCTTCTCTCCCCCTTAGCTCCTCCATTTGCCTTATTATCCACAACAGCCAAACCATGGGTGTTTTCCAGTCTGCTTGGGAGCAGTACCTTGCTCTCATGGCGAAGTCCCCTGTCGCCTGCGCCTTCGTTACAGTCGCCGTGTTTATCTCGTTCCTCGTCACCTGGGCTCAGTTCGAGTACAAGGTAAGGGGTGCCGCCTGCTCGCCGGACCAAATTCAAACATGCAGATGACTAAACGACGTATTTTATTTAGATGACCTGCAAGCCGTCGGAGCCGCCATTCGTGCCATACTACATTCCGTTCATCGGATCGATGATTCAGTTTGGCATCCACCCGATCAACTTTATTCGGGAGAACCAAAAGAAGTACGGCAACTTCTTCACCTTCTTGATGTTTGGCCGCAAGATGACCGTGTGCGTGGACATTGACGGCAACGACTTTGTCTTCAACGCACGCCACTCGCATGTCACTGCGAGGACGCCTACAACTCGCTGACCAAGCCCGTGTTTGGCGCCGACGTCGTCTACGACGTGCCGAACGCCGTGCTGATGGAGCAGAAGCGCATGGTGAAGGCTGGGCTGTCGATCGAGAACTTTAGGTCGTATATCCCGATCTTCATCGAGGAGACCAACCAGTACGTCGACAAGCACTGGACGAAGGAGGAGGACACGGTTGATATTCTCAAGGCCATCTCGGAGATGATCATTATGACCGCATCGCACACGCTGCTGGGCCCCGAGATCCGCTCGAAGCTGTACGAGGGCGTGGCTGACCTGTACCACACGCTCGATGGGTGCTTCACCCCGATCCACTTTTTGTTCGAGTGGCTGCCGCTGCCGTCGTACTACGCGTCCGACAAGGCCCACGACGAGCTGGATGGAATCTTCGGCAAGGTCATCAAGGAGCGTCGCGCCAACCCCGATGTCAAGCACACCGACATGCTGGACGTGCTGATGAACGCAAAGTACAAGAATGGCAAGGAGATGACTGACAAGCAGGTCGGCAACATGCTGATTGCTCTGCTGATGGCTGGCCAGCACACATCGGCGGCCACCACCACCTGGTCGATTCTGAACCTGGCCAATCAGCCCGAGGTTCGCCGACAAGGCGCGTGCCGAGATGGAGAATATGCTGGGCGCCAAGCTCGTCGGCAAGGACATCCCAGAGCCCTCGTACGATCAAGTCAAGGACTTCTCGGTTCTGGATAACGTTGTGCGCGAGACCCTGCGCATCCGCTCGCCGCTGGTTCAGATCATGCGCAAGGTGATCAAGCCCGTCGCCATCCCCAACACCGACTACGTGATCCCCGCTGGCAACTACCTGGTGGCCTCGACCGCCATCTCGGCGCTCGACGAGAAGTACTACAAGAACGCCGAGGACTGGGTGCCGTCGCGCTGGGAGCAGGACGACGAGGCAGAGGGCGCTGCCGACAAGGCCACGACTGACTACGGCTTTGGCGCCACCACGACCTCGGCCCGCTCGCCCAACCTGCCGTTTGGCGCTGGCCGGCATCGCTGCATTGGCGAGCAGTTTGCCTACCTGCAGATCAAGACGATCCTGTACGTGCTGCTGTCGCGGTTCGAGTTCTCGCTGGACCCCAAGCGCGGCATGCCCGAGCGCAACTACCAGTCCATGGTCATGCTGCCCGAGGGCCCTGTGCTTACCCACTACAAGCGTCGCCACGACTAAGCAAAAAATGTTTTATTTCTCGATTTCGCTTTTCCAAAGAAAAAATAGGTTCTGAATCTCTACACTGGTTACTACGGAAGATGTGCATATCCGAGGCGATGTGGCGTTTCTGAGAAGGCTCAAGGTCTGGACCAGAAAGGTGTATTAGTGTTGATAAAAATTATAATGTTCAGTAGATGTAGGGGACAAACTTCCAGGGCACAACGCGCATGTACTCGTCCCAGTCGGCGCCGTACTTGCGGGCGCAGCGGGCGTCGTCGCGGCCGACACGGTGAACCAGAACGATCAGGAAGAAGGTCAGGTAGAAGTAGGGGAAGAAGGAGCCAAAGCCGGTAATGAGGACCCCACGACAGCGACATCATCAGGTCGGCGGTGTAGTGGGGCTTGCGGGCATACGCGTACCAGCCGTCAATCAGCAGCTTGTTGCCGTGCTGGGTCTGGATGTACTTTGCGTCCTTGATGAAGCTGTATGGGAGCTGCGGGAACGCATTGCGCTTGATCAGGGTGTTGTTCCAGAACATGCGGAAGCGGTTGCGCTGTGCGTTGCCGGTGTCCCAGAAGAAGTAGCCAACCAAGCAGCAGCGTGTAGCAGAACACAACCCAGGGCAGCGAGAAGTTCATGGGCCCGTTCTGCAGCAGGTAGATCGACGAGTAGCAGTACGAGAAGGGCACGCCGGCCAGGTTCCAGAACAGCAGATACCAGCTCTCGAGCTCGTAGAAAATGTCCCAGGAGGTGATCACGCACTCCTCGCCCTTGTTGCAGGCGTTCGAGTACAGCCAGTGCGCAAGGACCATGAACGCAGACTCGGGCGTCACGTAGCCGATCGTCTCGTACTGCTTGAAGGCGCACGACAGCGAGATGAAGAACAGCACGGGCCACGGGATGCGCAGCTCGGTGAACAGCTTCATGTCAAGCGAGCCCAGACGCGGGTTCAGGCACACGCCCATGAAGAAATCGTAGACCAGGTTGCCAGATGCGCGGTGCTTCTCGCCCTTGAGCGCCGTCACAGCGTAGACAGCACCGGCCAGGAAGAAGCTCCACAGCATGGCGACGCTCATGAATCGGGCCCAGGTTGTCGATGACCTCAGTCAGCCGGAACAGGCCGGTAAAGTGCAGCACCAGCGACGTGGCCACGGTAATCCACCACGACCACAGCGCGTTGCAGTTGTATGGCAGGCGCTGGCCGTTCAGGCTCGGCAGCTTGTAGCCGTACATGGTCGGGCCGGGAGCAACGTACGCCAGGGCGACCATGAAGAGCGTGAAGCCGAGGTAGATCTTGGCACCAGTCCAGCTGGGCGCCGCAATGTCCCAGTAGCGCGCAAACATGCGGCCCGCCCACGGGAAAAAGTCGCCCAGGACTGTCAGGCAGCAGGAACGCGCCCTTGTTGTCGTAGACACACAGGAACTGGTAGCCCATCAGCAGCGGGAATCCAACGATCATCGAGAAGGCGCCGACGGGGCCGCCGAACTCGTACACGAAACTACTGTCCGTCACATCCTCGTAGGCAACGTCGTCGCGTGGGCGTGGGTCGCTGGTGACACGCTGCGAATCCAGCAGCTGGTCGCTCGAAATCCGGTCGCTCATTGTGTTTTTTCTTCTTTTCGGTGCTTCTAGAAGGAGATCTCTGGAGCTTTGGCGTCGAAACGAGAAATGGAACAGGGACCAGCCGAAAGAGGTGCTTATGCGGGGAAGGCAGTGGCCGATTACAAATAATGAGGGTGCAAAAAAAAGCTTATTTACGTTTCTACTCTGCCAGGAAGCCCTGTCCAACTAAACGAAGAGATGGAAGGTGTGGAATTGCTAGAGCAGAAAGGGAGGAGAGAGAGGAGGCTGAGGATAGTGCAGCAGGCGGACTTGCAGCACTCCTTTATATATCCCGCCCACCCCCGGTGACCACTTTTGTCATCATTCACGCACCGCCGCGTCCTACCGGGAAGGCTGCGTGCGGTGTGCAGGAATTGGGGAGGGGGCTTTGTCTCTTGCCAATTATTTGCCTGTAAAAAATTTTGCTATTGCAAAGCGGTAGTGTTTCTTTTTCAGACATCGCGTCGGGCTGTGAAAATCGCTTTGCTCGAAAGTGCGGCCATGCTTTTTATTGCTTTTTCCACTTCCCAAGTGGAAGCGGCCGGAGCACCCGCAGCCTTTTAGTCAGCCCTACGTTACTCTTTGCCCCATTTGTGGACCAGGCTGACGGCGGACTTCGGTCCTGGCAAACCAAAATGGCGGAGAAGCCAGCGGATTTGTCAACAAAACAGGACAAATCTTCGCGAAATCCCCCAGCGCAGATGCGGAATTTCTCTGCCAGCGCTCAAGAAGGAAAGGGTCAGTGCCCGTCTGCGAAGCGCAGAAAGAGGGAAGCTACCTGTCTACGGCAAGGAATACCCGCCGCTTGCGGACTTTGTTCTGGCAATTCTCTGGCAATGTAGGGCGATTGTTGCCTTCGTCAATACCACCCGGTGCCATTGTTCGCACTGGCCCCGAGGGACACTGAATCGCGCTCGGCTGTAAACGGCTACCGACACGCAGCAGTAAACATGTTTGGTAGCCAGAGGAAGCCGCCGCCTCTTTTGCATTGGCATCAGCGACTGATCGGAGTCCCTCAGACGACGGCTGGCAGAGGATTTCTGCCTCTCGCCCACTATAAATCCGTCTCACCAAGAAAACATGGCATGGATCCGCAGCGCAAATATCTCGGGCCTTGATTTCGCAAAAGGATCGCCATGATGACAAAACAAACAGATTATGACAAATTTTATCAATAGTCCTATGCTAGCTCATGTTCGGCGTACTCGACCCTGTTGACAGACGGCAGGTTGCAGAGGCTATTGATCAGTAGATGGTTCTCGACATGGCACGATGTCAGCGGGCACTGCGTTAATGCCACACCTCGAAATGGCCTTGCGTTTCGTCATAGGCAGGGCCTCGGTGATGCCGCCAGCGTCCCACACGCGCAGCAGGCTTCCAAAGCTGTGCTTCAGCAGCCTGTGCGTGTAGTCGTAGAACTGCATGTTTCTGTCCTTCTGCATGCGCCGCAGTGGGGCGCCAGATGGGGCGCGGCAGCAAAAGTACTGTGGCGTGCGCAGCACTATCGCCGTTTCCGCGTAGTGGCTTCTCAGATGGCGAACGAGCTCGTCAAGCGCATGCGTATACTCGAGAAACGTGCCAAACGAAACATCAATGTTGACCAGCGACAGCACTACCAGGTCGGCGCGATGGAACTTGCCCACACTGTCGAAAGGTCTTTTGCCATGGCGGGTGATTGAACGCCGTCAGGCCCTCCCACCTGTGGAAGTGGATGCGGGCGAGCGGACTGGTCACTGTTCGGCCCTTGTGCTTGCCATCTTCGCTCACTGACCATCCACCATCCTCGTCGTTCAGGTGGATCAGCGAATCGCGGACCTTGTTCTGGCCTGTGAATCGCCCGAATCCCTCGCTGCTGTCGTCGCATTGGCACTTTGCAGAGCCTAGATCATTTCCACTGCACCAGTCTCCCAGAGATGTGATCTTTTTCAGCGCACGCCGACTGTTTGTGTCTCCAAACCAGTGGATTGTGTACGGCTCACCGCGGTCTGGTGACAGTGGCCGGTTGACATCCAGGCACTGCAGGAACTCGCTGTATGTGTACCCACGTAGCCTGCATGTAAATGGCAGCCAAACACGGCCATCCACGACTGGAAGTCCATATACCGCAGGTGAAAACGGCAGCGATGAGGTTCTGTACCAGCGGCCGTGGACATCGGCATGCTCGCAAAATGGCAGTTTTGCGTAGTTATTGAGGTGATAGGGGCTTGAGTGCCGTACACTGACTGCAATTTCAAAGTCAGCACTGATCGCTTCGGGTGCATAGGGCGGCACCTTGCTCGGATGCTCGTAGTTCCACATGGCATCTCGGTACTCAAGCAGACCAGACTACCTTGAACACATCGCCATCGTAGGGCACGAAATTGGCCCTCGTACACGTGCACAAAGCCGCGGTCGATCATAGAGAGATGCCGCACGGGGTGCAGGTGGATAGGCACACTCACTCCGCTCTTCTGTCCGACCGCATCAAGAATTATCGAGTCCCAGTGCATCGGGTTACCTGCCAACGGCTGGAACAGGTGTGTCATTTGCTTGCTGGTCTTGGCGGAATCGCCGCCTGGCTGAGCTGGCGGCACCACTACGCGAATGCACACGGGATTCCCTGCTTCGATATAGAGCGGACCGGGTTTGGCAGGAACTGCGAAAGGTGTGCTGTTTCCGCTGTATCTCCACACAGCAGAGTCTAGTGGATTCGCGGCACAACTCAGGTCTGCCATGGTATGCTGTTCACTGTTGTCTTCTTGGTGAGCCACCGGGTGGCGCCGGTACCCTGGTGGCTGCACCAGCGCCACAAGCACAGAGAGCAGCTTGTATGCAAGCGCTGCCACGACGATTATAGCCAACCATCGCTTGACGCGCCCACCAACACTTATTCCTGCGGCTGGATGCAGCATACTGTTTCAAATTAATGTAAGCAAAGAAAAGAGCGTCTAGTGTCTGAGGAGAGAAGCATTCTGCGCACCGGCAAATACACCATGCATGTCAAGGTGGTATGATTCATGGACCAACTATTTTATGGCCGCAGGCTCCAGGTAGCTCTTATCTGGGGACATCTTTCACCACCTGAGCACACTGCATGCATAGACTTATGAGAAACCTCGCGTCCACTGTCTGCACCGTTGGGCCGAGGGTCTATTTTAAACACCACACTATTCCGCAGGGTGGTGCATGATCAGCTATCCAGGAATTGCCCGACCGTTTTCACACCAAATTGACGATCACGCAGCAAAATGCTGGCACAAAATCAATTAACTTGCCAGTGGCATCCATGAGGTGTGTGATGCAGTCAGACTATCATTGTCATTCCTGTAGGCATGAATCTGCACCACGTCCCTTTGTGTACCTTCCGCCATATTGTAAGCCTATGTGCAGCTGCCTGTTGATCCATCCCACGGTTGTCTCCCTCAAAATCCCCAACTCATATATACCCTCCCTCCCTCAACAGTTGTTCCCCAGGGATGCGGAAATTGCATTGTTTGGAGGCCTGCATATCCGCTGTGAACATATGACGGGTGGATGCCAATAAAAGGAACCTATGTCTCCAGCCCGTTAGAGGTGCATCATTCTCACACCCTTTATTGTCCCTTTTCACTGCGCTAATATGGCACACTTTATGAACTCAGTCACCTCACAGGTTATTCCCCTGGCCTACGTCGATGCAGGTATTTCTGCGGTCAACACTGATCTTATCTTGTTCTACGAGAACACTACCAGCGATGCCTGACTTTCCTGAGCAGTGGCATGCTCAGAGAGGCTTTCTACAGGGCATTGGAGAAAGTTCCCAATATATCTCGGATACTTCAAACAGCGCACCGACGGAGGGCTCGCAATTGCCGTCGACAAGGATGACCTGAACATGCCAAACTACCTCGAGTCAACCTCGGATATCCTCTTTTCAGACATCAAATCCTCGAGCTACAACCCACACACCTGGCCTGCTGGACTGATGACTACTAGCGTGACCGCACTTCCTGACCAAGAGACTGGCCAGATAAAGATGCTGCATGTCCACATAGTCAGATTTCGAGAGTCATCTGGGGTGGCGTTGTTCATCAGTGCAGTCCATGGTGTTGCGGACGGTACCGGCTTCTACAGTTTCGTAAATCGCTGGGCAGACGAAATGCGAGCATTGCTGACTGGAGTGCCTGCGCCTGAGATAAGTGTCTGCTTTGATCGTGCGGTTCTTATCGGTGACCCTACTGATGAGAGAGCCGAGGTTGATGATCTCCTCCGAGTTAGTATTACAACCCCTCTGCCAGCAGCAATAGCCATGGGATCACTCTCTCCAATAGAGCGCAACAAGGCAATTCATGCCGGTACACAGAATGCTAACCACCAAGGCTGCCTCTACCGGATCGGCTACGACAAGCTTGCATGTCTGCGAGATGGTGTGCAGAAGTGCACAGTGGATGGTCCCCGGGTTTCAATTAACGATGCCCTGAGCGCACTGATCGTCAAGACGGTGTCTCAGGCGCAGTCTGCAAATATGGCTGAGTTTCTTAACTCGCCAAGCAAGCCTAGTGACATGGCGCATCTCCATTTGACCATCATTGCATGCGATTGTCGCCGCCGTCTTGGTATATCTGACATGAATTATATTGGAAATGCCCAATATCTTCCTATGACGACAAACCCAATCGAGAGAACCATCCAGGCAACAACGTTCGAAACACTGGCCGAGGTTGCAGTTAATATCAGACATGCTGTCGAACCGTGCACAGGCACCACAGATACGGGCCTATTTTGATGTGCTAAACCAGAACCCAACCCTTTTCATGGGCCCGGTTACCAGATCGATGATGTATGGGCTACATACAACCATATCGAATCCAGTCTCGGTTTGGACTGTACGACATAGACTTTGGATATGGAGCTGCGGATTTTGTTACTAGTCGCCCCACTCGATTTGCCTGATATAGTCAGCATCCTGCCTACTCGCCCACCAAGCAAGGATGTGTATATTTCCATTACTGACACACCAGCAGTGCTTGAGAGCATCCACAGTAACAACTTTTGGAGACGTTTTGCTGATTTTGTCTACTAGAATTAATTGTTGGAATTGCAATGCCAAGCCACTCCATCATAAATCAGACCGGGTACACTCAGAAACGGACTCAGGGAGGCCAGCTGGCCTCCTTGAACTCAGATATGCGTGTGTTTTGTCTGAGCCATCGTGATATCGAAATGTATCCACACTCTGGAGCCCACAAACCTTGTATAATAGCGCAATAGGACCTTCAATGAGGACGAGGTTCTCTGGAGCTTGATCTCCCTGTAGGTGCATATCCACTCCAAGGCCGTTTTGTGTACCTTCCACCATATTAGGAACCTGTGCCTAGCTGTTGCTGATCCATCCCACGGCTGTCTCCCTCAAATTCTCAGCTACATGCACTTTTCGCTCTCTGTCAGCAGTTGTTCCCCAAGATGCGGAAATTGCATCGTTTGGAAGCTCGCACGCCACTGTAATCATGTGAGGGGTAGATGCCAATAAAAGGAACCTGTGTCTCCAACCCACTAGGGGTGCATCATTCTCACACCCTTTATTGTCCCTTTTCACTGCGCTAATATGGCACACTCTATCAATTTTGTCACCTCACAGGTTATTCGCCTAAGCAACATCGATGCGGACCATTCTGTCATCAACTCTGATATTATCTTGTTCTACGAGAACACTACCAGCGATGCTGACTTTCTGAGCAGTGGAATGCTCAGAGAGGCTTTCTACAGGGCATTGGAGAAATTCCCTATATATCTCGGATACTTCAAACAGCGCACCGACGGAGGGCTCGCAATTGCCGTCGACAAGGATGACCTGAACATGCCAAACTACCTCGAGTCAACCTCGGATATCCTCTTTTCAGACATCAAATCCTCGAGCTACAACCCACACACCTGGCCTGCTGGACTGATGACTACTAGCGTGACCGCACTTCCTGACCAAGAGACTGGCCAGATAAAGATGCTGCATGTCCACATAGTCAGATTTCGAGAGTCATCTGGGGTGGCGTTGTTCATCAGTAGTTGCCATGGTGTTGCGGACGGTACCGGCTTCTACAGTTTCGTAAATCGCTGGGCAGACGAAATGCGAGCATTGCTGACTGGAGTGCCTGCGCCTGAGGTAAGTGTCTGCTTTGATCGTGCAGTTCTTATCGGTGATCCTACTGATGAGAGAGCCGAAGTTGATGAACTTCACCGGCTTGGTACTACGAACCCTCCGCCTGTAGCAATAGCCTTGTCATTGCTTTCCCCAATAGAGCGCAACAAGGCAATTCATGCCAGTATGCCAAATGCTAACCACCAAGGCTGCCTCTACCGGATCGATCACGACAAGCTTGCATGTCTGCGAGATGGTGTGCAGAAGTGCACAGTGGATGGCCCCCGGGTTTCAATTAACGATGCCCTGAGCGCACTGATCGTCAAGACAGTGTCTCAGGCGCAGTCTGCAAATATTTCTGGGTCTCTTGACCAGCCAAACAAGCCTAGTGATGGTGCACATCTCCATTTGACCACTATTGTATGCGATTCCCGGCACCGTCTCGGTATATCTGACATGAATTATATTGGAAATGCCCAGTATATGTCCATGGTAACAAGCACGGTCGAGAGGATCATCCAGGCGACCACGTTGGAGACGTTGGCCGAGGTTGCAGTCAATATCAGACATACTGTCAACCGCGCACAGGGGCCGCAGATACGAGCCTATTTTGATGTGCTAAACCAGAACCCAACCCTTTTCATGAGTCCGGCAATCATGGAAAAACTGTATGGGCTACATACAACCATATCGAATCAGTCTCGGTTTGGACTGTACGACATAGACTTTGGATATGGAGCCGCAGATTTTGTTACTAGTCGCCCCACTCGATTCGCTGGCATAGTCAGCATCCTGCCTGGTCGCCCACCAAGCAAGGATGTGTATATTTCCATTACTGACACACCAGCAGTGCTTGAGAGTATCTGCAACAACAAGTTTTGGAGACGCTTTGCTGATTTTGTTTACTAAGAGAACAAATAAATGGCATACTAGAATTGCTCTGACCACGATGCGAGCTCGGCTGCTAGTCAGCATGGATTGACACGTCGATAAGAGCATCACGGCGAACCGGTCATTTGAACGTGTCGGATGGTTGTTGGTACAATGGCGATCATGGACATCTCCCATCTTGATGGTCTGCTCAGCGCAGGCGCTTCAGCGCTGGCTCGCTGCTGCTGGCAGCAGAATCACCTGCTGCTGCATGCCTCTTGTGCGGGTTCTTTGTTTCAGGGGTGGTGCCAGAAGCATCGGTAGCAATGGCTGTAGAGCGACGGAACCGTTCAGGAATACTGCCTGAATCACAGAGTGACTGGAAAACGAGTCTGAAGTTTAGAACTGCTGCGAGGTCGCGGTTCAAGAGCCGAGACGAATAGGGCCGCCTGTATTGTGCTATGACCCGCTTACATGACTCGCTTGTACAGCAGAGAAGGCCATGGCACTTCACAGTTGGGTTCTTCGATCTCTGGTAGGGCCGCGGGTTGGGAACATGCCGGAATGTCTGCAGCGACTTTTCGCAGCAGAACAGGCACATCGACGATGTCCGGAATTCGTCGATCAGATAAACTTCAAAGCCATTATGCTTGAACTTGCCGCGCCATCCCTTACCACGAATTGGTGCATGGTGTCGGGCCATCGGCGCACTCCAATTGCCCATGCGCCTTAAATGGCTTTGATGTTAGATCTGCAACCCGGCCCCACACATCCCACACAGATTGTGTGATCCCTTGGACCGGGTCGTGTGCACAGACTGGGGGTGCTGGTGCATATGAATTGTGAAGTGCTGCTGCAGTGTCTGCTGCTTTCCTTGCCTCTGTTGCTGCCCTCTTTGCTGCGTTGATCTCTGTAACCTGCTCGCGTGTTTTCGAAATAAACACCTGCTTGATTATTTGCTTGTCTAAGTGCACATGGCCTGGGGTCCATGACGTCCGCAGAGGCAAGCATTGGGGAGGAGACTTGCCAAGCTGCTCATTCTCGATAAGCTGGCATAGGCGAATATATGCACGCAGATGCTTAAGTGGATTTGCCTTGGCATCATAGTATCGGCTGTCTTTGGCGAATCTGTACTTGGCATCATAGGCATTAAGGACTGGCGCCAGCTTGTTGTAGATTGCAAGCATCGGTGGGGTGAGCACACTGAGATCAGGGTGCCTAGAGGCAACTGCCTGGCAGAGCTTCTGTGCAGGTCTATAAATATACACTTGACATGCGTTATTGAACTCAGCCTTGGACACATTGCCCATTGTACTGTGCAGTGTGTTTTTGCGGCTGCGAATATCAATCAATTTGGCCAGAATACGCTGTAGGCAAGTGCCATAGTGCAACACAATGTTGTTCTTGTATGCTGTCATCAGCTCGGTATCCACATATGTTGCTACCTGATTCATTTCGCGTACTCCATGTAGCTCGATATCGCCATTATGCAATAGATAATCATAAATATGGTATCTAACTACATCACCGAAATCTGCGCTCGACAGTTCTGATTTGTCCTTCCGATTGACGAAATCCTCGGTAGATATGACAGTCTTCGCCTTCAGGTTGCGATAAATGAATAAATAAATAAAACGAAAAAAACCCTTTTTTACAAATGTTGCTGGGTCAAAAGCATCCCTGTCAGCTAGTTGATGGAGTAATATCCATCGTGCAAGCATGTATGCATGCTCTTTGGTGATATTGACGCTGTGTACAAATTGCTCTAGGCGGGGCAACATAGAATCACAGAAGCCAATACCACCAAGTGATGTCTTTATGACAGTAGTGCTGTGGGTAATATTCATTTGAGAAATTCAATAGGCAAGTAAGAAGAGAAATGATGCTGTTCAGTTTTGCTGTATTGCAGATGCATAGCATTAAGAATTTTTTATTATTAAAAATGATCTGGTTTGCATAGTCCTTGGGGCCCTTAGCACTGATACAGTCTCTTGAATCAGTCTATACAGACTGGGTCTATTGTGGCCCAAATACTACCGCTTACGCATGTTCATAAGACAAATTAATTTATAAAATAAACCCACAAATATTGCATGACCGCTAGAAGAGATATATGGCCTTATTCAATAGGTGCTCATAGATAAATATCCTAAGAGCGTTGCGCAGCTGGTGATGATCACCATGATGATGCCATGGAAGTTATCAGGCCGACCGACAATGAGAGCAGCTCTTGCGCTGAACCAATGGAGATACCTAGTGGAGACCTATGACCACTACAACCACAGCTTTCTGCCCCAGTTTTACTGATAAGGTCAGCTGCTGCACAAGATCAAAAGGAGTTTACAGAGCAAGCCACCCAAACTCGCTTCGAGGTTTAAAAATTTTATTTTTTAACGAATAAAATGGTTCTAGCGGACGATCGGACACTTTTTTGACTAAAATTTTATATATTGCTAAAGATTGAGCGATATGGTTAAAAAAAAGCCCTAAATGAAATCCACAGGTATTACTCAGAGGGCCTCGCCATTCTCTCTCCAGTACTGGTCGAGCCCAATTTTGCCATTATCCCATCCACGCTTGCCGGCCTTGTACTGCTTGGCCTTGTCCTCAAACGAGCTCAAGTTAATCGTGTCGACGGTGCGTTGTGCCAGCAGCAGCCAGTTGATCTTTTGCGGCATCTCGTAGTCTTCAGGAGCTGTCGGGGCATTGTGGTTAAAAATGCTGCCCAGCCACAGCCCACGTATGGCCTTGGCAACATGCAGATCATCATTCTGCACAGCCTTTGCAAACACAACCTTCCACTGTTCATCATCGCTGTACTCTACATCGGTAGCGAACGAGACATCGTCGGCCGCGAGCTCATTGGCGCGATAGAACTGCGGGCAATGCCTGAGAGTGAAGTAGCGCAGCACAACAAAAGCATAGGTGCGCAGGACCCTGATCTTCTGCTCAAGGGTGAGCAAGTTGAGGATCGCCGGTACAAAGTATGAGGACGTCAGGAGATGCATGATGAAGAAGTCAAACTGGTTCTTGTATCCAGGCTTGGTTGTTGCGCCATACATGAGCGCAATTACACCCTGCAGCTCGCGGAACTTTAGCTCAACGCACTCGTCGGTTGGATACACCTCCCAATGCTGCAGGTACTCGAGTGCGACCTGGTCGCTGATGGGGCCATCTTCCTTGTACGTGGTCTCATACGGAATGTCCTGGACGCGCCTGTCGTTCCGCATGTTGTCAAGCACCTTCATCAGTGGCAGTGTGCCAACGGTCTTTTCAATGGCGTGTGCCTGGAGTGTGGTCTGGAAATTAAGCTCGTGAACGCATGCGTTTGCCAGACCCGTTGCAACAATAGCAGCGCTGTCAAACTCGACGCCATAGCCGATCTGAATCAGCGGGTGAACTAGACCGCAAAATACAAGCGGGTAGATCTTGTCCTCGAACATGTAGCGCACCAGCACAGATTTCCAGTCACCGCCCTCTGCGTCGATCTCGTGACGGAAGAACGCCACAAAATCAGTGTAGTATTCCTCCTTGCCAAGGTATTCGTGCACAGTGTCCTTGGTGATTACGACACCAGCGACAGGGTCAGGCAAGGGGCGCTGCATTGGGACGTTCTTGTCGTAGATGTCCTGCAGGCGCTCCTGGGATGCACCCAGAGACAGGGATGCCAGCAGATGGTGGATGTTGTGGTTGTGGAACTGTATGTAGTTGAAGAAGACGTGGTGTTCAAGGTAGTCGCGGGCACACAGACGCTCTGCCTCGCGCAGAGTGCTGCCACCGATATCTGCCACACGCAGAGCGCACGGTGCCTTGCCCAGCTTCATACCGGTCTCCTCGATGACCGAATAGTCAGAGTCGTCATGCTTGGTAGTAGGAGCCATTGAAGACTAGTTCTTAGATTGGAAGGCTGCTTTGTGGTTGTGAGAAAAGGGTTGGGAAGTGCTCCAAAAGTTGGTAGTGATGGCGTTCATCTCTGATGCCATCACCCGGGCCCTATTTATATGTACTTGCAGTCAACAGGCAGCCCTTTCTCCGTCTCTTGCCTGACGTCGCCTTTGATCATTACTGCTCTTAAAACTGAGAAAAATAGCCGGAATAACAAACACGCTGCAAGTCCCTTCTAGTCTTGCACCCTTGCCCATGTGACGGACCCGAGTACGACATTTCTGTGCTTGCTATAAGCAACACAATTTCCGAGCTCAGGGGGAAAGAAGAGAGGTCTGTGCTCGGAGCTGCAATGGGCGGACCTGTTCTCGCAGCGAAGTATTTCCATGCTCCGACAGAAAACCCAATTTATGCTACAAAGGGAAGGAAGAATTGGTAATACAAGCTTACAAATCAACACACAGGTGTGCTTTTCTGCCAAAGTCCGGTATCCTGCCAAGCAAAAGAGAGGGAGTGTTGTAGGCGAATCAGTTTTTTCTCTAAAGCATGCGGCAACGTCACACGCGCGCAGATAATCTCGAGCGTTATCCTGATAATCTAGTATGGCTTGATATCTCTCCAGGAGCTATCGTACCCACTGGTCTCCGCTTCAGACGACACCAGTTCTTCGAGTGACATGTACCCAGCTTCTTCGACCGAGGCGCAGTCTGTTCGCCTTATCCGCAGCCCAATGGCAGGTTGGCATAGGAGAATGGCGCCGCTTTCAGAGCCGGCGCACATTAGTTCGACAGTGACGCATGCAGGCAATTGTCCCTCGACAAAAACTCCGAATGGGTCGCGAAGGAACTTTAAAGTGGTAAAGGAAATATCGGCGTTCGACGCCACTATTCTGTAAGAACTCGCTAGCTTTGACAATATCGTCAGCGGCAACCAGCGACAGGAACGGGATGCCCTGGAGGTCGGTCGCATCAACGTCAATAATCTGATCGATGCTGTTGGTCAAGAAGGTAATGGTCGGCCCATGCGGCGTTCGGCCATCCATTCGCTCCAAGCTATCAAGAACGATGCATGCCTGGATAAGCGTGCGTGCCGATTCCTGTGCTTGCCTTTGCGAATCCTGCTGGGGCACAGCTGTAATGGTGTTGCCTTGGCCAGACACTTCGCTAATTGCCTTCTTGATCTGTGTCAGTGTTTCCATTCTGCTCTCGTCCTTGGATACATACCGGAAGCGCTTGATGTGGTTGCGCTGCATCATGTGCTCGGCCTGCCAACTTGGATCGTAGGATCCAACAATAAAGGTGATGTTGCTGCAGACAAATGAGATGGTACGGACCACAATAGCCGAGCCATCAGACGTCGTGACATGTACATAGCTGATGAATATGTTGTCAGTTGTGTGTCTGGCAAAAGTTGCCGGATATGTCTCCAGGCTCTCACCCGTGATAAACTCGTTCGCTGAACTGCCAACGCAGTCGTGTGGGTTAAGGTTTATAATATCGTACATGTTTGATGACACAAATAAGATACGCAGCTCGTCAGATGTATCATGGACACCAAGCCAGCTCCCGGCACGGTAGGGCATCGTCTGGTAATAAAAATGAATTTAGGTAAAATGAGGGCTGAAAAAGAGACGAAGGTGAACCTTCCAGAGAACACAGCATGAGTACGAGCGCATTCTTAAGCCACACGCACGTAGCGAGTAGCGATAGACATGCTACAATGATGCTAACAAAGGCAAACACAAATAACTGTGCCACAAGTCGGGAACCATGCTACTGCCCTTATTGCCCAAATATTGTAGACGTAGGTTTGTTCATACAGGCAGGAGGTGGGCAATCAATGGCATACGTAATGCCATAGCTGAGAAATGCCACACCGAACTCGCAACCGGATTCGCCAGCAGCCAACGGCTAGGTTGGCAGGATTAGCAAAAAAGGTGTCGACTACACATGTGCTTTGTTCCATTGACCAGCCTGTTTGTTTGCCATGGTACATGCCAATTGAACTCGAAGCCAGACTGCTATGTGGCTCAGCACGTGGGGGATGTCGCCACAGCTCAGATGCCATGCATACCCCTGATCATGATCAAATTGGCTGATTCTGATCACGCGCTGATTCCAGAACCGACGCGCGTTGGTCGTGAGGCTTGTTTACATTATTTTCAACTCCTGCTCGCTCTCTTCTTCACCGCTCTTTTCCCTCTTCACCCAGTATCCCTTAGAAATAACCTCCGATACCTTTTCCAACCACGATGCCTGTACAGACGCTGGATCTCTCTGAAAAATGCGATGAGCTCTTGTCTCTCCTGAAACGCGTATCTTCGGCGAAGCGGTTCGTCGTGGTCACTGGGGCTGGAATCTCAGTAAACTGCGGCATCCCCGATTTCCGCTCCTCTGGCGGCATATTCCAGCAGATACAAAAGAGGCACCCGAACCTGGTAACCAGCGGACGTGACCTGTTTGATGCATCAGTTGTATTCCGGTCGCAGAAAGCGGCTGATGTATTTTACGAGTGGATGACCAGCCTGCGAGGACAATTCAGGAAGGCAGAGCCAGGCCCTGTGCACAGGTTTATCAGGACGCTGGCGGATCGCGGATCATTGCTACGGAACTACACGCAGAATATCGACGGATTGGAGGCCAAAGCCGGGCTAAATGTGTGGGATCCAAACGGCGATGTAGCGTGGCAAAAGGCAGACACCGTGCCGCTGCATGGCAGCATGGAGCATTTGAAATGCCAGCTGTGCTCGAGCACGTACCCGTTTGACGGCAACCTGGGTGCCGGCGACGCGTGCCTGGATTGCTCAACCCGGTCTTCGATCCGCGAAGCTATGGGCCGGCGCGCATTGCCATCGGGGAAGCTCCGCCCCACTGTTGTTCTATACGAGGAGCCGCACCCGCATAGCGAGGATATTGCCAAGATAATATCGCACGATACGCGCGCTCTTTCGTCACGCCGCAGCACATCCAAGCTGACCGACGTTGTGCTTGGTGTTTGGCACGACACTCAAGGTGCCTGGGTGCAAGCAGCTGGTGAAGCAACTGGCAGGCGCGGCGACGCTGACGGTGGTGGTTAACAATGAGCCGGTGTGCGGGAAGGCTTGGGATAGCGTTGTTGATTTCCAGGTTATCGGGGCTGCTGAGGAGTGGTGCGCCAAGGTCGAACGGCTGTGGAACGCGCAGACAAAGATAACGCAGTGGACCAAGGCACGCAAGAGCGCGAATGTGCTACGGGAGACAGGCAAGAGCAGGGTGGCCAAGGAGAATGCTGTGAAGAAAGAGGACGCCCCTGCCAACTCCAAGACGCCTACGGGCTCAAAGAAGCGCTCTAGGGGTACCGACGACGGCGATAATAATGCTGATAAGGAGACACAGCCCAAGAAGGCAAGGCGGCACCAGAACGACGAAAACTATGTCATTGACCATTCGGCTTGCCGTTCACTCCGCTTGGCCGAGAAAAAGGATCTCAGACCGACAGTCTGCTTGTAAATTAAAGTTTCTTTCCCATTTCAAAAAATCTCTACTCTTCGCCAGCCTCCATAGCAGACTGCATTTCGCTCAGCTCGTTCTGCATAGCTTTGCTCTTTTCAATGCCCGAATGGCCAAGTCCTTGCGGCCACCACGCTTTGCCTTGAGCGCCCAGTCCTTGGCTGTGGCTAGTTCCTTAGTGACGCCGTCCATGTAATCCTGAATGGAGATGGTACCAGCACCGACTTGAGCAGCAACGACGCTCATGCGGAGCTTGATGGCAGAAGCGAGTTCTTGGAGCTGGCTGGCGGCATCATGATCGGCAGATTGGATGCGGGTGGGGATTTGGGCGAGCTCGAGCTCCAACACGGCGTTGGATAGTATATCATCCATAGAGTCGAGGTGCAGAGCGATGTCGTCCATTTCCTGGGATGTCGCGTCTGCCAGGGGTTGTCCTTTGGTTCAGGAGCCTTTGGTTCAGGATCGGGTTTCTGAGCAGCTGGATCAACCACCGCGGGGTGGGGTGGCTCCTGGGAGCCGTCTACTGACTTTGGCATCCACTCGCCCCTTTGCCTCTGCGAGCCAGTGTGGCGGCTGCGCTGGCTCTTCATTGTCTATATAGATCCACCTCTCTACGTGCTCAGAAATCTCCTGCTGATTCGATAGTGGCAGCCTGAGTCTCACTGCCACATCCACAAACACCGGCCCGCCTGCCAGAGTCTTTCCACCTCGAGTCCCACTGGTATCTGCACCAGCCTTCATCTCCACCAGCGCGGTGACTTCGGATCTCGTGCGCAAATCGGCCAGCGGCACAGATCCACGGCCGATAAGCTGCGAGCCCCAGAGCAGCCCGTTGTACTTGTAAAACTCGACCACCAGCCTGCCGCGCTCGATCCAGCGCATCAGCGGGCGTGGGTGCTGGCGGTCAATGATGGCGATGTTTTGCGAATAGTCCAGACCGACGTCGCCCGAGTCGAACTCGCTGAACTTGATGGTCCGCGCATACGCCTTACTGGGCTTGTCTCTGGGCCAGCTGATCTCCCACTGCACAAACGAGTCAGCGCTGCCATTCAGCGTTGCCTCCAGGTCCCCGTCCGACACTACGCGCTTGATGGCGATCTGGAGTTCATTTACAGAGATGTCCCGGCGCTGGTCCACGGGCGCTGTCCATGTGACTTCGTGGTGCAGGAACGGCAGGCGGGGCCAGGCGCTGGTTAGCCTGGTATGAGGCGACCGTGGCAAGGTCGGCCTGTGCGCGCTTCTTGTACCGATGGAACTCGAGCGCGCGCGGTTTATCTCCGGCCCGCAGGTAGTGGGCGGCGAAGACGTGTGGCATGTGAGATCTGCAGCTCCAGCTGCTCCGTCATGGCACCAAAGTCAACGGCAACCCGGGCAAGGTTTTGGAGCTGCGGGTCGTCGAGAAATACCCGTGCGGTTGGCCCGGGCGTAGAGGAGGACTGTGCAGGCGTGGAAACCGCTGCAGTGCGTTTGGGTGCTGGTGACGTGACGCCCTTGGCTGGGGTTTGGCTGGCTGATGCAGCTACGCGGGGAGCACTGGTCACTGGCGGCTCAGGCGCCGGCTGCGTGGCCAGGTCAGGTGTTTTGGGCTTTCTAGGCCCAGGCGCTGGCAGCACCGGTGATTCAGGTGCTTTTGGTGTGGGCGACTCAGGAGCTGTAGGCTTGGGCGGCATAGCAAACCCCTTGGGCAATGGCTGGCCTGAGCGTACGCACTTTGTCCGCCTCCTGCACTGCCTTCATCTGCATAAGCATCCCACGGGCTATGTCCATATCGCCCTGTCGTTTGGCTGTCAGTGCGGCACTCTTGAGCTCTGCTGTCCGCTCGTTTAGGGCTTCCAGCAAAGCACTGTTGTCAGGAGCCTTGGCAGGCTTGGCGGTTTCTTCTGGCATCGCCGCACCGCCATACTGCGACAGCTCAGCTAATAGCCCTGGGTCGTTCATATCCTCCTCGGTGACCTCGACACTGTCGAGTATTTTGTCGTCCTCGTCGAACGCCATCGACGCAGCTGCATTTTGTGATGGCTGTCGTGCTGGTGTTTTACGGGCAGGGGGGCTCGACAGGCCCATCTCGCTGCGCAGAGCCGCAAGCTCGCCCAGCAGCTCCGGGTCGTTCAAGTCAGTGGCATCAACGTCATCGCCGTTCGTCGTGGTCGAGATCCAGTCCAGCTATGCCAGAAAGGTCGCTAGATGTGTCGGCGAGGGGCTCAGTGGCGCAGCGGCAACGCTGGGTGTGGCTGTCCGTGGACTGCGCGAATTGCGGGCAGAGCCGCGGGCACGGCCTGATATAAGATACATGGTACGGGTGCTTGAGAGTAGGTTTAGGAAACAAAAAAAAAAAAAAGAAAGGTGACGTGCCAAGCAACTGCTATTGCAGCAGAGTCATGGGTTAAAGCTAATCGGCAGTGATCTGGTGATTGCTTATCGATGCCAAATTCAATCGATAAGCCCGCACGCCCAGCTGCTAAACTCGGTGCTCATCGGGCTTGCACCATGTGTGCACCTCTCAGTGACGCGCCAATAAATTGGCCGCCCTTGCTATTTTCCCCACGGCCACTAGAAGTCTGCTGCCTTGCAGGCATCCCGAATCGAGGCTGGCCTTTCACATTCGGTGGCAAGCGGAGATGCCCCTCTGCCAGGGCTTGATTAATAGTCGGCCGTCGAAAGGAAAAAGCGACAACATCAAAATATCCTCACTCCGAACCAATTTATGCGTGCAATGCAGCAAATTAACGCACTCTGTTTTGTTGTCATCCAGCGACGATATCTGCGCAATCTTCAAAGGCCAAAATGTCCGTTGAGCGACAGAAAAGTTATTGTGACCCTTGGGCGCTGCAGTGGCGGATTCTCAAAGAGGAAGGAACATGACGCATATAAATGCCCCCGCCCGGCCTTTACCCAAAAGCAATTTTCCGTAGAGTCACTTTCCTCGCCCAACCGCTCCCTCCTCACTAAATCTTTTTCACAGTCTTTTTGTTGTTACACGCCTGAGGTACTCCTTTCCTGGCCCCTTAAAAAGACTCTGCCGTCATCCAATTCTTTTCTCTCTTTTGTTTGTTTCACTTCTCTCCATTCACTTTTTTTAGCACCCTCAATTGAATATACACCCAATTTGGTTCCGCCTAATTTTAAAACAACGACCGATACCTGCTATATACCGACACATAAAATGCCTTTAGTATCACCAATGCCGGCCATGAAGCTGCGTTCAGCACCTGTGGCCGAGCTCAGCGGATTCGTGGCCAGCACTAGCAACACCACCTCGAGGAAGTCGCCAAAGAAGCAGCCTCCCTTTGCGTACTCTGCACGTCGTGCACCCATTGTCAACAGCGTGTCAAAGTCGGCAACAACAGATCAGCACACGCGCGTGCTGGAGCTGCTGCGCGCAGCCCTCACCGCCTCTCCTGAGACTGAGAAGCCCGCCGAGACGGCAGGCAAAGACAAGCGCCAGAAGCTTTTTGAGCTTCGGACAGCATTTATTGGGGTGTTGCGCGAGCTGCAGATGCCGCAGGCCGACAGCATCATGTCTGTGAACGAGCTGCTGCAGAACCGCTCCGAGCTGGGCCTGCTGGACCTGGCCAGCGTATCCGAGTTCTGCCACAGCGAGCTCGACGACTCAGCGAGCTGCATCGACGAGGACGCAGCGCCAATGCTGCCGGCGTCGTATTCATCGGATGACACAACGCTGCTGGGCACAGACGACGAGCTGTTTGCGGAACGTTCGGCTGACTCGGGGCGGCCCTCAAAGACGAGCTTTATTGAGAGCTGGGCGCACAATGGCTTCTGGCGTGGCGTTTCGACGCGGTCATGGATGAGCCCTCAGGAGCGCCGCAGCCGCCGCCGCACGTCCGCATCGTCTGACTCCACGCTTGTTGCTCCCTACGCCGTGCCCGACCACCTGGGCATCTGCTGGCCGCTGGATGACACTGCACGCGAGGCAGCGCGCAGCTGGGGACGGTTCTATGCGGACCTGGGCGACACGCGCGTGCCTAGCCGGTTCCGCACGCCCGACAACTCGCTGGCCATGCTGGCGACCGAGCAGCTGATGATGCGCAACGACAAGATTGTGTGTCCGCTCAAGAACCGTCTGCAGGAGACCAATCCGAAGCGCCAGCAGTTCGAGGAGTACGTGCGGGCCACGGGCAGTCTGCCGCCACCGGCCGTCTCCAGCGACTTCACAAAGTCGCCGCTTCGCAACGAGCTCTGAAGCGGCTGTTTCCCACGAGCTGGTCCCTCATTCTGCGGCCGCTGCTGCTGCCGATGCTGCTTGGGTAAATCCGAGTTTCACACTGACATTATGCTGCCGGAACTTTTGCCCCTTTCGCCCAAGCCAGGCGGCATGCACCTCCTCCCCAACCAAAACCCTTTTACACATGGACGCGAATCTGCATCCAGCACATCATCGCAAACTTGTATTTCACAACCTGGCATTCCCTACCTCACTCTCTCAATATCTATTGTACCAACACATAAATCTCCTTCCCCCCTTGCAGTGGCCCACTGCCACACTGACAAAGGAAAAAAAGTGACCCTTCAATAAAACTGCAGTCAGCAGGCAAGAAAACAGCCAAGCCAGCTCAGATGACGGTGGACAAATTTTCTAATTTGGGCAAGAGCGCCTTGGATGCGGCATGTGGACACTGAAATTGCGCAGGAACATGAGAAGGAAGCTAGGAGTAAAACTTGATTTCGGAGACTTTCGGAGCACATCCGATCTACACATTGACGTCACGGGGAAAACAGCTGCCTGAGCCGCTCTCTGCGGGTCTGTGAGTGGGGCGAATGCGAATGCGAATGCGAATGCTGGCTCTCGACATGGTGATCTTCGAACCGCTCATCCTCAGCCTCGTCGCCGGTCGCGTCCTCTTCAATGGTGCGCCTGAACCGCCGGTCATTTGGCGATCTGTGCGGCGACTCGTACTCCTGGTCGTAGAACGCATCATTGGGATTGGCCAGCCCAGCTGACCTTGCCGGCGCCTCAGTGGTGCGGGGTTCCTGCGCAACTGGCCGAGAGCGCGACGGCGAATCGTGGATGGACTCGTGGCAGTGCTTGCAAGCCTGGGCTGCTGATGGCGGGCGAGCTGGGCGGGGGCGGGCTGGCGGCGGCGTGGGTGCGCGGATGCTTCGTGGCCGGACAGCATCGCCACGGTACCCGTCGTGGACTATTTCAGTTGGCGGAACTGGGACGGCGACCGGTGGCTGGACGGAGCGGCGTGTGCGGCCAGTGATCATCGAGCGAAGCGAGCGTCTTGAGCCTTCTGCAGGCTTGGCTTGCGGGTTATCCAGCCCGACAGTCATGGCCACGCACGATAGCACAAAAATCAGAATCCAGAACGCCAGGCCCATGCCAGCAAGCACCAGGAACGCCTTACTGGCCTGACAAATGCCTACCAGTAGCCCGCCCTCTTCAATAACCGACTTGCCAGATGACAGGCCAAGCATTGTGAGGTTGGCACGGAGATGACGGAAGATGTCACATGGGTAGTGGATTGGCAGCGGGTTGCGGTAGGCAAAGCTGACGATAACGATCCAGAGCACTGAGAATATAAAGCCGAACAGGAAGAGTCCCGCAGAATGGAATAGGCAGGTGCAGTATTTGCCAGCGTGCGGCGTGCCGCGCACCAGCGCGCCTAGCATCAGGAAGAATGCAATGATGGTGCTAAAGATTGTGACGATATACGAGTACACAAAGGTCCAGTTGAGATGGATGTACCAGCCCGTGGCACTGTTTGTGTACAGATGCTGGGCGACTAGTGCCCCAAATGTGCCCATTGAGGCGATTAGCTCAAATAATATTGCAGTGAATAACAGTGGGAATATCATTATTTAACAGAGTTGGTGTCTTGAGGATTATGAGGGCATTGGGAAGGATCCTGAACTTTGTTGTGGCCGTGGCCCTGGCAATATGAAGGCTGTTTGCAACATCGCACCTCTGATGCTTGCACGTAGTGTACTGGCCAACTGATATGTCTTGCTGCCTAGAATAACTGTTATAAAACCATCTTTTACATTCCTCAACCGCCCGTTTTGGGTGGTTATTTGTTTGCTGCCGCCGAAATACCACAACCGCTGGCACTGTCATCATGTGCAGACACGCCAGACTTTGTGCATGCAGAAGCAGTATCGCCTGTGGGAACCAAGCGCAGCTAGATGTTTGCTTGATAGGTCGATGACATAGCCACAGCCAAGCATACTACTACCATCGGGCAGTATAGCGCGTCAAGCTACTAGGCACATCTGCATGGCTGGTGGTTTTTGCTGTCGCCGTTACATGGAAGATTCCAATAATCAGGATTAGAGTTTTGCAAGAAGCCAGGTTCGTCGTAATCCGACCCGGCAAAAACAATGGCCCGATTCTCGGAATCACAGCCGTGGTGGCGGAGGACCGAACAGAGATCTTCACACCGACAGTTTTGATTCCCTCCCCCTCTAGCCAACCTCAAGTATGGAGTAAGCTTGGTTTGGGACTGAGATGACAGAAATGGTCTACTACGTCGTTGGTGGAAATTGGAGGATAGAGATGGACCGATAAGAGCGGACATTTCTCTCTCCGGCACAGACACCGTTTCTTGCTTGTAGACCACATGTGCATGAACCAGCTGACCAGGGCATATGCTGCCTGCCCCCTCGAGCTGTCCAAGAAACCAATATAGCGAATAATTAATTGCGCAGCCTGCCAATTATGCAGACAGCACCGGTTCTGATATTAATCAAGCTGACCAGCTGCCCGGAATAAATGGCCTGCAGGTTCTTCTCATGAGCGTCCCCGCCTGCTTCAGGCTGGCAAACTAGCAAATAGTTATACCAGGATGTAGCAAAACAACGGCAGAATCAGGCAAATAGGGATAATCCCTCCTTGTCTTGGCTAAAAAAAAGCTACGAAATAGGATCCTGGCACATCTGCGCTATAGTTGGTTTGGATAAACCTGCTCGAAGCGACATTGCAAGCAGGACGCATCATTGAAAGTACGCTTAACACCTGCTTCCGATGTCAATCAGCCATGCCTCACGCATCCATGTGAACCGCCGCCGTCCAGATGCAGCCTGGCACCGCATGTGGTCTTCATTTTTAATACCCGCACAAGTGTGCGAACAAGAACCGCCTGACACGTCAGATCATGCTTTTATGCCAGTGGTTGAGATTGGCTTTTGCTGAGCGGGATTTGCTGATGCAGCTGTACCCGCCCCGTAGATTGTCAATAGTAGCCGACTGCACCATGATTTTGCGCAGGAGCGGAACATGGGAGACAAACAACGGTGCTGTCGCTCTGCTAGCTGGAGAAATATCAAAGCTAATGGTGCGGACGGAGCCAAGGCTCGAATGCAAACTGTATCCCATGTCCAAGCACAGATACTACGCGCATCACTGCGTATATAAATGAGCTGACATCCGGACTCTCCTCTCATTCTACATCCTCCACCCCTCAACCCTCTCCACCTTATACCTCGATACCAACCAAAAGATCCTTCTGGCTAAGGACTTTTCCTTTTTGACGTCCAATTCTAAAGCTTCTACGTCCCGACTAATTACCAATCCTACCAGACCCGCCCAAAATGCCCTCTCCTATCCTTGCGACGGCAGCATTTGCAGCCCTCTCCTCGTTTGCCGCAGCTACCTACAGCTCCACCTGTTCTAATAACATGGTGACCTACTGGGGACAGAACAGCTGGGGTGGCAGCCACCTCAACGATCCTGCGAACTGGGAAAAGGACCTCGCCGAATACTGCCAAGACGACACTTTCGACGTCATCAACCTCTCTTTTGTGATAAACTATAATGTTACTGGCCTCCCCGTCCTTAATCACGCCGGCCACTGCGAGACCAAGTTCAATGGCACCAACACCCTGACATGCCCCGGAATTGGCAAGGATATCAAGACCTGCCAGGCCAACGGCAAGAAGATCGTGCTGTCGCTCGGCGGCGGTGGCAACCCTACTTACTCGCTCGGCTCATCGGCCGAGGGAGTCCAGTTCGCCAATACTGTCTGGAACATGTTCCTTGGCGGAACACACCAATATAGGCCATATGGTGATGCGGTCCTGGATGGTGTTGATCTGGATATCGAGTCTGGCGCTAACGGCGGCTATGCGGCGTTTATTGCGCAGCTGCGTACGTACTTTGCCAGCGCCTCCAAGCAGTACATCGTTTCTGCTGCTCCGCAGTGCGTCTACCCGGACTCGAGCCTTGGCTCTACCCTGAACACTGCCTGGATCGACAACAACTATATTCAATTCTACAACAACCCGTGCAATCTGGTCAACATCAACAACCAGTGGAACTTTGACTACAAGAGCTGGGACGCGCTGGCAAAGAAGAACCCGAATCCGAACTCGAAGGTGTACGTCGGCCTGCCTGCTGGACCAGGCGCCGCTGGCAATGGGTACATTGAGCTCAACACGCTTCAGGCGGATTTGAAGCAGCTGTACACCAACTTCACCTCGACCTTTGGCGGTGTCATGCTGTGGGATGCATCGTGGTACTCAAACAACCAGGGGTACGTGAAGGGCCTGTCGAGCTGGGTCAAGGCAAACATGCAGTGCGGTGCTACTCCTCCGACCAGTACTACTGCAGCGCCGACCACCACGACCGCCGCTCCTACCACTACTACTGCCGCACCTACCTCGAGTGCCCCGGAATCTACGTCCACCACTGCTAGCCCTACCAGCACCGTCGCCTCCTCAACAAGTACCACAGCCTCTCCGACTTCATCTTCAACGACAACCTCTGCTCCTGCGCCAACTTCGACCTCGGGAGGCGGTCCTGTCGCTGGTGGCTCGTGCTCGTCACAGGGAGCTGTCCAGTGCGCAGATACTAGTGGCAAGAACGCTAACTATTTTGCTTGTAACAACGGGGCGTGGCTCCAGCTGTCATGCGGTTCTGGAACTGCATGCTTTTCGTCAGGCTCGTCCATCTATTGCGACTGGCCGTCTGCTTGAATGGTTTCCTAACCCTCTGCTCTATTTTGCACACTACAAGTGCAAGCACTAGATAATGAACCGATGCAAAAACACTGATCTACCCACTTTTGAACCCACACATGCGGTTTTATTGATACTATCTATGCGGAATTGGCTATGTGCGTGGTTGCGCATATTGAACGGCAGCTCTGGTTGTGGTTACGCATTTCTCCAGCAGGGGCACTCTAGAATGTCCTTCTCATGCAGAGCTACTGTCGTTGTCCAATAGACTCGATCGGTTCTATTTTTTTTTTTGCTCAATTTACTTGCATTTTGCCCCACCGACCATCAACCATAAGTTGTGGATCGAGCCGCCCTTGGTCATGCCAAGGCGCTGGCCGGGCGGTGGAGATGGAAACCCTTGAACTATTAACCTCGTTGATGAGTGCTCCATCTGGAAATGCTGGCGACTGATCGTTTTGCGGGGCTCTTGGGCCCTTCTTAACACTGGCGTAGCTTTGAAGTACGAGCCGGGGGCCTTGCATCACCAAATGTTCTTGGCTTTTGAACGGATCTGAGGGGTACCAACAATAGTTCAAAAACTGCATATTTCTCATACCAGACATACTAGGAGAGCCAGCGCCAGCATTTTTGCGGATGCTGCCTGCTGGCTGGCCGTGGCGGACCGCGGCATAACTTGGTTTGTCGACTCGATTCTTGGGCCGGTGACTACGACATTGTACCCGTCATTGTCGTCGGTTGCGTAGTCCTGGCTGTCGCCAGCAGTGCGCAGGCGGGCCAACGCATCTCTATCCAACGTCGTAAACCCGACTCGCGTGTTGTCGACGTCAAACGAGATGGTCCGGTTCATGAAAAAGGGCAAGCCTAGGATCCACTTGTCTTTCGGCCCACCGACCTGGAACGCAGACATGCAGCCGTGCTCGGGCACACCGTCGCCCAGAATGTACTGGCTGGGCGAGATAGGAATCGTGATGTTGTTCTGACCATCTCTACCTGCTAGACGGAAGCGGAAGGTCGGCCCAGTAGTCGATACACCGCAGTCAACACCAAGACCGTTGTCTGACGCACCGATTATGCGGTTGATGAGCTTGGCAACTGGCGACGGACAAAGGATTGTGGTGGTTCCCGAATCCAGCAAGCCGACACCACGTGTCTTGATCTTGAGCCGCTTGCGCGTGGGCAGCTGCAGCAAGTCAGCAGAACGCTGAGGTAGTGGTATGGGCAGAAACTGGGTGGTTTCACCTGTCAGGTCGACATCGATTCCATAGACATTGACGGCCCAGAACGCCGGTTGTGTCACCTTGATCCATGTCGTTGTTGTTTCATTGCTATCTGGCGGTATACCAAGGTCGAGGCGGCCACCAGTATCACCAAGCGTGAAGCTGAATCGGTTTGCGTTGAGCTTTTGCTGATCAGCAAGCGCAAATAATGGCGGATCAAGCCCCTGAGTGGCCAGTGTCGGGAAGGCGAGGCCAAAGAGACCGTCGAACTGGGCGTCGAAATCGGGCGTCATCTCGACTGCCTCACCGAACGATGCGTTTCTGATACTCATTGATCCCCATTGGAGGGTGTCGTGCGCAGCCTGGATCGTGACCATGCCAGTTCCATACTCAATCCCGATCTGGTTGGGTAGGCGGCCGCACAGTAAGGGTGCGTATGTAGATGATGCATTTGGGTTGAATTGGTTGTGTCGTGTGCAAACTGGGTTAGCACATCTCGTGCTGGGAACCCACAGATCAGCCGAGCCCGTATCAAAGTTCACCCGGAACTGTTGTGGGGGAGAGCCGATCGAAATCATGCCCGAATAGAATAGCGTTGTGCTTGGCTGGTAGTCACTTGGGCTGGGTACTGTGTCGCGCCCGGCTAGCTGCGACAGTGGCACGGACAGAAACTGCTGATGCTTGACCAGTGCCCGTCGCCGGATACTATTCCGGTGTCGAACAAATATATCACCCTTGCGCAGGTGAATCGATGTGTAGCCGTCGATTGCCGCTGCCATTGCTGGCAAGGCAAGTATAGCCAGTAATGGTAGTTTAGAGAGCTTCATATGTGAGCAATTGGCAAGAGCAGAGATATGAAAAGGACCAGATGCAAGAAAACAAGCTAAACAGAGAGGAGGACGCACATCGTTTAGGCATTTATTGAGGCCAGCTTGCCGTTCAGAAGTATACAAAAACGCAGGCAGTAGCTAGGGCTGGGGTGCAGCTGAAAATAGCAACAGTCGTGCGGGCTGCCTTTTATTACTGTCTGCTGTCAGCAACCAGTCTGCAAGTGGGGATGGCGCGGTCTGGAGAGCACTGAAGGGTATCAGAGTGTTAATAATAGTACACAAAGCGTATTTTTCGCGCATACATCATGTCAGTTCACACGGGGAGGGGGGAATTCTTGTGTTTCGAGGATAGTATATTCGAATATTTCAGTTGATATTGTGATATCGCACTACTATCTAGTGGGAACTAGCGCTGGGGCTGGCGTTTGCGCTGGCGTTTGCGCTGGTGTTAGCACTGGTGTTAGCACTGGCGTTAGCGCTAGTGTTAGCGCTGGCATTAGCGCTGGACTGCTCGTCAGCCTTGGACTGCTCCTCGATACCATTTGTACCCAGAGCAAACACAACGCTGTCAGCGGCCCACTGGCCAACAGTCACATCACTCGAAGCCTCAGGGGCCAGGATAGCAAGTCGTACAGCAGAAACACCGCTCGATGAAGCCAACTCCTTGACAGTAGTCTCAGGAATGCGCAGGCTGACCATTCCACCCTTGTCGATGCCCAGGGTCTTGTACTGCTCGGTCTTGACACGGCCAATTGGTGCGATGATGGCGCCATCTTCAAGTGAGTAGGCAACTGCGTAGATGTTGGGGATACCGCTGATGCGCGAAGGCTGGATTGAGAACGGAATGAACGAGTCACCCGATGTGGCAGCCAAGGCCATGCTGTTTGCTACACGCAAAACACCAAGGTCCGTCTGTGTCTTGACATCTTTCCAGTTGACTGGAAGGCTGTCGGATGCTGGGAAGATGTTTGCTGTAGGCCATGCGTGTGCAATGGCGGCGAGCATGCTGAAGACGAAAGTCGTGTATTTCATGGCGATGATTGTATTTCTGTACGAAAGGGCTGTTCGCAGAGCTACTTTAGAGAATGTTGTTGCAAAAAACAATGAGACAAGGAGGAGAGTAGAGGAAGGAAAGGAAGAGTACAACGAGTGATGTAGGTAAATATCCCTTGCCCAGAATGCACCTCGTCAATATATATCCCCGGCTTGAATTTGCCCTTCGTATTCCCCGCACCTACTGTTGCTCCAAGCAAACATTTTTAGGAGGTGTCTAGGGGAAGTGCTTTACTGCTGCCACTGGCATGCTGTTTGAAACAGTGGCCCTGTATTTACACGCTACTCAGGAGCCAGCATCCAAAAATACACTGATTGGAGCGAGGTGCTAACATTGAGATGCCTTCCAATTCCTTGCCATGACTGGTGGGCTATGAGGTTGGTAAATGTATGTGAGGTATGTTATCCTCAAAATGTTGTTTTTCTCATCAACATTAGCGACAGGCTACATGTGTAGCCAACTATAATTTACTGCATGATATTAGAAAAGGCCAAATGTTAGCCTAAGGGAATACGCTCGATAAGAGATACATGGAGTCCGCTCGCGTCAATCGCTTTCTTGGCCACTTTCTTGTGGAAATCAGGAACATATAGGATATTGAGAGACGGCAGCCGTGGGAGCATCAGATAGAGCCAGGCATCGTTGTACGAGCAGTAGTGTGCAGGCTCAATGTAGAGCATGCGCAGCGATGTGCTGGCAGTTTCGGTCTGTGGCTCAAGAATGTACTCGCAGTGCTTTGAAAGCGTTGCCAAGGTGTACAGTTTGAATGTCTTGAGCCTGGGCAGCTGGGTCAGAAAAGTGCTGATGGCCATCAGCTCCATCGACCGTACAATGAACGTAGCATCGGCCAAGTTGTGCCACAGCACGGTGTCGATCTTCGGGAAATCAAGTGTGTTGAGCCCTAGGCGAATTCTGGTGAGCTTTGACGGTGTGTTAAACATGGTAACAAATGATGTATCCTTGTCGAGCTCAACTACCGGCAGCGGCTCGAGGGAAAAGCTAGGGTAGATGGTAAGTGTGTCCAGGTCGCGCACGTACGAGGGATCAAGATGCTGGATCCTGTCTAGGTTGTCGTGCAACCTTAGATGCTTAATTGGTGTCTGGTATATGAGGTCGGTCATGTCCTCGAATGAATCTAGGGTACCAACTAGCATCAGAAACTGGAGTCTGGGGAAGCGCAGGCGGAACTGACTTATCTTCTGCTTGCGAAAGGGCAGCCCGCGTGAAGGCAAAATAAGCTTCAGGACCTCAAGGTTTGGAAACACGATGTCATGGTCAGTTCCATCACCAAACATGTCCCAAGGGAACATGCTGCAGCCCTTGTTGATCTCCAGGCTCTGGAGGGATGCAGGCGCAATGCTCGAATATCTGCTGGTGATGCAAGTGTCGGTGTTGTGCAGCGATACGTGAGTGAGATTCGAGAATGCTGCATCTGGATTGTGGCCAAGCATACTTGCACCGGTGGTTAGAGTGTTCATCCTGGAAGAGAAGCCCAATAGGATCTTGCTGTAGATGGGTTCAAACCCATCGGGCCCCTCCTGGATGCTGGACGGCACAATTCGGGTTAGCTGTGGCATGCGGCGCAAAAAGAACGAGGCAATCTTGGTAACATTGGCGTCGTAGTTAGACGACCTGTCATCAGCTGTGCACTCTACAAAAAACAGAGTCGAAAGCCGCGGCAGCACAAGAAAGTTGAATCCAACTCCCTGGAGGACATTGATGATTGTGGACTTTTTGGTAATGACAGGCCCGCTGATGAACAGGTTGCGGACCTGGTCCTCCATGCCTGTAGCAATGATAGCTGGGATATTTGAGTGCCACCTCACTTGGCCTTTGGGGTCCGTGGTTGACATGATATAAATGCTGCTCATGAGGTCGGGCTTGGTCAATTGGTACCAATAGCGGCACACTCGTGCGATCTGGATAGAGCGTGCATACCGACGGATATTTGCTTCGCCGTTCTCTTTGATACGATTCAGGCGAGCAAGGATACGCTCAATAATCGCGCCGCCAGCAAGGGTATTGATACTTTGGCCACTTGTTTCCATTATGCCGGACAGACAGTTCTGGATATATTACAAGAGTGGAGGAATTGAGGATGGAGAAAGATATCTAAACAAAGCGGCTGAGTATCGCCTTTATAGGAGTCAGGTTGCTTGTCTGAGCAACAGAGTTGTCAACATCACTGCCCGCAGCCACTCTATGCAGCTGTATGTACTCTACCGAGTAAAAATCATGCGGTACACGGATGTATAAGAGCGAAAAACGCGATGTAAACGGAAGCCGCAGAGCAACTGCGAGCGCTCACAGTGCACAGGTATGCACATAGCGAAAGCTGTCATTAAGGTAGATTGCTGAGTGTGCCTGGCTGATACAGCACCTGCGCGGAGGCTGTGTCAGCCGGATAGGGGCACTGCGTGAGCATCACACAGTGTAGACGGGAGACACCATGTGGTCATGATTGGTCAGCTGCTCAATATGTGACTTCTGCCTGCTAATATACAGATTAGATAGATAGATTGTGTGTGATTGATATGATCATGGATTGGGCTGCCGCTTTGCAGCTCCCACGCTCGCACATCGCCTCGGAATATCCGATGCGCCAAAACAGATATGGCAAGCACTCTGGATGAATGTAATGCCATCTGAACAGCGCATTTGATATATGGGTATGTCTGTGCAGCATACAGCGGGATTAGGGATCCTACACGATAGAAGAGTAGCTCCGAGATAAGCACAGCCAGACACCAGAGATGGATGGAGATATCTAATCCACGTCATGGCTTGCAGATTGCCTTTGAATATGCAGGCAGCGTCGACGGATCAAACGCCAATTTTACCAATTGGGCGCCCAAAGCAGCAGTGTGGTGTGCAGGAACCGTGCCATGATTCGCCCCGTGTATGCCCGCTTTGAGGCGGAGCGCGTACAGCCCACTTTTGAAGGACGATCCCCCGTGAACCGATCCTTGTATTCAGTGGCAGCAAAAGAGTGGAGGCACTGAGAATTTCACAGCCATAGAACGGAAAGTCCTGCTCCTTGAGTAGTTTTACAGCGGCTCATGGTCAGGCAGATTAATTCTCCCGTCGGAGCTGGCCATGCATATAGGCCACACGAAGCGACATGAATAGGGAGGAGCCGTTGGCGATCGTTTGTTGGGACGCCTCTCATTTCAGGGCGGGCTTGGGGCCTGGAGTTGAGGATATAAGCTAGCCTGGTGCACGGCTGAATGTGGCAAGTGACCCACGGCACCATTTCTTCCTCAGCTGTCTTTAATATCTACACTGTTAATAATTCTTCTCTCTACTATGGGCCGCTTCACACTTCCTACCCGGCAGCAGATAATCGAGTTTCTCAAGGAAGACAAGTGGATCAATTCCAACGCGCCGACGGTGCCCAACCCCATCCCGCCGTGCTGGGACTTTAAGGGCCGGTACCGGCGCATGAAGGAGCACTGCACGCTGCGCGAGTTCAGCGGGTCTCTGGGCGACTTGGGCACGCTGATTCCCATTCTCATATCCCTGACGGTGCAGGGGTCGGCTAGCCTGACATCATCGCTGTTCTTTGGCGGGCTGTACAATATCCTGACCGGGTTCTTCTACGGCGTGCCCATGTGTGTGCAGCCAATGAAGTCAATTGCAGCCATCGCCCTCACCAACAAGTTTACGCCTGGCGAGCTGGCGGGTGCCGGGCTGGGTGTCTCTGCGATTGTCATGTTCCTGGGGCTATCGCGGCTGCTCTGGCTGGTGACTCGGTTTGTGCCCCTGCCAGTCGTCAAGGGTCTGCAGCTGGGCGCAGCCCTGCAGCTGTGCAAGAAGGGCATCGACGCGATCAAGACCAATGCGTCGTTCTGGGGCGACAGCCTGATCTGGAGCGACAACCTGTGGTGGGCAACGGCGTCGTTTTTGCTGGTCCTGTTTGTGTATGAGCGGCGTCGCGTGCCCACGGCCATGGTTATCTTCATGCTGGGCCTGATCTTTGCGCTGGTGCAGACAGGCACGCACCACCAGTATGACAAGGTGCACCCAGGCGCCCATTTTGTCCACGCTGTGGTGCCAACAGCGAAGGAGTTCAAGACAGGCTTTTTGAGCGCCGGTCTGGGCCAGCTGCCTTTGACGCTGCTGAACTCGGTCATCGCCCTGGCAGCTCTGGCGCGCGAGCTGTTCCCCGGCTACGATCCGTCAGTGGTCCACATCAGCTCGACCATTGGCGCCATGAACATCGTCGGGTGCTTCCTGGGCTCGATGCCGTTCTGCCACGGCAGCGGTGGCCTGGCGGGCCAGTACTTCTTTGGAGCACGGACGGAGCTGTCCCTGTACTTTTTGGGCCTGGTCAAGATCATCCTGGGAGTGGTGTTTGGCGAGTCGCTGCTGACAATTCTCAAGTGGTTCCCAAAGTCGCTGCTGGGCGTGATGCTGTTCACAGCGTCGATCGAGCTGGGGCTGGTGGCCCGCAACTTCACACACTACCCGCACGACGAGAAGCGCAGGAAGCGCGATTTCGTTGTCGTGCTGTCAACCACGGCTGCGCTGGTTGGGTTCTCCAACGACGGGCTCGGATTCCTGGTCGGCATGGCCACGGCTCTGGTGTTTTGGATCCACCGCCACTACTACCCAGATGTGCGCGATGAGGCCACGCTGCTGCCCACCAACAGCGAGAGCGATGTCAACTCGCCGTCGCGTGCTACGGGCTCGCCGGTGCTGAAGCCTGCCAGCGGCGCTGCCACCGACAGCGATTTTGGCCAAGGCCTTGGCGAGTCGCAGCGGCTTGAGGCAGCCAAGCGTGCGATGGATAACTGCTGTTGATAGCTTGTCTCACCAATCAGTGATGGGCTTTTTGGGCTCGGCGGTTGCTGTGAGTGGCTGATGAAAAAATTGCGTTGCGGGCGCAGCACAGGATTTCCAGCACTTCGCCCCACCAAGGGAGCAAGACTGTCTCACTTTTTTCATCCCAGCCTTCTTTCAGCCGTTTTTTATACTTTTAACCTGGTCTCTTGTATTCCTACCCTTTTTATATTCAATTCACACAAATGTCGCAGCAGGGGCAATGGAAGGCATCGGCGCTAGCCGCTACATTCAGCTCAAATGCCGGATTCAACGGCACTGCGTGGGGAGCCGCGCGTCCGCCTCTGCCCAACATTAACTCGGCAATTGGCTTTGGCATGGGCCTTGGCCAGTCGCAGATGCACGGAATGCTGGACGAGCAGCACATTCACAGAACCACCAAGCGGAAAGCCAGCAGCAGCGAGGACGAGAATATGGAGAGCTCGTCGCCGCCGCCCGAGCAGCGTCGCATCCGATACCTGTCTTCAGGCCGTCGTATTACGCAGGCGGGACAGCAGCAGCAGCCGAGGGACACACAGAATAGCGCTGACACACGGAAGCGGACACGAGTGGAGGACACCAGGCCCAAGGACGTAACGCTGGACAAGCTGCTTGGTAAGTGGACGAAAAATGGTCATCAGTTTTTTTTCTTTCGGCGCCCTGTAGTGCTGACGAATCGGGAGATGTGCGGTATTTGCTAATTGTGCTCTGCTGTTGTGTAGAGCCGCTGGAGGAGAAGGACCTGCGTTCGCTGCTGGACATGCTGATCACCCAGAACCCGGGCCTGGCGACGCAGGTGCGCGACCTGGTCCCCAAGCCCACGGTCAACTCGGCGTGCAGCCAGCTGGTGCGTCTAGAGCGTCGCCTGCTGGCGGCATTCCCGTACAACAAATCCGGGCCCTTGGCCGACGACTACACATACCACCGCGTCAAGCCAGCGCTCGAAGAGCTGCGCGACACCATCGTAATGTACCTCGATCATTTCACGCACTACGGCCTGGTCAGCAGCCGCAGCACCGCAGCTGCTCAGACAGACAACGTGCTGACGCACCCGGCCGAGTGGTTCGATCTGCTGGCCCAGGCCACCGACATCGCCATGCGCATGCCCAAGTGGGACCGCAAGGAGCACAACGAGATCCGCCGCGACACGCTGCGTCTGCTGGCCGATGGCTGGCTCAGGGCCATCATGGCCACGGCGCGGTGGTCCGAGGAGGGCCATATCATGGGCAGAGACATGGTGTCACAGTGGGGGTACCAGCTCGACCACTTTTACCAGAACTCGGGCGAGCCGTCGCTGTTCCAGCCGCCGATGCAAGTGTTCCAGCAGAGCTTTGGCCATTACTATGGCCTGGTTACCCGGGGTGTCAGCAGCCATCTGCCGGTCGAGACCACCCCGGTGCCAAGCCTCTGAGGAGACGGTCTCGCCTTGCTGACAGGCTTCTGCTTGACAACCTTAAATGTGCTTTGTGCTTTGTGCTTTAGCCGACCTTTGTGATGTATCCTTGACACGAAATAAATCCCTGTTTGCCACCAGGCTTGCGGCGAATGTTCCTCGTACCGTGGTGCGAAGCCGGATAGGAGCCGGTCGGGTCCTTGGGCTGGCTCGGTGTTGGGCTCCATCGAATGCACAGTGCAGCGTGCGGGGTTGTCTCCAGAAGGCTTCCCTTTTCAGGCTAGGGGCAATCCGGCAGACACATGTGCTTTGTTCCTTTTATAAAGCCGCGGCAACCCCCGGCATTTGCACCGAGGGACCTCTGTGCCGACAGCCATTGCCAAACCAAGCCTTTACACCTTTTCCTCTTCCTCTCCACCTCTTTTCAATACCATGAGACTCGCAGCCATCATGATAGCCGCATCCGCCGCTGCTCTTTCGTCTACTGCAGCCTCCATTCCCGGAGCGGTCAGCGTCTACCACACCGGGCCCTTTCTGACTTCGAGCACCACGCGGTTTGGCGCGCTCATCGAGGGAGCTGCAGTCGACAAGGACGGGAACTTTTATGCTGTGCACTATGGCGACAACAAGGCAGCCATCGGCCGGGCGTTTAGCTCGCAGAAGAGCCTGTTTGAGGACAAGGCCAAGCCCAACTCGTGGTTCAACGGCATTCGCTTCCACATAGACAAGCAGGGCATCCAGGAAGCGTATCTGGCTGATGTCGTCAACCACCGCGTTGTGCGGCTGCGGGATGTGGGCAAGAACGGCAAGTTCGCGCATTCCGAGACCTTCTGCCAGAGCCCCAAGATCCTGCAGCCCAACGACCTGGCTATTGCACACACGACCGGCCGCATCTTCCTGTCAGGCATGCGGTTCACGCCTGATTCGGTCGTCGGCGACGGCGATCTTTGGACGTGCGACAAGAGCGGAAAGGCAAAGAAGCTGGGCGAGTTCTACCGCACCAATGGTATCGAGGTCAGCCCTGATGAGAAGACGCTGTATCTGTCGGAGGCTATCAACAAGGGCGGCGAGGTCGTGTCTAACCAGATTCTGGCATTTGACCTGGACGCCTACCAGGGCAAGATCTCGAATCGGCGCGTGTTTGTCGATTTCGCAACCCTCGATGGCACTGCTGGGAACGATGTCGATGGCATGCGTGCTGATGTCGACGGCAACCTGTATGTGGCCCGGTGGGGATCAGGCAAGGTGGCCAAGATCTCGCCAAAGGGCAAGCTGCTGGCGTATTTCCAGCTGAGCAACATCAAGGAGGTGACCAACCTGGAGCTGGCTGGCCCCAAGGGCAAGGACCTGTTTGTTGTCGGTGCTTGCGTCGACAACCCCGCCAAGGGATGTGTCGAGCGCTTTGTTGGCAACAAGAGCCAGGGCCGTGCCTTCGCCAACCTGCAAAAGAAGAAGCACTGATTTATCCCCCTTCCGCAGAATATGCCGCAAAAAATTGCGATCTGCATAGGAGGGACCGGATCACCATTAGTTCTCTTCCAGAATTCTTCATCGATACGTAATTGAGGTGTACCAAGCTTGACTAGGATGTCCTTTGCATGTGCAGCCCGGGCCAGCATTCCAGCCAAACCCGCCGAGTCCGCCAACATTGAGCCTTGGATTATGACAGCCAGCGGAGGAGCGGGCGCTACATGTGACATGCCGGTTTCTTTGAGATTTCCCCTGTAGCCACATGGCAAAACAGGCTCAAAACAAGCCCAGGCAAGCTTAGCGTGCAATGCCATGCACCGCGGCGTCACTTAATTTTACTACTGGGCTCCGTGGTAAGGATACTAAATGCTAGTCGGGGCCTATTTAAACTCACCATCCCATCCACGACAAATGGGCAGAGCAGTACAGCCATTTCAACATATAATTTGCCCTTAACATGAAACTCTCGTTCGCCCTTGCTTCTCTTGCTTCTGCCGCGCTGGCCGTGGACACCTTCCAGGCTACGCCTTATCTTACGTCATCCAACAGCCAGTTTGGCAGTGGCATTGAGGGTGCTGGTGTCGACCGTGCTGGAAATATCTATGCCGTCAACTTCAATGCCAATTCGGCAGCTGCCGGCAAGGTCTCGCCTAGTCAGTCTCTGCTGTACCAGGGAACTGGTAGTGCTCTGTTTAATGGCATTCGGTTCCGGGTCGATGGCAGTGGCAACGAGGAAGCCTACATCGCCGATGCCACCGGCCATCGGGTGCTCCGGCTGACTAACCGCAATGCCTCGGGCTCGTTCCAGAACAGTGCCGTGCTGTGCCAGGACCCGGGCATTCTGCAGCCCAACGACATTGCCATTGCGCACTCCACTGGCCGAATCTTCATGTCGGGCATGAACTATCAGGCTACTGATGTGATTGGCAATGGCGACTTGTGGACCTGCGATAGTACTGGCAAGGCGACCAAGCTCGGCGTCTTCTACCGCACCAACGGCATTGAAGTCAGCCCCGACGAGAAGACTCTGTATCTATCGGAGTCGGCCAACAAGGACTGGGCGGTCATCTCGAACGTCATTTACGCATTTGACCTCGATGCTAAGACAGGGGCTATATCCAACAAGCGCGTGTTTGCTGATTTTGGCAAGCTCGACAACACTGCATCCACTGACATCGATGGCATGCGCACTGATACCCAGGGCAACCTGTATGTCACTCGCAATGGCAATGGCAAGGTCACCAAGCTCTCTCCGTCGGGCAAGCTCCTTGCGTATATCAATGTGCCAGGAATCATGAGCGTTGGCAATCTCGAGTTTGGCGGGAAGAGCGGCACAGACCTGTATATTGGTGGCAAGTGCGAGAAGGATGCGAAGAAAGGGTGTGTGAGCGTATACAAGGGCAAGGCTGCTGGCCGGGCATTCAATGACCTGCAGCATCACTCCAAGGGCCCTGCTGCTCCCACAGCATCGGCGTAGCGCGAACAGTTCAGCCAGAATAAGCTAGTCCAGTAAATTGTAATATCAACTTTTGTCTGTTCAGTCACTGTCGATGAGGTCACGGGCCACTTGTGACGGCCGCTATCCCTCTTCTCTTCTTCTCTCTAGGCTTTTTTATATTGCTTTTTTCTTGCTCAAATGGAGAATGCAGGCAAATTGGCGCGGCAGGCGTCTGAATTCGAAGAGCAGTGCCAGTGGAGCGATGCAGCTCGGCTGCACCGGCAAGCAGCGCAGGCGTACCGTGCAGTCAGCGGCTATGACTTTGATCCTGTAGCTACACTGACGCTTTCGTCGCTTGTCAACAAGCACATGCGATGGGCCGAGTACTGCGAGCGTGAGAACGAGCATCCGAGCATTGATACAGCCGACAGCGACCGGCAAAGCCTAGCAACCAACACACCAGCATCGCCGGCAGGCACCGGCAGCCCGCCTGCTACAGAATTGTCCCCCGGCGAGGAGGCGCGGCAGAGGCACGATGCTGAGGAGCAGGACTTTGAGGACTTTTGGCAGTACATGCAGAACTGGCTGGCCAACCCGACAGCATTCACTAGGCCGGTCAAGCCGCCTGGGAGTCGTGGAGCGGGTAGTGGCAATTACCAGGCTGCCGCGAGCCGCAGTGTGATGGAGTCGTTTTATCTTGTAGGCGCAAACCCCGACCAGACAGCAAGCGTGTATGCATCAGTCGCTGGCAGCCCAAAGGGGATATCTCCATTGCCAGCTCTTGCCGAGGATGACGAGGAGGCTGAGTCCCAGCCTGCCGCACACAGCGAGTCGCAAGCTGACTCTGCCCATGTGCTTGAGGTCAACAAGGCGCTGCTTGCTGAGAACCAGAAGCTGCGCGACATTGTAGGTGCGCTGCAAGACCGGATAGCCCTGCTCGAGTCTGCCGCTCAGGAGAACAACATGCTCAAGAGCAGTATTTTGAACTTCCGCGAGGAATTCCACAAGCACGCCAACGCAGTGTCGCTGCCTCGGATCCACGAGCACAGCCCTATCGCGCGCCGGATGATGGCTACGCACCAGAGCCCGCCAGCAGCGGAGGTGCAAATCCGCCAGCTTGAGGCGCAACTGCAATCCATGCAGCTAGAAAACAGCAAACAGGTAAGGAGTTTGGCCGCGCGTAGATATGACGAAAGCTTGGCCATCGGCGCCGTGCACTGCTAATCTATGGCTATCATTATATGCGTAGAAGGCGCAGATGGAAAAGTACAGAGAGCGATGGGATAGATTGAAGGAGTCGGCGAAACGAAAACGCCAGCAGCAGCTTGAACAGCAGCAGCAGCGGCGGCAAAATTCATAGACACATGTAAATGTGTTTGTAGGATGTTGCCAAGAAACAATTTACTGAAAGGAGGAGGCATCTGCTGCATGGGGTGCAAGGTTGGCTTTGTCGTAGCCACTGGCTACATTTGGTCCCGGCCATCCGCCTACGTTTAAATATGTCGGCTCAGTTACTTTTCACCAGTAACCGGTGCTAATAAAACCAATGCATATTCTGCTGTTTCGGGATATTGTCCGACAATAGTGTTATTTACTTGCCCATTGCGTAGTCGGAGCATCGGCTCTGCCCTTGGAAGACGTGCATATTGCGGTCGTGATTCTAGAATTCGTGAGGTAGCCATACACAGTGGCAAACATCAACGGCTTGGGTATGAGGCACTGGGTTTACTGCGCATCGAGGACTAGAGTATGAGAACAGGAAAAAGGGATAGTAAAATGCGCATTGGCAGGCGCTTTCAGAGCTAAACACGTCAGGTTTAATGAGACCTTCAGGAGATGCAACTGCCAAAATATCTGCACAGAAAGGTCATATTCTAAGCCAAGCCATGCAGGCTTGGAATGCCTTTGCGCAGACATGCTCGAGTGGACCAAGGGGACTCGGACATATGCAGAGGTGTTACTAATAGAGTTGCCTATCGCCACTGTCCCTTTTGCATGAGGAAGCAAATAAATGAGCATTGAGGGTATATTCTTTACTCCACTCTCGCCACCTATCGTACTCAAATAACACGTATTGTATAAAATTATGCTTCCCACAGAATGGACTATCGGACAGAACGAAGGGCGACTTGTCGTGCCCAGGACGCCTTCCCGTATACCCCACAGCAGACACGGAGCTATTACAAGCCGAGCATCTGCCCACCGGGCGCACAGGCCGGCAGTCGGCTCCCGTGCCGGACCAGCTTATGTGGATACACATTGGCGCAGCGCCGCTGCCGCTGAGGGACAGCTGCGGCGCATTGTACATTGTGCAAACTCGCAACCACTGAATTCACGGTCACAGACACCCAACTTGCACCGGCCAAGGAGACCATCCAACTCCATACATATGGACAACCGGCGAATACACTTTACGGTGGGCAGCTCAATGAGCATCTCATCGCAGTCAGCAAGCGACGACTCGGCAATGGAAGATATTTCTAACGGCAAAATCCCCAGCTCATTAGAATCCGCAATATCAAGCTCGCGCAGCACACTGGCATGCTCAACTACGTCTTCAATGAGCACAGCATGCGATGAGGCCGAGCCGTCGGGTGAAAGTATGCTGGCACGGTGTAAGCAGTTCTTCAAACGGCTGAACCACAGGAGTAGTCTGCACCCAGCATCCAGTGCCGAAAAGGCTTGGCCGGCATTGCCGGACTCGTCCCTGACCTATGTGCAGTCGGATACTGGGCTGTCGTTTCGCTCAGTGTCGTCAGGGATCAGGATAGCACCAGCCAGCTCACGGGGAGCCTCAATGCCCGTGCTGTCTTCAGCAGCCGAAACTATGGGCGGCGGGAGGACGGCGCTGTGGACATCAGTTGGTGCTGACGGATGGGTGAAGAGAAGACAGTGGTAGCTGCACAGGTATATTGCAGCACAAAAACATATCCCCGGCTCAGTGGGGCAGTGGGTTGGAAATGCGTATATTTTGAATATCAATGTTGGCCCTACAGGTTCACAGCATCGACTTCGACCTCCAGCAGCACAGGCTCCGACGACAGACGACGAACCTCAACAATGGTGATTCCTGGCTTCATGGCAGCGCCTTCAGCCGATTCGTTGAGCCACTGCGTCATGGCCAGCTGTATCTGACGCGAGTCACGGACCATGTCGACCACATAAATCCTCATGCGTACTATGCTCTTTTCGGAGCAGCCGACTGTCTCGAGAAGCTGTCGAATCCGCCTCATTATTGCGCGCGTCTGGCCAGCAGCCTCGAGCACAAGGTGCGCAGGCATCCGGCCGCTGTGGCTGTCGAGCGCGCTGACACCTGAAATGTAAATAAGGGGTCCGGCGCGCACCAGCTGTGCATAGCCTTGGCTGGCCTCTGTGGGGTTGCTGCTGCAGACAAACGTCTTGTTATCCTGCGCTACCACGCCCTCTTTAGTGCCGTTGGTGCAACGTGCCCCGTCGAGAGCTGTCGCTGTCTGTGCTTGCTGCTGCTGCAAACTAGATTGGGCATAGAGCATAGTTGTGTTGTCAGTATGCTGAAAGAATAGAGAAAGCACTCGGAGAGAAGCAACAGAACGCAAGCCTGGGGGCTTCGAACTCGCCATGTGTATTGTGTTGCCAAATAATTAGCTCAGGCCCAAAGCCCTCGTGCGCAGATTGGTTGGTGATCTGCATCAGCTGCCGCAGCCAGCAGGAATTCCCCTTGCTGTGCCCAGTCCCTGTGTATCCGTGTAGCAATGGCTACAAATACGTTACATTTCTTCATCATTGCGGGACACATAACAGTACATTCGAACAGCACTCTGTGAAAATTAGTTTGACTTCTTGTGGGCATAGAGTGTCTCGGACTCCTGCTCCGTGATCGGGGCACCGAAGCGGCGGGGCGGGACCCATCCGCCGAAGCGCTTCTCCAGGACCAGAGCAACAGCAATGGCCTTCAGATCCTCACCGTTCTTGGCAACGACCTGGACACCAAGCGGGATGCCGTCCTCGCTGAGACCGACCGGGACCTGGGTCACCGGGTAGCCCAGAATGTTGAACAGGCCGGTGTAAATGAAGTTGGGCATGTTGAAGTACGAGATACCGTGCGGCTGGGCCTTCAGCGGATGCGGCGGGAAGATGATGACACCGTTGTCGCCCATGAGGTCAGTGAAGAACTTGTCGACCTTGTTCCAGAACGGCAGCGTCTTCTCGCGGGTAAGACTTTTTGCTGGGTTGCCGCCCATCCACGCCAGGATGAACGGATTGAACGTGTGCTTTGACTTTCCGCACAGGAACGGAATGAGCTCGGTTTTCCAGCTGAATGGCTTGCTCTTCGGGCCCACGATGGCCTGGAAGAAGGACAGCTCACCTGTGTTGAGGTACGGGGTGTAGAGCTGGGTGGCCATGCCAAACTCACGGGGCATCTTGGCAAACGAAACATTGCTCTGTCCGACAACCTGCTGTCCCAGGAAGTTGGCGACGTTGACAATGGACTGGCGGACATCAGGCTCAACGCTGGAGATCAGGAGCTGCCAGCCAAATCCCTCGGGGAAAGCAACAACCTTCAGGCTGCTCACATCAACCGAGCGCGGATCGCCAATGTCGCGGCCGATTAGAGACGACACAAAAGGCGCAATATCCTCGGCGTAGCGGCAGATGGGGCCGGTAGTGCCGCAGAGAGCCTTCTCCTTGGTCCTCGGCGATGCCCAGGTCTTGACTTCCTTGGGCATCCACGACGCAGTGGTCTTGTGGCCAAATGTGCCGCAGAAGAATGCCGGCATGCGAATACTGCCGCCAATGTCCGACCCAAGGCCAACAACAGAGGCACCAGCACCGACGATGGCGCCTTCACCTGACGAACTGCCGCCAGTGTTGCGGCTCAGATCGTATGGGTTGAACGAGCGACCGTAGATGGTGTTGTCGGACTCCCAGGCCATCAGCAGTTCCGGGTTGTTGGTGACACCAAGAATGACAAAGCCGGCGCTGACCAGATTCTTGGTCTTGTTGCACGACTCCTTTGCTGGGCTGTATTCGGGATCCTGGCGCCAGGGCATTCCAAGGGTGAGCGGCATGCCCTCGACCGGAATACACTCCTTGATGGTGATCGGAACACCCAAGAACGGCGCACTCTCAATGCGGTATTCTTCAGGAATATCGCCGCTGTCCAGCACCGCGTCGATCTTGCGGGCCTCCTCGATTGCCAGCTCGAAGCGATCAGCAACAACAGCGTTGAGGAACGGGTTGACCTTGCGAATGCGGCCAATGTACACCCGCACGACCTGCTCAGAAGTCAGCTCGCGGGAACGGATGCGGCGTGCCAGCTCAGTGGCCGACAGGAGCAGAATCGGATCGTAGTTGTCCAGCGATGTCTCAAGGTTAGCTGCCAGCTGCTTGACTGCACGTAGCTTAGCTGGGACACCGTTGTGCCGGCGGATGTACGCGTATGCGAGCCGTCTCCATGGCGACCACAGGAGCACCTGCAGCGGGCGGAAGATAAGATAAGCAATTGTTCTGGCAATGACGCCGTTCATCGTCGATATAGCAATGGCGAAGTGAGTAATAAGATATAAGAGTAAGCAGAACAATACAGCGTGGAAGGTTGCGGGCTCCTCTACGTCTGCCCTGAGCACAGCCTTTTTAAAAGGGCTGCCAAAAACCGCTTTCGCTTGGGTGCGGTTGCACAGCATTCGCTGGATGTGGGGTGAGCTGCGGTCTCAGGCAGCCTAACCATCCTTCCCAGGATTCGCAAAGCGAGAAAGCACACTTCTGCTTAGCCGCCATTTCCGTTAGACTGTGGTGGGATTATTTCCGACGATCACCCCAGGTCAAGCCAAGCCAGCTATTAAAGAAGTCATAATCATCGTTCGGGGTTGCACGCCTGTGGCAAGATTTCCAAGATCAGTGCGTCAGGTGCTGCCACCTTCGGCGTCTGTTATTGTCCGTGGGCCGCATCGTCATCTCCGCGAGCCTTGACACGGTGCAACGCTTTGTTTTACAGAGACCGAATCGCCAAGCCATTTCTATGCCCAGCGACAGAACCACCGGTCCAGAGTATATGCGCCTTTGAGTACATATATCTCAAGTGACATCAGTCTTGCTTTGGAGAAGATTGATTGCAGTCTTGCATCACCTTAGTACCAATATATGATTGCATGTGCACTTTAACACATTCATTAGTTTTGCCAAGCTATTCTACTGGTGAACATATATCTTCTCCGTGCCACTTGCGGAAATCGGTGCACCAAAGCGACGAGGAGGGACCCAGCCACCAAACCGCTTCTCCAGGGCCAGAGCAACAGCGATTGTCTTCAGATCCTCGCCATTCTTGGCCACAATCTGCACGCCAAGGGGGAGACCGTCTTCGCTAAGACCAAGTGGGACCTGCGTTGATGGGTAGCCCAGGACATTAAATGCTCCTGTGTAAATGAAGTTTGGCAAATTAAAGTAGGTGATTCCATGGGGCTGCGCTTTCTGCGGCGACGTCGGAAAGATCAGCACACCGCTGTCACCCATGAGGTCGCTGAAGTACTTGTCGAGACTGTCCCAAAACGGCTTGACCATGTCGCGAGTGATGCCATCAGCGGTGGCCGAGGTCAGGATGGCCAGCATGAACGCGTTAAGCGTATGGCTGGACTTACCCCGCAGGAACGGGACAAGTTCACGTCTCCAGTTGAACGGTGGGCTATCGGGTCCGACAAGAATTTGCTGGAATGGGGTCTCGCCAGTTGAAATGTACGGTGCATACGATCGGCTGGCAGCTTCAGCATATGGTGGGGTCTTGGCAAACACAACGTTGCTCTGCCCGACAACCTGCTTGCCCAAATAGTCAGCAACATTTACCACCGCCTGGCGCACATCAGACTCGACATTCGAAAGCAAAAGTTGCCACCCAAATCCATCAGGGAAGGTGACGACCTTCAGTTTTCTCAGGTCAACCGATTTGGGGTCGCCGATATCACGACCGATCAAAGCAGAGACAAACGGCGCGATATCTTCAGCATAGCGGCACAATGGACCTGTGGACAGGCATCCAGCAGTCTCCTTAGTTCTGGCAGACAAGAAGCCTTCAATCTCTTCCGGGCCCCATTCGGAGGTAGTCTTGTGGCCGTAAATGCCACAGAAGTTGGCAGGCATGCGAATACTACCACCAATATCCGATCCAAGACCAACAACAGAAGCACCAGCACCGACGATGGCGCCTTCACCTGACGAACTGCCGCCAGTGTTGCGGCTCAGATCGTACGGGTTGAACGAGCGACCGTAGATGGTGTTGTCGGACTCCCAGGCCAAAAGCAACTCGGGGGTATTGGTTACACCTAGTACTATAAACCCCGCGTTTGTGAGGTTGAGAACGTCATTTGATGACTGTTTGGCAGGACTTTCCTCAGACTTGTGAAGCCAAGGCATGCCCCAGTGGAATGGCATGCCCTTGACACGCATGCTCTCTTTGACAGTAATTGGAACACCCAAGAACGGCGCACTCTCAATGCGGTATTCTTCAGGAATATCGCCGCTGTCCAGCACCGCGTCGATCTTGCGGGCCTCCTCGATTGCCAGCTCGAAGCGATCAGCAACAACAGCGTTGAGGAACGGGTTGACCTTGCGAATGCGGCCAATGTACACCCGCACGACCTGCTCAGAAGTCAGCTCGCGGGAACGGATGCGGCGTGCCAGCTCAGTGGCCGACAGGAGCAGAATCGGATCGTAGTTGTCCAGCGATGTCTCAAGGTTAGCTGCCAGCTGCTTGACTGCACGTAGCTTAGCTGGGACACCGTTGTGCCGGCGGATGTACGCGTATGCGAGCCGTCTCCATGGCGACCACAGGAGCACCTGCAGCGGGCGCAAAATAGCATATGCAAGTGCGCGCTGGAAGGCGTTCATGTTGAAATACTAAAATTTGTTGTATTGGAGTAGAGAGCAGAAAAGAAGCAAAGCAATCCACCTGTGCCGTTGCAGTGGGCCTATTATGCAAGCCTGCACTTGCCTGTTGTTAATACACTCGCGACTACCGTTAAAGAACAACTCTTCTCGAAAAACTTGTGCCTGCGGGCAGGATGCACACGGCCAGATTTTTACTGTCACATGTGATAGACAGCAGACATGCATATAGAATTATTTGGTTCGGCTCAGCCATCCAAACACAGGATTAGGTGAGCATAGAGGCAGCCCCCAGCCTTTTGTATCGTGTGGGTTACATTCCTAAATCAATGCCTACGTCTACTTCTTCATGCGATGATTGTAGAGCTTCTCAGTATCATGCTCAGGCAGTGGGGCACCAAAGCGACGAGGCGGTGTCCAGCCACCGAAGCGCTTCTCGAGCTGAATTGCTACGGCTATGGTCTTTAGGTCGTCGCCCTTGCGCGCGATTACTTGTACGCCTAGCGGCAGGCCATCCTTGTTCAGCCCAAGCGGCACCTGTGTAGCAGGGAACCCAAGAGCGTTAAATATCGCGGTGTACATGAGATTAGGGCGGTTAAAAAAGTCAGTCCCATGTGGCCGCGCAACACATGGATGAGGTGGAAATATCATGACGCCATTTTCACCCATGAGAGTTTCTAGATGATCCCGCAGTTTGTTCCAGAACGGCACAACCTGCTCACGCGTGCCCTTTGGTGTGGGCAGGATGCGCAGTAGGTGGTTCTGGAACGAATACCCAGTGTAATTCGAGCTGCCCTTGATGAAGGAGGCAAGCTCTCGTGTGAGGTCTGCGTGCGGCATACCCTCCCCACCCAAAATCTCTGGCAGGGTCCGTTCGCCGGTGGCAATCATTGGGCCGAACTTTACAGACGCCTGGCTAATATAGGACGGCATCTGGGCCATGATGACATTCTCCTGACCAACCACCTGCTGTGCCAAATAGCTGGTAACGTCGATAACCGCTGTGTGCAAAGCAGGGTCGAGTTTGGATATCAGCATACTATGGCCGAGTCCATCGGGGAAGGCAACCACACGTAGCTTGCTCAGGTCAATGGACCTAGGGTCTCCAATGTTGCGGCCGATGAGCGCCGACACAAATGGTGCCATGTCCTCTGCATATCGGCAAAGTGGACCGGTAGAGGAGCAAGCAGCTTTTTCCGCTGTCAATGGCGACATGAAGTTGGGCTTCTCCTTGGGGATCCATTCAGCTGTTGTTTTGTGACCAAAGACACCACAGAAAAACGCAGGCATACGGATGCTTCCACCAAGGTCAGTGCCGACGCCAATGACCGACCCTGCAGCTCCAACAATTGCACCCTCACCAGATGAACTTCCACCAGGGTTGCGTGCCAAGTCGTACGGGTTGAATGTGCGGCCGTATACCCTGTTGTCGCTCTCGCCTGTCATCAGCGCTTCGCAGATATTGGTGACACCAAGGATAATGAAGCCAGCGTCGATTAGCTTTTGTGCACGTACAGAGTGCTCTTGTGCTGGGCTATACGTTCCAGAGGTTCGCCATACCAGCCCGTACGTGTTTGGCATGCCCTGTACTGCAATGCTCTCCTTGACTGTAATTGGCACACCCCAGAACGGCTTCTCCTGCGCGTTGTGTCCATTCGGCAGTCCACCCTTGGCAACGAGCCTATCAACGTCGCGCGCTTCCAGGATTGCAGTCTCAAAGCGGCTGGCAACCACCGCATTGATAAGCGGATTCACTTTTTGGATGCGTCTGATGTAAGCCTTCACCACTGCCTCGGAGGAAAGTTCGCCCGCTCTGATGCGGCGTGCCAGCTCGGTTGCAGATACAAGCAGCAATGGGTCGTAGCTGTCAAGCGAGGTCCATGGGTTCTCCGAGAGCTTTTTTGCCTGCCGTATCTTGCGTGGTATCCCAGTTGCCACGTGGATATAGAAGAACACAAATGTTCGGAGCGGCGCCCAGAAGAGTACCTGGATAGGCCGTAGAATCAGAGTGCCGATAACAAACGCAAGGATGCTCATGAGTAGACGTACGGGTGTATAATAAATATTTAGGACAAGAGGCCAGGAGAGAAAGAAGCAAAGAGCAGCACCTTGCAGCGCAGTCCTATCCTGCAGAAGTAGCTCTAATGCGAGTCTTGCTTTGAGTGACGGATGCATTCGAAATAGGCAATAGTGAGTTTGGCGGAGTCCCGTCCAGGATTTTCATGCCAATTTGCTGAGCTTCATTTACCACTGCATTCTGAAATGCAGGTTGACAGGTTTGCGATTGGCGCTTTTCTTTTTGCAAACCACGGCTAATTTTGGCTTTCCAAGGCGAGTGTTTAAAGGGAAACATGCCCATGTCTTTTCAATGGGCATAGAGATCCTCGGTCTCATTCTCTGCAATGGGCACACCGAAACGACGGGGTGGGACCCATCCGCCGAATCCCTTCTCGAGCTGAAGCGCCACTGCAATGGTCTTCAGATCCTCGTGTTTGCGCGCAACGACTTGAACACCAATTGGCAAACCGTCCTTGCTGAGGCCAATTGGAACCTGGGTAACGGGGAATCCAAGGCCATTAAACACGCTAGTGTAGTTGACATTAGAAGGGTTGAAGTATGACGTGCCATGCGGCTGGGTGGTCAGCGGATGCGGCGGGAAGATCAAGACCCCATTCTCACCAAGCAGCTCATGGAATTCTTCACGTAGCTGGTTCCAGAATGGAAGAACGTCGTCACGAGTGCGCTTCCCACCAAGTGCATAGAAGAAACCAAGCATGATGCTGTTGAAGGTGTGCTTGGAGCGACCGAAAATGAATGGAATGAGCTCCTTCTTGTAGTTGAAGGGCGGCAGTCCCTCGCCGCCAAGGGTCTCAGATGGCGCAGGTTCGCCGGTGAAGATCATTGGACCAAAGTTCTTGGACGACAAGGCGATTTGGCCAGGTGCCTTGGCAAAGGCGACGTTCTCCTTGCCAACAACCTGCTGGCCGAGATAGTTGGCAACATTCACGACAGCCTGACGAAGCTCGGGATCTACCTTGCTAATGGCGATTTGCCAGCCAAATCCATCAGGAATAGCAACCACACGGAGCTTGGTGAGATCAACAGACCTGGGGTCGCCGATATCGCGACCGATCAGCGCCGAAACAAATGGCGCAATATCCTCAGCATAGCGGCAGATCGGACCACTGGTAGCACAGACAGCCTTGCCTTTGGTCCTAGGCGACAAAAAGTGAGGTGGCTCGGCAGGAATCCACTCAGATGTGGTCTTGTGGCCGAACGATCCACAGAAATATGCGGGAAGACGAATACTGCCGCCGATGTCAGTTCCAATACCAATGACCGAGCCAGCAGCACCGACAATAGCACCCTCCCCAGACGAGCTACCTCCAGGAGTACGGCCCAAGTCGTACGGGTTGAGGCAACGGCCGTAGACTGTGGTGTTTGACTCCCAAGACATGAGCAGCTCAGGGTTGTTGGTGACACCAAGAATGATAAATCCAGCACCGGTGAGGTTCACTGTACGTGGCGAATTGTATGGTGCCGGACTCCACTTGGTGTTTACGCGCCATGCGAGACCAAATGTGTTTGGCAAGCCCTTAACCGCAATGCACTCCTTGATGGTAACAGGCACGCCGAGGAACGGCTTGTTCTTGATGCTGAACTCCTCAGGAATGTTGCCGCTGGCAATGATTCTGTCAACTTTGCGAGCCTCCTCTAGCGCCTGCTCGTACCGGTCAGCGACCACAGCATTGAGGAACGGATTGACCTTCTCGATGCGGTTGATGTAGGTGAGGAGCACTTGCTCGGACGTCAGCTTGCCGGCGCGGATGCGGCGTGCCAGCTCGGTTGCTGAGAGCAGCAGGAGCGGGTCGTAGCTGTCCAGTGAAGTCTCCGGGTTCCTGGCCAGCTTCCTTGCCTCGCGCTTCTTCTTGGGGATTCCGTCGTAGACACTGATGTACCAGAACGCCAGTTTCCGCCACGGTGCCCAGAAGAGGATCTGGATGGGACGGAGGATAATGTAGGAGACGATGCGACTAGTGATGGCCATTGTTGGGATGAAGGAATGCGTGGGCTCGTAGTGACTAGTGCTTCTGTTGCCGTTCACAAGACCTTATATAGCTACCGCGGAATCCACTGCAGCCCTCGGGGTTCATGTTTTCCTGCAACAGTATAACAGGCTTGCTTGTTGGACATGGTAGCAAACAGTCTGTGCCATCACTTGCCGTGCATATTACAGGATTGTCCTTCAGTTCCATGGCAGGCAGGATCAGCGTGGGCAATGTCGCTGCGTCCATTGCACGATGGATTATGTTATGCCGCTGGTTGATGGCGACATTGGAGAAATTGCGCGATACCCAAGCCTTGGGGATTAGCGCCATTGCTTTTTGCCAAATATCTATGGCATCCTTGGGAACGCTACCTACTCGCCAACGGCGGCGGAATTCGATCGGTGTTAAGATTGGCAAATTCACCGGATTCAGAGCATCTTCATGCGGAGGGTCGCCCAGCCGAGCTCACTAGATGCAGCCCAAGTAAGCTTGCAGCTCACATCAATCCCACAGAACATCCCAAATGGTGCAGCGGCGCTCATCCATTAAAGGCCTTTTCCAGCTGCAATGTCACTGCAATTGACATGGGATCCTGTCCCCTTCTGGCAGCAGCCAGGAGTCCGAGCTGCATTCATCCCAGCTCAACCCCCAGAAGCATCTGCGTTACAACAAAGCCAAGCAAGTTGAAAATGGCTGCATAAATGAAATCAGCGATGCTAAAGTGCGCTACTCCGTGCCGGTCAGCCCTTGGCATGGCTTCCACCAATATTGGTGTCATTTGAATCGGTCTTCAGCTGCGTTTGCATAAAACTCTATGGATGCCCTATATATGCAGGCGGCTGAGCAATAGCCGGCTATGCCAAATTGCTGCTGCGAAGTAATAAAACACAGGCATGAGATCCGAATGTATGGCGGCATATAGAGAGAGAAATAGAACGCTTCAACACAACAAAGAAAGAAAAACGGACTAAAACATAGCTAACAGACCGACATATTCTCTTTCTAGAACGGCAGCACAGTGGAGCCCAGGACCTGGCGCTCGGCAAAGTCGCCAATCGGACCCAGCTTAAAGAAGGTCAGGGTGTCGGTGTCCTTCCAGGCACGGAACATGCACAGGACGGCAGCGAAAAAGCCCGCCAGGTGGATGAAGCCGGCGACGGGCGGAATCCAGAACAGCAGCAAGGAGCCCAGAGTGACGAGCAATGACAGGATGATGGACTGCCAGGCGTGCAGGCGCACGTAGGTGTTGCGCTTCTCCAGAATCACAATGACGATGCCGCTGAGCAGGCCCAGCAGGTAGCTCAGTGGTGCCAGGATCTGCGGGTGGATCGGAATTGAGGTCTCGTAGCCGACGCTGTCGTTGTCGGCTGAGCGCGGGGGAATTACCTCGGCTTCCACGCCAATGTTCCCATCGCCAACAGATTCGTATGCGTGCTCAGGCATTCTAAGGAGGAAAGTAGTAATAGACGGGAGGGATGTTTCCAAGAACAAAACAAAGGGGGTGGGAGTTAAATAAAGAAGCAAAATTGCAAGGGAGACGAGGCTTGCTATATAAGACGCGGCCGTGCGCGGAGGAAGGCCAATGCCCAGAGATCTTGGCGCTGTGGGCAGGCCAAACATGTGGCCTGGTTTTTCTTCTCCTAACCCGCTCTGTGACGTCGTCCAGTCAGCGCAGAAATCAATCAAGCGATCTGCAGGGCGGATCAGTGGTTGCTGCGCATGTCTCCAAATTTTGGCAGCTTCCAAAAGCACAGGTGCTGGCGGGCGGGAGGTTTCCAGGCTTGCTTCAGCTAGTCGATTATATTTGCACTGTTTGATAATTATTAATGGCTAACAAGAAATACACGCGGCTATCCGACACTACGTTCCGGTTATCGCAGCACCCGCCAACCAGCCAGCGGACGCGTAAGTGTGAGGACCTGCGACTTCACGTCAGGCACTTAGAAATTCCACCAGCTAAATGAGCTGTTACCTTCTTGTAGCACGGCGGAAGATGTAGGTTAGCCATGGGCAAAAACAGGTGCTCGTGTGTTGGCATGTTTGTTTATTGCTAAAAACGACCTTGGGCGTGTTTTGTGTAGAGGCAGCCGCACAGAGTCAATTGAAGACGACGAGATGACAGGGCATTTGGCAGCGTCGGAGACACGGGGGCTGCTTCCTGAGAGCATCGAGACGGCGAGTGAGAAGTACAACAGCGAGTCAGTCGATTCATTTGGGTCGCAGATGAGCCAGTCGAGCTCGTTTGTGAGCATGGGCACGCCACCATCAAGCATGCGGCCCAAGGTCGGGGCATCGGCAGCACTACAGCACACGCCGCCAGCACGGGTGCCGTTATCGGCGGTTTCCGGGAGAGCATTCAGCACGCCGCCGCAGCAGAGCCGCGGGATGCTAGCGATGACACCCCTGTCGCAGTGGTCGTCGCTGACGCCATCGCAGCCCACATCGACATGGCGGCCGGTGACTCTGGCGCTGCATTCCAGTCTACTGACACCCAAAAGCGCACCGGAGCGGCGCACGCTGACCAGCCAGCGGCCGGCAGCAGTGCCACAGACAGCAAGCATCCTGCGGCTGCAGGATCTGCCAGGGCCGTCTGGGAGAGGAGGTACAGACGCCGACGAAGCGCATAAGGCGGGATACGCGGGCTATGGCCAAAATGCAGTCGGCAGTGGGCTTGTGCAATTCAGAGTTCTGCATGTGGTGGCATCGGCTGACGTCGGGGGACGGCATGAGCGCGTTGCTGGGGCAGCGGCCGCAGGCAGAGCTGCGGGTGCGGGTGGGCCGGACCCAGGTACTAATGCCGCACTTGGTGTGTGCGGGGGCGGAGGTGCTGGAGTGCCGGGACGGGCGGGTCGCGCAAGGGCAGCGGATCCATGTGCTGTTGTCGTTTGCAGTGTGTTTGGATGCGGTGCCACAGGTGGGCGCGCGGATGCTGGCGCGGCTGAAGGGACTGGCGGCAGATCCGGAGGATGCGCTAGCAGACGAGTACGTGGATGTGGCGGTGTTTGCCCCGTGGACGGTTGAGGGAAGCGGGGCGCGGCAGAGCCTGTTTGCGTCGCGCTTCCAGGTAATGGCATAGCAAAATCAAAGCAATCAAATCACTGATTTGGGGCCTTTACAGCTGGCCAGAGCGCAGCTGACACAAGCAGCGGCTCTATCTTTTCTTGAAGACTATTGTAATTCTCGCAACTTGCATTTGACAATGTTCCGCTCGGTTCAACGCATTGGCCTCCCCGTGGGGCGGCAGACAGCAGCGCGCTGGTACAGTGCACCGACAGTGACGATCAACGCGCGCCTGAAGGCGGATCTGAAGCTGTCGATGCGGGCCAAGGAGAAGCAGCGCACGACGGTGATCAAGGGCGTGCTGTCAGACATCCTGTATGCGGAGAAGAACCCGCAGTCGCAGACGTTCTCGCGGGACTCGGACGAGGACGTGGCATTGCTGATCCAGCGCGCAATCAAGCAGCGCAAGGAGTCGATCAAGCAGTACACAGACGGCGGCCGCGCTGATCTGGCAACGGCGGAGCAGGCGGAGGTGGAAATTCTGGGACAGTATCTGCCTGCACAGCTTTCCGAGGAGGACATTGAGCGGCGCGTCAAGGAGACGGTGGAGCGGCTGGGTGTCAGCGGCATCAAGGCCATGGGCCAGGTCATGAAGGAGGTGGCCATTTCGGCGGCGGAGGCACCCAAAAGCAAGGTTGCGGCGGCGGTCAAGAAGGCCCTTGGCGCTTAGTCTTTTTTCAGTTGGGTCAAAAATTTCATAATCATCTACACCGTCCACGTAACCATTTCTCCTCTCCGGTAAACTCCCCTATCTTGCGGCTTTTTTTTGTATAATTTCATAGATTCAGGCTATCTTTCCTAGAATGTCGGCCTTGCTGAAAGCAACAGGCAGACTGGCGGCTGGTCGCATGGGCGGGTTCAACCGGCAGCTGCTGGGCATGTGCGGCAGCATGCGGTACAAGTCGACCACCTTGCGGCAGACGGAGACGTCAAAGGACGGACACACAACGACCACGACGCTGGCCAACGGTCTGCGGATCACGTCAGAGCACAACCCGGGGCACTTCACGGCGCTGGGCGTATACGTGGACGCTGGGTCGCGCTACGAGGATGGGGCGACGGCTGGCTACGCACACCTGATGGATCGGCTGGCGTTCCGCAACTCGGCGCAGTTTACCAGCAGCGCAGCGATGGCGGCAATAGAGAAGCTGGGCGGCAGCATCATGAGCTCGTCGACGCGCGAGTGCATCATGTACCAGGCAGCCGTGTTCCCGCAGGACGCCGGCCTGGCCATGCAGCTGCTGGCAGACACGACTTTACGCCCGCGCGTGCTGCCCGAGGACATTGAGGAACTGCAGGCCACAGTGCCCTGGGAGCTGCAGGATGTGGCCAGCAAGCCCGAGATGTTTTTGCCCGAGAAGCTCCACGAGACCGCCTTCCAAGCCGGCACCCTGGGCAATCCGCTGCTGTGTCCGCCCATGCAGCTGGCCCAGGCGACGCCCGAGCGCCTGGCCAAGTACCATAGCAGATGGTACCGCCCCGAGCGCATGGTTGTGGCCGCCGTGGGTATGGAGCACGAGGAGCTGGTGCGTCTGTGCGATGCCAATGGGTTCGCCGATCTGCCACGCACCGAGCCGCAGCAGAAGCAGAAGGAGCCGTGGATCGCCGTGCCCAATGGCCAGGCGGTGTATACGGGCGGTACGTGGTTTGAGTCCAAGCCCGACATGGAGTTCACCCAGGTGTATCTGGGCTTCCAGAGCGCCGGGATCGCCGACGAGCAGCAGCTGTACGCGTATGCCGTGCTGCAGATGCTTCTGGGCGGCGGCGGGTCGTTCTCAGCGGGCGGGCCGGGCAAGGGCATGTACTCGCGCCTGTACACGCGTGTGCTGAACCAGCACGCGTGGATCGAGTCCTGCATGGCCTTCCACCACTGCTACTCGGATTCTGGTCTGTTTGGCATCTCGGCGTCCTGCGGCCCGCGCAACGAGCATGCGCTACTCGACGTCATCGCCACTGAGATTGAAGCTGTGGCGTCGGGCCGCACCACTATGCGCCGTCCGTTCGCGTCGCAGGAGGGCGCGTCCAAGCTCGAGGTGCGTCGCGCCAAGAACCAGCTCAAGAGCAACCTGCTGATGAACCTCGAGAGCCGCATGGTGCAGCTCGAGGATCTTGCGCGCCAGATCCAGGTTGCGGGCAAGAAGATCCCGGCTGGCGAAATGGTTGAGCGCATCGAGGCAATTACCCCGAGGGACGTCGCCACGGCCGCTGCACGCTTGCTGGAGAGCCCGGCCACTCTGCTGGCCCAGGGCTTCGTCGACGGCATCAAGCAGTTCTACCCGCAGGTCGCCCAGCACCACGGCATCAAAATCTGAATCCATAAACCTCGCAGCTTCCGGTTCAGGGGGATGGGAGAGAGAATCCTCGGTTTTTTTCCCACGTCCTTCGTGCCTTGTCCAAATAAATTCTCTCCCATGCTGTTACTGCTAGCCAGAGCCCAGATGCACCACGCTCTCTTCCACATATCATCTCTCCACACCTGTCGCACAGCAATGCTCCAGAAACTGACATCTGATGAGCGCACGACGCTGCTCGCCCCGCTGCTTGCCTCCGGCTGGTCTCTGGTCGACGGCCGCGATGCCATCCACAAGAAACTGGTCTTCAATGACTTCAGCACCGCCTTCGCCTTCATGACCTCCGGTGGCCTTGACTGCCGAGAAAATGGACCACCACCCCGAGTGGTTCAACGTCTACAACCGCGTCGAAATCACCCTGGCCACCCACGACTGCCAGGGTCTCTCCAAGCGCGACGTCAAGCTAGCCACGCAGCATCGACACGGTCGCCGGCAAACTCCAGTGAATTCAATAAATAATTTATTTCAAAAGGCTTGCTTTTGTAGCGTCTTTGCTGGAACGGACCAATTCTGCCTGCTGCGTCACCAGCTCCAGAAGCCGCGCGAGCTCCGGATCACATGCCGACTGGTCCATCAGTGCTGCGTGCTTCATGATGCTGTCCAGGTCTGCCAGGCTAGCCGCCAGATGCTCGTCGCCTGGCTCGATTGCTAGCCGGTGCGCTGGCCCTGCTGTGCCGACTGGCTGCCAGGGGAGCGCCGAGGGCGGGAGGACCTTGGTGCGTTGCGAAAGCAGTGGCACTGGTGCGCGCCAGATCCCGGACGGTCCTGTGCTCCAGCCCGGCTGATCACGCCTATGATGTTGGTCTGACATGTACCTCCAATGCCAATATACTGCGCTCTTTCGCAAGCTATTTTTTAATTAGTACTGGAAGAAACTGCGCTGAAGAGTCAAAAAGAAAGAAGAGAGCCCGGCCAAATATTGCTTCTACGTTTGCATCCGCAGACTCCACCCGGCTCTTTCCCTTTCAAGGCTGCTGCGGTATCGCCTTTATCCCATTTCAACATTCACTCCATCCAAGCCTCACTCCAAGTAGCGCCCCGATGTACACAGATCATACTTGGGAAGGGACACCCTGTAGCCGTTCCATTCAAGAAAATAGGGTCTCTTTACTGTCCAGCCGCATCCGCGCCGGCCGCCGGCTGTTGCTGCTGCTGGAACCGCATGCGGGCCTGAGCAAACAGCAGCTCCTGGCTGCGCAAAAGCTCCTCCTCGCTCATGCCGTGGTTCTTCATCTTGGAGCTCTTCCGCCCCCGGTCCTTGCTCTGCTGCACCCGGTGCTCCTCGTACGCCTCCTGCACCTCGCCCACGTACTTTTCGAACCCAAGCTCCTTGAGCGCCTGCAGAACGTGCTCAGCCGCGATTGTCTTCTTCGCCTCCTTCTCGCAGATCTCGTTGGACTCGGATGCGATCAGGTGGATGAACTCGTTGCAGCAGTCGATCAAAAGGTCCCGCGTGTCCTTGGCGCACGTTATGTCAGAGGGCAGCATTTCGCCAATGAGCTTGTACACCGTCGCTACACTTGCAGGCCTTTTTCCAAAGTTAGTAGGTGGGGCATATGGCTTGGCTTATGCTCCTCGTGTCAGACACGCTGCTGCATGTTGTCCTTACCCCGGGGCAGCGACAGCTCGTCGTCGTTCGCTGGTCCGCCTTCAAAGTCTGACATTATGTGTGAATGTAAATAAAACGCGTAGAAAGGTAAATAAAAAGTTACAGAAAAACGTGCAATTCGAGCCTCAGGCAGCTTTGTCTTGTTACCGCCAAAAAGACAGCAGTGGTCGCATGGGTTGTGGGTTTGTGTTTAAGAAATAATCTAATAATTCGGGATTTACTCAAGGATTTTACTGGGTCAGGGCTGCATGGATCTGCTCCTTTTGGCTGTCGGTCAGCGATGACGGGAAGTTGACCTTGTAGTTGATAACAAGCTTGCCGAACCTGCCCTGGCAGCTTTGAAATGGGCATGCCGTAGCCGTCCATCTGGCTGATCTGCCCCGGGCGGACCACCATCTTGTTGCTGACCATAAACTTCTTGCCGTCCAGCTTGGTCACGGGCCGCTTGAACCCGCACAGGGCCTCGTCGAGCGACAGCTCCATGTCCATTTTCAGATTGTCGCCGTCGCGCTTATACACGGCGTGGGGCTTGGCCTCGACCACAAACACAATGTCCTGGGCGCCGTGGCCATAGTTGTCGCCCTCGCCCGAGAACCGCACCTTGGTCCCAGCCTTCCACCCAGGCTTGATGTCGATCTGCAGAATCTTCTCTGACGACACCAGCTGCCCAGACGCGCGGTCCAGCGTGCGCCGCGTCACCTTCAGCTTCTTGGTGCACCCGTTGTAAAGCTCCTCCAGTGTGCACGCCAGAGGCCGCGTCACTTCCCTTGTCCGTCCCCCAAAGCCGCCGCCCATATCGTCGTCCACGTCCATTGCGTGGCCACCGCGGCCCCGATGCGTGTGCACGCCGTGGCCTCCCATGCCGCCCATGCCGCCCATGCCGCCCAGCCCGCTGAACAGCTGCGCGAATATGTCCTCGGGGTTCGATGGCGTGAATCCGCCGAATCCGCCGCCGGGCCCGCCTGATGTGAAATGGAATGACTGGCCGCCGCCGCCGCCCATGCCGCCGAACCCGCCCGGGAACCCACCGGCGCCACCACCGCCCATGCCGCCCTTCAGGCCCTCCTCGCCGTACTGGTCGTATACTGCGCGCTTGTTTTTGTCCGACAGCGCCTCGAAGGCCTCTGAGATGTCCTTGAACTTTTGCTCTGCCGTGGCCTTGTCGCCCTGATGCCGATCAGGGATGCCATTTCAGCGCCTGCTTGCGGTATGCCTTTTTCAGCGCATCCTCGTCGGCGTCCTTGCTGACCCCGAGAATAGCATAGTAGTCCTTGCCCATCGCGTTCTATGTTGGAGTGAAAAAGAAAAGAAAAGAAAAGAAAAGCGGTTTATGGAGAAAACAAAAAGTTGAATAGAGAAGAGCTTTGCGTTGCGCGCCCAGCAGGCCTAGCGCCCTTTTATCGGGAAAAGGATCTAGACGCTTCTACGATCACACACGTGACTTTCTCGCACGCGCTGGATCGCTTCGCGCATATTGCATACTGCATACACAGATCATGTACCACAAAGCGAGTCCCGCACCACAGCGTTTCCGGCCAGATACGGGTATGGGTGAAATAGTTATATCTGAATTGACGAGAAATAAAGGAGAAAATGCGATATATAAAATGCGGGATCTCATCACAGCACTACATGCGCGATCACAGCCGCTGCCATGGCCGCCGCCGCTGCCGTCCCGGCCCCAGCCCGACGCAGCCGACGGCTTTTTGTCGCCGACCGGTTTCCTTGACAAACTGGCACATGCGCGGCTCGTCCCTTCTATGCAGACTCCTGAAGTTGAAGAAATTCGGATTGCGCGACTCCTGGAACAGCCCGTCGAGCGCGTCGTCGCTGGGTGCGCAGTCCTTGGCGACCAGCCCGTCGTCGGACTGCTGGATAAAGTCTTTGACGTACCCAATCAGCTCGTTCTTGTAGTCAAAACCGATTTCCCAAATCATGACGCCTGCGAGCCCGCGCCGCAACGTGTAGTCCATCTTGACTCCCAGCGAGTCCTCATCGTCGTATCCGATATACAGGCTGTCCGATTTGCGGAACAGCCACGGTGTCATCGTGTAGTTGTCCCAGGCGCGCACCCACCCAGCACGTGCCGTACGCCCATCCGACAGCGCTCCGCCTGCTGGATCGCGCAGGTCCTTCCACGTCCATGACCCCGCGATGTCGCTGACCGGCCCGACCAGCGTCTTGTGGTCGTCGATCGGCACATACTGGTTGGTCAGGATTCTGGCTCATATCGGCCGTGACTATGGACGAGTGGCCGTAAAATGGCAGCCCGGCCACTAGCTTGCTGGCGGGCCAGCCGGCGGCCAGCCAGGCATCGGTGGTGTTGCGGAACGAGCCCTGGAAAAACGGCACGTCGATGAAACGGCGAGTTGGGTGCCGAGTAGTCTGCCCAGTTGCCAAAGTAGTCGTACGTCATCACCAGCGCGTAGTCTACCGCCTCGTAGAACGGCTTGTAGTCCATTGTTGGCACATTGGGCCCTAGGAACGGGTGGTTATACAGCGTGATCGTCAGAAGCTTCTTGCCCTTGCCAAACTTGACATCCATGCCCTTGCGGATCCCCTGCAGCTGCCGTGAGCAGATTCTGTGCCTCCTGCAGGTTCTCCGGGAACTCAAAGTCGCAGTCAATTCCGTCCAGCTTGTACGAGTCAACAAAATCCACTGCATTGCTGACAAACGCCGACAGCGTCGCCGGTGTGCTCAGCGCTTTGGCCAGGGTTACTGAAAAGTTGCCTTGCCCGCCCACTGCAACCAGCATCTTGACGTTGTTCTTCTGCCCGTCTGCAATCACCGCCCGTGCGTGCTGCTCGCTGGTCATTGTTGTGTTGACCACCCCGCCCTCAAATGTAATGTTGCCTTTTTGGCTGGCAAATGCAAATGCAATGTTGGCGATGCGTCATCGAGTCCCAGGGAATCTCCACTTGGCGCTGCACAGGGATGTATCCGAGAACTACCCGCCCGTCCTTGTACCCGTTCGCTGTGGCGGCAGCTGCCATGTTGCTGGTAACAAGCAGCGCTGACACAATGGCCAGTGCTTTGCATGCGTATTGTAGAAGCATTTCTCAGATGGGTGTTATGTAGTCTTGTGCTGCCACTCCTATTTGACGTAGTTGTATTTTAGTCGCTCGGAAGAAACAGATGCAATGGATACAAAGCAAAAAATTGCAAAGAAACCAGGAAAGAGGACAGAATATGTCGAGAGGAGGAATGTCTACTCGTAGAATGTCAGTATCAGGACCGAGCAGTGAAATGCTGCCATGGCAGCATTTTATATCCTCCTACAAAGCCAGGAATTTCCTCCAGGATAAGCTGGGTGGAAATAGTATCCTGTAGCCAGCGGCAGATGCAGTAGGTGTATTTTTGGACATTTGGTCCCAACACACTGCCCTCCGCTGCTCCGCCTGTCGTCTGACCTGAGCACGCGGTGGCTCTAGAATAAATTTTTGCCGCTCCCTACCATACCATGGCCACTATGGCGCTGGCACAATGGAGCAGTTCTCCACAAAAAGATGTGTAGTCGGGAATGCTCAACAAGCTGCGGTGTCCCGAGGGAATGTACAAAGCAGCAGCGACATTTTTCGCCTGGATTTTGAATGACGACAGGCGTGCCGCGGGGGAGAGAGGAGAACACGACTAGCGCCACTCAGCTGACATACCTGCGACCTGCTGATTTTGGCGTATTTGACAGCCCCCCCTCATGCACTATCGCCATGATTTCTGTGTTGCTTCCTGACCGTTGCCTCACACCCGCACAGACGGACATCAGCGAAATGATGCAATAGAGTGGAACTCACCTGTAACAAGTATATCTCTCAGCTCACCTGTGGCCGCAGATGTCTTCTAATATTAGTGTCGGCGTACCTCCAAGCCTATGTATAGCTTGTTTGACTGAATCCCAATGAAGCGACCTAAATTTGGCTCGGACAGATTGGTGACGATGGGGAGAGACGATCCTCTGTAATATGAGGTATCTTTAGAAAATAGCTTAGAGCGATGATTAATGAGAATCTCTAGAAAATAAGAGACAGGGAATTGCACGAGGTGGAGGCAGGAAAGGCAGAGGAACTACGGCCTTTTAAAATAGTGCAGCGACCAGAGACATCCCTGAGAGCTTCCGCTCTGGCCGCATAAGCGCCTGGGGGAAGCGCTTGCTATTTCATCAGCAGGATGCGAAGTGAAGAAAAAAACCCTATACACAACGACTACATATTTTCCGCTTGTCGATTCCAGACATGTCAGCGATTTTTCTGTCTCCACTTTCTAACCACCCAATGGGCAAGAGGCTGGCGTACCAAGAGAGTCCCACCGGTCTCCGTTTTGTATGCGCGGATTGTACCCTGCACACTTGGGCCGCCCCACCCCATGTTGGGACAACAATGTCTGTGTTTTTGGTGGCTGTTTAAAAATGCTGTTCACATACCCACCGCAGGATGGCTGACGGGGTAGTGGTGGCGAAAGGGAAAAAGGGATGAGAGACAACCCCTTCCCAACAATCCGCGTAGAATGGCCTCCTCTTGGCATAAAGGGCAGGTATATATCTCTTTATGCTCTGGACAAGTGAAGGCATTCCTCCTTCAGTGTCTTGCAAAAAACGAGTGTGCGAAATGGAGATGGCAGACAAAGCGCATGTGCAACACCGACCCTCTGCGCACAGACAAACAAACCCATTGCACGAAGCAGCATGAGAAACGTTGAGTTTTTATTCTCAAGCATACATATTGGAAAAGTAGTATTCACATTTTCTGCCAATAGCAGCCATACTGGCCTTCATCTAATGCAGGGCAGCTAGCAGCAGGAGAGAAATGGCCGGCACCAACACCGACACCCCACTGCGGCAGGCGGAGTTCGTGTTCGGCCCATTGTGCGAGCTCGGCGAGCCCTTGCTGCCGTGAGAACTGGTATACTTCCCGACGTCCTCGCTGCTTGACTCGTCGCCAAACTCCGAGGACGCCGTTTCCTCATAAGCAGCCTTGGCCAAGCGGCGGCACGCAGCTGTGTACTCATCGACAACCGCGCCTAGCTCGCCCTTGTAGTCGTAGTTGATCATCCACACCATGGCACCTGCCAGTCCTTTCTCGATCATGTGCTGGGTCTTGATGGTGATCGAGTCGGCGTCGTCATAGCCAATATAGGTCCTGGAGACGTTGTGCAGCAGCCATGGCGTCATGGTTGTATTGTCCCACGTACGCACCCACCCCTGGTTGGCGCGGGCAGGCTCCTTGAGTGCGCCGTCGGTCGGATCGCGCAGGTCCAACCACGTCCATGCGCCATCGATCTTGCTAACGGGTCCGCCGGGAGGCGCAGCCTTGGAGTTTTGCATAAACTGCGTGCCGTTAGATGACTCGACAATGGCAGTCCTGCCATAGTAGGGCAGTCCAGCCACAAGCCGGTCGGCGCTCCATCCAGCATCGAGCCAGGCGGAAATGGCTGACGTGAACGACAGCCCAGGGTAACCCGGGATGTCGTAGAACGGCGAGTTTGGTGCTGTGATGTCGGCCCAGCTGCCAAAAAAGTCGTACGCCATCAGCAGCCCGTAGTCTACAATGTCGGAGAACATGCTGGCATCCACTTTGGGCGCGCTCGGCCCGAACTTGCCATCCGTCGAGTATAGCGTCATGGTGAGCTCCTTGGCACGGTCGCCGAATTTGGCATCAAGCGCCTGCCGCTGGCCGCGAAGCGCCAAATATAGATCGTTGATCTGCTGGCCGCTGTTCGGGAACTCGAGGTCATAGTCTAATGCCATCCAGGTCGTATGTGCCGACTGTGTCAGTTACTGACGCCACAAGGTTGGCGCGCGTCTTGTTGTTGCTTAGCACATTGGCCAGGATTGCCGACGGGTCGCCAGAACCACCAATGGAGGCAATCACTCGCACGCCGTGCTGGTGTGCCGTGCCCACCGCAAGCTTCACGTCACCAGCACCGCTGACCACGTTGCCGCCGGCATCGACATTGAAGAAGGCAAGGACCAGGTGTGTCAGCGAGTCCCACGGGATGGTGTCGACCTTGATGCCCTGGGCGTACGTGTAACCGAAGACGACGGTGTTGTTAAGAATGCCGCTGCTGATAACAGGCTCAGGCACATCCTCGATGCGCATACCAGCCAGTCGGTTGGTGAGCCCCAGCGTCGTAGCGAACTGCATCAATGAACACCAAGGCGCTGGGCAGGAATCGGGATGCAATCATTGCACTTGTGATTTTTGGTTGTATGTGGTATACCAACGAGAGGGATATTTACAAAATGGACTGTGAGTCTGAAGCAAGCCTGTAAGTGCGCCTGTCTGGGGAGGGTAGTCTGATGTATAAGGTGTGTATGTGACAGCTCATCCTCCAGCAGGGTCTGTGGTGGCATGGATGGGAACTTATATTTGTAATCGGGGGTTGTCAGCTTTGGTTCAGGCAGCCTTGCACAGCCATCCGCGCGCTAGACACTCCAAATTGGGCATATACCGAAAAAGCATGCAGAAATCACACCTCGCACGCCATGATGTCTAGCACAATGGCCGTAGCTAGACAACGGCTATAGAGGGCCGGGGGATTTTCGTCTCCTTTCCTGAACACCTACATGTCCAATTTCCTGTGGCACTGTTTGTTTTGGTAGCTTCTTAAGCTTGAGGGCCAGAGCAGCAAGCGACCATTTGAAGCCAGTTGTTCCAGTTGCCATCCCCTCGCAGTGATTTCTTGAATTGACTGAGAAGAAGGCCTCTTGCCAGGTGTATGCGAGCGACCATATGATACAGCTCCAAAAATAACCAACGTGTAGCTGGAGCTTAGGCAATGCAGGGGTGAAAAGGGAAATCAGCCGACTCCGCGCTGATGGTGGTGCTGTGTTTGTTCGAATGAACTGCTGGAGCCAATGTGTCCCTTGGATGTCTATTTCCTGGACGCTTCCATCTCTTGGAGCTTCCACACGCATGCATCAAAGACCGGTGACAAGGCAACACAAAGGTGCTTCATAAGCAACCTCTCACTCCCAACTTCCATATTTCCTCATTCAGCAGGGGCATCCATTCTAGTGCTAGTGCAGTACAGCTTCATATGCGCAAATTGATGTGCGCTACGTGCACGTTCAGCTTTGTCAACGACCACGAAAGCTGCAATATCGCCGAGCGATTGTGTGCTGTGGAGAGCAGAGTCCAGCTGAGCGCGGAATTACATGGCACATTGTGCGGGGCAGTTCTTTGTCGTGTCTGGATTGTTTCTAGCATCTCCCATGTAGCGCCACTGTAGAAGGGTGATACTGCCAGGCAGTTGGTTGTATTGAAAAAGCACGCACAGAAATGTCTAGATGTTCGCCATCTTGAACGAGGGCTCAGCCCGGAACAGCAGAATCAGCAGCCTTGGCCTGGGCCTCGTCCAGCTCAGCAGCCGACTTGGCCAGATCGATCAGAGAAATCTCAGAGTAGCCCAGCGACTTCTTCAGGTACGGCACGATCTCGGCCAGCACATCAAGCTCGCTAAAGTGCAGCTGGCGGTCAAACGCCGACTCGCCGATCAGCAGCACGCGCTTCTTGATCTCCTGCGCAAACGGCATGACCTTCTTGTTCTTGAGCATACCCAGCTTGCCAAAGGCGCCCGGAATCTGCTTGTCGGCAAAGGTGCGCGTGGCCGGATCAAAGTGGTCCTGCAGCACAGCCATGACGCTGTCCTGCCACTCGGGGAACTCGGCGGCAACGTAGATGTCGAGGGTCTTGGGCTCGTTGGGGTTGAACTCGGCTGCCGGAGCAGCGCCCTTCTTGGGCTTCTTCTGCTTCTTGAGCATGTTGGTCTCTGCGTCGCGCACAGAGCGCACCAGCTTGCGGATGTACTCGCCAGTGGCCAGCATCTTGTGGTCGGCCTCAGCAGGCAGATCGGCGGGCCAGCGGGCGTCCAGCACGGTGGTCTGGTTGCCCAGGACATCGCGCCACACCTGCTCCGACCAGTGCGTGGTGATCGGGCTCAGCTGGATGATCTGGCGCACGATCCACTTGCGCACCAGGGTCGGGTGCATGCCCGAGGCCGCAGTGACCTCGCGGTACCAGTCACGGGAGATCTGGAAATCGTAGAAGCCGCTCTTCAGGGCATCACGGTACATCATCTCGTCGTACGCGACGCCAGTCTGCAGAGTCAGCTTGTCCATCTCGGCATCGAACACGCGATCGATGGTGGTCAGCGGCGAGCTGGCCGGACGCAGCGAGACTTCCTCGACCGTCACAGCCTGGTCGGGCGTCTTGTCGGACGCGACGAGGGCCTTCTGCGCGTCGGTGATCCACTCGAGCAGGGTGTACAGGCGCAGGATGGCGGCGTTGGCCGTCGACTCCTCAAAGTTGGCGTCCTCGATGCTGTCGCCAGCGTCGGCCAGGGCAAGGCGCGTGGCATCGGCACCGTAGCGCTCGACCTGACTCGCGCACGCTCAGAGTATTGCCAGTCGACTTGGACATCTTCTCGCCGTTCAGCAGCAGATGGCCGTTTGTACGGACTCCGCGCGGCCACTCGCTCTCGGGGAACAGCGCCGTGTGGATGTAGATCCAGAAGGTCAGATGGTTCTGGATCAGATCCTTGCCCGAGTTGCGCACGTCAACCGGGTACCAGTACAGGTACGAGCGGCGCAGCTTCTCGAGCTCGGCAGCCTTGGCATGGCCGGCCGGCAGGGGCCGACCGAGCAGGACGTAGTCCCAGGCAGCGTTGTCGATATCCTCGGGGGTGAGGCCCAGCGGACCCGGCTTGGTGCCATCCAGCGAGCGGTGCAGCAGGTGGGCAACCGTGTAGTACGACATGTAGATAGTCGAATCTGAGAGCGACTCGATCAGGTAGGTCGGGTCCCAGGGCACCTTGGAGCCCAGGCCGTAGGTACGCGCACAGGCCCACTTGTTGAGCCAGTCCAGGGTCAGCTCGAACTGGTGGCGGGTCTCGGCGCCAAACGTGTTCATGTTCTCCAGACACTTCTCGGCCTTGGCCTTCCACGACGCCTCTCCGTAGTCCAGGTACCACTGGTCGCACAGCGAAACAACGCACTCGTCGCCAGAACGCGACATGACCAGGCCCTCAGGCTCGGCATAGGCGAAGCCCTGGCCGTTGGCAATCAGCAGGTCGCGCACCTTGTTCTTGGCCTCCTGCACCGACTCGCCCTTGAAGTCGCCGACGGTCATTGTGCCGTTGTAGAAGCCCTCCTTGTACGCCGCCTCCTTGGCCTTGGCCAGCTGGTCCTTGTCCTTCTGCGACGAGATCTTCATCTGCTCGCACAGCGTGGGTGCCGACATCTCGCCATAGGCAGCGGTGGACAGCACGGGCACAGGCTCAAAGCCCTCGACCCACTCGGCCTTGATGCCGTAGTACTCCAGCTTCTTCTTCAGGTCGCGCAGGGCAGCAAAGTCGTCAGGCGAGTCCGACGGCACCGAGGTGACGACGCCAGTGCCCTTGGTGGCCAGCACATTCTCCATGGGCAGCACGTACACGCCGTCCTTGTAATGGCCCAGCGGGGCATCGACCTTGGTTCCGATGATATCGTTGCCGACAATCGAGCCCAGCTTGACGGTCTTGCCGTCCTCAGGCGACAGGCCCTGGAACGCCATGTTGCGTCGCAGAGCGGTCCGAGATCACAAAGACCTCGTCGGGGTTCTGCGACTGGAAGAAGCCGTACTCGAGCTTGGTTCCGACGAAGCAGTTGGTCTGGCCGTACATGGTCTCAGGGCGCAGCGTAGCAGCGACCAGGAACACCTTCTTGCCGGCCAGCTCGGGGATGGCCCTTGACGACGGCCTCGGCCTCGTCGCTCCAGTTCAGCACCTGCAGCTTGATGCCCGTGTACTCCTGCGAGCCAACACCCTCGCCGGACTGGCGGTCGTGGTCCATGCACGGCTGGCCATCCTTGGCACTCCAGATGGTGTAGCGCTTGCCGAACTTGATCTTGCCCAGCTCGTGCAGGCGCTCAAACTGCCACCGCGCAAACGAGTCGTAGTACGGGTTGTGGTCGGTGGTCAGGAAGGCGCGGCGCCAATCGATCTTGCAGCCAAGGGCGTTCAGATCGTCGATGGCGACGGGCGGGTAGTACTTGAGCCAGTGCTCGGTGTCGGCAAACTTGGCAATCTCCTCGTTCGACATGCCCTGCGCCTGCATGATCTGGAACTGGAACTTCTTGTCGCCAAACTTGGCCGCGGTCTTGGTCTTTTTGCTGTGGAATCCGCCACCGACCTCCGGCTTCTTCTCGCTGACCGACATGTCGTCGACCTTCTCCGACAGCTCGTCCTCCTGGGGGATGATGAAGTCGGGGCCGAACATCTCGAGCTTCGCGCGCGATCTTGTCAGCAGCAGCCTTGATCGGCATGCCCGTGACGTGGAAGCCGAACGGGAACAGGGCCCGCTTGCCCTTCAGGCGCTCCCAGCCAGTGGCGAACTCGATCTTGGACACCGAAAAGGCGTGGCCCAGGTGAAGGGCGCCGTTCATGTACGGATACGGGAAGGTGCCCATCCACTTTGGGTACTTGTCGTGCAGCTCCTCCGGCGCAACGCTGTCGTCCTCGGGCATGTCGATCTCAAAGACACGGCTCTCCTGCCAGTCCTTCTGCCACTTCTTCTCAAAGTCCATCAGCGTATCACGCTTGACCGTCTAATTACAAAAGCTGATTTTAGCTGCAAATGAAATATTTCTGCTGGTGCCCAAAGCCTGGCTGCTGTGTCTTTTTCGAATTCGTACCTTCTTGGCCTGGTCGTTCGCAGTCTCAGCCATTTTGGGTTGTTCCTCGTTCCGGATTTTGTATGCGGGCTAATAATAAGTGTAGATTTTGACGATGTGGAAGCAGAGAAGGGAATTATACTGCAGAACAAAAATTTTTAGTTGAGGCTCATCGGCGTTCTACAGGCTTGGGAGCGGTCCGTCCTTTATGCGTTTTACCAAAATCTGAAATTGGTGACTAATCATCATTGGCCCGGCAGATAAAATTAGATCCACGTGATGGGCTCAGTGATTTCTGAGGCTGCTGAGGATCGCGCCGAGCAGCCTGACCGATGTCTCGAGGTAGTCCCTGACCACAGGCGATGGCGGCGGTGCTCTGGACATGTGGCTGCGTAGTGAATCAGCAGTCTCGGCCAGGCTGCAGCATGCGTGATCTACCGCCAGGGTCAGCAGGCCAGGGAGCTGCAGCAGCAAGTCATCATCGTCAACAAGGGTGTCATTTACGGCAAAGTACGGTGCGTCAAATGTGACATTGCCGACTACCTCGGCACATTTGGATGACGGATCGTCATCAAGGCACGCCAGGCACATCGTGAGCTTGCTTGGTCTAGCCAGCCCTGTCGATGAGGAAGGGTCGGGGAGCGAGACTCGCGGCGTCAGCCCCAGCTCGGCAACCCACATCATCTTGACACGGACAAGCCCGTCGCTCCCATGAAGTCTGGGGAAATACGGCCACGCGTCATGCTTGTTGCCTTTTGGAACAAAGCCGTGGGCATACACCCATTCGGTGCTCGGGTTGTGGCCGTAGCAAAAGTGCAGCTCGACATATTGCTCGCCATCAACCTCCACGTGGTGGCTGGGGTCAATAGGCTGGTCGTTCTTGAGCACCGCGACTGATCCGTCAGGCTGCAATGCCCAGTATGCCGTCGGCTGTTCACTGTGGTTGAACATGTCCAGGAACGGCACCAGCGCGTGGTTGCATCCCTCATGGACATAGCCGTCCCCAGGAATCGCGCTGCCGTCTGGCGACTCCAGAAAGCTCTGCATCGATATGGCCCGTGACAGCACAATGAAGTTGGCCCATTTGAATGCGCCAAAGTCGACGGAACCGCCAATGCCGCTATCCTGCTTCCATGCCGAAAGCTCCCTCTCCACTAGCCCGTGCAGCACCTGCAGATGCCGGAGCTTGGCAGAGACGGCGGCTGCGACTGGCGTGTCGGCCAGAGCGTCCAGGTCATCTTCTGTCAGATAGAGTCCGTTGGATCCCTGCTGTGGCAGCGGCCTCCAGGTACCAGGCCCACTGCGATTCAGGTGCCCCTGGCTCGCTCGGTGACGAGGAACAGCGACAGCAGGGTTGCCTCGCTGGCCTGCGCCTCATCGAGCATAGCAACGCATCTGCAGACGATATCCGACTGGAGGCATGTGTTGGCCGTGAGGATCAGCGGACAGGGGATGGTCGCCAGTGGGCTTTTGCCCAGATCCTTGATTGCTGAGACAGGAGAATACACGCCGCGCCCACGACCAGCGGGCTCCAGCACCCGGATGTGCTTGCTCTTTGCGCCGGCCCTATCCAGAAACGATGCGGTAAACGGGTCGGCTGCCATTGCCAGCGCTGAAATAGACTAGTTTTATGTGGGAGTTGCTACAATGGCTGCGGGCCTGGTGCCAAAGGCAGCTCCCATTTGTTGTGGTGGAACAGCCCTCACTCGCCTTTGTGGGTTGGCGGCCATATATAAGCCGGACACGCCAGCCCGCCCAAACCAAAAAAAGCGCTTTTCTCGAAAATTTACTAATCCCTGTCTTTTTTCTCTCTCCCTGCCACCCAAGCCTAATTTTCGCTACTTGACATTTCTGTCGCCTTACATTCTGTACATTTCTCTCTTTTGTTGCCAGGTGCACTCTTGACACACTCTTGTTTTGCTTATTCAAGCTAGGAGCCTGTTGTTCCAGCTCTCCCCGCACTCTTTCTCTTGCTTCCTTTCACTATCCTCATTATTGACGGTTTGTAAGTGCTGAGTGCATTCGCAAGTTTCTTTGCGCATTCGGCAGGTGCAAACATAAGATTTTGTAACTGTGCCTCGTACACGCTCTCGCAGGCATCCCGTCTCCTCCAAGGCCACACCGACCCGAACATCAGGTCGTCGCTACGACACAGCAACCACTGCGCGTAGCACTGCAGCTGCCAAGGGCAAGAGTCTAGAACAGCAAGCAAGCGCAGTCGACGAAGAGCCGGCAGCGGCACAAAGCCACAGAGCCAGAATCAGCTGGGGGCGTCCGAGTAGCAGACACGCCCGCTGCCCAAGGCCAACAAAAGCAACAGACGCCCAGGAAGCGCAAGGAGCCGACTGTGACGGAATCAGCAGCCTATCGCAAGAAACTCCGCAGCGCATCGCTTACCGCGGATCAGGCAGATAGCACGTCAGCTCACCCCAAAACGGAGAGCGCCGAACCCAAGCAGCAGAGCATGAGCGGACTAAGTACCCCGAACCGCCAGGCAAAGGGCACCGGCTCCCCAGCCAGGTAGAGTATACCCCCTCTGGTGCTATGTTTCTTTTTTAGGCAACAATGCCAAACAGGAGCCGTTCCGGCATGTGGGCGCGGCCCATGATCTGGCAGCACTGCGACGCCTTGCATTTGCTCGTTAGTGCTACTGCCGACCCCCAGTGCTTTTAATTTCTTGGAAAGCCTGCCGCCCCAAGTCTGGTTGCGAACTCTGCCTGATATAGTGCTGTGCTACTTCTATTGCGTGGTACAATCATCGGTTTATGCTGCAGCCCTCGTTGTTGTTGTTTTGTTGTTCAGTTGAGCTAATGCCTTCAGTCTGCCCTCGTAGAACGCCACACGGGCATTTCATCTTCGCCCATGGCGGCAGCGACTCACCGCTGCCGCCGCTGATCGAGGTTGCTGGCGATGATTCTCCGGCCAGGGTCCCACTGGTCTCGCAAACCGAATCTCCCCTGGACAGTCCGTACACAGGCAATGCTATCGAGTCTGAGCCGTTCGGGCATCTCGGTCGAGGCATTTGGTAACGGTGACGACGACGACGACGCATCCCTTCACTCGGACGCCGAGCTCGGAATTGAGGTCATGGAAACCGACCACCACTTTGATGCTGGACGCTGATGTGGATAATCACGACCACATGGACACTGGTGATGAAGACGATGCAGCCGCCATCTCCCACCACCATGACTACGATGAGATGGATGAGGATGAGGATGAGGATGATGACGGCATCTTGTCAGGAAACTACCCCGAAGACAGCGATGAGCATGATGGCGATGATAACGGCGATGACGATGAAGATGACGACAGACACAGCCAGGGAGGCGACGAAGATGACGACGGCAGAGAAAATCCGGGACGATGATGTTGCGAGCCGGTTTGCTGAGATGCTAGCCGGACGTCAAGATATCCGTCGCAACCTGTTTGGCTTTCGATCTAGGCGCCATTTCAGGAATGGGTAACGCTCAGCGCTTCCGCCCTCTGGTCGCCACGCTGAAACGGTATGATGACCCAACCGAGCAGTTGGTGGCACTGCAGGAGATGGCCGAGCTGCTGTCGATATCGACCGAAGAGTCGCTTATCGGACTCAATCTGGGTGAGCTATGCCAGGTGCTGGTCAATCTGCTCAAGGGCGCTGACGGTGACTATGGCGAGCTGACTGGCTTCATTCCTGGTAACCCGGACATTATGCTTCTGGCGTGTCGGTGCCTGTCCAATCTTCTGGAGGCACTTCCCTACGCCGGAACCATCCTGGTTCGCTTTGGTGTTGTGCAGGTGCTGTGCAGCAAGCTAATGGAGATCGAGTACATTGACCTGGCCGAGCAGGCACTGTCGACCCTGGAGCGCATCTCGCGAGAATTCCCGGCTAATGTCTGTGAAGCCGGCGGCATGTCGGCCTGTCTGATGTTCTTGGACTTTTTCGCTACATCAACCCAGCGCACGGCGCTATCGTGTGCTGCCAACTGTGCACGCGGCATCACCAGCGAGTCGTTCCCTCAGGCGTGTGAAGCTATGCCTGTGCTTGAGCGCACTGTTGTATTCAGTGACCAAAAAATCGCCGAGAGCTCTTGTGTGGCATTGCTTCACTTGGTCAGCGCATTCCGCTCGGATTCGGCAAAGGGTTGAACAGTTGGTGTCGGCCGATCTGCTCAAGGTTGCTGTGGACTGCGTGCAGCCGGACAACACAGCCACTGCTAGCACGCCCACCACCCTGCTGCTGCAGATGCTGACCATTACCGTATACAGCTCGCGAGAGCGCATGGCTCAGCTGTTGGATCTCGACATCATCCCTGTTCTCGAGCAAATCTTGATCAGCAAGTGCATCGGTCATTCGGCAAACCAGTCTGGTCCAGGACAGCCGCAGCCGCAACAGCAGGCATCGTCAGCATCTGTTACGCGTGTTCCGGATCAGGCATGGGAAGCACTCCGCCTGCTTGTCGCCATACTTCCCCGCCTACCGTCGACTATCGCGGGGCTGACCAGAGCCGAGGAACTAATCAAAGGCATGCCTATCGAGACAAGTGATGCTGGTTCAGATGCAAAGCAGCTGGAGCGCCTCCGGGCCATCGAGGCGCGTCCCAAGGTCATCAAGCAGCTGCAGCTCTCGCTAGTGCCGACCATGGCCAACATCTTCCTGTCGACGATGAACACGGCAGCGCGGTATCGCAGCCTCTTGGTAATACTGAAGATTGTGTTCTTTTTGAACACGGACCTTCTGCATGCAACACTCAAGGGCGTTTCGGTGTCGACCTTTGTGGCCAACATTATCTCGTCGCCAGAGTACCCGCTGCTCTCGGGCATCTCGCTGCTGCTGATCCGGCTTCTGCTGGCCAAGCTGCCCGATGTCTACGCACAGCGGTTCATCCGGGAAGGCGTTGCTGATGAGCTGGGAGAGCTGGCGTCGTTTGCTCGCACTGTAATGGAACGTGCCGAACCATCGGAGTCAGCGGCAGAGTCGTCTAGCGACGACGATGAGCAAAGGCAACAAGGAGGAGGGGTGCGACAAGGACGACGACAAGGTCGACCTAACGTGTCTCGCGTATGGATTCAAGATCCTCAACGTCCATATCCCCAACTCGTCGCGCATCAACCCAACCGGTAGCGCGCGCATGTTCACCTTACCCTGCAGCCAACTCGGATGTGGACGATCCCCAAGGACATTTTGCAAATATATACCTGGCTTTGCAGCCAGGCGCAGGCGCTCCATGGCCAGCTTCATGCGGTAGAACCCCCAGTAGCGGCTGGCAGCGATGGAAGCGTGCTCACTCGTCTCAGGCGCATTTCGCAGCAGCTGGCCAGCCAGGGTGACGGGCCGATGTCTGGTTCGATTGAGGAGCTGGCTGCGTGTCTCGAGTCGCCAGACAGTGTGACCTGCTATGAGCTGATGCAGAGCGGGATCATTGACTCATTGCTTGGCATTATCAGCCGCAAAGAAGCCAGTCATGATGAAACCAGCCAGCTCATTGCGTGCTTGCTGCGTGCAAAGGACGATGCAGTTTCGGCGTTTGTCATCTTGCTGTCGCGGCTGCACGAAGCGCTGAATCTGACCGAGGACATCCACATCCAAGAGGCATATCAGACACCAAGCGACGAGACGCGCTCGGCAGCGCACATGCTAACGAAACAGCTGCGCTTCAAGGTTGTTCCTGCCGATGACCAATCGGTTGCTTCTATGGACTGCTGCGTTCAACGACGAGCCCCTGGCCCGCGAGATAACAGCCACAATGAGCCGTATCCGGCAGTCGTTCCAGAACATCACAGTCAGTGTCCATGCCATTGCGACCTTTAGCGTGTTGGAAGCGTACCTGCGGCCGCGCATTGCGTTGTCCATTGGCCAGAACCGCCGCCGCCGCCGCCACCGGCGCCATTCCCAGCAGCCCAACCCTGACCAGGACCACAGCACATCGGCTGCATCCAAGAAAGAGGAAGGCTCCGATAGCAGTCCAGCGCCCACAGCAAGCGCAGCTCGAGCGGCAGCCTCGTGGCTCTGAGCAAGGGCCGAGCTCGCGGCGCAGATCAGGCAAGAGCCGGTCAGAGGGCCTAAACCGTGACCACGTTCGCATGCTTCAGATGATTGCCCAGTCGTCGGGTATCGATCTTCGCGCATCGGATCTGTTCGATCGACTCGGTGCTGATATGAGCGGCGATGACGAGGACTTTACCAGCGACTCAGAGAGCGATGGCGATGACGAGAAGGACCAGGACATGTCTGATGGAAGGGATGGCGGCGACAAGGAGATGGCAGAGGATACCAGTGACGGTGGCAAGAAGGCGCAGGACTGGCACATTGTGATCAAGCTCAAGTGCGAAGACGAGGAGCGCGTAGTCTCGTCGTCCGAGAACATCTTCCGTGTTGTCAGTAAGATGTGCCAGCACAGCGAATCGCTGAGGACAGCCAACCCGTGGATCCAGGTGTTCACGCTGCAGTTCCATATCGAGTTTGGCCAAAGCAAGCCAGGACGACGCAGCCAGTATTGCGGAACAGCGTGTGCAGCTGGCAAGCCCAGATCCACCGCAGCTGGATGAGATGCTTGGCAAGCAGAGCGCAGTCATCATCGAGCTGATCAAGCAGCTGCATGAGCATCTTCCGCAGGCCGTGCGTATCCTGCACCAGAAGCGGCTGATTACTGAGGACTCGGAGCTGTTCATCAACCGCAAGATCGCAGCCAAGGTCACCCGCCAGCTCGATGACCCCCTGCATGTGGTATGCGGTGCTATCCCGCGCTGGTGTCACCAGCTGGTCCACTACATACCGTTCCTGGTGCCATTCGAGACCCGGCTTGCATATCTGCAAGCGACCAGCTTCGGCTACTCGCGCAATATCAGCCGCTGGCAGACGCTGGCACAGCGTGAGGCACGCAATGGATCGAGCCGTGCCTCCGACATTCAGATCCCTCTTGGTCCGGATCCAGCGCCAAAAGGTCCGTATCTCGCGCCACCGCATGCTCGAGTCGGCGCTCAAGGTCATGGAGCTCTATGGCACAGCCAAAACCATTCTGGAAGTCGAGTACTTTGACGAAGTCGGCACTGGGCTTGGACCCACGCTCGAGTTCTATGCGACTGTGTCGCGTACCCTCAGGGACAAGTCGCTGGAGCTGTGGCGCGATCCGACTGGGTCTGCCTCGACAGCCAGGCCAGCAGACAGGGCAGCGAAACCAGACTACATCGATTCCCAGCTGGGCCTGTTCCCACGAGCAATCAATCCCGACTGTGCCGGCGACATTGCCAGCAGCCGAGAAGACCGATGAGTCGGGCAAGGTTCTGTCACCAACAGAGCGTGCCATTCAACTGTTCAAGTTCATGGGACATTTTGTTGCCAAGGGCTTGATTGACGGCCGCAACCTTGATCTGCCGCTCCACGAGGAGTTCTGGGCTGCTGTACAGCGCTACAGCACGGGATGACGACACAAAGACCGGCCTCTCATGGTCCTGGGCGCAGCTCGAGCACGTGGACCCAGCCCAGACCAGGTCCCTTCAGTATCTGCAGCAGTTTGTGGACCAGCGGACCGAGATCTATCAGCGCGAGGACCTGACTGCCGACCAAAAGATGACTGAGGCTGAGGCAATCCGTGACCCGAAGACCGACGCCTCGGTTGACGACTTGTCGCTTGACTTCACCTTGCCCGGGTACCCAGACATTGAGCTGCGCGAAGGTGGGTCGAGCATCCCTGTCACGATCAACAACCTCCCAGCCTACATTGACCAGGTCGCCCAGTGGACACTGGGCAAGGGCATCCAGCGACAGGTCCACGCATTCTGCGACGGCTTCGACAAGATCTTCCCTGTGCGCGACCTGTCAATCTTTGCGCCTGGGGAGCTGAGCCGCCTGGTTGGCCCGTCGTCAGACAGTGAAGACTGGGGCATGGCGACACTGCTAGGCGCGGTCAAGGCTGACCACGGCTTCTCGTTGGCATCACCTGCGGTCAAGATGTTTTTGGACTTTATGGAGTCGCTGGACTCTACTGGCCGCCGCCGCTTCCTGCGCTTTGTGACAGGGTCGCCGCAGCTGCCGTTTGGCGGCTTCCGTGCACTGCACCCGCCGCTGACGCTTGTGCACAAGCCCCACGAGGCACCACTGACACCCGACGACTACCTGCCCAGCGTCATGACCTGTGCCAACTACATCAAGCTGCCGAACTACTCGACGCCCGAGATTCTGGCTGAACGCTGGAGCCGTGCAGTCACTGAGGGCCAGCAAAGCTTCCATTTGTCGTAAACACAATAGATTTTTCTCTCCAAACACAACATGCACTTGCATACTGGTCCCACATCGCGACAGCTCACTCTGGAAGAAAAAGAGCAGGATCCAATGCGGATCCTATAATCCGGTATCCTAGCCCATAGTTGTACCATGATCGGTGCTGAGCAGCCGTGGTGATGCCAAGGCGCCTTTCATTTCCGCCCTTTACTCAAGCATACAGTACGCAGCCTCTCTTCTTTTCTTTGCAAGCATGGAGTCGAACCCGCGAGGAATCCCGAAATCGCCCTTTGTCGATGACGTCGAGGCATACCTGAAGACAGACACGGTCCAGGCAACCCTCAACAAGTTCACTGAGGCTGCGAGCAAATACAAATACATGGAGAACTCGAAGCTGCAGCAGCGGCTGAGCCTGGAGGGCAAAATTCCCGACATTGAGAAGACGCTGAGCATGGTTGACTTTTTGATTGAGAAGCGCGGTTCAGACGAGCCCGTCAAGACCTTGTTCGAGGTCAACGACACCCTGTTTGCGCACGCAACGATCCCGCCCACCGAGACGGTCAACCTGTGGCTCGGAGCCAATGTCATGCTCGAGTATACCTTGGACGAGGCCCGAGAGCTGCTGGCGAGCAAGCTGGATATCGCAAAGAACAACCTGAAGGACACTGTCGAGGATCTTGAATTCCTGCGCGATCAGATCACCACTATGGAGGTCAACACTGCGCGCGTATACAACTGGGATGTAAAGCAGCGTCGTCTAGCCACTGCCGCTGCAGTTGCTGCGACACCTGCCGCCTCTGCGAAATAAGCAACCCGCTCTGCCCTAAACCTCATCTCTTTGAAGCAGATACGCTGGCCATTTATCGCTGGATCAGCCACTACCGTAGTCGCCCTTTCAATAAAAACCGCATTCGCACTTGCCCGCAGGTCTTTGCATTGGGCAAGCATGTTCTGTTTTTGAGATTTGGGGATTTTGGAGGAGTGCTATTGTAGAAGAACATTGAAAAGGAATGCTACGGACCGAGTCTTCTTTACGTGCTCCACCTCGGCTCGTAGTCAGAGTCGGCTGATGCAGGCTGCCTGACCCAGATCACAATAGTGTCGCCGCCGTCACCGTAGCACCTGGTTGCGTAGCCGAGCGAGGTCTGTCTTGGTAGGGCGACCTGGTCATAGGTGTAGAATATCACGTTACGCGGCGCATTAGGGTAGTACTGGAAGAACACGTCTTCTAGGATGTAATCGCTGCTAAGGATGTCTCTGAATAGAAAAGAACCCAATGCATCACGGAATTCAACCCTGTGTCCAGCCCTACAAGTGGAAGACATGAAACAATCAGCAGCTAGACGGCACCTTTTCCTCAGCAATGCTGATGAGCGATGCAATAACATACATGTGTAGATGTGTGAAGAGCAGACTTGCATTCAGTAGTCTGTGTCTCCTTCCAGAGGGTAGAGCAGTTTGAGCAACCAATTATAGTACAGAGCAAGATGGAATGAGAGCGAAAAGCAAGGGTGATGGCAAAGAGAGGGAAACGAGAGGCTACCAAACTAGGTATCGAACACATTGCGCTCTGCACTCCACATAGCCGATGGGGGGGGGGGTTTAAAAGGGCGTGCAACCTGTATGCTCTTGCTTTGAAAGGCCAGACACTGGTCTGAACAGTGCACAGCTTCACAGAAGACCTATGTGCATGGGCGGCACCGACACATCTGGACACATGCACTGAACATGGGATTTGCTATACCGCCGATTACTGTTACCTGGGTGTCACTGTTCTGCAACGCCAGAGGCGCGTCTTTCCGCCAAGCCAAAGCAAGATTTGCTGGCATTCGTGAAAAATGGCCATGTGTCATTGAAGGTGGCACTTATTAAACTCTTTGCCACGGTTTTGCAAGATTGACGCGCTGCTGTCGAATAAATGAAGCGGGATGATGACACAGAGCGGCAGCTGAAGGGACTCCAGAAATCAGGAAAATGGACCGAGAATAATGTAGGAGTGTCAGCATTCTTTGGCATAGATAGCAGCAAGATCGCCTGCATCGGCGTACCACAGGAAGGCATGGATGAGAAACTGACATGTTGGCTGGTGTAAACGCTTTGGTGGGCGAAGGAACTCCATGAGACAGGGATGTGTCTTCCTAGCGCAGTGACCAATACGATCGGGTGCAGCCTGACCAGCCGCTGGTAGAAACATCGCGATTGCATTTGTTGGAGGAGGGCAACGTGATATGCAGACTACGCACCAATGACACTCGGAAAAATGAAGGACGCATAGTGCCACTTACCTTGAACGGCCGCGGGCAAGAGACATGCCACGGTTGCAAATCGGCCACTTGGCAAGGAACTCCAGGCTGTTGGCACCTGGTGCCGACCTTTTGTTGGGCGCATTGATGCCCATGAGAAGGCTGCTAACCCCTGGCAAGGATATTACCTGGTTGGGCGTCTCAACATGAGTTATGTCTAGCTCATCAGCCGAGGCAACGTCTTGATCATCGTCGCTATTACACTCCTCCACCTCATAAGCTTGGGCCGGCGTTGCAGGCAGACCCGCTGCCGGCCGCGTGTAGCGCATCTGCGCCAGAGCAGCCACAGCGGTAGCACTATGGCCTTTGGTACCACCACTGTCCGGTACCTCAGTCCTGCACTCATAACCTTTACATGCGGGGAATCTATCCCCCACATGCAGCGAGCTTGGCGTTTGCACTGCTCCAAGCCGTCTGCAGGTGTCGCTCTGGCCAACCGTGGGGCGAGGGAGACTGCCAATAGGGGCAGCAATCATCTCTGGCAAAGGCTGGTTGGCAAAGTCCTGTGAGATCGTGCTTCGCAGCGACGAATTCGGGTATTGGATCGGCGACATGGCAGCATTGGTTGGATGCACCCGTGGTGTCCACCCAGAAGCATCGCTACTACCAAAACCACCCACGCAAGATGCAGGTCTGGTGCTGTGATAGACCTGAGCCGGATCCTCTTCCTCGTCGGATAAAACGATACCCTCGTCCTCGGTGCTATCGCCCTTGCTGATGCCCTGGAGATGACTGTTCCTGGCCAAACGTGCGCGGCGGAGACGCTGCTGGCAGGTGCTGCAGATATTTGCACGCAGCAGGTTGCGCTCGAGTGGAGGAGTGACAAACCTGAACCGCGGCCAGATGTCGTTGAAAATATCAATATCGTCTGCGCTGATCTGGCGGTAGCGGAAGCTGAGCAGCTGCTCGCCCTTGACTTTTTGCGGGGACACATGGTTGATTGAGCGCTCCTCGCAATGGCATCTCCCTTCGTGAAACCGCGATCGATTAGCCCGTGGGCAGGTCAGACAGTTGGCGCAGATACGACACCAGTTTTTGCGGTGGGTGAGCATAGCAGAAGGAATGAGATGCAAATGTTTCAGAAGGAAGATGATTTTCATGTACCGGCTCCACCTCTACGCGATGGCTGCCCATGTGCTTTATAATCTGCAATGGGAAGCAAGAGAGATGGCCGAGCTGAATATGTGACTATGGACTATATTGCAAACATGGTGAAAGAAGCAGGATGGGTACAAGTTAGGCTCTGAAGCCTGTGGTAAGACTGATAGAGTATGCGAAATAGGAGGGTGATAGAAGCAGCTCGGGGCACCGCGCGGTCAATATGACAGACAGACACAGGGAGTTTGCAATAATCGTAAACAAACGGGATAGCTGCAGCTGATTGGGGTTCTTAGTGACTAGCCTTAGCATAGTTATCTCTGTGTTTCAGCAGCACAGCTGCCTGTGGTGAAGTAGACGTATTTGAGGTTTCAATGTGTGCTGCAACTGATGGTAGCGTGTTATCAAGCATACTGTGGTGGCTCGCCTCGACAATAGGTCTGCTGTTAACAGAATTCCCTTGCAGGTAGGGAGGCTGCTGGTTAGCCATGGTGGTCTGTGTTGCTATGTATGGAATCGAGCGGCTATTTGTGATCTCCAGCAGCGATATGGCAGTCTGGTACTGTGCAGTGTGACGCTCATGAATCACGCTGATAGACGGCAAAGTTGTCTTTGGTGACGACATGCGGCTACGATGTAGCTGCAAGCCAGGGACACTCTGCGGCAGATGTACCTTGATAACTATCAGATCACCCATCCGCGGGATCTGCGACACCTGCGAATGGCGCGAGTACAGACACCCTTGTAGCTGCTCGCGGAACAGTAGCTCGGCAGGGGCACTGGGATAGTAGGCGTCAAACAACTCATGGAGCGTCATTTCACCAAAGACCCACTCACGGAACAGCTCAGCGCCTCTAGCATCTTCAAAGACGATGTTTATTGGCTTGCTATAGGAACAGTAAGGATATACTTAGTTATACATATACTTCTAGATCCTGTTTGATTCATTACAACAAAGATGCTGCCCAAACAAAAGCAGATTGCACAAAAGGGCGATGTTGGCTAGTACATAAAAGAGATCAATGTAATTGCCCCGACACCATATACATCAAGCAAACAAACTTAGAAGACAAAAATGCAGCGCAATGAATCTCGCACTGTGCTAATTCTCAGATAGCACATAGCACATAGCACATAGCAGATAACCAACAGCAGGTTCGGTTGGTGGTGGGAAAATAGGGGATACATCATATGTTTACTTACCTTCTTGCAGCCTTCAGATGAGCTTTTGCGCTGGGAATATTTTCAAACGATGTGCGCTCCAAACGACGGTGCAGCTGGTGTGCAGCAGGCTCTGCAGAGTTGGATCTCAGCATAGATATTGGAACAGTAGGTTCTAGGCTATGATCTGCTGAGGGCATATCATGGTGACGATGCTGCAGCTGCGGCTGCTGGTGCTGAAGCAACTTCTGCGGTGGCAACTGCACTGCAGAAATATCAGCATAGATATGTGGGTTTGAGTCTTCGGTACCACCACCAATCTCTGTGCTCGGGCGGTGCCCAGGCGGGGTCGACCTGGTCAGCAGAGTGGTCACGGGCATCGTCCCATTGTTGATGGCCCTGTGGGTAGTCGCATTGCCGCCTTGTGTGGATGCTGCTATGTCCTCACTAACGGTAACACGGATCGATCTACGGCGACGGAAGTCGACTGACTCGTCACCATCACCCTGCGGGTTTCTCATGCCGTCAATCGCACGGCGGATGCGTTGCTGGCACGTTCCACACAGGTTGGCACGATGCAGATTGCTCTCGATTGGTGGGACATTGCTGCGCATCTGGCGCAGGAGGCACTGCAGCGCTTTGATGTCTTGGGCACTAAGCGTCTTGAACCGAAAGTCCACAGTCTTTGGCCCCTTGTCGCTTTTCTTGCCCTTGCAGCTGACAACTACGCGCACTGGGCATTCGCAGCTCTTTGTGTTAAAAGCCTGACGGACAGTACGCCCAATTCCCTGGCAGGTTAGACACACGCGACACAGGCGGCACCAGTTGAGGTCGAAATCGATCATATCGGGCGGGGGTGGCTGACGTGGACGAGGGCGGCGCATCAGTATGTTTGATATGGGCGTATTAGCCATGTGTGGCGTGCCACTCTTGCTTCTTCTTGCATCGCTATCGCACTGCATAGGTGTTTGTAGGCAGAGTGTATGGATGTCGAAGTCTGTAAAGACGACAATAACAGGCGCTGGCTGAATATGCAGAAGTGTGTACTGGTGGATATTCTCGGGCAGAGTCGAATGAGGCTTGGTAAGGGTGCGGGGTAGGCCTATGGATATTTCATATAAGCGAAAAGTGTACAGGATTACTGACGCAGCCCTGGTGGTGGGGTAGCAAGTAAAATATAAAGATATCGCCAGCTGTGAAAGACGTGAAAGAGAAAAGATCGCAAAAAAGTGTTCAGGCAAAAATAAAAATGAAAACGCTGAGGCTGAAAGAGGAAACAAGCAGCGCTCACAGCATTCACACAGAATGTCTGCGTGTGGATCGCAATGCGGCGAAAAGCGGGTGAATTATTGCCAGTTGGGCAAGGAAGGGAAGTGGATGGCCAGTCGTCAGCGTATGCAATCGGAAACGGCTCAGAGTGAAGAGGTAGGCAATCCATTCCTAGTAATAGGATGTTTTGCAGAGTACGAGTGCACAACCGGCTCTTCCTGCGAGTGTACTGCCAGCCACAAGCGCGTGCAAAACAGACTGCACAGCCTTTGCGGAGCAGCTGCTATTGCCATGGTCTGCTGTAGCCACCCGTGCAGGGCTCAAGTGAGATAATAGTGTGCCCTGTTGTTCAGCACTATGTAGAAAGGAGGGGGTCAGCACTGGGCAGCCAACAGCAGGGGAATGCTGGCAGGAAAGCGGTAGACAAAAAGGCGCTGTTGTCACAACAGATGGCGTGTACTGGGTGGCGGTTTTTCAAAAGGGACTCTGTGTCATGCGCAAACCAGGAACCTGGCCATCAAACACTGTATAAGGTTGCTATGTACCTAGTGAATTAGTTGATACGAATGAAGTCTTTTCTTTTGGCAAAAGGGTGAGCAAAGCAATGGAACCCTCGAATTGAGATAGCAAATAGGCAAATCAGCCCAGCACTTGGGGGCGGGGGGAATGCAATACAGTTTATATATGTGCGAACCCACCACCTGCAGCCCCAAGGCAGATGACAAACTCCACAAAAAAGTGCCGGCATGCAAGCGCAGGTTTGCGTTTTTGTCCTCAGGTCCTTTCCCCGTTAACCACATAGCAGCTTGGCATTTCAAAAACAAGTGAGGACGACTACCAGTATTTCTGGATTCAGACATACAATTAGAGCGCCTTATTGTAGCCATTGTAAACCACCATGCACTGTATGCCAGACCCAAGGAACCCACCACCCCCACCTACCTGTTCCCCGTTCAAAACAGACGAGGGCTACGGATGCGGAGGAAAATATGCAGGAGTGCAAAGCGGGGTGCATGCTGAGACGCGTCTTTTTCCAGCTTGCCCGTGCCAATTTTTTCCGAGGATGAGTGACAATGGCGAAGCAGCCAGCTGCATGCGTGTGGTGGTTCGTGACTTGTCAAAGCGCATCAATAAGCCGCTCTTCTGATCATGAAGTCCAGATGTGACAGAGGGAAAGTGCGGGTTTGGAGGTAAGAGCCATTTCAGATAGCGAATGGGTCGGGGCTGGCTATGCAGGCGATTCTCGCGGAGGAGGTGGATATTCATGCTGTTGCAAACATGATCATGCACACATGTAGCTGGCTTCTTCCAGAGCAGCCATGCTGCTGTAATCTATCTGGCCAATTGTATCCTATCTGCTGGTGTCAGTGTCAATCATATGTACCATCCAGGCCACTGCATGCTATATCCGCTTATGCTACAATAGAGCGCCCTTTTGGAGCGACTTTTGCTCCACCCGCGTTATACTATGTATTATACTCCCCTACTGTACAGGACCTTGAGGCAGCAGCTACGAACAAATATATCTTTTTCGCTCAGACAAGATTCGCTGATGTTTTCAAAAACGAGTAAACAGCATGATCGAAAGAGACCAACGCGCATCTTATTATTCCTAAAGGTAGCTACGTCCGGATGAAATAAAACTGTGAATTCAACAGAAACGCAGTGCATCCCTTCTAAGGCCCTACTCCACACCTTTGAAATGCAGTCTAGGAGATGGCGGACACGGGTACAGCGGCCACCAAGTTCAGGTTGGGAGGCCAGATGAAAAGCAGGACCAACGGCTGCTATTGTGCCAAAGCTGCTATTTTTACCCAGCGTCACCGTGCCACCAGATAGCCCATGTGATGATATGCCCTTCGTAGATTACTACAACAGGACAGGGTGGAAGCATGGAGGGAATTCAAGGGAGAAGCTCGCCACGCATCCCGTGTACAGGTTTCTTTACTCGGATACCCTACCATAAAAACAATTCTCTCCACAGAAACATAGACCAGGCATCCATTGTATCTCTTGCCACTTCCAAGTCATCCCCGAAGCAAAGGCGACAATCGGTCACATATGACCTCTGGGCGCGTATTTGGTCGAGTATACCCAGACGATAGTTACTTTCATTCACGTTCTCATTCAAAATGAGGGGCATGCCTCTTCAGCACTCTGCAGCGAATCAGCGTGCGAGAAAACACAAAAGCACCAAGACCTTGGTCTGCAACTACGGCTTGGCTCAGATTATATCTCTACCTCGTTTACGAACATTATATGCATTCAGGAGAAACATGCCGCATTCTGTTGGGGAAGAAACAAGATGTATCCATAGTGGCAGCGACATGTCAGTGACAAATGGTGCTGGCTGTGTGCATGTGTCAGTATTCAAAAGCCATGCAGTGTAGCTATTGGACAGGGTTGATCTGTCGAGTATCAGGGCACCTAGATCCTAGGGATCTGAAACACTAACACCACTCAGCGGCCATGCCGCATCTAGGTTCGTTCTCTGGTATGGTAATCGGCGATTCCCCTACCCCTTGGAGAGGAGTACTTGCATAAATTGCTGCTGGTGCATAAAGTTGTGCCACCGAAAAGCGAGCAGGGGATTGACTTGGAGCGTCTCCCTCATGCGCCACTGAGCAACAGCTGTGTCTAGTTACGGCTCGGAAAAGGCATATCATTCAAAAATTCTTTTCAAGTAGCAGCCTGCTATCCTGTCGCACTACACACCTGACTATTGTAGTATTGTAATGCGCAGCTTCTCTTATGCCTGCAACTTGTGGCCCTGAAAGGAGTGCTTAGTTGTTATGCAACAGACACAGCTACCCTGCCATTTCAACCAAACCCAATGTGCTAGGTTGTCCACACGCATTGCTTTTGCTAATTATGCACCTACATATTTCGGAGAGTGAGGGCGGGCTTGCCATTTGCATGGCGACTGCATGTCTGCAAAGGAGCTGCACTGTCTTTCATCTTTGTAGTCCTCGCCTTCGCTCTCACTCTCACCATCCCATTTTGCTATGCGGTTGCCAGCCACTGGGTCATCACCAGGCTGGCGATGCTCTGCAGGCACAGGGTTGCTGTTTCAAGAAATATCAGCAGGCACTTATCACGCCACTCACTCAGGTGGCCAGTGAAATGCAATAATACGTCGTCCCCGCGCCAAATCACGGGTGGACGGCTGTAGGTATATTGTGTTGAATGTGTGGGGATTTTAGAGGTTATATTTAATACTGAAGAAAAGAGAGAAAGGGGAATAGACGAGTTGCGCAGGGGTATTTTCAATACAGTCGTCTGTGCAACTTATCAAAGGCTAGATTCTACCTCCATATTGTAGGCTGTAGCGGGGGTCTCGTTGGCGCCTGGCTTGATATCACCTGATTCGGCTGACATGTCGACGTCAGGGACAGCCGCAGCGGGCGCGCAATAGGTATAGGCGTATGTATATCCAGCATACTCTATTGTTATGTGTACATGCGACACATAAAGTTATGCTTACTGACATTCGGAGTCTAGAGTCCCTCTGCTCCACCATGGGCAAGGCCGAAACGTATACGTACAAAGGCCCAGGCAGACAGCCAGCCTTCCTGTTTCTCCATATACCTGATATCCACCCATCCCTTAGCTTAACAATGCCCAACACCGAGGCATGCGCAGCCACAGCCATAGGCGCCAGAGGTTCGAGACAGGGGATACACAGCAGATATCGCCGATACGTCCACATTTATTTGCAGACCATGGCCTGGTTCCTGATCTACTCCCTGTGAGCTGGCAGTTTTATAAACGCCCGATCCACAATGCTCCAGCTCATCGGTTAAGTTTCAAGTTTCAAGGGCTCTCGACGTTCCACGCTGCCATTGGCTGAGCCTGATTTCTTATATTGCCGACCTTTTCCGAAACTCAACCGGGCTGGCATTTCCTTCACCTCTCATCCACACTTTGCCTTCCATTCACTTTTGCAATCCACTTCACCCGTTTTTAACTTCTGAACCGGAAAATGTCGCTGGCACAGCCTACAAAGGACGAAATTACCACAGTATTCAAGCAGCTGAGATCCAAGCAGCCCGAAAACAAGGTTTGCTTTGACTGTGGCTCGAAGAATCCGACATGGTCGTCAGTCACGTACGGCGTGTACCTATGCATTGACTGTTCGGCCGTGCACCGCGGCATGGGCGTCCATATTTCATTCGTTCGCTCAACAGTGTTGGACTCGTGGACGTGGGACCAGCTGCGCACAATGAAGGTGGGCGGCAACAACAATGCAGCAGCCTTTTGGCGCCAGAACGGCGGCGCAAAGTTCCTGACCGCAAAGACCGGCAACGACACGAAAACCAAGTACACAGGACGCCAAGCTCAACTGTACAAGGCGCACCTGCAGCAGCTGGCAAAGAAGGACCTGCTGAGCTCGCATGATGGCCGTGTCATAGTTGCAGGCGCAGAGGTGGCTGCTCCAGCAGCAGCTGAAGACGACTTCTTTGCGCGCGAGCTGTCGGCAAGCTCGTCTAAGGCCACGTCAGAGGAGCCCACTACAGGTCCAGTCCGTGGTCTGGCTCCGCCCACAGTCATTCTCCAGGCCGACGAATCGGACTCTGCGCAGGCCGACGACCAGGCCACAAGGGCCATTGAGGCCTCCGCTGCTTCTGCTGCTGCGAAGCCCTCCACAGCACGGGTGCCTGTTGCACGAGTGATCCAGCCCTCTACCACTGGGTCAGCTACCAAGGCTCGCACGGCTGCTCTGAAGTCGACACCAAAGTCGTCTGGACTAGGAGCAAAGAAGCTGGGAGGAGCCAAGAAACTCGGCGGCGCAAAGAAGCTGGGTGCCAAGCCCATGGTTAACTTTGAAGAGGCTGCTGCCCGCGCCGAGGCTGAGGCTCGCGAGGAGGAGCGTCTGCAGGCGATGCGCGATGCGGTCACGGCCTCGCACTCAAAGGCTAAAAGCAGCGCCAGTTCAGCAACCGCCTCTGTGTCTGCAGCAACCACGGCAGCGAGTACTGCTGCTGCAAGTTCGGCTGCGCGGGGTGTCCAGGGCTCGAGCACAAAGGGCGATGTGGATCAGCTTTCCTCGGGGGTAAGCCGGCTCGGATTTGGTGCCATCGGCGGCGGAAACCAGTCCGGGACCGGCCTTGGATTTGGATCATTCGGCACAATGGGTGGCAACAACAGCACAGGATCGGCACAAGAGCGATTCCAAGGGGCCAAATCCATCTCGTCCAGCCAGATGCTCAGTGGAAACACACCCGCTGAGCCTGAACTCAGCTCGTCGACTGCACGCTTTGCCAACTCCAAGAGCATCAGCTCCAGCCAGTACTTTAACCGCCCGCCGCAACCTAGTGCCCACACACGGGCTGCTTCCGGCGAAATCGACCTGCAGGAGCTCGGCGCTAATGCGCGTGATCTGGCCCAGCGGCTGCTCAACTCGAACGAGGCGGATAACCTGCGGCGCATGTGGGCGCAGGGCGCGTCCAAGCTGTCAGAGTATCTGGATCAGCTCCAGGAGCGGTAAGCGGCCCTAGTTCTGGATAGCGAAGCCTTGATGAATATACCTTTTGCCCTTTGCACCTTACCTGTTCTCCACATTCCCTCACTGAAACACGCTCAAGTTTACACACCGCATTTTTGGGAACGGCTTGGGATTGCATGGAGAAGGGTAATATACAGTGAAAAGCTAGTCTTTGTGTGGAAGATCGCCGGTAGTGCTGGCATAGTCAAAGTGAGGGTACACCCAAGGGTGGAGACGTGAATATTAGTAATTCACCAGGGGTGGGGTAATGAGGCGGCCGAGAGTTTGGTGAATTGCTATCCGCATATATGTGGGAAAATGAACTTTATGGCCCTTAGATGACCAGCAGCCCTTGGCACACATCTCTGCAGGTGGAATGAAGCAATTATGTTCCATATAAGGCTGACAGGAGGTCCACCGCCCTTCAATACATTCAACACTTGTCCCCTATATCTTCTACAGCCCATTGAAACACGAGCGGTACTTCTCTCTTTTCTCTGATCAACCACACCCCACTGACGACAGACTCATGCAACTCGTCACTTCCTTCGTTTTGCTGGCTGCCCTGGCCTCGGCCACTGCTCTGCCGCCGCAGGCGCACATAAATGGTGGCAGACGGAGCGGGCAGCGGCTAGACTTGAATGCTTCCGTCGACCAGGCTGGCATATTTGGATTTAACGATGGCGCTGGCATGTTTGGGTTTAACGATGGCACTAGCAAGCTCTTGAACAACATGCCGCAGATGCCCAACCACAACGATATCAGCAATGTCAACTACGACGAGATATATGGCGACCACGCCTCGAACATCTATTCTCTCTATGCATCGGCATCATCTAGGCTGCAGGCCATTAGTGCTTCGTCGTCTGCTTCAGTTGCCAGCTCCTCGGCCATCGCTGCTGCTCTGGCTGCCAGGTCTACCCAGATAATTCAGTTCCCGCAGGTGGTTCAGTCAACACAGACAACAGTGCTGACTGCTGCTGGTTCGCCAACGGCTACCATAACCCAGGCACAGGCCACTGCTGCGCAGACCCTTGCCTCCATATCCCAGGTAGTTCCGTTTATGGATCTTCCGCTGTTTTACTCACAGCCAAACCTTTTACCACAGATGGAGGCTGACCTTCAGTCAATGCTGACGGCCCCGCCAATGGCTACTCAGAGCCAAATGGTGAACCAAGGGGCTTCTGGTGGTATATCGGTCGTCTCGATTATTCCTGGCACAGCGTTTGTGGCGGCAGTTCCGGCCACTCCCACCACTGCGCCGGCAGCTGCACCTGTCACTATCCCCTCGGGCGCTACGCTGGCCACCAACATGTTCATCCAGAAGTCGACTGCAAGCCAGCCCTTCCGCCTTGCGCCAACAACGGCCTCGCAGAAGCTAAAGTTCAATGATGCCCAGAACGTCCATGATGATGAACAATTCCAGTTCCCTGCTCAGCCAAAGTTCGACCTCGACATCACGTCATTCAACACAGAGGATCCTGCCAGCCTGCCGTTCACAGCAACGGCGGCGTCTGGGGTTACTCACAGTGCCCAAGCCCGGCAGGGAGTCGGATACCTGGGGCCCGCCCATTCGCCAGCTGATTCCGTGCAGCCACCCCTTTATCCAGCTCCTCCTCCTCCGGCGTACCCTACTCACACATCAGCGTATTCTCCTTCGGCGTACCCTAGTCAGGCACCTGCATATCCTGCTCCATCGCCTTCAGATGAGGATTGTGATGACACCCCGTCTAGCCCTAGCAGCAATGGCTATGGCGCACCCCCTCCGGCATATCCTACATCGAGCAGCGACGATTACGATGCTCCACTACCTCCCCCACCACCTCCCCCAGCATATAGCACACCAAGTAGCCAAGGGTATGCTGCTCCACCTCCGCCTTCCTCAGCGTATAGCGCACCAAGTAGCCAAGAGTACTCTGCTCCCCTCCTCCTCCCTCATCATATAGCGCACCAAGTAGCCAAGGGTATGCTGCTCCGCCGCTTCCTCCTCCAGCATATCCCACACCGAGTAGCCAAGGGTATGCTGCTCCACCTTCTCCTCCCTCATCATATAGCGCACCAAGTAGCCAAGGATATGCTGCTCCGTCTCCGCCTTCCTCAGCGTATAGCGCACCGAGTAGCCAAGAGTACTCTGCTCCGTCTCCGCCTTCCTCAGCATATAGCGCACCAAGTAGCCAAGGGTATGCTGCTCCGCCGCCGCCTCCTCCAGCATATCCCACACCGAGTAGCCAAGGATATGCTGCTCCACCTCCGCCTCCCTCAACGTATAGCGCACCAAGTAGCCAAGGATATGCTGCTCCGTCTCCGCCTTCCTCAGCGTATAGCGCACCAAGTAGCCAAGGGTATGCTGCTCCGTCTCCGCCTCCCTCAACGTATAGCGCACCAAGTAGCCAAGAGTATGCTGCTCCCCCGCCTCCTCCCTCATCATATAGCGCACCAAGTAGCCAAGGATATGCTGCTCCGTCTCCGCCTTCCTCAGCGTATAGCGCACCAAGTAGCCAAGGGTATGCTGCTCCACCTCCGCCTCCCTCATCATATAGCGCACCAAGTAGCCAAGAGTATGCTGCTCCACCTTCTCCTCCAGCATATCCTACACCAAGCAGCCAAGGGTATGCTGCTCCCCCGCCTCCTCCCTCATCATATAGCGCACCAAGTAGCCAAGGATATGCTGCTCCGTCTCCGCCTTCCTCAGCGTATAGCGCACCAAGTAGCCAAGAGTATGCTGCTCCCCCTCCTCCCCCCTCATCATATAGCGCACCAAGCAGCCAAGAGTATGCTGCTCCGCCTTCTCCTCCAGCATATACCACACCAAGCAGCCAAGAGTATGCTGCTCCGTCTCCTCCACCCTGTCAGGGCACTGGTGGTCAGGGATGTGGTTCCCCTGCACCTGCACCTGCGCCAGCTCCTGCATATCCACCAAGCGCCGATGATGAGGATGATACCTTGGAACCTGCTGCTGCGTATCCTAGTACAGACAGCCCAGTGTATGGTGCTCCCCTGTCCCCGTCCCCACCGGTTTACTCCACTGCAAGCAGCCAAGGATATGCTGCGCCGGTGCCACCACCTCAGCCGACTTCGTCCGGCGCATCGTCCGCCGACTCAGGGCCTATTCCATCTCTTGGCTACTTGCCAAATTCACCGAGCTCATCGAGCGCAGTTCTCAGCTACTCGGCTAGCCAGCCAAGCCCTGGCTACTCGACGATTGGGCTTAGCTCCAGCTCTATTGGATATACCAACCCGGTAGTGACAATCTCAATTGCCTATGGTGCCTCCGACGATGATGACTACGATACTGACGATGAGTCGCCATACAGGCCCAAGAAGCGCCGCCATCATCACCACAAGAGTAAGGAGGAGAGCAGCACCCCTGCGTATTCAGGATCAGTGGCTCCTGCATATGCTTCGATGCCTCCTGCTCCCGCATATGCTTCGGTGCCTCCTGCTCCGGCACCCGCACCTCCAGCACCGGCTCCTGCATACTCTAAGCCTGCACCCGTCTATGGCAAACCTGCACGCGTATTCTCGAAGCCGGCTGCCGCTATCCCTAGGCCAGCTCACACCCCCCCAAAGCCGATGCCTGTGTTTGGTAGGCCTGCTCGTGCATACCCGAAGCCATACCCTGCACCCTCTTACCCGAGGCCTGCACCTGCCGCTCCAAAGCCCGCCCCGGCGCCTGCCTATAAAGCACCCGCATACTCAGCTGCCCCGAAGCCTGCACAGCCCCAGGTAACGCACATGTCTACTGTGACGACACGGACCGTTATCAACTATGCCACAGTCATTGTTGCGTCGGTGGAGCCCCAAACCACCACCATCAACAACTTTGTCACACCAACTCCTGCCGGCTGCTCGTCACAACCAGGACCCTCATCATACCCATCAATAGGGTACCCGGGATCACCTAGCGGACACTAAGTGTATATTTCCATATGCGCTGCTAACACTCCTCCCTTCTCTTTTTCTCCCATCCCTTCCACCTCTATCTCGCTACCCCATTTATGCCTTTAAAATCCTATCCTATAAACAGGCACATTTTTGTTGGCTGTTGTTTTAACTTGTTCCCACCCTAGTCTTGTAGCCAAAAAAAATATACCATTGCAGTTTCAATGTTGCGCCCTATACGAGCTAAAACCGGCAACGCCTGTGATAAGCGGTAGTATCGCATTTCGATCAGAAAAGGATGCACTGCTGGCAGATGAAACATATGCAGGCAGTAGCAGGTCTATATTTGAGCCTAGACTTGCTCAGCGCTGTCGGATCCCAACAGTGCCAGGCTTGGTTTACCACCTTACTCTATGGTCCATGGGTGCTCGGCATTGTTTCCCTGTTCTTCTCGCTCAGCCGCTTCCTGTACAACGTTTAACCAGCCTCTATATATCTGCTTTAAAAATGGTGTTCGACAGTAAATTCATGTATGCAGCATTCCTGGCGTGTGTGTGGCTGCCAGCCGCATCAACAGGCCGCCACCTGCCCCCTGGAAAGCAGCAGTCTGTTGTTCTGCGCTCCATCGATACAGACAGCAGACTTACCGAGCAATGTCTGATTGGCGAGAAGGACCTTGCGCGAAACATGTCGTATCCTCAGTTTAGTACACACCAGCTGCAATCTATGGCTGAAGCAGCAGTCTCTGGCACAAAGGATAAGGCAGAGGACGCACAGACAACAGGCGGACTCCGCCAAGTGCTCGAACTCGTGCTGAAGACCAACGCCAACGGATTCTTCTACATGCACCACTATCCGTAATGCATTTTGCATGAAGCAGAAACCGGTTGGTCCTGGTGTGAAGATGGCAAGTGAGTCGGGATCGACGCGTACAGGACTGCTTTTTTCTCCTGTTTCGTCGTCTCAGTCAGGCCAAGCTGGCAGTTTCTTACAGGCTCGGGCGAGCCCTTGGGGCCCGGGGCAAAGGACTGTGCGCATGCATCGTGGGAAGGCAGATCGGCAGCTCGACTTTAGGAACTTGTGTGGCTCACGAGAGGGGCAAAAGTATTCGCCAGCTGTGATCAACCGCTCATTATCCGTCCAAACATTTCGGGGCGCGGCGGGCTGCTCCTTGCAGGGCAATTGACCCCCACACCTCGAAGGACGCAGTCTAATTCAGGTACTCAGCTCCTGCCCACCACCGCCACCCGCCTGCTCCTTCCTGCTCTTCACTTCCAGCAACTTTTCTTTCTCTAAGGCATTTTCCTTCAAAACAAATTTTTGCAAATGACCCAGACTGAGCAGACCGCCAGCACACTGCCGCTGTGGACGCCACGCGACCCGCAGTTGACCACGACGCACAAGTTCAGGGAGTTCGTTAACGCCAAGCGCCACCTCTCGCTGGCCACGTACCAGGATCTGGACCAGTGGTCTGTGACAGAGATCGAGGCGTTCTGGAGCGACGTGTGGGAGTTTACCGGCACCAAGGCCAGTGCTCCGTACTTGCAGGTGCTGGAGCCCAACAAGACCATGGACCAGATCCCCAAGTGGTTCGAGGGTGCACGACTCAACTACGCTGAGAATGTGCTGGACGGCCGCGAGGCAGAGGAGCGCACGGCGATCTATGCGTTCGGAGAGGGTCGCCAGCTTACAAAGTGGTCGTTCAGAGAGGTGTATGAGAAGGTACGGGTGCTGGCATCGGCTATGCGCAACGCAGGCGTGAGCCAGGGAGACCGGGTCGCCGGCTATGTGCCCAATGTCGCTGAGACCGTTGTGGCGATGCTGGCGGCAGCGAGTATTGGCGCTATCTGGAGGTAAGTCGCTGCTTTCATGTGACGCGGACATATGTTTCATCCCTGTGTGATCGCTGGTGCCTCGGGAGAGATGACTCAGAGGATGCACACTGGCCCTACTGGCCAAGCGCAGATGAACTCGACAAGTAACTGGAGCAGGGCAGATCGGACATGAGATAATCGGACTCATCTGATTTTGATTTCTACCTGTTGTTTAGCTCGACATCGCTTGATTTCGGCGTAACCGCCGTGCTGGACCGGTTCGCGCAGATCGAGCCCAAGCTTCTGTTCTCGACCGACGCCACGGGCTACAACGGCAAGGTGTTCTCGCACATTGACAAGCTCGCGGGCGTAGCCGCTGGTCTGCGGTCGGTTAAGAGGGTTATCGTCATCCCCTTCGGCGACAACGTGGAGCGCGACACGACCTCGGTTCCGAACGCATGCTCATGGGACTCATTCCTAGCTACGGCCAGCGACGGCGCCCCGCTCGAGTTTGCCCAGCTGCCGTTCTACCACCCGCTGTATATTCTGTTCTCGTCGGGAACCACAGGCAAGCCCAAGTGCCTGGTGCACTCGGCAGGCGGCATGCTTCTTCAGCACCGCAAAGAGCACCAAATTTCTCAGGACATGGGCGACAGCGACATCATGTTCTACTACACGACTACAGGCTGGATGATGTGGAACTGGCTGGTGGGTGCTCTGTCGGTGGGAACAGCGATTGTCACCTACGAGGGCTCGCCGTTCAAGCCGTGCGCCGGTGCACTGTGGGATCTGGTGGACCAGCTGGGGATCACCGCATTTGGCACATCAGCCAAGTACATCCAAACGCTGGAAGACATCGGCTACAGGCCCAAGGAGCACCACAAGCTGGACACGCTCAAGGCAATCTACTCTACAGCCTCCCCACTGAAGCCCAACAGCTACGACTTTGTGTACACGCACATCAAGAGCGACTTGTGTCTGAGCTCAATCACTGGCGGCACCGACATTTGCTCGCTGTTCTGCGGTGCCAACACTGCGCTGCCTGTATACCGCGGTGCTGTGCAGTGCCGTGGACTCGGTATGGCTGTTGAGTCGTGGGTCGATGACCGCAAGCCCGTGCTGGACCATCCAGGCGATCTCGTGTGTGTGCGGCCGTTCCCTTGCATGCCTGTGTTCTTCTGGGGCGATGAATCAGGCGAGCGGTACCGTAAGGCGTACTTTGGCAACTACCCGCAGATCTGGTACCATGGCGACTTTGTTATTATCGAGTCGAAGACTGGCAGCGTGCACATGCTTGGCCGCAGCGATGGTACATTGAACCCTGCCGGTGTGCGGTTTGGCAGTTCCGAGCTGTACAACATTGTCGATACCTACCCGGAGGTTGCTGATTCGCTGGTGGTTGGTCAGCGCCAGGGCGTCGACGAACGCGTGCTGATGTTTTTGCAGATGGCTGACGGCCACGAGTTCAATGATGAGATCGTCAAGCGCATCGCTGCCCAGATCCGCCAGCAGCTGTCGCCGCGCCATGTGCCGGCTGTAGTCCTGCCAGTCACCGGCATCCCATACACAGTCAACGGCAAGAAGGTCGAAATCGCCGTCAAAAAGCTCGTCAGTGACCTCTACCGTGTCGCTCAGGTTGAGAGTGCCGAAGAGGCTGTGCGCAGTGTCACCATCGATGAGAAGACAACCTCAACACTGGCTAATCCTGAGACCCTGCAGCAGTTCTATAACATGCCAAAGCTCCTCCAGTAGACAGTTTTATATTGAAATTAATAGCTAGGCCCGGAATGTGGTAGACACAACCAGAGGGAAGCTCTTGTGCGGGCCGACCCACCATTTGCGACCGACGTTAGTCCACCAGCGCACAGCTGATATGCAGATGCACACGGATATTGGTGTCGAGCTGCCCAAACTGTACCGCCAGCTGTGGCATGGGCACAGCACACCCACATTCAAAGAATGTGCCCTTGAGCGGCGCCATGCACCTGGATCGCCTGCTCCCAGCAGATCTCTGGTCGGGTCCTGCATGTCGACTGCCGGCTGCCGGCTCTGCGCGATGGCTGTGTGCTGTGCGTAGGTTTCGAGATCACCGTCGCCAGTGTTCAGCGGTTGCTGTGCAAGCCATACTGCTACACATACGCCTTGCAACCTGCCAGCCAGCCCGAGGATGTTATCAACAAACCCTTCAACTGCCAGATGGAACTCGCTACCGGCAAGCACAGCACGAGCAGAATCGCCTGTCTCGAGTGTGGGGCGCGTCGATATTGCGATCTGAGGGTTTGCTGACTCCACGAAGAACGAAGGGCCAAGAGCCAGCATTGGCATGTCCACATGAGTACCTCCTGCAATGGCACTGCCCAGGGCGCTCTGCACGCGTCGCAACCATGCCAATGTCGTCCTGTCGATCTGCATAAACGAACACAGAATCGCATCCGCCTCAGTTGCCACAGTTAGTAGCCGCCGGCTGAGTGCCTTCTTGGCATGTGCTGCCAGCGGCATCGGCAGTTTTTCGTAGGCGTGTGTGATCCAGTTGTTCATTGCTTGGACAAAGTCTCCCTGCAACTGCACAAGGAACGACTGGTACTGCCTCCCCACGCCCTTGTTGTTGAGAGCACTGAGGGAGTTCAGCGCACGGTCATTCCATAGCTGATGCGTCTGGTGGTCGTCAGCATGGGACTCGGCTTTGGCAATGCTGTGCACACAGTCGATGTGCTCGCGCTGGCGGCTGCTCAGCTGCTCAGCTGGCAATGCACTGACGAACTCACTCAGTGTTGCCCATGCACTCACCGATGCCAGCAGGGTGATTATCCGCTGGGCGACATATGCTGGTGGCCCGCTGTTGCGATAGGATAGTGGCAGCTGCGATCTGGGTTAGCTCGGACCACCTCTCGATCATTCGCAGCCCGGGCATTCCACTCCCTCGTTCGGCATACGGTGCTGTATGAGCCTGGAAGCACAAGATAGCAGCTGTCGACAGCCACGCTGCACGCACCTTTCCCGGGCTCGAGACCATCAGCCCCTTGCTCCAATGTGCTGGCAAGCCAGCTGATTCGATCTAGCAGCACCAGCTCGATTTCGTCTATCGTCGTGCTCTCCGCGGCAATTGCTAAGACTGTGTGATGCATGGCTTGGCTCGTAGTCGTCAACATATCATCCAGCGCGCCTAAAATTGCGACAGCTTGTGCCCATCGACGCTGCCCACTTCCAGGTCGTCTTCAGCAGCTGCTTCGTATATCTACCATGGACTGCCTGTCTGATTGGAACTCGCAATGGCTTTCCATGTTTTTACTATCAGATCGCTCGCCCGGATCTTGTCGTCGGTGCTGCCCCGAACCATGGCAACATTGAACAGCTAGCATTGTGCTCGCCGATAGCAGTTGCAGATGGACTGAACTCTGAAAAGGCATAAGGAGTTGTCGCATCATAATTGCTGTCAGCAGAGTCCAGGAGGTCCCAGGCAGACCTGTTGGCGACATACTGACCGCACAGGACACCAAAACTCCAGTTGTACATTGCATCGGTGAGCTCCCAACTGGTTCTACCATCACAGATCCCGTAGGTAGCCTCGATGCGTGCCAGCGCTAGAACCACCAGCCGTACATTGCTCAGATCCATATTGCCCAGAGTAGCGCCCATAAGTTTCTGTGCCGAATTGACCAGTCGTCTCCGCATGGCCTTCACCTGTGCTTCCTGCTCATCGGAGAGCATATCACTAGGTCTCCACTTCCCCAGGACGCCTAGTGCAGCGCGACCAAGTGGTCCTGCACCCGAATCGCCCAGGAGAGCCGAGAACGCAACCGCATCCTCTAGCGTCAGCCTGTTGTGCTGCTGCACAATCGCCCTCACTGTGGCCATCGCCGCCACACGCACAGCCGTCGGGCTGTCCTCTGCCAGTGCCCACCTACGGCAGTGCTCAAGCAGACTTGTGCTCAGCTGTAGGTTGCCTGCAGCGTGCTTAAGTGACAGAACGACCTGCGCACGCACCGAATCCGGCACACTCTCGTCAGATATTCTTGCCACTACCGTCTCCCACACAACCTCTAGGAGCTGTGGCGAATACTCCAACATGCACTCGGTTGTGCGCACTGCAGCCGCGATCTCCAACGGATGTGTTGACTGGTACCGAAGTAGCAGCCCGTGCTGTGCCTCGGTGTACTCTGCAAACACAATCGATGCACTCCCAATAGCCTGCAAGTGCCAGTACGCGCGCCACAGGGTCGTTCGAGTACAGCACAGTCAGGATCCGCTTCAGCAGCTCGTCGGTGTGCGTGACGCGCGGCAGGTGGTGGTGAGCGCGCTCAAACACCTGCACGATATGGTACCGGAGCGCATTTGTGCCGCCCCGAAACAAATCGCCCAGCTTGAGAAACGCCGAGGTCACTAGTGTCGGGAATGGAAACGTGTCGAGCAACTTCGGAAACTGCCCCAGGGCCCGCACCTGCTGTCCAGTTTGCGACGAGCGACACTCGGATTCGAGTGAGAACAGCTGCTTGAACGCCCAGTCCGACGACGCACCGCCCTCCGCAGGCTGAATTGCAAAATTCGAAAGGCTCATTGACATAAGAAGCGAACTGGAATGAGCTAAAAGAGAATGAAAACGCCCCACGTCACTGCTCCAAACAGAAAATGCCGAAAGCAGCACTTTTAGCAAATACGAGCCACCTCAAACATGGCAGGGTTTTGGATAGGCTCCTAGATCACGTGCAACCATGTGTGGAGCTCAGCCCAGGATCCGATCCAAACCAAAGAAAGAGCGTTTCAGAATATCTATTCACAACACAGAAGAACCCTGGCTACTATCTTGTGCGTACGCTACATACCTGCTCTTTGAGCAAAAGCACTGTTAGTTTTGTGTGGCACAGAAAACAGGGTCAATACAAAGTAGTATCTGTAGTCTCAGTAGGAACAATTGGGTTGCTATCCAAGTAGCAGCCCTCCATCATCCTTTTCTATAATAGTCGGCACACCATTTCGCATCATAGACACACAGCACTGGCCAGATGGTTCGGCATAGTTCAACGTCGTACCTTGAAAAATCTCAAAAGGCACAAAAACAAGCAAAAGGAGGTGAGAGAGATGCCTCCACTGCCAGCACCAGAAACCGCATTCTAAAGCCCCCTTACTCTTCTATTAAGCATTGTTGTGAAAAACCATCTGCAAATTTGATTCCAAGACGCCAGGCTAGAAGTGGCGCAGCAGCGTACCGCAACACAATCAGCAAATTATCATAGATGACATCCCACATCTCTCCTAAATATGGATATGAGCGGTTCTTTATGTGAAAATAACATGTAGCTCATGCTGGCACCAGGCCAAGGTAGTGGAACAGCACCGGAGAGACGAATGTTACAATGAAGCCAATGCCACTATAGATAGGCACGCGTGCGATGTTTTCGGCAGTGCACATCAGCGAGTGAGTGCCATATCTGCCCTGCTGGATACTGCGCTTTGACGGCACCACATACTGCATTACATTCGCATGGCCTTTGGATGTTGATTCTTGGCCATCCTGGCTCGGCTCGACATCAGTGGCTGCCTCAGAATCGAATCCCGCTGGCACTTCATCCTCTTGAACCAGGAAACCCTTGACAAGCTTGATGGCCATCGGCTTTGACGTTGCCTTCCATGCGACAATCGCACCAATGCACACTACACTGCGAATGAGATTCTGTGCCAGCGTCAGCGACGTGCTCCAGGCAATATGTGTGGGGTCAGGGTTTCCAATATGCGCCGATACAAGTGCGTAGGCCCAGCTGCCGACATAAACACCTGCAATAACCGACAGAGCACAGAATGTGTCGACACAGCACGGGCACAACTCGAGCGACCGTGGAATCGTCGACAGTGCCAAGTACAGGGCGCCGCAGATATACAGCGGGCCGCTCCACGACAGAATCAGTGAGTCCAGGACATCATTGCAGGCAATCAACACCAAGGCCTCGATTGTGCCGATTAGTGCGCCTCCAGCTACGTCAACAAACGAATGGAGCCCGCAGTAGATGCGGCCAAATACAATGCTCGCGCCAAACGCCCACAGCACGGAGATCCAGAGAACATGCACATTCCATGCGTGGTACATGAACCAGGTAGTATACATAATCGTGCCGACCACATATGTCGTGTGCGATGACGGGAACCCATACTCGAATGTGTGTGCAGGACTCCGCGTAATCTGCACCAGCGGCGGGCTGGCCGGCCGCGGCGCACTAATGTAGTCTTTGACAGCGCCGCTCAAGTACACCGACAGCAGGACAACATTGGTCACACCGCGTGCAAACGCTCCCAGTCCCAGTATGTGCAGGAACGGGAGCGCCAGGAAAAAGAACGCATGGTTGCCTAGCATGCCGGTCAGGATGAAGAATTTATCGAGCAGGGGCGTGCGCAGGCGCTGTTGGATGGAGGCGAGGATAGGTGTCTCCCATTCTACCTGCTTTACCATCCAGCGACGGAGCGTCTGGCGCCGCTGTGAGTACACCTGCTCGTATGCGTCCTCGGGAACCTGCTGGTGAACTGCGATCGAGCGGATAGCTGCGTCGTCTTCGTCGAGCTGGAACCGGGGGCCCATGGGTGTTTTGAATATTAAGCCGAGGAAGAGAGGAAGAGGAGAGCGAATTGAGCTAGCTAGCAGAGAGGCGAGAATAAAGAAACAAACGTGTTTAAATGTAAATAGCGGACAAGGACTGGCAAAAGAGGAGGAAAAAGCACAGGCGCAATCGCCAAGCGCAGTGGAAAATTTGTTGGGCTCGGCGGCAGTGTTCTTTGGCGTTTGGTAGCTAATGCTCGTGTTGTTTACGGCTTAGCAAACAGCCCATCTGGCAAAGACTGGGGGAGGAGACGATGTTTGCCAGCGGATGCGCCTCGATTTGACGACTTCTAGACCATAGCGGCCAAGAGCAGGGCCACCGTGGGCAAATGCATGGTTTTGTCTGTGCTCTTTTGCTGAACACCGGATATATCCGGCCACCGCAGCATGTGAAAGGCAAGATCTGTTAGCTACTCAGCTCTGCAGCGCTTGGAGCCCTGGACAGCGGCAGGCACATTTAAGAGTCCAGGATGCAACGCCTCTGCCAATCAGCAGAGCTCCTCAATCATGCACACGCCACCGGGAGCGCCAGATGAAGGGCGGTCCAGCAGCGGCAGACAGCTCAGAACGCCGATCTTGGCCCGCACACGACCATCGCAGGAGGGGTTCAATCCATGATCTCTGATCACTATGGAATCAGATTATTGCACTTTTTTTTTGTCAAGGCAAAAGCATGTATTTGCAAAAAAATCGTATTCGTGTCGGTTCCAATTGGCAGCGACAGGCTCGTCTCTCGCTTCTTTCCCCCTTCCTCATTGGCCTCCGTTACCTGTCCAGCACACACATAAGCGCACTTATTACTAGCGACAACCAAGAAGGGACAACAACATACGATGGACACAGCGTACATAGATGATCCGCTTGAGCTAGTCAAGCAGAAAGCAACGACAAGCGCGGCACTGTTCCCGGCGGCGGCAAGCGCCATTGACGGGCTATATCGCACAGGCGGGTCCTCCAAGGTGTCAGGCAGCAACCAGGTTTCTGCTGACAACTCAGGGCCAGGGAATCCAGATCGTGACGACTACCGACAGCAAGTGTCTGCGGTCGTGGACGTTCCCACCAAGCGTACGGTTCGCGTGCCCAGCCAAATACTACGGCAAATCGGGCTCTGATTCACTGGTCTACGTTGCTTTGCATGCTGGCGACGAAATCGGCCCTGACGAGCAAGGGTGCGTGGTGTGGCGGTGGACCGACAAGGGCATCGAGAGCGTCGGGCTCGAGGAGAAGATTTCGCACACACTGCCGCGGTCTGTGTTTGGTCTGGAGCCCAACATTACACGCGACGGACACCTGCTGGCGATCCACACTGACGGTACGATGGCACTGTTGAGCGCAGGGCTTGAGCCAATGTTTGAGCTTCCAGGGATCTGTGGCAGATAAGGACGCGCAGGTTGTTTGGTACCAGATGGTCGATGCGACACAGGGCATGCGGTCGTACCTGGATTCGCGTCCAGGTAGCCGAGTGGGTGTCGGGCGACTACCGGCTTGTGGTTGCATTGGTGCGGGCTCCTGACAGCGAGATCGAGGCCGCATTCTCATACTACGTCTCCTTGGTTGTGATCGATGGAGCTGAGCGCACCATTGCCGAGGTCGGCACGACACGGATCAACCCAAAGTTTGTGCCCACGCAGCCACTGGCATGTGCGTACGATGCCGAGATTGGCTCCCTGGCACTTCTGAGCGCCTCGGGCGTATTCTCGCAGCTGAGCCTCAGCCTTGGTAGCTCGGCACTCGACGATGCAATCCTGCTGCAGGCCCGCAAGGAAGTGTTGCTGCGCGGGTTTGTGCCCTGCGGCAAGACCGCCAGCGATGAGGACGTACCAATGACAAACATGTTAGTGAACTCGCAGGTGTCGCTAGTGTCGCTGACCGAGAAGTATGTGGCCATTGTTGGCACGCACAGCGTCATGTCGCATAACGCCAAGAGCCCATATGCAGCGGTCCTGACGCTCTGGGATCTGCAGTACGGTTGCTTGCACGCCGAGCAGGCGCTGTCGGTTAACCAGGCGTTCCTTGGTAACAAGGGCGACTCGGTACCGCGCCTTGTGTACCAGACGCAGCCTCTGAGCGCGCGCTTAACCGAGACGGGCTTGCCCAGCGACCAGATCTCGGTGGCAGTGGTGGTTTCGCACACAACCTCGCCCCACATTGCTTTCGGACACAGATGCCGAGTCGGCAAGGCACCAAGCCTGCGTCGCGCAGCAAGCGCTCGTTGGCTCTGGCTAACAGCAGCGTGGCCTGGGACGTGAGCACATTTGCCACATCCATGTTTTTGCCGCCTGTGACGCTGCTGGCTTCGCTGCGGCTCCAAAACAATCCAAAGTACTTTGTCGACCCTGAGCAGCAGACGCGCAGCGCCAGCAACGTGCACTCATCCAACATTCTGCTGCACGAAGAGCAGGAGCAAGGGCTGGGTGTTTTGCGCAGCGGCTGGGAGGCTATCGTCGACGGCACGGCCAAGGTGTCCGGCAGCCATGCTCAGGCGATTGAGCGCGCTCTGGACCAGATCACTGACCGGCGACTGACCACGCAGCAGAAGGAGAACGATGTTCTGCTGAAGTTGGCCAGCGTTGCTGATGACATCGACAGCGACCAGTACACGCAGCTGTTCATGGGCCATCTGGGCGTTGCGGCCAACGGCAGCGTCAATTCACAGGCGCCGACCTGGATCTCGGCACACCTGATGACGACAGTGATGCGCCGCTGCTTTGCCGAGCCCCTGGGCGCCCTGCGTGCTGCCCGCCGACCTGTGTTTGCCCCGCGCGTTATTGAGCTTATGCTTGTGAACTGCGGCCTGGCCAATGCACACGCTCCTGCACCCGGCCTGCTGCCGCACCTGACCGCCCGCGTCGATGCTGAAAACACAAAGATTTTGACGCAGAGCGACGCCTGGGACCTTGTCAACATTGCTCTGCGTCGCTGCCCCGATCTGCCTGAGGGCCAGGTCATTGGTGTGCTGCAGTTCCAGCTTGACCATTACACACAGTATCTGCCACAGCTGTTTGTCAGCTCCGAGGATGCGCAGATGGACGACGATCTAAAGAGAATCGAGAACGACATCGCGCTGGTGGTGGCTGCGATCGTGGAGATCTTGGGAGACCACGACGCCTTGCGTACTGCGCTGGCGGAGCTGTCTATGGACCACGTCGCCTGCATTGTGCGACTGCTGGTGGTCTGGATGGACTCGTGGACTAAGCTTGGTGCCAATGTCGAACTGGCTGCCAGTTCCAAGTTTGTGTCGACCACCACTGTGGACCGCCTGCGTGGACTGATCGATGCTGCCGACGCCGACGAAGACAGCAAGCTGTCGCCAGTCGCTCAGACTCTTTCTCAGGCCAGCTCGCAAAAGCCTGCATCATTGGATGGGGTCCCCTCTGTCGATGCCGCCCTGACTCTCTTCAAGCAGCCCGCAACCTGCCACTAACAAGGCCGGCAACGGCAGCAAGTCTTTGGCTCGCGAGCTGACACGCGACTGGGCACCGCAGCTGACCCTGCCTGAGTCCCTGGTAGGCGTGCCTGAGCTCAGCCGTGTCGTCGACTTTGTTTCGCTGTTCCTGGACGCCCATGTGCGGCGCATTCTGCTGACTAGCGACATGCATGTTTTGGTTGAGCAGCTGGCCGTCGCCACCAGCCAGGCCCTGGCTGTGTCTGAGCAGCTCCGGGTGCTGGCTGTGGGCTTGCTGCCGTTCAACATTATCTGGGAGGATCAGCAGGCTGAGCGCGTCGCCAAGGATCTGGAGCTGCAGCGGCGTGAGCTGGGCCTGGAGGAGATTGTCACGCGCAATGGCCTGACGCGCACTGAGATGGAGAGCCGCAGCAATTTGCCTGCGTCCAAGCTCAGGCCCCAGGGCGCCTGGCGAGGGCGGCGTGTACTGGGAGCGCGTGCAGAAGCTGGAGCGGTACCGCGTCGAGGTCATGCATTGGTAAAGCGGGCCTCAGTTCTCTTATGGATTTCTTTCTTTCATTTCAAAAATATAAGTGTCCAGTCTTCAGTTATTCCGGTCCATGCTCCTGGACCAAAAAACCGTCGAGTGGGCCGGCGTCGGCGTCGAATTCGAGCTCGCATAGCCCACCGGCTGGGGCGTCACAATATCGTCCTGCGCTTCGCTCTCGGAGTTGTCCAGGTGCTCCGGTAGCGTATAGATCGCACGCGAATTAAGGCCTCTGGGAGATCACCGACGAGCTGGTCGTCGATCCGTCATCGGTGGCACTGTCGATTCCCGGCCAGAAAGCGCCGCCGTCGCTGCCACGCTGCCTGCTGACGTGCCCTCCGACGCCATGCTGGACGGCGGCGAGCCCGCACTGACCTTACCGCCTACATGCGAGGCCTCTCGGTGGTGCGAACGTCGCTTTGGCCGCCGCTCGCTGGTGCGGAAGCTGCTCATGCCAGACGAATTCTTGCGCTGGCGGTCGCGTTTCGCCCGCTCCTGCTGTCTCCGCTTAGCAGCATCGCGCTTCCGGTAATATGTGGTGCGAAAGTCCCAGTACCCGTCGCGCAGCTGTCGCGGAACCTGAGGGGAAAAACGACATGTGCGATTCTGCCACTGCCGTTTGCTTCGCGGGCTGCTGGTCGGCGGTGTTGGTCATGGAGGTGCGTACAAGCGGACTGGCTTCGAAGCGCATCCGGAATTGGTGCATGACGCGGTTGCATTGCGCAGAGTATTTGATCGATTGCTAGGAACTTTGGGTTGCTGACAATGTGGTAAATGCAGTACGCCGACCCGCCGCTCAGCAGCTTGCAGGTGAACTTGTACGACTGCGTGCTGACAAAGCCAAACCATGCAAAGTACACCACCAGGATCCCGAATCCGACGATCTGGGCTACAGCACGGACACAATCGGTTAGAAAAAGCATCAACAGTTCCATATGCAAGATGTGTTTTTCTGGTCTGAGCCAAACATCCAGGCGACGACATCACTTTCCTGTGCGCGTGCATGCCAAGGATATCCGTAAGCAGCGGAGAATGCAACATGCCATCCCCCACCGCTCTCTCTTCCCAAGAAAGGCGGGCTTACCCAAGTAGCTGCGTTTCTTCTTTTGCAGCCGCCGGTAGTTTTGCTTCAGCCGCTCCTCGAATATCAACCAGTCTCTGTACACGTGTGGATCGACTGGCGCCCCTGTCCTTGCGCACTGTAGCACCGTCAGTCCGTGTGTGTGCTGCTGTCGTGGTGACGGCGTCGACGCATTGGCAGCTGCCTGGATATATGGTAGAAAGGCTGCCCGATGCTTTTGTCGTGGCGAACTGCCGTGCATACATGGTCGTCAGTTCCCCAGCTGTCAGCAGCGCTGAGGGCTTCGCTGGCTTACTGTACCGCCCTGTCGACGAGGGTCCAGCCGTATTAGTGATACTGCTGTTGGCTGAACTGAATGCGGTCGTGTGCAGCGACTCATTAGTGATAGAGGAAATAGGCGAATTGCTCATGGTGTGTATGTTGAAAAAGTACAAAGGTGTATAGAGGAGGAGGGTGAGGTAATATAGTCTGAGGGTGTTTGCACTAAGCGCTTTCCAAATTGACAACACGCATTTGCTCGGCTCAAAAGTCGGTTTGTGCGTGGGAGATAATGAATGATAAGGTCGAGGGCGGGCAGGAAGGTAGAGGCGGAGGGACTGGGAAAGGTAGAGGCAGGAGTGGTGGGATTTTAGAACGAGAAATGTGCTTGACGTTAGGAAACAAAACACACGCTCTGTGAACTCGCAAATCCCAGCCTACGACGTGGAGTATTCAGATGGCCACGAAGCGGCTTTCACGTGCCGTAGCAAGTATGCGGCACCTGCCACCGAGCCGCGACTCAAAACAGCCGCGAGCCGCAGCTTGCATCTGGTCTTTGCGCCGATTGCTGTGGGCTGGGCCCGATTTTCAAACCGCGCCTTGTCTCAGGCTCTTTTCCACAGAGTCTTTCTGAAACCAATTTTTCTTTTCTTTTCCCAAACTCAAAGTGAGTATACCTGTTCCGGCGATTTTTTCTCCTCCTCCAGCCAAAGATGAATCCCCTCATTAGACAACTAACCACCCGGACCCGCCCTGCCTCCTTGCGATTCCTCCATAGCACTCTTCAAACAATGGGCGTCCAGCGCGAGACCATTCAGGCCGGCGACGGCAAGACCTTCCCCAAGCCCGGCGACACCGTCACCATGCACTACACCGGCACGCTTGCTGATGGCACCAAGTTTGACTCGTCGCGCGACCGCAACCAGCCGTTTGTGTGCTCGATCGGCGTCGGACAGCTCATCAAGGGCTGGGACCAGGGTGTCCCGCAGATGACCGTTGGCGAGCGCGCCAAGCTCACCATCACCCCGGACTTTGGCTACGGTGCGCGCGGCGTCCCTGGTGTCATCCCGCCCAACGCGGACCTGATTTTCGACGTTGAGCTCATCCGTATCAACTAAACAGGCACATTACTGTCATTATCTGCTCTTCATTGTTGCGCAAATACATTGACGTAATCGGATAAGGGGATAGGCTGGCAGGCTTTCCAAATGAGTGAGGGAAATGGATTTATATGATCTGGCATTGGCGAGGCGGATCTGGGCAATGCCGCCATGAAGCTCCAGAGTGCCAGATGGGAGATGGCGGCAGGATTAGGCGGGCCGTGGTGATTTCGAACATCCACCAACCTGGATAGATTAGTAGATGTGCTCCACCGATCCGATGCCTGAAGATCTCCAGTCAGAAATGGCCAGAATCCAGCTATTTAGCAAGGCCTTCCAGCACATTTGGTCGTGCATAGCTTGCTGGAGTATGTTTAGAAAGTTTGACGGTTTTATCAGCAATTGGAAGTGGTCTTCTGGACAAGGCTACCATCCACTATTGTATAAAAAGCGCCCCTGATACAGCAACGCGCCCCTGTCCAACCACACACTAGTTGTCCCTAGCACCCTTGCATACTTGCTTCTTCTAGTTTCCGTGCAGTTACAGAATGGATGATAGAATTTGAACCGTTGTCTCGCAGACGTGGTTCCAGGTCGACGAGTCTGATTATAAAATGCTCACCTCCAGCTTCGATGCAGAGCCTGGCAACTGGACCACTGTTTTGAACAGCACCACCAACAGGCTGATGCTTATTGTCCGCGCACCTAACTTCACCAAGCTCTTTAACAGGAGCCAAGCGCTGGTCCATACCCTTCCCATTTGATAACTGGGAACTGGGAACTTGATGACTTTATCCGAACTTGACCCAACATATCATTGCTAATGATGACTGATACTTCCAGCATGCAGTACCTGCTCTCGAGCACACAAGAGTAGTGATCAAAATTCAGCCAGAAGCCCAAGGATATGAGAGCTGTTCTCAACTTAATCCAAGAAATAACATCGGACGACAGGTACATTATTTACAGCAACACCACGATCAACAACACACATCTATCATACTCAATTGACTACTGCAACAATACAGAGCAGAGAGCGTTATATAGAGAAAACTATTGAAAGGTCAAGCATCCCGATTTAGAGTTCCAGTCTTAGGGCAACTGGCGCTGGTATGACCAGCACTACCTATGACATGTCGTGGAGTGCTACAGACAACGGATATACAACATCTATCCTTGAGTCAAGCGAAACCAATTACGCCCTAGGATTCAGCATTCCCACAGAGTGCAGAGTGGAGATATATACCGCCACCATCAAGTTCACAGTCATGCAGAGTGTGCAAGATGGCAACCTCGGTATAGGCAAATCTACGGGATCCGTGCTCAGCGGCTGTATTCTTACTACTGATGGAAAGCAAAATTACAGACAGGATGTCGTATTCAGCAAGAACCTTACAATACCGACAACGAAATGAGAATGCAGAAATGCACTTCGAAATAATTTTTCAAGAATCTCGCAAGGTATTGCCAGTCTGCACATGCATTCTTCGCTGAGCCAAAGATTTGCCATCATCGAGGTCCCTAGGAAGACTGTGCACTATGAGGAAGGCTATCCTATCAAAACATCTGGGCTGACTATTCGTGGCATACTGGCTGGTATGGCAATCCTCTGTCTCGTTCCACGACTAGTCATGAAGCGGTTCAGGGCGCATTCAAGCCATACGCTGGATGTTGTTGCTGCAACAGCCATTGGTACAGAGGACATGAACTGTACTCGGCTGCGGAGACTACCTGAAATCCACGCCAGCCTAGAAGGCAACTACAAGGCCGGATACAGCCTTGTTCTTAGCAACTGCGACAACTATGCAAAGCGGCGGATCACGTTTGAGTTGCTTCACGAGTAAGACATAAAGCACATTTACAACCATTCTTCGCGAATCTCCTCCTTCGTCTAGTTTGCATGTTGTGTTAAATAAACATGCGCCTATTTTCACATGCTCTGCGGACCGCGGTTTGCATGTCGTAAGGGCTATTTTTAGGAAATCGGCGCTGAGGATAATGCCAATCCCACCGGTCATCAATGGTTTGGCTTCCGATGGACAAACACTGGGATGTAGGAGCACACCCGAACACCATGATATTTTGCAATCGACATCAGGCTGGATCCACATACCCCGATGTTCCATTCAATATTCACATATACCCATTGCATTCAGGTGCTCCGGCATTTCTGGTTTCATCGCTGTTTCATAATCAGCTAGTAGATTGGGCTGCCGGCTGCTCCCATTATCAGCGAAATATTGGTATACAGGAGCACTCTGAGCAGATCGTTCCTGCGAGCCGGCATTGCTCACCGGGGAGATTGCATTACACACGTCTATTTACCTTGTCAACAGCTTCTACCCTTGTTTGCAAGCATGCCAAGGGCTGCGAAGAAAAAAGAAAGCGAGGGGTCGAAGCCTCGCATCAGGAGGAAGAGGAATAAGCCTACCGAGGGTGCTCCTGAAAAGTCTCCCTATGGCTGTCTGCGCTGCATACTACTCAGGACTGACTGCGACAAGGTGATTCCACAGTGCGCTGCGTGCAAGGATGCTTCGGTTGACTGTATGAATTTCAGGCCCAGCATCAGCGACAGCCTGCTAAAGACCTTGCCTGATAGCTGTGTGCATGGAAATTATCCTTCGGAACAGGCTGCGAAGCAGAGACCAGTTGTTCACCTTAGAAACATGATTGGTGCGGACGACTTCCTGTCAGAAGAGCCCAGAATCGCTCTGCCCGAGGATCTCAGTTGTGTGACCAAGAACCCGCACAGGACCAAAGTCAGCGCAGATGTGCTCGAGAGCCTGATGTCGGGCCCGCTGAAGAGCGCTATCGAGAGGGGGCGCAGTAAAACGGATCTGGACGATGAGCCGCTCGTGCTGCCGTCCTCACAGCTGCTCGAATGCATCAACCGGTCAATCACAAAGTACGAGGCTGAGAGGCAGCGGCCAGCCGACCTGAACGAGGCCATGAGCGGCAGCGCTCTGCTGGCATTGGGTAAGTACTCATTACTATCCCCTTGCTCCAAAAGCAAGGAGGTGAGTGGTGCTGATCAGTGTTCATTTGTCTGCTTATCTCTGGCGCCATCCGGGCAACTGTAGGAGTCATCGTCCAGGAGCACTGCCGGCTCATGCTTGAGTGAATGGGTGGGAAGTTTTGAAACATTCGCGATAGCCCTTTGACTTTTTGCTTTCATCATCCACATGTGCCCAGATTCCGAACGTAAATGGCGCCACCTGCCTGTCGGCCTCTGACCCAGCTGCGCTGCAATGCCGGCACTGAATATCCTTTGCAAATTGTGATCTGCTAGATGTTCACAATAAATTGTTGGGTTGTAGGCATGGGGGATCCGTCGGGTGAGAAGCCAAGCCGCTGCCTTGGCAGGGCCAGGGGTGCTGGGAGTTGGAAAGGGCACAGCTGGTTCTTTCTAAAAATATGCCTGTCAGCATTGATGGGATACAAGGGATGTCTGTGCCGATCGCCCTCCTGCTGAAGCCGTTTTTAGTCTGAAAGCCCGCCTGTGGATACAAAACACCTGTGACCATGTGTAGTCAGCCTCTGGCATCCGCTGTCCGCAAGGTGAGGCTGTGTGGGCAGAGAAAGGCCCGGGACATGTCGTAGAGGGGCTTGGCTGAACGTGCCGCACCTGGGCTGCCCGCATACGGTAAGGAGGTGCCGGCCCGGGATCTGTCACCAGGACCGTGTTTGGAAATAGGGAAGGGCAGACCCCTCCCGGCTAGCTGCATGGAGGAAAGGCCCTACATTTCCGCGCGCACCTCCCCAAAGTTTTTCATTGCCAGACGGGCGCATGGAAACAGGCGATCGTCGCTGAAGATGCACATGCCGCTAATTGCCCCCCTTTGCGATGGTTTTTTTTTGCTTCTTTCAGTTGCTACAGAGTTCACTTTCACCTTCACTTTCACTCTGCACACTTTATTATTGCATTCTTCTACCACGCCCCATTCATCCCCATTCTGGGAGCCACACGCACTCATCAGCCTTTGCAAGCCATTCAAGGATAATACGTTTATATCGCCGCTATCGTCCCCACCCCTACACACGCATATATTTGCTCACTCCTCATTCTCACGTAATATTCTTTTCTACGTTCCAACTCTATTGCATCCCTTGTTCTCCATTGTCATCCCAAGCATTTCTCCCCACTACAATGATCAATGGCCCATCTCTCTGCGTCATCTTGGACTCGCCTGAGGTCACCCTGAGCGGCAGCCCTGGCTCTGCCAGCAATGCATTCATCACTGGCCGGGTCGTGCTCGGCTCCCGGTCTGCTGCCACGCTCAGAAATCTGACGGTCTCGTTCCGCCCGCGACGGAAGAAGCTCTTTCAGTCGACATATTCTGTGACTCCACTCATTGACATTCACACAACACTAGTCGAAGACGCAATCACGCCTTCGCACATCATCCATACAATCAATCACCGCGAGGGCAAGCTCGAGTGGCGATTCAGTCTGACTATCCCTGGCGACACTGCCGAGACGGTGTTCACGCGCGACATCTTCATCGCCTACGAGGTTGTTGCCGAGGCACGGCTGCGCAGCGCCTTTGGCAGCCTGCTTGCATCAAAACCCCAGCACATTGCGGTCAAGCGCGTGCCGATGCTTGACTCGCAGTGGGTCTCGCTGGTCAGTGAGCCCATCACCGAGACTGCCAAGTGGCAGGGGAGGCTTGAGCTGACGCTGCTGTCGCCATCACGCGTTATCACCGACAGCCAGCCGGTGCCCGTGCGCGGCGTGCTCCGGCCAATGGAAAAGGGCATCAAGATGCTGCGCGCTGGGTTCCAGATCACCGAGCGCACCATCAGCGACGTCGACGCCTTTGGCATGTCGCACTCAATCAGCGCAACGCATATCATCAACGAGAATCTCACCGACATTATTGCCGGTCACTCTACAAACCGTCTTGGATGCGGATCCGCTGGAATTGAGGCCTCGTTTGCGGAGCTGCTCACATCCGACCGCGCTGTCGCCATGGGCCTGCCAATTGACCAGGACATATCGGTTGCGCGCTCGCTTACCGTGCCAGCAGCATACACTGGAATCCAATACGACGTACGCCGCGGGCCAGTGCGCGTCACGCACGACCTGGTCTTCAGCGCTGCCATTGCTGATGAGTCGGGCAACGTGCATAACCTGCGGCTAGCCACGCCTATTTTCGTGCTACCAGATATTGCTGCCAGTGGCGTGAATCTCCCACGCTACGAAGAGGTGGGATTCGATACGCTGATTGAGGCAGCGACCGTAGATGTCGATGTACTAGACACGCAGCCCCAGATCGAGTGCACCGAGGAATCACCCCTCGCACTGCTTGGATACAAGTCGTGCGGCGACTTGCCCCCGCCGTCATACACAGGCTCCAACCAGCTTCTGGATACTTCTGAGCTCACTGGTCCGCAGTCTGTGGGCAGTGCCTCAAGCCGGCTCCGCCGTCTCTGCTCGCGCGCTCTGCTCCGGCAACCCCATGCCTCCGCTGAACTCCTGTCGTTGTAAACAGCATTGCCTTCCCCATCCCTCCTATCTCATACCCTCCCCACATTCCGTCATCTGTACACTGGCCCTTCTCCTTCATCCTCTCCCTGCGCGCCGTTTCAACCCACAGGTCCATATTCTGTTTAAATCCTCATTTGTTTTCACTTTCCACGTGCTATATTTAAATGTTGTCATCGACGATCTGTCGGCCTGTATGGCAGTTTGGTGGGCTGGTAATCAGGCCAATCTCGCACTGCACCGAACCATGGTTTGCGGCAGATCACTGGAGCCCAGATCCTGCCAGGAATGGGCAATTTCGCAATCACCAAACACAGTTGCGCAAGAAGCTGCTTACTCCAAAATTGAGTCAGACAGAGAGCGGCGTGAAGACTGCACGGTGGAAGTGTGGCCATCATAGACACATTGGTGTTCTGGCATTTATGTCCGTCGTCATGAAGTTCTGTAGGCCGCGACACACCAGGTGCATACCATAGAGCTAAATTGTCAAACAATGGTAGCATGAAAACGATTACCCTTTGCTTGTTCACTACAATGGAGGCAATAAATTTGGTGCATGTTACCGTCGGCATTGCTATATTGGATCCAGGACTTGAAGCATACGCTGCAAGCCAGCTAGTATAAATACGCTGTGTATGCTTAGAGTGAGCCGCTCCAGCATCAGCACTTCACCTTCCATTCTCTGCTTATATCTAGCAGTGTCAGCCGGCTCAGCCAATTTCTTTGTCACTACCACTATGACTTCAATTCCTCCATCTGGCTGCCAGGGCAGCGTGCCAGGCAACTCTACTGAGAAACCAGCTCTTGTCTGGTCGGACAGCAGCATTGAGCCACTCGATGGCATTAATGCCAAGGAATATATCTGCGCATTAGAGTTCGTGACCGCTCCATATAATCTCCCTGAGGAGCAGATGATCTTGCTTGCAATACGCAAGATGCCTGGGTTCAAGGCGCATATTTATGCTGCGCGCAGGCTTGTCAGAAAGGGCAAAGGTCGCGAGCAGCCAACGTGGGCCGAAATAAAGCCCTATATTTTGAAGGCAGCAGACTTTCTTGGCAGCGGCGGAGACAGTGAGGAAATGGAGCTTCGTTCTGCTGCGCACCACCTACTCAGGGGTAAACTTCGTCCAGGCTGCGAAGCAGCTATTCTGTCATTCGCCTATCCGCTGCTGAAGGCTATCACTGGATGGTCGGATGGTAAAAAGTGTGCAATGGTAACTCAGTGCTTAAGCGATGAGCTGATAAGCTGCCTGGCAGTGAGCCATGTGCCGTCCGCACCGTTTGAGGATATGATACTTGGTGTCATTAAATATTGCCGCGAAAATATTGGTCTGATCGATCTGATGCAAGGAGGTATACGCGACTTGGCAAAATTCGTCTCTAGCGGGCGTTCTTGCGGTCGAAGGGAAGGCATCATCGATATCGACGATGGCAAGGACACTGGGCAGGCAGCCAGTTTTGCCGCTATGGTGGATGGATTTGTTAACGGCGCCCTCCTGAAGAACAAGATGCTTCTTATGAAGGATCTTGTGGACAGGGCCAAATCAGGAGCTGACACTGCTGAAGAACCGGTCGACAGTACAACCGCTGAGAAAGCGCATCCCACGAACTCAAAGTCTAAGGATGCAATGGGCGAGAAGAGCTGCTTCTACTGCGGACAGCCTGGCCACATAAAGTGGTCTTGCCATATCCTCCAGTTGGACTGCAAGAATGGGCTCGCCAAGAAACTGCCGTACGGATTTGAACTCCATGATGGCAGCATGTTGCCCATCTATCCAACCAACAAGAAGCCACAGCGTGGGATGGTTCTGCGCGTCGCTGGTATGGTCAACACTGGTATCTAAGACATATGGTGCCAGCTAATGACAGCAAGCATCGGCATATTTTTAATCTGTATGCTGTGCACATCCGAGGCACTCGAGCTTATTTCCTTTTTCTTTTTCTTTTTCTTTTTCTTTTCGCTAATCCCATTTGTTTCTGTCATATGATATGGAAATATAGCGATTTATGCCCTTTGCTGCCTGGTTTGCAAAACCCCTTGAATCCATTCTTACCTACGCCCAATGTCAACATCAGAGAGAATCCAGGAAATCAAGGCCCGACTAGCCAAGCTGCGGGCTGAGGAACTCGAGCTCGAATCAGAGCTTGTCAAGCTCGAGGGACTGAACCAAAGGGAGGCAGCACATGTGGTAAAAAAGGATCATCTGGCTCCCGACGACATCCGGCGCTACAGCCGGCAGCTGCTTGTCCCCGAGATCGGAGTCCAGGGCCAGCTGAAGATGCAGAACGCCAAAGTTTTGATCGTCGGCACCGGCGGGCTCGGCTCACCGTGTGCAATGTACCTGGCGTCAATGGGCATTGGCACCTTGGGCCTAATCGACCATGATGTTGTTGACAACAGCAACCTGCACCGACAGATAATCCACACAGAAGCGGCACGCGATGTACCCAAGGTTGTGTCAGCACACACATCTCTGTCGCGGCTTAACTCGTCGTGCAGAGTAGTTGTGCATGATGTCCTGCTCGACAGCTCCAATGCCCTGGATACTATGCGCGGCTACGACGTTGTTGTCGATGCCACAGATAATGCGGCAACGCGGTACCTGATCAACGACGCATGTGTGATGCTCAAGATCCCGCTGGTATCGGGCAGTGCTGTGCGGCTGGACGGACAGCTGACGGTGTACAACTACAACGGTGGGCCATGCTATCGCTGCCTGTTCCCGACCCCGCCGCCGGTTGAGACCTTGTCGAATTGCTCGGAGACAGGGGTCCTGGGTGTGGTGCCTGGAATCATCGGCTGTCTCGAGGCCATGGAGGCAGTCAAGGTAATCACAGGCAAGAAGCAGGAAGAGAAGCCCAACATGCTTCTGTATTCTTACACGTCGCAGCCGCACTTCCGCTCAATCAAGCTGCGACCGCGCAAGCCCAGCTGCGCGGTGTGCGGCGATGCGCCAAGTATCACGGAGCTAGTTGACTATGTGGCATTCTGCGGCAGCGGACCAAATGACGCAGCAGCCGACCTACATATTCTTCAGGATCCCAGCCAGCGCATCTCGTGCCGCCAGTACAGTGGCGTTGTTCACTCAGGCCAGCCACATGTCCTGCTGGATGTGCGCGAGAAAGTGCAGTTTGACATCTGTCAGCTGCCCAACTCACTCAACATCCCTTTGGCAGACTTCGACAAGCGCCAGCAGGAACTGACGGATATCGTCGCCCAGGCCAATGGCAGGCCGATCTACGCGCTGTGCCGTAGAGGCAACGACTCGCAGTATGCGGTGCAGTACATCCGCAACAAGCTGGACTACAAAGAGTGCTATGACATTGTCCGCGGTCTGCTTGGCTGGCAGGCCGACGTAGACTCGGAGTTTCCCGCGTACTAGAATAGAGCTATTTATTTCCAGCCGTGATAGAAGTTTGTGTGCTTGGCCATGGCTGTCTCTGCGTCGTCGTATGTCCAAAAGTCACAAAACATGCAGCGGATCTTCTTTGGCCGCTTGTCCTTTGCCGGCCTTGCCAGGACCTGGTTGCACTGTTTGTCGGCAGTGGTGTCTGGGTTGGCGGCTATACTGGCCTTCGTCTTCTCGGTGGTCGTCCGCAGCACCTGAGGCCGTCTCGATAGCAGCGACATTATATGGTTTTGTGGAATATGCGTGCGATGCGGGCTGCGAGAGCAAGGGTGGATAACTAGTGGATATTTACAAGAAAAAGAAGTGGCATTAGAAAATAGGGAGGGAGATAGTGGAGCAGAAGTTGCTGAAGAAGGAACTAACGCCGCAACGCTTTCTCTCGTTGCTGCCCACCAGAAAAAAGCACTCTGCCTTTCTAAGCGGCTCATGCAGTGGAAGGTTCTAATGGAAAGGACATGGCCGTTCGTTCATGTGGCTAGAGTCCTTCCTGGCAAGCGCACTGGCACTGGGAGATCAGCTATATTGTCACCACCATGCAGAAATAACTTAGACGAAGCCCTTCTTGGCGGCATACTCAGCGTTGAGGATGCTGGCGCCGGCGGCACCCAGCACGGTGTTGTGGACCAGCAGAGTGAACTTGATGTGGAACACGGGGCACTCGCGGATGCGGCCAACAGTGACTGACATGCCCTCGCCGTTATTCCGGTCCAGACGCGGCTGCGGGCGGTCCGGCTCATCGGTAACGTGAATGACATGCTTGGGCGCTGAGAAGCAGCCGAGCTCCTGGGCCTCGCACGTGTACTCGCGCAGGCACTGCTTGACCTCCTCGACCGAAGGCGGCTTGCCGGCGAACTCGACGCTGACGCACTCGGTGTGGCCGTCGATAACTGCAACGCGGTTGCACGTGGCCGACACCCTCATGTCGGTGAGCGGTGCGCAGGCCGACAGATCGCTGTTAATGCCGCCCAGGATCTTCTTCACCTCGGCCTCCATCTTGGGCTCCTCGCCCGAGATCAGCGGCACGATGTTGTCGAGGATGTCCAGCGACGCGACGCCCGGGTATCCGGCACCTGAGATCGACTGCAGCGTGGTCACGATAACACGGGAGATCGCGCCAAACTTGTCCTGCAGCGCCTTCAGCGGCACCACCAGACCAGATGTCGAGCAGTTCGAGTTGGTCACGATGAAGCCCTTCTGCAGGTTCAGCGACTTGCGCTGATGCGCGACCAGCTGGTAGTGGTCGGTGTTCACCACTGGCACACACAGTGGCACATCCTCCACCATGCGGTAGTTCTTTGCGTTCGAGAACACCGCAAACTCGGCCTCAAAGAAAGCCTTTTCGATGTCGCCTGCCACCGCGGCGTCCAGCCCCGAAAACACAACGTCGCACCCGGCATAATGCGCCGGATCGCACGGCTTTACCACCATTGCCTTGACCTCCTCAGGCATAATGTCGCTCATCTTCCACTTGGTTGCATCAGTGTACACCTTGCCAGCCGAGCGCTCGGACGCACCCAGCGAGTGGATGCGGAACATCGGATGCCTGGCCAGCAGCACGATAAAGCGCTGGCCCACTGTGCCAGTAGCGCCGAGGACGGCGGCGTTGAGAATGCGATCGCTCGACGACATTTCAGTAGCTTCGAATTATGTTGTAGAGGAGATTTACACTAATCGAGAAAAAGAAAAAAGCAGAAGCAGTGGAAGTAAAAAAGAGCAGAGCTGTGTGCTGCTCCTCAGCTTGCTCAAGTACTTGAGAACTCGGCGTCGTAGGACAAGGGCAAGGAGGCCCCGGTTGGTACCCCAGATAAATGCCCGCTGTTACTCACTACAGCCATGATGGATCGGCGGATGCTCGATGTGACTCAACAATGGAGCCATTCGACGACTGGCAGGCACAGCAGCATACTGGCAACAAGCAGCACCAGCAGCTGATAGCGCATATAGCCCGGGGGCAATATGGGAGGTGCCTGGAACCAGAGTACAATATATAAACGAGACAATATCCGAAAAGATAAAGATAGCGTCGATAGGTACCTCACCCTTGCTATACTCGATATGAAGCAATCCAGGCAAGTAGGATGTTGCAAGTGCTGTCGCCAATACCGCTGCTACCACCTTTGATACCATGTGCTTTGTAGTTTCCTGGCCTAATGGCATGGCTGAATCGCCAGAGTCTTGCCGAGAACAGAGGTTACAGTTGTGTACTAGAGCCGCTACTCGATACCTGAGCTTTCAGGAAGCTTGGGCGCTCGATTTAGCTGATTCTTGTACAACCCATCGGATTCTTGAGATAAAGCAAGCACAGCACTGAACTCTCACTCAGCGGGTTCAGTGCCAGAAATATAGACATTTAGGTTGAAAGCTTGCATTGCCCTTGCATAAAACCAAAGCTAGTGCACTCATGTTCAAAGGCGGCTCTCCAGCCGAACTGGTGGCTTGATCTTATAGACAGAGTTGTTCATGACACCGCGGTAATTCCATACGGCCTCGCTTGGCTGCGTGTTGCCTCCAGAATCCCAGGCACGGCACGCAATTGTGCAACCGGTTGGTACGTGGTCGATGCGGTATGCCCACAGAGTCCACGCCCACTGCTTCGCGCTCCAGTCACGCTGGCCATCCTTGCACTTTGTCTGCATTGTATAGATCCTTGCCAGGTCCCATGTCTTCCCGCCATCAAGCGACACCTCAACTCGGTCAACCGCACGGCCGCCGCCAGAGAACGCGTAGCCCTGGACTTCGAACGGCCGGCCAACCTGTAGCTCCTCTCCTGGCGCAGGGCGGCAAATGACGCTCTGGATATTGAGCTCCATCAGGGCTGGGAATCTGGGCCAAAACTCTGTGCAGTTGTGGGCATCGGCCATCGGCGGTAGGATCTTGTAGTCGAGTTTTTGGTAGAAGCTGTCAGACTCCACGTCCTGCACCCGGATGTACTTTAGCCATTTGACCCAGCGCGCGCCGATGATGCCAGGAGCAACAATCCGTGCGGGGAATCCGTGGTCTCGCGTCAGAGGCTGGCCATTCATCTCGTATGCAACCAACACCATGTTCAGTGGGTTCATAATCCACTCCAGTGGAATTGACGACGCATAGTGCTTATCCTCCTTGGCATCGCCGAATCCGGCAAATTCGACGTGCTTGGGGGTCGAGTAGAACGGGTGGCACAGATCTTTTGGCACTCCAACGCTGACGAGCAGATCACGCAGGCGGCACCCGCTCCAGCGCGAGTTTGACGCCGTACCCGGTCCCCAGATGACGCCGTTGACAGGCTTGATTGCCTTGAGTCCATCACGGCGGTTTCCAGCACACTCGAGGACAGCAACGACCTCGAATGCAGGCAGCTTGGTCAGATCCGCGAGCTTGATGCTTGACGACAGCTGTGTTTTGGCGGGCAGCACCGCATCAACATCGACCTGCATTCGCCACGAGTCTCTGCAGAGGTTGGGAATAGAACCATGGGGGTCATTCCTGGACTTGTAAATTTTAGTAAATTACAATTTTGTTAGATAGTTATTTGAATAATCGTTTTCAGAACTATTTTTTGCTACTAGATATTTTTGTAACAGATATTTATAATTGTTGTGTCCAGAATGTTTTTGTGTGTATAATTGATTTTAAAAATACAAATATTTTTTTTGCCATTTCACCCAAACCGCCATCGGCATCTTGGAAAAGTTTCAGTGAACATAATTTCAACCAGAAAGAAAAACCTTTGCATATTTGGGGTTAATTATCATTGGGCAACAAAAGTCAATATCTCAATAGATGTGGCTAAGCAACCACAAGGAAATTATGTTCACTGAAACTTTTCCAAGATGCCGATGGCGGTTTGGGTGAAATTTTTATTTCACTGAAATTGCCAATAGTTTAAACATGTATAAATAGTTGTTATGCAGATAACTAGCTCTGAATGACCTCCTTATTGAAGCATTTTCTATCAATGCAAATTTCTTACTGAGAATTCCTATTTTAAAAGTTACTTATGACATGTCTACATAGAAGTTCATTGACTCATCAATTTTAGCTTGAATCAGTCTATCTTGTAGTTCTCTCATTGAAGCTTCTAACTCTACTTTTTGTGGTAAAGTACTTCCAACTTCAGCATGTGTTGATCTCTCCTGGTTGTTGCTAGGGTAGTCAAAGTTAGATAGAACCCAAAGTGTGTGGTGATGTTCAACAGGAACTTTACTAGCTGCTAGGATCTTCTTCATATTGTAGAGTAAGCAACAGAGTTTAAACTGCACATTGTATACAGTTGTGTTTCTAATTCTCACAACTTCTCTATTTGATAGTCTCTTAAATGTGTTACCTAGTTCTCCAAATGTGCTCTCAACCATTGATCTAAATGACCCAAGTTTGCTATTATATTCTAACTCTGCTTCACTTAAGTTGGTTCCTCTTGGCTTTCTAACTGGTAAGCAAAAGTTATGCATTCCAAAATTCTCATTCTCTTCTGCTTCTGTTAACTCTTCCAGAATACTTTGAGGATAACCACCATCTAAAACAACACAATCTACTGGAGAGATGTATTTCAATAGTGACATATTCTTAATCATCTTAGAGTCTGGGTGGTCTTTACATTCCTCAGTTGGTGAAACAAGGACAACCATTCCATTCAAATCAATGCAAACTTGTGTTCTATATCCTGACTTCTTCAACTTGAAGGAATAAAGATTTGGTTTGTATGCACCATTATGTAGAGCTCGTGAGTCATGTCCATCTAACATAAGAGTTATATGCTTAAAGTTTGTTGGATTCTGAATCTTTGCTGAGATCACTCTTAGTTCTGGAGTGGAGAACATTGTGTGCAAGTAGTGTGAAAGCTTCTTGTTCAACTCACTTAACTCTGAGATATAGAACATATTATGAATTACTTGGTAGCTGCTCTTAGGAATAAACCTCTCCATCTCATTGATTGATAGCCCAGCAACTAACTGGTACAAAATCAAGAGTCCTTTCTCAACATTTCTGTAAGGACATGGATACTGCTTTCCACCAAATAGAACATTTAAGAAGAAGAACACAGGGATCATTCCAAGTTGCTTTACAAGTGTATCTTTGATGAGCTTTATTTCTTTCACTTCATGAGCTTCACTCCTATAGTACTTCTGTTGTTTATGTACTAACCAGTCTTCATCAAGAAATCTCCACTTTGTTGTGTAGAGCACATTCCACTCCTTCTCTCTTAATTCTTGTAATTGATTGTCCATCTGTGTGAGGTAGTCATAAATAAAAATTTCAACTTTTATCAATTTTAGAAAATGGGATCATTCCAGAACTTCTTCAAGCAACATTTAGCTGAGATGTGTGAGGAAGAAAGAGATATGCTTACTCTGCTACTTATTCATGACTTTGATATGAGTGATGACTTAGCAATACAAGTGCGTAATTGGATCCAACATATTGCTACTGATTGTGAGGTAAGGGTTGAACATGTGTATGATGTTTGTCATACTTTCCATAGAGATATGGAGAGAATGGTTGCTTATACTATGTTTTAAAATGGCTGCTATTCAACTGTGATTGTTCTATATCCCACACTTATAACTCTTAGATATATTTGTTGCTTTCTTTCTCCTAACTGTTGAGAAATTGCTTTTCCAATAGAACTGTCAACTGGTGTCCTAATAAGAGTTGGCTGTTTATCTCTCCCTTTAATAAGAATATCAACATAGAAGTATGAATGTCCTCTAAAAGTATGGAGTGCATAATGTGTAGCTGTAAATTCATCACCTAACTGAAGAACATTGTAAGCAACTCTATACAATGAAGGTTTCAGATCTGTATTCTCTTTGATAAATATATGGCTAGTTTCATCAAGTGTGATATTGTCTATTGCTGTTGTTAATGCATTGATGTTTTCCTCTTTTGCAGAATATTTATCCTCTGACATTTTTGATAGACATATCTTACTCTTTGCTTGCTTACTATCTATCCAACCAATATGCATTCCTTTATAGTTAACTAATCCCATCTCTTCAAAAGTGTGATACTGCTTAGTTGTAGGATAAGTTGACCAGAAGGAGTTTCTCTGACTTGGAACAATAGTTATATTCTCATCAACTCTTCTAAGAACTTTTTCTGTTTCAAGACCACTCTCAAGTGAATCATATATTTGATAAAGTGTAGGTCTGTTGTTGAATGAGAGATTAGCAACAACTACCATTGGATCATCATTCTTGTTTAGTTTCTTAATAATTCCTTGCTTCTTTGATGTGATAGAGTTAAACCAATGACAATATGCTAGAGTATGCTGTTGTCTCACATAAATGCAAACTGTATAACAACTACTAACTTTATCAACAAGTGCTTTCCACTGCTTTTCATAAGAAGTTGCAAATGTTCTGCATTCATTCATAAACTGAACTGTGTTAAGAAGCAAGTTACTATTCCATTCAACTGTTTGCATCTGAGAAGAATGTACAGTTAGTTCTATCCTAGTCAAACCAGAGTTTCTGCAAGCATACAATGTTTCTCCAAAGTTGTGCAAAGTTGGCATTACAAATTCAGAAAGTTTGGAACTAAGAGGATTACGAACTTCACCACTCTCAAGAAGCTGAATAAACTTGTTATAAATTTTGTTCTTAACTTTAACATCTCCTTTCTTTGTAAACCAGCTAATACAGTTAGAGCCAGACTTGTGTAAATCATCTACAACATCTTTCTTTTCAACTCCTCTTTCTAAAAGGTATTTATAGATAATATTTCTAGATGAGATATTCATACAATCCATTGTGATGTCATAATTCTGTAGAAATATTTTGTGATCAGCCATAGTAGCAAACTTCACTGTTAACAAAGAACTAGTTATTGCAATGTTTGGGGTAGATACTTTGTAAATAGCAACTGGTCCATATTGCTCACTAATCTTGCTTCTAACATACTTATAACCAAAACCTTCTCCAAATACTTTATGCAATCTAACACTAGCTGACTTCTGCTTCACCTTTATATCTGATTCACTGCATTTCTCAACAACAACCTCAACAATGAATGAGTCAACAAATATTTCAGAAGAGTGCTTAAATCCAAGTTGCTCTACACCTCTAGCAGTATACCTAGCATCAGCAACATCAGGCATATTTCTTCTTTCTGACAACACTCTTGTTAGTAATGCTCTTAGTTCACTTTGGAAGGGGGTCATTCCTGGACTTGTAAATTTTAGTAAATTACAATTTTGTTAGATAGTTATTTGAATAATCGTTTTCAGAACTATTTTTTGCTACTAGATATTTTTGTAACAGATATTTATAATTGTTGTGTCCAGAATGTTTTTGTGTGTATAATTGATTTTAAAAATACAAATATTTTTTTTGCCATTTCACCCAAACCGCCATCGGCATCTTGGAAAAGTTTCAGTGAACATAATTTCCTTGTGGTTGCTTAGCCACATCTATTGAGATATTGACTTTTGTTGCCCAATGATAATTAACCCCAAATATGCAAAGGTTTTTCTTTCTGGTTGAAATTATGTTCACTGAAACTTTTCCAAGATGCCGATGGCGGTTTGGGTGAAATTTTTATTTCACTGAAATTGCCAATAGTTTAAACATGTATAAATAGTTGTTATGCAGATAACTAGCTCTGAATGACCTCCCATGGTTGCGGCGGAAGTGGCGGTCGGTCGGCGTGATGTAGTGCTCGACCAGCTTTTCGAGCTTGGCCTCGGCGTTGAACGGCTCCTGGGCCCGGACCAGATAGTTGTCCAGGTTGCGCTCGTTCCAAGGCTCGTCAGAATACAGAGAGGTCATGGATAATAGATTGCTGTAGGGAAAAGGTGTTGAAAAGGCTTACTGAGGAAACAGGGGTAGGTGGTTTGGCTTAATCTGGGAGAGAAAAGGAGAACGGCGGGCGACAGTAAACACACCTTTTATAGGGGCGACACTACCCCCTGAGGTGTTTTTGTCCTGCCTGCCGCCCCCTTTTTCAGCTCTTTAGCGCGGCGACGTGCATTTCACGTGGACAATCCCCCTTTCTTGCGAAGTCGGGCATTTCAAATAAGCCATTCGCTTCGATTCGGGACAGGTTTCTCACGAACTCCCGACGGCTTTGACTGGCTCGCTCGATAGGATGACGAGCGATCAGGGGGACAACACCCCTTTCTCAGCTTCGCGCATGACTGCAGCTGCACAAGCGGATTGCCGCTTCTGCAGAATTTGCAATCATGATCAACAGGATCAAGCGGCCCAACTCCGCGCTGTTGGCACACGATGGTAGAACCCTTGCCACCACCAGGATGTAGTCTGCAGAGACTGCTAATTAATTACAAATGTGGAGTGGGGTAAATTGGATATCAAATAAAAGATAGTGCGAAATGAATGGTTACTGCCAGCGTTCCATGCATCCAGAGTGCGACACAGTAAACACCGCTAGCTGTCTGCCAATGCCGCTACACCATGCCAAATTCTGAACAGCAGAAGCCTGCTTGTACCTGCCTCCACGCTCCGGATATATATCAC